TGGAAGTGATGCATTGCATCGGCATTCCTTTTGGAAGTGACGCACTATGTCGGTGTCAGTGGCGCATGGCATCTGCGTCATTCCACAAAGTGACGCATGGCATCAGCGACATCTTGCATTCATGAACAAGTTGAAGACATTCCTTACAGTGCAGCTGAAGTAGAAGCCTAGGGAACCTTCCATTTGTTTAGACAGGGTAATCTTCAATGCAACTGACCATCCACCCCTGCTTTTGTTGACTATAAAGGGTGCTGCCAAGCATCATTGTCAGTTATTAAGGATAATCTTTAGTGCTAATAAGCACGAAAAAAATATTAACTTCCCCCTAACTAAGCAGTCCATCTCAAACTGAAGATGATCTTTTTGGATTATCTGAGTGTAAAAGACATTTTTAAACTTGCCACCAGTCAGGATTGAACCCTCAACCTTGAGAGATAGTCATATAACTATATGACACCAGACACTTTAGCCACTACACCATATGTTCTTGCAAGCTACACTTATATGTGATATATATAAGAGATTTTGCTAAAGGGACTTAGGTAAATTCTGTTTACATGAGCATAAGAGTAAAACTCAAGACAAAGAATATTATAGTGGCATTTCATACAGTTTATACTATTGTTTATATTACAATACCTATATATTAATTTTGCATATGTTCTAAACCACTGTTCACCTTATAGGTACTGTTTAAAGTGTCTGGTGTCACATAGTTATATCACTATTTCTCAAGGTTGAGAGTTCAATCCTGGCTGGTGGCAAGTTTAAAAATGTTTTTTACACTCAGATAATCCTTTGGATTATTCTTAGGATTATCTTAAAAATTCTTCAAAGATAATCCAAAAAGATCATCTTCAGTTTGAGATGGACTGCTTAGTTAGGGGGAAGTTAATCCTTTTTTCGTGCTTATTAGCACTAAAGATTATCCTTAATAACTGACATCACTGTGCCAAGACATGGTTGGTCTGCAAACTGTCTTTAGCTTTTATCTTGGAAAAGCTCCAAAGCCTGCCTGTGTCCAAAGGAACTTACCAAGAAGTTTATCAGGCTAGCATGCACAGGCTGCCTTACAATAGGGCAAAGAGTCTTACTGAAAAGAACTGGCACAATTGTAAGCCATGACCATGCATTGCTACTATTTTATGAACTTTGATGGAGGTGTACTGCATCCCAATCAACTGCTTAAAATAATTCTTGAAGAACCACCAGCTGTGGAAGCAGCATGAATATTGAATGGTGAAAGACCCCCACCTCTAGTGACTTCATACTTGTTACAGAACTTCACACCTGCTACAGCCATGAATTCTGGCCTGAAATATCTTCAATGAATATGTAAATATTCTGCTCCTTTCTGGCTACAATGTGGTTGTCAAAACGGTACATAATGATCAGAGCTTTGGCGGCCTGCATCACTTTTCGGCAGCAGCAGCAGCATCAAATACATTGGTGTCGACATTAAATGTGTGATGCATGCTTCAATCTTTCTAGGCCCCTCGCTGATGCCCCAAATTTGTCTAATGTTAGTTGGATTGGTTCCCTGCAGGTGCACTCATCGTTGTTCTGCCACCACTCACCTCTCAGTATCTTCTTCTCTGTCAGTTTTTCCTGCTGTTCTCAGTCGGCCTTTCAGCAGGCAAGCTCTTTGATCATCCCAGCACGCTGGGATGGGCCTGACATCAAACTGCTGGAGTAGTCATCTGTCCAACTAAGGTGAAGGTCGATGATATTCACATTCATATTCAAGAGACTGACTGGGGCAGCAATGAACACATGGTGAAGTAATAGAGTTTACCATGACAGGGACCTGACCACAGAGTTTGAAACCTTTTAGGAGATCTTGAACCTCGCTTCTCCATCCCCATCCTAATAATGTCCTGGTAAGCTTCCAAAGTTAACATTAATGTCACTGGAACTCATATTATTTTCAGGATGTGCTCTGTTTCATCATTTTTTAAAAGACAAATCATCAGCTAGGGATTTCTGGATGAAGGCATGGGGTAAGGAAACATTTGCCCCTTTTGAGAGTGCCATCAAGTGGGATGGTTCTTTGTCTGCTCATGACTTGGATGAAGAGGTTCCTACAAGATGCCAGTTGATCCAAGGTTATCCTTTCCTTGATCAGGGTTTGCACAATGTGGTGGTATGGGACAATTATCTCGAGGCAATGAAAGATTGTGAGAAGTGTGGTCAGATGCAAAGGTGTGATAGCATAATGATAGTTGGTCATCCTAGCATAAGTGTGTGTGTCTTCCACACAAATCCTAATTGAAAGCGGACTCGCAGCATTGCCCACAGGCAAGACAGTATTCTTGTATTACGTCTTGACTCATTGGCTCCAGCATTATTTACCACCTTCTACCAGAAGACTGAAGATGTTGTCTTTTACTTTCATGAATCTGGTGTTTACAGTATCTCAGTCAGTCAAGCATCAAATCTCATTGAATGGGGATCAGATAAGGTTTGGGCCTTGTTTAACTTGAATGATACTGTGAAAAGACTCGCCACCCTTATATCAGGTTCAGAATCACAATGGCTCCTCATAGGAGCTGCTTCTCCTCATTGTGAGTAATGGAGTGGCTGGCTGAGGTATAGAGAAATTCTAGTGCACTTCATCATGAAACCTCCAACATTTGCAGAAATTGTCATGGCATGGGTCTCATTGGCTATCTGTTTTAGACAAGAAATTTTACCACTTTACTAGTTGTCCACACCAGGATCATCAGGAAAACCCAACTTTTCCTTAGGGACTTATTTAGACTTTTGGGTCTGGCAACCCTTATTTCAGGTCAAATAAGTCTCAATAAGTCAAATTTCAGACACTCAGAGAATATGGCTTAGGTCCTTTTTGTCCTTATATCCTTAAATAAGAACCATAAGTCTATTTAAGTCATTTAAGTGCCCTCTTAAGGAAAAGTTTGGTTTTCCTGATGTGTGAGGTCCCGCTTGTATTATAGGATGTGAAAGACAATACATACCACGAACAAGCAGTCAGAATGTTCATGGGTCGTGAGGGCAGTCAAGATGGAACTGTAAGGCTCGACAATGGAGTTGGCCACAGCAGGCGGCAGCGGCGGCACAGGATATATGTTGAACTCCAACTTCGACCTCTTGACACAGTCAGTTGAGAGACACACAACACAAGTGCACTGAGACCAGAGCCAGTTGAAGTCACCAGAAAAAGGATAAGAGGAGCATGATGAGCAAGTCCAAGGATCAGATGTAGCAGCAGGTCATTCAGATCTGTCGTGACAGCCAGTCCTCGGCATGTAAGGCCTCATCCAACGATGACCAACAGGCCTAGCTTTGCACAGAAGGGTACCAAGGTGTGCAGACCAAAGAATTGAGCTCCCAGCGGTTACTCAGGGTGGTCGCTATTATTATCTTGTTCTTTGTGTGTGGGAATCTCAGTCCTTCCTGCTATATATATCTCATGCTTTTCCCACTGCGCTGTCTTCGATTGCCCTGTTCCGAGTCTTCTGCAATTTGTAGGTTATATACCTAAGTTTGCACCGCAACATGGTTCACTCAGAGCATAGAAGGCTGGGTTAATCTGTAACATGAGAGGGTACCCGTCCAATATTTATGCAGGCTCACCTTCAAGTGTGCCGAATGGCTGTTTGATCCATGATAGAGCATTCTCCACTTGCTGATGAGCCTCTAAAACACATGCCTAGGTAAGTACAATAGCTCGGCTTGCAGGTGGGGCTCCCTCGCAGTCATCCACCGTGGGGTGAGTTTGGTCACACTTCACCGGTGGGCTTGGAGTTCATTTTGCTGACATGTTTCAATAATGACCTGGCATGGCATGATCCACTCTTCTGTAAGCGGCATAAACCACCCATGGAGGATAATACAGAGCTCGGAAGTTTGGAAACTCGAGGACATCGAAAGGTCACATTTCGCTAAGTTACAGAAAATAGACCAAACTTTTATCAGGAAGTCGGGAGTTCTGCGGATGGAGATGGGCTCCATCCGGAGCTCGATGGAGATTGTACCTCTGCTTGAAGATGCCAGCTACAGACCGAGAGAGGTGAATGCATCAGGCAAGCAGATGTATCCAGACAGCATTGGTATCTCTTCCTACATGCTCCGAGTCTATGAGTACTTGCCAAGAATAACCAACAGCTTGAGCCCATCCGGTATGTTTCACAAGCCACGCTGTCTCCATGCGGAGACGTGATCTCCATCCGGCACGGCACGAAGACAGCCTCTCCATATTATAGGGTGGATCTCCATCGCTCCGTCCACTACCTTATGGAGGCTACGGAGATATCCAGAGTTTGAACAGCCTCGCTGCCGAGGCACTGCTGATGTGCTGCTGATATGCACAGCTGAAAGTTCGCATAGGTGAGCGTGATTTGACGGGATACAACAGACAGGACCTCCACTCGCCGTGAAGATCAAATAGAAATTGGGGGGTGTTACTCTGTACTTTAACGATCTGGCATGGGGCCAGTAGGAATTTGGTATACGCTCACGTAAGCAATGGAAGTCTCCGGGCATAACGGAGTGAGCTCTTCCGAAGTGCTCGGAAAACGTCTAGTCAATGTTCTGGCCTATCGCACTCTGCGGCTTGAATCATATCCTAACACCGTGGTCAGATCTGTTTCCCTCGGAACAATTACTGCACTGACAGTCTGCGGCGTACCACTGGCCAGAACTTCCGCCGTCCAGTCTCATCATGATAAAGGCGGCAGAGTCCACGTATTCCAAAGGCATCGGTGACGGCGGCTCTGCTAAGGAACGACTTGGAATGTAAATTTCGAAGTCATTTCGAAGTATCCGAAGGAGGTCATGTGGTCGATTGCCTCTGCTTCTTACGGACTGAGCTCGGCCATCTGATATCCTGGACAGTAGTCACCCTTTGACTGCTGCGGCCACAGGCCCGGTATTGGACCCGGAAAATTCGTAGTCTCACGCTCGATTGCCGTGCGTCACCTATAATAACCTTCACCTATAAGTTGGAAGTTCATGCCTTTCCAGTCCCTCCAAGCACGATGATTCGACTACCTCCAGGTGTTTCGTTCCTGGTCCGAGGAGCTGTTCTCATTGCAGCTCCACCAGCCTTCGTCATCTATCTGAACAACTTCCTTTCACGTCACTTCCAGCATACTTTACCTACATGGATTGCCGTTCTTGCAGCTGTACTGAGCACCCCTATCATCATTGTGCTCAATAATTGGCTACGAAGCTGGCGAATACGCCGAGCTGCAGTACGTCTTGGAGCAGTTCTTCCACCGCGATGGGATGGGAAATGGATCGGAAATATTGATCTTCTCAGGAAGTCCATGGATGCCTTCCTTAATGGGTACCCTGGTGAGTGAACATGAGCTACTCACGAATAGGATTGGTCAAGTTCTGAGCGGCGGTATTCTGCAGGTGATAACTTCGTTGATAAGATTGACGAATTGGGTCCTACTTTCCAGATCAATATTCTAGGAGCAACAGAATATAGTACGTGTGATCCTGACGTCATCAAGGTAGGACAACTGTGCTTTGTATTTATTTGCTACTCATGTCAATGCTAGCTCGTGCTTGCCACCGACTTCAACAATTACGTTAAAGGTACGCCAGGTTTCTGATATGACCGTTTCGTTGATGCTCGAACGCATTTTCGGTAGGCGAATTTTTCTATAATATGATGCATTCTGTCCTCGGAACAGGCGTCTTCAACTCTGATGGTACGCAATCCTTCCCCATCTGCTCCCACCCGACGGATTAACACCACTTTTTCGTAATAGGCGAGAGATGGAAGTACGTTAACGGCGAGCAAGTGGTAACTGAAGCGCTTGCTGATGCTGGACATCGTAGGTTCCATCGTTCTATGACACGTCCATTCTTTAGCAAGGACAGGATCAGCCATTTCGAATTATTCGACAGACATACCGGTATGTTAGAATACCTATATTAAATGCGCCGCGAGTGTGACCATCCAATTGCAGAGGAGGCTATTATGAAGATGAAGGAACGGCTGCATGAAGGGCGCGGTATCGACTTCCAAGTCAGTGCCAATTTAATTTACTACGGGCGGTGGAACTGAACGAGGCGTCAACTTAGGATCTCATTGCCCGCTTCACGCTCGATTCGGCGACGGAGTTCCTCTTCGGTCACTGCGTCCACAGCATGGAGTCGCCACTTCCCTACCCGCACAACGTCATCACATCTCATACTGTTGCTAAGTCTCAGAGTTCTGAGTTCGCGGTCGCCTTTGGAGAGGCTCTGCAAGTGCTTAGTATCCGTGCGCGTAGTGGGTGGACCTGGGGTTTGTTCGAAGTCTTCCAGAACAAGACGGACAAGTTCATGAAAGTTGTGGACTTATTCCTCGACCCGATCTTGAAGGACGCGTTGTCGAAGAAGGAGATGCGCATGAAAGAGGCAAGTAAGCAGGAAGAAAAGCTGGATGAAGACAATGAGACGATGCTGGACCATATGACGAGGTTCACATCCGGTACGTTGATGGCGTGCACTTATGCCGCCATCTGTACTCACTCCCACACGCAGACCCAGTCATTCTCCACGACGAGGTGCTCAACATTCTTCTGGCTGGTAGGGACACGGTTGGTCCAAACTCAGGAGTATTAAACACATTCTGACGTATGAACTTCAGACTGCGGCATCGCTTACCTTCGTTGTTTACTTCCTGGGCATGTACCCTCGTGTTCTCGAGAGACTCCGTTCGGAAATTTTGGAGAAAGTCGGTCCAATCAGTCGTCCCACATACCAAGACATCAGGGAGATGAAATATCTTAGAGCCGTGATAAATGGTGCGTATCCTTATTTATTCAAGGACCGAGCTTCAGCAGCTGATCTTAGTCCTTCAACAGAAACGCTGAGGCTGTACCCTGTTGTGTGCGTTTTTCTATCACTTGCTCCAATTGACGTTTGTTGACCTTGATGGTATAGGCCGTTCAACGTCCGGTGCGTGTTTACCAGTACAACAGTCGGAGTGTTTAACCTCGCGGTTTGAAGATCTTCTTTGAAGGAATCGACGTTACCTAATCGTGACCCTACTGGAAAGCCCTTCTATATTCCGCCGAATACGGGGTGCGTCTTCCAGCTTCGCATCCATTCCCGTGTTGTGTCATGGCACTAACATTACCTTCATTGCTATAGGATCTCGTATTCCGTCCTCCAGATGCATCGCCGAACTGAGTATTGGGGTCCGGATGGTATGCAGCATTCCTCCTTCACACTATCAATGTATTGACTCATGCGCTCATAGCACTGCAATTCGATCCCGACCGCTTCTTGGACGATCGTGTTGCGAAATACCTGACACCGAACCCCTTCATCTTCCTCCCGTTCAACGCCGGTCCGCGTATCTGCCTCGGCCAACAGGTATATCTTCATCGTCCCGTGTCTGAGCCAATGCTAACACGATAGCGTCTATAGTTCGCTTATAATGAGATGTCGTTCTTCCTGATCCGTCTCCTGCAGAACTTCTCCAGCATCACGCTCGACCCTGACTCGCATGAGCCTGGTACCCTGCCGCCGAAGGAGTGGGCCGGCGCGCGAGGCCGCAAGGGCATCGAGCGATTCTGGCCGAAAGTGCATCTCACCATGTACTCATACGTGCGTTTCTATTTTCCGTTCTCTCTGCAGATCTGTGTGGCATACTGATGGTCGGGTTGTCGCAGGGCGGGTTGTGGGTGAAGATGACCGAAGCGAATAACGAAGTCTGACGAAATCATTAAATTGCGAAAAGGAAACTCTTAACTTACCTATTCTCCGAGCGGTGTATGTACGATTGTCTCTGTAGAAATAATTGTCATGGTGTTGGTGCGAATCACAACGATTTTGTGTCTCTACGCGTGTTCCTGGGTGCGACGTCTGCAATTTCTGATTACATAGATGCCTTGCAGTTAAGATGTTGAACGTGGAAGATATATTGCAGCAATCGGACTTCCCATACAACCCATGAGCGTCATTCGATGGCGAAAAGGAGAAACATTAATGTGTGACCCGTCGATACTAAAGATTCCATGCCGCTGTCCTCAAGGAACGTTCCTCTATTCCCTACTCTATTCGATGTTCTGAGTTTCATTCTGGTACGCAACAAGATCTTGTTTTGCCTTGCGTCGTCAAGGCATTTCGCTCTTGTCCGGCCATAGCAAGACAGTTGATCGCGCCATATCCCGACTCTCAAGCAGTCGAGGGAAAAGCTATCTCAGACGGCCAGTGAGTTTTAACGTGAATGTAGGTGACATTTTTCATGAAAAGACGCCAATATAGGACGTTCCCTAGTAGTTCGGGCGCGATGAGTATTCAAGCTATTCAGGTCCAACCAGTACTTGAAGCTTGAACCGTGACGTTGCAAGTTATCAGTGATCATGAGTGCTTCGTCTTTCAGTAAAATGAAGTCGAGTCAACGTCCTGGACGCTGCAGAGACGCTGTGAGGCGGCGACCTGAGGCTTTCGAATAGCTCGACATGTACCGTGGGTGGAGAGGAGGAGGGGGGAGGAAAGCGGTAGTGACTTTGACGCGATCACGTGCATCACCTACGTGCGCCACATGTGGTATTACTCGAACACTGTTTGCATCCACGCTGTGCTCCACCCCTTTGTCATTATCTCATATGACAATGTTCAATGCTCAACGTTCAGTGTCTGGGCATACTTTGACTATGCCTGCTGTTTCTAACGGTTTCCCCGATACGTTCCTGGCGACCACTCCGCTGGCAGCCAAAAAAGAAAGCAATCATAATCATACGAACACTGCTCTACTCTACTTCAGACATGCCCACAATGCTAAGACCATATTCTTGGGACCCATGCCTATTCGAGACTTCCTAGGCTTTTTGCCCGAGACGGATACATCACGAATGCCGACTGCTGTGGACGCGTTCAACGACATTCCTAAGGATGCCCAGGCAATGCGCGATATCTCTATACCTCTCGTATGTTTGATTGATCTGGGCCCATTGAAGATTACTGAAAGGAATGTAGATTGCTGCTTTGAACGAAGGAGGGACGCGGAAGTCCCGTTGTCCGGGGTTCGTCTTCAAGGACACAACCGCAAGTGGCTTAGATCAGGCAAAATCAGGATTCTTGAATCCTGATATTTGTTGCTATGCAAATGAAGTCGTCGACTTGGTCAACATAGAAAAGAAGACGGCAGGATCGCTGGGCTATGCAGACTTATATATTAACGTGGCACTGAACTCGAATCTGGAATTTTTCACGGATCCTGCCCCGGGCGTTGATCGTTCCTCTCACAATTTCATTCGCGACATCGACGATGAACGTACTCGTAAACACTCTCAACTTGCTTTGGGGAGGAACCTAGCATGTGCGGTCGAAGCCTTTGCACGCCAGCACCGCAGCTTCTACTTCTCGATCTCCCTGTCTGGATCTAGCGCTCGACTTATTCGCTGGGATCGTGCTGGTGCGATTGCCTCGCAATCATTCGATTTGCATGAAGAACCTGAACCCCTCTGCGAATTCCTATGGCGATACGCCCATGCGTCAATTCCACTCCGCGGGTATGACCCCACAGTCGAACCTGCCAACTCAAATGAGGAAGATCTGTTTAAGAGGGCCATAGAGCGCCACGTCAAGCTTCAATTGGGTCTCAGCGACGGAAAAGCAGTAGCGATTGCCTTGGAGGAGCACTATCAGCCGAACACCGTAGCAGTCATCAACATGATTGGCGAGGATGATGTGGTACGTCGCTTACTTGTATCTCGACCCGTTGTGTCTCCTCTCTACATGACGGGTCGTGGGACACGTGGATACTGGGCGGTAACCGCCGACGGTCCGGTCAACGAGGTTGTGTTTTTGAAGGATACGTGGCGGTGCAATGTGCTAGGGATGAAGGAGGGTGATATTCTCGCAGACCTGTTGGACGCTGGGGTGCCGAACATCACACGGTTAGTCCATCACAGAGACGTGCTGGAGCAGCTGTCGGTGGCAACCATGATAGATAAGGATGCCCCCGCGTACAAGGACAAGAATGACGACGCGGAAATAAGTCTGGATGCCAGTGACAGCAAGAACGGAGGACAAAGTACACGAGTTACATACCTAGGTCAGTCCTCACACTCGTCATAGAATTCCTCATGTGACGAGGATTGTGCCAAGGGTTGCAGTACACGCAAACAAATCGATACCAGAACGTTGACTGGGTGTGCAAAGGTGGTCGTCAGAAATTTTATCTTCCATCTTACGTGCACTACCGGCTAGTGGTGGGCACAGCAGGCTATGGACTGCAACGATTCCGAGGGACCGAAGAGCTGCTTCATGCAACTTATGATACGTATCAAGGTGGGTGGGAGTGACATTTTACTCCGGAAATGCGTTGATGCTCTGCCTTGCAAGCTATGATGTCCGCCTTCAATATAGAGGATCCTGACAGGCGGAGGCTTCACTGCGACCTTAGCCTCTCCAACGTCATTTTGTACAACGATCCAAATGTAAACAGCAACGTTAGGCGTGGATATCTCATCGACTGGGAGCTTTCGTGTCTTGTGACTGAAGCGGAACGCTCTTCCAATCAGCACAAAACAGTGCGAGCCCCAACCTGCGCTTGTTTTCGGAAACGTAGCTAATCGACATGTAGGGCACCTTCCAGTACATGTCGCACCGTCTGCTACAATCGAAGAATACCCACCATACAGTCCAGGATGACATGGAATCCTTGTTCTACGCCGTCCTCTACTGCAGCCTGCGGTATCTGCCACACGATCGAAAACCAGAATACTTGGCTGCCATCCTGGAAAGACTTTTCGATGCTGGTTTTATTAACAACGATGGCATCCGAATGGGGGGCGACGGGAAGATCTCCAACATGGTCACGCGGTGCTATACCGGCGATGTAAATTTTGCGAGCCCTGCAATCCAGTCATGGCTTGAAGAAGTGATGAATTTCAATGCAGACTATGCCTTGAAACGGGACACGCAGTCCGCGAAGATCTGGGCGGATCCTGCAAGATTTGCCGTATGGTGGCGTGAGTTTCTCGACGCCCACCAGCTCCTTCGTGACGACCGGTTCGAACACTGGTTGCCTCCGCCACCTCTCCCTCGTGGCATGATGTCTTACCTCTCGACCTCGCAGTCGTCTGTATCGCATAGATCCAGTTCTGGGACATCCTGGTATGGGTTTGAAACTTCTCCCGCAATGAAGCGCAAGGCTGAAGACGATCCCGCTGATACTCGAGCGCTGAAGCGCTGCATACCCGCAATGCACCAAGCATGACGAGAGAGCTCGTGGTTGTGATATACAGTTGCTCCAGTCAATTGTGGGTAAGTGCTCAACAATCTTGTGTCTATGAAGGGGTTACTATTGGTGCTATAGACACATGGACATGAGTGCCAATCAGTCTGGACTACCTATCGTTGCACTGTACTACGTACGCAAATTTCCCAGATTATAGCATTGTTGTGGTCACATCAACTTTCTCTTGTTGGACTGGTCGATAAGTTTCCAGTGTCTCCGAGCGGCAGCGGCGGGCCGCCTCCCGTCGGCCACCGATGCGGTACTCGCAACCAGCCGCACAAGTTGGGGGCTTTGCTGCTGGAGGACAATGTGAACGTGGGTTACTTCGTAAGACACTGCGGTTCTTCTCGCGAAGTCGCCACTTAACTGTAGCTCCTCGATATGCTTCAGTGTGCTCCTTCGCTGAAGGGGATAACTTCGGAATTCTGGAATTATTGCAAGGCTCTCAGCCCCGTTTCTCACGTCTTCTGCGCTATCATAGGCCTATCTGGCGTAATTAATGATTGGACACTCCGCCAGCGCGCCGACGTGGCTCCGCCGTGGCAACACGTCGTGCAAGTTCTTGCGATTTATTACTCCCTTGTCGCTGGACATTCGCCCATTCGGTCCCCGTACGGGAATCGTGTGAGGGTGAAATCGATCTGTCATTGACCGTACTCGGCAGTATCCCATGAACCGTGGTTTCTCAGCCCGAGCTTTATCCTGCTACCCCTTGGCCCACCACCAATCCAGCATAGAGCAAGAAAGCACAGTACAGATGGTGTCTCTCCACCCAGGAGCGCACACGCACGACTGCGCAACCACATCTCACGCTTCTGACCGAGTGAGCTCCCATCGGACAGGTGATCCCGCGCCATGCCTTCTCCCTCCAACCCCGCGCTCTTTCGGCCCACCAAAGTGGGGTACAACACGCTCGCACACCGCGTCGTGCTCGCGCCGCTCACTCGGATGCGCGCGGACGCCGAGCACGTACACGGCGAGCTCGCAGTGGCCTACTATGCCCAGCGCGCCCACGTACCCGGCACGCTCCTCATCACCGAGGGAACGTACATCTCGCCGAGGGCCGGCGGCTACCCGCATGTGCCAGGCATATGGAACGATGCGCAGATCGCGGCGTGGAAGCGAGTGCGTATTCGTACATCTGGTGGGCACGGAGGCTGGAAGCCCGTGCATTACAGAGATGCCTATGCTCATTGTGGCTGCAAGGTTACGGACGCCGTGCACGAGCGTCGCTGCTACATATTTCTCCAGATCTCCGCGATGGGGCGGATGGCCTCCCATACGTCGCCCCGTCGGCCATCGCGCTCTCAGGGCAACCGAGGGCGCCCCGGCCATTGACGCTTTCCGGTGAGCGCACTCCTCACGTTTCCTGAGATGAAGGCCAACGACGCGCACAGAGATTCAGGAATACATCGAGATGTACGCCACTGCGGCCTCGAACGCGGTGCATCGCGCGGGGTTCGACGGCGTCGAGTTGCAGGGCGCGAACGGCTACCTCGTCGACCAGTTCCTGCAGGACGTGAGCAACGATCGAACGGATGCTTACGGGGGCTCCGTCGAGAACCGCTGCAGGTTCGCGCTGGAGACCATCGGCGCAATCGTGCACGCCGTCGGCGCACGCAAAACCGCCCTCCGTGTCAGTCCCTGGAACAAATTCTTAGGTCTGTCCTGGCACAGCACTCCAAACTGATTTCCAGGACTAATGAGTGATATGACAGACATGGGCATGGAAGACCCCGTGCCCACGTTCACGCACCTCGTACAGCGTCTTGCGGATGCGCATCCAGACCTGGCGTATCTGCACGTCGTCGAGCCGCGCCGCCGGCCAACCGATAGCCGAGGTGCGCAAAACAACTCCCTCTCGTGCGTAGAGCGAAGCTCACCACCTCAGTCAAACGACTTCCTCCGCTCGTTGTGGGCCCCTCGCCCCCTCATCAGCGCGGGCGGCTATACCGCGAGACAGCACTCGCCACAGCGGAGCGGACTGGGGAGCTGATCGCGTTCGGTAGCCTCTTCATTGCCAACGTGTGGCCTCTCTCCTCCACATCTACGCCTTCTCGCTTATATATCTCTGCACCAGCCGGACCTCCCACTGCGCCTGCAGAGAAATATTCCGCTCGCGCAGCCCGATCGCACCACGTTCCACGCGCCGGCGAGTGCGCGCGGCTACATCGACTATCCGTTTGCGGAACCAGGAGAGCCTGACGTTGATCCGGCATGTATTTTCCAGAGCGGGTGAGGGTTCTTAACGGACCGATGGGCTACACAATCTGCCTCTATAGCACATACGCATCTGTGACCCGTGAGCGCGTGGAAAGCGCCGCATGTTGAAAAGCACTCGCCTTACATACAATACAGTTCCATCCTCGGACAGTACCCACCTCGTAGCATAGGTTACAGAGAATCATACAATCGTACACTCACCAGCGGAAGCACTCGTCACAACTCGCCGTCAGACGCTAACGACATCAACCTTGTGCGCGCCATCATCATACTCCGCCGGCGTCATCCGGACCCACAGTCCGCCCTACACACACCGCCATCAGCAGCAATCCAGACAGCAGCGCGAACAGGATGCAGAAAACACGACCGTGACGCGTACACTCTGAGCTTGGCGATGCAGAGGGGCACAAAGAAAGCCTGACAGCACAGCGCAGCGGGACACTCACATGCGAATACGTCGTCAAGTGCACCTTCGGCCAGAACCGCTCTACGCCCTTGCGCCCCGGGAAGCCCGCCCACTCCTTCGGGGGCAGCGACCCGGGCGGATGCGCGTCGGGCGCAAACGCGAGCGCTGAGAAGCGCTGGAGCAGTCGGATCACGAAGAACGACATCTCATTGTACGCATACTTGGAGAGCGGGCACAGGTTAGCTGGGGTCGAAGAAGGTAGGAAAGAGGAGAGGAAAGAAGACACGAAGGGATATAAGAGAAGAATCAAGACAATGAAGGAGGAGAAGGAGGAGACAGAGGAAATGGGGACAGTACTGAGGGTAGAAGGCGGAGAAGAACGGTAGTTCGAAGCGGGAGTATAGAATGACAGAGGGGGACGTACCTGCTGCCCAAGACAAATTCGCGGACCAGCGTTGAACGGGAGGAAAATGAACGGATTCGGGGTGAGGTAGCGCGCGACGCGCTCGTCCAGAAAGCGATCAGGATCGAACTCCATCGCTAGCAAAAAAAAACCATGAGCAATGCCACGGTCGATCGCAAAGTGTTGTAAAATTGCCATTACTCACAGTCGGGTCCCCAGTACTCCGGCATGCGGTGCATCACCAAGACCGAGTACGTGACCCTGAATCGTTCCGTAAGTCATCGGGGACACTCAGATTTTAGATGACTATATAGTGGAACTCACGGTGTGCCGGCCGGTACGAAAATCGGCTTGCCATTGGGATCGGGGTTTGGGATCGTGGTGTCGCGTACAGAATTGCTGTATAACAAAGACATTAACGCGGCCGCTGTCGCGACATGAACGCACGCACCGGAGGTTCAACGGCCTACGCATGTCGCTGTCATAAGTTAGTTGTTCGAAAGACGTGGTGGTCGCTTACACAGCGGGATACAGCCTCATCGTCTCTGAGATGCCAGCAGTGAATATGCTAACACAATAGCAAAAGGGAAGGGAACTAGCTGACCATTCAGAACAGCGCGAAGATATTTCATCTCGCGGATGTCGTCATAAGTCGGACGACGGCGGGGCCCAACATGCTGAAGGATCTCCGCACGCAGCCGCTGTAACACGGCGGGGTGCATACTGAGGAAGTATACAAGAGTCGTCAGGGTGGATGCGGTCTGCATGCGCCGCAAATGTCAGACGCCCCAAGTTGGGTATAAGCAGCGAGACTAACCGTATCTCGTCCGGCAATCAGGATATTGAGCACCTCGTCATGAAGCACAACAGGATCTTCCCAAGCATATTCGGCGCAGTCCCAAATACTCAAGAAGCAACTCCCACTCACCGTCGGTGAACTGCACGAGATGGTCCAGCAGCGTCCCCTCCCCCTCGTCGGTGTCAAGTTGCTTGCCCTCCCGAGCGCGCTGCTCCTTCTTCCTGAGCGCCTCCGCGAGGATGGGACCCAGAAAGGCGTCGACGACGCGCATGTGCGGCACCGTGCGCTCCCCGGTAATCTCGAGGAGGGGCCAGACCCACCCAATGCGCGTGCGCGACGCGATCACGTGCTGCGCGCCCGCGAAAGCGCTAGCGAACGACTCCGCCGTCGCGGCCGACGCTACCGGGGAGACCGGCGTGAGTGGACGGGCATTGTGGGCATAGGGAAGCGGCGGGCGGAGGCTATCGACGGAGGCGCCGAAGAGGAACTCGGTCCCGGCATCTAGCGTGAAGCAGCTGATGACGTCCTGCGGACATGTTAGCGTCGGAGGGGAGTTCATTCATTATGGATGACGTCATGAAGTCACCGCTACTATATGCTCTCCGCGAACAATATTTCTGGTAGACCAGGCTGCTAGAAAAAGTAATAATTACCTGAAAATCGACGGCATAACCTGCAAGGACACGCTCCTTCATTTTCGAGATCGCTATTTCTGCGAGGGGTAACGGGAAAAGGGGGTAAGGAATGAGCCTGCATACAGCAGAGGAAACAACGCATATATACCAGCGTGCTTGTCGAATAATTCGAAGTGGCCGATCCTGTCCTTGCTGAAGAACGGCCGCGTCATCGAGCGGTGGAATCTGTCAGACACAACCACGTCAAAATCTATCGAGTCAGCACTCGAAACGAGCGTAGCGCACTTCCACAAGTCCCCATCGGAGTTGAAGACGCCATCGCCGAGGACAGACTGCATCAGCCGGTGAAAATTCGGGCCTACGACATACCCCTAAGCCCATAGAGCCCACAGCGACCGTAGACCCACGCACCCTTGACATAGCTCGTGAAGTCCGTCGAAAGTATGCACTTGATGGCGTTCGGATCCGCGGTGAAGTAGCCACGCACCCAGAGCGGCCAGAACTCGTACGTCGGCCCCAGCTCGACGGCCTTGTCCCAGAAGCAGTCACCGAGGTAACCGTGGAGGAACGAGTCGAGCATCGCGCGAATGATGTCGAGTCCTCCGATAGAGCCATGCCAGAGTGGGGGGAACGTCGCGCCGTGCCGTACAGCTGCGCGGGCGACCCGCCACCTGCTGAGGAGGTGCGAGAGCACAGGTAGTGCAGGGATGCCGAGGAGCACAGCGAGCACAGTGAGCCAGGTGGGGAGAGCGAAGTGGCGGGCGCATGCGAGGACGAGGAGGAGAGGGATGAAGGTGGCGACGAGGAGACGGACGAGAAAGGGGATGCCTGGGGGCAGGGCCATCGTGGTGCGGAAGATGGCTGCAACCAGACGGCGTAGACGCGTCAAGGCTCAAGCTGTCCAGGGGTCATCGGATGTCTCGATCCGGAGCGTCTTTCTCCCACACCTTTCACTTGGAGCACCGCGTACTACTGCGTATCTAGAGGAGCTAGCATGACCGTTCGACCTCCCGTCTACAGTAGTACATCTAGCAACACCACCACACAGATCATATTTTAATTTCCATCACAGACTTATTTGTGAGCGCTGTAAGAGCAATCAGGACGTACTTAACCACATGAACCCATGTGCTCACTGCTTGCAAACAAGCTTTCAAGCTTCAACAGCCCAACCGGGGAACGGTCATCTCGGGATCCAGGAGTTGTCGAGAAGACAGTGCTGCGGACTCGAAGTACCTGGTGTTCTCCCCATCTTGTCGCCATGAGCACCATCATGAGCCCTCGAAGACGGTGGAAGGTAAAGCGCATACGGCCTGCACAAGTCCGGATCCGCGATATCCAGCAAATCGAGCCCACTGATAAAGCTCAGCGGTGGTGAGAACCATGGTATCCAGCCATCAAATGATGCAATCCCCGAGTCCGAGGGGAATACTAGCGGAGGCATTGTGGCACATGGCCTACGTACTTGACAAACGACTCAGACAATCCAGCTTCGAACGACTCCGGACAGTTCCTACTGTAACGGGCTTAAGGTCGTGTCAGTATCGCCCGAGCTGAGTGTAGATCTCACCAAATCGAAGTGCACACCTGAAATTCCGTAGCTCGGAGATGTTTGGAAGCTGTACCGTCGTCGAAGGCTTGACTCACAGCACTAGTATCATGGGCCAGTGGCGGCCCGTACATCATCGTGTACGAGTCAAACCCGGCAACGAAGAAGAGCCAAGGCCAACTCTGAAAGATGTGACAAAGTCGACCAAAATAAGCGGACCGACAGGAACCTATACACCCTCAGACATTGTCATTCAGAGGTCAAACGTTTGTCTGCCACCCGAGGGAAAATGCGTCACTCACGGATGTTCATTCATGCGGAGCACGATAGCAGGCCGGTTTAGAACGGTACGCAGATGAAGCACGGACTTCATCAGATCGTCGACATCGAGGCAATTGGTGCGTCATGGGAAACGGACAGGGCCTACGCCAAATATTGTAGGATATGGAAGTTGCGGTTGTTCCGGACCATGTGGGACTGGCCTTTAGTCTGAGACATTAGCATCAACCTGTGAACACCGATTAACTGGCTATACTGTACCCGCAAAGCAAATAGAGTAGAAATCGACGTTCGATTCCACATACCGCCGACAACAGAAATCGCCAAACAACTGCTGGTGGCAGTGTTAGATCTGGCATGCAAGCACTTTCAGAGAAGGTAGAACGGCTCACGTAAATCCCTCGGAATCGTTCATCGAGGGACGTGGGGAAAGATGTACCAAAAGGTCACCTAACAGATATCCGCCGTCAGCCACCCTGGGATTCACTTGAGTGCTGCGTTGGTAATGGATATTGGTCAGAACGAGAGCGCAGTACGTATCGCGATCCCCGTAGACATCGATGAAATGGGGTCTACCGTCACGGTCAGCAGACACCCTAGATGCTCGATACTCAACAGTTAGCAGCTTCTCGGTCATCGTGAGATATTGCAATCGCGGGAGTGCAGAGTCTATATATCCACTCCTTCACGAAGGATGTCCATCGTGGAGAAATGGATGTATAGGCTCTGTAGTTTGGAGGAGGGGTTACCCAGTCACAGCAGATTAGAATTTTGACTATCTCTGCTTGCATAGCAAGTCTTTGATGTTGTGCACTGTAAGTAATTACTCTCGCCTAGCCTTTTTGTGTAGAGGAGCCAAAAATCAGTCTGTGTTGGCACTGATATTGCTGGTGCGAAAATCCGCCTGAGCGTGCGTTTGGCAACGGCATTGCTAGTGCCAAGTCCTTTGGGCATTGCTGAATATCGCGGCTTCCCTTTTGGCACCCTCAAACATTGACACCATCCGCCAGGTCACAGACGGCACGGAGAGTTGTAGAGCGAAGCCCAGGCCGTTGGGTGCACGGTATGGCCGTCCAAGGCGTAGACCATGTCGTGGAAGCGATCCTGTGCGACAGCGAGCTTGAGGCGCCATCGCGCGAGTGGAGGAGCATCGGAGCCTGCGTGTCAATGTGATGCGATAGTGCGAGGAATCCCTGCGAATGTAAGGGGGTGTGGTCGAGTACTGTCAGACAATCTCTGTCGAAGGGTGGGCGATGGGAAAGGCGCCGGCGATTTAACGACGGGCACCATATCAGTCGCGCGTGAGTGCGCCGCACCAAATATTCACTATCTTCTAGCTGCGTCATCAGAGGGAAGTAAGGTTAGATGAAAGACGACAGATAGGGCTGAGACACACTGCGAGGTGTTGTTAGGGTGGGTGCGCTCCGCCTCAGGGGTCTGATCTGTGCGCTCTTGGCTTGACAGGACGCGGGCGATTATATGATGTTGCGCCAACACCGTCAATATAGATATGGATTGGGCGGTGAGGTGAAACAGAGGCAGAGACCAGCAGAGACCGGGCGAGTTCGATCCACGGAGGATCCTTGAGCGCTGCAGTGAAGACCACAATCTAACGAGAATAGACAGCGCGGAATAAGCTCTAATGTACAGCTGGATACTCTATGTGGGGATACAGGCAACACGGTTCAGTTCCTGACCATAACTTCCTCCGACGTTATGTCCTCCCTCGCAAACTCGAATCTTGGCGAAGCAGACGCAGTAAGTTTATCGTTCAGCCATGCTTCTCCGCGCACGAACATATCTCTGTTCGGAAAAACTTCCAAAATCTCGCACGCGAAGCCCTCGGTATACAGCTTGTACTTCCGCCAGAGGGATCCTGGTCCACCGAGGCCATCGACGCCAGCTTCGACGAGCTCGAATTCTGGGATGCATCCCATCTTCCGGAAGACTTGTCCGATAGCGTACTTCTGGCCGAAGAATAGTTGTGCAGGTGCCGCAGCAGTGACACGCACCGTAGACGTAGCGACGCACACAACGCTGCTTCCGCACAGGAGATGCACCTGCCGCTGTTGGACAAGAGGGGCGGTGGGAGAGGGATGGGGAAGTGCAGAAAGCGACGGTGGATATGACGTAGAAACGCCAGACGGGTCCTCGACAGTAGTGTGCGAGTATATAAGTGCGACATTGATCGACCGGGAGAAAAATGCGCTGCAACCGGACCAGTTCAAGCACAAACGGTAATGACATGTCCCGACTGCTGCTTACCTGAGGAGTCTTTGGAGGTCTCCATGAGCAGACAGAACGATACGTTCGACACCAGTAATATTCGGTGGCCACGCAAACTGCGAACACTTCCATCAGGTCGTTCCTGGAAGGGTGCCGTTGAAGGCACAAACCTGAACGCTAGTGCTAGCCGCGTTGTACGAGTCGATAGTTGAAGGCATAGTCAAAAGCGAGTACTGGAAGATAAGAGACTGCGAGAGTTCTTACCGATTAGAAATGCCGACAAGGACAGCCTTTTATCCTTGAACTGTTGGCATATGTTTGTCCGCAGGGTAGCGTTGGGGGCTAGCACAGGCGCCACGCCAAGGAAACTGGCGACGAAAGTTCCGATAGGAAAGTCAGAGCCGCAGTAGCGCTTTGGACTAGTAGATCGTGCCACCTTCGCCTGGTGAGAACGCTCCCTGTTCTCCCATCGAAGATCTATTGGAACAGTCTCAATCAACCGGTGTGCAGCACCGATTATGTGGCAGCAACCAATGAAAAGACGCGCCTCGAAATTTCTCAGGATAATGGAGAAGACGAGGAACCATGAGCGCCAGCACAAGCATGCGACAGGACGAGGTCCATTGTGGTAACAACACAGTCCGCTTCGGCTCGTGCATGGATCCTTTTTCCCACTGCCGTCGCCAGAAGCCGCAAGGCGTTGCGCAATTGGCATGCCGCAGCTCTAACACACAAAACACACCTTGATGCAGCTAGTCTGGGGAGTGCTAAACGTCCCATTCCCAGCTGTAAAGCATGCTGTGATAGCAAGGCAATGAAGGCAAAGCACGTTCGCAAACGAACGCACCTGACTCAGGAGGGTATGCGCGCCTGGATGACGTCGAGTGTAGCACATTGAGTCCACCCATTCATATGAACTGTTTTAGAAACGAAACTGATCGAACAGTGCTCTCTACTGGAGGTACAGGTTATCATGCCAGTCCTGCACGATGGACTACCGAACAATGGTAGATCTGAAGGAGCTCGAAAACTCGGAGAGTTCAAGAGACAATGTCGAGTAATCCTATGCGTGGGAATATTGTCAGAGTGGGAACTTCGGGTGGAGCAAAGGAGTAAGGCGCACGTAGATTCTTGAGTGTACTGTCGGGAGAAACACATATATCCCAAACGATATCGGCTCTTTCCTCGATGCGCAGTAGCATCTTATCATCGTCAGATATGCATTAGTTCGCGTCCGAGGCCAGTGGCGCATGGTAGAAACGAGGTATTGGTCTTTTCTCACCCTGCCATACCCGAGTCCAATCGCACGTCATATCTAGTGCGAAGCTCATCAGTGTGGGTGCCACCTATGCCTGTCGTTCCCATCTACAGTCTCCTAGGATTGGAGCAGGCTTGAAGGCCTGGGCTCTGATTTGTCATAGCCTAGTTTCAACAATCTCAGGCTAGAAGGGAGAATTCGGCCCTCGACATGAAAAAGAGACCATTCAGGAAGACCGTTGGCAGGCGACCGAGAAGATGTCGCGCAGAGCTGCGGCAACAGATACTATGCCATGCCACATTTGGACTACCACCGCAAATCCATCGAGCGCCAATAGGTAGAGGGACCGGTACCAATAGAAGCACGAGCATTTACTTTGAATGCAATCATGTTAGTGAGGTAAGCGGGAGCCGTGATGGTGGCCCATATGTCTCCGCGTTGTAAGTATAACAAACTTCAACGGCGGTCCCTTCGCAGAGATGCATAAATTGAGATGCAGCTACTTGTTCTCAGCAAAACAGAAGAATCTCACCCTATTGTAGCTGCACAACAGCACAGTGAGCACCTGTGTGGTGGATCAAAATGACTGCCGTCTTCGCAAGGTTGACGTAAAGGACTCAGTGTGGTTTGACAAGAGCGAAGTCACCGCCGTAAGCAAATTTAGCCGCTGCCACAGTGCGCGCCGAACAGGAAAGAATGCTGGAATGAGTCTAGTCAAATAATCTCAAACAGTCTGAATTGAAGAGGAGAAGAATTAGCATACCAACACGCAAGAAGTCAAGTCTCCTCCTCACCTTTATTGGTAAACAAACCTATATATCAGTAGTGCGACCAATGAAGCAAACAGAGATGGACTCGTCGTGCCTCATCAGCTATTTCACGTCGACAAGTCCTCTCGCGATTCCAAGATATCAAATGCCGAGCCGTCTGTTGACCAGAGCACCGTGGCATGTCTCTAGAGGAATCAGGATGCGCGAAAAAGTGACGGTGAGGTGGCAATTTCGGGATTCGGCAAGTTGCCGAAGTTGCCGGAGAGGGCGTCAAAGCCGTCGCCCTCTAAATCTAACAACACCAAACAACCCTCTGCGTTATGCCGGCAAAGTTTCAGTCGGCGATAGGTTTTACTTCCGGAGTGTAAATTACGAATCGGATAATCGATTTTACTGTGAAAGCGGCGGGGGATGTCGCAACTCGAGCAGAAATATTAATCGTTTTAAGGCCTGGAAGGCTCAGACTGGGTCTGTGGATCTCCCTGCGATGCAGTATCGTGTCAGGAGAACGAATGCGCATGCCATATTTCCAGATTGAATACAAGGAAGATCTTGAGCCTCGGTCGGTCCTCTGCCCAGGAGTATAACTCCGATTCCGTCGAGCTCAGGCAAGACGCCCATGCGCACAGATGGGCGATAATTTGATGGTAACACTCTTTGCTTCGAATACGGTCCTGCGGTAAGCACCTCAAAATCTTCCAGCACACTATGAATATCAGCGACACTGTAGGAGGTGCGATCAAAGCTCGAGATGGTCCGTTCCTCCAGCGAGCTGGATGAAACGTATCAGAAGCCCCACTCCCTCGTTTAATCGAAACGAGTACGCAGAGCCACGTATGTCAGTGATTGGAGTTTGCTGGAACGTCAGTTGTCCTCGTAATTTTTATATGTAGGCATATGGGATACTATCGTGTGGCCGTGTAGCATTCCTGAATTATTGCTTGAGTGTACAATGTTATTTTTTTGGAACATGAGTATTTCGATGGTAGTCCTCAGTGTGCCAGTGCACAGCCTGGGCTTGTGGCTAGCCCAGTCCAGCTGGAGTTTGGCACACTTCAGCGTTGAAATGGAAAAGAACAGAGGATGAGGCGACGAATTATCGGGAATCAGAATTTGAACCATTGAACTTATATGATATACAGATTGGCGGGAACTCGTAGATAGAAGAACAGCCTTGTGATACAGCACAAAGAGCACGAGAATGTACCGCGACGCATAAAAGCGGAAAACAATGCAACGACCTGCATGGACGCATATGTTTATTTCTGCGACCGGCGAACCTTGCGATCCCGTCGCGCAAGGCTCGTATTGTCGATCTTCGCTGGACGAGGCTTCAAACGTCGAGGGCTCCACTGAGGCTGTATCGGCGAATCAAAGTCACCCGCTGCGACGCCCCGTCCTTGGCATTCAACCTGTCTCCGCTTCGCCATCGAGCGCGTGGTAGGTCCTGTGCAACTTCCGCGCGGCACTGCAGGCACTCGGGAGTTGGTCGTCCTTTCCGAGTCTGCAGCAACAGTATCGTCGGCCGCCTTCCTCTTTCGTGAAGGCAATGCCACAGGTGCAGGATGCGTGGTCCCAGAGTTCGATGAGGTGGATGAGAGCGTGGAGGACGACGACCGGCGCCAGGTGGTGCCGCGGGGATATAGCTTGCGTGGAAACCGATCGTCGTTGGACAGGTCGTGAGTGCTAAGGAAATCCTTCCAGAATTTCCCCAACAGTTCAGGACTTTTCCAGACCATCGCTGACTCCATGTCATGCAGATGTGGAACAATATGCGACGAATTGAATTTGATGACGGCGTCCAGCCATTCCCGAAATGCCGGGTTCGAAAATTGGATCCTGTCAGTGAAATCCTGCCCAACTTGATTGCTAAGTTTGCCGGAACCACCCTTGAGAACGCCTTCCGGATTAATCCAAGTGTGGTCAAAGAGTTCGAACAGGTAAGTGACTACCATGTTTGGCGGGTGATCATGCCCTAACCATAGAAGGCTGGAATATAGTACCACCCAAAGCATGGATTCCATGTCGTCCTGAAACGTATGAGAGACAGACTCGCCTGACGTCAGAAGGCGCATCGACATGAATTGGATGGTGCCCTATGATGAATGAGCCTCCGCATGGTTGACGCACGTCGAAATCAAACTCACTGTCCTTGAATGGTCGCAAGCACTTCCTTCTTCCGTTACCAAGCAGGAAGATTCCCAATCGATCAGATAGCCGCGCCTGATGTTCTCGCCGGAGTGGGGATCCTTGGAGAGGATAAGATTACCTACACTTATGTCACGGTGTAGCCTTCTCTTCCCCGGCTCTGCGTGAAAGGCGGCCACCATGGCTTTCAACGTGTGCAAGAGAATGAGCAAAATTCTGCACTGAAGACGTAGCGTTGCGCACCTTCATACGCATCGTATGTAGCATGCAGGAGCTCTTTCGTCCCTCTGAATCGCTGCAATGGATATCCAACCGTCCCCAAGACAAGTCGATAGTGTACGAGGGGAGGCGGCAATTTGTGATTTTCCCCACCTGTACACACCCAAGCAGCGCGTCTAAACCGGTCCGTCTGCGTATACTGCAAGACTACGTGGGGCTTGTCAGTCGATCGAGTTGAGAAAACAACCCTGAAAGCAAACCTGTCGTTTCGTCGCGCGTGTATGTGAGATCGCTCTCACTGTCAACCCTTCCGCTTGAAACCGGCAGCTGGTCCCAGACATCACCATGATGGACTAATCGGGGTATATTCGGCACACCAGCAGAATGGAGGTCCGCCAGGATGTTGCCCTCCTTCATATGTTCGACATTATGTCGCCATGTGTCCTTTAGGAACACTACTTCCCCTCTCGGACTACCGGCGGTGACAGCCCAGAATCCCCTTGTTCCCTTACCCGTCCACGACACAGGCGAAACCACCGGACGGGATACAAGTAATCGATGTGCCACACAGTCGGGAGAACCCTCGTCAACGACATTGATCGCCACTACGGCACCTGGCTGGTAGTGCTCCTCCATGGCGACGACCAACTCTTCATCGTCGGGATCCAGCTGGAATTTGACGTGACGTTCGATGCAATCTCTGAAGAGTTCCTCCTCCTCTCGGGTCGCAGCCTCGACGGAAACGTCATACCCGCGCTGCGAACTCGAAGCGTGAGCGTACCGCCAGAGAAACTCGCAGAGATGCTCCGGTTGGACGCGGATGTCGAAAGATTCGGAGGCGATGACCCCGCATCGATCCCACCTTAGGAATCGAGCACGAGATCCAGCCAGTGAAATCGAGAAATAGAAAGCGCGGTGTTGACGGGAACACGCTTCGGTGGCGCATGCAACATTCCTGCCGAATGCTTCTTCGGCCTCCTTACGAGCACGGTGGTCACCGGGGGTCTGAAAAAAGGCGTGTTCGGAACGGTCATCCTCAGGACCTGGATCTGTAAATGGGTCCAAGCCGGGGTGTCGCTGTACGTCGATGTACAAGTCAGCGCAGCCAAGAGGGCCAGCCGAGGTCAAGTGAGAGTCGTTAATGTCCTGTGAATAACAAGAGACGTGGGCATTCATCGAGCCTATATCCCCAAGCTCTGCACCAGACGTGGCCGTGTCTTTGAACGTGAATCCAGGACAGCGACGCTGAGATTTTCGGCTCCTCGTTCTGGTGCCATTAATTGCCGCAATCTGTGACTTCATCAGCATTTGAAACTCCAGTACACAAAACGAAACCGACCCACCAACGGTTTATAGATCTGCTGTTCCGTTCTCGCCTCTGCCGGCACCTTGTTGAAAGCATTGACGGGACGCGGCATGTTCGACATATCCGTCTCTGGTAGAAACTCTAGGAACTCGTCGACAGGCATCGGTCCAAGAATGAATCCTTGGGCTGAGTCTGCGTATTGGCGGTAGCGTCTTCTGATGTCCTTGCGGTCTACATCGTCCTCAGGCTGCTGCCACACATTGTACTTCGGGTCTTTTTTTGCCAGCGGTGTGGCCACCATGCTTCTTCGTGATGTGAGAGGTAGAAGAGCTAGAATCGTAGGAACTGGTGAGCGGGGTGGGTTGTAACGTCCTTCAAGCTTGACTGTATCAAGACACGCTGTGGCGCCGTTCAACTGCGCCACGATCACGTGCACGGCAAGAGCGTTGCTACAATAGGGGACGCCCGGGAACTGCTCACTCCTTTTTGTACGAACGAATGTATATTTCTACAGCTAAAGAGGAGGAGGAGGAGGATGAAGCGAGGAACGCGCAGAAGCCGCCAAGTAAGGAAGACGTATCAGCGTCAAATCAGCGTGACTCACCTCGCGTTTGTCACGAACACGCGCCATCGTGACGCTTTGTGCCCAGAAGTGCCATTGTATTTTCTGCAGTCCGTTCCTCTAGTCCGATTGCTTTAAATTTGTAGATATATAATGTTGTACACATAACCTCAATGTTTTAAAATTCTGGAAGGCCAAGGTGGCCAGCTTCCTTCCGACAAAAATCCTGAGTACAGACCATGCAGTTGGCAAGTGGCACATCTCAGCATCTATCCAGAGTCTTTAAAAAAATCTGTTCAATTACCAGTAGTACTTTACATGCTGTAAAAGCCATTTTGTCAATGTCGAAGGCGAACGGGCAAGATGGTGAGCAGCGGGGACAAAGTGCCGCCCGCCTACACGTTGCGCACTGCGGCTTCTGATACGTCTCGCCTAGCTTTATGGAGGATCGGACGACCCTGAAATAGAGTTTGTCTCATGGACGACACCTCCGATGTTGTCACTGATATTCGTAGTATGCTGGAAGATTTCGATGGGCTTCTGTGAGGGCGTGAGCACCATACACCACACGACCGAATCCGAAGCGAAGAATGGTGTGTTACGAGGTCACGAGCGACAGCGGAGCTAAGCAGAGATAAATAAACGAGTGACCTCAGTGCTCCGTCGTCTAGCAGCGGACACTATGTGTATTGTGCATACCTAAGCAGAGATAAATAAACGAGTGACTACAAAGGCATCAGCGTACTACTCGGGTATGCAGTAAGTAAAGAGACTCACCCTCAGTGCTCCGTCGTCTAGCAGCGGACACTGAGGGGCGGCGTACTCGTCCTACGGTTATATAGTAGCTACTGGGTCGGTAACCGGTAAAGTAACAAGGGCGAGTCTGTTTCGAACGTGAACGCGACAACGAACGTGTGTATACTTAAATGGTAAGTCCATTTCCTCTCCCGTACTCTTCCCAACTATCCTCCACGTTCCTGATGCGCCCTGGCGCGGCTTCCTCAGCCTCCATGGAACATGACAAACACCAACACGCCCCCTCAAGTGCCATGGAGGCCCATGAGTGACGTAAGATATTCGACTTTCACGCGCGGCAAGCTCTTCGTGAAGATGTCGGCGGGCATGTCCTCGGTGCGACGGTAGAGCAGGGAGATGGCGGCAGAGTCAACGGCCTCGCGTATGAAGTGGTAGCGGATGTCGATATGTTTCGTGCGGGCATGGTACGCATTGTCTTTCGCGAGTGCAATAGCCGAGCGGTTGTCCGTGTGTAGTCGTAGTGCGAATTTACTGACATCCGGGTCGAGAATATCGGCGAGAAGATAGCGCACCCAGATTGCTTCCTTCGCGGCGTGCGTGAGTGCGATGTACTCAGCCTCTGTGCTTGAGAGCGCGACAACCGGCTGCTTCTTCGCGGACCACGAGACTGCGCCGCCGTCGATGAGGAAGACGTACCCGCAGATTGAATGCCTGTGCTCTGACGAACCCCAATCCGCATCGGAGAATCCTTCCACTCCATTGCGTGTCAAGCCGTAAGTCAGCCATTTTTCGCGTGTACTCTTCAGGTAGCGCAAGACACGCTTTGCGGCCTCCCAGTGCGCGCGTCCCGGATTCTGCATGAACTGTGAGAGCGCTGTCACCGCGAATGCGATGTCTGGCCGCGTCCCGAGTGCCGCGTACATGAGTGAGCCAATCGCCTCACGGTACGGTACGTTCCGCATGTCCTCGAACTCGCGCGGTGTCGAGGGGCACTGTCGGATGCTGAGGATTGCCCCAGGTTCAAGGGGAGTGGACAGCGGCTTGGCATCTTCGAGATTGAACCGTGCCATAAGTCCATCGATGTATGCGCGCTGCGAGAGTGAGAGGGTTCGAGCGGCTCGATCACGGCGTACCTCGATGCCTAGTATCCAGTGCATCTCGCCGAGATCGGTCATCTCGAATCGCTTGCTGATTTCCGTCTTGAACCAGAGTACTGCGTTGTTCGTGCCTGCGATCGTAGTGTCGTCAACCGAGAGTGCGATGATGAGGGTAACCGAGTCGTCGTCTTCGTCCAGGTAGAAGACGCAGTGATCAACGAGGCTGCGCGAGAGCCCCATCTCGTCGAGTGCAGCACACATCTTCTTGAACCATTGGCGGCCAGACTGCTTGAGTCCATAGATCGCATGTCGCAGGAGGCACACCCAGTGCTCCTTCCCACGTTTGGCCTGCCCAGGTGGCTGCTTCATGAAGATCTCCTCCTCGAGGTCAGCATTGAGATATGCACCCTTGACATCCATCTGGTGCACATCCCAGTCATGGCGTGCGGCGAGTGCAAGGATAATTCGGATCGACGCGAGCTTGGCGACAGGTGCAAAAGTGTCATTGAAATCAATGCCGGGAATCTGCGAGAAGCCTTGCGCGACAAGACGGGCCTTGTATGACTCAATCTTGCCGTTTGCATTTCGCTTGATCCTGAAGACAAATTTCGACCCGACGACATTAGTATTCTCAGGTGGTTCAACAAGATCATATGTGTGATGGTCACGAAGATTCCGCATCTCCTTCTCGATGGCCTTCTGCCATTGCGGCCAGTCCGGACTCTGCATGGCCTCTTCGAGCGATCGTGGCTCTTGACCTTCGCGTACTGCAAATGCGGCTGGCATTGCGAAGATCGGCTCATCACCCTCTTGTTCACTCTCGCTCTCCTCAGCTTCTACCGCAGCTGCACCCATCAGGTCACCTGGCTGGAGGCCCTGGGGGTACTTCGGCCTGCTCTTGCGTCCATCTGCGACGCCCGAGCCATCATTTAGCCGCTTCACGTAGGCGGATGCCTTGCGGGGGCGGTGGCTTCGCTCTGCGGGAGCTTCAGGTGCATGATTTTCATCCTTGTGTTCTTGCGCGGGAGCATCAGATGTCGGCATCGAAGGTGGATTCACAGAAGATGGTGCTGGCGGCTCAGTGTGTGACTTCGGCTTCTGCTGCGGCTGATGCAGTGTTGACGGCGAGCTCGGAACGACAGCCTCTATCACCCCCTCGGGCTGAGCCTCATCGGCAATGACCGTTTCATCAATAAATCTCACATTCCGCTCCACGGACACAGCACGCTTGTCAGGCCAGTACACTCGATAGCCCTTGCTCTCAGTGCTGTACCCGACAAAACGTCCTTCGCGTGCTTTCGAGTCAAGCTTGCCAGCATTCTCGATGCGGACCCAGACCTTCGCGCCAAACTCGTGAAGGTCGCCTAAGTCCGGTAGATGTCCATATCGCACCTCAAAGGGTGTCTTGCCATCCAAGGCACGAGTTGATGTGCGGTTCTTTAGCCACGTCGCATGCATCATGGCTTCGCCCCACAGGTTCTTGGGCAGTTCGGCAGCGATGAGCATTGCACGAGCATGCTCCGGGAGGGTCCTGTTTATGCGTTCAGCAAGGCCATTGTGCTGCGGTGTGTCATGAACCGTGAGGCGCGAGACTGTGCCGTGTGTGGTGAGGTGGTCGGTGAACTCTCTGCTGAGATACTCGCCCCCTCGATCAGACTGCAGAGCCTTGATGGTCTTCCCATCTTGGTTCTTCAGCTTTGCCTCATAGGACTTGTAGGCCGAGAATGTGCCGGACTTTGCACGAAGCAAGTAGAGGTCCGTCCAGCGAGTGGCATCATCTGTGAACGAGGTGAAGTACTTTTTCCCACCAAGTGTTTCGGTCTGAGCCGGCCCCCAGACATCGGAGCGGACTCGATCGCCCAGCTCCTTCGTGCGGTCACTCTCACGCTCTTTAGGGACAGTCGCGCGGGTGATTTTTGCCTGGATGCAGGAGTTGCACGTCTTCTCCTTGTTTGCCTTGTCTGTGAGTCGCACACCCTCAACTCGTCCTTCGCGCACAAGACGCTCAGCGATGATTGGCGAGATGTGTCCCATCCGACGGTGAAAGTCCATCACGGACAATGAAATAAGGGCGCGCTCAACCTCCGGCTCGACAGCAACTGATGCAGACTCATTCACAGGTGCTGCACGACGTGAGTGCTCGACCTTGTACAGCCCATTCAATGACGGGACACGCCCTATGATCCGAGACTGCCTGCGGGAGTATATGCGGCACTCCCCCTTCTCGAACATGGCAGAGTATCCGGCAGCGTCGGCACGCGCAATGGATATGAGCGCAAATGCAATCTCGGGTGCATATAGTACGTCCTCGAGAAGCACTGTCGTCATCTGCTCACCATTCGGGATTTGCAGTTGAACTGCGCCCCTGCCAATTGCACTGAAGTTACGGCCATCCGCAGCGGTGATTGGCTTCACAGGCATCGGCTCAAAAGAAACAAAAGAGTCACGATAGGGAGTCATATGGCGTGTCGCACCGCTGTCATAGACTTCGATCTCGACATCGGGCAACGTTGCGGGATGGTGGACAAGTGCGGCACTGTCGAATGTAGCCGTGAATGCGTGAGTCTGATTGTCATCACTCACGGCCGTGTTTGCTGATGACCTGCCCTTCGAATTCGAGCTGCTGCTGCCGCCCTTCTTAGAAGCCTGGTCCTTTGGGCCTTGGCCTTCCTTCCCTCCGCCTTCACGCCAGCAGTCACGTGAGAAGTGTCCCTTTCGGCCGCAGTTGTAGCACTCCGCGTCCTTGGACTTCGCACTGTGTCCACGACTCTTGGAATGCGAGCGCGAGCGCGTGTCTGCCTTTGCTGAGAGTGCAGACTCAGGCTTCAGGTGTGCCTTCCGCCGGTCATACTCCTCGACAATGCTGGTGATGATGTCATCTGCGGAGATCGTAGTCTTCGCGATGCGTGCAGCGGTAGAGAGTGCCTGCAAGAGGGCACTGTAGGACTCGGGAAGTGATGCAAAAACGTGTGCGGTGAAGTCGGCATCAGAAATTGGTGCTCCCATGGACGCCAGTTCCTCGCGCATTTTCGCGAGAGTGTCGAGGTGGGCCCGTGCATCGGCACCTTCCTCGCACTTCGTGTTCTGCAGACGAGTCCGCAGAGCGCCCGAGTACATCTCGGACTTGCTCTCGTACTCGTTCTGTACCGCAATCCAGACTTCTGCCGCAGTCACAAGCTTCTTGACGCGCAAGAGGAGCCGGTCGTTAATCGTACCATAGATCTGCTGCCGCGCGGCAAACTCCTTCTGCGTATACTCATCCAGCTTTTGCTCGGCGGCCTCAACGATCTTCAGATACTCCTCTGGTGTCATCGAAGGTTGGGTCTGACCGGCAGGTGCTGTGGTAGTCACAGGGGCTGTTGTCGTGGCAGTGCGTGATGTCGCGGCTGTCGACGCTGTAGCGGCTGGCGTTGTGGAAGCGGTCGTCGCGGCCTGCGCAGGTGATGGCATCGGGAGCGGGGGTGGATCCGGTGGCCGGCGAGCAGTTCCTTGAAGATGTCGCAACAGTCCTCGGGAGCCCATGACGGTGAACATGCGCTCCTTGTAGGTGATCCAGTTGGAGCCGTCGGCTGCCAACTTTGGGATGACATTGAGGTGAGATTGCAGGGATTCCGAGGCAGGCGACATTGTGTCGGGGCTCATAACCTGTTACGAGGTCACGAGCGACAGCGGAGCTAAGCAGAGATAAATAAACGAGTGACCTCAGTGCTCCGTCGTCTAGCAGCGGACACTATGTGTATTGTGCATACCTAAGCAGAGATAAATAAACGAGTGACTACAAAGGCATCAGCGTACTACTCGGGTATGCAGTAAGTAAAGAGACTCACCCTCAGTGCTCCGTCGTCTAGCAGCGGACACTGAGGGGCGGCGTACTCGTCCTACGGTTATATAGTAGCTACTGGGTCGGTAACCGGTAAAGTAACAAGGGCGGGTCTGTTTCGAACGTGAACGCGACAACGAACGTGTGTATACTTAAATGGTAAGTCCATTTCCTCTCCCGTACTCTTCCCAACTATCCTCCACGTTCCTGATGCGCCCTGGCGCGGCTTCCTCAGCCTCCATGGAACATGACAAACACCAACATGGTGCCATCGTTTTATGGTCCGCCTGCATGCCTTAGTGTCTCGAAGGCCCCAGCTCGAAAGAATTCGAGTTATACTCCGCAGAGGGCTCTCCGCAGCTGCTGACCTTCCTCACGTGTAATCTGGGAATAGCGAATAGTTTTGGGTGCTCGTGGCATGATACCGGACCATAGGGAGACTCGAGAGCCACACATGTTGTAGTGAAGGAGTTGGCGTACGCTGCGAAAGCTGTTAGTCCATGAAAGTGATCGACGATGCAAGGGCAGACGCAAGCTTGCTCTGGACCTCCACCAGTCCCGCGAATATGGGACTGTCCTTGAGCAGAACGAATTAGATACTGTGTGAGTACATTTCGCGGGGATCCAACCTAGATTCTCAGTGAGCACGATGGAGGAAGAGACTGTACTAGGAGCGGAAGAAAGGTCAGAATTTTGAACTCATCAAGACGCGCACGAAATACGCAGTCACACGGTGAGCGCACCCGTGTTGACGACGTATGTAACCAATGATCGGATAATTTGGTCCGCTCTGGGAACCATTGAGCGACTCTCTCAGATGATACGATAAGAGGAACACACCGTACAAGGCCTGTCCTACTTACTGTGCCATAGGTAGTATATTGATGCCGCTGCTATAATGAGATCGGCTATGGCAGCAAGGCTAAGGCTACACGTGAGAACAAACTAAAGATGAAATATGCCAATTGCCGTAAGCATGAAACGGTCAGACATGGGATGTACTACACACAAGAGACCCTGTACTCAAACGAAATTCGCTCTAGGCTGGAAAACAGTACCTTGACATTACCTTGACGTCAAACTTCATCCGTCTGGGTAACAGAGATGGTAATAGGGAGAAGGTTAGGCTCGTTCACCAGCCTCTAGTATATAGGAAGAAAGAGTTGTTCCTCTATATAGTTGACGTACGAGAGAGCAGCAGTAACTTGTACCATTCATTTCCACATACATGCAGGGATTCCTCACATCATCGTACAACATCAATACGCTCTTCTACTCGAGCGATGGCGCTTTAAACGCACTGTCGCACAGGATCGTTTCCAGGACATATTCTATTGGCGACCAGCGACTCGAGTACCACGATTGAGTGCGTACACACGCTGCAGACGAAGGTCTCTGCCGGCGCATGTCGAAGGCATTGGCGGCGGGTCATCCTTAACGAGGGATGTGGCTACCGTGGTTTTCTACGCGGAATGGGAAGTCGAGAAACCGAAGATATCAAAACCAAGAGGCAATACTTGAAGGAAGTCGGTTCAGTGGGTAAGTTGAAGCGCTGGTTCAATTGGCGCGCGGTCACGAGTAGAGACGCTAACTACGGTAGAAGTAACCGTAAATTGTGAGGCTGACATGTATGTTGTGTAGTAGTCAAAAAATATACATTTTATGTAGAATTGACTATATAAGCATAGGATACAACCGGATGGAGAACGAATTCAGGATGATGAGTACCAACACTCCCGCGACGAAACAGAAAGGAACAGAGGACGACGTGATGGGTGATCAGGAATGAGAACTTAAGTTATTGAATATATATGACGTACGGATTGCCAGTAATTCGTAGATAGAAGAGCACAGTCCTCTGATGCAGCATAGAGAGCACGAGAAAGTACCGTCATCCAGACGCGCGGAAAACAACGGAACGAATGCTCGGACGCAAATATTCATTTCTTCGACCGGCGAACCTTGCGATCCTGTCGCGCGAGGCCCGTATTATAGACCTTCGCTGGACGAGGCCTCACACGTCGAGGGCTCCATTGAGGCTGTATCGGTAGATCCGAGCCACCCGCTGCGATACCCTGTCCTTGGCCTTCGACCTGTCTCCGCTTCGCCATCGAGCGTGTGATAGGTCCTGTGTAATTTCCACGAGGCACTGCAGGCACTCGGGAGTTGGTCGTCCTTTCCAAATCTGCAGCAATGGCATCGGCCAACTTTCTCTTTCGTGAAGGCAATACCACAGGTGCAGGATGCGCGGTCCCGGAGGTCGATGAGGTCGATGAAAGCATGGAGGACGACGACCGGCGCCAGGTGGTGCCGCGGGGATATAGCTTGCGTGGAAACCGATCGTCGTTGGATAGCTCGTGAGTGCTGAGGAAATCCTTCCAGAATTTCCCAAACATTTCAGGATTTTCCCATACCATGGCTGATTCCAGGTCCTGCGGACGTTGAAAAACATGTGATGAATTGAATTTGATGACGGCATCCAGCCATTCCCGAAACGCCGGGTTCGAGAAGTGAATCTTGCCAGTGTAATCCTGACGATATTGATTGGTGAGTTTGCCATCGCCACCATTCATAATGCCAACCGGATTGATCCAGGTGTCATCAAAGAGGTGGTAGAGGATGGTAACCAGTGTGCCTGGCGGTTTGTCGTGCCCTAACCATAAAAGGCAGCAATATAGTACCACCCAAAGCATGGATTCCATATCGTCTTGGAACATATGAGAGATGGACTCGGAGGGCGAACTTAGAAGGCGCATCGACATGAATTGGATGGTGCCCTATCATAAATGAGCCTTCGCATAATCGACGCACGTCAAAATCAAACTCACCGTCCTTGAATGGTCGCAAGCCTCTCCTTCTGTTACCAAACAGGAAGATTCCCAATCGATCAGATAACCGCGCCGGATGTTCTCGCCCGAGTGGGGATCCTTGGAGAGGATAATGTTACCTACACTTATGTCACGGTGTAGCCTTCTTTTTCCCGGCTCTGCATGAAAGGCGGCCACCATGGCTTTTAGCGTGTGCAAGAGAATGAGCGACATTCGACAGAGAAGACGTAGCATTGCGCACCTTCATATGCATCATATGTAGCATGCAGGAGCTCTTTCGTCCCTCTGAATCGCTGCAATGGATATCCGGCCGTCCCCAAGACAAGTCGATAGTGTACGAGGGGAGGCGGCAATTTGTGATTTTCTCCACCTGTACACACCCAAGTAGCGTGTCTAAATCGGTCCGTCTGTGTATTCTGCAAAACTATGCCATACTTGTCAGTCGATCCAGTCGAGATAATAAGCCTGAAAGCAAACCTGTCGTTTCGTCGCGCGTGTATGTGAGATCGCTCTCACCGTCGCCCCTTCCGCTTGAAACCGGCAGCTGGTCCCAGACATCACCATGATGGACTAATCGGGGTATATTCGGCACACCAGCAGAATGGAGGTCCGCCAGGATGTTGCCCTCCTTCATATGTTCGACATTATGTCGCCATGTGTCCTTCAGGAACACTACTTCCCCTCTCGGACTGCCGGCGGTGACAGCCCAGAATCCCCTTGTTCCCTTACCCGTCCACGACACAGGCGAAACCACCGGACGGGATACAAGTAATCGATGTGCCACACAGTCGGGGGAACCCTCGTCAACGACATTGATCGCCACTACGGCACCTGGCTGGTAGTGCTCCTCCATGGCGACGACCAACTCTTCATCGTCGGGATCCAGCTGGAATTTGACGTGACGTTCGATGCAATCTCTGAAGAGTTCTTCCTCCTCTCGGGTCGCAGCCTCGACGGAAACGTCATACCCGCGCTGCGAACTCGAAGCGTGGGCGTACCGCCAGAGAAACTCGCAGAGATGCTCCGGTTGGACGCGGATGTCGAAAGATTCGGAGGCGATGACCCCGCATCGATCCCACCTTAGGAATCGAGCACGAGATCCAGCCAGTGAAATCGAGAAATAGAAAGCGCGGTGTTGACGGGAACACGCTTCGGTGGCGCATGCAACATTCCTGCCGAATGCTTCTTCGGCCTCCTTACGAGCACGGTGGTCACCGGGGGTCTGAAAAAAGGCGTGTTCGGAACGGTCATCCTCAGGACCTGGATCTGTAAATGGGTCCAAGCCGGGGTGTCGCTGTACGTCGATGTACAAGTCAGCGCAGCCAAGAGGGCCAGCCGAGGTCAAGTGAGAGTCGTTAATGTCCTGTGAATAACAAGAGACGTGGGCATTCATCGAGCCTATATCCCCAAGCTCTGCACCAGACGTGGCCGTGTCTTTGAACGTGAATCCAGGACAGCGACGCTGAGATTTTCGGCTCCTCGTTCTGGTGCCATTAATTGCCGCAATCTGTGACTTCATCAGCATTTGAAACTCCAGTACACAAAACGAAACCGACCCACCAACGGTTTATAGATCTGCTGTTCCGTTCTCGCCTCTGCCGGCACCTTGTTGAAAGCATTGACGGGACGCGGCATGTTCGACATATCCGTCTCTGGTAGAAACTCTAGGAACTCGTCGACAGGCATCGGTCCAAGAATGAATCCTTGGGCTGAGTTTGCGTATTGGCGGTAGTGTCTTCGGATGTCGTGGTGGTCGAAATCCTTCTGCTGCCACACATTGTACTTCGGGTCGTTTTTTGATAGGGGTGTGGCCACCATGCTTCTTCCTGATGTGAGAGGGAGAATCGTAGGACTTGGTGAGCGGGGTGGGTTGTAACGTCCTTCAAGCTTGACTGTATCAGGACACGCTGTGGCGCCATTCAACTGCGCCACGATCACGTGCACGGCAAGAGCGTTGCCACAATAGGGGACGCCCGGTAACTGCTCACTCCTTTTTGCACGAAGGAAGGTGTATTGTTCTACAGCTAAAGAGGAGGAGGAGGAGGAGGAGGAGGAGGAGGATGAAGCGAGGAACGCGCAGAAGCCGGTGGCTCGGCACGGGTGCAGAAGACGCGTGACATCTCGCGTCGGTCACGATCACCTGCACCTCGAAGTCACCAAGCTCCGAGTCACGCTGGTCTGTGCGCACCAATGTGTCAACGTCGGATTGTGATAGTCTCGCAAGCCAGACGTATATGCTGTGCCGTATCGAGACTAGGATTGTGATAAGTTACCTGCACGCCCAAAAATACGTGTTCCACCTGTCACCCTCGATATCACCAGGTCATGCACGGCCGTTCACCAGCACGACGCAATCTCGACGCCTCCGATGACACTATTTTCGAGTCGCACCCGACACCATTCGCTTTTCGTTTGCTTTTCGGCTTCTTGGACATTGTAGACACTCAGCCTCTCTCACATTGACCATATAACCCATCCTCGCCTTTCCTCGTGTCACCCATCTCGGTTCCTCCCTCTCCCGCTGTCTCTAGCTTCCAGGGTGCTTGCACACATGAGGCGGACCTGGTTGACGCTCACATCGGAATTTTGAGATTTCGACATATGGGCGCGGAAAGGTTGCCTGCGTGCTCGTGTCCCTTCCAGGGCGAGCACACACACAGCGCTGTCCTCATCCAGACTATCGCTGGGCCGCATCGTCTTTTGCGCGATCTCCCATCAGTGTTCGTGCCCTTCCTCCACTTTCCCATCTGAACTTTCAACAGACCCTCGAGCACGAAGCCGGAATTTGTCTTTTGTCTAAACTAACACCAAGATGGGTGCTGAGTTCGCCGCGCAGCTTGTTAATGATGAATCTGGTCCTTTCGTGGATGTCGAGCGGGTAAGCCCGGTGTCTCCAACCGATATTACATCACTGGACTTTGCACGTCTCTAGATGGTGGATATTCTTATGTCCTAGAACATGATACGCTTAAGGAGAACTAGCAGGGGCAAGGTCATCTCCAGACTTGTTTGTTGGATATGACCTCAGCCACGCTCCTGAACTCGCCGATGCGATCCTCGGGAACGAGATATTCGCCCGCTACGACAGTCCCAGAAATACCAACATTTGCGAAAGGACCGGTCTACTGCAACGCGTGCGTGGCTTTCATTGTCGTTGGTGGTCTTTGGTCATGTAATTCCCTGCAGATTCTCAAGCGTCACGAAGATTTGGCAGACATCAAGCGGGTGATTGTGCATGTCAGCATGTTCCACATGGACTTAAGTGTACGCTGTGTCTCTTGGAACTGTGTTGCTGAGGTACTTTACTCATCAGTCGCCCGACTATTGAACGTGCACGGAGGAAATGCTTCATATTAACTTGACAAAATTGTCTTTCAGATAGCTACGAAGTACTCTGACATCCTTGGCCCGATCAAACTTAATAAGACGCTCGACAAATTTAAGTTATTCGAAGGTATGTTTTTTGAACAAATCTTGCGGACGCTAACCTCGACAGACCTTTGTTACTACCTCCATCGCCGGCTTGAGCAAGATCCAGACGCCGCTTCATGTACATCCCCACCGCAACTCGTACTAGTCAGATTCGTGAGGTCGAGCGTATCTGTCGTAAGGGCAACTACTACAACCTGGAGGAGGACAAGAACTTCTTGAAGGAGGCGAAAGTTTCGGACCAGCTTCCGCTCATCATTCCTTTGCGAGTAATCGAGGATAGCTGTAGACTTATTTGCACAGAACGGTCAAACAGGACCGCATGTGAGCCGTAAATGGAAGGAAATAAGTACACGCACTTTGCACACCACCATTCAAACATCAGACAGGTGGTCTGATGCAATAATTTGAACGAATCGTTGTTTCGTTGCTGTCTCTGGTGAACCCGGTAAATGACAGCTTCTTCTCTGCCGCTGCGAAACGCAGAAAGATTATGTCTTGAGTGGACCGGCCCATTCGAAGTTCCGGCGGTATCTGGCGTGCGACCAGGAGCACTGGCCCAAGGAGTAGTGCGCGGGGAAATAGGTCTGACAGTCTATTTGACCGGTAAATTACCCAGGCTCAGTGCAACACCTCTATTTTACCTACGTAAATTACTGTAAATTACACCATCAAATCATGACGTGCAGCTCTCGCTCTTTGCTACCTGTGGAAGTGTCACACTTGATGTGTGAACATGCAGCTATGTCCCGCTTGCTTTTTTGTGTATGGTGCAGAACATCTGGCACATCTGCGTACAACATCCTAAGTGTTTCACACAAGGAAGCATACACTTCTTCCACATATAACAACAGCTGGAGAGCCTACTTAGTCTCATGCATCCTTGATGGATTTCGTGGGACAGTGCGCTTGTTGAAGCAGCTCCCTGAGTTCGGGGTTTTTCCCACTGGGTTTTCCCTTGCCCTCAAATCAACTTTGATGCACTGGGAGCTGTGTAGATGAGTACGCATTGATCGGAGCGATTTCTGTCCTGGATGTGTTGTATCCTAGATTTCTGTAGTGTACTGTGCACGGGTACATAGCAGAGATCTAGGTGCGACAACCCGGCGTTCCTGAATGGGACCAATGCCGGTAATCTACCTACCTACCTACCTACCTACACCTGGGCTACTTGACGCTAATTAGCCGTTAAAGTAGCATAAATTACGGTGTAAAATAGCAAAAGGATGTTCACTGAGGCCACCTAAACATTGCTTTGCACTTTCTAGCGGGGGTTGATGTATCCTTGATGTATCCATGGCTTCTTCTATCTATTGCTGTAAACTGTGATGTCTTCGAGGCATGCCTTCATGCACTTCCCCAATTTGGACAGGTGAGATTTGTCGCCTTATTTATTGTCATCAATTCTCTCTTGTACACCTCGGTTCTGTCTGCTTTCTGACTGTATGTATAGCCCGTTCATACACTCATGGCAGCCCATACAGTGTCAGTCTATTTTACCCTATTTTACCCTGTGTCACAGGCCTGTTTGAAATTTACAGTAAATTGACCGTAATTTACACCTGCTAATTAGCGTATGTAATTTACACCTACCTATTTCCCCGCGCACTACCAAGGAGCGCCTACGATGCCAACAGTTTCCAGGCTCACCTCCGACCGCTCACTAAGAACAGATCTATCATGCTGATGCATACTCAGTACTCAGTGTCGACAGGTCTGTGAAAATATTCTGCCGTTTCAACGTTCAGAGTATCAGCTTGGAAGTTTCGTTTCCGAGATTTGTTTGCAGTTGTTTGATTCAGAAGGCAACAGCTTTGACGCCCATTCTTCTCTCCTTTCTGATCTGGATCGGTCGCAAACGTGTGCAAGTTGACCATAGTCTTCCTATTTTGCTTCAACAGACGAAGGCTGGCCGTCCGATCTGCGTGAGTGGTTATCTTCTACTATACGTATACAGTTAACCACTATCGTACGACTAGCACTGTGGCCTTAGCACTGATGCTGCCAGCAGAAGTGCCCGCTGAGTCGGCAGAAAAGTTGCAGACTCCACAAGCCAGATACATGAAGAGATAGCACGGTCTTGTATCATCGCAAACTAGATATACCCAATGCTGTCCTTGGTGCCACATTTTCAACGACGACGGTTATCTGTTCGTCATTTCTACAGGCGAAGCGATGCATGCGATTTACAGCTCGCCCTCTGGCATTCTATCCAGCTCCTTCCTTCGAATGGGTGGGGAGCGTAACTCTGCTGTGTGTATCTATCATCTGACTAAGACAAAGTTTGAAGAGGTCCCGGAGATGTGCATCACGAGTAAGTTTCCTCTGCGCATCTCTACTTTCAGGCCACTATACCGTACATTGTTCAGATGAGGAATCTTATGGATTGCATGCGCCGGTATTTCGTCTTATTATCTCACTGTGCTGATATGAGCATTCTTTTCAGTTGCGTGATTACGCAAAGAGACAATGCAGTTGTGGCGGGTAGCTCGGCTAAGTTACTGGCATGTGACCGAGCTCGTTCATCGCCACTCACTTTGCCACAACTGGTTCACTATTCATTCCTTTACGTCCACCATCTCGCGGGTCGAACAACACCACCTAATTAAGAGATGGCGACTCCCTCCCCACCCAGTTCCCAGGAATTTCTCCCCGAACCCGTTACGCCTCATCGTTCATCGCGGAACGTAGTCGTAGCGGCCACACCGACCACTCGGGACGAAACTGGCGCTCAGCAATGGGGTTTCGAGTCGAAGCTTGCCAATGACAGATACGAACGATATTCCCAGGAAGCAGAGGAATTTACTGTAGGCCCCATGCCTATAGAGGACTTTCTGAATTTCCTGCCAGAGGCACCCACAAAACGGCCGAGTGCTAGGAACGCATTCAGTGATGTTCCAGAATGCGCAGACAAGGAAAAGGACATCTATACACCTCTGGTATGTTGACTTCATTCCGATAGAATGGCACTACTGAGTGAAGCTCTAGATTGCGGCGCTGAATGCCGAACGGAATGGCCGGAAACGCTGTCCTGGGTTTGTTTTCCTGGATACCTCGTCACGAGGCACCAATCATGGAAAACCTGGGTCGGTGAAGCCTGATGTGGTTTGTTATTCCACGGAGATCGTCGACTCGGTTGAGACTAACAAGACGACTCACGAGCCCATCGGCGATCTTAGTTTCGCGGATTTGTATATCGAGGTGAAGGGACGGCCGGAACAGGATTATTTTACAGATCCACCACCCAACAGCGATCCCGCTGCACACAAGTTCGTGCTGAACATTGCTAGTGAAAGAAAGCTCGATCGGGCCAAGCACGATCTCGGACAGAACATCGCATACGCAGTTGACGCGTTTGCGCGCCAGTTCCGCACGTCGTACTTTTCGGTGTCATTATCCGGGACATTAGCTCGTCTCATCCGGTGGGACCGTGGGGGCATAATGGTATCGGAATCGTTTGATTTGCACAAGAAACCACAGGCACTCTGTGAGTTCTTGTGGCGATATGCGCATGCGTCAGGAGCGGAACGCGGATACGACTGTACCGTCGAACATGCGACCGAAGAGGAGGAAGCATTGTTTGAGAAGTGCATCACGGGCCATGTTCAATTACAGCTGGACCTCGAGGATATAGGCCAACTGGTTGGCAAGGAGAAAAAAGCTGCGGAAAAGAAACTGGCCGCCGGAGTGGAGGAGCATTTTCAGCCCGGCACCGTGGCTGCAGTCACCACGTTCGACGAGAATTCAAACAAGCATCGAGTGCTCGTATCTCGGCCTATAGTTTGGCCTCTCTCCCTGGCCAGTCGTGCTACTCGCGAGTACTGGGCGGTGGCCGCGGATGGAGACTGTGGCAAAGTTGTGTACTTGAAAGATACGTGGCGGTATACTGGGGATGGCCTGCTGAAAGAGGGAGATGTCTTGGCAGACCTGCTAGGCGGTGGAGTACCACACATTCCACAATTGGTCCATCACGGAGACGTTCCGCAGTGCCCCGACTCGAATGACATGGACGTGGATGACGAACGAGGTGAACAGACAGGTTTGTTCTCAAACTTTCATCTCAAATCGTAGTCTGACTCAGTCCTTGCAGGTTTTCAGCGCACTCTGACTCCCAGATTCGAAACAGCAAACTGGGCGTGCAAGAATGGGCAAGCTAAGCTTCGCACATATCCTCAGGTACATTATCGGCTAGTATTAGGCACCGTGGGCTACGGACTGCATAAATTTCGGGGGACAAAGGAGCTCCTTAGTGGGACCTACGATGCATATCAAGGTGTGTCGCCTCGTCTCTTCCGTCGTCCAGTATCCCTTATTTGCTTCTGCGTGAATCAAGCTGTGATAGGTGCCTACTATATGGATGACGAAACAAAGCGCAGGCTTCATCGTGACGTAAGTATGGGCAGTATTATCCTCGCCAAGGATTCGACGGGTCAGATTCGGCAGGGGTACCTCATACATTGGGAACTGTCCTGTCTGGTGAACAATAAAGGCCGGCCTCGCGATTACAGAAGAACGGTGCGTTAACGTGATGCATGTTGATTATCTGAGCACCTACTCAATAGCGTCCTCAGGGCGCCTTTCAATTTATCTCACAACGCACGCTGACACCTGGTGTGGCACATACGATTCAAGATGACATGGAGTCGATGCTCTGGGTCGTACTCTATTGCAGCATCCTATGGCTGGGGCACAATCGGTCGCCACGTAGTGTTCTCCTCACCTTGGAAAGCCTTTTCGACCAGCATTTGTCTGACGAAGATGGCAGCATCAGCGGTGGCGCTGGCAAGCTGGTCAATCAACATGATCAACGGTACACCGACAGAATTCGCTTTTCGAACCCGACAATCCAGAGATGGCTGGATACGGTCATGAAGTTCAATTCATCCTACCTCAATGCCCAGCAGCACAATGTGGAGTCAGCCATGGTTTGGGAGGATCCTAAAGCGTTCGACAAGTTCTGGAAGGATTTCATAGCTAACAACGACTTGGCTGAAGACGATAGGGTTGATCGGCCGCTACCTCCTAATCAAGTGCCTCGTAATGGTCAACCTAACCCCCCGCCACTCCCTGCCACTAGAACAATGACTGCGCTTTTCAGGGATGTCACACTTAAAAGCCTAATCACTCCTGGAATGAAGCGAAAGGCGGAAGGTGACCCCGTCGGCGCTGAGCGGCAAGGTTCGAAACGCGGCTGTGTCTCAGGACCAAGTGGACCTATGACGCGAGCAAAAGGAAGGGCAGAAGCGCAATCCATGCGTACCGAATTGCAAGTTGTGAAGGGCAGTTCTTTTCCTGCATTCCGTGGACCTGTGGCACAAGCTAGAGCAAGCAAAAAGGCTGGCAATTCACGACAGCGACGTGCAGACAAGTAGAGTCAAATCGGTGCAAGAAACAGAGGAGGTTACCACTGATCGTGCTCAAAGTGTACTACGTCGGGAAAACCGTTCCTTCGCCGCAGGAATGTGAGAAAACGACGAAGTAACCTCTAGACGCCGCCTTCTACTGCAATTTTTGTAACTTATCTATGTTGTTACTCCATTTCTGTTCCCTCGTAGTACTGGTGTTGTTATAAGTAACCAATCTATTTGGATTTCCTGGCAATCTGGCATATCAAGCACTTCAGAGTGGATTGCTTAGGTTGCTAGTACGCGCTGAATCCCAGTGAAAACGTTGAATTTTAAGGTCGAGTGGCATCAAATGAGCCTGCGAATCCCACGAGTGAGGTCGAATTAGATCGAATGAGTGGCGGCTATGTCTAACTAGTTTTGATGAGCGTGTTGAACACGATTGTCCGGCACATGCATATGCCAGTGCATCGCGTCCTGTCGTATCCCGTCGTATTGGGCTACAGCCCATTGCCTTCTGTCTTTCCCTAGTAGCTCCTGGGCCCATGCCAGTTCTGCCGCTCCCTTCAAGTTGGCGCCCACAAGTCTTCCCACGTGAACAGTATGCCATCAAGTTCATTTCTCTTAAGTCTTCCTTCTTGCGTCTTGCATGTGCCTCCACCGAGGGATCCTGCGACCTGGCTTCTTATGCCCTCCTAGTCTGTTTTGATGCACACCCTCCTACGTCAACAAGACCTCGACAACTGGCGCGATAACTATGCTGGGTTTGAGGTGAGTGCCTCTACCTGCCACGTAAGACGTACGTCCATAGGTGAGTTTGGCGGGGATAGAAGCTAGCTCGCCGTTTACCAGTGGTGAAGTGCAGGTGGCAGACTGTGAAAGCCCGGCCCCCACTTGCCGGTGCTGCGAGTGCTGCAGGTCTGATGAGTGAATGCGATGTCGAGGAGTGCGGGCGGGAAGCGCTGCGGCAATGCTACGAAGTCCGCGTCGAAATTCCGGCAGTTAAACAGTGCGCCCCACCTTCTTGATTTCACACCTACCACTAGCGCTGATGCACGATCCCACTTGCAGTTGAAGTGTAGCTTGGACGGCGACACACCTACTTCGGCTCATGTGCAGTCTCACGACCTGATTATTTCTGAAGTATGTCACATGGATGTTTGCATGATACCTTGTGCTGATCAGGTCAACTCCAGCAGGTGGACATTTGTGATATGAAGGTTTTGCATCCGCGCTTGTTGGAGCATCTAATTTTCTCGCAGCAAAGGGAACATGTCGGGCGGCACTCCGAGGGTTTTTGCGATGCGTTGTGGACCCCACCAGATTCAGTACGGCATTCCAGGATGTGTACTGGTCTTCAACCGGTATTTCTCGTGCAGCTCGTATTATAGTAATGAATAAATAAATTGTATTTGATCCCGCCGTACAACAGTGTAGTGCACCCATTAAGACCATATTCGATGAGACTCGATGAGATTCGACGGCTCGCAGCAAGGGCTGGGAAAGGCCGTCTAACAACATCGATTGCTATAGAATGTTCGCAGCTTGGTTGACCACATTCGATCACATTCAATCTCAAACGTTTCAGTCTCATTTTTTCTGCTGAGATCGAATGCCATCGATGGACAGCGAATACTCCGCCATCATTCGCTAGGAATCGACCTCAAAATTCGACGTTTTCACTGGGGCTGAATATTGAATGCCCGAGCGCTCTACTGTGGCAACGGCTGTCCACGTGATCGTGGCGCGGTTTAGCAGTCGCCACTTCCAAACAATCACGTACTGTTACAACATACACCACTTCAGCGACCTCCAACAACGTCACCAGCTTCTACGCGTCCCCCATTTCTACCTTTTACCTTGCGGAGAACATCATGGTGGCCACACCCCTATCAAAAAACGACCCGAAGTACAATGTGTGGCAGCAGAAGGATTTCGACCACCACGACATCCGAAGACACTACCGCCAATACGCAAACTCAGCCCAAGGATTCATTCTTGGACCGATGCCTGTCGACGAGTTCCTAGAGTTTCTACCAGAGACGGATATGTCGAACATGCCGCGTCCCGTCAATGCTTTCAACAAGGTGCCGGCAGAGGCGAGAACGGAACAGCAGATCTATAAACCGTTGGTGGGTCGGTTTCGTTTTGTGTACTGGAGTTTCAAATGCTGATGAAGTCACAGATTGCGGCAATTAATGGCACCAGAACGAGGAGCCGAAAATCTCAGCGTCGCTGTCCTGGATTCACGTTCAAAGACACGGCCACGTCTGGTGCAGAGCTTGGGGATATAGGCTCGATGAATGCCCACGTCTCTTGTTATTCACAGGACATTAACGACTCTCACTTGACCTCGGCTGGCCCTCTTGGCTGCGCTGACTTGTACATCGACGTACAGCGACACCCCGGCTTGGACCCATTTACAGATCCAGGTCCTGAGGATGACCGTTCCGAACACGCCTTTTTTCAGACCCCCGGTGACCACCGTGCTCGTAAGGAGGCCGAAGAAGCATTCGGCAGGAATGTTGCATGCGCCACCGAAGCGTGTTCCCGTCAACACCGCGCTTTCTATTTCTCGATTTCACTGGCTGGATCTCGTGCTCGATTCCTAAGGTGGGATCGATGCGGGGTCATCGCCTCCGAATCTTTCGACATCCGCGTCCAACCGGAGCATCTCTGCGAGTTTCTCTGGCGGTACGCCCACGCTTCGAGTTCGCAGCGCGGGTATGACGTTTCCGTCGAGGCTGCGACCCGAGAGGAGGAAGAACTCTTCAGAGATTGCATCGAACGTCACGTCAAATTCCAGCTGGATCCCGACGATGAAGAGTTGGTCGTCGCCATGGAGGAGCACTACCAGCCAGGTGCCGTAGTGGCGATCAATGTCGTTGACGAGGGTTCCCCCGACTGTGTGGCACATCGATTACTTGTATCCCGTCCGGTGGTTTCGCCTGTGTCGTGGACGGGTAAGGGAACAAGGGGATTCTGGGCTGTCACCGCCGGTAGTCCGAGAGGGGAAGTAGTGTTCCTGAAGGACACATGGCGACATAATGTCGAACATATGAAGGAGGGCAACATCCTGGCGGACCTCCATTCTGCTGGTGTGCCGAATATACCCCGATTAGTTCATCATGGTGATGTCTGGGACCAGCTGCCGGTTTCAAGCGGAAGGGGCGACGGTGAGAGCGATCTCACATACACGCGCGACGAAACGACAGGTTTGCTTTCAGGCTTATTATCTCGACTGGATCGACTGACAAGTATGGCATAGTTTTGCAGAATACACAGACGGACCGATTTAGACACGCTACTTGGGTGTGTACAGGTGGAGAAAATCACAAATTGCCGCCTCCCCTCGTACACTATCGACTTGTCTTGGGGACGGTTGGATATCCATTGCAGCGATTCAGAGGGACGAAAGAGCTCCTGCATGCTACATACGATGCGTATGAAGGTGCGCAACGCTATGTCTTCAGTGCAGAATTTTGCTCATTCTCTTGCACACGTTGAAAGCCATGGTGGCCGCCTTTCACGCAGAGCCGGGAAAAAGAAGGCTACACCGTGACATAAGTGTAGGTAACATTATCCTTTCTAAGGATCCCCACTCGGGCGAGAACATCCGGCGCGGTTATCTGATCGATTGGGAATCTTCCTGTTTGATAACGGAAGGAGAGGCTTGCGACGGTTTAAAGACGGTGAGATTTATTTCGACATGTTTCAATCATGCGGAGACTCATTCATGATAGGGCACCGTTCAATTCATGTCGCAGCGCCTTCTAAGTTCAAGTTCCGAGTCCGTCTCTCATACGTTCCAAGACGATATGGAATCCATGCTTTGGGTGGTACTATATTCCAGCCTTCTATGGTTAGGGCACGATAAATCACGAGACGCTCTTGTTGCCATCCTCTTCCAACTCTTTGATCGCACCTGGATCGATTCGGATGGTATTCTCAACGGTGGCGATGCCAAATTCAGCAATCAATTTAGTCAGGAGTTCACTCGCAGGATTCACTTTTCGAACCCGGTGTTTCGGGAATGGCTGGATGCCGTCATCAAATTCAATTCATCGCATGTTTTGCAACGTCCGCAGGACATGGAATCAGCCATGGTATGGGAAAATCCTGAAATGTTTGGGAAATTCTGGAAGGATTTCCTTAGTACTCACGAGCTATCCAACGATGATCGGTTTCCACGCAAGCTATATCCCCGCGGCACCACCTGGCGCCGGTCGTCGTCCTCCACGCTCTCGTCGACCTCATCGACCTCCGGGACCGCGCATCCTGTACCTGTGGTATTGCCTTCACGAAAGAGAAAGGCGGCCGACGCCATCGTTGCAGATTTGGACAGGACGACCAACTCCCGAGTGCCTGCAGTGCCTCGTGGAAATTACACAGGACCTATCACACGCTCGATGGCGAAGCGGAGACAGGTCGAAGGCCAAGGACAGGGCGTTGTAGCGGGTGGCTCGGATCTGCCGATACAGCCTCAATGGAGCCCTCGACGTTTGAGGCCTCGTCCAGCGAAGGTCGATAATACGAGCCTTGCGCGACAGGGTCGCAAAGTTGGCCAGTCGAAGAAATGAATATTTGCGTACGACAAGGTTGTTTTCCGCGCCTCTGGGTCGCGGTACTTTCTCGTGCTCTCTATGTTGCATCAGAGGACTGTGCTCTTCTATCTACGAGTCCCTGGCAATCTGTAGATGATATATATTCAGTAACTTAAATTCTCATTCCCGATCATTCATTGCCTCGTCTTCTGTTCCTTTCCGTTTCGACGCGGGAGTGTGGCCGTGGTTGGTACTCATCATCCTGAATTGATTCTACTCCAGTATTGTATCCTATCCTTACATAGTTAGTTCTGCATAAAATGTATTTTTTTGATTACTGCATAACGTACTTATCAATGTTGTTTGCCTTGGCTGGATTCTGAGGCCCAGCTTTGTTTGTGGTCGGCGCCCGTCATCTGTGACTTGAATGAGCGCTTCAACTTCCCCATGGAACCGACTTCAGCAACCTTCAAGTATTCCCTCTTGATTTTCAGATCTCGGTTTCACCACTTCCCATTCCGGATAGAAAATGGTAGCTACACCCCTCGTTAAGAGTGACCCTCCGCCAATGCTTTCAACATGTGCCGGGTCAAGTCTATTAATAGTGGTAGCGTCACGTTGGCACGTGCTCGTGATTAACGCGAGATGAGTCACGCTGATGCGGCTGGGTAGCCGTTGCATTTCGGAAGACCAACCCACCCTGCGTGCTAGAATACGGGTGAGTACATATTGCATTCCTATATATTAGCCATAATATTTCTATGGTCATTGATGGGCACTCGTTCTCCTCTTTGATCGGTTCCAACTGGACCTTCGCAGATCCCACTTCGGGTGTCCCATCGTCATCGTGTGCATCCCCTGCGCCGTCCTCGACAATGCCTTGCCAATGTTTACTCCACGATCTTCCTCCGAGTTCAACGCTCTAACTACTTACTGGTGACCTCCCTCCCATTCGCATTGTATTCTGCCTCCAACTTGTACAACCTGCTGGTCGACTCGATTTTCTATCGGGCTCGCAGCATTATCGTGTGATTGGTTGGCGTGCCGTAGGGCAGAAGGAAGGATACTGACCATGGATGCGAGTATCGGATCTGCCGGGTGCGTCGTTCGATATCAAACGATAGACAAAGGTGAGTCATTAGGTTGCCAAGTTGAGCGGTTGGTCAACTTATCGCCTTCGCTGGCAGTCTGTCCGCAAGTTTTTCAGACCATCCATCGATCTGCATTCTGCTGGAATGCGTGCAAACAATGCAGTATGCCTACATAGGGCCAAAGATCTTACCTGTGCAACTGACAAAGTCTCAGTCGCCTGCAGGTACAGAAAGACCGGTAAGAATCTGCCACATGGATCGATACTTGAAGTAGTCTTGGGAGAAACACAATGAGGCCCGTACTTTGTTGCTGAGAACCTCAACATAGAAAACTAAGATGAAGATGCACTGTGTACTAACATCCTCGTCTCGCGGCTTCCTCGCAGCAGGCTTTCGACTCATTGCAGAAACAGAGATGTCCGCTTTGATCAAGATATATGGAGCCGTCAAGCAGGTATCTGCAAAGACTGACGAGGTTGACTTCATTGTGGTTGAACCTGGTGGAATCCCGATTGGTGAGAATGATCAATTTGAGCGACGAGCAACGTGTGTCTTCACCATATGGAGATCAGCACTGAGCAACAATTACAAAGCATCGTCGAGCCAGGAGCCTGGAGATGATGACAGGGCTGAGGATGATGGTAGCCTACTTTTCAATGCCAAGAAACTGAAATCTACTAACGCCGACTTACCTGCTCCCACTCTGAAATTCAGGGAAAAAGTATTTATTTCGACTCTGGCGTGCTTCATAGGTACTACACTGCGAGACCTCTGGTCGACCAGCAATGAGAAGATCGCTCGAGTGTCGCGATGCATCTGAGATGTCACTTACATGGAACTGAAGATTGTCTACAGGGTCACCCGCGATGATATTGACTGTGAGCTACAGAATTCCGAGCCAGTTGCCTCGAACGCCCACAGGCAAAGAAGCCCTGCCGTCCTCGTCCACCGCTTGAGCATCGGCTACGTGGGTTTGCCCTTCTGACTGCCGCCCTCGTGACCGCTGCTGGAAGAAAGCGAAAGGCCGTACGCCATCCGGTCGGTGCGAGCATGCTGGAGAAGAAGTGCAGGACTGTGCTGCTGCCGCTCGTTTACATGGCCGTGGTTCGGGGTAGGATGGGCTTACCGGTCGGATGTCCTTCGACTGAGATCTGGGATCCACATCTCAGCGAATTTACCCATAGAAAAGTGTCCAATGAAGTCATCTGTGCTATGTGTACAAGTGCACAGACGAAAATCAGGGCCTGAACAGCATCACAAAACCAGGTTCGAGTTCGACGATGGTACAGAGCAGACGTAGATGCAAAACCGAAGACTGAAGTAGCAAGACGGACTACCGACATGCGTGCACCTCACGTGCACTGCGTGCCCTTCCTCTTCGTCAACAAGAACCTAGCCAGGAAGATCACCGCAGAGCCTGCCAGGACGATGACCTACGCGAAATCAGACCGGAATGTCCTCAGGGCACGCACACGAAATCGCCGTATTTACCCCGCTGAATATGATAAACTTGTACCAAGAGGTACCGGCTCCCACTAACGCGCCATCGATCGGCGTCCCGGTCAACATGGCAAACACAGTGATAAAATATGCCATACCGAGTCGGACGCTGCAGCAACAAATTTACCGCCGGTCTCGCCGTTCCACGATGAGACGTGCACAAAAAGGACACGCACACCATTTCACTCATGTCCCTTGTCAGAGTGGCGATGGTGGGCGCAAACAGAGCGCCACCTGCAGGAATAGTCACCAGACTCACTCGAGTACCGGCGTGAAGTGATAAAAAAATCACCACTCACAAGCTGCAGAGAAGAACCCGTGAAGGATGGCTCAGCGAACACGATGACGGTACCGACGGACGTCGCGCTGAACATGACGAACATGAGTGCGCTGCTGAAGAAGGTGATTGGAACGAGTACGTTGAACTGGCCGACGTAGTCTGCAGCCACGTTCGGAATGATCCGTCCAAAAATTGACCCATTCAGGATAGAGATCTGAGTGGACGACCAACGGCTCTGAGATCCTAACGCAGTGATTTTTCAAAGGTGGCACGTACAGAATAGAAGCCTAACGTGCTTGAGAGCCCCTGCTCGTTGATCCATAGCTGTATATATAAATCTGGTCGGAGAATGGGCAGTGCACCACACTGTGTTAAAGGAGACTCACAGGGGAAGAACACGCCCCATAGGACCAGGAAATTACGGTGCTGGTCGCCGAGCCAACGACGAGAAGGCGCCCGAAGTAGAATCGCTCACCCGAACACAGGTAGCACATGTGCGACGTCAGTGAATATCATCAGAAACTCCGGTTTGGGGGAAAGTCCGCTAGCTTTGGCGGTTGGGAGACAGGTGGTCATAACGCAGTTAGCAATGATCAAGAGACCGGGTGTAGGAAACGCAGCAGCACGCACGCCCCATGCGAATCCCACAGCAATATGAAAGAGCTGGTTCAGCATGATTGGGTAGATAATGCCACCAAATCCAGAACCTGAGGATGACAAGTGGGCTTCGATAGCTACAGAATATGAAACGAAGAGACATCATGCGCACCCGTCGCCACGATTCCCATAGCGAGCGAATGCCGTCTCTTCCAGCGGTGAGCCTGTATAGAGAAAGCAGAGGAGTAGCCCACTGCCGAGGCCCATGCCGACACCCTGAGCGAGGATGAGTAACATTTGAGAAAATCGGCCAAGGAGAGCATGAAGATGCTGTAGGAGATCAGTGTTTGAAGTGAGCGAGGAAGATGGTGGGTGCTAACGAGAAGACATAGAATACAGTGCCGAAGACGGTGGTGGCATGAAAGTACCCCGAATCAAAGAGCTTGCCCGCCGGAAGGCCGACCGAGAACAGCAGGAAAAGCTGACAGAGAAGATACTGAGAGGTGAGTGGCACATGCAGGGAACCAATCCAACTGACGTTGGACGAAGTTGGGGCGCCGGCGAATGTGAAGTAGAAACGAACGGCATAATATGCCATATAGAGGACGCGCCCTCCGAGGACAGAGAGCCATGCTCGAAAACCGCCGTCGGATATGGAGATGAATCCGTGCTGTGGGGTGGAGGGTCTATAGACTGAACAATTTGCTGGGAGGGTTTGAACTCTTGGATTGCGGAATCCGTGTCGTCGGGAATGACGGCAGTGCGCCGAAGGAGATATTAAGCCTGAGAGGTGTCGAACGCAGCCGCGCGGCTGGGGGTCATCATGCCAGCTGGCGCCAGGCGGTGAAAAGCAGAGGCTCAAGGCCCGGTGGGCGCCACCAGGCCAGGATGGCCCCTGCCTTCTAGAGAAAGGTGGAATTTGTCAAACCGGAGGTCCGAGCAATGATGGAATTCACTTACCTTGCCATGATCCAGAAGAGAGTGTTGACTGCATCCGCGAATTATGAGTCCCCTCCCTCACTCATAGGGATCATTTTGTAGTCTGCCTACGGGAGACTATCCGCCAATTCAGCGTCGGGCACTCAACATTCGCGTTAACGCTCATCGCGATTGGCTAGCACCGATCGATCCTTGCCGGACCGGTGCCACCGTGCCACATATACATTTTGTGTCGTATTCTCGGAATTTCACTAATCATTCCCAATTTTGAGATGCTCCAGCTAGGTGCAACAACTCGGTGTTCCTGAAATTTGAAGGCCAATAATATACAGGTAAACTGCCAGACAACTGATACTCCACCACATTACAACCACCCGTATACATATCCGTGCGTACCCGGTTCGACTCGTCAGACGAGGGACTGCGGCTTCTGATACGTCTCGCCTAGCTCGATGGAGGATCGGACGACCTTGAGTTGCGCGACAGAGTTCCTCTCGTCGACGACACCTCCGGTGTTGTCACTGATATTCGTGGTATGCTGGAAGATTTCGATGGGCTTCTATGAGGGCGTGAGCACCATACACTACACTCCCGAATCCGAAGTGAAGAATGGTACCATCGTTTTATGGTCCGTCTGCGTGCCTTGGCGTCTCGAAGGCCCTAGCTCGATAGAATTGGAGTTATATTCCTGGGCAGAGTGCTCTCCACGGCTCCTAAGCTTCCTTGCGTTCAATCTGAAAATAGCGAATGAGTTTGCCTGCTCAGACAAGGTAGGGAGTCACACACGTTGCCATGAAGGAATTGGCATACACTGCGAATGCCATTAATTCATGAAAGCGATTTATCATGCAAGGGCAGACGCACGCTTGCTCTGGACCTCCACCAGACCAGCGAATAGGAGACTGTTCTTGAGAAAGACGAACTAGATACTGTGTGAGCACGTTCCGTGGATGATACAACCTGGATTCTCACAGTAAGCACAATGGAGAAAGATACTGCCCTAGAAGCGAAAGAAAGGTCAGAATTTTTGAAGGCCCCAACACGTGCAGGAAATAGGCAGTCACACGGTGAGTGCACCCGTGCTGACGAGGTATGTAATCAAGGATCGAATAATGTGGTCCGTTCTGGGAGCCATTGAGCAATTCTCTCCGACAATCTAATAAGGGGAACATACCGTTCAAAGCCTGTCCTACTGTGCCATAGGTAGTATATCGATCCCACTGCTATAATGAGATCAACAAAGGCAGCAAGGCTGATGCCACACGTGAGAGTGAACTACGGAAGAAATACAAGGTTATACCAACCACCGTAAGCATCAAACGATCAGATTCGGGTTGAACTACGCACAAGAGGCCCGACATTGCTCCGAAATTCGCTCCAGGTTGGAAGACGGTACCTTAAGATCAAATATTACTCCTCTAGGTGACAATGACGGCAATGGAAAGGAGGGGACGGACAAGAGAGAAGCAGTAGCTTGTATCGTTAATTGGTAAGAATCAGAATACTCCACGGAAACGGGTCAAATTTACCAAGTCCGAATGCTACAAACATTGGCTCAATAGCTTGATCCTGGCTAAATGACGCATGACGCACCAACACGAACAAACAGCAGGACAGCCTGTGAATAATAGTTAAGAAATAATTCGGCGCACAGATATAGAAGCGCACCGGGATAGCAGTAATCAACTTAGATCGTCGGCTCACTGTCATCTTAGTGTCAATGAAAGGGAGACGACGGTCTCATGAAATGCGGCTCTTACAGATCCAGATACGGTGAATGAAGAACCTGGTCGAGTCAGATCAGTAGGAGTATTTCAGCGGGAGAAGGCAACGCACGTCTGTACCATAGCCGCTATAAGTACCTGCACCAATGAGGTCTCAATTTAGAACCTAGTGTCGAGAACGATGACAAACATACCGCTAACATGACTGTAACCTGTACATGTGTGAATCAGACGTGGATCGACAGAGGATCCACCACACTTACTCCAGCACTCCTAGAGTGTCGCGGCTACAAGTGAGTGATAGAGGGATGCATTTAAAATTATTAGGACTTACCATATAATATGCGCGACAGCGGGCACGTCTCCAAAGTCGACAATCGTGTACTGAGTAATCATCTTCACACACATACAAGTGTGGACAGTTTCCAGCACCCTGGCATAATTGAAATTCATCATGCCAACACCACTCTAATCAGCAGAAAACCTATCTCACCAAACAAGTAAAACTGTACTACGAATCCACACAGAGTCATTTGCGAAGTTCATCCAATAGAAGTACACTTGTGCAGTTGCGATCCCATATAGACTGAGGGGAATCTCAGCGTTAGTTCGCACCAGCCGGAAAGCCGTTACTTACAAGATAGCGACAAACACCTCCACTAGAAGGCCTTCTAGCAACTCTTCTATAATCGTGGCCATGCCGGATGCTGGAACGATGAGGGCAGTAATGGTGGAGTTGGTTGCGATGACCATAATTCGGGCTTGTCGAATTTAAGGCCAGAACTGCTGATCTGTCCATCATGATAGACCTGTCCAAAAGTTAAGCTGTGTGAATCATCGTGGCGCTGCTCTTACCCAAACAAGTATGGTGATCTCGCACAACAACTATTGTCAAGTACCACCTACCGAACAACTTAAAGCAGGAGAAATCGTACTACTGAGGATACAGAGACGTATTGATTTCGCGGTTACCAGGCACCTTCAGACTGCAGAACTGCGGTATCGCAAGAAGTGACGGTGAGACAATCAGCAACTATACAGTAGGTTCTACCCTTGTGATTCGCAAGAGTCAGAAGCGGAGGTGCTGTTCTAGGCCCCTATCGCGAAGCCTGTTTGACGCCGGTCTGGCACATTGCAATACTGGTATTGCAAACATGTGGACGAAGAAGAAGCATAACAGAGACAAAGTTGTGTACCTGAACTCGTACCCTGAGAGCGTTCCCAGACCATGATCCATTCTTTTTAGATGTTTTTAACACAGGATATTAATTGAACGGGCACGAACCTTAGCATCAGATGTTCGAGATATGACAATCGTGACGATCCTTCATGGTTTTTTCTTGATGATCCTAAGAAGGCCCATCAACGGCGTGGGAGTCACCAAGCTGTTGCTTACCAACGCACTGTCACGCTCACTGCTTGCCGCTCAGAATCAGAGCTTTAGACTGACACCAATCTTTTAAGGGTCTGCACATTATCCGAAATCCAAGATAATGACCATTGGGAAAGGGACGCTCGGCACTGGCTGGAGTATCTCGGCACTGGGTGGTATCGCATCTATCCTTAAAATTATCATGGAATCGGTCCAATAAATCGAACCTGCACGTTTCACAAGGACTCTAAATATCCTGAGTTAGAATACTCTCGCGAAGCCAAGAGTGGCTTCGGGATTCTAAGATGATCCAGATATGAGCAAAACGGAAGAGCAGCGTGGGCTACTAGACTCACCAGTTCTAACTACGAATCAGAGCAAGAAGGGTTCTGACCGGGGTTCGGCCATCGCAAATAACATGTCAAAGGAGGTTTGATACATTCGTGGTAACTACCTGCTCTTCCATTTATAGGATACCAGCATGGTGGTTCCAAACCTTATATCGAGGTTCTGAAAGCGCTGCGGTCTCCCGCTGCCTTCTTCTGAGTCATATGCTGAGCAGCTGGTCACCAACGTACATTAATTCGGAAACAGGTCGACGTGAACGATCCCATCGCACGTCGGATGAAAGCGGTCTGTGATGGTCATTGAAATACGACGGCGTGGTGGAATTCGGCCTTGAGTAATGTCCGTCGACTACGGCAAGAACGGATGAGTGAGAACAACTATCTTTTGTGCACAGACCCGGATGCGTTGCCGTTGAACATTAATGAATGATCAGTAGAATGGCGCCACGTGCACGAACTTTCTAAGCCTCCCGCTTGCCGCAAAGGGCGCACACAATAATATGGTCCATTCGTCCGTAAACGCCAGACGACCTGGGCGGACGATAGAAAGAACCTTCGGGGATGACTCCGTGAGTCTATCAAGTCACTGACACATAGAGCTACTTATAATAAGCATGCGCAATGCAAGAGCAGTCCTCGTCCGCCATGTCTCAGTCAAGCTTTCTCCCCCCACTCGACGGCAGCATCTCCGTCGTGCCAGGCTGCCTCGACTTCCAAGTCGAGCATAACCCGGATCATCCGTGCTTCATCTTTCCAGATCCTGAATGTGCCTCTGTCTCCTTCAAGGACTTCGCCCATGCCACACACCGTGTTGCACATATTCTTCGCCCGAATCACGCTGGTCCCGACCGCGCAGTCGTCGCACTGATCATACACTGTGACACACTTCTGTACGAAGCTGTGATGGTCGGTCTCATCCGCGCGAGCCTCGTCCCGTTCCCCATGTCGCCCCGTAACTCCGCTGCAGCGATTGTTAAGATGCTGAAAGGGACAGATTGTCATCGCATCGTGCACCATGCGCCCTTCATTTCCCTCACTGATGCTGTGCGTGCGGCTCTCCCGGAAACGTATAATCTACAATTCGACGTTCTTCCTAATCTATCGGACATCTTCCCCTCGTTCGCGTCTCCCTCGGCTGGACTCTTCTCCTCTCCTGAGCCCTACTCCACGTGCACAGATACTCCTATCTCCAGGCCGCATGAGCCTGTTCTCTACCTCCATTCCTCCGGATCGACTGGCTTCCCGAAGCCCATCCCGCAGTCGCAGCTTTCCGTTCTTCATTGGGCTTCTGCACCTTACTCGGTTGAGACGCGTGCACGTGGCCTGCGTTGGGCATCACCCGCCCTTCCCCCTTTCCATACCATGGGCGTCTGCATGCAGCTCTATGCACCACTTGCGTCGGGCCAGCCTGTCGCACTTTACACCCCACGCTCCCATCTGAATTTGCCACCTCCAGTTCCTACTACACAGAACGTACTGGACGTTGTCCGGCGCACAAAGTCGTCCAGTATCGTTCCCGTTCCTTCTTTTCTCGAGGCGAGTACGGTACCGCACCACTTCACACAATGTCTTCCACTGATCGGATTAATACTACAGGAATGGGCACAGAATGAGGAAGATGTAAAGTTGCTTGCATCCCTAGAGGTCGTGGTACGTCCGTTCATCCCGCAACTAATCGCAAGATCATTTAGTTGTCATTTCAAGTGCTTCGCAGGAGGTCCCCTCTCCAATCATAACGGCGACAAGCTCATTGCCGCTGGTGTGAAACTTTTCGCTGCCTATGGTGGTACGGAGTTTGGTCCCACCACTCGATTTTTGGACACCATTGAAGATTCACCTAATCACCCCGACACCGTCAAGACCGGAAAGACTCGAAACGAATGGTCCTGGATGGCCTTTCCAAGTGAGTACAATCTCCGCTGGGTACCGCAAGGTGACGGAAGCTACGAGTTAATTTTTATGGTGTGTTCCTTACTTTTCTGCCGGACAATTTGACCGCGATTGCTAATTCTTTCTGGTACTTTTACCGTTTCAGACATGCGCTACTCATCAGCCCAGCATCGAGAACATGTCTGGTGGAGAGCGGGGTTATGCTACGGGTGATATTTGGGAGCCGCATCCGACGAAGCCTGGACTATGGCGCATGTTCGTATCTGTGCTTACTTTACTGATCCTCCCGTCTGTGTACTGATGTGTACTTTCTGCTTCAGTACTGGACGGGCCGATGATTTGATCGTCCTCGGCAATGGTTAGTGTCCTTCCGGTAGCTGTTCTTAGTTGGCGCTTTTCATAATCCTTCGTGTGTAGGCGAGAAGTTTGTACCCGTTGCACAAGAGGGCCACATCATGGCGCACCCTAAGGTTATGGGCGCAATGATATTTGGTCGTGGACGCACGCAGGCCGGCATCATTGTCGAACCACGTGGCTTTGCCGTATCTCCTGGAGATGAGGACGCTTTGTCGAAGTTCAGAAATGTGGTTTGGTGAGTTGCGATGCATGGGGCGTCTCGGCACACTGATCAAGTGTTCTTTGGTCGCAGGTCGCAGGTTGAAGAAGCTAACCACGCCGCTCCCCCTTTCGCAAAGATCTTCAAGGAGACTATCATATTCACGGATCCAGATCGTCCCTTCCCTCGTGCTGCAAAGGGCACTGTTCAGCGCAAGCAGGCCCTGACACTCTATGAGGCGGAGATTGAACAACTGTGCGTGAAGGCGCTCAATTAGTGTCCCATATCGTGAAGGTCTCTGAACCGTGTGTCCTCCAGGTACAAAACTATCGAGGATAGCTCAGATGCTCACGGTATTGTCCCTCCATCTCACTGGACTGTACCTGTTGTGCAGGCGTGGATGGTTGAGCACGTCAGTCAGCTCAGCGGAGGGATTGCACCTACGCCTACTACCGACCTCTTCGAACACGGCTTTGACAGGTATGTCTCGCAATATCCTTGTGCCTATCGTACCGAACATATAATTTGATCCACTAGTCTGAGCGCTACGTTCCTGAGAAATCGCATCATTGGTGCTCTACGCTCATCTCACGAGCCTGCAGCCAATGCGGCTGCTCTGCACGTGCACTCCAACTTCGTCTTCAATCACCCATCGCTTGTCGAGCTTTCCGCCGCCGTTGTCGCTCTTGTGCACCCCTCTCATGACAACGCGTCCACCTCCACTGCCGACGAGTCCGCAGCGGATATCGAGGCATTGATAGCGAAATACACAGCTGTCCTGCCTGAACCCACCCCCGCTGGAGCCAAGCGAGAGAGAGGTAAGGTCGTACTGATAACAGGGACGACTGGTGCTCTTGGTGCACACATCCTTGCGTTAGTCCTAGCAAACCCTGCTCTGCAGCATGTCTATGCACTCAATCGTGGTATTGGAGTCGCTGAGCGACAGCGTGCAGCTTTCGAGGCGGCTCTACTACCCGTCAAGCTTCTTTCAGATAGTAAGCTTACGCTCCTGGAAGGGAACATTATGCGGGAAGATCTTGGACTTGAGTCAGCTATGCTCGACGAGGTGCGTATGTTAGACCGAAATGCGACATTAATTCACGCCTCGTTTCTGCAGGTTCGCTCGTCCGTGACGGACATCGTGCACAATGCGTGGCGAGTCGACTTCAATCTATCGCTCTCGTCCTTCCAGGGTCATATCGCCGCGTCTGTGCGCCTCGCGACTTTTGTGCCCGGCGCCCGTTTCTTCTTCACATCCTCGATCACTGTCGCGCAGTCGTGGAAAGCATTGAAAAGCAGCCGTGTCCCAGAGGAACCTCTAGGTGATCCTGCGGTGGCGGTAGGTATAGGCTACGGAAGTTCCAAGTTTGTGGTCGAAGAGGTTTGCAGATCTAAATGCGCACATTCTTTCAGATTAATGATCCTGCATACCCAGGTCCTGGAGAATGCGCGCAAGGTCGGGTTTCCAACAACCTCCCTCCGGATTGGCCAGATCTGCGGGTCCGCGGACACTGGCGCGTGGAACACATCTGAGTGGGTGCCGAGTCTTGTCAAGTCGAGCATTTCGCTCGGGTGCCTTCCTCGGATGCCGGGGGTATGTTTTATTATTCTCACGTCCCCTATCACGATCTCGACCATGGTTTCAGGTGGTGGACTGGATTCCCATGGATTCAGTTGCTCAAGCTACAGTGGATGTAGTACTTAGCGTCTCTGCGCCGGCAGTTGTGAACCTCGTGCACCCTCGTCCGGTGGAGGCATCCTCGGTGTTTGATAACCTCAACGAAGAGCTCGGGCTGCAATTGCCCTTCGTCCCTCTCTCGGACTGGGTGCAGAAACTAGAGAACGCCGCCCAGAACGCATCGGCGAAGGATCTGGAGATAATGGTGAGCACTCCGCTTCGAAGCACGCGACATCTTAGCCTGACTGGAACCGCGCATTTCCTATGTCGTGCAGCCCGCTATCAAACTGCTCGAGTTCTTCCGTAGTCTGGCGGCGGGGCAGGCATCCAAGGCTAGCAGCCTGGGCGCCGATGACCCTGTCTTCGATACCTCGAAGGCGCAGAGCGCGAGTGCAACAATGGCTAGGCTTGGTGCGCTGGGAAAGGCTGAGGTCCATGCATGGGTGAAGTTCTGGAAGGGCCAGAACTTCCTCACTTGATCAAGCATTACTGACTGTCTTCCTGGATGCTCGCGTTGCGTGTTAATGCGTTTGTACTGTGGATACGAATTTGACGATGTGCTCACATGTACCACTGGCAGCTACGTACAATGAATGGGTTTTGTGGTCTTATGTACAATATACATGTGTTGTCGTTTGCGCTTAGTTCACCGTAACAAGCCCGCCTGACATAGTGGCACTTTCCAGTACACCCAATTATTGCTCCACCGTGACCGACTAAGTATCGCTCAATCAATTCCATTAGTTGCGCACTGGCAATCTGGCATGTCCCTCCCCCGCTGAGCGCGTTTCCCCTCGCCGTGCCCGGTTAACATTTATTAATCATCATTTAGACATCTATGTTTGGAGCTGCAAAGTGAGTCGCTCGCTCGAATTCATTCCATTTGTTTTATTAACTGGCCCCAAACGTGCATTGAGTCCGTGGGTCTCTATTTTGCGTGTTAGTGTTCAATGAACACGCTCGTAGATGCTTCGCCACATGCATCTGCTCCGGAATGTCAAAAAGAGATGTCTGCACCTTCTCTACCTAAGATCTTTGTCAGATTCACCCGCACCACCGCGGGACGAGTGCGCGGAGGCGGGTACGGATTCGATGGCACCCGCGACAGGTTGTTCACATGCAGACGGCACCGCCGAGCTTCGCACCGGTTCACCGTTGTGGGGTAGAGCAGCAGGTATCCGCACGTGTGAGCTTCTCCTGCGATCTTTGCCGATGCTGTCTGATCTGGCGGGTATAGAGCCCTTCCACGGTCTTTACATTGAGGAGCGTGCGCGGCGTGTCATACGGGACCACTCGAGCGGAGCGTCGGTGTCCTTCGCGAGATTGTTGTAAAACGGCGTACCAGCGAGAACTCTGCACGGACCGTCAATTGACTGTGCAGCCAAAGCAGTTGAAGGCGGCATTGGTAAGAGATATATGGCGGGAGGGGAGGAGGGAGCGGGAGACGTGACCTGCCAGCAAGTCTCTGTTCGTGCTGAAGTTCGAGTTGGAGAGGCCCCATGATGGGTCAGGCTGCAGAACGACGTGGCAGCAACTCGGCAGGTGCGAGAAGAGGTGCAGTGAGCATTATCGTAGGCTGGTGGTTTGACGCTAAGGGTTCTGCTTGCACGTTCGTGTTTAGTGGAGGACGACGCACCGGTCGTGGGCGTGCCAGTGCTGTGATGGGCCGGCGTAGAACAGATACTCGTCAATGCCTGAGCGCCTGACTGTGCCGGATGTGTGTAAGTAAGAGGACGTAAGACTCTCATGGCGTACATTGAGGATAACAGGCGGCTGCGCACGAACATCAGAAAGCGTCAGAGTCTCTGCAGAAAGCGCTCACCGCGGCGGGTCCAGGAAGACGCCGTCTCCTCGGACTGGCCTCTAGCTCACAAGCCATATGACCTGCCTTGGCATTGACCTGTGGTGTCAGAGGAGGAGCAGGAAGCGGAGGTGACTTGGACAGCCGTTAGCAGATTTGAAACCCAAGCGGCGAAACAACTCACGTTGAGCGCAAGCTTTGAAAAGAAGCTCGCTGCTCGCGCGCTGGCAGCGATCAGAGAGAGTAGTGAACGGAAAGAGTTACATACGTAGACAGTCTGACAGAGACAAAGGAAACAGCGGAGATGACTCAGTGAGATTGCATAGGGTGACAGCGACTCAATTGAAAGCTTGACAGTTGGCAGGTAGAAATTCCCTAGGATAACAGAAAAGAGCAAAAAGCGTAGAGAGCGAAGCCTTAGACGCAGGTTAGCGCAGCGCAGTCGTCGACTCAACGACGACCTTCCGTCGGGCGCATCATGGTGGAATCATGTTGATCACCATCGCCCAGAATCAGATATTAATATCGGAGGCTACCACATTCCGCGGTGGCCGCGTTTAACTTGTCTTCGTCGTTCTCAGCCAATGATCAAATGTCCGGATTGACCCACTCTCCGATTTTATTCCTGGACACGAGGTGGTCCAGGCCTTGTGGGCAGTAATTTCGAAGTGAGTTGGGGTAGTTGGAGTTTCGGTGGTGGCTGAAGTCAACTCAGAAAGCGAAATGTGCATAGTACTTCGCCGCATACCGGCGGTACCATTGGTGTAAAAAGGTTTGCAGGAATTGTGTCCAGCTCTGCCCGGGGGACTCCTGCTATCGGTAGTAGATATTCTAGATGTTTGCAAGCTTCGTTTTCACAGCAACATTCGTTACAAACACGGACATCCGAATGATCCGCATCCTACATCGCGGCTGGCAGGAGAAATCGCTTCTCTGTTCTGGAGTCTCAGGCTCAAGTCTAAAGGAAGGGCCGTAAGGCGACAGCATCTCGGTTGATCACATAACTGCAGACAGCTATCCAGCCGCGGATTCTGACAAGTCTGACCGGGAGCCGGCCAGAAAACAATCGAGGCGTGGCCTCCTGGGCGAATATCAGAAGCCTACGAATTCGAAGCAGATGCCTCCAGTTCAGTCTGAGCTCGACACGGAACCCGGGTATGCTACTCAGCTTCCTTGGAAGACTCCTCGCGGAAGCGCTTCCGACGGTTCCTTGTCAGTTACTAAATACTTTCATCTTTTGCAGCTGCCATGCCAGAATACAGTTTGGAGTCTAATGTGGCGCCGGCTCAGGCTCGCCACTGGCGCTGGCGTCTGCACCTATCGTTAGATCACCGCCGATATCTCAGAAGTTCTGTGAGGCCGTTCGCGGCTGTGATCTATGAGCTTTCGTCAGTAAATCTGCGGCTCCATCGGAATTTTGATAATCTGATACTCAGATCCCTAGAGCAGTGATGCAGAAGGTAGAGAGATAGACTGGTGACTGCACCACCTGAGATTTCGACCGCACGACCTGCACTCAAAATTGTGGTGCAAGTGCAAGTGCAGTCTATAACGATTTCTGTGTAGGATAGCACGGGGCATGGCACATTTTTGTCCATGCGCGTACAAGTACGAACGAAATCTAACTGTCTAGTGATTTGGGATGTGGAGAATACTATACACAAACAACTGAACCATGATGCATAATCGACCAAATTGTGAACCATAGAACAGAGTAGAATAAACGATTCCGGGTGCAGGCTACTCTTGATCGCGTAGAACATCGGCAGGCCGAAGAATCGCTTTCCCCTTTTTGTTACGGTAGAAGAGGACGTCCCCTGTATCCATGCTCGATGAATGTTTGGCAGTATGAAGCAAACTACCCACCTTCATCTTCCACGAACTGGCATTCATTGTAACTGTGCCACAGGGCCTTGAAGACTGGTTTGTCGGAGTAGCGATAATGTTCACCGATAAATGCTCGCAAATACTTTGTAGCCTCTGATCCATGGTCTATCGCTTATGTGAGCTCAGAAAAGCACAAATGACACGAGGGCACTGACAAAAGGGCATCGTAGGGAAAAAGTGGTGAATGACATGGAAGTGGGCCACATCGTGCAGGAAGAAACGACCCATCCAGCCAAGGAAGTCACGATCAACCGTTGCTGCAGCCCCACGCTGGAAATTCCATTGGGCGTTCCGATAGTGGGGCAGCTCTGGATCGGTATGATGCAGATAGGTTATCATAATAAACCTGAAGGATGCACTCGTCAAAGCTCTTTGACGTCGCCAGAAGATAAAAAAAAATACCAATGAGTGACGCATAGCCAAGGAATCCCATAGGATTTGAATACAAATGAAGCTCCCCATACATCGCACGCCTTTTTGGTGAGATAGATCATGGACAAGATGCCGAAGTTGGAGATGAGAACGACGTTGCGTTGACTCTTGGTGAAGAGTATGGATTGTGCTGGAAAAATAGGACAGAATGAGGTCCTTGCAGGTGTCCGACGTAACAGCACTCACGATCAAAATGATTGGTCCATCTCGGATAGTGCTTTTGGCCCGATACATTGCAGACTAATCCTCGGCATTTCAGACTCGGGATTGAAGCCACAGGCATCAGTCACACGTACTCAAATAAGCAGGGAACGCAAGAAGTTGCTGGCGTATCAGCATGAAAAGCGTGTATAATGGGGTGTCACCGAAATAGTCCTCATAGTCGAAAGGATGGTCACCCTCCTTGGGAATACCTAGATCGCTTCGAGTCTTGGGAACATATACTTCGTCTCGCTCCATGGACGCATGATTGCTATGGTGCCGATGGTGCGAGATCCTCCAGCTGAAGTACGGTGTCCAGAGGATGGTATGTACGATCTATGTATGTGGGATCTAAGTGATCAATCGAGAAAGCGCCGAGTGCCAACCTACATATCCTACGAGGTTGCAAACGTGTCTGTTGTCGGAAAGCGCACCATGTCCACACTATGAGAATGAAACATTGAGAGCGCGCCGAGTGTTTGGAATGATATGCACTTCATGTCCTATAACCCAGATGCCGGTGAATATGAGGCCCTGGAACCACCAGCTACCAGATTTTGAGTGAGTGGGCAGAACAAACAGTCGAACAACTCACTAAATCACCCATGCAATCCAGCGCATCATCTCAGCACCAATGACGGTCAGATACTGAGTGACGTATGGGCTCCTGAAGAAAGGGTCGCTATAAAGGGCAAGATTCCAACATAGGGCAGACAGAAACAGATCCCTCGATAGATAGAGGAGACCTTTCCACGTATGGCGCACAAAGAGACGCTGTGGCACTGCTGTACGAATTTCGCTTAACGACCTGAGCGTCCATGAGCACGAGCATTGTTCATGAGTTAGGCTACTCACCAGGGCATCGGTGTAAACTCCGGAAGTCCATCTTCAGAATTGGACTGGGCTGCTTCAACGCGTTGTATCTGCACCATAGGTGGAATTGGTACCACCTCGGTAATGATGGCACATAGAGGCATAAAGAGTAAACCGCTTGCGAGGACAGAGCCTGCAGCTTGATTTATCTGTATTCAGGCTCGGAGGTAGTCCACTTAGATGCGTGAGAGATGCATATATTTGATTGGTGATTGCAACCACTATCAACTTCCGGATTCCTTGGAACTGACTTTGCTGGTGAATTCCCAATCACGTCGTCGAGCTGCTGTGAAAATATCGCGAAGGAAGCCGCAAGATTGCTTATCGGGTATTTCGTCACAGCAAGAATGGCACAAGCTTTCGCTCACGGCAGTGCGGATAACATCACGCACACACACCTCCTACCGATGCCAACAAAGGTTCAATCAAACTGCGAGTTGTAGTTCAACCATGAATGGTACTCACGGAGGCCAAAGGAAAATCACAGATCATTCCTACACGGATGTCCCGCTTGAGGAAGATATGGTATGTACAGCCAACCAGGATATGTTAGGTGGTGGATCGGGGGATAGCCAGCTGGTGGATATCTCGGGTATTGCCACACCTAGGCGGATATCCTGAGGTACGAAGGTTGAAGCAGAATATCTGCCCACGGGAGACTAGCCACAACCCCGATCACTGATCGGTGTTACCGTCGAAGGTTAGTTGTTCGCCGTCCTGAACTCTCCGGATCTTACAGCGTGATTGATGAGAATCTGGGAAAGCCCATGTTCATGTTGAGCAGTAAACTTGGCACCACCTGGAAAAGAATGCGAGTCAACGGCGCAGTAGTCCCTGCATCATGTATTCCAGAAGGTGGAGGTTTCACTGCGCAACAGAGTGCCCAACCGGGACCAAACCATGCCAGAAGACGGGCACCCGGCATGGGGAATTGTGATATGTGCTGCCCTTCGATCCGCGCTGATGCTGGGCTAGAGATGTGCATATAGAACCCTATGCTGACATTCGACTGTTCCCAGACGGCGGAGCTGTACTGCGCCGTCGCGTCACGTATACATCGACCTCGTTGCAGAGAATTTGACTTCGCTCTGTTATGAGGTGAGATACGACAGTCTTAAACCACCTGTAGATGTCTTTGTCAGATGCTGAGAAAGAACTTAGAAGTGCCTGAGGTGGTATGGTTCGGAGTATTCTTGCAGGTAATGCGGCTTCCCACTGCGAACATCTATGTCGTGGGTGATGATTCTCCGGATCAATCATTTCTGAATCGGCATTACCTCCACACTCGCTGCAAAATCTCAACATGAGTCGGCAAAGACCTACAAGATACCAATATAACCAATCAACGTGAACAGATAAGCATTTACCATAGCTATTGGGGTCCTTGCTTGCGTCGTTCTCTTATCGCCGTCGAAGGCCGGTGGTAGAACAGTATGGTTTGCGTGTGCGTGGGCTCGCGAAGTAAGCGCTGACACGAGTTCACAGTCCCTCATCATGATTATAATCACATCCGTGCCATCGAGAGCCAGAATGGAAGACGGACGAGTAAGCACATCCAGACGTAAGTCCTTTCTCACGCAGAACTTCGGGATGATTTGGCAGTATACTAAATGCGCTTGAATGTCGCTCTCTTTACAGGTGGCCTGTCAAATGACTCACGCAAGCCAGAACTCACCTATGACATCCTCCACACACTCCACTGAGGTGGCCGGAGCCCGACAGTCCTATGCTGAAGGTGCTCTGCCCACATTTACTCCCATTCCATGGTACGTGTTTAACTTCGACCCCGCAATGGTACTGCATTGTGTATAGGTCATTGAACGAGATCCGGGCAGCAATACCGCAACATCTTTTTACACGTCAGACCTGGAGAGTTCTCCTCTATGTAGCGAGAGATCTGATTATGGCGGGGTTTTTTCTGCGAAGTGCACTACGCATCGATTCATTCTATGGAGGCGAACACGTAGTCGAGCATCTCACTGTGGTGGGCGCTCAAATTGCCCGCCTCATGACTTGGCTACTCTAGTAAGTGTGTTGACCTGTGGTTTATGTCCCTGTAGTGAAGCTACCATAGCTGGTTGCTTCAAGGGCTCATATTCACTGGTATCTGGGTCATCGGACATGAAGTGAGTAGTTCCTGTGGAAGGTACTATTGCATCTGCTTATTCGCCGTCTCAAGTGTGGCCATACGGCGTTGTCTGGGAATAAACATATCTGCAATATCGTAGGATATGTCAGTCAGTATTCCTTTTTTCCTGACAGTTTCCTCACATACCTCGAGATTGCACATACCATTCTTTTGACACCATATTTCAGCTGGAAAATTACACACCATCGACACCACATTGCCCATGCATCTATGGAACGGGATCAGCTATTTGTTCCGAGGACCAGGAGCGACCTTGGTATTCCTTCGAAAGGACAACAGCTCGACTACGAAGACTACTTCGGAGATACCCCGTTGTACGCCCTTACTGTGCTAATTGTTCAGCAACTCCTCGCATTCCCCGTTTGTCTTGGTATGTTTGAACCTGCATTACTCTCACTCTCCTCACTCAGACGTTGTGTATTAGCTTGCAATATCTCTGGGCAGAAGAATTACCCAAGGTGGACTAATCACTTCAACCGTGAGTGCGGCAGATAGTGCAGATGGCGGTAGGCTATATTCTGACTGCCCCCTCAGCAAACTGTGTCCTCTTCATGAAGAATCAACGCAGCCTGATTATTATTTCTGATCTCGGTATATTGTTCATGATGTACATCCTCAAACGGACGTACGAAGCATGGGGTGCCACCACTACATTCAAAGTCTACGGAGTCCCTTGGTTTTGTGTTTCTCACTGGTTTGTTCCACCACATTTGTGAAGTATGATCTGTGCTTATAGGCAATATTTTTAGGTTGGCTATGATAACTTATCTGCATCATACTGATCCCGAGCTGCCCCATTACCGGCGCGCCCAATGGAACTTTCAGCGAGGTGCCGCTGCGACTATGGACCGTAATTTTCTCGGCTACATAGGCCGTTTCTTCTTCCACGACGTGGCTCACTTCCACGTTGTACATCATTTCTTCCCGAAGATTCCCTTCTGTCTGTATTTACCATTCCACTGCTGTGCATAGCTTGGCTAACAGGATATGAAACAGATCATGCAGAAGAGGCGACAAGATATTTGCAAGCATTCATCGGAGAACACTACCGCTATTCCGACAAGCCAGTTTTCGAAGCCTTCTGGCACAATGTGAATGAATGCAAGTTCATCGAAGACGAAGGTGGGCAGTTCTGTGTGCGCTGCATGACTTGCACTGAAAATGAGTATAGGAGACATTCTCTTCTACCGTAACAAGAAAGGCCAGGCAGCTCTTCGATCCGTGCATGTTCTCCGAGAATAGCGCGAAGCGCTTCATATAATGATGTCTTGCAACGAACTCTCTAGCTGACCTAAATTCTATGCCTCATCTTCTTTCGCGTTATTCGTTCTGGCATCTCTCAGTAGATACAGACTTATACTTTGGCTGGTATGCTGTCCATATGATAGAAACAGCAGCGGAGATTACAAACATGGTAGGATCTCATGGAAATTTTGTGTCAATCATGGAAGAAAGAGCCTTAAACAAATCAATGCTGTAAATGACGCAACGTACTACTGGGATCTCGTCGATCGGTCAGTTTGGCCGCTTACTATTAGCTATTTGGTACTGGATTTATTGAAGAAGTTCCACATGTGAGTCCGGGGAAGCTATGTCGCACTTGAATGAACCAAACGCGGCTCAGAACGACCGGGATGGCTGTTTGGTGTTGTTAGATTCAGAGGGCGATAGCTTTGACGCCCATTTACAACTCCGGCGGTCTCACCTCTTCACGTATCATCTAATTCATTCCCTTGAACAGCAAAAAGGATTGTTCTGCCTTTTGCTGCTTGACCCAATTGTGAGGCTCCTGTGGAGTTCACCGACCTATTGAAATAAGGCATGTTGAGAGCGAGTTCTCCCTTCTAGGCTGACATTGATGATGGTACGCTATAGTAAGCCTGAGCGAGTGCCTTTGTGCTCGCTACAATCTCAGGAGGGCATAGCCTCGGACGATATGCGTACGCAGCGCCCACAATAATGAGCTTCTCACTAGATACAATGCCACTGGACTCGAGTGTAACAGGGAGAGAACAGATGAACACGTTGTTTCTGCCGTGCACGATTGGCCGCGGACACAACTGGTACGTGTTCGATAATGAGGAGACGGGACTGAATGTCCCGTGATGCATCATGTCTCGTTCAGCCAGGATTGCCCCTACTGATGTTTGTAGCGTTCGGACTTAGTGATTTTGACCCTTCTCTATGGCGTATTGATTCTTCTTGGTTTAACGACCTAAGCTACTGCTGCTCTTTCCTGCAGCCCTTTTCCCGCTTGAGGAGTATCGTTTGCTCTCAAGGTATCGTCTTCCAACTTGAAGTGAATTTCGCTGGAGTACGGGCCCCTTGTGTGTATTTCAGCCTTTGATCTCTCTCTACTTTAGTTCAATGTCACCTGTGGCCTCTGCTTGGCTGTCCTTGTCGGTCTCAGTGTAGCAGTGGCATCAATACACTACTTGCGGTGCGGTAGAACAGGTTTCGAGTGGTGTGTTCCCTTCATCCGATCGTCAACGAGATTTGCTCAATGATCACTAGAACGGACCATGTCATTCGATCATTGATAACAATCGTCGTCAATAAGGACGCGCTCACTATGTGAGTGCTAGTTTCACAAGTGTGTTAGTGGCATACAACTTCTCATCTTTCTTTCGCTTCTAGCATCCCGTCTCTATTGTGCTCATCGTGAGAATCCAGGTCGGATCGTTCGCAAGCGTGCTGACGCAGTTCCCAGCGCGTTCTGCTCAAGGACAGTCTTGTATTCGCGGGACTGGTGGACGTCCAGAGCGAGCGGGCATGTATACTTCCGTCGTCGATCGCTGACGTGCACCAAGTGAACCCCAACTCATTCATGCCACTCTCTCCTCACAGATCGGGTATCGTGCTATGCGCACGGGCGCTCGTGCGCTGTTTTTAGATTGAATGCGCGGAGGATCATGAGAATCGCCCACGGCCTTCTGCCCAAGAGTATAACTCTGATTCCATCGAGTTCGGGGCTTCGAGTCTCCACGGCACGAAGAAAGATCGTAAAATGGTGATACCGCTTTTCACCTCGGATTTGGTCTTGGACGCTCACGCGATACACATAGAAGCCTGTCGAAATATTCCAGCACGCTATGAAAATTAGTGACAGTGTAGGAGGGTTGTTGCCGACACGGGCTCCGCCACACAGCTCAAGGTCGTCCGTTCGTCCAACAAGCTCTGCGAGAAGCCCACGTCCGGCCGTCAACGACGGCAAGTTCACCGCCGCAGGCGTCTATCTCTATGATGTTTGCAGCGCCGCCGAATTTAGTGCGGTCACTGCCATTTTCGGCATCACCGCCGGATTCAGCACTGAGAACAGAGGCTTCAACCTCGGCCGGGAAGCCTCCCGAGGAATCGCATTGATACAGCTTATTTAATTGTAAGTACATCTATGTGAATCTCTACGATACATTCATGAGAGCAACAAACAGGACTTTGTCCCCAGGCCAAGACGACCGCATCGCGAGGCGTGCTAGTGTAGAGGGCGCGGAGAGCCGGTCGTCGGTGCTCAGAGCACGACTGCGCAAGAAGACCTTGCGCAGGAACCATCGCGCAGTCAATACTGAGCCGCCTGTCCTACAACGCGTAGCTTGTTCTCCTAGAATGACGAGAAAGCGACTTCGGTGATCTCTGGTCTCCGCCACTTGCTAGTACCGCACTTATCCCTTCTCTGGCCATCTCTCGTGTTCTCGCACGCGTCAAGCGTGCGCTAGGCGTGGGCGGCAGCACAGTCCTGCGCTTCGTCTCCCGTACGTCTGCACCGACAGGATGGCCCTCGGCCTTTCGCTTTCTTCCAGCAGCAGTCTGGTATACGGGAGTATGCAGGGCCACACCAGAAGCGGGCAGTGGAGCTAATGCCCGAGCGGCGGACGAAGATGGCAGAGCACCGTGACCTGCGCGCGTACGAGGCAACTGGCTCGGAATCCTGTCACCTTGCGGCAAATGGTGAGTACGGAGGTACTCCCCCCAGAACTCCTTGAACCTCGCGGGTTCTTCCCAGGTCTCTGCAGACTCAGGGTCGTACGCACGATAGAAAAAGTAGCACGCATTGAACCGCATCACGTTGTCCAGCCATTCCTGGATGTCCCGGGACGCGAAACGGACATTCGCTGTGAAGGACTGTTCGATCTGGTTGCAGAGCTTGCCGAAGCCCCCAGTGACTTTCCCGTTCTTGTCCAGCATGTGATCCTCGAACAGCCTGCGCACGGTCTCGAGCACAATATGTGGCGGCTGATCATGCTCCAGCCACACCAGGCTGCAGTACAGGACGACCCACAGAATCGACTCCATGTCGTCCTGGAAGGTGTGCGTGGCATTGTCCTGCTTGAGCAGGCGCCGCGACATGAACGGTAACGTACCCTGCTGAACTGCGTCAGCGGATTACGGATGTATATGCATATAGTTCTCACCGTCCTATTATCGTCACGCGCTTCCCCCGTTTCCGCCACCAGACACGAGAGCTCCCAATCTATGAGGTAGCCGCGCCTGATCTTGGACCCAGAATCAGGATCCATGAAGAGAATGACGTTGCCGAGACTGACGTCGCAATGGAACCTACGCCTCTCGGGTTCGTCTACAGTGAAGGCACCGAGCATAGCTGTGGTACAGAAGAGCATGAGCGAAATCCAGACAACGGAATGATCCATCCGTACCTTGATACACATCAAACATGGCGTGAAGCAGCTCCTGGGTTCCCTCGAATCGCTGCAGCCCGTATCCAGCGGTGCCCGATATGAGCCTGTTATGTACATGGGCATAAATCGGTCCACTGCGCCCGCCTTTGCAGACCCAGTGCTCGTCTTGGTATAGATCGGTCTGTGTGTATTGAAGCACGCCTAGAGGTGATACTCAGTCCGTTGTCCAACTGTAAGCCAATCCACTGACCTATGATTACACTGCCCTCGTCATCACCACACTCTTCATTCTGCATCGAGTCCCTGTCCCCGTCTTCATCCTCATGCACAGGACTGCTCATGGAGACCTGCTCCAATACATCGCCGTGGCGAACCAGTTGTGGAATATTCGGTACGCCAGCGTCTTGCAAGTCGGCCAGAATTTCGCCTTCTGTCAGAGATGCCCCTTCGAATCGCCATGTATCCTTCAAGAACACCACCCTGCACGAGCCGTCGGCGGGAACAGCCCAGAATCCACGCGTTCCCCGCCCCGTTATTGAAGCAGCGGACACCAGCGGTCGAGATACCAGCAGCCGACTCGCCACCGCATACGTTGGCGAAAATTCATCAACCACGCTGATAGCTGCCACAGTGCTTGGTTGGTAGTGTTCTTCCATCGCAGCGGCCACTAGTGCTTCGTCCTCGAGATCGAGCTGCTGTCTCACATGGCGCTCGATGGCCGTTTTGAACAGATTCTCCTCCGCACGGGTTGCCGGCCTCACCGTAGGGTCGTAGCCGCGTTCCGGATCCGATGCGTGCGCATATCGCCACAGGAATTCGCAAAGATGCTCCGGCTTGTCAAGCAGGTCAAAAGATTCTGAAGCAATCGCGCCGGCGCGGTCCCAGCGAATCAGTCGGGCATGAGATCCAGACAGCGAGACGGAGAAGTAGAAAATGCGGTGCTGGCGGGCACATGCCTCTGCTGCACAGGCGACGTTCTTCCCCAATGCTTGTTCGCCCCGCTCACGGTTACACTCGTCGTCAATGTTGAGCGCGAAATGGTGCGAGGCACGCTCTGCGTCTGGGGCAGGATCTGTGAAATAGTCTAGTGCGGGACTCCGCTTCACTTCAATGTATAAGTCGGCGTAGCCTAAATATCCTGCGGTGGCTGAGTTGGCAGCAACGGTGTCCACGACGTCCTCGGCATAACAGCAAAGATCTGGATTCATAGATCCGGTCTTCCCATGATGTGTGCCCTGCGTGGATGTGGCCCTGAAGACAAATCCAGGACACCGAGACCTCTTCCTCCCCCTTTCGCTCAGCGCAGCTATCTGTGAGTCACATTGTCAGCATTCTTCCGTTCAAAATCAAATAGCTGAAGCGTACTAGCGGGATGTATATGTGGAACTCCTGGCTAGCTTCGAGCGGAACGGCTTTGAATGCCTTGGCCGCACGCGGCATCTTCGACATATCCGTCCGTGGTAAGAAGTCAAGGAAGTCCTCAACAGGCATGGGTCCCAGGAATGTCTTCCTAGAATCTTCGGCAAGCTTTGTGTACCGTGCCTTAGCGGTATCACGATTAAGATACCACTCTTGTCCACCGTTCATCTTCTCCAAGTCGTTCTGAGCCAACGGTGTAGCCACTACAAATCTCTTGACGGAATTGTCGCGGGTATCAAAGGAGGTGGAGGGAGTCGTACTCGCCTTAGGGTATCTTCGAGTGTGAGGCATGGTATACGGACAAAAGGGAGCTACTGAGAAGGTGTGGCGCGCTCTCCGTAGGAAAACAACGGACGCGGTCACGTGAATTAACGCCCGCTGTGGCGCGCCTTGGCAAGTCAACGCGGCACAGACGAAAATGAGAGTTTTCTCCGTGGCCTGGAGTCATGGAGACCAGATAAGCTATCCGAGCTAGTCAGTGAGGCAATTTCGAGGCAGTGATAGTCATTCGAATATCCAGGTGGGCGAGGTACTGAAGCCTTAATGCCAGTGGCAAGAGCAGGTCCGCAGGACTTAAGTTAACGAAGATACATAGAATACAAATTGTCGGAGAAGCACAGCGCAGTCAGATAACGCGGTGTGGAGAGGGCACAAGACGGGATGGATAATAGCACATGCACGAAAAAGAAAAGAACGGAACGACGACCGACCTATGCAATGTTTACTTCCTAGACCTGCCCACCTTAAGATTGAGACCCTGTCGAGCGAGGTTCGCCTTTCCAGTATTTGTTGATTTACTCAAACGCCGAGGGCTTCGTAGAAATTGTCTCGCCAGACCTGAGAGACCTGCTACCACATCCTGTCCACGGTATTCGATCGCTCTCCGCTTCGCCTCAGAGCGTGTAGTAGGCACTATGTAATTTCTGTCCGGCAATGCGGAATTGGGCGTTCTCTCCGGGTCCGTGCCAACCGCCTTTCTCTTCCGCGAAGACGGTATTGCAGGAGCAAGATCCATGGCCTGGGAGGTAGATGCTGATAACGGTAGTTCGTAGGGTGGTTGTCAGCCGTACTAACTCTCGCGAGACTCTATCGTAGTCGGAAATCTCATGAGTCGTGAGGAAGTCCCGCCAGAACGCGTTAAACTTCGTAGGATCCTTCCAACTTCCCACACGCTTCGTCCCAAAGGTGAGGAAACACGTTAGACGGGTCAAATTCCACGACTTCGTCTACCTAGCCTATTGTTGAATCGCCGGATTTGAAAAGTGGATGTCACTCGTGTACTCCCTGTCAAATTGATTGGGGACCTTCAAGGCATCGCTAGAAATGACACGACCATTGTCTATGACAGCACATCGGTCAAAACTGTTGACCATCGTGTTGGCCAAGCCTTCCAGGGGTAAATTGTGAGCTAACCATCGCAAGCTGCGGTATAGTACGAACCCGAGGATAGACTCCTTGTCGTCCTGGAGAGCCCAAACTAAGACCCGAAACGGTTCCAAGCACTTCTGAGATACTATAATAGGCTCCCGTTGACCGTCAAAATCATAGGAGTGAATGATTGTGTGATTCTCTGGAATGTTATGTTGTCGCACAACAGTGTAAGTACATAGCAATTGTTTCAGTTACCAATAACAAGATTTGCGAATTTGACTCTTCCTGTTTTCCATTCTCGTGAGCTGTAACATCAACAACGCGCTCATATGTATTCGTACAAATTCGCATCAAGTCAATAACAGTACATCGAACAAGCTACTCAGGCATAGGGATTCCGGACAACTCTTCGCACTTCTGGACCGGCGAGAGGCAACGCAGCTCACCCGAAGTAAGACCACCTTCCCTCGTAACTGCCATCCAATCCCTTCTCCAACCCCCCGGCAGTGAAGTCAAACACAAGCTCGCCTTTATCGTCCGTCAAAACAAGGTGCACAGTGCGGGGCGCAAGGACCAAAGTGAATCGACCAGTCTTGGCCGCGGACTCGCCATTCGTCCCGTGGCCGCGGAAGTTTCCAGCGCCCCTCTTGAAGGCGGCGTTGGCAACGCCCCTGTAGGGCCCCACAGTCCACTGCAGGAATTTGCCATTGCTCATTACCCGCAATGCGTAGGGCTTGTTGGAATCTACGGCAGCGGTCTGCACCTCCTTGACGAAGGCTGCCAACTCGGCGTCGCCGGCCGCCTCAGCGAAGACGTCAGCGGGAACCTGCACTGCGGCGAATCTATCAGGACATGTGCTGGAATGATGACGAAATCTGCAAAAGCTACCTTCAGCCTCAGACATTGTAGTGTGTTACCTATGCAAGTCATTGATCATTGTCCGAACAAGAATTGTCAAAAGAAGAAACACTCGCGAGTGAAATAAAGGTTTGAGAACGATGCGGTGGTCTGCAAGGCGCACAATGAATATGTTTCCAGATGTATGACCGGTGGATGAATGTGCTCACAAGTAACGCAGAGCGAATGGGAATTGCTGGAGGGGTGAGCTCAACGGTGCCTCTTTTATATCCTTCGTCCGTCTAGCTTAGTTACCATGAGTTAGTAACCAACAACCAGCTGACACGACACATAACTAGTACCGGTCCAATGTTAGACCAAATCAAGCACACGTTCGTCCTTATTCCGGCCGTATGTGAATTGGTGGTTCATGCTGGCGTTTTCCAGAGCCAAAGTGTGGCTTCCATGGCTTCACAAAGGAGCGCTGAGAGAGGCATGGAACATGCTACTCAATACTCACAGTCAGAATATGGCGCTCACGGTCGTATGAGACGCCTGCTGCTGGTCTGGGTTCGCATCGTGCAGACCCTCGTTGATGAGTATTCAGTTCGGCCAATGTCTGCACCCCTAACGAGTGATTAGCTATCGTGACACGAGCGGAATAATTAACAGTTCAGTCCTCGAAGGGGTATCGCTGGTGCGACTGAGGGTGAACGAAAGGCTGAACCGCCTAAACGAACCTCTATGATTCTACCACGCAGTGGCCCTATAGTTGGCCACCGTTAATTCCTCTAAGCGCCTCAGTCAACGATGTCTTGCGCCATATCAGCGCATGCATGTCCAGGCACAATTATCCCACTCTGCGCTTATTCAACAATAACTGACATACCAGAAAGGTCTTGTACACAGCACAAGATGACAAGGTTTATGGGATGTTGATTTATGACTGGCGCTAGCCTTCCGTATATAGTTGCGATGTCGACATAGCGCCTTGTGAAACGCAACGTCTTCGCCGAAGACTATACGACGTGCTGAGGCTCAGGCGGTGAAGATAGTCAGATGACGTGGCCCTGCAAGTCTGCGCAATGAGACGGGGTTCGTCAAGCAAGGTCCGCTCCTTCATTGGTGCGCGTATCTGGTAATCGGCTTATGCCATTAGAGAATACAAAGTGAGGATGTCTCACGTACCTCAGTTACGATGCTCGCAGCTCCGAGACTAGATCGTATCAGTCACGGTATCATTGGAGTAATATTCCCATGAACATGATTCACTATGATGCCTGACCGGCGCCTTAGTATTCCAGAGTGCGAGTCGTAGTATGAGAGCTTTGCCATAGAGCAATCGCTTCAGTGCTCGAGTGCTCGCCCAATGTGCTGAAAATGCAACAGACAGTCGTGGAAAGTATATATCGGCACACTTAAGACCAGCATATATATGTGAGCAAAACCACACGAAGCACCTTGCACGAAGGCGGAAGGTATTGAAGTCTACGCCGATCGAACGCCGATCGCGTCAGGTCACGTGAACGGAGATCCCAATTGTTTCTAAACGGTCACCAATTCGTTATTAGATTATTAGAAGTACTGGCCCAAACTGATCTAGGATTCTCAGGTTCCCTGAACTTGTTGTGAACGCGTTTCTCGCCACAGGATGAGTGTGATTTTTGTGAGGGATCGAACGCAAATGGTACATTGGGCCCAAACCCTGTGGAAATGAACTTCTGTCTTCCATTTGCCTTACGTCTGCTACCCCGTTCGGCGGCTTTCCTAGCTGAGCGCTGGACAGTTCAGCTTCCCCGCTGCACTACCTTCCTAAATAACTCCCCCATATCACCTCGTGCTCAGGTGACGCTCGCACTTCCCCAACGTCTGCGTCTCTCGCGTACTCGCAACTTTCCCCCGCAGTGGCGTCTTCCTACGGTAAGGACAATCTCGGTGTGCGTGAACTATTCTCTCAATAGCGAATCTTGGCCCGACTCGAGTCGCCATCCTTTTGCCACTAATCTCTGTGTTCTTTCTAACCTGGAACAAGGCACTACTGCATCAGACAAGATGAACACATTGCACGCCATCAACGTCTCGGGATTATGGATGAACTGGCGCTCCTCCTGCTCAGACACTCAAATGGTAGATTATCCCGTAACTAATCCACACGGCGGGTGTTGTAGATACAATTTCGTGTAGTCCTCTCACTCCTTCATAGTTAGTTTCCTAATCGGGCACGGACGCTCGCGTAGTATACACGCTCACTACACGTTTCGTTTCCCTCAGTCCTTTTGCTATTGACATCGGATTGAGGGTAAGCTACATTCCTTTACTATACATTAGTTACTCATGCTGATCTATCTGTAGGACTGACTCAGTCCGTGTCTAGGTAGATAACTGAGTCCTTTTGCTATTGACATCAGATTGAGGGACTGACTCAGTCCGTGTCTAGTCTTCAACAGGTTACGAGCCCCGAGAGGCAGCTAAAACGCGCACTCGACTCGCCAGCCGAACCTCCCGTGCGAGACCGCAATGAGCGGCGAACGACGCAACCCCTGGAGCGGACGCTCGTCGCCACGCGGGCGCTCTCCGACTCCTCCACCTTTGCGCAGAGCCTACTGGGATGAACCCGGCACGCCTACCGGCGGTCACAGGCCGCGCGCGAGACCGCAGCGCAGCGGAGAAAATCTGTACGCGCAGTCTTCACCACGCGGATCCGCGGCACCTTCGAGACGGCCCACGCCGAGCCCGAACGCAGGCGGAAGGAGGTACAGGCCTTTGGGAGAAGGCGGAGCAGAGCACTGGACCCTGCACAAGGATACCGACCACTCTTCGCACATGAACCTTACGAAGCTCCCCCACAAGCTCACGCCGACGAACTACGTATCGTGGATGACGACGATGGAATCAACGCTCGACACTATCGAACTCTTCGAGTACGCTACCGGAGAAGTTCCCGAGCCCGATCCGGATGTCGACGAGGCGCGTGCGCGACGCTGGAAGCGCGCAAATGCCTGCGTCCGACTCATACTCGCGTCGAATATGACCGAGGAAGTCGTGTCGCAGATCAGCCACCTCACGGTCGCGGCACAGGTCTGGCAAGAAGTGCGACGACTATTCGCAGGCGAAACCCTTACCGACTGGACACTTCTTATCACCAGTCTCATCACGACGAAGTATGCCGATGGCGAAGATCTGACCCTTCATATTGCGAAGATGAAAGCGTACCGGCGAGATCTCATCCTCATGTCCCGAAATATCCCTGACGACCTCTATGCTTGTTTCATCCGAATCTCTATGCCACAATCCTGGAACTATGTATTTTCTGGCCTTTCTCAGTACTACACATCTTCTGAGATCGAACGACGTCTGAAGGAAGAATATGCCATACGACAGAACCAGCAATCGACAGCGCGAGCATACAATGCCAAGCAGCAGTCCGGCAAGCGATCGAAGAAGGAATACAAACCAGGCGACCCCTTCTGCAAGAATTGTGAACGGCCCGGTCACTACATCAAGGACTGCTGGTCGAAAGGGGGTGGAGCTGAGGGGAAGGGAACACGTAGTAAGAAGAAGGAGAAGAAGGATTTGGAGAAACAGGATGCGAAGGGGAAGGAGCGAGTGAACGAGGCGAAAGAAGACTCCGACCATCTCTCGTGCATGGCGGCACCCGGCTCATCCTCCCGATTCACCTGGATTCTCGACGGCGGATCTACCACTCACATCTGCAGAACGAAATCGGCCTTCATTACATTCACACCTTCGAGCAAGACAATCGGCGGCATTCGGAAGACAGGACCTCAACTTGAGGTGCACGGGAGAGGTGATATCCTCATCCTATGCCACGTTCATAGCGGAGACCAGCACATCGTCATGCTACGAAATGTATGCTACTGCCCGGACGCACGTGACAATATTATCTCGGAGAGCCGTATGGATCAGAAGGGACTATCGATCCACAAGCAGAATGGCCTGGTAGCTGTCCAGAACTCGAATGGGAAGGTTATCATGGAAGGTGCGCGACGACGTGACTTATATGAACTCGACTGCGCAATCGCCCCTCCATCCTCCCATCCCTCTGAGATCTCATTCGCCGCCCAACTCTCTCCATCTGATAGCGAGCTTTGGCACCGCCGGCTTGCTCATATTGGACAGGGCAGTCTCCAATACATGGTAAAGCACGCCCTTGTCACAGGACTCGATCTGAAATCCGTAGAGACACTTGGCCCATGCGACGGCTGCGCGAAGGGGAAGCATCACCAAGCACCCTTTCCGAAGCAAGCCACCAATCGTGCTACAAGCATTCTCCATCGCCTCCACATGGATCTTCAAGGACCATTTGACCTATCCATCACCGGCTATCGCTACACACTCGCTGTCGTTGACGACTACAGCCGCAAGGGATGGAAGGCTTTCCTGAAGGCCAAAAGCGATGCGACTTCGGAGATCAAGGATTTGATCACACGCCTCGAGACATTCTCTGACAAGAAAGTCAAGATCGTTCGATCCGATGGTGGTGGCGAATTTATAGGCAACGACCTCCAGACATATTTCAAATCGAAGGGGATCAAACACGAGACTTCTGCTCCACACACTCCACCACAGAACGGCGTAGCCGAGTGCTATAACCAGACGACACATGAGCACGCCCTCTGCATGTTGCAAGAAGCGAACATGAGCTGGGGTTTTTGGCCTGAAGCCCATGCATACGCATCACTCGTCTGCAATCGGAGTCCTACAAGAGCCCTGGTTGAATCCACGCCCAACGAGAAATTCTATGGCAAGAAACCAGATGTCTCAACCCTTCGCATTTTCGGAGCATGCTGCCATGTTCGCGTTCCCCCTGAATCCCGAAAGAAGCTCGATGCACACTCGCTTGATGGCATTTTCTGCGGTTTTGCACCTAATCAGAAGGCGTACAAGATCTGGATCCCTTTGAGGCACAAGTTTATGGTATCTCGAGATGTTATTGTCTACGAGAATGTCCCAACAATGCCCGAGGACAATGACCAAAACCCTGCTTTGAGCGAGGGGATGACCGCGAGTAAGTCCACTCAAAGCAATAGTCCTGACACGGCTGTTGGCAGAGAACCTTCCACGACATCACCACCACATCCTCCAACTCCTCAGGCTTCGGCATCACCAGCTCCAGCGCCAATCCCTACACCGCCCGAAAATCAGCCATCCACTGCATCAGCACCCACTCCCACCAGCACTCCCGCACCAGCACCAATGCCCCCACCAGCTCCCGCACCTCTCCGACGTTCAGAACGTGTCACGCGCCCATCTTGGATCAAGCAAGCTGCCGAGAAACAGCAGGCACAAGAACAGGCGATGAAGACACACAACAAGGCGATCAAGGAAGCACGCACACTGCGGAGACAAATGAAGGTACAGGCGAGGACAGCTCCAGAACCCATACCAGAGGACGCCGCAGTCCCAATGACACCCGAAGGTGACGTCGCGCAAGTCGCCTATATGGCAGCATTTGGCACGGACATGCCGATGAATTTCCGTGAGGCGACGAAGTGCTCGGAGGCTGATAACTGGTGGACAGCAATGCACGAAGAGATCGACATGCTGCAGAGGCGTGGTACATGGGTACTCGAGGACTTGCCACCCGGCCGGAAAGCCATCGGCAACCGCTGGACATATGTTATCAAGCGTGGCCCACAAGGCGAGATCCTACGATACAAAGCCCGACTTGTTGCACAGGGATTTTCACAGATTCCCGGCATAGACTTCAATGACACATTTTCCCCCACTGTTCGACTTGAATCTCTTCGGGCGATCTTACATCTCACCGCCGCACATGGATGGCATCGTGGACAGGACGACGTGACTGGCGCGTTCTTGCACAGCAAGGTTGACGTTATCATTTATATGCAGCAGCCTGTCGGATTTGACGACGGTACTGGACGTGTTTGTTGCTTACTGCTCAGCTTGTATGGTCTTAGGCAGTCATCCCACCTCTGGAACGAGTACATGGATGGCCAACTGTCAACAATCTCATTCCATCAACTGATCTGCGATAGTGCCATCTATGTTCGTCGTACAGAAACCGGTGCGAATTCCATCCTGGCAATCCATGTTGACAATACCCTCAGCTTCTCAGACTCAGCAGAGGAGCTTGCTTCTGTCCGAAAGCAGCTTCACAGTATCTTTGAGATGAAGGAGGAGGATCCCAACTGGTTGATGGATTTTGAACTCATTGACAATCCCCAGGAACGTACTGTCTCCATCTCACACCGCCAGTACATCTCCACCATTCTCAGACGCTTCAAAATGGAGAATTGCATTCCTGTACCAACCCCCATGGAGTCCAGTCTGCACCTCTCAGTTCACGATGCACCGTCGACACCGGAGGAGATCGCAGAGATGAAGAATCGGCCGTATCGCGAACTTGTTGGCGCCCTGACTTGGATCTCGGTCATCTCGCGGCCTGATGTAGCGTTTGTCAGCGCGCACCTCGCGCAGTTCAATGCCAATCCCGGCAAGAGGCATTGGGAAGCCGCGAAGCGAGTGCTTCGATATCTCGCGGGCACTCGCGACCTTCGCCTCGAATTGGGAACTGCGGACGAGGAAGGCGACACGAACGAATTGGTCGGCTATACGGACGCGGACTGGGTGCGCGACGTTGACACTCTACGCTCCGTCTCGGCATACGTTTTCCAGCTCGGCAACTCATCAATAGCCTGGAGCAGCAAACGCCAGACGACCATTGCCTCATCGTCGACTGAGAGCGAATATATGGCCTTGTCTTATGGCGCGAAACAGGCACTGTGGTACCGGCATTTCCTCACGGAAATTGGACTCACTCTCGGAGGAACCCCTACCACACTCCTAACAGACAATATGGCTGCCAAGGACATTGCGAAGGATACCCGTCACCATGGACGTACCAAACACATCGACGTACAGCACCACTTCGTCCGCGAGCGCATACAAGATGGAAACTTCAATGTCATTCACTGTCCCACTGCAGCAAACATTGCTGATGGACTCACCAAGCCCCTGGACAAGGAGCCATTTTCCAAAATGGTTTCTGATTTAGGACTCTCACTCCATTGAGGGGGTGTGTTGTAGATACAATTTCGTGTAGTCCTCTCACTCCTTCATAGTTAGTTTCCTAATCGGGCACAGATGCTCGCGTAGTATACACGCTCGCTACACGTTTCGTTTCCCTCAGTCCTTTTGCTATTGACATCGGATTGAGGGTAAGCTACATTCCTTTACTATACATTAGTTACTCATGCTGATCTATCTGTAGGACTGACTCAGTCCGTGTCTAGGTAGATAACTGAGTCCTTTTGCTATTGACATCAGATTGAGGGACTGACTCAGTCCGTGTCTAGTCTTCAACAGCGGGGACATTTATTGGCCAATATCGTCAGCATTTACCTCGATCCAAAGAGCATCACAAGAGCATACTTTGTGCGCCAAAGGTAGGTCGCTTTAAATTAAACTCGTCAGGATATGACTTGCAGTTGTGAAGAATATAGAATGATGCTGACTTATTCCCAGGAAAGTCGATACCCTCTGGTGCTGTCTTGCATTTCGCGATCTCGACCTCCTCGATTCTCATAACCCTCTTGAGTTTACCACTCTTCCTGCGCTCTCGGACACCTTTGCTCCGTTCGCTTCCCTGGACCACTCGCTCCCCGCACTTACCTCCTACCCGGCCCCGTGCCAGCAGCCAGCACCCTTCGACGTTGTCTTCGATCTCCACTCTTCCGGGTTCACAGGTTTCCCGATGCCCATACCACACACCCGGACCACCATCCTTCAGTGGTGCTCCACATCCGTACTCGTCGAATCGTGCCAGCACGGTCTCCGTTGGGCTGCTATGGCTCCCTCTCCATTTCACACGATAGGTATAATCGTGCTGCTCTATGCACCCCTCATCTCCGGGCGGCCTTCCACACTCTTCCACCCCTGCAAACACGAGTCCTGCCCCCCCATCACCCTTTGTCTCAGGCGTCCATCTCTATGCTGTTTACGGCGCCACCGAAGTAGGTGCAGTCACTGCCACCTTTGATGTCGACGATGACATCCCTTCTGAGACTAACTTGAAGGCAACGGGTACCACCCACTCTGACTGGCAGTGGATGCAGTTTAACAAGCAGTGCAGCGTGCGTGGGGTTGCAAGTTCACTGCATCTTGTATAGCTCTACTCACACTGACATCCCAACCGCAGTGTCGGCCGTGCGATGAGGTCATCGTGCTGGGCACCGGTCAGCCTCTTTTGTTGTATCTGGTTATCCACGCACTTATTCCTCACGCTAGGACTCGTTTTGATACCAGTCCCACAAGAGAGCCACATTGGCGCCCACCCGCTGGTAGCGGGCTGCGGGCGTGGTCATGTTCGGTCGGGCCCCGCGCCCCCAAGTGTGCTTATCGAGCCGCGCCCCGCCGTGCATCTGATATTGCACAGAACGAAATTCAAGATTATAGGAATTACTCAAAGCCGACCAGAGCTCACCGCTGCTGTCGTGTTTCAACCTGCTTGGCTGAGCATTCAGATCTCAGAACTCATGTCAGACGTCCAGCAACGCTCGCCAGCTGTCACCATGTTCTGCCATCGAGACAGTCACCAGCATCCTCGGGGTCCAAGTGTCGTCGAGTGTCGACAAGGCATCTCAAGTGTGCATGCCTCCGCGTGGTCCTTCCGGCTTCCGAGAGTTCGTGTACATACTTATTTCAAAGCGCTCCGAGAGGCTCGGTAAGCGGATGCCCACACTGTGACCGCATTGTCTCCTTGAATGCCATCAAGACTTCAGAATAAATATTCGACCTCGGCTGCGTGAGGGACAATATGGTGAAGGCGGAATCATTGCGAGCGTCTTCAGCGGATGATCGTACGCATCAACGATAAAAAAATGTCAGTATTATCAAACACTAACGAAATTACAGCGGAGGCACGTCGGAACCTTTCTTGCCTTTCAACAAATTTCTTCCTCACTACGGCGGCATGGTGAGGGCCCACGATTCTTCGCGCGATGACGGGTATTCGCAGTGATCATTCGGCTCAAGTGTTGAGTCCGTTTCCTGCAGAAGTGGAGCCCATACATATCTGCGTCGCAGTCTAGACGACACACCAAACTACAGCTGAGAGTTTAACCTACAGATGTGAACAAAATTTTCCGCTTCTTACATTTTCTGGTTTCACCGTTTCCTCCTCCCAAGACCTCACCGTGCGAGACACAGCATAACACCATGGGGCGTACTCGTAGCAGTGAGAATGGGGGAGCATGTTGCCCTAGACCTTGGCAAGGGGATTTCTGTTGAGGACAAGCTTCTCCACCAACAGCAGGGCACTCCCCACGAGCAGGGTCACGCCTGTCCATATGATCATTGTGTTGTAGTCCCCGTGCGCGCGTGTCAGAAGCGCACCAGCGATCAGGGCGCCGATGAGAGCACTGCGCGGACGGTACGATATCAGTACATCTTGGACCAGCTTGAAGGTGGGACCAGTACGCACGGAAATGACATGATACTTTACGCCATCCCAATCCTCGTTCCAATCTTCTCAATCCGCGAGATCTGGGCGATGCATGGCATGTTTAGGGAGTTGTTAGATCCAGAAAAGAAGCCGTATATCACTGCATAAGCGATGAGGCCCTGGAAGTGCGTCTGGGTGAGCCAGAGCCAGAGCGTAAATAAACCCGAGGAGAATGATAAGAGGAGGAGCAGGTTGTATCTCCCTGCTGTATCTGCAGCTAGGCCCGGGAACACGCGCCCTACTGCGCTGCCTGCATTCATGATAGAGAGAAGGTTGAAGCCGTGTGCCTGGCTAATACCGTGGGCCCCTGCATACTGCACGATGTAGAAATAAGGGACAAATAGATCTGTCAATGTCATTATCGGGGACATCAGATATGGAATAACTGGAGCGTGCGAGATGCACCAAAACACGTCATTCCAGCACTTGCACAGAAGAGCATGAATTTGAAGTCGCGTAGGGACGAGAGGTCGATCCACGGTCCTGGTTTTCGACGTGGCAAACGGCTTGACACCGTGAGGGTGGTGAAGATGCCACAAGCGAGGCAGACGAATCCAGATATACGCACGGACCAGCCAAAACTGGTTTCGTTGAAGAGACGCTGTAGTATCGCGGGGAAAACAATACCGCCTGAAATTGTATATTAATGAGATGGATGTGCAGTGGAATACATATCGATGCTCACCAACGCTAGATCCCGACACTACGATGCCGACCGCGGTAGCCCTCCATTTTACGAAATGAGTCGAAACAGCACTGACAGCAGGATAGAAACTACCATGTAAAATGAATGTTTACAATCAAGGACAACAGAACACTTCAAAAAGTAACTGACGCACATGAGACCACTTCCTATACCGAAGGTGATTCCTTGCGCAAGAATGAACTGGTAATAGCGCGAGGCAAGGGAGGTCATCATGATACTGAACGTGTATACCACAGTTCTGAGCGCGAGCAGAATTGTCGGTCCATAGGCATCGAAAAGCCTTCCAATTATTCCTCCCTGCTCGTACCACGAGGTGGGATGCTAACACAATGAAGGAAGGTTAACGACCTACAGAGAAGAAGAACACCCAGAGTTGAAGCGAGCCGATCCATGATATATCAGACGGGGAGTAATTTGAGAGCTGATGTTCTAAGTACCACAGCTGGAAGCTGCCAAAGGAATTTATCTGGCCGAATGTCGCGAAAAGAGCGGAAAATGCACCAAGAACTATCAGATAGCCACGGATGCCACCCTCTTTGAATGACGGTGGTGCGGGTGTGGGTGCGAGTGGAGGCTCAAGCTGAGCTTCGAGAGTAGAGTCAGAGACCGACTTGACCATCGGAGTGGATGCTGTCTCCAGTTTTTCAGCTTCAGGCATGGCGGACGAGAGGGAGATGAGCGAGCATTAAGGGTGAGCTTGTAGTGCTGCCGACAGGTAAAGGACTTCGTGACGTGGGATGGGACTGACGAACAAGAGTGAGCTGAGTGCAGTGGCATGGAGATGGCGTGTTGGGCCACGAGCTGTTCGGTCCTTGTCCTTAGCCAGGCTTCCTCCTTCCAATCCTGGTCAATACTCGCATTCGTTCAAGATAGGATCAAGGTGATCCCCTGATCAGTTCTGCCGTTGCGACAGGATGTTCCAGGGCGGAGCACTCTTTTTCATAGATTGAATGGATGGGACTCCATAAGTAGGGGGGAGCATTCCCTGCTGGCCAGGACAGTTGGGCTCCGGCCATCTTAGTGGGATGCGTAAACTGGGTTTGTGAATAGACTAGATTATCCGGCCTGGAGAAAGAAGTTAATTTAGAGCAGTTGCAATACAGAAGTTCTGCATGAGAAAATTCTTACGCCGGATTTGAAATTGGCCTGGCCCGAGATCCATCACATCTGAGGTAGAAGTTCGCGGAAAGCCGCATTAAATGGATGGTTACCCCGTAGTCCGAGCCATGTAGACAGGAGGGCATGATCGATGGGTCTGATTCGATTGGCGCCCTACTGGCGCCCCTCATCACGTCACGGCTGAGGGCTTCCTGCAACCAGAGCCAGCGCCGCAAGCAATGAGTCAGATAGTCAGAATCATCGTAGTACAGGTTTTACCAGCTGTATTTGCAATAAAAGGCATGTTAGAGAGTTAGTAGTTCACTGGGAGCGCATATCCACAGGCGCCGCTTGGCGCGCATCAGCAAACTCGCACTTGTCTGGTGCGTCTGGTGCCAGACTCACCATGGGCTGCCACGCCACCACAAACACGCGTGGCACTACATTTGACCTACGAATTTCCACGATACTTATCGTGGCACCATACGATTGCCATAGACTTACCAGACCAAGCATTCTGGTGCCATACTGCTTTACTAACGGTCAAATTCTGCTAACTGAATCCACTAAATATATTGTATTGCTAGCTACAGAACAAATCTACAGCACCTGCTCCAGGCGACAGGAATCCTGTATCATCACTGACCTCCATGCCTTCCTCAGGCACCCTCCTCTGTGGGCTTGCCCACCAGCGCGGCCGCCTCAATATCAGCAGCGACCTCGGCCTTGATATCGCGCGGTGCTCTGCAGCTTGGTCCGGAAGCTGTTGAGCGACGTCTTCGTCTTCGTCGGACCGCTTGCCCTTCTCGTGCATACCGCGACCCTTTTACCTTCTTTGGTGCCGGCTCGTCGCCATGTCGGCCCACCCTGTCATCACTGTGGTCCCCACTCCATCGTTGCTGTCATCGCCGCCCCAGCGCATGAGCTTGCGGATCCCGGCTTCCGTCTTGGCAGTCTCCATTTGGCGAGAGGTGCTGGGGGGCAGAGTGTGAGAAAGATGCTTGGGAGAAGTCGGATAGCATACCTTTGTGCTCCTCACTCATGCATGTGCTTGTTGCACATCCTTGTGATGTCAAGCCCATCCATCCTCGAGGACTGTGAATACTAAATATTCTGAGACAGCTGAGTGAGACGGATGAGACTCATGGCACTTGCCTCGGGTTGAGTGTGCGTTCTTGCACCTTCCGAATTCTGGGGAAAAGGTGACAGGTTGTGCACTGCGGGCGCTGTGCTCGTTCGTTATGTCCACTGCTTGCAGCATCCATGGACATGCAGGTGCAGCACTTCAGTGGGGACCCTGTTCTGGGGTGTTAGAGTCAGTGCATATCTGGAGAATCACAGAGCCCATTGGAAACTGCGGTAATGCAGAAGGGGAGTCAGCGTGCAACGAAAGGGAGAAGGCGACACGTACATGCACACAATGCTGATAGGCACGAGCCTTTCCTTCCCCTTTGCCTTGCAGGCACAGGACTGTACATAGTTGAAAGTGAGCGAGTGCACGGTGGCGCATATGACATGCACATTGTCGACAATTTGAATGAAGCGTATCCGCCGAGCGCAGCATCGTACGAACAATAAGATCGATCAGAGTGTTGCGACTTATTTGGTCCGCTCAACAGAGTCACGTGCGAGTGGACTTAATGTGGGTCCTACTCTCAACTTGAACAAGGCTTGCATGATACAAAGGGTGTTGCACAAGTAGCATATTCATTTAGCTTACAGTAGTTGGAGTGGGTATTGTGCAATATGTGAAACTCTATCTGTTACATTTGCATCCTACCGTGGTGAAGGATCAGAAAGTCTGGTGAAGTATGGTTGGTGTGATGCCACGCGAACCATGGTCACCATAAGCACCATACCAAACTATACTTGTGCGAGTTTGCTGATGCGGACGATGTGCTGACAGTCTAACAATGACTGCCAGAGCACTCAAGTGGGGCACCACCGCTTTCGACTGTCCATGCTTGTTCAGAGGGGAGAGAACGACCGACGGCGGATCCCGTAGGCTGTTAGCGCCGAAGTCTACATTGATATTACACTTTCGAGTAGTCTCTTACAGTGTAACAAAAATTACACTTACTCGCCTCCAGTTGACGCCCGGAGATATTTTGAAATCAGGGTGTGACGTGACAAGGGGCGCTGGTAGGGCGCTAATTGAATCATCTCGTGTAGACAGTCCTCTTCTATATTTATCCCTACCATGCACCAACTGTCAAACCAGAAGATGTTCTAGCAAGGAGGCTGTGGTTTTTTAGATCTACATCTCAGTTTTCGGCAGCCTCCGCGCGATGACTCGTCTGGAATTGAGACTAACATTGTTCACCATGCGACGTTGCATTGGACGGACTGCGTCGTGGTCAAATTGAGTCTGATTGGAAGGTGCGAGTCGGCAACTGGAGTATATGGTACGAAATAGAAGCCATGTCTTTTCGATGCTTCTTATGATGTTACAGCCCAGATCCGAAGCAGTTTGTTTAGTTCCTGTTCTCATCCTCGTTCTACGTTGGAGCACCACCGACAGGTCATCGCACTCCGGCATGGAACTGCTGTGCCTTTTTTATGCTGCACTGCTATTTGGAGGTTGGCACAGCGGTTCTTCTTGCATTGACGTCTCAAACATTCCTGAACAGGCATGATGCTTTCCCATATAGGACAACGAGCAACAGTCTGCCGCTCAAATGTTGGTGTGTACCATCTCTTTGGCTCTGTGCGTCAAGACTCTCGCTTGATACGAAGCTACTGATCGAAGCGGTGGGCACTGGGCAATGGGCAGCACCAGTTACTTCCCAGTCGGAGATAGTATCAAGCCATCTCTCTCCTCTTCAATGTCTGCCCTCACGACACCTAACATAGGGGTGCAATACACCAGCCAAGCGTGGAGAACTTGCCCCAACGGCGAGAAGGGATATGCGACAAGTGACTTGTGGGAACAGCATCCGACGAACCCGAAGTTGTGGCGTATGCAAGTACACTGCATCTTGTATAGCTCTACTCGCACTGACATGAAATGGTAATATGTAGCGTAGGGGAAGATAACATCTGGGAGCATATCTTCCATTCTTTTGGTGGTACGGGAAGCTGAGAGATGCCGAGTTCATTGGAAATTCCTCAGCGGCCGTTCAGCATGTTCCCAATCTGAAAGGCTATATATATATAGCAATCACAGTTCTCAGGGTCCCCGAAACTTTTAGGGTGCGGTCAAAAAACTTTCAGTTGCGCCTCTCTTGATCTTGCCTAGTGTTGAGTGCATGCCAGATGCTAATTCGCGGCTGCGGTCAGCATTCTCTTCTCGACAACTGCCTTTGGAGGACTAGCAGCTCTGCTTGTCCATCTCAAATATACGTGGCGTGAAACTGCGCGATCTTGAAAGAAACTGCAAATGGTAGTTATGTTCGATTCATGTGCAGGCCGAATTCCCTACGGGTTATTAGGCGCTGAACTGGGCGAGGGTATAAGTGCCAGTTTTCTGCTTCTCATGCCCAATCAATTTCTGTTCACCATGTCGTTGTTGTCCAGAAGTGGACCTACATCCACCTGGAAGGTAGACTTTAAGGAGATGCGCACCAATCTGTTCCCAGAGATGGTAGAGCGACTCACAGAGTTGGTTCCGTATGTCTCTACCCAAGGAGCCTTTGGCCACGAGATACTGAAAAGGACGAAATTCATGGATATATCGGTCCACCAACGCCCCGAGGACGGAAAGGACTACACGCGCGTCGTCTTGAGACTTAAAATGGAACATGGTGCATTTTGACGTTTGTGCTACCTTCGCCCGTGTTCCTGACTGAGCCCTCCCTTTACTTATTGCAGATATGTTGAATCCCAGAGGTGGTCTTCATGGGGGATGCACCGCGTTCTTGGTAGATGTGTCCATGTCTTACCGTTCATACTTTCTGAGGAATCCTTACTGACCCTCTAGTACAGTTGCTCAGGTATGGTGCTCGCGGCCTATGGAATGTTCAAGATCCACTGCGCGAAGCAAGAGAATAGAGCCTCGGTGTACCCCAAACAGGTCACCCAAGCCATTAACGTTGTTTATCACAGAGGAACGCATCCGTGAGCTCACGCTACTCTCACACACATTGTTTTGGTCGTCAATGTGATCTCCACCATATCCAGTGGTGCGAAGCTTGAAATTGTGGGCACAACAACATCCTGGGGAAAACGCGTCTTGACAGCGTGGACTGAGGTTCGTTACCTTCGCTGATATGTTTTCTAGGTGGCAGACGTTCTGAAAGTACTGCATAGATCTGGGATGCTACAAACCATCGGCTTGTCGCATCCGGTACTATTGTCAAGATGGACCCTTGAGCTAAATTGTGATCCTGGTGTATTGTACCAATATCTCCTCCGTACATGCTTAGATGCTAGTGGAAGCCAGCGCGCTACCGGCAATCACTCGGAGATGTGAACAGGAACAGAATCTCTTCGTTGCGTGCATACAGGGAGATCTGATAAGTATTGAATATCCTAGAGCACTAGCTAATCTAGCGTACCTTCGTTGTGTGCATACAGGGAGATTTGAAGCAGCAATGAAGGTGTGAGGGAGTCTGGAAGAAGCTGTGTCATGACCCTATTTCAGGGTTACACTCTTCTGCACTCTGAAACAAAAGCATGGAGTAAGAGAGAAGGAATGCTGGCCCCTGGCGGTCCCCACCACAAGACCAGTCTGCACCAACCTCTACGTGGTCCAGGGGACTAGTACCTCCGCAAGAGGGAAGCTAACGGGTGCAGAAGAAGAAGAAGAAAATCGCAAAAGGCTAGGGCAAACACCCAAACAGAATGCAATCTGCAAAACACAACACAAGGTCCGTCTAACCATAATTCAGACAGCTCGCAGATGCACTACCCGTTCCCTATGCCAAACCCCCTGGACTAGATACTTCAGACATCATTCATCATGATGAAAGCTCACACCGAGCTGCGGCCACCATACCGCTGGCCATACCAGGCCCTCCACACCCGGAAAAATTAGACACACCACAGTGTGATGTAAATACCATACACCATAATACAATAACCCGCCAGACAACAAAGCACAAAACAAGGTACTAAAACTATCCCCACTCCTACCACCAACATAGACACATCACCACCGATGCAGGCCACGTCACCAGTCAACAATTACCAAAATAAGCAATCAGATGATATAAGCAAAACATGAAGATCCGAATGACCAACCTACAGATCGCTCCAGTATTATACTACAAAACCCTTAATAATCCAAGTACCTACCCTTGCGACCGCCACACTAAACCCATACCAAATGAATACTCTATGTTTTTGTACACACGTGCCCAAACCAGATCCCACCCCCCCTTCACGTCAAACTCAACAAGATGTCGGCAACATAAACACCCAATAAATCACTAAAAGGATTGACCGACCAGAAACACACCCCAACGGAAAACCCCCATACCACCACGATGAGCCCACAAAATCGTCCATCCTCCCCATGGATCCCATCCTTCTTCTTCAGCCCACCGAAACCATCCTCACCCCTACTCTCACACGAACCCGTCGCACCAATCTCTATAACAGACAACTCCCGCATCCCTCTCCCACACTCCTCCGACCTGGCCCCAGATGGTTCCTTGAATGAAGAAGTCATCTTCAACCCCCCCCCTCCTCGAAACCTTCTCTGGTACAATAACAGTATAGATCCATAAGCCAATCGGGAAACCATCACGTACCCGTCCATAGCGAGTCGCCCTCCCCACATACATACCCCTTGCAATAGGATGTCAGCTCAGAGCAGGACGATATGGCAGAGGCATCATCACCAGCATCCTGCACCTCGGAGATTGTCATATCACCTTCAGGGTACTCGAAACCTCATGCTGTGAGACCTTCTACATATCAACCCATCTCGACTGGGCAGATCCAGCCTATTGCAATGTCAGAAATCCCCACCACGGACATAAGGCCGGAGACTCCCATTGGCTCGGCGATAGATGTAAGTCACATGTCTCAAATCTGAGTCCAGACCCCACACGTGAAATCCGCGCCCAGAATTTTAGATACACGTGTATACCTCGTGCTCAATCTAGACCCAAATACACCGAGTACAACCATTGTGTACCATGACACTACACCCGACGCTCCTACCTCATACAACACAGGTAAGTCACAATACACAAACTCACCCATCTGCAACCTGGGTCAGCACAACATAACCTGCAAACAGAGAACGCAGGAATGAGCTCTTAAAGCTTATCTGATGCACTCCCGCCAGCCCCTCTCGCTGAACCGTGAATGTCAACGAGTCGCTGTCACCCCCCACGAGGCGCGATGAGGACCCACTACAACAGCGAGAAAAGCAACGACCCCACAGAATGCATGCAACCAACGATCCGACCCGATCTCATACTGCGTCTACCTGACAACCACGACGAACGCACCACGTAAGCAGCACACTGAACTGTTAACCTCTCAGCATTCTCACAATGCCCGAGTAGAACAGCGAACACAGAAAATCAATTCCCTCCACCGCGCGGTAAGACACATGTCCCTCTCCCATCCCTGAAACCAATACTAAAATGTACATAATTCTCGCACCCGCTCACTGCGCGACATCCTACCCATATAGACTATCTAACAGCAATTGAAACCGCATCAGAAGACCCCGATGACTGCCCGTCATACACCCTCCACCTCACCCCACAATTCTTTGATCACACCTTTCAGTCATGTTACCTGAACTGAACTCCCATTTACCCTGACATTGTCATGAACTGGACAGCCAGCGGACATCGGCCCATTGTCACCATATTGACCTCTACCAGCAGTGGGCCCATATCTTTCATGTGTGGGATACCAGCAGTGGGCCCACCGCTAGTGTTCTTCTCCCAGTGCTCGGCCCACTAGCAGGGCATATTACAGTGTTGTAACCATTAAGCAATGGGCCCACCGCCACAGGTCAGAGGGTGGGCCGACGCCAGAGCATGTTATCGCCATCGATGGGCCCACTGCCAAAGTATGATCAATGAGCAGTGGGCCCATCACCACAAGTGTAAGATGACGGATGGGCCCACCGCCAAAGGTCAGAGTGTTGGCCATGGCCAGAGCATGTTTGTCTGAGCAATGGGCCCACCGCCAGAGTATGATGAATGAGCAGTGGGCCGATCGCCCAGAGTGTGACCTGAAGGATAGGCCCACCGCCAAAGGTTAGAGGGTTGATGATTGCCAGAGCATGTTATCGCCAGCAATCGGCCCATCACCAAAGCACCCTCAGTGAGGGCCTTACTGCAAGCACCCATGGGATAGGTCATCACCAGGACATGTTTCCACCAGCAATCGGCCCACTGCCAAAGGTCAGAGGGTTGGCCAATGCCAGAGCATGTTATCGCCAGAAATCGGCCCACCGCCAAACCCAGTGGGTTGACAATCACCAGGATATGTCATCGCCACCAATGGGCCCATTATCACATACAGCCCTGCAGTTTCCAGGCGCATTGGTGGTGATGATGTGCTCTGGTGATCGCCAACCCTCTGACCTTTGGCGGTGGGCCCATCACTCACCAGCACTCATGGCGGAGGGCCAATTGGTGGCGAAAACACGGCTTGGCGATGGCCAACCCTCTGACCCTTGGCAGTGGGCCCTTTGCTGGTGGAGCAATATTCCCATGCAGTGAAGCTCTCACTCAGGTCCTTTGGGGATGGGCCAATTGCTGGCAACAACATGCCTTGGTAATGGCGAGCGCAGTCCGCCCATCTCAAGAGTACACTGGAGGAGTGATGGGCTTTAGAGCTTAGTGATGCAGAAGTGAATGTATCCATTTTGTACTGGTATATAAGCTGTTACATAGCGGTCATATATTGCTAACACCAGAATGCTCAAAGACACTAGTTCAGTTGCTGCGATACACCTTGCCACGAATGTCCCTCAGAATGTACCCCATTTGGAACACGGTCAAGCTGGCATTGAGGTTCGCAACGTGCATATCCTCAGTGAGGTTAAGCTCATGCTGAAGACGTACAATGCACTCCCGCAACATGGCGCAACAATGACTAACCACAAAGCTATCACCTTCGTCATCGTCCACTATGAATAAGGTCAAGATCAGACTGAAGGTTGCCAGGGATGTACTCACTAGAACTGTCTGCCTCTGCTGTGATCTGTGCAAATGATCTACCGAGGTGGGCCACTTGTGAGCCAGAAGCGGCATTCGTCTCTCCAGGGACTGCCATTGGCAGCAGCTGTGTGATATCTGGGAATAAGCCTGGAACCTGTTCTCAATGGGTGGGACGATGGATCGGCAGCTCATCTGGAAGTGCTGCCAGACTTGGCATCCTGGAAGTAACAGTGACTGGCTCGATGCTGCCTTTCCACTAGTAGGCACCCTCTATGTATACAATGTTCCCAGTTGACTGGGGGAGAAATTGTGCACAACCTGGCCACCATTGTAATGAGCACATTGTAAATATATTGTACACATTATTGGCCAGATTGTACATGCATTGTAGATATATTGTACACATTATTAACAAGATTGTACATGCATTGTGCACATTGTATACAAAATAAAGTTACACTCAGCCAGGATTGAACCCCTGACCTGCCGGCACATGCTTACATAAGCCAATATTATATACACTTTCCCACTAAGCCATTCTGCCATGCTATTTATTTAGCCTTAATTGTATACAAGGCTACTATCTATGCTAAGAGATATTATAATGCCTTGTAATGACTACTACATTCCACTTATTACATAATCTAATCCTCTACTAATAGAGATTGAACTTTTATAATAGCTTTATTACAACATATTTTAGCACCTTTGGCATAAATAGTAGCCTTGTATACAATTAAGGCTGAAGAAATAGCATGGCAGAGTGGCTTAGTGGGAAAGTGCATATATAATATTGGCTTATGTAACATCTTTGTCAGTTATGAAAGATAATCTTTTCTATCAATAAGTAGCAAATTTTCATAAGAATTGCTACTTTTGAGTAGACTTATTTGTAGGTGCATAGATTAACTCAGGATAATCGTAATATAATCTTTCAGATAATCTGAGGATAATCTTCTGGATAATCTGAGAATAATCTGAAGATTAGTAATAAAATACAATTTTAACTTTGACATCAGCCAGGATTGAACCCTGGACCTTAGGTTGATTTTATAGAATATAATTTCAAGTAACACTTTAGACCACTTGACCATTAGGCCATACATCACAACTATCTTATATTAAATTAGACATCTTTTTATTGAAAAAGACTTAGCCAAATTCTGTCTATTAGAAAAGAGTAAGTAAAAGACACTTGACTTTTATCATAGATAGACAAGCCTTATAGACAAACAGTACTCTGCATCTTATTATAGTCTTGTTCTACAGCTTACAGTTTTTGTAAACTATCATGCAGTACTATAGAGTATCTTAATCTAGTCATCTATAATATATAACAAGTTATTGAGAGACAGTATTTTATTTGTTCATTTTAGGCTTATACTCTAGAGTCTATTATATTATAGACTGAGCACTTATATATACAAGATTTTTATAGCTATCTTCTAATTGTATGGCAAAATTCTGTTTTGCTGAAGTAACTGTAGAAACATATATTCTATTAATTACATATTGTACTACATTATATGAAGGCTGCAAGCATTAGAAAAGACTATAAGACTCAGAGTAATGTTTGTTTATAAGTCTTGTCTATCTATGATAAAAGTCAAGTGTCTTTTACTTACTCTTTTCTAATAGACAGAATTTGGCTAAGTCTTTTTCAATAAAAAGATGTCTAATTTAATATAAGATAGTTGTGATGTATGGCCTAATGGTCAAGTGGTCTAAAGTGTTACTTGAAATTATATTCTATAAAATCAACCTAAGGTCCAGGGTTCAATCCTGGCTGGTGTCAAAGTTAAAATTGTATTTTATTGCTAATCTTCAGATTATCCAGAAGATTATCCTCAGATTATCTGGAAGATTATATTAAGATTATCCTAAATTAATCTATGCACCTACAGATAAGTCTACTTAAAAGTAGCAATTCTCATGAAAATTTGCTACTTATTGATAGAAAAGATTATCTTTCATAACTGACATCACTGTATGTAAGCATGTGTCGGCAGGTTAGGGGTTCAATCCTGGCTGAGTGTAACTTTATTTTGTATACAATGTGCACAATGCATGTACAATCTTGTTAATAATGTGTACAATATATCTACAATGCATGTACAATCTGGCCAATAATGTGTACAATATATTTACAATGTGCTCATTACAATGGTGGCCAGGTTGTGCACAATTTCTCCCCCAGTCAACTGGGAATATTGTATACAAAGGTGTGGCCCACAACTGGCCTTTCATATAGTGAATGACAGGTGCATCATGGCGGAAATTGCTGTCATCGAAAGTGCGAGCTGGCGAGTGAGAGGGTGCCGATGGCAGAGGCGGTGGACTTAAAACATCGTCCAACAAAGGCCGCCTCTTTGGAGGCGAAGCACTGGGACTATTTAGCCACCGGACCTGGCTACGCACAGGCATCGTGCCAGGGCTGTCTATCACCAGAGCTCGCCGTCGTCCTGGCGTGGCGGGAGGACTATTGTCAAAGTCCAACAGTTTCGGCACTGGTTCCACGTCAAGTGTCTCGTCCACCAGCATGCACCTCGCCATCGGCGTACTTGCTTGACTATCGAAGTGGATGGACGGACGTGGTGTAGCGTCAAGGGGCTCAGCGATGAGCGATCGTTAAGGGAGTTGGGAGGTATCAGGAGTGCGAAAGTCGAAAGGGTGAGCTGGTGGAGGAAGGAGAGTAGCTTCCAACAGGGTGCATCGAGGGATTGGCGAGATGCCAGGAGTGTCAAAGTCGAACATTCCACCGGGCGCAGTGGGGGTGGAATCTGAGATGAGTGCACGCCTATGAATTGGCGAACTGCCATGACTTTCATCCTAAGCTGGCACCAGAGGGTCAGGAATAAGTGCGCGACTTCCCTCCACAGGCGCCACAGATCCAGATGACGCCTGTACCTTTGGCGAGGCGTGGCGGTGGAGATGCTCATGTGGCGAGTTGGATGGCGCAAATGGAGCCGCCAGGGACGGGGTAGTGTGGCGGGGCGCGAGGGGTGTCTGAGAAGCAGAGTGGAGAGGCAAGGAGATCTGAGCAGATTGAGGAGAGTCAAGGAGATCCGAAATGAGTGAACGACGGGGCTCAGCGATACTATCCTCCTCATCCAACTCGCCCATCATAATGTCCAGCATGTCAGGAGGTTTTGCGTCACTGGCCATGGCAGGTAGATTGTGGCGAGCAGACAAGTCTTCGATCAGTCCTGGATCGCGGGAGATCAGTTGTAGAAAGGGGATTGATATGACATAGAAAGGTCAGATAATGTCACAAAGGAGTCAGATTCCACAAGGAGAGCAATAGAACTTACTGTTGGGAGCCATGAGAACTTGCGGCAGGTCACACTGACCTTGAGAGACTTGAGAAATCGTGCAAGTCCAGTGATCACGTGCAAAGCACGTGGTCGCGTGGCGTGTGAAGTTGAACTTGGTGCAGATCGTGTCTGCCAGCTTATAGCGTCGTCTGCTCCACCTCCGCTGTACTGCAACCTCTGCTTTTAAACACCCTCACACTTTCTTCTGCCAAGCTCACCATGCCTCTGGATATCGACCCCAACTATGTTCTGCAGGTCGCGCGACTGACGGCCATTGTTGCAGCGGCACCTCGCCAGAACGACCCTCGCTATCCGGACTGGGAGACGAGAATTTACCTCAAAGTGGTAAGTCATCGGTCGAAGGTCTCGCATGCACTCACCGCATATGCCACACAGAGTTGGCTTGAAAAGAGTTTCCCGCAGCCCTTGAGGATGCCTGGCATTGTCATTAGCGCGTTGCTGGAATTCACCCGGGCATATCAGCAGAAGGCCCTGGCGCGGCTGGACCACATATCAAATGACGATGAGAGGATATACAAGAGGTACCCTCTGGCTGTGCGCAAGTATGGGGAGTGTGAGGACCTGGGAAGGCAGTGGTGGACTGAAGGTGAGTCACAAGCATTGTAAGACGTCGAGTGACACACTGACTGCACCAGATTCATAGCGCAAGCTGCCACCGGTGAAGAGTATGCCAGTGGCTGGCTTGGGCAATGTGCCAGCCGATGATGACACCCAGGGATGTGGCGCGGAGGACCTGGGGACCGGGGACCTTGTCACCAAGGGGAAAGGCAAGGAGAGAGCTAACAACGATGCCAGGACAGGTATGATGGGTGATCGTATCGTCCACGTGGAGGCGAGGGAGGACAAGAGAAAGGGAAAGAGCAAGGAGAAGGTGCAGGGGAAGGCGGCCCATGCGATGAGAGAGGGAGAGGGAGAGGGAGAGGGAGAGGGAGAGGGAGAGGGAGAGGGAGAGGGAGAGGGAGAGGGAGAGGGAGAGGGAGAGGGAGAGGGAGAGGGAGAGGGAGAGGGAGAGGGAGAGGGAGAGGGAGAGGAGCAGGAGGGCGAGGACGACAATGATGCTGACAATGATGACGGTGATGAGGATGACGATGCCGACAAAGATGATGACGATGAGATGGCAGAAGACGTGCCATGTGCAGGCCAGCCCAAATCCATCGAGGTTGATGCGGCATCGCCTGCTCTGCCAACTGCCAGACCAACATCGATCTCGCCAGCTGCCCCACCATTCTGAAAGCGCAAGGCCATCATCACGGAGTCGAGTGAGGAGAGTGAGAATGAGGAGGTGGCTCTGAAGGCGAAGCAGATGAAGCCGATCGAGGTCACAAAGGAGAAAGGCGAGGCCCCGACCACCTTTGGTCGAGCGCAGCGTGCGCAGAAGAGGATGGCGCAGACCGAGGTGGAGGGCTCGAAGGTGAGCATGAAGAACAGTGGGAAGAGGAAGGCGAAGGAGTCAAGCGATGAAGAGAAAGTACCGACCGTCAAGCCGCCAAAGAAGAAGCGCGCGATGAAGGAATACAAGAGCAAGTAGTTCATCGAAAGTGAAGATGAGACTCCAGCGCTGCCTTCCAATCTACCCGCCAAGACCGCAGGGGACTCTAACGCCGGTGTTGCAAAGACGAACGCCCCTGCCAAACCTGTCAAACAGACAACGAGGATCATGGCGTCACCTCATGTTGGACCGAAGGTAAAGGCGAAGGGAAAGGCAAAGGCGACAGCGAAGGGGAAGGTGACAGCGAAGGGGAAGGTGATGGCAAAGGGGAAGGCGACGGTGAAGGCGAAGGTGATGGTGTCGCAGAAGGACATGTGGAAAAAGATGTCCACCCGCATGTCTGACTTCATGTGGGCACATGCAACAGATTCGGTGAGTAATGATCTTGTCAGACATTGACTTGTGCTAATGTTCCTGCAGCTCGTCCCTTGTGTTGGCTGCAAGGAGAAAGAGTGGCCATGCAAGCTCAACACCGCCAACTTCGGTCGCTGCCTTGAATGTGCAGCACGAGGTGTCAGTTGCAGCATCGCGCCAAGGAATACGGACAGCGTGTTCCTGCGAGGAAACTCACACACTGCACAGCATGAGTTCCAAGAGATGTGCGCAGTGCTGGTGGTAGAGGGCAAGCCACTGCCGATGTCGCCACCTTCATATGATGTCAAGGTTGACTCCGATGAGCCCGACGGTGCAGAACCAATGGTCATGGGAGCGTCGAAGCGCAAGCCGCTGAAGAAGACCAAGACGCGCAATGCTGCAGCATCCAGCTCCAAGGTCAAGGGTGGCGAGGAGGTCGAGGCAATGAAGCAGAAGGTGACTGCCACGCCCAATGAAGCCAACCCTGAAGGTGAGGCCTCGGTGGAGAAATTGTCGAAGTCCAAGCGTGCCACCAAGTCCGCCACCACCACTGGAGCCATGGCTCCCTCAAACTCTGGCAAGGTCGCCAACTCTGGTGAGGTCTCCAAGTCTGGTGCGCCTGCCAAGTCTGGTGCAGTCGCAAAACCTGGCGAAGGTAAGAAGTCAGGACCCAAGCCAAAGCCGGTGAGGAGCCAAAACTCAGGTGTGCAAGATGATGGCGAGGTCACCAGGACCTCAGTATGTGAGGCGAATGAGGTCCCGCCTGCCAAGTCTGTTGCGAAGGAGGGCGGGCAGACAACAAGGGTGGCGATGAGAGGTCGCTCGGGCCCAATGGTGCCCATGATCACCAGGAAGGCAAAGGCAAATGCTTGGAAGGCAGCAGCCAAGACGCCTCTGGTGGAAGGCGATGGTATGGAGGAAGCAGCCAGGCTGGCAATGGAGGCGGTGCAGGCTATGGCCTTCCAAACAGGGCCAGCTGCTCCGCTGCAAGCTAGCAGCAGCAAGCGCATGCTGACACCAGTCGCCGATGAACCAGAGGATGTGCCAGAGTTTCAGGCAGAGGTGGCGGAGGATGAGGTAAGCAGGACATTTTCTCGCAGCTGGAGTCAATGTAACCATGAAACAGCACGCGTCCTTGGAGCGGCCACACGATGATCGGCGGCGTTCACTGCTGACGCCCCACGAGATGAGCGCAGGAGCTGCCGAGGTGGCACAGGAGGTGACGCCCTCCCTGGACGTATCCAAGGTGTCAAAGAGAGCGAAGTCCTCCGCATTGGTGAAGGCGGGACACATCGATGGAGGGCGAAGGCCAGCAAAGAAGGGCACCACATTGGACCGCAAGGCAGCAAAGAAGGAGGTGGAGGTGAAAAGGGATGCAAAGGCGAATCGCCTCAGAGCAGTGCCTCCGACCAGCAAGGGTGAGTGCACCCGCCACAGGGTCGAATCCATGCAGTGCTGACCAGGGATACAGCACCCCACTTGCGTGATGTCCAGCGAGTGTCTACAGGAAGTCCTGCTCCATCGAACGAATGCGACACCCCCAGTGGTGAAGAAACCTCGCAGTCATCCAACGATGACTGCGCAAATTGTGCCGAGTTGCGACAGGAGTTCCTGGCACACAAGGATGAGATGGAAGTCCAATTCCAGGAGAGGATGGTGGACCTCAACACCATCAAGGCGGAGATCACAGTGGCGCTGCAGCGAATCAACCCGCCATCCGCGCTTCAAGAAAATGCCCGGAGCATTTGCGAAGAGGTCAAGTTGGCGATGGAGGAGTTTCGCAGGCCGGTCACCATCGAGCTTCAGGAGAGCGTGAAGTTGACAGTGGCGGACCTCGTCGCCCAGCGACATTGCCTGCCAGAGCTCAAGGAGAAGGTCAACAGGTTGGAGCAAGGCGTGAACCAGACGGTGAACCAGGCAGACATCAAGAAGCTGCAGGGTGAATTGGCCGACCTCCATCATTCGATGGAGCTCCAGGCAGCGCGGTCAGACAGCATGGAGAAGGAGCTCAGGTCTTCGGCGGCAGAGGTGATCGCTCAAGCGAGCAAGCTGGAGATGGAGTTGGTGCTCGCCAAAGAGGATTCGATGGCGGTGGCGACGTCCGCTTTGGATGAAGCGAAAAAGGTGGGGAAGGAGGTGGCGATGGCGAGAGAGGAAACCTCACTGGTGGTGAAGTCTTTGGACGCATTCCGAGAGAAGGTCGACTCCACCATGGTCTTTACCGCCTTTCGCCCCGGTAGCCACAATGTGTAGTCATTAGAATATTGATATACATGCTTTTTAACCTAGCATGGAATCTTCATGCATTCGATTCGCCACTGCCACGCCAAGTCAACTGAATGCCTGCTGAAGTTCTTGCCCACTCCCCTCGCCATCGCCACCATCTCCATGGCTTTACCTATGTAGATATATGGGTCTCATTATAGAAGGTGAAACAATGTGGAAGCCTACGAGTCTACTTTGAACTGGAGTTATATTGTCAAGGTCTGGTGCCACCACTGCGGGTCTTGCGACCTGCACCAACTTGGCCACTCTCTTTCACTTTGGCGGCTGCTTTCCTCAGATGCACCGGCTTCAGCTTGGTTTCTCCCTTGTCCTTGACCTTTGGGGTCTGAGGCAGAGCTCGTCTTTGCTTTGCGGGAAGTGTGTCACCATCATCCGAGTCCTCGGCCCTCGCATTCTTCTTCCTCGGTGACACCACTACCAACTCGTCCCGAGTACCATGTCCACGCTTCCGAGGTGGCGGATTGTCTTCGCCAGAGCTGTCTTCACCATCGGGCTCGGGACGTGCTGGTTGACATTTCTGCTTTGGATCAGGAAGCTTCTTCAAATCTTTAACAGCTCCTAGTGGATGCTGACTGTGGGTATTCTTGGCGGGCAACTCATCCATCGCTTGACGCTGACTGCAAGTGATCCTGCCGGGGATATTACTCTGAAGGGCATCGGTGATCGACCATCCCTGGAGTGCTTTGGCTTGACCTGACGGACGGCCTTTCATGGCTGCCGCCTTCCTTGTCTTAGGTATAAACGGAGGCGGTGGCGGTCGTTCGGCACCACTGCTAGGTACGGACAAGTGTGCATCGTCCTCTTCGCCATTGTCAGAGGCCCCACCACTGGTCTCCTGGCTCGGCCCTTCATCTCCTCCACTTGGAATGATTGGGTTGTTGGCCGTGGCGGCAGGCTGGTGAGCCTTGTGAACTTTGGCAGCGGTAGCAGTGCCATTGTGAGTTCTTGCAGAGGCATCACCTTCCTGCTCCTCCTGGCCCCCAAGGTCATCGCCACCTTGAGGGGCACCGCGTATGGCAGGCTTGCTCACTGGCTTCACCATGGCATGGGTGACATTCCCTTTCACCATGTCCAAGGTAATGATCTCGCAACAGCGAAGCAGCTGCTCTACTGCATCAAATGAGATCGCCGAGTTCACCACGTAGTCGGGAAGGTTCATCGGTTCGCCCTCCTCAATGAACTGAGATCATGTGAGGTCCCTCAGCACCATACCAATCACGAGTGCAGATTGTTGTACGCCCTGTGGATGTAAGAACTGATATTTTATCAGCCATGGTTTGTCGCCTAACCAGTTCTCGATGATGTCAAAGTTGTCCACTGCATGGAATGATGGCGGGAGGTCGCGCTGGCCATACGACCATTCGCTCCAGGGAATCGGATCATACCTGGCGAAATGATACATCTGGGGCTATATGACGGATGATCAATGGTGGCTATGAATCCTCACCAAAGGAGCTCACCACAGTCGCAATCTTGACTTCCTTCAGCATATCCTGGTATCGCAGTTTGACGGAAAGGGTGGCAAGAAACACGTCTCTCCTTTTGATGAGGTGGGGCACAGTACTCCCCACAGTACTCCCGCCAGTGAGATGTGGGGCTCGGCCTTGAAGCTCAAGCCTCAGCTCCTTTGTACTGAGCTCCAGTTCACTCGATGCTTCATCAGTCTCCTCCATGTCAAATCTGTGCAGTGCGCCCAGAGGAAGGTCTTGGCGACCTCGCTTTTCCTTCATCTTGGCATCGCCACTACTGCTCGCTTGAGGTGCACCACCATTGTTAGCCTTACATCCATTGGTGGTGGTGACCACCTTGCCCTTCACTTTATTCACAATCACGCTCTCGCCATCCCCTGAATCTTCATCGCTGGCAGTATCTTCTTCGGAAGCCATGCTGGGTATATCTGGCGAACTCCGATCAGAGTCTTGGCTGCTTCTGGCATCGTCTTCTGAGTCGTATGCATCTTTCATCTTGCGTTTATGCCCACCGCCTTTGGCTCCGCCAGGGACAGCTTTGCCCTTTGTCTCCTTCGATGCCGTCTTTTCCGTGACCTTGCACACAGGTTTACCCTTCTTCTTCGCCTTCCCCGCCTTCTTTGGTGTGAGTGCTTCTTGGACCTCATGTTCAGATCCTTCTTCTAATGCCTGTGCTGATCCGTCAAGTGGTGGAAGAGGATCATACTTGGCGGGAGCAGCTTTGCCATCCTTGTCGAAGTACTGGGTGAATTGCATGGTCTGCTCAGGTCCATGTTCCTCTTGGCGTGCCCGCAAGTGGTCGAGGAGGGCACGAACAGGAACACTTGTCATCTTTGAGAGATCGATCCACTGGAAGTTCTCAGGTAGCATCTCCGCTGGAATAACCTCATTGATGTCATCTATGCTGTTCAGCTTTGTCCATGGCGACTTGCAGTTCCGAACACCCTTCGCCAATGCTGTAAACTGATCAGCATCTCTCAACACCCAGTGAGAGTGTCATACCGTAGTGATGATTCATGAAGTCTCGAACTTGTACCTTCATCACCTTGAGAGGCGCTTCCGCCATACCTTCGGGCACTGACAGGAGCAGAGGAAAACTGTTGGCCGTCAACTGAATCTTGTCCATGGCCCGCATGCAATCGGCAGGTGTCTTCTTCACCATCACTGTAGTCTCAGTCACACCTAAGGAATCAGGTCAGTGTGCCAGCGACAATGCAACTGAGGTCTTCTTATCGTATTCACCTTTGGCCCACTCAGAGAACACCTTTGCTAGAGGCTAATAAGCACGCAGCCACCCAGGATAGGCCCCGAATGGAGTTCCATTAGTGATGGCGTGGTTGACCTCTACCCTTCACTCGGGGGTTAGCAGATGGCGACAGTCGGACGGTCTACGCTCACATCTCTACCTTCAGACTTCCCGCTTCCTTCGGATATGCTAGCATGAATGCCATGTGAATGCCCATGGTGTCCCACATAGTCTTGGCAAACTTCTTCAGATATTGCATCATTCGCTGCTCCCTCAGCCTGTCTTAGGTCAGGATTTGCCTTATGCTACGTGACAGGAGGTACGCACTTCATTTTCGTCTTATCATCCAGAGTGCCATTGCGCCAACTCTCCGCCTTTTCCTCATACACCTTCTGCTCCTCCTCGGACAGTTTTGCCCATTTGGCACTCCGTGCGACTCTCCACACCTTGGAGACATTGCAACCCTTTTCTGCTGCAAGTGCTCTCGCTGCCTCAGTCACCTTGTCCCTCTCCAGCGCATCCCACACCTTGAAGGCATTGGGCTTGCCAGAAACATGCATACGCTTTTTTGTCGCTTTCTCCTGTGCATGGTGGACATGGTTATTGAGCCACTCTCAGATTTTCTGCGGTGAGAGTTAGTGGGGACCTCACAGACATGAAACACTGCTCACAGTTTCCACAATGATGTCGTCATAATTTGACGCATCGACAAACTGTGTCTTCAGCTTCTGGCGCAAGCTCTGAACCAGAGTCTTGCGACCCTTGACATCTGCCATGTCATGAGACCGCAGCTTCTCAGAGAGTATGGGCTGATGCTCTGTCAAAATTACAAATCTCGCTGGCATGCTTTCTCGATGTCGAGGATGAGATTTTTGTGTTGGGGCAGTGAAGGGGGTCGATAGTTCAATGGGCAGTGCTCTGTCCATTTCCTCGTCGGCCGCCCACAACTCAACATGCACGTGCTGATGGCCCATTTGGGCTTACACCAATTACCCTCCTCACCATGGTGTGTGGTGACTGCTGAAGCATTGTATGTGTATTTTTCGCAGTGGCGGGAGGTGGTAGTAGGTATGCACTAGCATTCATGCCTGGTGAAAGGCAATGTTGAATGCCGCTTCTATGGCAGAGCACACCACGCCAACTCTATCTTGCGAATGCTGGGTGGAGGCAATCTGGTGATCATCTGCATGCCAATCTGTGGGATAAAGGGCTTCCTCGGAGTTAGGCTCGGCCAATTAGATGGCAGTGACGAAGGGCCCAGACATGGCAGACCACCCGGCCCGTGATCTGGCATGGCGGCATCAAGTCTGGCTCGGCGGCATGATGAACATGTGAGATGTGCAAGGGATGTGCTTGCAAGCAACATGCAGGCAGATGAATGCATACTGTGCTTTGCCATTGTGGCCCCTCCTATATTCTCCCCTGCATCTGCAAGCCAACCGTCTGAGCCCGCCATACACCTGTGCATTCCTTCAACTGATGCATGCTGTAATCATCCCATTGATTGGCAGACAGTATCAAGATGAGCAATCTGTCACCCATGCCACTGACCGATCAGATTGCAGGAGTCTTGGAGCTCATGTTCCACCAGAAGCTCCATCTGGCCACTCATGCAGCCCATTCTGCGCCATCCATAGAAGTGCCTCTGTCCATGCCATCCGCCCTCCTATTGGAGTGCAATGACATTGCGGATGCTCTTGTGAAGGCCATCCGTAATCCTGGTAGTCATTAGTCTTGCCGCAGGTCTGATCACACTGATCATGCCATTGTAATAGTAAGGCTGCAGTGGGACATTGATAGATATTGCGACAGCCTTTCGATTCAGCCCATGGGGCAGAATGAAATTCTCAAGGCAGAACTGGAATGGAAGTGGCCTCCTCCATTTGGTGAGAGTGAAATATGCATAGACTAGCCCACCACCTTCGTGGACATGCACGGATGCATCTTGGCTTGGATACTTCCAAGAGTGTTGATACCAGACTGTCAGGTGAGTGGCTTGCCCAGCCTTGCGCTGTGATCTGACAAATTTGTCAGACAAAGATGCTCCAAGCGACCAGGGCCCTACACCCAGCAATAGCAGCCAGTAAGCCTTCCAGCACCACTGCCAGTTGGCGACACAACCCCTTGTACTTCTTGCCTCCTGAGGAGTGTGCCCAATTCCCAGCGGGCTCCTTGTGTCTCTCGCCAGGTTGGTTCCAACAAGTCAGAGAGGTGGGTCTCCTCGCCACGCCATTTGCCTTGCATCTGGACAGGCTTTGCAGCATATGGAGTCTGGGAGGCTGGAGATTTTCGCCAGCCTGAAGCTTGAGGGCAGAAGAAGTTGGCTGCGTGATATTCATGATTCCTCCACATTGCTGGGTGCCATCCTGGCCATTGTTCACCCAACACTATATGCCGCAGGATGCCAGTGCTTGGGTTTGATCCAGCAAGACCCAGAATTGTGAGAGATGGTGCTGAACTGGTCATCGCCATTCAATGTGCTCCAGGTGATCGCCAACTGGGAAACTCCTTTTCACTGAGATAGCATACACATTCTACGACCTGTTGGCGACGTTGGGCAACTACACTTGTGTGTGGTTGAACTTCCCCGCCATGCGTGTCGCCATCGATTATAGTCCTAGAACCATCATAGCCTTTTGTGGAAAGGCGATTCATCATGGCGTCACTCGAGCAGATGGCGAAAGGCTCGTCTATGCATACTTCATGCGAGAGGGTGTCCAGAACAGGCTGGGCATTCTGGCACCCCACTGGATGCAAGCTTCATATTACGCCTCACACATTGGCATGTGCACAGTTCATCACCGAGTCTGCATTCCTAACTCAGAACAGGTCCTAACTGGCTCGCTTATTAGAGGGACATCATGCCAAAGACTGATGGAGATGAGAACACTATGCAGGGGATGGAGACTGTCGATGGCAGCTTCATTGGTGGGACAAAGTTAGTGGAGGTGATGGTGAAATATATGGAGTCACGAATTTCCAAATCCTAGCTGAAGGTTGGCGAGCGCGCAGTACGAGTGCGCATTTCACATCTCGACAGTGTTCAGCTCAAGGTGCACTTCAGGGTACCCTTTATCCCTAGCTCTTAGCAACAAGATCTTCTATAGTATGTCATAGCTAAGAGCTTCTTAAGTGTCAGACTGACCATGGTACCTATTATGTCCCAGGACATTCTGTGGGATTGCCCAGGGCATAGATACAATATAGGCTGGGCATATGGGATGATTATTATGTGGGATATCCTACTAGGCTAGGACATTAATTGTTTATCCCAGTATTACTGGTTGTCCCACTGTTAGCAGAAGATATATTTTTAGGCTGTTGTATATTTGTTGTTTCATCTTTTCATCTACTGCCATACTGTATAAATCTTAATTACATAGTACAGTAAACCAGTGCTTTATTAACACTTTATATAAAAATGGGACATTCCATTTTAAGAATATCCCATTTTAAGGACATCCCATTTTAAGGACATCCTAAAATGTGATTTATTTGTATGCTGACAGCTATTCAGGCTATTATTTGTCTAAATATATCTGTTAAACTACTATAATTACCTAAAGACCTCCACTAGTTATTGTATTATTAAGATTGGAGAGTAGCAGGTCCTTAAATGGGATATCCCATCCTATAGCATAATGTCCCAGAGTATAAGAAGTCATTGGGTGAATGTGTTTGTGAATGCAACCTTACTGCAATCTTAGGTCAAATGTCTTCCTTGCTTTGTTCAGGTACATTCTATAGTAGCAGACTTGACTTGTCTCTTATTTGCTAGTGTATAAGTAGACTGAGTTACTGTGTTTCTTTTGGTTATTAATGAAAGTTATAGAATATTCATGTTAGACGCAATATACTAAAGGTGACATCACGTCAATTTGAACATTACATCAGAAAAGATATAATTTCTTTTGAAACACGAGAATAAGAACTGTTGTTTGGCCTGTTATAGTTGTTCTTTGATCTAATGAACATATTATACATACCACTAATAGTAATTAGTATTATAACACTGCAGGTGAATATAAATCCTAGTATGAGATATCCCACTACTTGTGTATCTCCCATCTCATTTGAAGTATCAGTAAAGCACTGGTTTACTGAACTATGTAATTAAGGTTTATACAGTATGGCAGTAGATGAAAAGATGAAACAACAAATATACAACAGCCTAAAAATATATCTTCTGCTAACAGTGGGACATCCTTATGTACCCCTAACACTATGGAACAACCAGTAATACTGGGATAAACAATTAATGTCCTAGCCTAGTAGGATATCCCACATAATAATCATCCCATATGCCCAGCCTATATTGTATCTATGCCCTGGGACATAATAGGTACCATGGTCAGTCTGACACTTAAGAAGCTATGACATACTATAGAAGATCTTGTTGCTAAGAGCTAGGGATAAAGGGTACCCTGAAGTGCAAGGTGTAGTTATCACTGATGGCAGCATATGGTTGGCGGACCTCGAAGTTGGCGGAGGTGGTGGCATATTCAGTCGAGAAGTTGTGAGTGCTAGTGGGGCAGATGGCGGCAGTGTTGGCGAGCACGCGGTGCAAGTGCATGTTTCTCTTTTGAACATTATGCTACTCCGAGTCAAGGCAAAGTTAGCACTGAGGGCGACATATGATTGGCGGACCTCTCGCCAACATGGCATCCTTATCTGCATAACGCTGATACAGTGCCTAAAGAGACCACGAGGTGATAGGGCCCAGGCATTGCAGCCATTCGTAACCACCTTGATGAGTAGTCTGGTGGGCAGCAAGGCTGTGTGTGATTTGCACGTGTTGTGCGATAGGGACACAATGCTCATCGATGGGCTTGGAATATGACTCCCTACTGACCTGAACCATGAGCAGACGCAACAAAAGCAGGCTCGTTGTAGACCTGGATGACGAGGTCGAGTTTGTGACCAAGGTAGCTAAACAGACCACTAGGGGAGTATGCTATGTGGACGTACCTTTGCCTATGCCCATGGGTTCAAACGGGCCATCATCTTCCAAAAGTCCATCGAAGGCTCCAGCTTCAGGCTCCTTGTTTAACTTGGATGATGGCGATGTCCTGGGCAACATAGGTGTACCGATTCAGCTGGATCCAGTGGCTCGGAAGACAAAGGTGGGCACTCCCGCCATGACCATCTGACAGTCTGACCATGCCCGATAGACCCAGAATGACTTCATGAGGGACTGGATACCCCACTGTGATGACTATCTTCATGCCATTATTGAGATGGAAGCCCCGCCTGAGCCCAGAAACTGTGCGGAATGCAAGGTTGGTGAGGGACGGTGGCGATGTCTGGACTGTATGGGCAGACTGCTCACCTGTACCGACTGCTGTCATAATGGCCATCAGCATGCTCCTTTCCATCGGATAAAGCATTGGCAGGGTCAGTATTTTGAGCTGGCATCACTGTATCGGGTCGGCGTCTGCATCCATTTGGGGCATGGCAGAGATCCCTGCCCTCTGGGCGCCTTCACAGCACATAACAACCCTGCACCGGTGGTGGCCCCGGGGTCCGATTTCTGGAATGCCTCCAATGAAGACCTAAACACACATGATGGCGAGGTCCCAGATGATGGCGAGGTCCCATTCGACTTTGCACCTCTGACAGGCACCCTTGACAGTGAAGCAAGGCAAACCGACGATGCTCCCGATCCCACTTGGGAGGAAGATGTGCCACCGGTGCTCTCCCGGCCACCTCGCCGTGATAGTTACGGGAATCAGATCATAGTCATTGTCGACATCTCTGGCGTTCACCATATCGGCGTTGACTGGTGCCAGTGTGAGATGGCAGTGGAGCGTGACATGCAGCTTCTTCAAATGGGACTTTACCCTGGTACCGTCAAGGATCCCCATACCGCCTTCACATTCGCCGTCCTCGACGATTTCCTTCTGGAGAACAAAGAGTGCAAGACGGCGGCATTGAACTACTACAGCAAACTCAAATGGGTCACGAGCAATGCCTTCCCTGGCACCATTCCCGTAAGTGTTCACATGCATTCCCATGGCCCAACCGTTCATGCCAGTTCCTCGCCAGGACCATTATCGTGAGCTGATGCGAGTGTCCCGCCAATGGTGCCAACTCAAATATCGCAAGTGGCACGGCTTCTCACACGATGCCCTCCATCCTGTGGAGAAGGGTGGCCTCGCCATCTTTTGTCCCACCTGTCCCCAGCCTGGGCTCAACCTGCCTTTCGATTGGCAAGTGGATCCAGTGCAGTGGAAGTTCAAATGCAGCTTCATCATGGATGGCAATTTCAGTGCAGAGCACATGAAGATGAAGCACCCTGAGGAGGACGTCACCCTCAGTGACGGCCAGGCATTCATGGTTGGCCAAGAGGATTACAAGGCTCATCTGGCGGTGGCCATGGAGTCGCATCAGGTGCATGTCTGGCTGCACGTTCTTCTTCCGCCCTTAACTCCTAAGCCCACCAGCGCTCCACTTGTCACGAGCACCGTGCTGTCAATCAGGCCAATGTGGATCGCGCCAACCTCGACGCTACAGGAATCATGGCCACTGCTTGGGCCAGACATGGTTTCTTCGTCCCTCATACTGTCGTCGATTTCCAGAAGGGAGAAAGGTTCGCATATGTCTCTTCTCATGATCCATTCTCACCGATGCACCCTCTGCAGACAAATGAATATGGATTACTCTCTCAGCAATGCGCTCCTGACCCTCATCGGTATCACCCTCGTCCTCGTCATGTACGACATCATATGCCAGTATGGTGTCCATGTCCGCAAACATTTCTGCCACAGCGCCTATCTGAGGATGCCCTTCAAGCTCAAGATAGACCAAGGCATCGGCTTGTTTCATGTGCACGGACACCAAGATTGCTGCTTCCAACGGTTCTCGCCCAACTTTATAGTTGGCGCTGGTATGGTCGATGGTGAGGTCATCGAGACCCTGTGGGCGCCGACAAATGAGGTCTCAGCAGTGATGTCAGTTATGGGTGATAATAAATTATGCTAGTTAACAGCATGAGAGGATAAGCAGGCTCCTAAGTTAGCAAAGGATAATCTTTGAATGTCTGAAGATAATCCTTAAGATAATCCTAAGAATGATCCAAAGGATTATCTGAGTTTAAAAGATATTTTTTAAGTTGTCACCAGCCAGGATTGAACCCTCAACCTTGAGAGAAAGTCACATGATCAACTGACACTAGACAACTTTAGCCACTACACCATATCAGCTTATAAACTTACTCTCATGTATCATACATATAGGAGATTTTGCTAAAGAGACTTAGGCAAACTCTGTCTATAAGTGCATAACTGAGTGAAACACAAGACAAAAAATGTCATAGTAGCATTTCATACAGTCTATACTGCTGTTTATATTACAATATCTATATATTAAGTTTGTATATGTCGTAAACTACTGTTTACCTTATAGGTACCATTAAAGGTCCATTCTCTAAACTTAAAATTTATGACTACAGTCTTTTTGTAAAAGATGAGATCACGATGTGATTGAATTGTAAGGTATGTACTAAAAATGTTATTATAAACATGCTTTGCCTTGTGTTCAACTTAGCTACTCTCTTATGATAGGCAGAACTTGTCTAAGTCTCTTTAGCAAAATCTCCTATATATATATTATACATAAGAGTAAGTTTATAAGCTGATATGGTGTAATGGCTAAAGTGTCTAGTGTCAGTTGATCATGTGACTTTCTCTCAAGGTTGAGGGTTCAATCCTGGCTGGTGACAACTTAAAAAATATCTTTTAAACTCAGATAATCCTTCAGATTATCTCAAAGATTATTTTGAGATAATCCTCCAGTTTAAAGGCTTGCTGATAAAATAATCCTGAAAGAGGTCTGCTAAGTAAGGAGTCTGCTAATCTTAAAGGTCTGTTAATTAACAGTATATATTATCTTCCATAAATGATGATGATGGTCTCAGGCAGTACCAGGGGCATGACGCGAGCTCACCGCCAAGAAGTCCTTGACGATCACATGAATGACTCCAACTGGAAGAAGACGACTTGCATGGGTGAGCCTGGTTCCTCCTTCCCTATTTGCCACCTGCCTTATGCTGCCTATAGTGCCAACCTTGATGACCAAGTGGAAATGCATGCTCCTGGGCTTCCCACGAAGCAAGGAGTCCTTTGAAGCTTTATCTGCATCCACAGATGAGGAGGCCCTTGAGGCATGGCAGAAGGAGTACGATGATGCTATGGAGGCTCGCCAAAATTATCCGAAGATCATGGACACCTTCAATGTCCAGCTCAGGAAGGGTGAGTATCCTTCCATCGTCGTGTGGCATGTAGTTGACGTGAATGCAAGCCCCAGGTAAAGACCTCACCCAACTCAGACTGACGGGCGAGGAGTCCACCAAGGGCTTGGAGAAGGGCATCGCCGGATGGTTGTTAACTGGCCTCAAAATTCAAGAAGCACAGTGAGTTTGCCTCGTCTTAACAAAAATACAGCTCTGACGGCCTTCAGGCTTAAGCTTACGAATGATATCCGCAAGGCAGATCAAAATCCAAGCGTGGCGGAGGACCTCAAGACTCTCGAGCGCCGTCAGCGCCTCGAAGTCAGCATTCTCACATTCCAACATCGCTCTGAGAAGTTCATGGGAAGGTTGAAGGACGTTCCTGCCATGGAAGATCGTGATGATGGTGCACTCTGGGATTCCTTGGATGAGAATCCTTTTCAAATACACCCTGAGGATGCTGAGTATAGTGAGGATGCGATTCCACCCGAGCGAGCTTCCTTGAATTTACCTTTGCAGATCGGATTTATGGCCGCCATCGCCAATGGGCTCCAGACCCTGGCGGCCCAAGAGTTGGAGTTGCACAAAGGCCTGATGAATGACATCCTCCACAAGCTTCGCATGGCCCTTGGACTGAAGTCTTACCTTTACCGCAAGAGAGTTCATCCTGCCAACAGTGTCAGAACCATGACTCGTGCACAGGTGGAGGTTCATGCTGCCGATCAGACCGTCTTGGCCTGCACCAGGCTCTATTCCACCAACCAACGTGCCATTATGCGCTTGGGCACCACTGATGAAGACTTGGCCCTCTATCGCCCTTTGGATAAAAAGGACCTGCACGTGAAGACTGCCATCATCGAGGCTAGCACCTCCGGGCTCAGGAACGTCAACCTGGCTTGGTTCTGGACTGTGGATGTCACTGGAGATTGAGGTTCATCAGAATGGATGGACGAGTGTTCGTCATTGTCTGATTGATCTCTAGGCCTCCTGCTAATTTACCCTCCAGTCTATAGAGTCAATTGGCTGCATGCCAGAGCTCGATATGAGAGATGGAGAGAGGAGCATGTCTTGGTCCACTCCGAAATGGCCTGGACCATAGCCACCTTCAAGCAGAATGCAGAACAATGGGCTCACTGGCTCGAGATGACGGATCCTTCCTGGCGGGGTCATGTTTGCTATGCCACCAGGCAAGTGAGTATGTGGCAGACCTTCGCCAGCCATGCTACTGACGCCTTCAGCCACATCCTCGCCCTGGACATTGAGGACGAAAGGGCGGGCCATGAAAATGCGCTTTGAGTCAGGGTTCAATGGGGTGTACGCATATTCATGTTTGCTATATCGATGTAGTGATCATCATGTATGTAATTCCTACTCACCAATATCACATTTGGCAAAGTGACCTTCATCCTCGCCTGAGGGCTTCATCTCGGCATGTGCTCTCCAATTGCATGACATCAGACATCAGATAAGGTCGATCAGATATTAACCTCGGCTCATCCACTCACCGTCATATCTGCCCAGTTCTTCAACATCAGATGCGCGCCCCTGCCTGTTCTCCAGAGGGAGGTTGCAGTTGGAAGTCTACACTTGGAGGATCCAAGAAGCTGTTCTAGCACTAGAGCCTAACCCAGATCACTTCACCAAGGTCCGTTGGGAGGAAGGCTTGCGCCGGGAGATGGTACACCTTTCTTGCTGATATTGCCTGACCCTGCTGAGTCCTGTGCAGTTTGCCATCAGGGGTATCTGTGGCGACCTCGTGTTGGCGGGTCATGCTGACCATATTGACCATGGCGGAGTTATCGCCAGTGTCCTCAGCATCTGCACTTTCAATCACGAAGTTCTGCGCCCCATCAGCATTGACATCAAGGCAATTCCACACCCCACCACCCTCGTTCCTCGTCCTAAGAACCTACTCGAGGATTCACCCGACTACTGGTGGAAATGGGATCATCAGGTTGGGCCGGTGGGGAGCCCTATGGAGGCCTGGTGGTACAAACTTGGTGATCCCTGGGTGAGTGGTACGTTCCAGCACCTTACAGTCTTGCTGAACCTCGAGAACTTAGAAGAAGGTGTACACCATCTCCGAGTCTACACTGGTGCAGCTTGAACAGCTGCATGTTCGCGTCGCGAACCTCACTAGTTGGTTGCACAAGAGGACAGATCAGAACCTGGATGTGGTGCTGGAAGAGCTGCGGGACGCGACGCGGCAGCTGCATGAGTTAGGAATGTAATCGCCCAATGCCAGGTGTCCATTCATGCTGTAGTGTGTCAAATATAAGGTTGTCATGTCTTTGAACCTGGGCAATGTACCTGGTGTGGTAAGGCGAAACATAGTAGCCACATACTCTCCTCAGGAGGGCACATCCCCAATGGTATCTGATGCATGGCTCGAAAGCCAATGCCACATGGGAGAGTTTGGCGAAGTCATTCTGGACTGCATGTTCAGATGGCGAGTGATATCCGCCACAGTTCGCCAACCCTACTCACGGTGGAAAGGACCGCCATTCATCTCCACATACTCTACCCAGAAGGGCACATCCCCAATTGTATCTGATGCATGTCTCGAAATGCTGATGCCAATTGGGAGAGTTTGGCAAAGTCATTCTGAACTCCATGTTCAGATGGCAAAGGATATTCGCCACAGTTCACCAACCCTTCCCACAGTGGGAGAGAGTGTGATACTGCAAGGAGAGCTGATAGCAAGCTAACCAGAATGGGAGGGAATGATGGGTGGATTACGTGGAAATTATTGGCCGGCGGTAGCTCCATCATTGCCCTGTTAGGCGATGGATCAATTACGAAAAAATATGCCCATGGCGGTGGACTGATCACTGAGAACTACACCTATGGCAGTGGGCTGATAGATCTGAGCAAGAGGTGCCACATGAGCAACAACTTGGCATCAGAGCCCCCTTCTTCTGTGGTGTCCTTCAGCTCATATGCTGATTCGTACATGTCTGCATCCTCGTCTACTTCGTGCTCTTCGGTTGACTTTGGGTACAATCTGTTTACTTCGTATGGTCTACTTCTTGGCTCGGGCAACCAGGCGTGGCATCCGCCCATGCTTCCCCCTGACCAATCTCCACATTTCATACATCCGCCCATGCTTCCCCCCGACCAATCTCCATGTTTCATACATCCACCTATGCTACTCCCTGATGAATCATCCGGTATGTTCCTTCACCCACCCATGCTCCACCAAGACGACACGGACATGATACGAGCCCAGTTGACAACCTAGGGCAAGGCAAATAACTTAGCTATGCCCAGGCTAGTCAGATATTTCAGGCGACCCATGCCTATGGGCTCAGAAATATACCTATGGCAGTGGGCCAATGGCGGTATAATAGCCCCGTGGCGGTGGGTCAATCGCTCAGAAATATACCTACAGTGGAAGGCTGATCGCTCAGAACACTACCTATGGTGGTGGGCCCATCGCTCAGAACACTACCTATGGTGGTGGGCCGACAGCTCTATAATAGCGCCGTGTATAATAGTCATTTACTACGCTGTGAAGTATATCACCATTGCGGTTGAGCTGTGAAATGACCATGGCAAGGTGCACATTCTCGTTCAAGATTGATGTGTGTAGACGGTGTGTCTCAATGTTGCATTGAGTGATTTCTTCATGCGCTCGAGCAATACAATGCAGACACTTCATTGCCTCGCGGACTGCTGGCTTGCTCCACTGCTTCTCGCGAATATCATTGCAAGTGTCTCGGAGGAGAGTGAACTCCTCAAGGAAGCTGTAGTGAGTAACTCGACTCCAGTCCAAGGCAGGACGGGGAGGGTCCAGAGCGGCGGCAGCAGCATTGTATGCATTAAGACTTGTCCGAATGGCCTTCGAGCAGTTCTGCAATGACTTTGCGATATGTGTATGTACACGATATGCTGAGAGACCATGGAAAGTAGCATTAGCGCATCAAAGTGTAATATAGTTTCAAGAATGTACCCGTCTGCAAAATGTTGAGATTATGCAGCTCAAATAACCGCTGGATCACACAGCCCATTCAGTCATGTTTGTGAACTGGACTTCCATTTACCCTGACATTGTCATGAACTGGACAGCCAGCGGATGTCGGCCCATCGGTCTGTGTAAGGAGCTGTCAGTGATCTGCTTATGGCGACAAAGAGAATGCTGGAGCGATGGGCCCACTGCCATGATGCTACTATTATACAGGCATGGGCCCACCACCATGGTGATAGTTCTGAGCGATGGGCCCATCGCCATAGGTGTATTTGTGAGCGATAGGCTCACTGCCACGGGGCTATTATACAGCTATCAGCCCACCGCCATAGGTAGTGTTCTGAGCGATGGGCCTACCACCATAGGTATATTTCTGAGTGATCGGCCCACCACCATGGGGCTATTTAACAGCCATCGGCCCATCGCCACCGTGGTAGTACTGAGCGATGGGCCGACTGCCATAGGTAGTGTTCTGAGCGATGGGCCGACCGCCATAGGTAGTGTTCTGAGCGATGGGCCGACCGCCATAGGTAGTGTTCTGAGTGATCGGCCCATTGCCACGGTGCTATTATACAGCCATCAGCCCACCACCACCGTGATAGTACTGAGCGATGGGCCGACCACCATAGGTAGTGTTCTGAGTGATTGGCTCATCGCTCAGTACTATCACGGTGGCGGTGAGCCGATGACTGTTAAATAGCCCCATGGTGGTGGGCCGATCACTCAGAAATATACCTATGGTGGTAGGCCCATCGCTCAGAACACTACCTATGGCGGTGGGCTGATAGCTGTATAATAGCCCCATGGCAGTGGGCCTATCGCTCACAAATACACCTATGGCGATGGGCCCATCGCTCAGAACTATCACCATGGCGGTGGGCCCATGCCTGTATAATAGTAGCATCATGGCAGTGGGCCCATCGCTCCAGCATTCCCTTTGTCGCCATAAGCAGATCACTGACAGCTCCTTACACAGACCGATGGGCCGACATCCGCTGGCTGTCCAGTTCATGACAATGTCAGGGTAAATGGAAGTCCAGTTCACAAACATGACTGAATGGGCTGTGTGATCCAGCAGTTATTTGAGCTGCATAATCTCAACATTTTGCAGACGGGTACATTCTTGAAACTATATTACACTTTGATGCGCTAATGCTACTTTCCATGGTCTCTCAGCATATCGTGTACATACACATATCGCAAAGTCATTGCAGAACTGCTCGAAGGCCATTCGGACAAGTCTTAATGCATACAATGCTGCTGCCGCCGCTCTGGACCCTCCCCGTCCTGCCTTGGACTGGAGTCGAGTTACTCACTACAGCTTCCTTGAGGAGTTCACTCTCCTCCGAGACACTTGCAATGATATTCGCGAGAAGCAGTGGAGCAAGCCAGCAGTCCGCGAGGCAATGAAGTGTCTGCATTGTATTGCTCGAGCGCATGAAGAAATCACTCAATGCAACATTGAGACACACCGCCTACACACATCAATCTTGAACGAGAATGTGCACCTTGCCACGGTCATTTCACAGCTCAACCGCAATGGTGATATACTTCACAGCGTAGTAAATGACTATTATACATGGCACCAGTGAGTTAATGCTCATTTGTTGCTGCATCTCTCACAAGTTCACAATCTCCGTGGCTATACCGGTGACAATACCATTGGAGTCCATCATGGTACGTCCTCCATGCCAGAGAGTGCCACCATGTAGTGTGCACATGATGATACTGTAGTAGCAGACGAAGATGACGATGGGGCAGAGGAGGCTGCAGCGGAGGAACTTTCTGTGCTTGTAGATTTTATGTCAAACATTGCTATTCATGCCTAGTCTCATGTAATATAACAAATCTTTGTTTGAACATGAAGTGTAGCCACTACAGACAAAGGTTTGCATCATGCATGAGGCTCAGTCATACAAGAGCCGACGAGATAACATCTGTCTAGCCGACGCACATTTGAAGCGCAACACTGTTGTCCATCTCCCTCCAACATCGATGCATCAAACTGCTCCTGTACCTCTTCCTTCTCCTCCCACTGGAAAATTGGGCAGGAAGAAATCACAGAATGAAAAATCGTGGTATGTGATCCTCGGAAGTCATGAACACAGGCCGATGATCACCCAGAACGAGTGAGAACTTTTCACTTACCTTATAGTCTACATTCTGACATCACCGCAGGCCCTTCTTGTCGTCTGGAGGAAAATTCAAGGCTAAGCTTCCAATTGTCTTCAAGTGCCCAACGAAGGAGCAAGCTGATGATGTGTTTCGTTATCAGCCTTTCCTGCAAAGTGTTGCTCACCTGAACAATGAAGAACTTACTCGCACCATCTGTCTATCGACCAGTGGCTCTGACATTCTCCTGAATATCAGGCCCTTATATCCTGTATTTTATGGAACGAAAGCTGCTGTCTATCTCACCCAGTAAGTTGTCATACATAATTGAAATCTTACCGTCTAATGAGGATTGTAGTCCTGAAGCTGAGAGTGCAACTCACGGCTGTACAAAGCCCATATGGCGAAAGCATGATTCTTTCAAGGAGGCCATTGTGTATATGTTGACAGGGAATCCAGACGCGTATGGGCAGATCATCGCTGCTCATGCTGATCAATTCAATGAACCGGTCTGTGAGTATTTCAAGTGTCCTAATAACCTTATCCAATCACTGACCAGTTTGTTGGATAGTCCACTCTGACAATGACTCGGACGGTGGCAGTGAATCTGCAGAACCAGGTAAGCAGCGCTATTGCTATAGTAGAAGAAGCCGGTGTCTAATGTTATATAGAAGTAGTGTCTATATGGCCGCCTCTAGCACCACGAGGACTATCTCCTTCCCCGCAGACCCCTTCTTGCAGATCAGCCACCAGTCGCTCTCACAGTTCGGTCACACCTTCACACACGATGCCTGCTCCCAGCACTTGCCATTATGCTCACAGAGACAACGATGTGCTGTCTTCACAGCTTCACGACCACTCTATCTCGACACCTACTACTCCTGCACCTCCGACTCAGCAGGGTGCTTCGCATGGAACACAGATTGTTCACGAGCTATCAGGTGTCTTAACGTCACACCTCCCACAGGCTACACAGACTAAGCAACCGGTTCCATCTCTCGGACGCTACACCGATGCGTATGTTCAAGCATATGACTTCTCGCTGGAAGCCATCATGCAAATGTGGCACGCTATCACGCAGAACCATTCTGCACATGGCTGCATGAACCAGCTCATCGCAGCGGGATTGTCTTCCAAGGAGGTGCAGCTCATCTGGCTTCTAGCACAAGCTGAAGCACCTACGAGTGAATGGGCAACACAGTGGATTCGGTGAAAATCAAGCGGCTAGTTCTAATCTTTGCTCCCCTTCCCTAGTTATTGTCGTGTGTTGTTACTATTGAGTTCTGTAATGCGCAAAGACCGTGTATCTGTGCGTCTTCAACTTGCTCAAGGAGAAAGTGAGTCACGTGAGCTCTGTCAGATATACAAACAAACATCGCTTAATTTTTTTTAATTGTCACATCATCACCAGCTTGTCCCTCACTTTCAGAACGTCAGCAGATGGCACCTGGCCAGCACAATGCCACCAGCGTACAGCGATTGACATCGAAGACATGCAAGGTGTCCATGGGGCTCACCCGCAAGCCATGGCGCACGTGAACGAAGCGCAAGGTCATCAGCCGCACTCCTGCCGAGAAGAAGGCCCTTGCGATGAGAAAGAAGGACCGTGCCCAGAAGTACAAGGATGCACTCGCAAATGCCCAAGCTATTCTCTATGAGGAGGCTACCAAGCTGCACATGGAGTTCGGTTCTCACAGCATCGAGTATTATCTGAAAGAGTTAATACAGGTGTCGCAACTTGTGAGCAACAAATGTGCATCTAACCATTGGAATGTCTATCAACAGCATGAGGTAAAGCATATAAATGATGGTGAGTATTGTTCTGAAGCTTTGAAGCATTCCATACTAACGCTGTAGCTAGAAGCTCACCTTCTAGAAGGCTCGCGCTACAAGCTCTCGGACCTGATTGACCAGATCAAGGAGGGCTGGGATGCCTTGTCGTCCGAGGAGCGCATTGCAGTCACTGATCCCTGGATAAAGGAATTTGAAGAGTGCCGTGAGATGAGGCAGCTCGCAGTGCAGAACGTCGCTATCAATGCATTTCATGACACAAAAGCCACGTTGGACATTGTGCAGTGAGAGGTAATTTTATTTGGATGCCTTATAGTCATCGTTAGCTAAGACTTGACTTCTGACAGTTGGTGAATGTTCACGCGTGGACAGGGACTGAAGTCTTAATGCTCGCTGTCCGATCCAGCGCAGACCACTACAATCAGCCCCACGTCTTCATGACCAGCGAGAAGCTTGCGGATTTCTTTACCACGTCCTTCAATGCCACCCTTAGTGACGTTGCAGTTTGTCTTGAAGGATTCTGCCTTAGTGGCATTCCAGGTGAGTTTGTAGAGCTTGTTATCAAAGCTCAGATTCTCATATCTGCGGTAAGGCCTTCTGCGGCACAGTCAGGACGCTATCCTACAGCTTAAGGCAAGTATCAGTGCTCTCATCCTCCGGAAGCTCCGTAAGTCTTTGCATGTCTTACATGATAAATTCTAACCATTATCTGTTATCTATACAGGTGAGACAGCCGGTACACAAGTCTCACGGATGTACTATGTCAACTTCGAGCAGCATATCACCGATAAATATGGTGTCGTGCTCAAAAACTGGCCGCTCGAAAAGTTCTGCTCCCCGAGTGTGGTCAATTCACGCACGGAGCTCGATGTCCTCCTGTGTGCATGGAATACAAATGCTACATTGTTCCACAGGCTATCGACAGAGGAGTTGGAGAAGTGGAGGCAGGGCCGATTCGAGCGACAGATGGAGGATATGGTTGAAAGGGTCTACGATGGTGCCATGACAAACACCATGACAGTAATGAGTGGGGGCACGGACACTACTTCAGCAACACCGGGCGGGAGCACGGACACTACCACAGTGACGGGTGGGAGCGCAGAGCCTACCACTAGCGGAGAAGGACCGTGCGGCACGGTCACTGCCACTGCCATGGCCAACACCAGCACCAACTCTGCCAATGATGCGGAGCCAACATCCGCTCAGCTTAACTGTCCCTTCACTATTCAGATGGTGCCCAGAACTGTGAACCTCTCTCCTTCAGATCAGCTTGCCCAGAGTATGCAAGTACACAATGGTAGAAAATGACGCAGGACAGCCGTCAATTCAATTGATTTTGTTCACGCTGTTACGACCCCCGATGGACATGTCATCACGGTGGCAAAGAAGCCTCGTCGCATGCACTCAGACAAAGGCAAGCCGTGGGGGAAGAGGGCCACGGGTAACAAGGAGAACATCGGTGGGGTGGCCTCCTCTTCCACTTCTTCTGCCACCTGATTGGTGTTCTGTGTTTGCACTGTCGGGCGGGTATACTCATCATACTAGTCCTCGGACTTAATAGCACAGTGCTAAGACACTCAAAACTATATCCTTTATCCTTTATAAATAGTATTCAATGCATTTATATGGCCTATTAGTACTCGGGAAGCAAAGGCCGATGTAAAAATGTAAAGAATTGGGGGAGATGTTGAGCTCATCATGCATGATGATGAGCGCAAGTCAGGGCGTGGCACGGACAACACGTGATTAGTGAGCAGCCAGCGGGGAGCGCTTAACGCTGGCGGGAATATCCCCGAGGCCCTTATCTCAGTGATCACATGGCCGCCAATATTATATCTCAATGTTATCTTACTCAAGATATCTGGGCCGGAATTAATGACCACATTACTCGCAGTGTGAGGTAGTCAGATATTCTAACCTAGCTAGGCTGTTGAAGGGTACCCCGTTCAACAGCCTTATTAGGTAGGTCTCACGTGAGGTCGAGGTGTCCACGGATAGCACTGGCACGGATGTGGATACGGATGCGGATCTTTTCTCATGGATAGGGCGGATAGACAGTTTTATTCACGGTTTTCACTGTACTTTCTGCCGACTCTGTCTCCTCTCGTTGTAGCACTTGTTTATACCCTCTTGATATTATACATGCTAAGTCTTGAATGTATAGTCCTCTAATAGTGAACAATAGCATTATCATCCCCACTGGACATTTCCCACCTGAAAATTTTCATGCAGCACAACATGTCTTTGCAGACATTCAAAGCATCAAAATTCAATGGCAATGGGCTGTTGGTGATGCTCCACTGATGCCTGAATTCTCAGAGCTTACATAGATACTGAAGGTAAAGTTGAGAAGTGATGCCGGTGAAATATTAAGACTAGTTCGAAAATGTCTATGCTGCTCTGTATACTATACTAGACACTACTAGACAGTGTACTTGTGTCATGTTACCCAAACCGTGGATGCATCTGCACCCGCACGGACAGTATCCGCAGATGGTGGGGTTTAAAAATATCCGTGGATATTCATCCAGATGTCTGTCCAGATGATCCATGCTAGTCCCTATCATGGTGCAATCAATCCACCTGCAGACGATGCCCATGGCGACGTCACTGTATTTTCCAATATACAGATGTGCTCTCAACCTATCCTTCCGACTTTCCCAGATGTTCTAGCCTGCATTCTTGTCATGGTGTGATCAGTGCATCAAAGCCATTCTGAGTGTTCAGCCGCAGGTATGATAGACATAGAAAATAATATGGATTGCAGCTGCATAGCATACATGCATAAGTTCACAAATGAAGCGAGTAGATGCGACGTTGACATCTCTGCCATCTTGCTGCCACCAACGCCTTTTGGGAATTATAGTTCAGTGCCGATGACGCAGCTGTCCCTTTCGGTGTCTGGCATGTAGCTCAAAAACTCCCACGGGGGACTTCTCAGTGGGCTCCCAGATAATGATCCTAGACTACAGGGGACGTCCTCTTCTACCGTAACAAAAAGGGGAAAGTGATTCTTCAGCCTGCCGATGTTCTACGCGATTAAGAGTAGCCTGCACCCAGAATCATTTATTCTACTTTGTTCTATGGTTCACAATTTGGTCGATTATGCGTATAGTATTCTCCACATCCCAGATCACTAGACAGTTAGATTTTGTTCGTACTTGTATGCGCATGGGCAAAAATGTGCCATACCCTGTGCTATCCTACACAGAAATTGTTATAGACTGCACTTCCACTTGCACCACGATTTTGAGTGCAGGTCATGCAGTCGAAATCTGAGGTGGTGCAATCACCAGTGCTAGGACTATCTCTCTACCTTCTGCATCGCTGCTCTAGGGTCTGAGTATCAGATTATCAAATTTTCGATGCAGCTGCAAACTTACTGATGAATCCCAGCTGCGAACATTAGGCTCCAACTATTTTATCCATTTACCATATATGGTTTATTTACTATATACATAAATTCGGTGGCCGTGGTTACCGGTTGACCAAGAATGAGACCCAAAAATAGCAGGCTACAGTCTTATCTGAGGCGCAGTTCTGATAATTATATAAACTATGTATTTACCTTATATTTACCATCTATCTACCATATACCATTTATGACCGTAGACATAAAGTTTGAGTTGTCCTTCTTTCGGATGTTGATGATCACACTTCTGTGGGAGGCAACATGGAACATGCATGGAGCGCAAGGTAGGATATGGTGCCATTGAAGGACCTTGAGAACTTTTGCCGACTAGGAAGACACGTCCATTGAACTTTATCACCTTCCAATTTTGTATCGTTTGGCGCCTACAATGGCCCCCGGACCTCAACGGGTCTCAACGCTGCGTCCGAGTCTGTCCCTGCTAGATTACTCGTTGGACTACAGTGATATTAATTTCTATTCTGTGCCGGTTTACACGCAGCCGACCACTTCCCCTCTGCATTCTCGTGTCTGTGAGCGCGCGCGCGCACGCCAGCCGGAAGCAAATGAGCGCGTCAAGTTCGAAGTACATACCGTCGACATTTTATTGGGCCCAAGGTGTAGCATGCACGAGGCTTCGTGGTAGCTAGAGAGGAGACATACCCTCGAAGTTTCGGTCCAATCTGAACCGCTTTCGCACGTTGAATAAGATTTCCGAGCGCTCGAACTTCCGCGGACGCGTCCGCGAAGCATCATCCTCTAGTTCACATTCATCGCACTACGTATAGGATTGGATGGATAAGGGTTGGCTCGAGTTCCTCTGTCTCTGTGAAATCACTGGAAGCTGATTTGATACATGTCGTAGCTCAGCCTCGATCACTTTGTACCCTGCACCTGTCCCTCAGGTAACCGTAAAAGTTGGCTGCCCAGGCACAGCATTCAAGTTGATATAGGAATAAGATACCTTCGTACTGGAAACAAACCACTGGCATCGTCACATCCTTTCAGATCCAGACCTGCGAACCGATTCAAGGTATAGGGGACTGAACACAGGGAGCCTAGTCGACACGATCTCCGGCGTGGCATGATTTCGCCCATAATTCATGTGTCCATGCGGACTCAGTGATAGACTTTGTGTCCTGAGTGGCTACGACTACTGGCGGTCTCAGATCGCAGCTGCGTAAGCTCCACCCTCGCTCAGTGCAATTTGTATTGAGTTTGATAGATCTATACCTAGGTTTGAACCTGCTCTTCGCGGCAGTGTGGAATACCACACAGCGCCCAACTCAGATGATGAAGATGGTAACATCCGAGCACAGTGGTGTAGCTGTTATAAGATTCTTAATGTTGCAATCCGGCTGCATCTCCAGTTCAAGACATGGATGCCTCAACCCAACCTACCCTCGAAGAGCTGGAGACGTCATGGGCCCCGGGTGTCTTCGGAATGAAATATCTCACTGGTCTGTGTATCTGGATCTTCGGTGTCTGCCTTCATATTCAGAAATGCATTGAATAGCTGCTGGCATTACACTGTTGTTATATGACGGGGCACTGAACATCGGCGATGAAATTCGCTTCGTGTGGCTCCGACCCATGGACGCTATGAATTTAGCTTTCTTAATTACGCGATACGGTACTTTGGGTGCCATGCTTCTTGTCACTCATGGTTGGTCTCCTTTCTGGTATACTTAAACATACGACAGCTGAAAGCGTTATTCGTCCAGTCACAAGTGGGTTATCATCTCATTCCACAGACGTGAGTGGTATGCACATCATCTCATATTGTTATAGTAACACGCCTCTGTGCCAGTTGTGAGCGAAACGTCTTCCGTGCAGTCATCTTGAATCTGACGGCCATCAAGTTGTAAGGGCTGGGTTGTCGTTGTCTGGGTGTCTTGTAGCCTTTCGGTCGCTGTAACCAACAGTACGTGATATAAGGACTTGCATTTATATGAATGTTCATTCATTTCTGCCTTGTAGTCATCCTTGTTAGGCGGGTTTACACGCTGTATGATCACAGAAAGATTATCCTGCGGCTGTTACTATTTGCATGCATGTTGACTTACATCATCGCGTTTGCCTTCGTAATTTTGACAATGCGAGAGATGATAGGTAGGCATTGAATTTTTGTGTGAGTTTCACCGTTTCTTGATATCCTGGGTTTAGCTGCCATTACGTGGGAGCCAACCCCGTTACGAACATGCGTGCTCACCTCGCGACCCAAGTTCGCCGTTGGGTTCTGGACACCATAGGCATGGCGTGTAGTGGCTGGTCCGTTATGCTCGCTCGTCTGACAACAGCTGCAGGTGGTTTTCGAGCTGTTCGCCTTTGGGCTTACTATCACGAACGCTGCCGAACGCCCACGCCGCGCTCAGAGCCGGCTGGTCTCGGAATTAAACCGTGACGGCTTTGCGTATATTCTCGTGCGTCTTTCTTATCTCGATGTCTACCTCAAGCTGAAATGTGGGTTGTAGATGCTCTTTTGTGAGCAAAACCTGGGTTTCCCGGAGTAACACTTGCTAGACCATGAACTCTCTTTAATTACAGGCATACGCACGACAAACTTGGTCCTTTCTGTATTACCTCCAGCCGATGTAAGTAAATTTGCAGTATCAGAAGAGTAGGCATACTGATAATGCCGCAAGTTGGCTTATAACTGGTTGTTCGTATTGTGAGCTGCAGCTCATTCCACCTTGGGTGACCGTCTCATGCATTCCACATAGCTTGTTGTGGTCCATCACTCTCTTGACGCTTTCGCGCTTGGTGGTGCGCGTAGAAGCCATGAGAGATAGAGTTGGCACTATGACACTGTACGTTGATGAGTTGGAGCTGACAGTACAGAATGAGGAATGCGCTCAATCCGCAGAGGGCGGCAGTCCGCCGTTCATCACAATCAACACCGTCACGACAACGTGTATTATATAGACCACATATGTGTCACAAATCTGCTTCAAAGCCACCGGTACAGTACAAGTGGAATGTAGTATGACTTAGCAATCACACCATGATCTGTCCTCCAGGTTCGTCAACCTTGAGATTCCGTGACAGTTTGAATGAGGGCATGAGAGTAACGAGGCTGCTTCTGTACAGTAGTCACAACTACACAGCGCCGTTGCATTGCCATTAGTCTCCCAAGCCGGACGTGTGGACTGTACTTATGGTCCTGATGCTGAGGAAGAGCCTGTCCCCGCGTCGGACGTGTACTAGGTGCAGGCAAAAGACTCTGCGACATCCGCCTCGGTGAACCTGCCCGTCTATCTGAACAGCGACCGCAGTCATATTCTCTGCACTGTCGACCTGCCAATTGTTCGTACGGCCGGCGCTATGGTAGCGACATGAGCTGTGTCTCACTGCGGGAGGTTAGATGATATTGCATACCTGCACGCATTATGATACCTCGCATTTCATTCGTTTATAATTTATGTTGCCCGACGATCTAATGACATATGATTTGGGAGGAGTGGCGAGCGGAGCACTCATAGAACTATGAATACAGGCTATGAATGCTGGACAGCGCTACCACCAACAACGGTGAGTACCTTCCAGTCTACTTCTATCCCTTGACGTTTAAAGATTGCACGCGCATCTTCGGCTATTGCCTCGAACCCGCCTGTTGCAAGAATGGTGGGACCTGCACCAGAAAGACAGATGCCGAGCAGACCGGGATGAGTCAAGGGTGTAATGCTCGAAATGACTTCTGGAAGACCGGGAATCTGGAGACAAACGATACGCATCAAAATAGCCGCCGTTTCCTGCTATGCGTGGCACTCACTAAAGCTTTTCGGCACGGCTGATGGATTTTGTCCTTCATCGCCTCGTAGATGAGGTCGGGGTCGGGAGGTGATTGCCCCAGGGCGGTGGTCAGTACGGCTAGCCGCTGCAAATTGAATACCTTTAAAAATTCGCGTCATTAGACTCGGGGTAAAAGACTTTCTGAGCTCGTGTGACATACCAGGTCCTTGCGCGAATAGCTCAGTGGCGACACCTCCCGCGCCTTCGCCGTGCTGAGCTCGAAGCGCGGGATGAGCGCGACCGCCTTGATGCTCTCGGACCATCCAAACCGGACATAGTGGCCAATCACATGCGGCGGATGGGGCGAGTCCATCCCCCAGTCTTCGCCCGCGTCAGGCAGGACCCCCGACAATTGGGTAGGATCCCTGAGCCGATTTCGGACAAATTTTGGACTTTTGAGAGCGCCATCCCTGATTTTTCACGGACAAATCAGGGGGTCAACCCGTGGATGGCCTGAGGTTTTTCACGGACAGACGTACCGGACATCATGAATGCCTGATCCCCCTCCGGACAAAGTTCGACCCCGGCCGAACCTATCTACGTATGAGGCCGGCACCGGGGCGGAAGGGGGCTCGGACTTACTACTGCCTTCAAAGGCTCTCTAGGTGCTGTCTAGTCGCACAGACACGCCGCTTCGAAGTTTGTAGTTGACATCTCAGCAGCCTCACATAAGTGCCTTCCTGAAGATGGAAACTCGCTAAGAACAGTAGAAGGTGCTTACCTTATGGTGTCACTATCGTAGTAGCCTTGAATTCTGTCTCAAGTAATAGACAGAATGTGTTACACAAAGGAGCATGCTCATTCCTTCATTCTCGCAAAGCGGTTCTGAAATTTGGAGCCTCCCGACTCGGGCCTGATTCGTGAATACGGACAAAATCGGAGCCTCCTGAGGCCTGATCTGGGAGCCCGGACATTTCTGTGATGAAGGGATGCCTGGTCCAAAACCCGGACAAATTTGACCTCCGAGGGCCGGAGGCCTGGTTTTTCGCGGACATTTCAGGCCAGAAATCGGCTTCTGCGAACGGACATTTTGGGCTCCTCAGGATCAGGCATTTCCACCAATTGTCGGGGGTCCTCGTCAGGCGGGTACTCGGGGAGAACTTTGCTCAGCGGCACGAGTGCGGCCTCCTCCGCTTTGTGGTCCAGCTCACGCAGATACGAGCCGACGAAGCCGCCGACAAGCGCGGCGGTGACATTGTCCGGATGGCGCTCGACCATGAGCCCAAAGTCGAGCACGCGCTGGCGTGAGAGGTTCAGTGAGCAGACTGCGTCGGCTAGCAGGACGCCCGCAATGACGGCGGCACCAGAGGAGCCGAGTCCACGTCCAAAGGGAATTTGCCCGCGTGGATGGAGAGATTGGCGTGGAAGCGCGCGATGGCACCGAAGGACGTATAGCGCGACATGAGTGGTGAGGTTCTTGTAGGCATCCAACGGAAGCTCGTCGGCGCCCTCGCCAGTATAGAGCAGTCGTGGAGGATGTGGAGGATCTCCAAGAGCTGGCGGGGTGACGGTAACAGAGAGAGTAAGGTAGAGCGAGAGTGGGAGACCGACGACGTCGAAGCCGGGACCGATGTTGGCGGAAGTTACGGGGACGCGGACAGTGAATGAGTGGGACATCATGGGAAGTGCACTCCTCGTCGGCGTCGGCGTGAGCTGCGACGCTGTTGCGACCAGCGGTGACGCTCGAGGCTCCCGACGCGGAAAAAATTAGGGCTCGCTGACGATTGAGATGGGTGATACTGAGAGGGCATGGCTGGGCATGGTCGACGCCTTACTTCACGTAACCCGAACAAGAGGAGAACGCGCGTTGGTGTCTCGAAACATCTTCCGTAGTTCAACCCAGTCACCCCCCTCGACACGTCGACACGGTGCACGAATTTGGCGATATTAGACGTTGTTGCAAGGATCTTCCGTCACCGCATATACGTCGAGGAATGAGAAGGTCGCATTGGCGCAGTTCAAGACCTTCGACGTGGATACCGGAAAGGCCTTCTGTCTCTCCTGAGCTGTTTCTGTCGTGCCGTCTCGGCGTGCGATCGACAGCAGCATGGCGCCCGCGGAGATCTAGCTGTAGTCTCCCGAAGGCAGAAGGCAGATGGTAGACACTCTGCTTCAAGCTTCAAACTCGTACCTCGGATAATATCCGTGTCTGATCTGGCTGACCAGATCTATGTTCACAACAACTGCGTTCGGCACTTCGACCTTAGGTTCGAAGCTGATAACGAGTCCTATGCTCCACCGCGAGAGTCGCACTGTTGCGGCGCCGATTCATCTAACAAGTCTGACCAAGTATCTCTTCTGGTTGCTGGTAAAAAATTACACACCAGCTGTTTTAGTTACCAATAACAAGATTTGCGAATTTGACTCTTCCTGTTTTCCATTCTCGTGAGCTGTAACATCAACAACGCGCTCATATGTATTCGTACAAATTCCCATCAAGTCAATCACAGTACATCGAACAAGCTACTCAGGCATAGGGATTCCGGACAACTCTTCGCACTTCTGGACCGGCGAGACGCAACGCAGCTCACCCAAAGTAAGCCCACGGTCCCTCGTAATTGCCATCCAATCCCCTCTCCAAACCCGCGCCAGTATAGTCCAACACAAGCACGCCTCTGTTGTCCTTCAAAACAAGGTGCGCCCTGTTGGGTGCAAGGTCCAAAGCGAATCGACCAGTCTTGGCCGTGGACGTGCCACCCGTCCCCTCGCCGCGGAAGTTTCCAGCACCCCTCTTGGAGGCGTTGGCAACGCCTCTGTAGGGCCCCAGAGTCCACTGCAGGAGCCTGCCGTTGCCCATTACCCGCAATGCGTACGGCTTATTGGAATCTACGGCAGCGGCCTGCACGTCTTGAACGAAGGCTACCAACTCGGCGTCGCCGGCCGCCTCGGCGAAGACGTCAGCGGGAACCTGCACTGCGGCGAATCTATCAGGACATGTGCTGGAATGACGGCGAAATCTGCAAAAGCTACCTTCAGCCTCAGACATTGTGTTGTGTTACCTATGCAAGTCATTGATCATTGTCGGAACAAGAATTGTCCAAAGAAGAAACACTCACGAGTGAAATAAAGGTTTGAGAACGATGAGGTGGTCTGCAAGGTGCACAATGAATATGTTTCTAGATATATGACCGGTGGATGAGTGTGCTCACAAGTAACGCAGAGCGACTGGGAATTGCTGGAGGGGTGAGCTCAACGGTGCCTCTTTTATATCCTTCGTCCGTCTGGCTTAGTTACCATGAGTTAGTCACCAACAACCAGCTGACACGATATATAACCAGTACCGGTCCAACGTTAGACCAAATCAAGCACACGTTCGTCCTTATTCCGGCCGTATGTGAATTGGTGGTTCATGCTGGCGTTTTCCAGAGCCAAAGTGTGGCTTCCATGACTTCAAAGATGAGCGCTGAGAGAGGCATGGAACATGCTACTCAACACTCACATCGGAATACGGCGCTCACGGTCGTATTGGAATGGAACAGGAGAGACGCCTGCTGCTGGTCTGGGTTCGCATCGTGCAGACCCTCGTTGATGAGTATTCAGTTCGGCAACATCTGCACACTTGACGAGCGATCAGCGATCATGACACGAGCGGAATCATCAATCTTTCAGTCCTCGAAGGGGCATCGCTAGTGAGACTGCTGGTGAAGGAAATGCTAACCAGCTTGAACGAACCTCCATCATTTTATCATGCAGTGACCCTATAGTCGAGCCACCATTAATTCCTCTAAGCGTCGCAGTCAGCGACGTCTTGCGCCATATCAACACATGCACTGCCAGGCACAATTATCACATTCTGCGATGCGAATTGGACCACCAAACCGCAGGAAGATATTGCAAAATAACTGACATACCGGAAAGGTCTCGTGCGCGGCTCAAGACGACAAGGATGCAAATGGGATGTTGGTTTATGACTGGTGCTAGTCTTCCGGATATAGTTGTGATGTCAACATGGCGCCTTGCGAAACATAGCGTCTTCAAGGCGGAAGACTATACGACATAGGCTGACACTCAGGCGGTGAAGACAGTCAGATGACGTGGCCCTGCAAGTCTGCGCAATGAGATGGGGTTCGTTGAGCAAGGTCCGCTCCTTCATTGGTGCGCACATCTGGTAATCGGCTTATGCCATTAGAGAATACAAGTGAGGATGTCTCACGTACCTAAGTTACGATCCTCGCAGCTCCGAGACTAGCTTGCATCAGTCACGGTATCACAGGTGGAGTAATATTCCCATGAACATGATCCACTATGATGCCTGACCGGCGCCTTAGTATTCAACAGCGCGAGACCGCCTCGTATGAGAGCTTTGGCATAGAGCAATCGCTTCACAAAGAGTGCTCGCCCAATGTGCTGAAAATGCAACAGACAGTCGTGGAATATATATATATCTGCACACTTAAGACCAGCAAGACCAGCATAGAGATGTGAGCAAGACCACAAGAAGCACCGTGACCTTGCGAAGGCGGAATGTATTGAAGTCTACTACGCCGATCGAACGCCGATCGCGTCAGGAGGTCACGTGAAGGGAGATTCCCATCGTTTCTAGTCGGTCTTAAGTTCGCCAAAACTGATCTAGGATACTCAGGTTCTCTCTCCTTGTCGTGAACGCGTTTCTCGCCACAGGATGAGCCCGCGGTTTGTGATTTTTGTCAGGGATCGAACGCAAACGGTAACGGCACATTAAACTCTGATGGAAATGGACTTCTTCCGCGGCATGTCTTCCATTGCGCAGTTGCATACTTATTCATATTTCCTTGTGTCTGCTACACCCTTCGGCGGCTTTCCTAGCTGAGGCGCTGGACACTTCAGCTTCCCCGCTACTAGACAACTTCCCCATATCACCTCGTGCTCAGGTGACGCTCGTAGTTGCCCAACCCTCCGGTTAGTGTCTCCCGCGTATTCGCAACTTTCACCCGCAGTGGCGTCTTCCTACGGCAAGGACTGTCTCAGCTTGCGTGAACTATTACCTCAGTAGCAAATCTTGGCCCGACTCGAGTCGCCGTCCTTTTGCGATTAATATCTGTGTTCTTTCTATCCTGGAATAAGGCACTGCTGCATCAGACGAGATGAAAGCGTTGCACACTATCAATGCCTCTCAGGATTATGGACGTACTGGCTCTTCTTCTGCTCACATGCTCGGATGGTAAGTTATCCGGTAACTAATCCAGACGGCGCAGATGTTTATTGGCCAATGTCGTCAGCATTTACCTCGATCCGGACAACATTGCAAGAGTATACTTTGTGCGCCAGAGGTAGGTCGCTGTAAATTGAACTCGTCAAGATATGACCTGCGCTTGTGAAGATATAGAATCATGCTGACTTATCCTCAGGGACATCATTAGCCTCGGCAGCCGTCTTGCATAGTTGTTCTCAGTGGCTCCACGGTAAATGTATCCGGACTTGTCTCTAATTGATCAATCGACATTTGGACGACAATATATTCAACGGACAAGCAAATCTCCGGAACACCGGCCTAGATCTTCAGTTCACTGCTGCCGCTTAGCCATACAGGCAGCTGTAGATCCCCGAAGCAAAGCATTAGTTGCAGTTTCCACTTCCGCCCATTTAGGGCTATCATCCGTCCTCCCAGCGCCATTTTCGCCCAAACTCCCCCATCCAGTTGGCCTGACTGTATCACGAGCGTTCGCGGTATTCATTTCCGTATAATTAGCCGACCTCTCCTCAGGTCTACCAGTGGAATATCACACCAGTCTTCTGGCTACCGCGCTCGTGCGCAGCTCGGCGGCACCGGCCCCCGCGAGGTTGATGACGGTGTAACGAGAACGCCCATCGTAGGGCCGGCATCCGTGCACAGCCGAGTTCCCGCTCTCTCCACATGAGCACAAGTGGCAGCTCTTACACGCACCCGACTGGTCATCTGCACCATTCACTGGGCGCGTTGGTGTCTCGGAACATCCTCCGAAGTTCGACCCAGTCACCCCCCTTTCCCCCTTGCTCGACAGGTCGACACGGTGCGCGAAATTGGCGATATTAAACGCTGTTGCAAGGATCTTCCGTCACCGCATATACATCCAGGAATGAGAAGGTCGCATTGGCGCAGTTCAAGACCTTCGACGTCGATACCGGAAAGGCCTTCTGTCTCTCCTTACCTGTTTCCGTCGTGCCGTCTCGTGCGATCGCCAGTAGGGTGGAGGTCATGGCGCCCGCGGAGATCTCGCTGACCATTTCTATGTTCACAACAACTGCGTTCGACACTTCGACCTTAGGGTCGAAGCTGATAAAGAGTCCTACGCTCAACCGCGATAGTCCCACTGCTGCGGCGCCGATTCGTCTAACAAGTCCATCAAGTATCTCTTCTGGTTGCTGGTAGACGGGCGATTGTAATCTTGCATATCTTACGACCCTTGTTTTTACAAATTTAATGCCGCAGTGTTCTTTGAGATGTCGCTCTTATCTCTTCGAAATAAGGGCTCGGTGGTGAAATTCAGACAGTCATTCATCTGAGCACGTCTCAATTGCTTGCCCGACATACACCAAAAACACCGTATTGACTACGTCTCAAGAAATCCCACGCAGCGAGCCCCGACCCAGCCCTCTTACTGACCCAACGCTCTTATTCGTTTACAGACCAGCCGCCGTTCTCAGTTTCGCATAGTCCGGCATTCCTAGGCCAGTGGCCTGTAGCAAGCAAACATCAGCGAATGCGCCGCAGTCCGACATGAACAACACATTGGATTCCAGCCAGCCGCCGCGGAAAATCCGTTCGTACCACACCCGGGGTTGGAGCCCGAAGTGACAGCGTTCAGCGCTGAGGCAGCAGATCCATATAGCCAGGGATTCAAGAAGCCCAGCGGGGGATGACCCGCAAGTGCAAGTTCATTGTTCAGCAAGGCTATGACACTAGCAAAAGTCGGAGATGCCGCGCTCGTGCCTTCCTCGCCGGAAATTTCTCCATTCAGGACGATTTGAAAGTTTGTACCCTGAGCGGACACATCTGGGTACCCGCGTCCCTGTGGATTGTATAGACCCGAGTAAGTACTGCCAAGGCCCTGTACATAACCGGCTGTTGCTGTGGTTTGGTACGACGGAGCAGGGAAGTTGTTGGAGAAGCTACCACTCGAGTATGGTGCCGCGGTCTCCGGACCAAATCCTTGGGTAGCACCTACAGAGGTGATACTAGTGTAGTGCATAATCAGATTTTGGGCGAGTAGAAATTTCAGAGATAACGCACTACAGGCAGCTGGCAGGGAATGTGGGTATGAAGTTCGAGCCATTGCAGTCTTCGCCCCCGAATGTAACCCCGGCAACACCGCCGTCTCCAGACGAGAAGAGAAGAAATACGCCACGGGCGCCGAGCTGCATGTATGCATTGCATAGGTTGCTGAAATATGAAGATCAATGGGATGAGTGCTTCGCGGTATCAAGCTAAATGAGCTCACGTGGCCAGATCTGGAGTAACACTGCTTTCATCCATCCCATAACTCGTGGTCACTACTTGTGGAGGAGTATCAGCAGAAAGGAAGTAGTTGACTACATCCAGGAACCCGGCGACACCGTCATTGTTTTGCGAGCCAACGGAGAGGAAAGTAATAGGGATGGGTCCAAGCCGGGATGTCGCTGTACATTGATGTACAAATCAGCGCAGCCAAGATGGCCTGCTGCGGACAAGTGAAAGTCGTTCACGTCCTGTGAATAACAACAGACATGGGCATTCATCGATCCTATCTCTCCAAGCTCCGCACCAGACGTGGCCGTGTCTTTGAACGTGAATCCAGGACATCGACGTTGAGATTTTCTGGCACTTGTTCTGGTGCCATTAAGCGTTGCAATCTGTGACGTCATCAGCATTTAAAACTCCAGTACACAAAACGAAACCGACCCACCAACAGTTTATAAATCTGCTGTTCCGTTCTCGCCTCCTCGTTGAAAGCATTGACGGGACGTGGCGTGTTCGACATATCCGTCTCTGGCAGAAATTCCAAGAACTCGTCGATAGGCATCGACCCAAGAATCAATCCTCGGGCTGAGTTTGTAAATCGGGGGTAACGCCCTTTGACGTCGCTGTGGTCGAGGTCCTTGTGCTTTTACCACAATTCGTAGTCCGGATCGTTCTTAGTGAGCGGTGTGGCTACCATGATTTTCTAGCGGAGTGGGATGTGGTGAAAGAGAGGGTATGAAAACCAAGAGGGAATACTTGAGAGGTCACCGAAGTCGGAGCACGGCACGGTACTATAAATTCTTGCTCGGAGAGCAAGCTCTCCCGACCCAAGTGAAAGCATCCTTTTTACACAGTTGTTGTGCGCTATTTGTTTCGTGGCAATTCTGTTCGCTCTCGTCTCCGAGCAAGTTCTTTCGAGTCTAGCAGTACAGTGGAAACAGAAAAGGGCTTCAATGAAGCGCTCGCTCAATTGGCGCTCAAGACGCGGTCACGCGCAGACGGCGCCATAAAACAACCACAAATAACGCGATACAACATGATGGCCTGGGATGTAAGTTTAGATGACTACGGTGGTTCGCTATAGGGTGGTTGTCAGTCATATTAACTCTCGAGACTCTATCGAAGTCGGAAATCTCATGAGTCCTGAGGAAGTCCCGAACGCGTGAAACTTCGTAGGATCCTTCCACCTCCCCACACGCTTCATCCCAAAGGTGAGGAAACACGTTAGAGGGGTCAAATTCCATGACTTCGTCGACCTATTGTTGAATCGTCGGATTTGAAAAGTGGATGTCACTCGTGTACCCCCGTCAAATTGATTGCGGACCTTGGTATCGCCAGCCATGACACGGCCATTGTCGAGGACAACACATCGGTCAAAACTGTTGATCATCGTGTTGGCCAAGCCTTCCAGAGGTAAATTGTGAGCTAACCATCGCAAGCTGCAGTATAGTACGAACCCGAGGATAGACTCCTTGTCGTCCTGGAGAGCCCAAACTAAGACCCGAAACGGTTCCAAGCAATTCTGAGATACTATAATGGGCTCCCGTTGACCGTCAAAATCATAGGAGTGAATGATTGTGTGATCATCTGGAATGTTATGTTGTCGCACAACAGTGTAAGTACATAGCAATTGTTTCAGTTACCAATAACAAGACTTGCGAATTTGACTCTTCCTGTTTTCCATTCTCATGAGCTGTAACATCAACAACGCGCTCATACGTATTCGTACAAATTCCCATCAAGTCAATCACAGTACATCGAACAAGCTACTCAGGCATAGGGATTCCGGACAACTCTTCGCACTTCTGGACCGGCGAGACGCAACGCAGCTCACCCAAAGTAAGCCCACGGTCCCTCGTAATTGCCATCCAATCCCCTCTCCAAACCCGCGCCAGTATAGTCCAACACAAGCACGCCTCTGTTGTCCTTCAAAACAAGGTGCGCCCTGTTGGGTGCAAGGTCCAAAGCGAATCGACCAGTCTTGGCCGTGGACGTGCCACCCGTCCCCTCGCCGCGGAAGTTTCCAGCACCCCTCTTAGAGGCGTTGGCAACGCCTCTGTAGGGCCCCAGAGTCCACTGCAGGAGCCTGCCGTTGCCCATTACCCGCAATGCGTACGGCTTATTGGAATCTACGGCAGCGGCCTGCACGTCTTGAACGAAGGCTACCAACTCGGCGTCGCCGGCCGCCTCGGCGAAGACGTCAGCGGGAACCTGCACTGCGGCGAATCTATCAGGACATGTGCTGGAATGACGGCGAAATCTGCAAAAGCTACCTTCAGCCTCAGACATTGTGTTGTGTTACCTATGCAAGTCATTGATCATTGTCGGAACAAGAATTGTCCAAAGAAGAAACACTCACGAGTGAAATAAAGGTTTGAGAACGATGAGGTGGTCTGCAAGGCGCACAATGAATATGTTTCCAGATATATGACCGGTGGGTGAGTGTGCTCACAAGTAACGCAGAGCGACTGGGAATTGCTGGAGGGGTGAGCTCAACGGTGCCTCTTTTATATCCTTCGTCCGTCTGGCTTAGTTACCATGAGTTAGTCACCAACAACCAGCTGACACGACACATAACTAGTACCGGTCCAATGTTAGACCAAATCAAGCACACGTTCGTCCTTATTCCGGCCGTATGTGAATTGGTGGTTCATGCTGGCGTTTTCCAGAGCCAAAGTGTGGCTTCCATGGCTTCACAAAGGAGCGCTGAGAGAGGCATGGAACATGCTACTCAATACTCACAGTCAGAATATGGCGCTCACGGTCGTATGAGACGCCTGCTGCTGGTCTGGGTTCGCATCGTGCAGACCCTCGTTGATAAGTATTCAGTTCGGCCAATGTCTGCACCCTTAACGAGTGATTAGCTATCGTGACACGAGCGGAATAATTAACAGTTCAGTCCTCGAAGGGGTATCGCTGGTGCGACTGCGGGTGGCTGAACCGGTGAAACGAACCTCCATGACTCCATCACGCAGTGGCCCTATGGTTGAGCCACCGTTAATTCCTCTAAGCGCCTCAGTCAACGATGTCTTGCGCCATATCAGCGCATGCACGTCCAGGCACAATTATCCCACTCTGCGCTTATTGAACAATAACTGACATACCAGAAAGGTCTTGTACACAGCACAAGATCACAAGGTTGTGAAATAGGGCGTTGATTTATGACTGGCGCTAGCCTTCCGGATATAGTTGCGATGTCGACATAGCGCCTTGCGAAACACAATGTCTTCGCCGAAGACTATACGACGTGCTGAGGCTCAGGCGGTGAAGACAGTCAGATGACGTGGCCCTGCAAGTCTGCGCAATGAGATGGGGTTCGTCAAGCAAGGTCCGCTCCTTCATTGGTGCGCACATCTGGTAATCGGCTTATGCCATTAGAGAATACAAGTGAGGATGTCTCACGTACCTAAGTTACGATCCTCGCAGCTCCGAGACTAGCTTGCATCAGTCACGGTATCACAGGTGGAGTAATATTCCCATGAACATGATCCACTATGATGCCTGACCGGCGCCTTAGTATTCCACAGCGCGAGACCGCCTCGTATGAGAGCTTTGGCATAGAGCAATCGCTTCACAAAGAGTGCTCGCCCAATGTGCTGAAAATGCAACAGACAGTCGTGGAATATATATATATCTGCACACTTAAGACCAGCAAGACCAGCATAGAGATGTGAGCAAGACCACAAGAAGCACCGTGACCTTGCGAAGGCGGAATGTATTGAAGTCTACTACGCCGATCGAACGCCGATCGCGTCAGGAGGTCACGTGAAGGGAGATTCCCATCGTTTCTAGTCGGTCTTAACTTACTCTTGCGAACTCGTACACAAGGTGCATCGATGGGTGTCACCTCAATTCATGATTAGAAGTACTTGCCAAAACTGATCTAGGATGCTCAGGTTCTCCGTCCTTGTCGTGAACGCGTTTCTCGCCACAGGACGAGCACACGGTTTGTGATTTTTGTCTGGGATCGAACGCAAACGGTAACGGTACAGTGGGCCCAAACTCTGGTGGAAATAGACTTCTTCCGCGGCATGTCTTCCATTGCGCAGTTGCATACTTATCCATATTTCCTTGTGTCTGCTACACCGTTCGGCGGCTTTCCTAGCTGAGGCGCTGGACACTTCAGCTTCCCCGCTACTAGACAACTTCTTCATATCACCTCGTGCTCGGGTGACGCTCGTAGTTGCCCAACCCTCCATTGGTGTCTCCCGGGTATTCGCAACTTTCGCCCACAGTGGCGTCTTCCTACGGCAAGGACTTTCTCAGCTTGCGTGGACTATTACCCCAGTAGCAAATCTTGACCCGACTCGAGTCGCCGTCCTTTTGTGATTAATATCTGTGTTCTTTCTATCCTGGAATGAGGCACTGCTGCATCAGACAAGACGAACGCGTTGCACACTATCAATGCTTATCAGGATTATCGACGTACTGGCCCTTCTCCTGCTCACACGCTCGCATGGTAAGTTATCTGGTAACTAATCCAGACAGCACAGACGTTTATTGGCCAACGTCATCAGTATTGACCTCGATCCGGATAGCATTACAAAAGCATACTTTGTGCGCCAGAGGTAGGTCGCTGTAGATTAAACTCGTCAAGATATGACCTGCGCTTGTGAAGATATAGAATCATGCTGACTTATTCTCAGGGACATCATTAGCCTCGGCAGCCGTATTGCATAGTTGTTCTCAGTGGCTCCACGGTAAATGTATCCGGATTTGTCTCTGATTGATCAATCGACATCTAGACGAGAGTATATTCAACGGACAAGCAAATCTCCGGAACACCGGCCTAGATCTTCAGTTCACTGCTGCCGCTTAGCCATACAGGCAGCTGTAGACCCCCAAAGCAAAGCATTAGTTGCAGTTTCCACTTCCGCCCATTTATGACTGTCATCCGTCCTCCCAGCACCATTTTCGCCCAAACTCCCCCATCCAGTTGGCCTGACTGTATCACGAGCGTTCGCGGTATTCATTTCCGTATAATTAGCCGACCTCTCCTCAGGTCTACCAGTGGAATATCACACCAGTCTTCTGGCTACCGCGCTCGTGCGCAGCTCGGCGGCGCCGGCCCCCGCGAGGTTGATGACGGTGTAACGAGAACGCCCATCGTAGGACCGGCATCCGTACACAGCCGAGTTCCCGCTCTCTCCACATGAGCACAAGTGGCAGCTCTTGCGCACACCCGACTGGTCATCTGCACCACTCACTAGGCGCGTTGGTGTCTCGGAACATCCTCCGAAGTTCAACCCAGTCACCCCCCCGTTCCCCCTTGCTCGACATGTCGACACGGTGCGCGAAATTGGCGATATTAAACGCTGTTGCAAGGATCTTCCGTCACCGCATATACATCCAGGAATGAGAAGGTCGCATTGGCGCAGTTCAAGACCTTCGACGTCGATACCGGAAAGGCCTTCTGTCTCTCCTTACCTGTTTCCGTCGTGCCGTCTCGTGCGATCGCCAGTAGGGTGGAGGTCATGGCGCCCGCGGAGATCTCGCTGACCATTTCTATGTTCACAACAACTGCGTTCGACACTTCGACCTTAGGGTCGAAGCTGATAAAGAGTCCTACGCTCAACCGCGATAGTCCCACTGCTGCGGCGCCGATTCGTCTAACAAGTCCGCCAAATATCTCCTCCGGTTGTTGGTAGACGGGCGATTGTAATCTTGCATATCTTACGACCCTTGTTTTTACAAATTTAATGCCGCAGTGTTCTTTGAGATGTCGCTCTTATCTCTTCGAAATAAGGGCTCGGTGGTGAGATTCAGACAGTCATTCATCTGAGCACGTCTCAATTGCTTGCCCGACATACACCAAAAACACCGTATTGACTACGTCTCAAGAAATCCCACGCAGCGAGCCCCGACCCAGCCCTCTTACTGACCCAACGCTCTTATTCGTTTACAGACCAGCCGCCGTTCTCAGTTTCGCATAGTCCGGCGTTCCTAGGCCAGTGGCCTGTAGCAAGCAAACATCAGCGAATGCGCCGCAGTCCGACATGAACAACACACCGGATTCCAGCCAGCCGCCGCGGAAAATCCGTTCGTACCACACCCGGGGTTGGAGCCCGAAGTGACAGCGTTCAGCGCTGAGGCAGCAGATCCATATAGCCAGGGATTCAAGAAGCCCAGCGGGGGATGACCCGCAAGTGCAAGTTCATTGTTCAGCAAGGCTATGACACTAGCAAAAGTCGGAGATGCCGCGCTCGTGCCTTCCTCGCCGGCATTCTCTCCATTCAGGACGATTTGAAAGTTTGTACCCTGAGCGGACACATCTGGGTACCCGCGCCCCTGTGGATTGTATAGACCCGAGTAAGTACTGCCAAGGCCCTGTACATAACCGGCTGTTGCTGTGGTTTGGTACGACGGAGCAGGGAAGTTGTTGGAGAAGCCACCACTCGAGTATGGTGCCGCGGTCTCCGGACCAAATCCTTGGGTAGCACCTACAGAGGTGATACTAGTTTAGTGCATAATCAGATTTTGGGCAAGTAGAGATTTCAGAGATAACGCACTACGGGCAGCTGGCAGGGAATGTGGGTATGAAGTTCGAGCCATCACAGTCTTCGCCCCCGAATGTAGCCCCGGCAACACCGCCGTCTCCAGACGAGAAGAGAAGAGATACGCCACGGGCGCCGAGCTGCATGTATGCATTGCATAGGTTGCTGAAACGTGAGGATTAATGCGAATTGCGATGAGTGCTTCGCGGTATCAAACTAAATCAGCTCACGTGGCCAGATCTGGAGTAACACTGCGTTCATCCATCCCATAACTCGTGGTCACTACTTGTGGAGGAGCATCAGCAGAAAGGAAGTAGTTGACTACATCCAGGGAACCGGCGACACCGTCATTGTTTTGCGAGCCAACGGAGAGGAAAGTAATGGGGACATCCGTCGCCAAGCCTACAGTATACTGGATATCTAAATCCTGTGATTGAGGAAGTATGGGTTAATGCGATTCAGGTCGTGGTGTGAGCACTGTGACGTACAGCTTCGTCACCCGCACTCCCAGGGGTTTGGTCGTTTGAACCACCGTCAAGAGTTTGCAGAGAAAAAGCCGTAGTGCTCGACATATCTGGCCTATATTGTTCCAAAAAGCTCTGATACACCAAGATGAGTTCAGTATATTCCTGGTTTGTAAGATAACGCACCGCGAGATCAGCCAAATTTGCGTATTTATTGTTAAAGCCAGTGACAGCCAATTGGTTGGACTGTGCAGTAGCAGGGGTTGAAGGTATACCGTACAGAGCCTGCAGGCATGCAGGAGTGACAGTGTCTGCACAGGATGGGTCTTGCCTTTCGTGAACTGTAGCGCGAGTCGACTTGGTAGACACAGAATAGGGAGATGAGCTCGCCAGGTAGATGGGGAAGCTATAAAAAAATTGTCAGAGACAGGCTACTGCCTTAGTGTAGCGACGACAAACGTAATCGTGGGGTGAACGAAATCCAGGTGACCCTGTAATTCCACAGGGATAGAATACGCGAGTGTCCGAATGCTCTGTTGGCCTGAGGTCGAATGTACGAATGTGGAGAACTCGGAATCGAACAGATCGTTGGCCTGACTGACGGGAATGCTGAAGCTGATCCAGTCGCCCGCCGGGGTGAGCACAGTGGCATCGATATTGTTGGCTTGTAACCAATTATTCACTGCAGCGAGGCTTTCTGCAGCAGGAGAGACGAATCCCGCAGCCTTTCGAACAAATACCAATTAAGATCAGTCCGTCGAGCTCTCAATGTGAATTGTACAGACCTCCTCCTTAGTCAGGTACTTGCGGTAGTTGGCGCTCGACGGCGTGCTGACATCGTACAGGGCCTGCTCAAGACCAGCGGGATTGCTCTGCACGAGCGCGAGGCGCAAATCGAGGACTGTGTCGGGCGGAGCTGGGCCGACGAGGGCGAAGCCTGTGGGAACGCCGTCGCGCTTTTCATGCGGCTTCATGTTGCGGGACATGGGGTTACCCGCAGCAAGAACAGCGAGGAATGCGACGAGGAGAGCGGAAGCGAAGACCATCTTGGATACGACGAGCACGAGACGATGCCCGAGACAATAAGGTCCAAGGGCCAAGGTATAGTACGCTTTATAGTGCTGCTGTTCAGGAGCCGCGCATGGGATGTCGACAAGTCATGGTGTGAAGATCTAACATATTCGGGAAATTGAGGACAAATTCGCAGAGCTGAAATACGGAGGAAAAGGCCACAGAAGAAGTGCGCTACATAGAAGATAGGTCTCGAATACATTGTTCCGATCGCCAGCAAGTCATGTGTCGCAAGTGTGGAACAGTCGAAGAAACGGTGTCTGATCCTGGATAGATCACTGCTTAGACGGAGAGGCCACCACACGATGTAGCGCCACAGTAGTTGTGCGCCGACACACATGACGGATTCTGTGGTCCAACCACTGACAGGAAAGGGCTGAGGTTGGAAATATAGGGTCCTCGAATAGGAACGGCGCCGCAAGAGTGGTATGAGTAGCCCACATCGCGATTATTTCGAAGAAGAAGGCTGTCAGCAAGCGGACACTCACTAATGCCGAGTCGAAGGAGCTAAATTTACGCTGCTGCTTATCTCGACATACTCGCGGGTTTGGTATGTGAGCCTGGAGAATTTTAGAGGTCCGAGATAATATTGGAAGGAGGCAGAGGCGTTACTCACTGACTAAAACGCGGTATTAGCGAACTCACATGTTTAGCCGTCGACCGACCTGCTCTTTTATATACCACTTGGTGGTACCACAATGATGATTTCGACGACACCAGGCCGTGATTAGAAAGGAAAGTCTTGAATTGCAACTGTACTAGTGCACGTTGACGAATGGTTGCATGTCTCGTTACAACGTGTCCTTCAGGCGCCTATCTCGCTCGAGTTCATGTTGCAAGATATGGGCCTGCCGGTAACAATACTGAGCAGCAAACTAATTGTGGTAGTAAGAAAGACCGTGTACGCTCACAGAAGACCACAAGACACTCGGATTCTGTTCGATTCACGTCCGAAGCTCTGGCAGGATGTCCAGCGAAGATGCGCAGAAGCAACTAGACGATGTCTTATTTCGCCAGGAGAACGCAGTAACAGAATCCACAGTAAGTATCTGACCTGGCGCTCAGTTAGATTCGGGTATTGAGAATGATAGAAGCGGCATCCCTGGGTAGGCAAAATATGCAATTGAGCATATACGACATGCGGGCTTTGCCCCGTGCCGACCCGAGTTAAAAAGTGGTTCAACTAAAGAACTGTAAATTCCAATTTCGAACTGCCTGGGAGGGAAGAGATGCTGAACCCGTGACAATGGGCCCATGTTCGCGTCTGTCACACGTCAGGCCTTCAGGTGAATGAGATCTATAGTAGTCGACCGAAACGCAAAAGTTTGGAGGACATTCGGTGGTGTTGTCTCGTAATCTATGGCTCGAATGCTCAATTGCCAATCAAATATAACCATGCAAATGTGCATGGAATGTTGTACAGCTGTGCAACGCCAAAGAGCAGGAAGCGGGAAGGGCCAATGGTTCTGGAGTACCAGGTGCTATTCGTCCTTGTTTCCGAGCCCGCCAGGTCCGACAATTAAATATGAGAATGGTGGTGATGGAGAGAAATAACAAAAACACAGACTGTCGAATGAGACGCTTGAGGTCAGGAGAAGGCTAGGAGATCGTTACCGATCACAGGGCTATGAACAGCACACCAATAACTTGCGGCACGCAGTCGAGCATGCGGACGCTCAGCGCCCTTGTTTGACGGTCGCAGAGCCTCGACGCCTCACGAACAACAGGAAAGAGAGAAAAAGTGACACTGGGCACACGAGGCTCAGTGGGAGTAGCAATGGAGTAGCCGGATGTTGGATAAGGATCGAGCAAACCAACAGATAATGCCAGTGTCGCGGCCGTTACCGCACCACCAAATGTCTTCAGAGTAGTCAACCAGGAGAACCACCGGTAGCGGGAGAGTCGATCTTTGTGCCTCCACAATGCGATACTGATAGAGCAGACTCAGCAGCGAAGAATCACAGGCGTGCATACGACGGAGGCCTCAGTGGATGAAGATAGCACGTGACTCACCCCCGACAAGTGTTTCCTCTGCGACGCAAAGCTCCTTGCCCAGCAGCAATTGATAACATGCAGGTGCCAGAGATGCAAAGTCCGAGATATCTATCATGAAGCTACACAAGATGGTATCTCGAGACCACATTCCAAAACATACGGGATGCTATGCTGAAGACTAAACATGTTTCCATCTACGAAGAGGGACAACCATTGTGAAAACACAACATCAACCACCACGCGATTAGGGATGTACTCACCAGATTAGCACGATTTCATCGTAGTCATCACTTGTTGTCGCCTGCTGAAGGCGGGCTGCCCTATCCTAATCATCCTCCGTGCTGTCAATCTCGGGCCTCCCACTCCTGAGCCCCAATGCAGAACGAGACTGAACAACGCAGACAAGTGAGTGTTAGATTGGACTACGATGACAATCATGACACGCACGGCTACAGCAACCGACATCGTGATGATGTAGGGCTGGGAAACATTTGAGAAAGGGCAGGTGACCGCAATGTGGATCAGGAACGAAAGATGGACAACCAACTCTTCGAAAAATTCAGCGAGGAACACCCCAGAACAGCAGATAACGTGAGTGAAGGTGTGAAAAGTAGCTGGAAGGTACTGTCAAGCGGGAGCAATTGACACGGGAGTGTCGCTCGAGCAGACATGCCTCGATCGAAAGAGGATCGTTACGGGTAACGCGATATTAAGGGGAAATGCCAGAGACATGAACGGTCTATGACGTGGTGGGCTTCGTCGGTGTAATCGTCAATCCAGATGTTCCCGTACGTACGGCATGAGTGCTCGGGAAGGTTGGGAATATACATTGTTGACAAGAATTGTGGTAGTGAATACTTGGAGAGCCAGATAGCGTATTTCGAGAGCCAGTTCGATGGGAGTCGGTGAAGTCACAATATAATGAGGCTCTGCTCTCCTTCGATACGGACGCAAGGGAGCTTCATCTCATACTCAACGACGCGGTCACGCGCAGCCCGGCGCCACCTCGAAAGGACCAAACAACACGGTACCACAGTAATCACCAAAATGCACCTTTTATGTAGGATTGACTATATAAGCATAGGATACTACCCGAACAGAAGACAAAGCAATCAGAAATGAGAATGTAAGTTATTGAATATGATGTAGAGATTGCTGGAAACTCGTAGATAGTGGAGCAGTCTTCTGATGCAGCATAGAGAGCGCGAGAAAGTACCGCGACTGAGACGCGCGGAAAACAACGAAACGACGTGGTCGGACGCAAATTTTCATTTCTTCGACCGGCGAACCTTCCGACCTTGCTGCGCGAGCCTCGCATTGTCGACCTTCGCTGGACGAGGCCTCAAATGCCGAAGGCTCCATCGAGGCGGCAGATCTGAGCCACCCACTACGACGCCCTGTCCTTCGACCTGTCTCCGCTTCGTCATCGAGCGTGTAATAGGTCCTGTGTAATGTCCGCGAGACACTGCAGGCACTCGGGAGTTGGTCGTCCTTTCCGAGTCCAGAGCAACGGCATCGTCAGCCACCTTTCTCTTTCGTGAAGGTAATGCCACAGGCGTAGGATGCGCAGTCTCGGCGTTCGATGAGGTGGATGAGAGCGTGGAGGACGGCGACCGGCGCCAGGTGGTGCCGCGGGGATATAGCTTTCGTGAAAATCTGTCGTCGTTCGACAGCTCGTGCGTGCTAAGGAAATCCTTCCAGAATTTCCCAAACATTTCAGGATTTTTCCAGACCATCGCTGATTCCACGTCCTGCAGATGTGGAAAAACATGCGATGAATTGAATTTGATGACGGCATCCAACCATTCCCGAAACGCCGGGTTCGAGAAGTGAACCTTGCCAGTGAAATTCTGACTATATTGATTGCTGAGTTTCCCATCGCCGCCCTTGAGAATGCCTTCCTGGTTAATCCAGGTGTCATCAAAGAGTTCGAACAGGTAAGTGACCACTGTGTTTGGCGATAGATTGTGCCCTAACCATAGAAGGTTGGAATATAGTACCACCCAAAGCATGGATTCCATGTCGTCTTGGAATGAATGAGAGATAGACTCGCCCGACCTCAGGAGGCGTATCGACATGAATTGGATGGTGCCCTATCATGAATGAGTCTCCGCACGATTGACGCACGTCAAAATCAAACTCACCGTCCTTGAATGGTCGCAAGCCTCTCCTTCTGTAACCAAACAGGAAGATTCCCAATCAATCAGATAACCGCGCCTGATGTTCTCACCCGAGTCGGGATCCTTGGAGAGGATAATGTTACCTACACTTATGTCACGGTGTAGCCTTCTTTTCCCCGGCTCTGCATGAAAGGCGGCCACCATGGCTTTCAACGTACGTCAGAGAATGTGCGATATTCCACAGAGAAGACGTGGCATTACCCACCTTCATACGCATCGTATGCAGCATGAAGGAGCTCCTTCGTCCCTCTGATTCGCTGCAAGGGATATCCCGCCGTGCCCAAAACAAGTCGATAGTGCACGAGGGGAGGCGGCAATTTGTGATTTTCCCCACCTGTGCACACCCAAACAGCGTGCCTAAACAGATCCGTCTGCGTATACTGCAAGACTACGAGGGGCTTGTCAGTCGATCAAGTCGAGAAAACAACCCTGAAAGCAAACCTGTCGTTTCGTCGCGCTTGTATGTGAGAGCGCTCTCACCATCATCCCTTCCGCTTGAAACCGGCAGCTGGTCCCAGACATCACCATGATGGACTAACCGGGGTATATTTGGCACACCAGTGGAATGGAGGTCCGCCAGAATGTTGCCCTCTTTCATATCTTCGATATTATGTCGCCATGTGTCCTTCAAGAACACTACTTCCCCTTTCGGACTGTCGGCGGTGACAGCCCAGAATCCCCTTGTTCCCTTACCCGTCCACGACACAGGCGAAACCACTGGGCGAGATACGAGTAATCGATGTGCCACACAGTCAGGGGAACCTTCGTCAACGACATTGATCGCCACTACGGCACCTGGCTGGTAGTGCTCGTCCATGGCGGCGACCAACTCTTCATCATTCGGATCCAGCTGGAACTTGACGTGACGTTTGATGGAATCTCTGAAGAGTTCCTCCTCCCCTGTGGTTGCAAGTTCGACGGAAACGTCATACCCGCGCTGCGAATTCGAAGCGTGGGCGTACCGCCAGAGAAACTCGCAGAGATGCTCCGGTTGGGCGCGGACGTCGAAAGATTCAGAGGCGATGACCCCGCATCGATCCCACCTTAGGAATCGAGCACGAGATCCAGCCAGTGAAATCGAGAAATAAAAGGTACGGTGTTGACGGGAACACGCTTCGGTGGCGCATGCAACATTCCTGCCGAATGCTTCTTCAGCCTCCTTATGAGCACGGTGGTCACCGGGGATCTGAAAAAAGGCGTGTTCGGAACGGTCATCTTCAGGACCTGGATCTGTAAATGGGTCCAAGCCGGGGTGTCGCTGTACGTCGATGTACAAATCAGCGCAACCAAGAGGACCAGCTGAGGTGAAGTGAGAATCGTTAAGGTCCTGTGAATAACAACAGACGTGGGCGTTCATCGAGCCTATATCCCCAAGCTCTGCGCCAGACGTGGCCATCCCTTTGAACGTGAATCCAGGACAGCGACGCTGAGATTTTCTGCTCCTCGTTCTGATGCCATTAATTGCTGCGATCTGTGACTTCATTAGCATTTAGAACTCCAGTACGCAAAACGAAACCAACCCACCAATGGGTTATAGATCTGCTGTTCCGTTCCCGCCTCTGCCGGCACCTTGTTGAAAGCATTGACGGGACGCGGCATGTTCGACATATCCGTCTCTGGTAGAAACTCTAGGAACTCTTCGACAGGCATTGGTCCAAGGATGAATCCTTGGGCTGAGTCTGCGTATTGGCGGTAGCGTCTTCTGATGTCGTAGTGGTCGAAATCCTCCTGCTGCCACACATTGTACTTCAGGTCCTTTTTTGCTAGGGGTGTGGCCACCATGACATTCCTATGCGGAATTGGACGTGGTGAAGCAGAAATTATCAAAACCAAGAGAGAATAATTGAAGATACCGAAGTCGGAGCACAGTGAATCTAGCGTAGCTCGAGTCCTGGCGCCGCACCGTGACTGGGAGAGATGGGCTTGAAGCGCTCATTCAATTGGCGCTCAACTGACGCGGTCACGGGTGTACTAGATGATGGGCAACTCGCAAGATTCAAACCTAACCGTAAACAACGTACTGATACTATAGAAAGTGAATTGAGAAGCGCTAAATGGTCACACTCCCGCACTTGCGTTGAAACGGAGGACGAGTGATAATTGACCAAAAATCGGAATTTAGGTTATATGATTTACAGATTGCTGGAAACTCGTAGATAGAAGAGCACAATCTTGAGTAAGAGAAAGTACCGCGACGCAGAAGTACGGAAAACAATGCAACGACTGCAAGAATATAAATACTCATTTCTTCGACCTGCGAACCTTGGGACCCTGTCGCGCAAGGCTGGTTTTGTCAATCTTCTTTGGACGAGGCCTCAGGCGTCGAGGGCTCCATAGATCTTGTATCGGCAGATCCGAGCCACCTGCTACGGCACCCTGTCCTTGGCCTTCGATCTGCCTCCGCTTCGCCATCGAGCGCGTGATGGGTCCTCTGTAACCTTCGCGAGGCACTGCAGGTACCCGGGAGCTGGTCATCTTCTCCGCGTCCGCACCAACGGGCTCTTCCACCGCCTTTCTCTTCCGTGAAGGTAATGCCGCAGGTGCAGGATGCGTGACCTGGGAGGTGGATGACGATGATGAAGGTGGTTTGTAGGGGTGGTCGTCAGGTCGTATTAACTCTCGCCAGACTCTGTCGTGGTCGGAAATCTCATGGACCCTGAGGAAGTCCCGCCAAAACGCATTAAACATCGCGGGATCCTTCCAGACCTCCGCAAAAGCCGCACCCCAGACGTGGGGAAACATATTGGATGAGTTAAATTTCATGACTTCGTCGAGCCATAGTTGAATCGTCGGATTACGAAAATAGATATCGCTCGTGTACCCCCGGTCAAACTGAATGCGGAGCTTGGCATCGCTAGCCATAACGTAGCCATCGTCATGGACAGTGCATCGGTCAAAAATGTTGACCATCGTCTTGGCCAAATCTCCCAGCGGCAAATTGTGATCTAACCATCGCAAACTGCAGTACAGTACAACCCAGAGAATCGACTCCATGTCGTCCTGGATCGTGTGCGCCACTTTCTTGTGGCTCAGAATGCGTTGCGACATAAATTGCAAGGTGCCCTACCGACGCTCATTAGCAAGCGTTTCTGGCGGTGATTTTAGATCTGGATAAATCTCACCGCTTTCGTGTGATCACAAGCCTCACCCTCCTCTGTCACCAAACACGACAGCCCCCAATCAATCAGATAGCCATACCTCTTCGTATTCGTTCCTTTTGGATCCCTAAAGAGGATGATGTTGCCTATACTGACGTCACGGTGCAACCTACGTTTCGTGACGTCCTCCAGGTTGAAAGCTCCCAGAATGGCTTCGGACATGGAGAAGAACGTGAGGGGTTGCATAGCGTGAAGCCGATCATTATGCATACCTTGGTACGCGTCGAACGTCCCCTGAAGAAGCTCTTGCGTCCCTTCGAAGCGCTGCAGCCCATAACCAACGGTGCCCAACACTAACCGGTAATGTACGAGCGGAGGCTGCGGAATTTGTTCAAGCTTGCAAACCCAGTGCGCTTGCTGAAAGCGATCGGTCAGCGTGCGCTGCAGAGCTGTATGTTGGTCGTCAGCGTATCACGAAAAGAGGTCAGCGATGTGCGAAAGCTCACATAGCTCTTCAACGTCGCCGTCCTCCGCGTCTTCGTCCATCCTATTCGCGATGGGCAACCGCTCTAGGACATCTCCGTGAGAGATTAACCGCGGAATGTTCGACACTCCAGCACCCTGCAAATCCGCCAATATAGCACCCTCTTTCTGTTGTTGCCCATTGTATCGCCACGTGTCCTTCAAGAACACTACCTCACTTCTTGGGCCATCGGCAGTGACCGCCCAGTAACCCCTCGTTCCCCGGCCTGTCAGTGACACGGGTGACACCACCGGCCGAGAGATGAGTAGTCGGCGCGCCACTTGCCCTGGAGAGCCCTCGTCGACCATGTTGACCGCAACAACGACGCCAGGCTGGTAGTGCTCCTCCATCGCAGCCACCAAGTCTTCCTCGTCGAGATCCAGCTGAAGTTTGACGTGGCGTTTGATGGACTCTCTGAAGAGTTCCTCCTCTTCTCGAGTCGCAGGTTCAACGGACACATCGTAGCCGCGCTGCGATTTTGAAGCGTGGGCATATCGCCACAGGAACTCGCAAAGTGGCCCGGGCTGAGCACGAATGTCGAATGATTCTGAAACGATGGCTCCGCAGCGGTCCCACCGTATGAGGCGAGCACGAGACCCGGCCAACGAAATCGAAAAGTAAAAAGCGCGGTGTTGACGGGCACACACTTCGGTGGCGCACGCGACATTCCTGCCGAGCGCTTCTTCTGCGTGTTTGCGAGTACGGTCGTCGCCGACGTTTATAACAAATTCATGTGAGCGACGATCGTTTTCAGGAGTTGGGTCGGTGAAGGGATCCAAGCTGGGATATCGCTGTACGTCGATGTACAAATCAGCGCCGCCAAGAGGGTCTGAGTGAGAGTCGTTAAGGTCCTGTGAATAACAACAGACATGGGCGTTCATCGATCCTATCTCTCCAAGCTCCGCACCAGACGTGGCCGTGTCTTTGAATGTGAATCCAGGACAGCGACGTTGAGATTTTCGGCTCCTCGTTCCATTAATTGCTGCAATCTATGACTTCATCAGCATTTAAAACTCCAGTATGCAAAAGAAACCGACCCACCAACGGTTTATAAATCTGCTGTTCCGTTCTCGCCTCTGCCGGCACCTCGTTGAAAGCGTTGATGGGACGCGGCATGTTAGACATATCCGTCTCTGGCAGAAACTCTAGGAACTCGTCGAGAGGCATCGGTCCAAGAATAAATCTTCGGGCTGAGCTTGCAAATCGGCGGTAACGCCCTTTGACGTCGCTGTGGTCGAAGTCCTCGGGCTTTTGCCACACTTCGTAGTCCGGGTCGTTCTTAGCGAGCGGTGTGGCCACCATGATTTTCTAGCGGAGTGGGATGTGGTGAAAGAGAGGGTATGAAAACCAAGATGGAATACTTGATACGTCGCCGAAGTCGGAGCACGGTACTATAAAGTACAGTGGAAACGGAAGGGGCTTCAATGAAGCGCTCGCTCAATTGGCGCTCAAGACGCGGTCACGCGCAGATGGCGCCAACTCGAAAACGACCACAAACAAGTGAGTACGTTGAGCAGTAGTCAACAAAATGCACATTTTATGTAGAATTGACTATATAGGCGGAGGAAAATACTCGTTGAAATGGAAAAGAATAGAAGATAAGGTGGTCAGGAATTTAAGTTATTGAATATATATGATGTTCAGATTGCGGGGAACTCGCAGATGGTGGAGCAGTCTTTTGATGCAGCATAGAGCACGAGAAAGTACCTCAACTCAGACGCGCGGAAAACAACGAAACGACGTGGTCGGACGCAAATTTTCATTTCTTCGACCGGCGAACCTTCCGACCTTGCTGCGCGAGCCTCGCATTGTCGACCTTCGCTGGACGAGGCCTCAAACGCCGAGGGCTCCATTGAGGCTGTATCGGCAGATCCGAGCCACCCACTACGACGCCCTGTCCTTGGCCTTCGACCTGTCTCCGCTTCGCCATCGAGCGTGTAATAGGTCCTGTGTAATTTCCTCGAGGCACTGCAGGCACTCGGGAGTTGGTCGTCCTTTCCGAGTCCACAGCGACCGCATCGTCAGCAGCCTTTCTCTTTCGTGAAGGTAATGACACAGATGTAGGATGCACGGTCTCGGCCTTCGATGAGGTGGATGAGAGCGTGGAGGACGGCGATCGGCGCCAGGTGGTGCCGCGGGGATATAGCTTTCGTGGAAACCGATCGGCGTTGGATAGCTCGTGAGTGCTAAGGAAATCCTTCCAAAATTTCCCGAACATTTCAGGATTTTTCCAGACCACCGCTGATTCCACGTCCTGTGGATGTTGAAAAACATGCGATGAATTGAATTTGATGACGGCATCCAACCATTCCCGAAACGCCGGGTTCGAGAAGTGAACCTTGCCAGTGAAATCCTGACTATATTGATTGCTGAGTTTGCCAACGCCACCCTTGAGAATGCCTTCCTGGTTAATCCAGGTGTCATCAAAGAGTTCGAACAGGTAAGTGACCACTGTGTTTGGCGATAGATTGTGCCCTAACCATAGAAGGCTGGAATATAGTACCACCCAAAGCATGGATTCCATGTCGTCTTGGAACGAATGAGAGATAGACTCGGAGCGTGAGCTTAGAAGGCGCAGCGACATGAATTGGATGGTGCCCTATCATGAATGAGTCTTCGTATGATTGACGCACGTCAAAATCAAACTCACCGTCCTTGAATGGTCGCAAGCCTCTCCTTCTTCTGTTACCAAACAAGAAGATTCCCAATCGATCAGATAACCGCGCCTGATGTTCTCGCCCGAGTGGGGGTCCTTGGAGAGGATAATGTTACCTACACTTATGTCACGGTGTAGCCTTCTTTTCCCCGGCTCTGCATGAAAGGCGGCCACCATGGCTTTCAACGTACGTAAGAGAATGAGCGATATTCCGCAGACAAGACGCGGCGTTACGCACCTTCATACGCATCGTATGCAGCATGAAGGAGCTCCTTCGTCCCTCTGATTCGTTGCAATGGATATCCCGCCGTGCCCAAAACAAGTCGATAGTGCACGAGGGGAGGCGGCAGTTTGTGATTTTCCCCACCTGTGCACACCCAAACAGCGTGTCTAAACAGATCCGTCTGCGTATACTGTAAGACTACGTGGGGCTTGTCAGTCGATCAAGTCGAGAAAACAAGGCTGAAATCAAACCTGTCGTTTCGTCGCGCTTGTATGTGAGAGCGCTCTCACCGTCGCCCCTTCCGCTTGAAACCGGCAGCTGGTCCCAGACATCACCATGATGGACTAACCGGGGTATATTTGGCACACCAGTGGAATGGAGGTCCGCCAGAATGTTGCCCTCCTTCATATCTTCAACATTATTTCGCCATGTGTCCTTCAGGAACACTACTTCCCCTCTCGGACTGTCGGCGGTGACAGCCCAGAATCCCCTTGTTCCCTTACCCGTCCACGACACAGGCGAAACCACTGGGCGAGATACGAGTAATCGATGTGCCACACAGTCAGGGGAACCTTCGTCAACGACATTGATCGCCACTACGGCACCTGGCTGGTAGTGCTCGTCCATGGCGGCGACCAACTCTTCATCATTCGGATCCAGCTGGAACTTGACGTGACGTTTGATGGAATCTCTGAAGAGTTCCTCCTCCCCTGTGGTTGCAAGTTCGACGGAAACGTCATACCCGCGCTGCGAATTCGAAGCGTGGGCGTACCGCCAGAGAAACTCGCAGAGATGCTCCGGTTGGGCGCGGACGTCGAAAGATTCAGAGGCGATGACCCCGCATCGATCCCACCTTAGGAATCGAGCACGAGATCCAGCCAGTGAAATCGAGAAATAAAAGGTACGGTGTTGACGGGAACACGCTTCGGTGGCGCATGCAACATTCCTGCCGAATGCTTCTTCAGCCTCCTTATGAGCACGGTGGTCACCGGGGATCTGAAAAAAGGCGTGTTCGGAACGGTCATCTTCAGGACCTGGATCTGTAAATGGGTCCAAGCCGGGGTGTCGCTGTACGTCGATGTACAAGTCAGCGCAACCAAGAGGGCCAGCCGAGGTCAAGTGAGAGTCGCTAATGTCCTGTGAATAACAACAGACGTGGGCGTTCATCGATCCTATATCCCCAAGCTCCACAGCAGGCGTGGCCGTGTCTTTGAACGTGAATCCAGGACAGCGACGCTGAGATTTTCTGCTCCTCGTTCTGGTGCCATTAATTGCTGCAATCTGTGACTTCATTAGCATTCAGAACTCCAGTACACAAAACGAAACCAACCCACCAATGGGTTATAGATCTGCTGTTCCGTTCTCGCCTCTGCCGGCACCTTGTTGAAAGCATTGACGGGACGCGGCATGTTCGACATATCCGTCTCTGGTAGAAACTCTAGGAACTCTTCGACAGGCATTGGTCCAAGGATGAATCCTTGGGCTGAGTCTGCGTATTGGCGGTAGCGTCTTCTGATGTCGTAGTGGTCGAAATCCTTCTGCTGCCACACATTGTACTTCGGGTCGTTTTTTGCTAGGGGTGTGGAAAACATGATGTTCTCTGCAAGATAAAAGGTAGAAATGGGGGACGCGTAGAAGCCGGTGACGTTGTTGGAGGTCGCTGAAGTGGTGTATGTCGTAACAGTACTTGATTGTTTGGAAGTGGCGACTGCTCAACCGCGCCACGATCACGTGGATAGCCGCGAGCCGCTCGGGAATTCACTACAAACGTCGCGTACGTCCGACACACCAGCCTACATATGCTCCTCCTACCCTCACACTACCCCCTCACCTTTACCATCTCCTACCTTCTCTATAATCCATCATTCTTTTCCTTTTACTATCCTACTCTCTCCCGTCCCTTATCGTACCACTCTACGCAATTACTTTAATGCTTTAGCTTACTCACCGTGGCTGACGAGGTGCTTATTACGTACCTGAGCTACCTGTTAGCGTAGTCAGTCAATCATACACGTTTCCACGTTTTCACTGGCAGTGTGTAGTACTAGCAACATAAGCAATCTAATCTCAAGTGCTTGATTTGCAAGATGGGAAGGAAATCCAGATAGATTGGTTACTTATAACAACACCAGTACTACGAGGGAACAGAAATCGAGCAACAACACAGAAAATTGCAGTCTTGCTGCGAAGGAATGGTATTCCCGAAGTAGTACTCTTTGCGCGCGATCAGTGGTAACCTCCTCTGTCCTTACACCGATTTGACGCTACCTGTCTGCACGTCGCTGTCGTGAGTTGCCAGCCTTTTCGCTTGCTCCGGCTCGTGCCATAGGTCCGCGAGATGCAGGAAAAGAGCTGCCCTTTGCGCTCTGCGACTTGGCACACCTGGATTGTTCTTCAGCCCTTTCTTTTGCTCGCGTCATAGGTCCGCATGTTCTTGAGACACAGCTGCGTTTCGAACCTTGCAGCTCAGCGCCGACGGGGTCATCTTCAGCCTTTCGCTTCGTTCCAGGAGTGATTAGACTTGTAAGTGCGACATTCCTAAAAAGCGCGGTCATTGTTCTAGTGGCGGGGAGTGGCGGGGCGTTGAGTTGACCATTGCGAGGAACTTGATTAGGAGGTAGTGATCGATGAACCCTGTCGTTTTCAGCCAAGTCGTTGTTCACCATGAAGTCCTTCCAGAATTTATCAAACGCTTTAGGATCCTCCCAGACCATCGCCGACTCCACGCTGTGCAGCTGGGGAAAGGAGTAGGATGAATTGAACATTATGACAGTGTCCAGCCATTTTTGGATTGTCCGATTCGAAAAGCGAATTGGGCCGGTGATCTCTTGATCGCGTTGATTGTAGAACTTGCCAGCGCCACCGCTGATGCCCCCATCTTCGCCAGTCCAATGATGGTCGAAAAGCTTCTCCAAGGTAAGGAGCACACTACATGGTGACCGATCATGCCCTAGCCATAGGAGGCTGCAGTAGAGTATGACCCAGAGTATCGACTCCATGTCATCTTGAATCGTATGAGCCACACCAGATTTTAGCGTCCGTTGTGAGATAAATTGAAGGGTGCCCTAAGGACGCTCCTGAGTAGGTGCTCAGATAATCAACATGCATCACGTTAACTCACCGTTCTTCTGTAATCGCGAGGCCCGCCTTTATTGTTCACCAGACAGGATAGTTCCCAATGTATGAGGTACCCCTGCCTAGTCTGACCCGTCGAATCCTTGGCGAGGATAATACTGCCCATACTTACGTCACGATGAAGTCTGCGCTTTGTTTCGTCGTCCATATAGTAGGCACCTATCACAGCTTAATTCATGCAGAAGCGATTAAGGAATACTGAACGACGGAAGAGGCAAGGCGACATACCTTGATATGCGTCGTATGTCCCACTAAGGAGCTCCTTCGTCCCCCGAAATTTATGCAGTCCGTAGCCCACGGTACCTAATACTAACCGATAATGTACCTGAGGATATATGCGAAACTTGGCTTGTCCATTCTTGCACGCCCACTTTGCGGTTTCGAATCTGGGAGTCAGAGTGTGTTGAAAACCTGCAAGGACCGAGTCAGACTACGATTTGAGACGAAAGTTTGAGAACAAACCTGTCTGTTCACCTCGTTCGTCATCCATGTCCATGCTATTCGAGTCGGGGCACTCCGGAACGTCTCCGTGATGGACCAATTGTGGAATGTGTGGTACTCCACCGCCTAGCAGGTCTGCCAAGACATCTCCCTCTTTCAGCAGGCCATCCCCAGTATATCGCCACGTATCTTTCAAGTACAAAACTTTGCCACAGTCTCCATCCGCGGCCACCGCCCAGTACTCGCGAGTAGCACGACTGGCCAGGGAGAGAGGCCAAACTATAGGCCGAGATACGAGCACTCGATGCTTGTTTGAATTCTCGTCGAACGTGGTGATTGCAGCCACGGTGCCGGGCTGAAAATGCTCCTCCACTCCGGCGGCCAGTTTCTTTTCCGCAGCTTTTTTCTCCTTGCCAACCAGTTGGCCTATATCCTCGAGGTCCAGCTGTAATTGAACATGGCCCGTGATGCACTTCTCAAACAATGCTTCCTCCTCTTCGGTCGCATGTTCGACGGTACAGTCGTATCCGCGTTCCGCTCCTGACGCATGCGCATATCGCCACAAGAACTCACAGAGTGCCTGTGGTTTCTTGTGCAAATCAAACGATTCCGATACCATTATGCCCCCACGGTCCCACCGGATGAGACGAGTTAATGTCCCGGATAATGACACCGAAAAGTACGACGTGCGGAACTGGCGCGCAAACGCGTCAACTGCGTATGCGATGTTCTGTCCGAGATCGTGCTTGGCCCGATCGAGCTTTCTTTCACTAGCAATGTTCAGCACGAACTTGTGTGCAGCGGGATCGCTGTTGGGTGGCGGATCTGTAAAATAATCCTGTTCCGGCCGTCCCTTCACCTCGATATACAAATCCGCGAAACTAAGATCGCCGATGGGCTCGTGCGTCGTCTTGTTAGTCTCAACCGAGTCGACGATTTCCGTGGAATAACAAACCACATCAGGCTTCACCGACCCAGGTTTTCCGTGATTGGTACCTCGTGACGAGGTATCCAGGAAAACAAAACCAGGACAGCGTTTCCGGCCGTTCCGTTCCGCATTGAGTGCCGCAATCTGGAACTTCACTCAGCGGTGCCATTCTATCGGAATGAAGTCAACATACCAGAGGTGTATAGATATCCTTCTCCTTTTCTGCCCGTTCTGGAACATCACTGAATGCGTTCCTAGCATTCGGCCGTTTCGTGGGTGCCTCTGGCAAGAAATCCAAAAAGTCCTCTACAGGCATGGGGCCTAAAATATAACGCTCTGCTTCCTCGGAATATCGTTCGTATCTGTCATTGGCAAGCTTTGACCCGAAACCCCATTGCTGAGCGCCACTTTCATTCCGAGTGGTGGGTGTGGCCGCCACGACTACCTTCCGCGATGGATGATGAGGCGTAATAGGTTCGGGGAGAAATTCCTGGGAACTGGGTGGGGAGGGAGTCGCCATCTCTTGATTGCTTGGTGTTGGTTGACCGCGAGATGGTGGATGTAAAGGAGTGACTAGTGAACCAGCAGTGGCAAAGTCAGTGGCGACGAACGAGCTCGGTCACATGCCAGTAAATTAGCCGAGCTATGCGCCACAACCGCATTGTCTCTTTGCGTAATCACGCAACAACTGAAAAGAATGCTTCACATCAGCACGGTGAGATAATAAGATGAATTACCGGCGCATGCAGTCCATAAGATTTCTTAGCTGAACAACGTACGATATAGTGGCCTGAAAATCGAGATGCGCAGAGAAAATTTACTGGTGATCCACGTCCCCGGGACGCCTTCAAACCTGGTCATACTCAGATGACAAACACAAGAGAGCAGAATTGCGTTCCCCGGTCATTCAATGGAAAGAGCTGTATCCGAAAATTGAGTGCGCGGGAAGCAAGATCAGAACACAGCTACCTAGTTGTGTGATTTTGTCGATATCGCGGGAAAAGAGCGAACAGAAAGCTAGAGGGCGAGCAATGAATCGAATGCGTCATTTCGTTCGTAGAAATGACGAACGGATAACCGTAGTCGCTGAAAACGTGCACCAAGGAGGACGCCGAGCACATCGAGTTTGAGATGATACAACACCATGCTATCATAGTACCTGGCTTCTGGAGTCTGCGACTTTTCTGCCGACTGAACTGGCACTTCTGCTGGCAGCATCCGTGGTATACACACGGTGCGAGTCGTGTGGGAGTCACGCGTAGTAAAAGACAATCCACTCACGCGCATCGGATGGCCTAGCCTGCGTCTTTTGAAGCCAAACCAATGATCCCTCATCATGACTATGGTCAACCTGTGACGCAGATATGTATGTATACATTGTACAATATGGAGAGAGACGGGCGTTAAAGCTATCGCCCTCTGAATCAAACAACTGCAAACAGATAGATACTCACCGCGACAAGGAACCTCCGGAATATTTTCACAGGCCTGTCGACATTGAATACGCATCAGCATCTTTTCTTAAAATGCCCACTGGGCAAAGCATGAAAGCGTTGGCATCGTAGCACTGAGCTGCTTCTGATGGCACGCCAGACACCGCCGGAAATTCGAATAGGCCGGCGCGTCTCTCTAGTCAAGACAGGCTTTTTTTGCAGTCCTAAACAATGGAATCTGTCATTTATTAAGCTCACTGGTGAAAGGAACGGAAACGATGATTCCTACAAACTCTTGCATCAGACAGCCTGTCTGATGTTTGACTCAACGGTGTGTGCGCGAAGTGCGTAATTTAATTTCCTTCCATTTACCGCTCAGCCGCTCAGATGAGGTATAACAGCGGCCCAACAAGTTGCTGCTGCTTCTCGAGCTCGAACATGACAGGAGTGCTCCTGATATTCACTGGCCGCGTGTTTGATCGTTCTGTGTAGTCAAAGTTACTACTATCCTCGATTACTCGCCATATTGGATGGGCGCTTGAGCTCCGTGCCAGTGTTACTTAAGCCACTGGTTCTCTATCCCAAGGCCTCCATCGCCATTCTTCTGTCTGTCGTGCCTCCAGCTTTTTTCCAATGTCCTCGAATGGTCTGAGTCTTCCAGCTTTGGACGGCAGCACACCAGTTCTCCCCGACTTTGTTGATTTCATGCGGAACATAACCCCGACCGTCCATGTTTGTCTTTACTAATCCAGGCCCCTCCTTGTATGACTTCTCTTCGCATTGCCCATGTTATCCGTCCATTCCGCTCCGGCTCCGAAGGCACTGTTGTCGCTATCCTGGTAAACTGCGATACCTTTCTATATCACGCTCTGACCGTCGGCCTTATTCGTGCCAGCCTTGTTCCTTTCCCCGTGTCTCCCCACGATTTCCCGCACGCCATTGCCAACATGCTCCAGCAGACGGATTTGTCATCGCGTCATAACGCAGCCTGCATTCCCGATCTCATCGATGCGACCCGTGCCATCCTCGACCTATCCTATGCTCTTGAGCTTACCCATCTTCCTGCACTCTCCGACACATTTGCTCCATTTGCCTCCCCGGACCACCCGCTCCGTGCGCCTTCCCCGTATCCACCAGTGCCCCATCGGTGCGTACCCTCAGACGTTGTCTTCTATCTCCACTCCTCAGGTTCCACAGGCTTCCCAAAGCATGTACCGCACACCAGTATTTTGGGCCTCTACTGGTGCTGCACTTCTGCGCTCGTCGAATCGCGCCAACGCGACATCCGTTGGGCAGCCATGACTCCTTCCCCATTCCATGCGATGTGTATAATCATGCAGCTCTATGCTCCCCTCGTCTCCGGCCAGCCGTCCACACTCTTCCTATCCCGCGCACACGAGTTCGGCATCCCTGCCACTCCTACTCCACAGAACACAATTGACGCTGCTCGCAGGTCTCACGCAATTGTCATCACCACCACACCGACCTTGCTCGAGGAATTTCTTCTAGTAGCCTGTCGCTCACTTTCGCTTCTGTTTCCAGCACTGGGCACATAATGAGGAAGATATTAAGTTCTTTGCAATTGCCTCTCTGCACGCTTTGGTGCGTTCCCGTTCTTACGCTTTTAGCTGATCTACTCCATCTAAATTCTACCTTGCCAGACGTTCGCCGGGGGACTTCTCTCCCTCGTCAATGGCAACAAAATCTTTTCCTCAAGCATCCGTCTCTATGCTTTTTACTGTGCCACCAAATTTGGTGCAGTCACAGCCACCTTCGACGTCGACGATGACGTTCCGTCCGAAACCAATTTGAAGGCTACAGGGAAAAGCCGCTCCGACTGGCGGTGGATGCAGTTCAACGGACAGTGCAGCGTGCGCTGGGTTTCGCGGGCTGATGGTACTCATGAACTTCACTTCCTGGTGCGGAGCCCATCTCTCTGTCTCGTCCGACATGGCAGCACTTATGACAAATTATATAGACATGCGTAACGGTAACGCACCAGCCAAGCGCCGAAAACTTTCCCGGCGGCGAGAAAGGATACTCGACGAGCGATCTGTGGGAACAACATCCCACGTAAGCTGTGGTGCATGCAAGTCCACAGCAGTTCATGTAGATCGGGTTACACTGATACCCATGTCATAGCGTCGGACGTGCTGATGATGTCATCGTGCTCTGCACACCGGCCTGTCCCAATGCATGTCTTGTTTGCTCATCAGTGCCCTTATCCCGTCTCTAGGAGCCAATCTCATTCCGATTCCGCAAGAAAGTCACATCGGCGCACATTCGCTGGTTTCTGGGCTATCATGTTCGGTCGGGGGCGTGCGCACCCAGGGGTGCTCATCGAGCTGCGCCATGCTGCCGCCATTCAACTGGATGACGCGAGCGCATTCACAACGTTCGTGAAGAGAATCTGGCACGTAGCATACCTTCCCCTCCCCAACTATCGCACGGAGCTGACCGAGTTTTTTTCAGGCCGCAAGTGGAGGAGGCGAACGCTCTAGCGCCTATGTACGGTTCTGTCAGCGCGATCGCGAAAGAGATGGTACTCCTCGGGACTCCGCTCGCCCATTTCTGCGTGCTGCGAAGGGTACCGTGCTCCGTAATGCAACACTGGCATTGTACGAGTAATATATTGATAAGCTGTGTGTATTGCTGTCTTCGTTCATTTCGCGCCGTATTAAGCTGACTCCTATGGGTTGTACAGGTGTGGATGACAGCGTGTGCATCAAGCTATACGGTTAGAGCGTTCGTCGGGTCTCATGTGCCTAGGATGATGCTGATGGAAATCAGTGTCCTTGGGAATGTTAGTGATACTTTAGTGTGTACTAGTTTAGTCGGTAATTGAGATATTGTGCAATTTCACATCAATTTTGGTACGGGAGCGCTCACAAAACACCATCACGTGTACATGGCACGGGCGTCGAGGCTATCGGCCTCTGAATCTAACAACCGCAAACAATGTCTCACTGTGATTGGGTCTGATTGGGCGAACCTTCGTTTCCCAGTCACTGATCCGCCACACACTCTCCGCCGCACAAACTAACGCGTCTCGCATTTTTCAAAAGCTGATAAACGTGGTTTTCGTCATTTCTCCATCTCGGAAGAACGGGACTGTAGTGGTTACACCACTGGCAGCGAACAAGAAGACCGCAGATCAGGAAGACTCTCACCACCGGGACGCCAACCTGCCCTATGTCCGATATGTTCCCGTTGTCAAAAATGTTTTTTTCTTGGACCTAGGCATGTGCAAGAGTTTCTGGATTTTCTGCTGGAGACGGATTTGACTTGAATGACGTGTGCTGCATGCACGTTCAAGGCGATTCCAAACAAGGCTCAGAACGAGAGCGAAATCTACGAACTCTCGATATGTCTACTTCCTCACACAAAATGTCGCTGACTGATAAGAGTTACAGACGGGGGGAAACAGACGATATTCTCTGTGCCCTGGGCACATGGCTACGGGTGGCCTAAATCACGAAGGAATGGAGCCGCTGGATCCTGATATCTGTTGCTACAGTATGCTCAGGAAGCGGTCGGGTTGGTGAAGACCACCGCGACGACAGCGGGCTTCTCAGAATTAATCATCAACGTGGCCCAGAATGCGAGTCTAGACTCTGTCTCACATCCTGGAGAGGATGCCGATCGCTCCTCGCACAACTTCATTAACATTGATGACGAGCTCTATCGCAAACGGGCCGAACGCGCTTTGGAGAGGGACGTTACGTGTGCGGTAGAGGCCTTTGCTCGTTAGCATCGCAAGTCCTACTTCTTAGTATCGTTGTCTGGGTTAAGAGCGAGACTGATCCGGCGGGACCGCGCCGGTGGGATCGTCACGGAATCATTCGATCTGCATGAACATCTTCATTAAAATTTGTCGCAACAATAGGCTCTAACTACTGTTGCAAACAGGGTAAATCACAAGCGAGCTCTCTGTCCTATCGGTAAGTGCATTCCTCTAGATCAAGTCTACATGGCTCTATCTACAATGCAGCCGCGTGCGCGAACGGATAGTCAATGTACCCTTTCGGGTCCTCGGGAGTGTAGAAAGTGTCGCGATCATACTTCGCAAATGGTATGTTCTTGCGTAGATGCAGAGGAAGGTCAGGCTGCTCGCTTACATCAGCACAATTCACTAGAGCACAGCAGCATTTACACACGTTCGAAATGTAGGCTCTGCCAAAGGCGATGAGGTCGCCCTTCTTGTCTGCCGCATCCAGCGCGCTCTCGCGGGTATACCCACCGGCGCTAATGACTGGCCGGGGCGCCCATATCTTGCGGAAGTAGTCATTCGTCTGCGGATGGTGCTCGGTCTTTGATTGAGGGCTACACAAGGGACAAAAATCTACGCACCTCTCCATCCCTCACAATCCGATCCGTGGTACCCGAAACCCACGGCTCCACAAAGTGGATGTACGCGAGGTCTGGGTACAGCTCTGCGATCCGCGAGATGACATACGTAAATGTCGGTACGGGATCCTCCATACGCATATCTACTCATGCATCGGCCTAATGCAGACAAGTCGAGTGTGGAGCATACCTTGAAACTGGCCCCACGGACTAAAGCGGACGCCCGTCTTCTGTGCCCCAATCTTGGCGGTGACTGCAGCCAGAATCTCTAAGAAGAACCTGGCGCGATTCTCGATCGATCCGCCGTACTTGTCCCTGCGATTGTTCGAGACATCCTGCAAGAACTGATCGAGAAGATACCCATTCGCGCCATGAACCTCAACACCGTCGAAGCCGGCACCATGGACCGCATTAGAAGCAGCGGTTGTATACAACTGTACGTATTCCTTGATTTCTGTGAATTCTCCGTATCAGCAGGATTTCTAAGATTGGGATAACTAAGCATACCGTCCTCCGTCAACGGACGCGGGGCTTTCGGTTTTCCTGTCAGCTGGATGTCCGACGCGGAGACATACGGAAAGGACGGGTCTTCCTTCTCCAGCTCTTCGAAGTCTGCAGCTCGCCCTAGAGCCCAAAGCTGGAGGTAGATATACGAGCCCTTCGCGTGGACAGCATCTGTTATCTACAAGGAAGTCAGTCTATTCCTTTCCACGTCCATAACTACAGATTGTATGTATGTCCTGAACAACGGTACTCCCCCGACGCGCGTATTCCGACGAAATCAAGAACACTCACCCGCTTCCAAGCCGCGATCTGGGCGTCGTTCCATATGCCCGGCACATGAGCGAATCCGCCAGCGTTCGCTGAGATGATTGTTCCCTCCGCAATGAGCAATGTCCCGGTGACACTTGCGCGCTGCGAGTAGTACTCTACTGCGAGATCACCATGTACATGGGCCGCGTTGGCGCGGAAGCGCGTGAGCGGCGCGAGAACAACGCGGTGCGCCAGTGTCATATCGCCGACTTTAATTGGCTGGAACAGCTTGGGCGCGGACTCGGAGGACATGGCGGACGATACTGAAAATTACCACTAAGCCTAAGATGTTTCAGATGAGGAATAGAGAGACGAGTAACCTGCTGAGAGGTCGGAGTCGCAGACTACTTATGCCTGGCGGGAAGGTATTTTGTAAGCCTAAGTATGGCGCGACCGAAGGAAAAAATGTTCCACAACACCTTTGTCATCTTCTTCGAGTTTTCACGCATGGGTGTGTGCGATTGGTAATCGCGTCCGATGTGCGTTAAACACCATTGACACACTGCAGACCATATGATGCAAGCTCAGCCGCCAGCAAAGATCTGAAAAAGTGTCCCGCCTCTTCCCATTTCAGATCCAAAGTACAGAGTCAGGACGAGGGAAGCGCCCCCTCCCCGCAGCAAAGATCTTGCTTGTGACTTGCCACCACACAGTTTCAAACTTGAGCGAAGCTGAATCGGGATTTGTCGTGCATAGCCTCCGGAAGGAGCCGGGGAGTCCAAATGCGCGAGCATGCATGCAGAGCGATCCCATTATATAGCACAGGACACATAACCCCTTTTTTCCCGAGGAAATAACTTGGAAAAATGTGTGGAAATCAATAAAGTTATACTGCGGGAAAAACATGAGGAAAAAATGTGTAAAAGAACAAAGCATTTCCGCAGTTTTTCCACTGGAAATAAGTTGGTCGCCAAATATGGTAGTTTTGTCCGGGTTTTGGCATGTCCTGGCATGTCCAGTTGCCTGATATGGTAGGCAACTTATTTCCAAGGGAAAAACCGTGAGAATGTTTTGTTCTTTTCTCACTTTTTTCTCGAGGTTTTTCCTCTGAAAATATATTATTGATTTCCATGCTTTTTGCCAGGTTATTTCCAATGGATAAAAGTGGTAATGCTTCCTGTGTAGGCGTGCAGTGCTTCATGTTATAGGATCACAACATGTTAGCATAACCGGTTGTTCGGCGCTCAGCATGCGCGGGGGGTAATTATGTAAATTGGTGAAAAAAGTCTGTCCCAACCGGTGTGAAGGAAGATGCTACAAAAATTCCCTTTTAGGAAGGTGACATCATTAATGTGGCGGAAGAGAACGAATACGCAGGCTACCTGCGATAATCATTCGTGCCTCTTCTCCATATCTCGCTGTACGTTACCAAAGATCTTCCCCGCAAGCCGTATAGCGACGACGTGGACATGGAGAGCACATGAACTTGAGACACACTCCCTCTGGATCAATCGCGTCGCGGTCACTGAAATGTAATTTGTCAAATATTTACCCCATCTCCAATCTCATTGAGCGGACAGCACCATAAGAGTATGCTAAAGAAATTTCGAATTCATTTGTCACTCAAGACATGCTTTCTAGTATGCCCGTGTTATAGTAGCCTACACGGTACTTCTACATATCTGAAAAATCTCCCAGCCTGAGACCAAAAGTGGAAAAATGAGTAAGGAAAGGTCAAGTGTCTCAAGGGGTGGTAATGTCTCAAAGACCGTGTAATAATGTATAATATATGGTCGTATGTTGTATTACCCGTGTTGTGCACGGCCATATAGGTATCCAGTATGCTTGAAGCCCCAGCAGATACATCCTGCAAGACTACAAGGCTCTACAGCGTCGCAGTGTCCGCGAACGGGTAGTCAATGTACCCCTTCGGGTCCTCGGGAGTGTAGAAAGTGCTGTAATCGTACTTCGTGAGTGGTATGTTCTTGCGCAGACGCAGAGGAAGGTCAGGCTGCTCGCATTCATCAGCACAAGTAATCATAAAGCACAGCGGCATTTACACACGTTTGGAATGTAGGCTCTACCGAACGCGATGAGGCCGCCCTTCTATGGGCTGTCGCCAGCGCGGTCTCGCGCGTATACTCGCCGGCACTGATGACTGGCCGGGGTGCCCAGATCTTGCGGAAGTAGTCATTTGTCTGCGCGGACGATGTTCAATCCTTGGACGATGGCTACATGAAGTGGTACGCACCTCGCTATTCCTCACAATTAATGAAACAGGTTCGACAGTGGACATACGCAATGTCTGGAAACAGCTCAGCGATCTGTGACACTACATACTTGAACGTCGGTACGGGATCCTGCATACGCATGTCTGTTCCCCTCTGTCAGTGTGATATCGACGCGTATGAGTTGGTGACTGCACCATACCTTGAAACTGGCCCCACGGACTAAAGCGGACGCCCGTCTTCTGTGCCCCAATCTTGGCGGTGACTGCAGTCAAAATCTCTAAGAAGAACCTGGCGCGATTCTCGATCGATCCGCCGTACTTGTCCTTGCGATTGTTCGAGACATCCTGCAAGAACTGATCGAGAAGATACCCGTTCGCGCCATGAACCTCAACGCCGTCGAAGCCGGCACCATGGACCGCATTAGAAGCAGCGGTTGTATACAACTGTACGTATTCCTTGATTTCTGTGAATTCTCCGTATCAGCAGGATTTCTAAGATTGGGATAACTAAGCATACCGTCCTCCGTCAACGGACGCGGGGCTTTCGGTTTTCCTGTCAGCTGGATATCCGACGCGGAGACATATGGAAAGGACGGGTCTTCCTTCTCTAGCTCTTCGGGTTTTGCAGCCCGCCCTAGAGCCCAAAGCTGAAGGTAGATATACGAGCCCTTGGCGTGGACAGCATCTGTTACCTAAGATGGCTATTAGTGAGTCCCTTGCCACTCGCAGTGATCAAGTGATTGAAGCGGGGCGAGGGACTATATACCCCGACCAAGCACCTATGCAACAGCGCTTCGCTATGCACGCATTCGGATGAAATAGCGCATACTCACCCGCTTCCAAGCCGCGATCTGGGCATCGCTCCATATGCCCGGCACATGTGCGTATCCGCCGGCCTTCGCTGAGATGAATGTTGCCCCTGTAATGAGTAATGACCCAGCGACGCTCGCGCGCTGCGAGTAGTACTCTACTGCGAGATCACCGTGTACATGAGCGACGTTAGCACGGTAGCGCGTGAGAGGCGCGAGCACGACGCGATGCGCTAGTGTCATGTCGCCTACTTTAATCGGCTGGAAGAGCTTGGGCACGGATTCGGAGGACATGAAGGACGACAGCAAAAATCGTCACTGAATTTGGGTTTCAGACGGGAGAGAGAAAAGCAACCTGCTGGGAGTCGGAATCGGAGAATATTTATGCTAATTGCAAGCGCTCACGGTGCTCACCAGGTCCAATGGTGTCCGTACGATATGAGAAGTGGTTCACATCTTTGTCATCGTCCTCATGCTTGCACGGTTGACAACCTCTGCGGAATGAGTCAAGAGTCGATAGTGTAGAGACTAGGGACTTGGCGGGGCTCAGCGGCTCCGTTCTACTCGGAGATCTCCAGACAGATCTTCGCGTGATGAAGTGAAAAACCTCTTGCCGACCAATTGCTGGTCGCATTTCTGCCAACGATTTACCACCAAGACGGCACAAACTCTGAGAAACTCGATCAGCATTGTTACAAAAACATAAAAGATACGCGGATTATTTGTTCTATCGGCAAGTACGTTCCGGTAGATCAGGTCTACAACCCCGCAGTATCCGCGAACGGGTAGTCAATGTACCCCTTCGGGTTCTCGGGAGTGTAGAAGGTGTCGCGATCATACTTCGCGACTGGTAGGTTCATGCGCAGACGCAGAGGAAGGTCAGGCTGCTCGCATTCATCAGCACAGGTGATCATAAAGCACAGCGGTGTTGACACACGTTTGAAATGTAGGCTCTGCCGAAAGCGATGAGGTCGCCCGTCTCATCGGCTGCCGCGAGAGCGGTCTCGCGGGTATACCCGCCAGCGCTGATGATTGGTCGGGGTGCCCAGACCTTGCGGAAGTAGTCGTTCGTCTATGCGGATGATGTTCATTCTTTGCTTGAGAGTCCAAGAGGCCCAAAATCATACGCACCTCCCCATCCTTCACAGACCGATCCAAGTTACCCGAAACCCGAGGCTCGGTAAAGTGGATATACGCAAAGTCTGGAAGCATCTCAGCGATCTTGGACACGACATACTTGAACGTTGGTACGGGGTCCTCCATACGCATGTCTGCTCCCCTCCATCAGCGTGATAGGCGACGCACACATTGACGGTTGTATCATACCTTGGAACTCGCCCCATGGACTAAGACGGATGGCCGTTTTCTGCGCGCCAATCTTGGCGCTGATTGCACCGAGAAGCTCGAGCAAGAACCTCGCGCGATTCTCGATCGACCCGCCGTACTTGTCTGTTCGCTTATTGGACACGTCCTGCAAGAACTGATCGGGTAGATACCCGTTCGCGCCGTGAATCTCAATGCCGTCGAATCCTGCCCCATGGACCGCATTAGAAGCAGCGGTCGCATACATCTGTATGTATTCCTTGATTTCTATGAATCTCCAGTATCAGCGAGACTTCCGAGGCCTGGCATAACTATACATACCCTCCTCCGTCAGGGGACGCGGGGCTTTCGGTTTTCCTGTCAGCTGGATGTCCGATGCGGAGACATACGGAAATGACGGATCTTCCTTCTCTAACACCTGGAGGTCCGTCGCTCGCCCCAGAGCCCAAAGTTGGATGTAGATGTACGAGCCCCTCGCGTGGACAGCATCTGTAATCTACATGGAGGTCAGTCTATTCCTTTCCACGCGCCTAACTAGACACCGTATGTCCCGAACAAATGCACTTTTGCGCAGTGCGTACGCGATGCTCCTGTTTCGACGAAATCGAGTACACTGACCTTCTTCCAAGCAGCGATTTGGGCTTCGTTCCATATGCCCGGGACATGTGCGAATCCGCCTGCCTTTGCTGAGATGAAAGCTGCTTCTGCAATGAGCAGTGTCCCAACGATGCTCGCGCGCTGCGCATAGTATTCCACTGCGAGATCGCCGTGTACATGGGCTGCATTGGCGCGATAGCGCGTGAGCGGCGCAAGCACGACGCGATGCGCCAGTGTCATGTCGCCCACTTTGATCGGCTGGAACAGTTTGGGCGCGGACTCGGAGGACATGGCGGGCGAGTGTGGAGATTAGCACTGAACTTGAAACGTTTCAGACGAGATAAGCTGCTGAGAGGCGAATTCCACACAACATTTATGCTAGTTGGTCACCGTGGCAGGCCGGGAAGGTTATCTGTAAGCCTAGATATAGCACATCTTTGTCATCGACCTGGAGCTTGCCCATGGTGTGAACGGTTGGTAATCGTATTCGAAGGAGACCTGTGTGGGAACGTACAAACCATATGATGGAAGCTTAGGATAAACGTTAGCGATGTTGATTGGCGATATAGAGCATAAACAGTTTCAAAAGTGACAAAGATGTGGCAAGCCGCGATGGAATATAACGCGAAGTTCTGGCATGTGCCACTTTCGAGTGTGACTGGTAAAGCGATGTAATTCCGCAGAACATGCAGAAGAACGTGGGAGATGCCCAGTTCTCAGTTCACTGTACCGGTAAGTAACACGATCAGAATATGTTGGAGGATTCGAAGCCACGTAGATGGCTCACCTAACGAGTGCTGGATGATTATCAACTTATCAACGAAGATCTAGGGTGGTCAGAGGACCAGAATTCGACGGATGACAGTGCTGATATATGATAGTGGATGTCGTAGTGTCTTTGTACATACTTACTGACATGAACGAGAGTAATCAGCTGGAGAAGCAGACGGTTGAGTACCACATTGGAAGGGCCCCATTGGCCATCCGAGCAGGGGGCTGACAAAGGTGTAACCATGACTAAGGAGCAGCGGAAACTAGACTCGAAATAGGGCTTGAAGCTTGAATGGCGAAGAAAGCTGCTGAAGATTCAATGACAACGCTTGTTTTCCCCCCATGCGACCGCAGTCACCGGCAGGGAAGCTTCAGCACGCCAGTTCAGTATATGGAAAAAACACCAAAAAGTAGCATGCCGCTCTCGGAAAATTCAATTCCCTCCGTCCTCCGGAGCATTCGCTACCGCATCGCTAAGCTGCACCAGCTTCACAAACGCATCCATTATCGCTGGGACCACAAACGGTGCGGCCCGCTCCCTCCGCACCTCCTCAAGCATAGCCTCTGCTTGTTGCCTCCACCTACGCTCCGCCTCTACCGCCGCCTCTGCCTGCTCTCTCCGCCCACGCTCGTCCACACATGCTGAGTCCACCGTCTCACACCGCACCCTCTCCAGATCTATCGCCTTTTCAAGATTTTCGCAGTGCGCACGTGACTCAGTAAGAGCAGCCTCTGCGGCCCTTAGCTCCGTCTCCGCCGCCTCGCGCTGCACGCGCTCTGCCTCAAGTGCACTCCGCACGTCCTGATGTTCCTGTCGCTCGGACAGGAGCGTCGTCTCCAGGTTCTTGCTGCGCTCAACCTCACGTGTGAGGTGCGCACGTAATACTAGTACACAAATGGAATATCAGCGAGGATACCTCGTGCTCTATGGAAGCTATTCACCAGCTATCTGGCTTTCAAAGTAGTCGGTTGTTTGTACACTGGCATCTACTCGCGGGCGGACGAGCGTGTAGGCTGTCTGCGGCGCCGCACTCGGCGGCCGTTGTGCCTACGACAGAGAACCCTCGTTAGCGAGGAGTTACGCTTGGTAAAGCCTGTATTGGACTCACCGGATACACCATCTGGGACATACCCACACCGGCCTTCAGAGCGTGCGATGGTCGAGGTGGCAGGTCCGCAACCGCTGCGGAGGAAGCTTGAAGGCCCGCAGTCCTCGTGAGCGCGGCTGCTTTCGCCCGCGTTTCCATACGTGACAAGATGGGAGCTCCAGATCTTGATACACCTGTGCAGATGGAGTCATTATTATATTTCCCTAACTGTGTTTCAAGGGCTTGTCGAGTTCCCTACGACAAAAGAAATTGAAATCAAAGGGAGTAAATACGAGGCAGTGCTCACATTACTGCAAAGAATAAACGTTGATTGAGCAAGCCGTGGAAGCGCGCACGGAAAATGACCTACTCTATCTTGCATTGAATGCGGGCTCTGACGCTTCGGGGTGAGCTGGAATCAAGAGCAAAAAATGAAACCCACATTGATCGTGCTGACTTCTCATTCTCGCGCGCGTTCACGCGTCCGACAGCCACTTGCAACTGTCTGACTTGGGTCTGTAATATGAACAAGGTTAGGACATAACTACTCAACACGGTGAACAACGCACGAGAGGTATGGGGCTCTTGTTGATCAAACGGAGCTGCCCGGTTCCCCAATTCACCACGGTGCTGTAGGAGACGCCGGAGAGGGTAAGGTCTAGAATGCGGAGATCTTCTATTGCTAGGGTTTCGAGTAGAGGAACCTTCTCATCCGTTTGTTCTTTACGAGGTGTTCGCTGCAGAGCACTCGCGCGGTCTCCTTTGTACTGAAACCAGATCTGCACATGTCCCGCCTCAGCTGAATCTTGTGACATGGTATCGTACCGTCGTTGAAATCCGTGCGAGAACCTCCGGAACAACGTGTGCCCAAGAATACAGATGTCTTGGTCAGCTTCTACTGCAGCATGTGGGCGCCGTCCGTTAGATGAGTCCGTCGACGGCCGCGTCGCTATTAGTATAGGGGGATCTCTACATTTATGGCAAATTGACCCGGTCCCGAAGCTAGATATTCACTTGTCAAAATAAATTATTTCTGGAATCTTAAAAGTAACGCCCATTCTTCCGCCAACAAGATCTTTCTGTGGAAGACATGAATTGCGCTCAACCTGTAGGTGCTTAGTAACATGATAGAGTGTGAGCACCACGAAGAATACGGCATTGCGAATCATGTTTAATCAAGTATACAATGTTGTCAGATCTTCAACAAGGACTGCAGAATGGTAAATGATACACTTCAAGCATGCGAGAAGCCACTAGTATCCGACACTGATCAAGTAATCTGCAAGGCCCTCCACGACTGGTGTCGTTTCAGGTGCTTGAGTTGGGGCGGTGTACTCCGCCACAAGGATCGCCTGCTTCGTCTTCACGATTACGCAGCCGTCTGCCTACAGACGTCGGGACAGCATTGGAACCAACACATCAAAGAAGCCACAAGTTGATCGGCTCACCGCCTTCTTTCCGTACAACGCGCGGTCGTTGACCTGAAGCGTGAAGAACTTCTGGCCGGCCAGGCGGATACCGCTTGCTTGAGCCGTCCCAGGATTGGTCCAGATAGTAAGGATCGCCTTCTGCTCATCGGCGGATAACTGTACCCACATGTGCGCACCAGAAAAACGACAATCGTGAACGAAGTAAGCGATCCGATGTGAGCATGGAAAACCGACGAAGTACGCACGGTGTAGCCAGCAGAAGCGGCCCAAACACCACCTTTCTGCCCCAGGATCGCAGCCTTGGAAACCCTTCCGCTCCCGACGAGGTTGGAATCGACGTACGCTGTATGCACGGTCAGATCCCATCGCTTCCTCGCTAATATGTGTTGCTCACTTTGCCAAGACATCTTGAATCAGCGGAATAGGGTGAAAGCGAAGGAGAAGGGTGAAAGAGATGCAGAAAGCAACAGAGGTGAATGTAGTTTGAATACAAGTACAGTGTGGATGGAGGTCAGCCACTCGGCCGGAGATCGCCATCAGATAGGTGCGATAAAATGCAGGCCCCTAAATAGAAACCTGGTTCGAGATCTATTTGCTCCGTTGGATTGTCCAGTAATTCTCGCAGTGTTTGACAACGAAGATGCTGTGTTGCACAGATAGTTGGACATGACATGATTATGTACATACGTGAGGAATAAATACGAAAGCAAATACAGAAGGTTCGAAAGCAATCAGTCTGGCAGATTCCACGCAAATACCTTACCAGTGTCCTCGCCATGATACAAGATTTCGCTAGGAAGACCAGAACATATTCCTCAATAAGATTCAACGGTGAAAGCGCCACCTGACATACCCGACGAATTTCAGTGCTGTCACGCAAGAGGTGTAGCCCCTGGACTGCCTCCCACCGTCGGCGTCCTTGACCTTCATCATCCTCAGGGTCACGAAATTCCATATCGCTTTCTGGCCGTCCGGTGTCTGATCAGTATTCCATGTCCACAACGTGATGCTGCCGTCCGGTGTGCCTGTCGCCAGGACGCCAACGCGTGAGTATTCACGCTCGAGGAATGCAATGGAAGTAATCGGCGGATACGATTGAGACACTGGGGTCGGGGTAAGATCCAAGCATGCGATCGGCCTTGCGTTGACGGTGTGCAAGTATAACTTCTCTCTTGAACACGTCGCAATATAGCCCTGCACAGATCATGTCACACAGCGGACTTGAGTTCTGGATAGCCCTCGACTCACCGTACTCTCATTGATGGCAACTAGATGCACCTCTGAATCCTCACCAGACCCATGCCATATAGACCTAACGTAGACACCGCGGTTCAAGTCCCACAATGCAGCACTTCCGTCCTTGGATCCGCTCACTACCAGAGACCATCCTCTGGATGCAGTGACGCATGTCACTCCGGCAGTATGAGCGCGCATAATGTGGGTGAGATTCAGGCTGAGGGACGTCTCTTTGAACCTCGGTGTAGCAGGTGTCGCTGCCCCACTGGATCCGCGGCACACTCGCCACAAACGCACAGTGTGGTCAAGTGACCCGGTGACGAGTGTATCGGCGTCAGCGAATGCGGCGCACGAACAGAAAGTGGCTCCGATCACTTGGACAACCTGCAAACGTGTTTGAATCAGAGGCATAGGAGTGGAGTTCAATCGCTTACCTTGCGATCAACAACAACCTTCAGCGCCCCACCTGTCGTTACCCCGGTTTCCCACTCAACGTACTCGTGGGGACGTGACGGAATGCAGAGCATGCCAGTCCAACAAGGAATCGCACGTTGGCCTACAAAGTCGTACATAATGTCGCGGACGGAATAATTGGGTCCCAGGTCTAGTAGTAGTGTAAATCCATCGCATATAGACTCGGGCAGCGAAAGCACTTGCCTTTCGTGGGCTTATCCGCTTGTGTGAGTAGTAGATAGTCCTCTGCAATACCGTACAACGTGCCAAGAGGAAGGGAAGAGCTGCCATGCATGATCCGTGCAGGGTGTGGCGTGTGGAATATCTTGCGAGGTGTTTGACCAACTAACGATAGAAATATCAAGGTCCTTGGAATCAGCAGAATAGAAATACTGCAATAGGCATGTTCTCACAGTTGTGGATAATGCCTACGGTAGCCTCGCGTTCCAGCTCATCGGTGATCGTATCTAAGTCTTAAGGATATCATGACGGCCTCAGATCAACCGCTGCCTATGCAAGAACGGAGTTACACCACACACCTATGGAGCCCTCGTAGCTCAGAGGATGGAACACATTCAAGGACTCTGGATCCCGTTGTTTGCAGCCCCATATGAGGTCAATCCACTGAGGAAGATACTCGCTGACATAGTCACTCTCGAGAGCCTGGATCGCTGTAAGAGTCATCCGCCGAAGCCTACTGAGACACGACTTACCTCACGATTCAGCACGATGAACAAGAGCGGATCCTGTTTCGCCCAAGGTGGTAGCTTTACATCATGTATTCTCTCGCCAGTATTCTGTTGCACCCCAAAATCGAAGTTGGAAGAATTCTCCAAAAATCTGCAGTTACCGAAGGACGAACGACGTCTGTATGGGTGTTGTAAGAGAGTGGAAAATGAACGTACTCTGGACATGCATAGAACTCGGGGAGCAATTCACGAACATCGCCACGGATGTCTTGAGAAGCAGAGTCGTACGCTCTTTTGACGTCACTATTGCGTGAAGTAAGTTTATGACCGCATCGAGGTTAATCATACATATCACATTACCTGAAAAGTCGATCAGGCAGATCCCAATCTCCACCCTAGCTATCATGAACACCACAGAACGGCGATATCGACGAACTTCATACCTGTAGAGTCTTGAACATATGACTGAAAGGTTCCAATCGAATCAGGAAGTGGCAGACGATCATAGAGGAGCTGAAATGAATGCCGTAGTGGAACGGTTTCTCCCCGACACTCTCCAGGTTCACGTAGCGAGAATGTGCGGCATCGCGACGTGCGGGCGTGAGAGCTCCCATCGGCCGTGAAAGGCTGTTTCCTTGGTTAGATTGTTTACACGAGCACATCCAAGACGAACGCACTCTCGAAACGAATCTGACGAACGCAGATTAAGCGTCGGGGAGGCGTAGTCGCTCACGACCCAGGCTAGACGACACAAGATAAGAAGACATAGTGAGCCCAATCCCACATAAGCAACTCACGGAAGACAGGATATTGCGTAGCATCATTGGGAGTGCGTCCCGATATTTGGTTAAGAATACTGAGATAAGTGAACTGTTCTAGCTGGTTGATCATCCAACACGTCCACTAAGTCAGTTGAACCTACGTTAGATATCTCCCTAGTCTGCCATTTCCTCTGTGCAGTAGATAGTTCGTCCAACCTGAGACCCGTCATCACTCGAGCGCTGAGCGTGGCACTTAGCCTTGCACTAAGGCGGCCCACCAAAGGTGACTTCAACGGGGACATCAGAACACCTGGCGTAAGTGCATCGCCAGACATGCGGGCGAGAATGGAAGAGAGCCTGTTATTCATCTCCTGTCGCTGACTTTTTTGCAAGAACACGACAAGAAGTGATCTGCTATCCTTGAAATATATCTCCAGACTGCAGCAAAAGATGAGTAGATAGTCTTTCGGGCAAAGATATCATGCATACGCGACGTCTCGAAACAAGAATGTTCGGTCGCAGAAGCTAACGACTTGATCATGGGTCCTGCCGATATATTACTAGAGGATCAGAGTTGGGATGCCATTGCAGGTTGAATCCACGAACCAACGGTGTGCTCTTTGAGGGCCGTCGAGCGCTACATTGCTTCCTGGCACAAAGAACAACTTCTTCGGTGCATCATGAGCATCAATGATCTCTCCATATTCATCTTCAACCAAGCCGTCGAGCATGTAGAGGTGCGTCCGGCCGAAGATAAAAAGTCCAGCTACTGCACGTTAAGTGCCGAAGTTGTGGATGAATCGAAAAGCCAGCTCACGAGAAGAATCAACACCAGATACACGGGCAACAGTGTTTGCGGCCTCGATGACATCGCCAGGTTCGAGCTCATGCCGAACCCTGCGGTGTTTGTCTTCAACGATCTCTTCCTCTAGGTGATGTTCTGCTTGCAGGTCAACACACGATACCTACTGTCAATGACTAGATGACGCACCGTCACCATCACTTGACGACACCTCATACGAGTCATGCCATGGCGAAGGTTCTGCCGGTAGCAGAGATTGCGAATCTGACTCTGACAAATGAACATTTCCATTGTGTTCCTTTGTATCCACCTTTGAACTGGCAGGGTTCTCATGAGCCGGTTCCAATTTTTTCCTGCGACATGTTGAATGAACTAGGTGCTAGAGCAAGTAGCATCGTCACCAACCTGACTCGATACGGCCCTTCAGTCTCATCCAAGCGCCAATAACGCTCCTTGCCAGTATAAGCCCACAATCCACGTTCAGCAGTAAGTTGGGTGGCCCATTCTGTCAGTGCCGTAACTTGACGGTGATGTTCCCGTCTGTGTTAGACAGTAAGTAAGATCACATATAGATATGGGTAGGACGAACAAATCAAGGATGGTCTTGCGTAGCCTCTTCCTCTCAGTCATAATGACAGTCTTACGCCAAGCATGTAACCGTGCGACAGATCGTTTCACGGTGCTCTCACTCAGTTGGATGCTGAGCCTTCCAGGCCCGGTTCGCCGACGTCGAGGCTTATGACCAACGAGGGCAGCAGAGTCAATACAGGATTCCTGGGTCGTCCGAGGGTTCAGTGCTGTCTCAGCCGATTGCAATATTTCCATGATCTGGTAATCCGATAAGTTGAGAATTACCTACTATGTAAATCATACGCACCTCCTCTTTCTGAGACGCAGTCACGACAGTGTCCAGCGCAATACTCAGTCCGAGGTGCGAGAGCTTCTCTAGGATTCGCGTGGTACTCAATGCGAAATCGCTGAACATGGACACACTAGCAACGAACGACCTGTACGCATCAATGAACAACTGAGTGGTTGCTTGTAACTTGAACACTTGTCGGAAAGTTGGGACCGTTGAGTGAACCTCGATCAGTCGTTCGAGAAGCTGTTCCACGATGGTGCCCACTCTAGCAATCTCTGCAGGCCGTACATCGTTAAGCGTCGTACGAGTGACAATATATTGAACTCACCATCGGCGTCTGGTACGACACCATTCACGACTTGCCCAGCTACCGTTTCCAGTCCAACCTTCAAGGAGAAGAAAATGGCAGGAACGATCTGAGGGCAACTTACTGCAGGAGGAATCTCCGCTTTGTCCCCCAGGCGTCCAAGGAGGAGATCGAACACTGCCTGCTGCACCTCCTTATCCCAAGCATGCGGAAGGACGACCTTCAGTGCGCCCCAACCGCTTACAAGTTCAAACTTCCGGCTGAATGAGCTAGAAGCATCAAGACTAATGCCTATCAAGCGCAGTATCTGGATGGCTGTCATAGATGAAGGTCTTTCACCGAGTAAAAGGAGACATATACGTGGCAAGGGGAGGGCATTCGCGAATTTCGTATAAGCTTGTTGTGAGTGCAAAATCGTAACAAGCATTTCCAAGACCTGCTCTGCCTTGGACTGCGCCGTGCAGTGATCGATGCGAGAGATAGCCGAACGAGGAGAGGCTAAACCTGTCTCGACTGGAAACAGTTTGGTCAATGCGGCTGGAACAATGAATCTGCAAAATTACCTTCATGTAGATTCGCAGCTAAGTACGACACTATTGGCTTGATAGCATCGTCGGTAGAGAAATGAGCTTCCGCGACGACTTTAATCGCATCAACAAGTAAAGGGATCATATCCTGTTGATACCAAGCAGTTTGCAAGACAAACAGCATCTTCCGAACCACGCCCATCTTGCCGAGGCGCTGCTTTACATTGAACCGTTTATGCTTGCTCGTTTGCAGAAGCGTTGCGAAGTGCTCTAGATGAACTTGCTGGATCTCTTTTCGCGTGGATGACCAAAGTTGAAAATCGAGAGCGAGAGCACGATATGCCACTGTGTTCACTACCGTAGAGTGGCTAGCGTCATTCAATTGGTGGCTAACTCATCGATTCGTAAGAAAAAACTCACTCGGGGGCTCGGAAGTTCAAGCCCAAAAACTCAAAAAGAGTCTCAAATCCGGTCATGTTAATATGATGGCTTTTGCCGTGTAGTATCTCCGCCAAGATCTCATATCCACCTGCCGACTTCGATGAACGCGATCGTCAATCACTTACGCAAGTAAGCACTCACGGAATCGTTCCATGTCCTCAGAGTTCTGCCAACTGTTACGCACACCATCGCTCAAAATACCCAGAGCCCGCGACACTTCGTGCGGGTTCTGTGGAGAGATTATTTTGAACATCGTGACCATCTTAAAGTGAAGAATGCACTCACGCTAGCCAACTGAACCAGACGTAGCGCGATAGCCGCACCTCCGAGCTTCCACATTGCCAGATCCAAACAATTACTCTTGACAGCGAAGACATCACCAGCATATGCAATACCAGGAGAACCGGACTCATCTACATTGGGAATCTCTATGGCAGGACTCAACACAAACAAGATAGCAGCCTCGTTGACTCCTAGCCCATACTTTATCGAATTCATGAGTTGCGTGACATCGGATGGGACCGGCTGCTGCAAAGCTCCAGCGGACAGGTAAACATTCAGCGCAGTAGATGCTTCGTACGTGAGGAACTTGACGAGGTCAGCAGCTTGGAAACGCGCAGTGTAGCGTGGACCGAGATGGTGAATGAGTCGCGGAATGTGATTGGCTGCATTTACAATAAGCTTTCGACAATTACGAAACTCAAAGAGGATGATCCAACCTAAGGGTATGGACAACAGGTATGCAGACGCAATGCACCAGCTCATACTGGCTGTCTTCGCGGAGTCTCCGATGAGGTAGGTACCTAATGTGGCAGTAGCATCGGTTCGTGGGTACATCCAATTGAGCGAATCTGTCAGGACGCCGTCGACGAAAAGTCCTGATTATGCATTTACCATGAGACCCACCAGAGATTAACAATATCCCTAAAGGAAAACTCACGAATGGTCGCATTCGCGGCTCTGTGCGGGTGATGAACAACAGTAACATGTGTCCAGCGAGACTTGCTGAGCGTGGTCTTGAACACTGCACTCTCATTTGAACCAGAACTCTGGAATCTGAGAGTTCCATCGCGTAGGATACCCAGAGCGATATGGTTACGTCCTCCAAGACAGAACGAGAACAACAGTTGATCTCCCACAGGGTAGTTTTCAATCCATAGCCAAACCTGTACCATACGAACTATTCAACAGCAGGAGTATAACCCACAGGAAAAGATTCATTACCATGAACGTCAAACCGGCAGTAGGCAGGCCCTTCATGCCATTGCTGGAGACACGCAGAGCCGCGGATGACTCCAGTGAGAAATGCTCCGGCCATCGCACCTTCATGCCAGCGCGCAATATCTCAAGAACATCTGCATCGAGAGTATCTTCATCCCGTATGACGCGTTGAAACAAGAGCTTGGCTTCGTCAGTTGTGGTGCCAACGTCCACAATCCTGCGCAGGAGCTTTTGGGCGACTTGTCGTTCTTGCTTAGGCACTCCCATGGCGCTCTTGCCTTCACAGAAGTCACGAAATAAAGGCTGTACTAAACCAAGACTGTTCAACACACAGTGATTGCGATGGTTGCGGTGAGACAATCGCTCTAGCAGCTTGAGTATACTGTACCGGACCGCAGATTCACCGGCAGAAACTGGAGGTAATGAAAGATATAGTATACGCAGAGCTTCTGGGTGTTGGATGAAGCCAAAAGTGGACTCCACTCCAGTCACGTTCTTGTCCAGCTGTGCGTAGTCAGTTCCAGAAGTAACCTTGAATAGCCCAGACAACGAGAAGTTGCAGAGCGAGAAAGAGACGAGATAGCCTAAGGTCTGTTTCATCGTGCGAGAATTTGCGAGCAATCCAAGTATGGCCTGAGATAGAGATTCAAATCCAACTGAACTCTGGGTAGGAGTCAGAAACTAAACACACAGGTGGAAGGGATGAGCTACCTTGAAGTACTGCTTATTTTGCTTGTGCTGGTCCATGGCATCTGCGAGTATCAAAAAAACGAGGCGTGTCGCTTCGAGTACGTCAACAGTGACCTGCCCCGCAGATCGACCACCACCTTGAGGTATACTAGTATGCAGGGTGGATAGGACATTCAAAGCGACCAAGAACCCGTCCATCTCCCGGAAGACATCCTTTGTGCAGGCGTCCCGTAGTAAGATTCTGTGGATTTCTGACAACACCTACTGTACTAGTCATTTCAAGTAAGCAACCAACCAGACTCCGGCATCCCGCACCTCAGTCCTGGCCTTCAAACCCTCTGCTATCTTCAAATTTTCCACAGAATTCCTCATCACCTCGATGAGGACGTCCCGAGCGAAGTCTTCCGGAGCCAACTCATCAGGACGAGCCGATATTGGAGTCGAGGTCCCTGGCCTTGGAGACACGGGAAGCGTAAAACGCGCACTGAAAGGGGACAGTATTGACTGCAACATTGAAGACAGCTAGCTGCTACTACAGCAGACCATTTGCCAGATTGCTGCCTGGCAATGCAATGTAGTTCGTCTGACCGAGCGCAGCACTTTCGTCCGATTCCCGAATTTGACGAAAGTTCACGAGGAAACTCGCAAGCAGTTCAAGAGGAAACAAAGATAACTACACCTCCGTAGACTCGGGGGATTATAAAGCAGGTGCGGTTACGAGCTGGAGGTCGAGGATCATGCATCACGATGCGGACTCGCGGTTCATAACGCCGTGCTTCAGCCACAGTATTCTGACGGAGTCTATACGCGTACACTGCGGCACTCTTCAATTATTGAAGCGGAGCTCCTGGAAAATCAATGTCTATCACGTGACGGGCGCGGTCAGATTCAGCGCTTATTTCTGTTGGCCTTTCTTCAAGAAGTTGAACGCCTTCCTCATATCGCAGTACGGTCTGGCTGGCCATCTTTCCACATCACCCTACGTTATCTATCTTATAAAGTATAACCTGACTGATTGATATTAGTTGTCAGAAACTGGTGTACACTGTATCTGTACTTCTCTTCGCAGAAACTTGTTATGTTCGGCACGCGCATCCTCTCCGCGCTTCTCTTGGTGGCATCTGTTGCAGCAAATATCTACCCTACGCGTCCTATAGCAAATACTATCTTCAGCGCCGGTCGCTCAAGCAGCGTAACGTGGATCAATGACAGGTCTCATCCATCTGTGCAAGACATGGGGCCGATAAGCATAGAACTTTATGTTGCAGGTGACGTGAGTAATATAAAGCAAGTCAGGATTTGCTCACCTTCTGATGTAATATCTACGTAGACGCATGTTGCCACCCTTTCGAAGAATGTTCAACCAACCAGCCGTTCCAACAAAGTCTGGATTTCACCCACATGGGGACACAACGGCTCTGACTAGTGGGTTTGCAGTCATAAAATTTATTGTTTTGTGACCTCATGTTATTTCTTAGTCACATACGCTTCATATGCGATGACCCCCCGCTTACGGTCTACACCGCCGACTTCACTATCACGATGATGTCTGACATGACTCCCTACACTGGGTTGGAAGCACCCCGTGCGGACGAGGGGAGCACTAGCGTCTCCATTGCTCTTCCTAGCATCTCCACTAGCCCTTCCGCATCGCCATCCTCAAGCACCACCACGGGCGCTTCCGCAACGACCATGCAGAACCCGTATGCTGATAAGAAGAAGACTGGCGCAGGAGGCGGTAACCTCTGGCGACGGACATCGGTGGACCTCGAGCGCGCGAAGTTCCGCTTAGTGTTCATCCTCTGGCCCGTGCTCATCGGGATCACTATGGCGCTCTAAGCAGGACTTGATCTTCTGCAATCTCTGCCTCGTCTTCTCGGTCTACCAGGGCAGGATTCGACTCCCCACATTACTAACTAGCATTGACACTCTTCCTCCATTGTCGGCCTGTAGCATTATTCGGATCATTAATGTGTATCGATACCCATGTGTTTCGTAGGAATTCTCTCGCGATGTAGCAATTTCACAATTGTATCTGCAAGGCTTCGATTCGGCTTCAGCTGTTGTATTCCGCTGAGATACTGCGGTACCATGAAACGGGCCGAGGAGCGTCAAAGGAAACTTGGGACGGATCCATTATGAAGGGTTTCATTTGATCCAACTAGGCGCTCGATGATCCATCGTGTCCGACGTACGTACATATATTCTTCACACTAATGGTGTCCATCATACATAAAGGACATTATTTACGAATAAGGCTACCGATATAAAATCTGCGTCCTGATCATCGAGTACGGTGGACTGAGTATCATAATTAGGTGTCCTGCTGAGTATTCATTGTGCTAGAATTTGGATATCACTGCGCATGAGAATCGAATGTGTCGTGCATCGAGTATGACTGGGTGACTGCGGTATAAATCTTGAGTAGGTATCCAGGTACGGTTTGTCGTCACATCCGTCCAACTACCACCCCGACGCGGAGGTACCCCCCTCCACTTCCGTGATCACCTCCCCAGTGAGTTGCGCGAGCTTGACGAATGCATCCATGAGGGCTGGAACTACGAACGGCGCGCTGCACTCTCTGCGACAATCGTCCACTATGCCCTCAGCTTGCTTGCGTCTACGCCGCTCTTCCTGTAGCATCGACTCTGCCGCATACCGATCTGTGGATTCGCGCCGTAATTGCACGCGCATTACTGACCAATCAGGGCAGCATGTTCGGGTCAGTATTAACCGATTTTGCAGAAATGCCCCGGCGGTGCAACGCACAGGTTATCTCCTCGTCCACGTCCCGATTCCCATCTGGCAAATCGGTCCTGCTATCAATAGGTCCATCGGGAACCTTGGGGCGTGGATGGCGCAACTCCTGTAGAAGGCTATCTTCACGTGCTTTAAGCGCGGTTATTTGCCGTCGGACATCCCAGAGTTCGCGAGTGAGAGTATGAGAGTTTTCCCTAGACAAGCTTGACGATGTCATTGATGTCTTCGGGGTGTCACTAAAGCGGGTAGGGCGTTTCATCGTGAAGGAAGACAAGACGGAAGATGAGGCAGTGGAAGTTGTCGGTGGTTCCACTTTGAGTCCAAGTGGCGCACGCTCAGCCACAGGGTGAGACGACCCAGAGGCATGTGTTGAATGTGGAGAGATCTGTCGTGCCGCAGGAGCACGGGGACGCACAGGTGACACCGGTTCTGTCTTGACCACGACACTCTGTCCCGCAGTCTCGCGATGAACGACTGTAATGGGGCTGCGGCTGCGATGACTCACATCGGTGCTATTATTGCGAAGAAGACTCTGCACTGCCGAAGATTCGCTCAGCCTTCGCAGTGTCTGTTCTGTGGCGTCCAAAGTGTCTAATGCTGGCTCACTCAATTTCCTATGTGGGTTGGCGAGTCGTCGAATTGTGTTTGCGCTTAATGCTTCACTTTCGAGTCCGCCACTGAGTTTCGAAGCAAGTGACCCAGAAAAATTAGATGGTCTAGAAATTGGGGACGAAAACCGTGTTCGCCTTGCTGTTGATATTGAGGTGGGAAATCGAGGAGCCTTGCCTAATGTATGTGGATAGATCCTGGAGCCCAGGGTCGACGATGGTTTGACCGGAGATCCAGGCATACGGAGAAGAGTAGAGAATCCGACTGATGTTGAAGATCTGAATATTCTGGAGTACAGGGTTGAATGCTTCTCTTCGCCGCTGGGTAAACAGATGATTAGTCAAATGCATACCTTCTGCAAAAGGGTAGTAATTGACCACTCACTCTTGTAATAGCATATACTTGCTGTAGGAGATGTATAGACCATGAATACAGTGCGTGGGTAGGGCACTCACATAAGCCTTCTGTCTAATGAGGGTTTCGACCTACAAGCCTCTTGGAATCCGTGGCGGATAGCCTTATGTAGTTCCTACGAAGATATGGAGAGTTAATACTGGAGTATCACTGGAGATAATTGTACTCACGCTGTTCTTCGGGGTATCCCAGCGACACATTACGAATCCAGTGAGCCATACTGGAATTGTAGACTCCGGTGCCGGGATTGAGAATCGACCAAGATCTTTCTCCAGGTTTTGAATATACGTGGAAGGTGAAGACTTGTCATCCTTTAGTTCAGCAAATTCGCGCGCTCTGGCCCCCTGGTATTGCACACGTAGCGTGATCTTCATCTCGTCGCCGCGAAACTTCGAGATTCTACAGTGGTGGCTCACGGATATCTGTGGTTGGCCTTGAATACGAATGATTTCCGTGCAGTAGAAAGATAGATGAAAGCCAAACTATTCCATCGATGAGCAGCAGAGTGTCGTTTGTGAAGGAGAGAAAGTTGCGACAAATTTCCGTCCTGCTCGCTCGAACGTAGTCCGATGCACGTGATGATACAGGCGGGGAACTTCAATTTGAATTCCAAGTTCGGCAATGCTTATCGTCGGGTAATACTAATAGCGCTCGGCAGACGCCTCAGCTAATAAACAGTCGCTCGAGGTATATTTTTTTCAGAACAAGACAAGACTGTTAAAATCTCATTTCCTCTCCTTCCGACCGTGACACTGCGATTCGCTCGAAGCACACGCATCAGCTATGACTCTCACTCACATCAATATGCCCAGGCTCAGAGAGGTTATTGCTGTCAGTACTGGCACCGTTGGTAATCGCGACCGCATACGCAAACATTGCCCTGGCCTGCTCAACGTCTGTCAAAGATTCATATCAGAACTGTGTGATTCTCCAGTTGCAGTATGAACTTAACCGTACCTCGCGCGGAGGGTCGTACGAACCGTTGCGATGGAGGAGAAAGTGCACCAAACAACCGAGATGCGGGTGGAGACAGGGATGGAGGGCAGCCAGGCGAAGGTAGAGAAGGTAGATGGCGTGAGGGGGATGACCGTGGCGAGACAGTGCAGCTCGATTGAGACCTTCGCCGGGAACATATAGTTAATGCCTGTCTGCTTCCTGGAGCAGTGTGATCAGCTGATGAGAGTTGACCGAAAGGTCGAAGCTTGAGTAAGACATCTCCCTGGGTACTGAAACCCGGATGGGCGAGAGTGAACCCGAGCGATCCTGGGTAACACGATTGCCATATTCCTTCGAGAGGCCAAAGCTGATCCATCATCGTCGTGAAGTCGAGCGAATCTTGGAGACATTCCTTTAGAAGGGCCTTAGCATCCGCTACCGCGGTGGTATCTCCTTCGATCTCGTTCCTCGCAAAATCAAACATAGCAGAGCGAGTCTGCAACTCGAAGTGAAGACCGCTGCTTTCGGTCACGATCACCAATACAATATCCCACTTAGCAGACGACTTGACACTATTACAGCATATCATCAATAAAAACACCATAACTGCGAGGAGAAAACAAAAAAAAATACCTCCAATGTGTCCGACTAGAATTGCACGACAATCGAAGCTCAATCTCACCCCTAATTTTGATGTTCAATTCTTTTTGTGGGCCTAAGCTGGGGATCTCCAAATAGTTCCGGGTTCCGCCTTGGGAGAATGTATCAGAAGCAGGATTCAAAAGATATACCGATTACAACTCACATGATATTGCGTACGATCCGTTCATGCTGTCGGTAGGCCCACTCTCGTGTCCGTAGTTCCATCCGTCAAGATTCTTCCACGCGAACCTGAGAAAACCATCCTGCTCAGATCTGAGCTGCCATCGGCACGGATGGTCCTTCTTAAAGCAGTGAGTAGCCCATGGTATCATCTCTGGCTCCCAGCTACCGTCTTTTGGTCGAGAAAATTCGGGGATCAGAGTTGTAGCTCGGTTGACATATGCCAAAGATTTGAGCAACCAATCTTCCAGAAAGACTGTCCGGTCGATGGCCAAGATGCCATGCGAACCCTGCTCATTTGCGAGAGCATGCCAGGAGGGTGGGAGGTCGAGGTATCGGAAGGGAAGCCTGCGGAAGTTGCACATGCCTAGGACCACAATAACTGGGGCCAGAAATTCTGAAACTTCCATCCAGTTTTGACGGTCCACTGTCGACTCCGAGTGTACATAGAAAGCAACGTCAGTCAATACGTGTGCTGGCCGATCCTGCAGAGCGTCGCCGGCCCAGATTGGGAGAGTATGAATTACGCCAAGTCCTTCCGTTGTAAACACGGAGAAATATTGCTTTTGAATGTTGTTGATTATAGCTCTAGCAACGTCGATCGTATTTCTGTCACAATGCTCAAATACACTCTCAAACCTAGAATACTCATGAAGGAATTTGCAAGCTATATCATAATCAGACGATTAGAAAAGGGAATCATCGACTGCAGACGTACATGTGAAATCAAGACATATATGCCTGAACTCGTAGGCACCATCAAGGCAGTGATCCTTGTATGCTAGGGAGTTCTCGAATATCCGAAGACCGTTCCGGGAGAGAAACAGGTTGTCGTGAGTGAACATTTTCAGAGTCAGTTCAAACGCAAGGCGCAAATCTTCAAATTCATACTCCTGACTACGGCAGCAATCCTTCAGCTCCGTGCCGACACTCCTAGTATCGGAGTGTAAAATACACTTACTCGGGCATCTTGAGGTTTCCTACTGCAAGGTCTACCCATACGATGGCCTTGTTGTTGCTAAGCAGGCAGCATGTCATTGGTTGCACCCTTGCATGGAAATCATCGGTCCCCCAGTCGGACAACCATTCGAGGTCCGGATCCTTCAGCGAGCGAGAATACAAGTCATACAAGTGCGCGTTTGCCGAAGACTGAGAAACGACAATGACTTGGTCGAAGCCATGCAGGTCTGTGTCCGTCAACGCCTGCTTCCACGCGAAAGACACCTGAGTGGCAGGACTCGACGGGAGTGGGGAGCGCCCTTCACCAGCAGCGGATGCATGTACACGCTCGTCGTCATAATAGACCACGTGGTAGTTAGCGCTCTTTAGGATCTCGACATAACCCGGTACGAAGAATTTGAGTAGTCCCGTCCAGTACTCAATTGCTGTCTCATCACCGTCGTCGACATATGGGAGTTTGCATGCATCGTTCACAATGCGCGCCGCTGTTCAATGTAAAAATTTGGCATACACACGATTCAATAAGGTTTTCTGACACATTCAACTCACAGTTTATGTCAAGCTTGCATCGCACGATATGCCCCTCGATCTCGTGATATATGTCAAACAAAACAACAATATCGCATGCTCCATATTGTCGCTTGGGAGGACTGAGACACAACGTCATGGAATATCATGGAATAAAAGGTAGCAGACTTACCCTTCCAGAGAAGGGGTGTCGAAGAACTTCACATCAGAGAGGCGAAATGTGACGACAGCTTCGCGGGAACAGATCAAGTTGAGGCGAGGGGGGTCGAAACTAAGCTGGAAGTGGACATTCGATATTGCGGGAAGCGCACGAACGCTGTTCAGGTCCGCGAGAGAGGTCGCCCGCCAGTCCGAATCGATATTTCGCTCTGCATCAAGCGTCGAAGCCTTGAACCAAGTCGACGCAAGGTAGTTATTTATCTCTTTGACAGATACATTGCCTATCTTGTGTCGGCCTAAACGGAAGAAGGCGCTTCCAAAGAGCGAGAAGTCAATGGTCAGATTTGGTTTCCTGGCATCGAACTCCGGCAATGATGGGAAGATGTTGCTGCCCGCATCCTGCAGGAACCTAAGGTATCGCGCAAGATGAGACTCCAGAATGCTTCCGTCAATTGCCACGTCAGCAGTAGCGGAGACCAGCTGGGCATCTGATGGGGTGAGCGCAGTGAAGTGGACGAAGTGCACACTTCAAAACTTACTCATGAAGTCAAGTATAACCAGCTGGATAGCATTTAAGGACCTGCGAGACTCAGAAGCAGGGAGGATGTGCCGTTCGCGGTCAAATGAGATGCAGAATTTGACATTCACATCCGATATAGTCACAGGTTGCTGACTAGCCCATAAGAAATGTAGTAGTGACAACATGGAGGATGGACTTACTGAGCTGAAAATACATTTTCAATACAGTAGAAACCGTATCGGATGCTCAAACAAAGGATAGCGGCGTGATTGCAGATGAAATCAACGTGTGGCTGGTTGAAGACGGCATGAAACACCCTGTCTTTCAGCTTCTTGCTTCGAGACTGTCCAAAGTCGGAGTATTCGGCAAGAGCATAGGAGGATCCTGGAGTGGGTGGATACAATCACAAACAGTTTTCGAAGAGACAGGAGCAGACAAGCGTACTGCACTCGTCGTCCATATTCGCTGCACATCCATGAGTGTCGAGGCACTCTACGGCATTCTCATACAGTGCGGCGAGCTGCGAGTTGATGTAGCGTGCAGCTTGACTGGCACAATTCTTACCGATGTACATTGTACTGCGACAATATTTGCTGCCGGTTCGGCCCTGGATCCCAAACAATGCAGAACAGTCCAAAGGTATTAAGAGTGGCCGTTAGACTTTCTTTTCATAAGCTATAGCCCGGGGCACTTGAGTAGACATTCAGAGAGGAATGCCTGGCACAACCCCTCAAACTCCATCTCATGAGAAATGACGGAGGATAGTGCGCACCGACCTGTCAACGGTGGAATGGAATCATCAACCAGATTGCCTGAAGCGCTTGAAGCGTGGCACCACTATGAGAGTGGTCCAGCTTTGTACATGGAACGGTTCGCACGACAAGATCAGACACAGGACGTCGAATTGACCGCACTCACAACGTCGCAAACCAGAGCAAGCCGCTGATCATGTTTTTCGAGACCACGGCATAGGAAAAATATATTAAGTATTGCGTTGTCACGCACGTGACTTATGGTGTTTCAGCCACAAGCGCGTAGTCAGCTAAACCTCTTCGTTTTCCCGTTTTCTCGACTTTGCAAGACCACCAGGTAACCAAAAAACCCCCTCGAGGCCTTCCTCGGAGAGTTGTCTTCTATCTGATCGTTCTTGGATATCGTTAGTGTGTCGAGATTTTGACTCCAATGCTCTTTCATGACTTGTGCATTGTCAGATACGGGTAAACATATCATTTCTCCGCTGCTACCCTTTCAGCGGCGGCATCATGATCTCTCAATCTGAGTCCTTCCTTCGCTTCGCTCATCTCTTGGTCAGTAGGGAAGCTCGCAAACCGGTCCCTGAATTTATCAATCGGAAAAGCGAGAAACCCAACTTCAGCGTCTCGGCTGGCGGCTTGTTGTGAGCAGACGGATGCGTCCTCCTAATACGTGCACTGAGCGGTGCGCGACAATGCGGTAATGGCACATTCACCATGTCGGCACCAACTTCTCCATGTTTTTGAAATGCAAAGCAGCTTCCTTGCTGAATGACTCCCCGACGACAGACTCAAGGAGAGGCAGATCTTTGATCTCCTCCTCGTCTCTGTGGTGGTGGAGCGACACCATCACCTGATTCAGGTGGCATCATATTCAGGTTGGAGAGATTCGACGTGGTATAAGAGCTCCTTCATGCTCTGCAGGAAGAACCAATTGTCAGGCGTCTACTGAACATCGATGCTCTTTGACGAACCTGGTGCTCGGCACGGTCATGATTGGCAGGCTAGGTTCCTTTCTCGCCAAGGTGCGTCTCCATTAGCGGATAGATCACGATCTCCTCGCCAACGGCGTGACGTGCGACTTCCTAGATCAGTTGCCTCGCCAGCGAGCTTGCACCGGCATATCGTTGGCATCTCGGCTGCATTTATACTGGTCATGATATTCATACATCTACAAGTGTGATTAATGGCTGCGGCTTCCTCTGTGGGGCTGGTGTGTGTATTGCGAAACCTTTATCTCTTCATGGTCCTCCTTGATCGCCTGAAAGAGTGTTTTCTGTGACATGTTTCGTCGGGGTACTAGCGCGGTGAGTGCGGCAGTTTAGACGCGGTTTCGAGGAGGAACTGCCAGAGGTTGAGAATTGGCGATGAGTGAGTGAGAGAACATGGGTGTAGGCGTTCATTCGTTTCGTTGGGTATATATCATTCGCTCCACGTCTTCTCGGAGACTCCGAGTGGGGAAAACTACATCAATGCACTGATAACACAGTGGGACGACCCGCCTGAACTTGATTCTGCTATTTCATCTATCAGTAGTGCTCACATACCAGATGCGCATGCCAAGTGCCTCAGAAACGACAGCAACGTCCGTAGGCCGCCGAGTCGGACCGAACGGCAGCAAACCAGTCAAGAGAGAGCAGAACCTAGGCTCATAGATACAGCCTGCAGGAAGACAGTCGTTCCCGGTCAGTTGGGTCAGTTGCGGAGGGACCAGTTGGAATATCAACACCAAACTCTGGTTGAAGAGATGGAATATTTTGCAAACCAGCAGAAGGGGAAGAAGGTGGATCACCACGCACACAGAGCATAACGGAGTACAGAGCCCCACAAAACAGACTGCAGATTAGGCTCATAGATACAGCCTCTAGTTACCTGCAGAAAGACAGTCGTTCCTTCTAAATTCGACGCGATTCACGTCCGATTCGGATTCTGAGTCGATTCTGGACTCGAAAGGCCGCCGCCTGGCGGCGGAACTTGCTCGTCGGAGACGAGAGCGGACAGAATTGCCACAAAACAAATAGCGCACAACAACTGTGTAAAAAAGACACTTTCACTTGTGACTTCGGGTCGGGAGCTGAGCTTGCTCTCCGAGCAAGAATGCAAAATCGTCGACAAAATCGGCGCTCGGAGAAACTCTGAGTTGCTCCAGGATCACCAACTTTGACTCCCCTTAATGTCACGGCGAGCCTACTTTGCTTGCGGAAAGGTGCTCTCTTCCAGCCGGACACGAAGCCTTTTTGCAAGCTTTAGAAGCCTCTCCTCTGCAACAATGTCATCTACCCCTTCGTGGTGCCGCTACGAAGAACCGCTCGCTGACTATCGGCCTGGAGGCTATCGCCCCACAAAAATTGGCGAGGTATTGGCTCATGGGCGTTATAAGCTCGAATTGAAACTTGGATGGGGCGTTCACTCTACTGTATGGATGGCCCAAGATTTGCAGGATCCGTGAGCGACGTCACGAAATATCGTCTAGTAATACACGTCGAACCATTGATCTTTTTGACAGTAATAGAACAGGCGTTTCCGTCAAAATTATGACAGGAGAATGCATGAACGCACCTCAACTTCAAGAAATCCAGTGCATGCGCCGTCTTTCAGCCAGCGATCTTGTCCATCCTGGCTCCAGTCATGTCTCTCGGCTTCTAGACACGTTTGTAACTGAGAGCAGTTCCGGTCAACACATCTGCGTTGTCACTGAATTGCTCGCGGAATCAGTGCCTGATATCATCGAAAGGTTTCCCGACACTTTCAAACTGCCCGAATATGCGGCCAAGGGCATCATGCGAGACGTATTGCTCGGACTTGACTTCTGTCATCGCAACGGAGTTGTCCATACAGGTGTGTTCTCTCACGTCGAAGACTCGAGCGACGCTCAAGAGGCGTCGATATAGATGTCAAGTTCTCAAATATTTCCGCCAAGCTGCCCATGAAGTTGTCCCTTGCTGGATGCAGCTTTAACCGCAACCCAATGACCCACGACGCTGTTGCTGGTATTTCCGAAGTGGTCACTATAACCGAAAGTATGAGAATGAAATCAATGCCCACGGATATCAGCGGTGAAGAGAGCTGGCGAAACAAGTCGTACGCATTGATAGACTTTGGATCAGGTAAGGGTTCGATCCCAATGACAGGCGAACAGTCATTTACATGCCCCGAACAGCTTGTCTCCTCGACAGCGGAAGAAAGCTATTCTCTCGTGCTTACCCCATAGCTTACAGAGCGCCAGAGGTCGCAGTTGAAGCTGGTTGGGATACTGCGGCGGATATCTGGGCAGCAGGGTGCATGGTACGTACGAAGCCACTTCCCTGTACTCATTTGAAGGCTAATGACGAGTCGCCGTCAGCTTTTCAGCATGCTCACCCACTTCAATTTGTATCCACCGGCGACAGACGATAAAACTCTCCCTGTACTTCAGATGCAGCTTTTTGGCAACCTTCCGCCAGATCTTATTGCATGTAGCAAGAAGAGGGACGTGTTCTGGGAGGAAAATGGTGCGTTATACCCTGGAAAATGGGCCGCTCGTCATTGAGTCTGACGAGTACTCGTTAGGTGACATTTATGCTCCATTCCGAATCACATATCCGTCCTTCGACGAACTGTTGCAGCAAGCGGCGCCTCTGATGACGCCACAGTGTTCCGACTTCCTTCGCCGTATGCTGACGGTGGATCCCGGAAAGCGCGCGACCGTCCAAGACTTGCTCGGACATCCTTGGCTCGCCGCTTAAGACTCAAAGCTGGCGAGAACTCCACTGCTTAACATGATGCTACTGACATGCCGTCGAGTGTGAACTCACTAGAACTCACCTGCATCGATATATCCAGACCATACGTCTATGTACTCGCCTATTCTTGAGTGACGGCAATATTTGCACGGCCTCCGACTCGACTTCTATGCCTGGGCGTGTACTCTTCCGTCTCGTCTGCGGAGTCGTCCCGCTTTCGACAGATCAAAGTGCGAACAAGGGAGGCTTTGTTTCTTCAATGCCGTTGCTGTTCTACGTTCCCTTAAATCTGAGCCCGTGGAGTTCTTAGCCATCAGCTGGCGTTCATACGGTGGCCTCAATCGCCTCGACTGTCGATACTTGCCAGGGCTTACGCGTCGGTGGGGGGATTTAGCCTTGACGCGCGCATGTTATCACGGTCAAGACTCGCGCTCCACACTACCTCCGCTGAGTATGTCGTCCTGTATTCCCTTATTTAAATAATGTGATCACTCTTCTCAGACCATTCCACATATCCACCGTGGTGTTCCTGCGACACTGCAATTCGACTGGTTCGTCTATTCGAATGTTTAATTTTTCGTTGATTACGTCGAACCTCCTACTCGATTACATAATGAAGGTAGCGAGATCGCTCACCGCGATTAGCGCGTGTTCGTACGTCGCCTGCAATACACGTGTGAACATACCGCACGCCCGTTAGCTAGAGAACAGCATACTCACCGCGAGGTACACCGTAGCTGATGGGTTCCCTGTGGAGGTTGTGCGGGAGGCAGGAAGGTCAGTTTGGCGCGCGTGGGGGACAACTTGATAGTTTCTGCGAATTCAAGGCGCGCGCGGTTCGCCAGGACGACCATACTCTGGGACGGCTTCAGCCGCTTCTACTAGCCTTGATACTGAAAAAAACGTCCATCGCGAGACGTGCATGGCTGTGTCGCGTGTTGTCCAACGTCCTGTCTAGACACTGTGATAGCCATTCCTGCTGCAAGATGCACTGCCTCCTCCGATATCCGCCGGTCTTGCAGGCGGAGACGAAGGACAGTGCCGCGTGCAAGAGAGACATCCTGATGATTCGAGCGAGTTGCACGTGGACGTGCTCTGTCGGGCTTCGTGCTCCGTATGGCGGGCCATCCTTGGACTTGCAGACCAGAAGATATGGGAACGGGCGTCATGACCCACCTGGCGTCGTACACGCGCGTATGTCGTGTGCGGTCTCTGCAGCACTCGGAGTCTGCTACTGCGTCCAGGATCAGTGTTCCATCTGTGCCGCAGGTGAGTGTCTCCCGACTTGGTGTTGTCTTGTAAAGGTATTTACATTACATTTACTCGTGCCCGCCTTCCACCATCGCGACTCCCGAGACCTCACTTCGCTCGCTACCCATGATTCTGCATCCACAATATCTTACTCTCATGGTCTCTCTTTCATCGCCACCGTGTACATCTCTGCGTTGAATTCTCGACGAATTGATCGAAGAATCTCCATCGACCACCTCTTAGTCGCGACGGAGGACTGCACGCCATCAAAGAACCTATGCTTCTTTGGGGAAATATGCAAACTCACTCAGAATTGCACCGATGTCGGGCAGATGGCAGGGACACAGGGACGAGGTGCTCGTTCCACAGAAGCTGAAGATCCATGATTTCATCCACTTTTTACCGCCGCACGGACGCACGAGGGCGCTGGAAGTGTGGTTGAAGGGCTCGACGTCGCGCCTCACATGTGAAGCCTCATCTCTGTTTCCGGCCTCCTCATCCACATCTTTGGCTCCAATCAATCATGTGTCTTACCTTGCGAAAGTCCATGAATCCGTGTTCGAATACGAGGATTATCGATAAGTTCACAAAACCCACTATCTCTCCTCCGAGTGTCAGCTCCCTTCCTCAAGGTCTCACATACCATGCCATCCCTCGCGGCATTCCCTCCGTCCCCTTCAATCACGGTCCTCGGTGGATTCACTGATCCTCACTTCACCACCGTTGCACTGCCGATCGTCGTCTTCAAGATGTGCACGACTACGACCCAAGTGCGCGCTGTCTGGGACAGCAAACTTCTGAGCAGTTTCGTGGTAAGTGGACTGTCTGCTCAATCCATTCTCTCCACGTCCTCCGGACGTGAAGTGCGATGACGTGATGCGTTCCGTCTTGCTCTGGCTGTTGCATCGGCCAATATCGTGGGGGTGACTGGCACGTTGGGCGTGGCCCCGGGCGAGACGGTTGCGAGGGATACTGTATTGACGTCTGTCGCATTGCTGATGTCAAACAGGTCCACTTGTCTAGCCACACCCGCACGTATCAAGGTTAAGTTGGAATTGAGCCCGCGCCCTGCACCGTCGGCGACTGGAGGAGCGCGTAGAGTGTGTTCATGGAGATGTCAAGCAAGACGCCCTGCCAATTTGGCCACAACGTCTCCAGGAAGCATATGGACAGGATGGGATATCCCACCAAAACCTTGCAGCGCCGTTCGGATGACGATGCAGAGAGGATGCACCAGTAGCGGCTAGCTAGAGGGTAAGAACGGGCGGCGTAGTTATGGCTAGGCATTCTTGAGGTATGTGCATGTTTCCTAGCGAGTACTTGTGTCATCAGAGGGCGTGCCGTGATGAGTCGAAGGGTATGGCGAGCCATGAGTGTGCAGTTTTTTATGCCAACGGGCGTAGAGTATTTTCTGGGCGCCGAGAAAGGAAATTTTTGGCTAACTCTGCCTTCTGATTGGCCTAGTAAAATTTGCCCAGTTTCAAATACACTCTATTCCTGGGTCCTAGATTGTGCCTCTCGGAGATTGCCAAATTATTTGATCGAACAGAGTGTGGTCCACTGTGGATGCTTTTTCTTAGCCTGCAGATAACACTCAATCTTTATTGTGGAACTGACTTGGCCCTTCTTCAGTTCGTAGTCCTTGATTTGCCTTGAAGAGTAAATGTTCCACTTAGTGAACGTGCATTGACTCCGGTCAGCATGTTTTATGTGAGTTTCTACTCCGACTAAACTAAGGGTCCTTGTCGATAATCAAGGGTCAAACTCCGCCGCTTCCATGAGCCAACCGATATCGATGTGTCCACGCCCAGCACTCCTAAACGTGTCGAACAAACGACCCTTGAGCCTCATTGGGCTACCATCAACCGGCTGCGACTCTTTTCCTTGGAGAGTCCGACTCCTTGTAATAACCTTCATGATCTACAACGTCGTCTTGCCATAGTGTTTTCCTACGCTCGTTTCTACAAGACCACGACGGCACATGACTGTCTGCTGTTGTTCTTTGCGCTGCCCAGGAAAATTCTGCTAGTGTTTACACCCAGCTGCTCTGAGTGAGCCTCTCGGAGAGCGATGAATACCCCGTCCCCACCTAGCTCTTACCCTGCTAATCCTGTTACACCCCCGAATCGAAAAAACAAGCTTGCAGCGACTTGTACACCTCTAGCCAAGGATGAGAACAGCACTGAACGGTTTTGCGCCGAAGAATGCCGAGGAGCGCTACCTCAGATATGCTGAGGAAGCGCGTAAATTTTTCCTTGGGCCCATGCCAGTCGACGACTTCCTTGACTTCTTACCAAAGGCAGATATGTCAGGCATGCCGAGACCTCGAAATGCATTTGATGCACTTCCACGCAAGCCTAAGAGAGAAAGTGAGATATACACACCTTTGGTATGTTATCCTCACGTAGATGGTTCACGATAACTTACACCAATAACAGATTGCCGCGCTCAACGGAGGGCTCGATCCTCGATGTCCCGGGTTTACTTTCACAGACACGTCTACCAGGAGCATAAATCAAGGAAAGGTTGGGTCAATGAAGCCCGATGTTTGCTGTTATGCCAGCGATGTCCTAAATTCTGTTCACAAACATCCGAAGACAGGCAAGCACGTCGCAGACCTTGGCTATACCGACTTATTCTTCGAATTGAAGCGGCGTAAGGATCCCCCAATCGTTCGCCTTCGTTCCCATCACCAGTTCATTTTGAACATAAAAAATAAGACCACCCTCCGACAAGCCACAGAAGCGTTAGGCCAGAATACTGCACACGCAACTGAGGCAATGGCTCGCCAGCACCGCTCTTTCTACTTTTCAATATCGTTGGCCAGAACGAGTGCTCGTATCATCCGTTGGGACCGCGGTGGCGCTATCGCTTCGGAAGCATTTGACTTACACCAGCATCCGGAGCCTCTCTGCGAGTTCTTGTGGCGGTATGCTCACGCATCGGAGTCGCAACGTGGGTATGACCCCACCGTTGAATGTGCGACTCCAGACGAGGAAGACCTATTCAGGACGGCTATCGAGCGTCATGTCCAAATACAGCTCGGGCTCCAAGCTGGAGACTCGCTGAAGAAAGCTGTAGAGGAACACTATGAGCCGGGCATCGTCGCAGCAATTCACATAGTCGACGAAGGCTCTGAAAATACGGTGCATAGGTTGCTCGTCTCTCGACCAGTTGTGTCGCCCCTGTCGATGGCGAGTCGTGCAACACGTGGATACTGGGCCGTGAGCGCTGATGGCTCTAGCCGCGGTGAAGTCCTGTTCTTGAAGGACACGTGGCGATACGATGCGGAACGCTTGACCAAGGAGGGTCAGATTTTGGCGGATCTACGAGGATGTGGAGTACAGAACATACCACTACTGGCATATCATGGGGACGTGCCAGCTCAGTTTCTCCCAGGGGCTGGAACAAAGCACAGAGGCGACGAAGACAAAGTCGTGGATCAAACCATCACAGGGCATAGAAACGAAGCAGAGGATAACCAGATTGGTTGGTCTTCATGCACAACCACCTGTATGTTATCCACTGACCAAGCCATTTGGTTATAGATGTGCAACGAACGCAGACGGACGTGCATCAAAAGGCGTGGTGGGTATGCCTTGGGGACCAACCTGAGATCCACCTGTTTCCCCACGTCCATTATCGGCTTGTCTTGGGTACGGTTGGGTACGGGTTGCAACGATTCGAAGGAGCTGAGGAGCTACTCCATGGTACTTATGATGCGTATGAAGGTAAGTGAGAGCTCTGTCTATTTTGTAGCTTCATCTGATACCTTGTTGGGCAGCCATGATGGGTGCTTTCACCATTAAAGATGAGGCCAAAAGTAGGTATCATCGGGACGTCAGTATAGGGAACATCATCCTTCATCGGGATCCTAACTCGGCCAGCAATACCAGGCATGGATATCTTATTGACTGGGAGCTGTCGTCTCTGGTGAATGACCCGAACGGTCCTCGCAATTACCATAAAACAGTGAGGGCCCTCCCCACATGAGTTCTCGCGAGAACGCAGCTGACGAGATCTTGCAGGGTACCCTCCAGTTTATGTCACAGCGCATGCTACAGACAAAGAATATGGGTCCTCATACGTTCCAAGACGATATGGAGTCCGTCATGTATGTCGTGCTCTACTGCAGCCTGCGGTGGTTGCCACACAATCTATCTCCGAATGCATTGCTTCACATCATCCAGAAAATGTTCGAGAACCATTGGATTCACGGAGAAAATTATCTCTTGGGAGGCGAGGGGAAGATGACCAATCACATGAATCGAATTCACACTGCTGAAGTCACATTTGCAACTGCCGGGATTCAGGTGTGGCTCGATACGGTCCTAACATTTTGTGGAGACTATGTTTTGGATAAGCAGACGGAGTCTGCCAATATCTGGCGACATCCTGAGGAATTTGCCAAATTCTGGAAGAGGTTTCTTCAAAGCCACATGCTTCCCAGCGACAATCGACACAACCACATAGTCCTGCACGCGCCGCACGATGGAAATGATGACTCTCAGCCGTACCCTGCTACCCGGTCTGCTTCACATGTTTCTAACCTGAAGGTGGCCTCCCGGCAGACGTCTGCCACTCCGGATAAAATCAATATTGACTGGCAAAAGGAGTCCGATTCAGTACTTCCGCAGAGCGGATTCTACGCTCAAGATTCAACTGCATTCACTTCCAGAACAAAGCGTAGGGCGACAGGGGAAGCCGCCGGTGCCACCTCGCGGGCGAAGCGCAGATCGACCATGTTGAATTTCGTCGCCAGGAGTTCGATCGCGAGTCCAGTCTCTTTTGACCAGCAGCAGGCGGCAGAATCTGAAGCACTCCCACCTAACGAGTTCATCACCGGATCTTCCACTTCAGTCTCAAATACGGTAGGAGAGCCCTCGAATGCCAAGATACCACAGGCGACACGCATTGCTGGGATGCCATCCCCTGGGATGTTCCATACCGAACGCGCCATAACGGCAAGTTATATCGGTCAACAACCAGCCGTCGCGGGGAGCTCCAATACGCAGAGATCCCAGTCTAGCTCCGGGCGTCAGATCCATGGTCGACAGAAGAACAAGCGTTCATTCAGACAGGGCTCGAGAGAGGATGACTCACGTTCGAACAGATGATATCATCCTAGGAGGCTATCAGGTATGTCGCTCCCGAAGAAAATGAGTATGTGTAGTCCATAACTCACATCTTCTTTAGCCACGGATGCGAATTGTCATCATGAGCACTGCCTGCATCCTTCAGTCTGTAATATATATCGTATAATATATATCGTATACAAGTACTTGTCGTCGGAGCGCATTGGTTTTCGAGAGAGATCTCCGAGTAAAGTTTGGCCTTCGGCACTGGATTTAAGTGACTCAACTGTCTTTGAAGTGGATCGAGAAGACTGGAACATGTGAAGTTAATATGGGGGGAACTTACCGATTGCGCGTTGGAGCAACAGAAGGAGCAAGGCGACAAAGAAGGGCCCGCCGTGATATCCTAAGGCACGAAGGTTGACCCGGGCCTTTGGGAGCCTGGGCTACACCATGTCACGGTCGTGTCACATTCGAATCGATAAATGAGCGCACGTGACCACCCAACCACCGTCACGGCGTTACCAGGCGCGTTCGAAACAAGCTCCACCTCAACCACTAACTCCCACATTGTCAACCTCGCTACATCTCAGAGTGCGATACTACTATCTCACATCGAGGAAACATTCCGCGATTTCTATCACCCTCCTATGTCTTACCACCCCACGAATGAGATCGTACCCGTGGTGACCACGCCGTTGGCAGCCAAGGATCCAAGCAGTGAACAACGAGACTCGGAAAAGTTTGACCGCAGGAATACTACTCAACGCTATGTCAAACATGCCCGTGCAGCCAAGAGTTTTCTGATAGGGCCTATGCCTGTCCGAGAATTTCTGGGCTTCTTGCCAGAGACGGATATGTCACGGATGCCGCTTGCTGTGGACGCGTTCAAAGGCATCCCTACCGAAGCAAAACAGAAATGTGAAATTATAGCACCCATAGTATGTTCCTTGATTAGAACTACTATAAGGGTGCTGACAGAATCACAGATCACTGCGCTAAACGGCGAGGACGTGGAGAACCCTCGGTGTCCTGGCTTTGTCTTCAAAGACACCACCACGCGTAGCTTCGACTGCGGAAAAATCGGCTCATTAAATCCCGACATCTGCTGTTATGTCCAGGAATTCACAGACTCAGTCAAACCCAACCCTCCACCCACAAACTCACTCGCTCACGCTGAGTTACACATTGACGTGAAGCGGAAACCCGGTCTTGATTTTCTATCAGATGCCGCTCCAGACGATGACCGTTCCTCGCATAGCTTTATTCTCAACATCGAGGATGAAACCCTTCGTAAGAGGGCCGAGCTATCGCTGGGAAAGAACGTTGCATGTGCGATCGAGGCGTGCGCGCGACAGCATCGCACGTTCTACTTTTCAGTCTCATTGGCTGGATCGCACGCTCGCCTCATTCGTTCGGATCGTGCCGGAGCAATTGCCTCGGAGTCTTTCAACCTCCACGACAACCCGAAGCCCCTCTGCGAGTTCCTATGGCGATACGCGCATGCATCAAATTCACAACGCGGGTGTGACTCCACCGTCGAACCTGCGAGCCCAATGGAGGAGGCCTTATTTAAGATGACTATTGAGCAACATGTCAAGCTGCAACTGAATCTCAGAGGAGGAAAGGCACTTCGAACCGCCGTCGAGGAGCACTATCAGCCCGGTGTTGTCGCGGCCATTAATATGGTCGGCAAGGACGCTGTGGTGCGCCGACTCCTCGTATCTCGGCCAGTTGTATCTCCGCTCTACATGACTGGTCGGTGTACCCGTGGCTATTGGGCAGTGACCACTGGTGGTCCGACCGACGAAGTCATGTTTTTAAAGGACACCTGGCGATACAATGTGCCGCGAGTGAAAGAGGGCAATATCTTGGAAGATCTGTCGGACGCTGGGGTGCCGCATATTCCACACTTGGTTTATCACAGCGACGTACTGGTGCCAATGATGACCACCAAAGAGGAGAGCGAGGACGAAAGTGAGAACGAAGACAATGACGAAGAAACGCCAGGCGTATATTTAAGTCAGCCCTTGGACTCGTCATAACAGTGTAACCTAGACTGACTAAGCTTGTATACAGATTTTCAGTGCACACAATCGGATCGATACCAGCGAGCGCCGTGGGTGTGCAGTGGTGGACGTCGCGAAGTATCTCTGACACCCCACGTACATTATCGGTTAGTGGTGGGCACCGTAGGATATGGGCTAGATCGGTTCAAAGGATCGGAGGAGCTCCTTTACGCTACTTACGATGCATATGAAGGCCGGTTCAGTTGTTCTATGATCCTAGATTTCGTCTGATGCTTCGTTTTGCAAGCTATGATGGCTGCCTTCAACATTGAAGACCCTGCGAAGCGTAGGCTCCACTGCGACGTCAGCTTGGGGAACATCATTCTAGTCAAGGATCCGAATTCCGACAGTACAGTTAGGCGTGGCTATCTCATTGATTGGGAATTTTCGTCGCTTGTGACCGAAGCAGAAAGCTCTCAAAGCCAGCACAAAACGGTAGGAGTCCTGGTTAAACATTCGTTCTCGGAATTGTACTTAACGAATGTCTGTAGGGCACCCTCCAGTATATGTCGCAACGTCTGCTGCAGCGGAAGAACGTTCATCATACATTTCAGGATGATATGGAATCCATATTCTACGTCGTCCTCTACTGCAGCTTGCGATGGTTACCCCATAATCGACCACCGAACGAGTTGGCTGAGACATTGTGGAGATTTTTTGAGAACGACTGGGTAAACAAAGACGGCATTCGGATGGGTGGCGACGGAAAGATTTCGAATATGGTCACCAGGTGTCACACAACCGATCTTCATTTCCCAAGCCCGGGAATTCAATCGTGGCTTGAAGAAGTTATGAACTTCTCTGCAGACTACGCCTTGGAGAAAGATACTGGATTTGCCGAGGTTTGGAGAAATCCAGCAAGTTTTGCCGAGTTTTGGCGCGATTTCCTTGACACCCACCAACTCTCCGCTGACGATAGATTTAATCATCGACTACCCCCAGCTCGTCGCCCTGGTGTCATGATGTCTTACCCCTTAACGTCGTCTGCGTCGCTCAATTCTCGTGCAGTTCCTTCTGGTAATACCACTACCTCTAGTCAGAGCTACCAGCTCTCTGACGGTGCTACATCCAATCGTCAGCAACCAATACCTCGAGCTCACCATTCTGGTGCCATGATGTCAGACGCTTCGACTTCGTCTGCGTCTTCCAGTCTTCATACACCTTCTTCTGGGATTACGACTACCCCGCCACTCAAGCGCAAGGCTGGGGAAGAGCCCATTAACGCTCACTGCCGAGTTACTAAGCGAATTGTTGTAATGCCGGCACCCCGCAAATACAATACTAGGTCTTCGACTTCACTTGTCTCGGGATTGAAGCGCAAAGTGGAAGGGGAGCTGGTTGATCCTCGAAGAACGAAGCGTAAGGCAAAGAAAGGCCTCGCCGACGTGCAGGTGCGCGAGGCAAAGGGAAGGGATGGATCGGTCCGAGCTTTGGGAACCGAAATTGGATCTGCGACACGCTCAACGTTGACGACGCACAGAAGACGAGCGGAAGGCAAAAGGTTGGGAGCAGCTGCAGGCAGTTCTGGGTCACAAAGACGTCAACACAATGCCTCCAGTCCGAAGAAGGGCACCTGAGAGGTCGCACAAATCAAGTCGGGGAGGTAGCCGGTACGCAAGCTGTTAATTTTGCAGTCGTTCTCACCTTTCGTACAGCTCGTATCTATTATTTGAGCCCATCGTTTTATGTAAGTCTAAACCCACGGCGAGCGTGCCGTTATATACCCTTCCAGCCTCATTCTGTCACTCCTCCCGATGACTTGATCTCCATTGCTCGAACTTGTTTTCTCAATGCTCGTTACAGCCGGCACTTGTAGTATTTTCTCTAACTCAAGAGAGAGAAGAGACGGCAGTTACTAGCACCTCCAGAAGTTTTCGATTAAGATTGTTTCTCCTGCAATACAAAGTCTGAGTCAGCCGTCTACCAGCCATCACCGCGTTCAAGCAGCTGGTAGAAACAAATGCGTGTAGTAAGGTGCCCATATAATAAACAAAGATGCGTTGACGGTCCGTAAACGAGCCTCGCGTAGACGCGTATTCTCTGAAGATACAGAAGTATACGAAATCATGTAGTTGATGTCAGTAGATGGTAGTGTAATTGCGTCTACATAGTGACTGCTAAGGTACAGACCAGTCGGACTATGTGAGGAGCCCTCAGGATGCGACATTGCATGCACTTATGTACACCACATGTCCATATATGTGTATGTATATGTGGTCTCCCTACGCATGCAGTGGGTGTATGTACTCTAATCACCCAGTGTGTACTGGTGCGCACAGGCAGCCAATAAATCTTCGAATAAATGCAATTAAATACGAGCACGTGATCACGACGACACTCTCGCACAGGCGCCCATCGCGCGTCGAGCCTCCGCGTCCGCTCACCCAGCATCTGTACCCCGAGAGTCCCATAATAAGCCTAAGATTGATAGCCCTATACTCCTTCTAAATTGAAGATCAGCATGAACCCCCCTCTTCAGTGGAACTTTGCTCACCTGAATCTGCCTGCAGGTGGCCCTGCAGCTTTGCCGAATATCCCTCTCCAGCCCAACCCAGCACCACACATACAGGCCTTAAACCCGGTTGCATTCTTCCAGCAGTACCAGCAATTTGTTCATGACTTCACTGTGAATACCCCTGGCGCTGTACCCCCTACACTAGATCAGTTCCGCCAGTACTTCGAGATGATAGGACACTTACCGCCGCCACCGCCTCTTCCTCTCGGTCCCGCGCAGATCCAACCAAATTTAGAGCTCGCAGCGGCAGTGGAAGAGGTGAGAAACGAGATAGCAGTGCTGAAACGAGACCTGGAAAACAGTGCAGTGGTCGGAGATGCTGCAGGACATGAGGCTGACGATGAGGGCACCCTGCCATTGAGAAAGCGGCTGAAGAAGACGAAGAAGGATGAAAAACAGATTCTTAGCAAGCCCAAAGATGAATTACGAGAGGAGCAACTCGCCGTACGGGAGGAACTTATGGTAAGTCTCGATATATGCACATATATGCGCTATCTATCTAACTGGAAACATTAGCACCTCATCAATCGTGCTTTAAGAGACCTTACCGGACTGAAGCGCAACCCATTCCCACTAAACAAGGACAATGAAACCGATGAGTCCTCGGCTTCCGATGGAGATGACGACAATGGCGTGCCGCGGATGGATATAAACCTCACAGCGGATATTCGACACCACCTGAATGAAAAGGTCATAGATCGTGCCGTAGATATGGTGTATACAGCGCAAACGGTAACTCACTGTGCTTCTGTTTTGCAGTTCTTGCTGATATACTTCTGCCAGAACCGAAATACCTGCACGTTGAGCAACCCCGATGTTAAGTTCACGCGCAATGATCTGATCGTCTTTGCCAAGAACAAGTTCCGCAGCTGGCGAAAGGCATACCTTGTGCAACAGGATGAAGAAAAGAAAGCTCGCGCGCTCAAGCAGCAAGCAGGGAATAAGCGTCACCGTCGTCAGAAGCAGGTACATTCCAAAGTAACTCACCGCTTTGATGTGTTCCGTATCCAATGTGTTTGTTACGCAGCTAAAGAAATTGAGGGCGGGGGTAAGGGACAAGTACAAGAAGAAGCACGGAGTTGATCCCGGAGCCTTTCTTGTCACCGACTGGATGAGTGAACAGGTTAGCGACTGGAGCGATGATGATGAAGAGAAAGCCGAACGCCGCAATGAGCTCGCTCAGCGTGCAAATCTTACGCCTGATGAAATTGCGGGTGAATTCAAAGTTCTGGAAAGGCGTCAGTTTACAGGGCATTCACAGAAGGTAGGTGTACCTTGTACCTTCGCTGATGTTAATTCCTCTAATATTTGTTGCAAGCTCTGCACTGTCTACAAGGAACTGGATCAACTTGTCCAGATAACGTGCAACAAAATGAAGAACCCACCAGTCGAGAAATACAAACGAATCAATCTAGGCTGGGCTCTAAACTCTGCTCCCACCACACGTGTGTACTCTTGCATGCTCAGTAGGACCTGGGTGAGAGCGCATGCAGAGGAAGCAAAGGAGGTAGAAGTCTTCAATGACAACCCTACTGACTTTGAAGATAACGAGACCGCGGAGGAGTCTGACGGAGAGCGGTTGCATCAAGAGCCTCCAGCAGAGAACAACGAAGACTAGCTGTCCTCTTTCGTTCTATCGATCAAAATCTGCATGCTCAACCTGTTTCTCCTGACTTGATCAGACTCTGTTCTTGCACGCTTTGCATTCACTTACGCATTCAGACCCTCCCACCTCACTCTGCTTTTACTCGTATGTTCTGATCATCCTGCTCACATGCACTGCCTCGTCTTTACAACTCACTGAATGCTCTGAAATCATATGACTGTTACGTCCTGTAGTGCGATTAATATCGTTAGATAATGCTTCATTTCTGATCACGACACGCACCCTTGTAAGCCCTGTAGTTACCCACACAATCCAGGGCTCTATGCAAACATTTTCACGACCTTCTGAATCTGATTCGTCATCCGACTCATAGCCTTGAGGTCGCACTGGATATTTCTTCACGATAAGACGGCATGCTTGAGATGAAACAGTGGAGGCAGGAATGAATGCAGGGGGGCCAGCAATGAGGGGATCTAAGTAGGTATTGTATTCCCAAAATGCGACCTCAAGTTCTGGACTGACATGAAATTCGTCAATGCCATTCAGACAACGAGTGCAAAACAGACAGCGCACTATGGGTCCCACGGGCTGGTATCAATATCCAGGAGTCGGCAGAACCAGCGCACGTGGAGTAAATGCTGAGGAGTATTTATGCCTGTTTGATAGTGAGTAATAATGTGGATCACTTCGCCGACATGAAGCCTGTCATTGAAGATGGCCTGAATAATTGAATTTGGCGCCTTCACACCTGGGGCTACTGTACCTCGTATACGACGCCCATTCATAATCATATGATCATGAAGAAATGCGTGAGTGATGAGGAACGAAGACTGAGGTGGAGGAGAGTGCATTGTGATGTCAACAATACCCTGGTGTGGGTGATTCTGGGCGTAGAACCTTAGTAATTGCTGCTGAATATCTCACGGCAAGTCCCAGTGCACGCATGCTCCCAAAGAATATCATGTAAATACTGGATTCAAAAGGTGTTTAGCCTGACACAGTGGTATGCATACGTTCTAAGTACTCACAGTCTGCATTAACTTCTGCTGCAATTGTACCGCGTTGATCACCATCAGTCTTCAGCATCAGTCGTGCTGCATGCATGATTGCATGCTGTTCCTCCGATAGACCATCTTCATTGGAAGTGTGTGCTAGATCGGAAAGCTTCATATCGTGGACAAGTGGCTCAGCAACGTGACCACTGATTAACAAAAGTGCACTTACTAACTGTCGCAGGTGAACATCACGTGAGAATTCCCGGAAAAAAGTCACCTCGAGTTCACCACCATCGTGGTTATTCGTGGTATAACTCTTGAGCACCTTGTTCAAACGCTCGGACAGGAATGTCCAGAAGCCATAGACTGGCCCATAGTCTTCAATCTGTTCGAAGATGTGAGTGACATAGTGGAAGTTCGGCTTAACGTTGTCTGGATGGATTTGCATGTTAATGCTGCATGAGGTCACAGGTCATCCCAAATTATAGATAAGCCGTACTTTCAAGAAGTTGATTAGATAGTCTTGTAAGAGTTTACAAGCACGCGGCAATTCAGTAACATTCACGCTGCGTCCCATAATCACCTTAAGAGCCGCTGCAAGAGACAAGAAGTTGTCAGCATCTTCAGGGTGCATACGACGTTCAGGCTTTGGGGCTCGGGGCTCTTTAGTGCCATCCGCCCTGCGTTTGCCCTTCGAAATGCATCGTAGGCGGGCGGTGTCGTCAGCTTGCCACTTCTTCATGCGCTTCTCGTATGTTGCTTCAGCGGAGGGCTGCCATTCGTCCCATATGAGAGGAACCTGTAGTAAGGAAGAGCATTGGATCAATACATCAAAATGAAGACTGAATTGAGACTTACAATTATTGGGCAGTAATTCAATGCCATACCTTTCCATTCATCTGCTGTAAGAGATCCTCCAGCTGCATATCCGACATCATTCGGTAGACGTGCTACCCACTGTGGCATCTCGAACTACAGACAGATTTCAGCATGCACCACATGGAATACAGGAGCACTACGTGCACACCCGACACAAACACCTAAGCCCAACTAAAACAAAATGAGAAGCAGGGGCACTCTGTGTGTGAGGGAAGGGCATCGCAACTGTAAAATAAAGTGAGTGGGTCCCAGAACCTTGACCTAAGCCAAAGGGGGATGCGACCTGTAAAGAAATGAGGGCTCGCAACGTAAATGTGAAGTCGGGCGACAACCTACAACAAAATCGTGAAAGTTGACGGTAGGAAGCTAAAGTCGCAATGTGATTGCCAAACTCGTAGGTGAAGGTGAACTAAATCGCAAAGGGGAAGGGAACTATCTGTGGGGGTAGAATGCTATGGGGGAATGCAGTATTCACCATCTCAATGAAGTCGCAGTCAGTCTAATGCAAAAGTTGGATTAAGACTAATACAGGTCGCTATCACTATATCGCTATGTCACTATCGCAGTGTCGCAGTTCACTATCGCAGTTCCAGTATGCAGTCTCGAAGTATAGCAGTGTCGCTATGTCGTAGTGTTGCAGTGTCACTATGTCACAGTGTCGCAGTGTCGCTATGTCGCAGTGTTGCAGTGTCGCTATGTTGCAATGGGGTATATTGCAGTTCGATGTCACTATCACAGTAAATGTAGTTTCTCGGTGATCTGAAGTGAAGGGGGAAGTCTCCTACTGGTTTTCGATGATAATCAATGTAGATATAGCAGGTATTTATAGAGGGGAAAATGGGGAAGTGAAATGCGAAAGTCGCAAAATGTCAGAAGATGGATCCTGACATCGGAGAGAGTCGCAATGGTCTAGGCACCAGTGGTGGCCAGTATTGTATAACAATACTGCAGGTAGCTGGGCAAGGTGTTGCTCACTACTCACCAGTTCTTGTTAATTGTCAAAGTTATTGTTAACAACAGTCTGAGAGGATTATAATACAATAACAACTTGTACAAAACAACTTGCACCCAGCCAGGCTTGAACCCTAGTCTTCAGGGCACCTAATTACATAAGCACATGCCACACACACAATCTACCAACTGCTTCATTGGACCATGCATTTTTCTCAGCCTCAATTCTATATAAGGCTACTGCTTTCTCTAATATACATATTAGAATCTCTTGTAATAACTACTATATCCTGTTGTTACTGTGGCTTCTAATAGTTATTTGCCTACATTTTTCTATTTATTTCACTCTTCTAATAGCTTTATTACATCTATAAATTTTGATATTATAGTTTTAATCTTATTTGAATATTTACTGAACTAAAAAGGAAATGCTTAATATTAGGCACTCAAAGACTTATTAACAGGGACATCAATCACTGTTAGAAGCTACAGTAACAACAGGATATAGTAGTTATTGCAAGAGATTCTAATATGTATATTAGAGAAAGCAGTAGCCTTATATAGAATTGAGGCTGAGAAAAATGTATGGCTTAATGGAGCAGTTGGTAGATTGTGTGTGTGACATGTGCTTATGTAATTAGGTGCCCGGAAGACTAGGGTTCAAGCCTGGCTGGGTGCAAGTTGTTTTGTACAAGTTGTTATTGTATTACAATCCTTTCAGACTGTTGTTAACAATAACTTTGACAATTGACAAGAACTGGTGAGTAGTGAACAACACCTTGCCCAGCTACCTGGGCCATTGTTATACAAAAGTGGGAACCACAGCTGGTAGTAGTTATCACCATCAATGTATCAGTCCCTTGTTCTTGTGCCCATACTTGATATATCAGTATGCCAGGGACAGGTGATTGCTGGTGGACAACTTAAGGCAGAAGCATAGTACAGACATCTGGGTAGAGTCATTGTCCACAAAGATAACAACACATCTAGAATACAGGTGGAGGTGTCCTGCTACAGGTGGCACAAAGAATTGGGAAAGGGCATGATATATAGAGATCGATATGTTCATCCCAGCACGGGAATAAAAATTTGCAGTAGTAATTCGGTGCATCATCCTGGCTGAGCCACTCAACCTGTTCTTCAAATCTTTGAACGAAAGAAAGAAAGTCTCGATCAGAACGATAATGGCGAGGTGAGTGACTGAACAATGCTTCGTCTTCAGCAATATCAGGGCAGTATTTGTGAATAACGTGATTGACATGACAGGCGAATGGATCATACTGGTTAGAAGTCTCATTGTGAGGGCCAGAAGGCAGAACAATATATATCACACACCATATGTGCTCGATATTCTGCCATCTTTGTCCGCATTACAACATACCACTACTTAGGTTTTTTTCTAGTAGTGCCAGATGGTAATTCTGGGGGCAATACAATTTGGTTCAGTGCTCGTCACATTCTTGAACCCAGGGTCATCACTCACCTCTGGCAGCCATCTTGTCCAAGTTGAACATGCAATGTTCAGATCTGAAGGCCATGACAAATACTGTGACTCGGCCTTATTCAACATCATTGCCACAACATCCTCACCACAATGTTGTTAACTCAAAGTTTGAGTGATCAGAGAGTGATTAACCCAATCTCCACCTGCAATTTGGTGGTGCTGTTCTCCTTTCATGGTGATGAGCGCACACCCAACACAAACACCTAAATCCAACTAAAACAGAATGAGAAGCAGGGGCAATCTGTGTGTGAGAGAAGGGCATCGCAACTGTAAAATAATGCAAGTGGGTCTCAGAACCTCAATGTGACCTGTAAAGAAATGAGGCTTGCGACGTAAATGCAAAGTCGGGCGACAATCTACGACAAAATCGTGAAAGTTGACAGTAGGAAGCTAAAGTCGCAATGTGATTGCCAAACTCGTAGGTGAAGGTGAACTAAATCGCAAAGGGGAAGGGAACTATCTGTGGGGGTAGAATGCTATGGGGGAATGCAGTATTCACCATCTCAATGAAGTCGCAGTCAGTCTAATGCAAAAGTTGGATTAAGACTAATACAGGTCGCTATCACTATATCGCTATGTCACTATCGCAGTGTCGCAGTTCACTATCGCAGTTCCAGTATGCAGTCTCGAAGTATCGCAGTCTCACTATGTCGCAGTGGGGTATATCGCAGTTTGAGGTCGCTATCGCAGTAAATGCAGTTTCTCAGTGATCTGAAGCTAAGGGGAACTCCTCCCTACCGGTCTTCAATGATAATCAATGTAGATACAGCAGGTATTTATAGGGGGAAAATGGGAGAGGTGAAATGCGAAAGTCGCGAAATGTCAGAAGACGGATCCTGACATCGGAGAGAGTTGCAATGGTCTAGGACCAATGGAAAAATAGGTATAGTGAGTGGAGAGGTGAATGTTGTACGTTAGCACCAGAGAAGAATGGTAAAGTAGAGGGAAATTGAAAGAAAACATATGTTACTTGTCCTGAACCACATGGAACACTCTAACGGTATCTCCGGTCCAGCACAAAAATAGGAGTCTTGAAGGAGAAGGTCGAATGATAAAGGGAATGGGATTTGCAAAACAAGAGGGCGCGACCATCATGTGACACCAATAAGTCGGCGCGACACCCAGAAATGTAGCGCGATGTCGGGAAAGTACGGACCTAGAAGGAAATTGATCAGGGCACATCAGACGAGACCAAAGGACAATGGGTCAGTGGTATCCAACAGCGGGGAGATGCAAGAGTGGCATATGAGTGGCAAAAGAATGTCGAATCTCGGTGAGAAGTCGTGAGGAGTCGAGCAAAGTTGAACGAAGTCACGTGAAGTCGGAAAAGTTTGCATAAGGTCGCGAAAGGGTCGGATGCACCTCGGAGGCTAAGACGTAGAGTAGTGAGGTCTGAGCGATCACTGAAAAATGCATTTTTCAGAGGCCAGGAGGACTGGGAGCATATCACCACTCCACGGAGCAAATTCTTGGTGCCACTGATGATGCATGCAAGGTATCTTTCAAGGCAGTCTGAGCAATTTTTCTTCACAGCACAGGCATAACAGAGGATAGTAGTTACCTTCCGACAAAGTGCCAGACATCAAGCATGACATCTATTTCTGGCAGTGCCTTCTTGATGGACTTGCGCACATGGCAGCAGTTATCGACCACTGCCAGCATAGGATCAGGGACCTGCAGCAACTCGCCATGCTGCCTGAGACCTGCTAATACGTCTGCAATCTCAGACGTCGATTGCGACTGGCAGAAGCGCTATGGCAGAAGAAGTCATCATCTGTTCATAGTATCAAGATCAAAACAAGACCTTGGAGCAGTACATACCCAGGATATGATCTCATTGACCTCATTGATGATGCTCAGAATTCCACCCTTCAACACCTTGATGTGGTTCTGCTTGTTCTCAACAATGGTCACCAAGCTCGCCTTTCCTGCCACATGGAAGGTATTGTTGAGAGAGATGGATGTTGCTGTATAAGCAACAATTCAATCTCAGGTGTGCATGGTGCATGGACGGCAACAGTCTCACTTACCATTCAACATATGAAGGTATGTCTCTGACTCTGGTTGCCATGTTTTCTCACTAAATTTATTGAAGATATCAGTGATCAAGTCATCCGTGATCGAGTGATCGCAGTAGCCCCCGACGATTTCGCCTGGCTTTGAGAACTTGCGCAGTGGTGAAGAATCAACCAGGCTCATGTTTTTTTTCTCCTGTCGCAACTGAAAGTGTCACAAGTACACAAGTCTCTTTCTATGGAATTCAAGGAGGTGAAGGTCTGTGCAGTGCACACTAAGAGGTCATCATTGGTGTCGAACATTGACACAGTGTGGAAACTCATGTCTGACATTCTTGGCAAGCCCCACAGCCATCATTGAAGGATGCAGTTCAACGATGAGGTCGAATAACTCACGCATGACTGCGCAGCACCTGAGGAAGTATGGGATGCTGGCTGGAGACCATGCAGATGGAAAGGTAAGTCATTACATGCATGCTGTGGCATTCTATGATGCTTACATGATATTTCCCAGTGGTCCCGATGCTGCCAAAACAGGTGGCTTGTCATCGTGAAGCAGTACACTCCGTCGGAGTCTTCATTGGCACTGCTTCATTCTATGGTGTGTTTCTCACACTCCTTGCACCACAACTGATACCCAATTACAGTCTCCTCTCAGAACAGACTGTGTGTTACATGGCAGTGAAACACGAGCATCAAGTCGAGTCATCATGAGATGAGGTCTTAGTCTAAGACACAAGTCCATTCAAAAGACACTTCTGGCGATGTCCTCGCACTGAAGGTCGATCAGAGTTCATTCTTATGATTCATAGTAGCTGTCTGCTACTAATGGTCGATCTTAGTCAAAGGCAAGTGAAAAACTGGTTTAATGGTAACCAGGTCGAGATGGGGATCCAGCTCGATGAGGTCGACTACTTATACAAAAGGTATCTGCAGTACTACGCAGTAATGTGAGATCGTTCATTGGCTAGATAAGGTGAAACAGTGTCTGGGCAAGGTAACAGTGAGGAAGTAATACGTATGGGAAAGCTGAGTAAGATTGTGAGAGATAATCAGTATTAATGGGGATAACAAGTCATGTATCAGAATGAGGTGAAGATGAGGTATACATACATGTCTCACATGTGTGATAAGAAGAAGGTCCGGAGTTGGATCTGGTATAACCCTAGACTAGGGTTTCTGGACATCTGGGTAGGGAATTGGAGGTTGCGCTCCGATGAGTCACGTGGTAGACCACATGGTCTGGTAAAGCAAAGGGAACGAAGAAAAGAAAAAGAAAAGATGTGCCATAACTGAGGAGCATTGTAACATCGTGCACCTCACGATGGCCAGTAGCAGCCCATTAGATCCATTTAACATCACTGGAATCACACTGCGGGCATTGTGTGATCTCAGGGAAATAGAATGGATGGACAATGGTAACTGGCTTGAGGTATGTCATCTCTGGCATGATTTCAGGCATCACGCTGCACTTTGCTATATCCAGGTATGTTGGCAGTATGAAGCATGGTCTGTAAAGTGGGAGATCTCTATGAAGACTGCGCTTCGTTATGAGCTTTGCATTCCCATGGGCTTTCATGCACTTGTGAACAAAGTTCACATATTCCACAATGTGAGCCTCCCACTCCAGCTGTTCTGCATACTGTGACTGCGAGACACGCACTCTCTTCCAGGCTTCACACTGGCATTCAACCTGCATCGGAGAGCAGGAATTCATGAGCCCTCGCTGTTTCTTCATGTAATATAATTTTCTGACCTTTTTTGCCCATTCAGCTTCAAAGTTTCACTTCTCAAGAGATGCAAGCGAGCTCTTCAGCTGCACGAGCACAGTCTTCAGATCGAATGATGACATGGCAGAGTGAAAGTGCAAGATGCTTGTTCAGGGGTACACCACTTACATTTTGCTCAGATGTTAGCAACTGCTATTTTAAATCTGTGAGGCTCGGCTAGCATAGATTACTTCTCACTACCTAATGCACCAAATGTATTGTAGTTATGTAGACATAGCAATACAAATGGAACAACATTCTGAGAAAAGTATAGTACAACCAGACCTCGGCAATGCTAATTAAGTGGGCATACAAATATTCCTCGCTGCACTGCTCAACAGAGTAAAGGGTGAACAGCACCTGTATGGGCTTCCTGAACGGCACTTCAGAGATAGAGGTCAGTGCAGTGATATCACACTTCAGGGTACCCTCCCAACCTAGCTCTTAGCTTCAACATAATCTATATTGTGTAGTAGCTAAGAGCCTCTCAGGTGTCAGACAGACCATGGTACCAATCTATGTCCCAGGGCATTATATGGGATTACCCAGGGCAAAGGCAGGGCAAGGGCAGGTCAATGGTACAATTATCATATGGGATGTCCTATAGTACTAGGGCATTGATATTTGTATCCCAGTATTACTGATTGTCCCATGGTGCCAGGGGTACATAGGGATGTCCCACTATTAGTAAAAGATGTATTTTCAGGCTATTGTATGTGTAGTTTTTTATACTTTATTCCACTATCATATTATCTAAGCCTTAATTATAAAAACAGTAACTATAGTGATATAAACAAGCACTTTATTTGCATATTATATAAGGTGGGATCTCCCATTTTAAGGACATCCTAAGATGTGATTTTAAAATTCACAGATATTTAGTCTCTTCTTTGGCCTGAAGTTTCTATTAAACTACTATAATTATCTAGAGATTTATACTAACAGTTGAATTACTAAGGTTAAGAGTGACAGGTCCTTACATGGGATATCCCATCACATAAAGGGACATCCCATAATACAAAGGTGTCATTCAGTGAATGCATTTCTGAGTGTAACTTGACTGAAGTCTTAGGTCAAATGCCTTTCTTTTTTCATTCAAATACAGTATATGATAGGAGACATGACAAGAATATATCTCCTTTGCTAATATATTAGTAGACTGAGTTGTTTTATTTCTTGAGACACTTAGTGAAAGTTGTAGTATAGCTATGATACATACTATATGCCAAAGGTTATATCATGTTAGTCTGAACATTATGTCAGAAAATGTAAAATTAATTTTAAAACATGAGAATAAACATTGTTGTTTGACCTGTCTTAGTTGTTATATGAGCTAATGAAGTTGTTGTACATGCTACCAATAGTAATATAGTCTTTATAACATTACAAATGTATACGCAAAACTTGATATGAGATCTCCTGCTTTCTATAAATATTTTACCATATATAAAGTGCAAATAAGGCACTTATTTACAGTATTCTAGTCACTGTTTTTATAATTAGAACTTATACAATATGATTGTAGAACCAAGTATTATAAAACTACCTTACAATAGCCTGAAAATACATCTTTTACTAATAGTGGGATATCCCTATATACCCCTGGCACCATGGGACAATCAGTAATACTGAGATACAAATATCAATGCCCTAGTACTATAAAACATCCCATATGATAATTGTGCCATTGAATCAGCCTATGCCCTGCCTTTGCCCTGGGTAATCCCATATAATGCCTGGGGACATAGATTTGTACCATGGTCTGTCTGACACCTGAGAGGCTCTTAGCTACTACACAATATAGATTATGTTGAAGCTAAGAGCTAGGTTGGGAGGGTACCCTGAAGTGGATATCACAAGTACTACAAGTTGTAATTTTTACCAGCAGGACATGCATTGAATATGAGAAAGTCCCAGTGTGCAGATTTGACTGCATGTCAGTGTTATCATGGTTGTGCTCCTCATCTGGAACTGTACATAGGCAGTCTTTTTTCATGTTTAGAGAGCATATAAAGCACTCAGTTACAGGCACTAATTTTCATTAAAACATGCCACAGAGTGTGTAATTTGAGCAACCATAGTGCAGTGCCCAACCTTAGGTGTGTGCTTACATCAGAAATGCCATTTGGGGCAGGTTGCCTGCCACATTGAGTAGGCACATGACGCGGGGCCGCCCCCGCCGGTAGGTTAGGTTTTTCAAACTCCGCTAGGACCTAACTACCCTACTATAAGGAGACTGCCCTGCCGCAGTGTGGTATCGCCCTATTTTTTACGGAGCTCAGACCGGTGAGACTGCGAAACGGGGCGAGAGAATTCTGGTGTATTCGTCGTTCTCGGCCTACTTAAATACTCGTACAGTACAATCGGTCTGAGTCAGTACAGAGATAAGTGTAGTCAGCGAGAGACAAGCCGAGCTGTGGGATCGATGCTACGTAGAGTCAGAATCTTGATGGGAATAAGGACGAGTCGTCATACGTAGCGGGTGACTTGTCAGAGGGTCAGGAAATGACGAAATCGTATGACTAGGAATAGGGGAACTGAGTCGAGAATATGTCGTACAAGATCTCCTCAAAATGAAATGGAGACATACCATTTTCGGAAGGGACACAACAAGACCAAACCGAACACGTCGTCGGGCCCAACACCATCCCCTCGTACAAGAACCTTGCTCCGGCAAGATAAACGACGAATACTGACAACCAAGGAGACAGAAGACAATAAGAGAAGGTAGGTCATGCGTCAAAAGAGCTGACACCATTTTTTTAGGCATCGCGAGAGGTGCCAGCGCGACCGAGACTGGTGTCGAGTCGGCGTTGCATTCGCGCTCGGGCGTCGCGACGCTGAAGGTCGGCAGAGGAGTACCATAACTCGGGATCCATATTCGACGGGTGATAACATTTCAAACGGGCAGCATTGTACAAGGTACGAAGGATGTAGCCGTTTCGTGTGCGGAGCTGATAAACGTTCCGGTCAGTGACATCGTGAACGATGAAGGGTCCGTCCCAGCGCGGATGGAGTTTCGTCGGGTTCTCCGAACGTCGAAGGACATAATCGCCAATCCCGAGCGCGCGTTCGTGGTAAGTACCCTCACGGCGGCGCGCCTCGTCCTGCAAGCGGCGCAAGGCGCGCGTGTTCGCCTCGGTTCGGAACCTCTCAACGTTCTGAACATGCTCGAGACGACGGTTTTGCAACGTCGCGATCTCCGCGTCGGTCGGTGGCGCCCGAAGAAGGTCGTAAGTCGTTTCGTGCGGAAGACGGGGCTGACGACCAAACACAAGGAAGAAAGGTGACGCGCCATGGCTCCGACTGACGTGCGCGCGCTGCGCAAGAAGTGCATCCGGTAAGTATTGATCCCATTCGTCCTGTCGGTTGGGAGCCGTATAACGCGCTAACGTCTGTACCAGCATATCGTTAAACTTCTCGAGGCGGCCATTTGTCTGCGGATGGTATGGTGAGGTGTGTAAGTGCTGAATTCCTAATCGCTGAAGATAATTCTGAAAAGGATACGACAGAAATTCCTCTCCATTATCCGTGAGGACGGTGGAAGGCTTCCCATGGGTCGTGATAAGGCGGCGCAGCAATGCGATGACAGCAATATGAGAACGGCGTGGAATTGCAGCCACGTAGGCAAAATCGGTGCCGTGATCCATGGCGGTAAGAATATACTCATTTCCTTCTTTCGATTTCACGAGGGGACCTATAAAGTCGAAAGCCCAACGATCAAAGGCATCCGTACGAGGAAGTGGGTGCAACGGCTGGGCAGGTGGAGCTCGCGCTGCGTGAACTGGCAAGCATCGCAGCGACGGATAACGAATTCGACTAACTCAGTGACAATTGGCAGCCATACGCGCGACTTCAATGCTTCCGCAACTGCACGAACACCGAGATGTCCGAGGTCGGTGTGTACCTCCCGAATGACCCGCAAGGCCTCGTCAAGGTTCACCAGAACTGGCAAGAAGACTTCGCCCTGACCAAGGTCAACAGAGTGAAAGAGTGCACCATCGCGGACAAGGAAGCCGCGACGACTCGGCTCAGCACTAGCATCTCGAAGTAAGTCTTCTCTCCATTTCTTCAAAGTCTCGAAAAGTGCTGACCTATCATGGTCCACTGCTGGCTCCATCGGGTTCGCAAACAATGGGCCAGAGGCCTCGTAGTCTGGAACATCAGCTTGGCCATCACGACGGGACAATGCATCAGCGGCAAGCTGATTACGACCGGGGTGGTACCGGATTAGCACATCAAAGTGTGCGATGTTGTCGGCGAAACGGGCAAGACGGCGACCCAAATGTTTCTGCGACAAGAAGTACTTCAAAGATTCATGGTCGGAACGCACAACAACAGGTGAGCCTTCAACGTAGCTTCGCCATTTCTGCAAACAGTGATCAATCGCAAGCATTTCGCGCTCCTGCGCGGAGTACCGCTGCTCAGTCGGGGTCATACGACGTGATTCAAAAGCAATCGGCCGAAGATCAGACTCCTTGAACGCGAAGCGTGAGCAATCTCCCTCCCCCTTGGGAAAATCATTTTGCGATTGATGGAGGATACCACCAATAGCATGGCCCGAAGCATCAACATCGAGAACGAAGAGACGCCAAGGTGACGGGTAACTGAGAAGAGGAGCAGAGGTAAGTCGCGATTTCAAAGCGACAAAAGCCTGTTCGCAAGGGGCTGACCATTTAATTTCAGCACGCTTCCGGGGATTGCCCTTTAATAAATCGTACATCGGCCCAGCAATCTTCGCAAACCCTTTCATGAAACGGCGGTAGTAGCCAGTAAGATTGAGGAAACCGCGAAGACGAGTAACGTTATCGGGACGTGGCCATTCAGTGATGGCCTGGACTTTCTCTGGATTCGGACGGACACCGGCAATAGAAACAATGTGCCCGAGATAAGTCAACTCGGTTTGAACCCACTGACATTTGTCCTCGTGTAGGATCAGACCCTGGTGATCAAGACGGGTGAGGACCCAGTCGACATCAGCGAGATGCTGCGGAAGGTTCGGTGAGTAGATGATGATGTCATCAAGGTAGACCATTACGCAGCGATCAAGACGCGAACGAAGGAGGTCATTCATAAAGTTCTGGAAAGTCGCAGGTGCATTGCAGAGGCCGAGAGGCATAACACAAAACTGATAGTGGCCGAAACGCGTAGCAAACGCGGTCAGCGGGCGTGATGCAGCACTGAGTGGGATCTGCCAGTAACCGGATCGCAAGTCAAGGGTCGTGAAGAAACGCGCGCCACGAAGATTTTGATAGGAATCATCGATACGAGGAAGAGGGTAAGCATTCCGTACAGTGAAGTTATTAAGCTGACGGAAATCAACACATACCCGCATTTTTCCGTCCTTCTTCCGAATGAGAATCAATGGCGCGGACCACGGAGACTTGCTCGGTTCAATAATTCCATCCTGCAAACCTTCGTCAACAAACTTCCGAACCTCCTCGTGCTCCGGTGGCGATAAAGGACGCCCATGCGCACGAATTGGTCGTGTTCCAGTCACATCGATGACATGTTCACATCGACCTGCCGGTGGTGCACCAAGCTTCGTACGAAATAACCGTGGAAACTTTGCCTTCATACGCGCATGCAAGCGTGCACCAAACGATTTGATCTTCGCTAGTGGGGATTTGTGGCCAGAGGTTTCCTGCGGAGACTCAGTTACAGGTTCTTCAGCTAACGAGTACAACTCCAATGGGGCAGCTACAAGAGAAGCCCAACGGTTTGATGCAGCGGCTCCAGCGATGCGCGGCAGGGGAAGAGGCTGCTGTACAGTCATGGCATGCAGCCGTACAACCTGACAAGTACGTGGATCCGTCAAGAACCAAGAGCGCGTAGCCCAATCAGGCTGCGCATTATACTTCTGCAGCCATTCTTGGCCGATAACCATGTCGAAGCGCAGTGTATCGGTGTCCAAGATGAATGCGCAAATCGGCTTCTGCCAACCCCCAATTTTGATGGCGAAATGAGCCCAAGCTGACGTGGTAGTGGCACCCGCACTGCGAACAGAATGAGCCATCATAGGGTACGTCGTAAGATTAGCCCTTCTGACAACTGACGGCTTGATATAGCAGTAGGCGGCACCAGTATCAATAATGGCCGACGCGAGCTGAAGAGGCTTCGCATTGACACTGGGAGCGAGCTGGACAGCATAGGTGGGCAATAAATGAGGTTCAGGTGCATCATCGGATAGATCAAGCACTGATAACTCCAACGGTTCCTCGCAGCAATCAGTGAACAGCGGGGGCTCGCTTCCCTCGAAGAGGTTCAACTCCTGCGGAGGACGACGTTTCCGAGGTAAGCGACAATTTCGGCTATAATGGCCAAGGCCATTGCAGTTAAAGCAACGTACACGGCTAACCCGATCCTTCGTCTTCAGTGGTGGCGGCTGTTCCATCGCATCAAGGTCCATCGGAACTGGACCAGTAGATGGTGATGAAGACGTAGGAGGAGCCGAAGGTGAAGATGATGCGGCAGACGGAGAAGATGAAGATGATGAAAAAAGATGGTGAGTAAACCCTTTCGTCTTCTTGCAGAAACCGTTTGTGTTGTTCTGATGCTGCGCAGGGACATGATGAAGGTTTGAGAGGCGTTCAATCTCGCGCGCCAAAAAATACATCTCCTCGACATTCTTCGGCTTGTCGCGGCGGATGTCCTTCGCAAACTCGACTGGAAGACGGCTGAGAAAATTCGACAAGCGGTCACCAAATGTCATGTCAACCTCAGGAATCTGAGTCTCGAGGTCGCGGAAAGCGGCAGCATATCGAGTAAGGTTCCCTTTCCAAGGAACAGAACGCAGCTCATTGCGCAGAGTCTCAACACGCAACGGCGTATCGAACTTGTCTGTCAGAGCCTTTCGCAACTCAGCCCAGGTAAAGCCACGCCCGATCTTCTTCTTCTGTGCAACGTACCAACGCTGAGCCTCACCACGGAACAGCATCGGGACTTGTAACGGCCAATCCACCTCAGGAATGTGCTGACCTCGGAGGTAATCCTCGATCAACGTCAGCCAAGCACCAAGATCGTCGCTATCCTTGCCGTGGAAATGTGCGAGGTCGACCTTGAATTGGCCGGGATGCACGGAAACAGGTGGCGGAGGAGGAGCAGGCGGGAGAGTAAAATGTGCCGGAGGGAGATTGAATTGGGCGTTCGCAAAACCGTGTTCGAGGGCAATGCGGATATTGTCGGCAGAAAGGGCTGGGGCCTGAGCGTGAGTAACGCGGTGGTCAAGATCACGAAGGATTGCCTCGAGAGCGTGATAGGTGTCCTCGGGAAGGCCAGCAGCAAGCGCGGCGAGCTGAGCCTGAGGATCCATAGCGGCGCACTTAGTACGAAATAGGAAGGTGTAGTACTACAATAAACGGCGTACCACTGAGTGCGAAGGGGGGGTGAACGTCAACGGGAGAACAGCGACGTCAAGAACAGTGTCGACAGAAAGATATTAGCTGAGGAGAGTGAAGCTCGATCAACGGCGAGAGTCCTGTCTCGAAGTATGAGGCTGCTGCAGGTAACCCCACACTTGATCAAGTGTGGTATCGCCCTATTTCTTACGGAGCTCAGACCGGTGAGACTGCGAAACGGGGCGAGAGAATTCTGGTGTATTCGTCGTTCTCGGCCTACTTAAATACTCGTACAGTACAATCGGTCTGAGTCAGTACAGAGATAAGTGTAGTCAGCGAGAGACAAGCCGAGCCGTGGGATCGATGCTACGTAGAGTCAGAATCTCGATGGGAATAAGGACGAGTCATCATACGTAGCGGGTGACTTGTCAGAGGGTCAGGAAATGACGAAATCGTATGACTAGGAATAGGGGAACTGAGTCGAGAATATGTCGTACAAGATCTCCTCAAAATGAAACGGAGACATACCATTTTCGGAAGGGACACAACAAGACCAAACCGAACACGTCGTCGGGCCCAACAGCAGGGGTATGGCACGTGGCTCGCAACTCGGACAGCACGTTTCCACTCCGGGCGGCAGGACTCGGACCTGCAGCAACTCCTACCAGTGCATCGTCATGCCCGGTAAACCCCTCCCTCCCAACCCATATAGTGGGCCTGAGGAGGCCGCCTACAACACCTGTCGCCATCTGGAAAGACTCCTTGACTGGAGTGAGGTAGTATCTGATGAAGTTCGCACGAGCAAGAGAACGCCACAGTTGTGCGGACGTCTCCTGGGATACATGATGTTAGAAGCACCCACTCCGGAAGGTCGCCTCAATGTGGCGAGGGAAATCCAGACGTGTACATCAGCTTCCGATACTCAGGACCGTTTGGCGGCTCTCGCGCAGTTTTATGAACACCACTTCATTCGTGTCTGTAAGTTGGCTCGTGCTAGTATCGACAATGTTTGGTCCTAATGTGCTGATGATTCTCGGGACTTGTAGTCAAGTCCGCGAAGGGTGCAACACCTACTGTGTCGACACATCCTTCCCGACCATCATTCAATATGACCGCAGAGCAGATAAATCAGTTGCTCGAGGAGGCCCCTCAGGACCATAGGGCTGCCAAATTGCTTGTAAGTTTCATCTTGCATCGGCCGGTGACCCCCCCATCTGACTTAGATATTCCATCTCACTGGTAAGTGTCTCGTTCGCGATAACTATCGATGCGTTGTCACAGGAAGATACGATGCTGCCACGGCAATAAGCAGATACCCGGAGGATGAGACATTCATAGCTCCAGCGCCTATCGCACCCACAGAGCTTGCACATATAATCGCTGAATCGACGAACGCAAATATCCAAGAGGGTAGCACAAAGGTGTGGTTCTACTATCAGGTGCTTCTGTGTCTTCACCTGATAGAACCTACTCTACTCAGCGAAGCTACGCCGCCTCCGCGTGGGCAGTTCTGGATCGTTTTGGCAAGGTCAACGTAGTCGACAACGAATTGAACGGACAAGGAATCCATCGCCTCCCAAATGTGATGACCATGTCTGTGGATGTTCATATATTCTTTGACACGCTTCAAATATGGTTCGAAGAAATTGTGCGTCCCAATCTATATCTTGGTCAACAGTGTGGTTGAACAGTCAAAAAATAGGGCACGGATCGCTATCGGCTGTGCGCCCGTTGGGATAGCATTTTGACTTCGCTCGGTGTAGACCTCAACAATCCTGTGATCCAGCTCACGACTACCAATGCTAGTCTTCCATTACCCAATTCGCATCTTCTTCGACTCCACGCGACATGCGCCAAGGTGGCTCATCTTTCTGGAGCGGGAGAGTATATAGATGCGATCTTCAGAGACATGGAAGAGTTGAAAGTATTGGCCTCTGATGGTGGCTCTGCTCATGTGTTGCAGGATGCGCTACTTCACAGCGGCAGACAAGTCGCTGTTCATTAAGGTGCCCCTGAAATTCTTAGACAGCTCCCTTTATACTCGTTTTCTGCTATTGCCGCCGTATGCATTTTTACCTCAGAATGTACATGTGTCACATTATGTCGTACCAGCTGTGCATAGTATTGTAGGTTTACTGGTAGCCTTGATGAGGTCACGCGAGTTTGCGACATCTCTCCCTATGCAAAAATCATCAGCAGTTCTGCACGGTGAATGGCCAACGTTAACCTCTCGCAAACTGCAGCAGGTAAGAGGTCGGTTCGCTCAAAATAGCTGTGGATATGCATCAGCAAAACTCCCCTCTACTTTTTGTCTTACTGTCTTAATTGCCTTTTTTGCAATTTTTCTTACATTTCTGGAGGACTTGTTTGTTGGGATTCTGGAGGTGTTAGGTCTGGAATACACGTAAGCAAAGGTATTCTAAAACATACACTACATAGATTTTTATTACGTCTTGTTTTGAAAAAGTGCAAGACAGGCCGGTCTTAAAATAATGAGGTCCACCTCTTAATTCAAGACAAGTAAGACGAAAAAGGCCCAAAAAAGGCAGGTAAGACATGTAATGAGGTCAAATGGAGTTTTCCTGATGTGCTCTCTATGCTACGTCTGTTCTAAGTGTACCCCCGAAATACCGAAACAGGCAAGTCTTCAACAACGTGAGCGTTTGACAGGCGTTGGTGGATGCTACTCACAGTATAGAGGACAGGCATCGTGCGCGGTCATGCAGTTAAACCAACGACAAAGAACTTGTGGCCATGACTGAGACAAGTGGCGCTGCTGGCCCATTGGCGTAGAGACACGGTCGACTGAATGTTTAATCAGCATGATAACCTCATCCTCCACTCTCGACCATATCAAGGTCATCTCCAGATGTATTTCAACATGTATCCAACTTACTACACAAGCATACATATTATAGTCTCGCCTTTCCCTCGAAGCTCGCTAGCATAGAGCGTTTCGTGATCCTGAAATAAATATGTAGCACTCAGTCGCACATCACATCCGTCGCAGTCGCTCCTCACTCACCCTCCATGCTCGACCGCAGAAGGGGTCTGCCTTGCGTCCTGGACGCCCGGACGCTGTTCTAGAGGGACGTAGTCGCGTCTTCCCGCACCCACGTAAACCTGTGAGCACCCTCGTTCGATCACAAAACGGATAGCAGGCTGTACGTTCGCATCCAAGGCCAGATTCGGACCTAACTGATTGTGTGCGTCAGGATCGTTCACGTCGACATCAAACTGCACACCCAGATCGGGCGCAGGTGATATAGCGGTACGAGGGGTGGCATAGCTGAGAACGGATTCTTGCGAAGCGCGGGCACTGCCAGACGAGGTGTCGTCTGCAACCGGAGCACTTTGCGACACTCGCAAGTTGAGCGCAGGTTCACCATGATACGGCAGAACTTTAGAATTACATTATCAGACAGTTTACTCTGTGTGACGCAACACGCGAGACGCAGCTTCTCTGCTGTGCTCCAAAATACTATCTTCGGGTTCAACGGCGAGCAATATGTTAGCGCTATCACTCTGGCACAGTTTGGGGGCATACGAGGGATCGTTGGAGAAATCCACAGGCATAGGCGATGAAAGTGAGCGCTGATAGTGCGATTGCACGCCCTCTGCCTCCCCAATACTGTAAGGTCTTGAACCGGGCTGAGGTGTCTGCGAGGGCGAAGGAGGCGATGCTGTAGACAGGGTGCTATTCTTCTTCGGACTCAGCTTAAGTTTTTTCGCAAGTTTCTTGAGTATCCCTGTGGCTCCTAGCTTGACGGACCCGCGCTCATCGTCTGACTGCTTCTCCGAGTTGTATCGAGGCCTGGTTTGGTGATCACGCTGCGTGTACTGAGGTACGTGTTTGCCTTTGCATCCTTCACACCAACAGGGAACTTTCTGCTTCTGATACTCATACTAGATGAACTGTTAGTTAGAACAGCGCAATGAGTCTCGTATACAATAAAACCTTACTCTTTTATCTTCTCTTTTCGATTTCGAGGGCAGGGGCATAGTGGGTGGGTCGTGACGTGGACGCGTAGGACAAGTGCTGAGGAGCAGAAATATATTTTCATGGCAGCCCGAAGCGTCTGCATCACAAGTGCGTGCAGATCAGTCGAAGACGCATGCACAAGAAGAGTCGACATGTGGCTATGAGGTGTCACCCTGAGATATGGCAAATTAGTCATTCCAAGGGTTTTCCCCGCCGAAGGCGGGCCGGAAAACGCCAAGGGCTGTCCGCGAGGACGCCCAAAAATGTACCAAGGGTTTTGGCCACTGCGTAGTTTGAGCACTGCCATTTTCTCTCAAACTTAGGTCCGCGGGTTCACGGTAATGAGTATGACCTTATGTGGCTTGTGGTTGCTCATGACTAGGGGTGTTTTCATGCGGCAAATGCAATATATTTTGAATCAAACGTAGATAGTTGAACTTGAGCGTCATTTCCTAATAAGGGTTCTGGAGATTGATGCGGCTGAGTGCCGAGATCTCGCACTTAAAATGCAATCGCAGAGCTTCAGATCTTCGAAGCAGCACCGCCGCTGCGAAGTAAGCAGTGCGTTGAATATCTGAGTACCGGTGGCGTTCTCTGGTGCCCACTGCGCAGTCCAAACATGAGCAGGGAGTACTGTTGAAGGTATGCGGATTAGCAATCCGGCATCTACGGAAAGGTCCAGGAAAGGTCCGTAGGGTTAGGGTTAGTAAGGACAATGTCTCGAGAATGGTCTGGTAGTTTCTAGTCTTTTAGTTTACAGTATATAAGGAGCTGATCAGGCTCCTAGGTAGCTAACTAATTTCTATCCTCTTCTACTCGTAGCCCGAGGCGCAGTTGCTTACAGGTTATGAGCCCCGCGCTCACACTAGTTCATATCTAATCTCTCCCTCATATCTTATCACTCGATCTTATCACGTGAGATGGCATCGCTAAATCCCCATGTCAAGCTCCCGACCCTCACAGGAGATAATTACTATGACTGGAAATTTGCAGTTTCCATGGTCATGCGGCGCAACGCGTGCTGGGACGTTGTGAGTGGAAAGGTGTTGAAGCCTGCCGAAGACAAGTTGGGAGACTGGCCGAAGAAAGCGGAAGATGGACTCACACTGATCGGGCTCACAGTTGATCCGAGCCAGTACGGCTACATTCGTGATTGCGCGGATGGACCGGCGGCATGGAAAGCGTTGGTGGCGGTCTACGAGAAAAATAGCCGCGCAAACCGAATCGCCCTCAAGCGTCAATTCTACAATTTCGTGCATGATCCCAAGTGTCCGATCCGGGATTACATCAGCGGCATTACCGATTTGGCAGCGAAGTTGAAGGGCATTGGAGTTGCGCTCGAAGACGAAGATGTTACTGATGTCCTTATATTCAATCTACATGAGGACTACTCTAATATCGCGGGCACACTCACAGCCATCAAGGGTGATCTGAAGATAGCAGATGTGACAGGTGCTCTAGTCGACGAAGAAGGACGACGCGGAGGATTGCTTAAAGCGGACAATGAAAAAGAAGTCGAGAATACGGCATTATTCGCGCAGAAAGAATGTGACAATCGAAATTGTAATGCGGAATGTTACAATTGCGGAAAGCATGGTCACATTGCTCATGATTGTCGCTTACCGGGCAGGTACAACGAAAGGAATTCGGCAAAGGCCGAAAAGGCGTCGGTTGCCTTTGATTTGCGAGACGTTGCATTTTGAAGGGTTAGGGTTACCGTGGGAATCAAGAGAAGTACCTTGGGAACGAAGCATAGGCTCTGCTGTCGTGGTCGAAGGATCTGGCGGGATGGTAGCAGGTGGCTCTCTTGTCATGAGCATAGGGCTCCCACAACATATAGCAAGGTACAGGATTTCCAAGTATGGATAGCCGACGAATTTTGGAGATGCCGAATTGAGGGGGTGTGTTGAAGGTATGCGGATTAGCAATCCGGCATCTACGGAAAGGTCCGGGAAAGGTCCGTAGGGTTAGGATTAGTAAGGACAATGTCTCGAGAATGGTCTGGTAGTTTCTAGTCTTTTAGTTTACAGTATATAAGGAGCTGAACAGGCTCCTAGGTAGCTAACTAATTTCTATCCTCTTCTACTCGTAGCCCGAGGCGCAGTTGCTTACAAGTACCCCTATTGAACGATCAAGGTGCATGCCCCTGGCCTCCATCTTCTTGACTCTGCACCATTATCGTGCTCGCACTCGCGCTATACAGCATTCAGCATGCCGTCCGATCTCGACCGTGTTTACCAGGAATCTATTTTTTCATTGGAGTGCCCTGAGAGCCACTCCTTTGCCAATATTTTCTTTAAGCCTGTTGGACTGAACCGATCTTCCTGTTTCATGCACCTCAACCTTCCGCAGACCACCGTGCCTGAAGCCGGCAACATCAAGACTTCTCCGGTCCTTTTTGAGGTGATTGGCCAGATTGCAGTCGATGACTGCTACCTGACCAAATTCGGAGATGAGTGCCTCTTCCCGGAGAATGAGGAGAGTTTGACTGCGTACTCCTGCTGGATCAAAGCACGTCCAGACAAGGTGTCGCTTCTTCACTGGCAGAATGTGATGTGTGGCTTGGAAGCGATTATCGTGGCAATTCCCACTCCCATGGACACTGTCCACACGATTTGTATGGACCCGGAGACCAACTCTGTCAAGATCCAGGTTGGCTGGTGCCCATCGGCTGGACAGGTATGCCGTACTACATTTTAAATATATTCGGCTAATGTTGTCTTGACAATGCAGTCTGTCGAGGACACCTTTCCGCTCTACGACAATTCTGGAGAGCGTTGTGTTCCTTCAAGTGACACTAAGGTGCCTTTTGAGACACCTGTTCATGTTTTATTCCACCTCGAGTGCATCAGGTTCCAGGGAGGGGACTACTTGTATGCACGTCTCCTCGGCATTAGGGAGGTTTGAGTGGAGTTGTTGGTACTGAATAATGAAACAAGTTCTGAACGGGGGTCTCTAGCAGCTGAAACAAAGCCGGCATGCCTCATGTACTTCTAAAGTTTGTATGATTGTATTACAGTAATTTCCTCATACCATTTCTGCCCGATTTGAGTCTTGAGTCACTCAAAATAAAGTCATAACAAAGCAGAAGTGAGCGCGTCCTCGGTGGCATCTTAACTCCTGCCACCTCAGCACAATTGCCTTTGCTCGACATGTCTGCCTTCCAACCGGAAGTCGTGCTCACACAATTAAAGAGCTCACTTCCACCCGCAGAGAAAAAATGGGGCTTTGACAAAACCTGGGCTGACGAGGTATATCATTCTGGCCTGTGCACTGCGCGCACTCATTTACCCCTGAGCACTCAGGTCGAAGGTCGCTGGAAGCAATGGCAGTGGTCCCGCCAATCACAGTCTCAATATACAGAGCAGTTAGAGTGGGAGGCTCACATTGTCGAATATGTCAACACTATTTACAAGCTGATGAAACTGCATGGAAATTCAAAAATGGCAAGAAACATCGGTCTTCGCCACGAGATTCCACTCTACAGTCCTCGGTTTGTTCCTCCAACCTATGCTGATCAGTTCGCACGCAATCCAACACCTGCGATCATTCCTGAGACAGCTTACCTGAAGCCACTCACTGTCATTCATCCATTTTACTTCCCGGAGCTTGCAAAATGTCCACAGTGCGACTCCACAGACATCAAATGGTGTGGGTGGACTCCTACGGGTCATTGTGAGGTTCACGGAATCTTCTGCGAGGAGACTGCAATAGGTTTCCAGCTCTGGTGCCAGTCCTGTGAGAAACGTTATGGTGCACATGGTGAGGGCAATGAAGACGGCCAGTATTGCTTCTCCACGACAAGTGACCTCTTCTGGGAGAAGCGCGAACACTGGGAAATACCTGGTGAGGAACATCTACTATTTTAGTGGTACATACACTGAAGGCAATTACCCGAACCCGACAGCTGCCGTGCCATTTTGTATGAGGTGCTGCGCTATGACACATGACCTATTTGATCTCATCATTGAGCTGCGGCCATCGACGACTGCAGCTGGCCTTGCGGAGAACATCAAACGTGAGTTCAATCACATACACAGTATGACATGAGCTAACCTGACCGATATCTCAGAACTCCATTTGCTCGAGTATCATAGGCAGAAATTGGCTTACCTTTGAAGTGTTGAGGTGCAGCAAGACAACAAGCAGAGTTTAGTTCCTCCCGAGCCTCTGCGTGTATTCTCGAAGCCGAAGACTACCAGTGGCTACAGTGACCAATGCATCACAAATGACCTAATCACTGATATTTTCAACAAATTCAGCGACAAGACCTGACAAATTGAATCAGAGAATTACCTTTGGACATTGAGTGGTGGGTGATGATGGTGTGTGGCCACTGTCACGGCTTAACCATCTGCAATCCTTTAGGGACTTGCATCTCTCTCGACAACACATTTCATACCGCGAGCAAGGCGACGGTCATGGATGGGAAGAAAAACAAGATGAAAGCATTCAAGGGAGGTATAGTGAGTGTGATGAATGAGGATAATGAAATTATTTCCTGGGTGCATACCAACATCACTCGACAGACCAATCATCTCACGTCTTGCCAAATATAGCGCTTTTGTCAGACGCAACAAGGTCTCGAGATCAAAGAAGTTCTCAGAGGCCTGAAGACACGCCTTGGGCTGCTCGGTGAACCAGATCCTGCGATGGCCGTTGTCGACAACTGTTGCCATGTCACGAAGTTTATCAAATGTCCATTTCCTGACATCAGCATTGTCTTGGACGTCTGGCACTTTGTGAGGTGGTAAGGCCATTTGCTCACCTTTAAAATAAGCCACTAATGCGAAAACAACAATCACCAGATACCTTATATGTATTCTCAATGGGACAAAAAATCCGAAGTACAGTGCCGTTGCAAGGGACATTGTCGATTCCGTTCTGAAGACCAGAGCTGACAAAGATAACCTGGCTGTGTATTGGAGTCAGCGCGAACAGGAGAAGAGACTGGTTGTAGCATATGAGAAGTGGTTGAACAAAGGAGGAGTATGGAGCATGGCGGCCTCTAAGGTGAGCAGACTACACTGCAACATATTTGTTCTGCTACTTACCACACTGTCCCAGGCTCATGAAGAGCAGCTAATGCACGTGCGGAAGGGCTGCCTAGCGTGCATTCGCCAGGATGTGGCATCAGATGGAAGTCGTATCGAGGGGTCCCATAAGGGCTGGAACGGGCTCCAACGCTCGCACGCAAGTGGCGTGAAAGTTCTTAGTGCCCTCTGCCATGATTTTGTCCTCTGCTGCAATATCTGCATCGGGATCACCTTTGAACAGCCCTCAGAATTTCTGAAGTCGACATTTGGCTCACATTACATTGGGTTAGTTGGTGCTGTGGCGAAGCTGTGGAACTCACTCCTCCCGCCCGAATCTGGCAGTCGCAAGCATTTTCGTGCATTGCCTGAGCTCAAGTCTGTTTCCAGTGGCGAAAACTTCAGTCTCGTTAGCGCAAAATCTGTCACTAATTATCAGAATCTGGTCAAGATCAAGGAGGAGCCTCGTGAAGAGCTATTTGAACTCTCATCTGAGGATCGCACAGAGGTTGACGCCATGCTTCGCGATCTTGACATCGACCCTATGTTGTTGTTTCAGCCTGCAGGACTGCCGCAGGCAACAGATGCTGCAAGCAGATCACAGCTTATCCTCCCCCGCAGTGGCAATGTAATTCAGTCGGCGATGCTCACCGGAGAATCCCTACTCAAAAATCGGCTTAACTTGGTGCCCAGCAGTGCCGCATGTGCCGATGCCGACGTGATGCCATCAGCACAGGATGAACCAGCGGTTGTGATTGCAGGTCCTTCAACAAGTGAGAAGCAAGCAGGCGAGGTTGTGATAGTAGAAACGGGCACGAAGGTGGGAAGCAATTCACTTCACAACACAACATGCTCATCTCAGCGACTCCACGCACTGCAAGGAGCCAGTTCGAGGTCCGAGGATGCAGTCAGCCCCTCGAGTTCAGACCTGACTCAAGGTGCCAGAAATCGTGGGTGTGCCTCCCGCAGTGGGCTTGAACTCCTTAAGTTCACCATGCCCGCACAGACCATCCCATCGAAGCGGAGAGCAGAACCAGAAGCTACCAGCTCCGCTTCTGAGGGCCATCACATGGATGGGAGTGACGGTGCTCCTTCAAGGCCTGAAGGGCATCGCAAGAAGGCAAGAACAGTCACACCTGGGCTGGCAGCTGGCTTGACGGTGAGTGTACTCGAGCCATTGGCTGCAGATCACCACAGTGGCTGATATGATACTTTTTCTGATGTATGACAGCTTGCCAAAGAAGTATCAACAGTCTCATCCACTGCATGCATCACCGACTCGGACATTATGATCAGCACCGCACTCCCGCCAAGTTCAAAATCCTCTCATGGGCAGCAAGTAGTACCTGACCCTAATGTTCCCCACTCGAGGGTCCTTTCCACTAGCACCTTGGTCAGCTTCTTCAATATGGCACATCCCGCTGCAGCATCTGCATCAGCGAAGTCTCAGGAGCTCTTGCCGATGAGCAATCTGCCTCTTCCCACCATCTCTGGTCTCACACCATCTCAGCGGCTTTTTTCCTTGTCAACCAGCATGAACATCAAGTCATTGTCTATCAGCAGCAATGATGAGTTTTATCTGTTCATGGACATGCGCGCAGAGAAGAAGTGGGCATCATTTAGCATGACCCCATGCAAGTGGGTCATCGTGGCAAGCGAGTACAATGCCCGACTCGAGTCCTTCCATCGATCGAGGGGACAGGCGCAGCTCATGGTAAGAAAGGCACCGCGTGCGCTTATGGAAAAGCTCGGTGAGTTGGAGCCCAAGATTATTGCTCGCATTGTAGGCAATCACTACACATGTTGAGTGTTTCCCCTTACTGTCCGTGTTCACGGAGACTCACCGACTATCTCCTCTCAGCCAAGCAATCTAACACAGATGACTTCTGGCAGAAGCACTGTGATGCAGTGCCAGGACTGATCAAGAATGGAAAGGGTGAATCGAAGACATCTGCAGTAAGCACCAAGTTTGTTGGCATATCCGTGAGGTCTCACTCGTCCTGCAGCGCAAGACGTGCATCTGCTCGCGGTGCAAGACGATCATGTGGCCTGGTCCCGAGGGCATGGGTAATAACCACAAAAAGTCCTATTGTTCGGATGGTGTGATGCAGAAGCCAAGGACAATCACGAAGATGGTCGGCGGCTTGCTGCAGGATGTTACTAAGCACCCTCCGGACTGGCCTCAGCTGTGGGGAATTTTTACCAATGGCACTCACTTCCATCCGGGGCCATTCCTTGCCACCATCCATGAGGTTTATGACTGCGTCATAGTGAAGGGCGGTACCGGTGAAGATCGTGCAATGGAATACAGCGCCTTTGCGGCACTCCTCTCGAAGCGCACTGTTGTCTCTAATGATGGTGCTGTTTTTTTCGAACTGTTCAGTTCCCTCGAGGTGACATCAGCACGCGAGTTTGCCGATGCCATCGTTGAGCACGATGGGATCAAATTCTTTCGCATTGACAGCCTCCACAGCACCCCTGAGAATGCAAACAGTGATGGCAGCAATGTCGGTGAGGACACCGTCATTGCAGTTGTGTGAGCGGTGCACGGCAGGAATTCTCTCATTTGGGGCCTCACTTTCTGGGTGCAGTGGGCGGCGAATATTCGGCTTACAGTTGTTCTCCCTAGCTTGAGCTCGTACCGTAATGTTTGATTTATTGTACTTATCTTGTTGAATAAACTACTCGTGCGCGTGAGTCCTCGACACGCTCGATGTCTGTGGGGTGCAGATTTGACTCGGGATTTGAGTCGGTGGATCACATGATGCCTCTGATTCATTTGGTCCTGTCACTTAGGGTTAGGGTCATATTGGTCGATTGGTCGGTTTGGTCCTTGGACCAAAGTCAGACCAAAATTCATCCCCCCTTGGTATGGCGGAGTAGCCTGAGATATGCTCCCGTGGAGATCACGCGATGTGTGTCTGCCCACGCCTACACTCAGACATGACGTACGTTCATCTCAACGAACGACTCATAGTTCATGCACATGGTACATGTGTTTACAGGTACAGTTATCTACCGGTCCTTGAGACACCCAAATCTTCTTAAATCTGGCAAACATTCGCCCGTTCTCTAATCTTAGATCAGAGTGAAGATCCTGAATTCTACATACTTCTTCTTACATTATCATAAATTTTAAGCTCTATCCACCAAGTGTACATCTGCCTTGAGTGGAATCAGTTGCAAAACTCGTTATCCTTGAGACAGTGTGACACCTCATCAATCATTGCCTGATTTGGAATGATTTGGCTGACAAATTCCTTTTTAGGGATATGATGTGACACCTGGCGCCGCGGTGAGCCGTCTTCAACCTGTCTCAAGGATGCTCTAAAGTGCATTTATATGCTCCTCTCTAGCTTGATCCCCTTGCAATGCATTTAGGCATCAAGTTGAATGTTATTCAGTAGACTTGTGAAGGTTTTTGATTTTTGTGAGCCCAGAGGAGCTCAGGACCTTGCACAAGAAATTTGGGCTTTGAGTCATTTTTACATCTTTCCAGCTCTCAGAAATCATCTAAGCAAATCTAGTCTCCAATATTTTTGTAGGAGTATGTCACATAGTACTAATACATGTACAAAAAAACTCCAAGGCAAAACGTGAAAAAGTGAGTGAGAAAAAGCCAAGTGTCTCAAGGAGTGGTAGTGTCTCAAGGACCGGTAGATGACTGTATGTATGTGAAGCTTGTACTTTGTAGATACTTCATTGCCGGCAAAATATATCTCTGAGCTCAGTGTATACAGACACCACGTGGTTTCCACACATATCGACAAACTCGGTGGACTAAGCCCTTGAACGCAGTGCATGTTTCAGTCGGAAATACGTTGTTCGTCCACCACTATGCTCCAGCAACCAATGCCATCCCGGTCTTTATGAAAGTGCAGCTTGAAGCTAAATTTTGTCACTATTATACGCTCGCAGATCTCATTGTCTACGATGGAAGTATCAAACGTTCGCGCCTGTTGTCTCACGCTTGCGCATTCACTCCGTGCTCAGTTCCCTTACCTCCGTCCCCCGAATCTGGCGGTACATATTCGTGCTTACGTCGTGGGTGTACCGCTCCGCTGAGAACCGTAGGCCGCCGAGTCGAACCAAACGGAAGCAAACCGATCAAGAGAGAGCAGAGCCGATCGTTCAACTAAGTTTCTGCTTTAGGAAATACGCGTGGTCGCCGTCTACCGCGACGAGCTCATCGTCTTGTGAGACGAGCTCGATGCCTCCCAAGAGCTCCGCTCCGTCCGAGACCCCTACGCGCTACTCGTTCTCGACGGCGGCTGGGACGTCGTCCAGCAACAAGCCTCGTGCGTATTCTAATGCGTCGCTAGCTAGCGATTTGAGCGGCGTTACCACTGTCGTGCCCGTTAAGCGCAACGGGACCATCATCGAGCGGGACGACGACACGCACTCGAGGTCGGTGAATGTGACGCCCGTGCCCCTCCCATCGCTCGGTCCCAAAAAACTGGTCAGCGCGATACCAGGTCTGTTTTCATCTCGTCGAATCTCCATTCCACTACCGCCGACGTCGTTCGTCGATCCGAGTATGTCGACGCCCAGCGTCACGTCCTCGGCGATGAAGTCGAGAAACGCGCCTTCATCCGTTAGGCAAAACAGCTCGCCCACCGTGGCAAAGCCCGTGCCTTCCGTGGCTGCCTCGCGCCGGACGGTGCGCTCTACGTCCGTGTCCCTCTTCGCTTCTGATTCAGGGAATTCTGTGAAACTACCACCACCTGCAACGCCGAGGTCGCGAGTGATGTCCACGCCGCGCATGACTCCCTCATACTCAAAATCTAGCTCCATCGCACCCTTGAGTATTCTCTCATCGCCAGACGTTTCCAAGACACAGGTGAGGACGCCGCCCCAAAAATCAACGCCGCGACGTCAGAGGACACCGAGCGGAAAGCCCTCGCCGCGGACGCCAGCCAAGAACGCGTCTCCTTCTCCATTTCCCAAGAAGCTATCGGACGTCGACACTTCGATCACGTCGCTAAAGCTGACGGTGAACGGCGAGGAAGACGGGCCGTTCTCGATATGGGACGGGGACGACATGACGCTGGACATGGTTACGGACGTGAACGAAGGCGAGGTGGACGAGGAGGTGCGCGGTCTGGAGCCTGTGGCATGATCAATGCTGACTGCGTGTGCCGCAGATGGAACGCGCGCTTCAGGAAGTCAATAACGTGCACTCTCGCAAGCTGCTGCACTACAAACGGCTGCTGGAGCGCGCACAGGCCTCTACTGCTGCGCAGCTGCATGCGCTTCAGGCGGAGGTTCGCATCCTACGCGAGAATGAACGTGAACATCAGGGCAGCGGCATGGTCGCGTTCCCCGCAGAGGATAGTGATGGATACTGCACTTGCGGCGGAAAGAGACGGAAGGAGTACTGGAGCGGGTATCGCGGCGGCGAAGACGACGGTATACGCGGCGAGGTAGACCTCGCGACAGCACTCAGGGGGGATGGGAGCGGGAGGTTCAATGAGATCGAGGTGAGACGGGCTGTGAGAGGACTTGGAAGGGATGATCGAATGCGATTGTAAGTCTGCTCATCCTTTGGCATTCCCTTTGCTGACATGGATGGAGGATAGAATCAGCATTATCTTGGATTCGTGCATGCCAGGCGACATCCGCCTGCAGATCCTGCTTTTGGAAAAATATGCTAAGTCGACGTTCGACATCGTCGGGAACCTCGCCCAGGACCTTGTGTTCAAGGTGTTCAAATGGCTCAGCGTGAAGGAGCTCCTCGGCATCGAGCCTGTGCGTCCTCTGTAATACGCGTATGATGACAATTTCACTCACCTTACCGCAGGTCTCGAAGAAATGGCAAGATATGGTGCAATCGCCGGCACTCTGGCGTTTCCACTGCTTGAGGATCACAGCGACAGATCCCTTGCCCTTGCGTCCACCGTCGAAGCCAGAAGGCTGGCAACCTCTGTACCGGTCACTTCATCACAGAGAGTCCAACTTCCGGAATGCACTGCCGCAGAGCGTGCGGTTCTTGAACGGTCACACGAACTATTGCACCACCTTGCTGCTGCGCGGTAAGCGAACCAATGGCAGCCGAGAAAATACAATTGACGATCGCGTTCTCAGGCAAGCGACTCATCAGTGGGTCGTACGACGAGACAATCCGATTCTGGGATATCGAGACCGGCGAAATGAAGAAGTGCTTGCAGGTCAAGAAGCCGGTCAGCTGTGTAGACTTCCTAGCAGAGGAAGGTGTATATGCTTCCGCTGCTTGATTTGCAGGAATTAATGCTGATGTTGGGTACTTTCCGTTGCCAGAGGTCTTCGTCGTAGGATTCCACGACGTCGGGTAAAGCACGCTCACTTTGTTCAGACAATAATATGCTCACGGTGGAACTTCCAGACGTGTCCATCTCTTCTCGTCCTTGACTTTCACACCTCTCCAACAGCTCGCAGGTCATCTGAATGGCATTCGCGCGGTTGCCCTTTCTTCGAAGAATTTGGTCTCGGCTGGCGCTGACAAGGCGCTTGTATGCTGGGACTGGCGTGCAGGCACAAAGATCGTGCGATTCGGCCAGCAGACGACAGTGAACATTGGTGTGCAGATTATTGGCGGTGGACAAAACCAAGAGGAAGGCGAACGGGTTGTCGGTGTGACTATTGATGGCATCGTTCGAGTCTTCTCAATCAGTAGGTGTTCTGGCTCCTAATTTGTTTCGCTTGTCATCGTTATGATTTTGCCTGATTTACTGATATCGTTGTCCGTTCAGAACGGCGCGAGATGATCTCACAATTTAAGCTTGCGGAGCTGGGTGGAAGTGACCCTGTTCTGAGTGCAAAATTGTTGCAAGTCGGAAAGGCTCCTGATAACATGCTTCAGTGAGTATTTCGGTAGCCTATTAATTGCTCGATCCTCATCGCTATATCGAGATGGTTTGCTGCAAAGGGCACACAGATGACGGTGAGTGCACCACGATGTTTACATTTCTGCAAAACTGAGACCCGAATAATAGTGCGCAACAAGATCTGTTATCATGCATCTACAATGGACAGAGGAAGACGAACCTCCCGCCGATCTCGTACGACCACACTCTCCCTCAACTTCAGGCACACTGAGCCCGCCGGTCCCGCGCTCCATTACTGCCTCTTCATTCGCACGTTCCACGTCTTCGTTGGCGGTGCCGAAACGTCGAAGTACGCTCTCGCCGTCCACGTCCTCGAGAACTGTCTTCGCATCCTCGACTTCTACCAGTATGAAGGGTCGATTGTCGTTGAATACTAGTAATTCCACAGGCCCTCCAATGAGTCCGATCAATATATCCTCACGCACCACAACTCCGATCTCGACTTCAGGGTCGCCATTCGCCGTTCGCTTCGGCCGCGCTGCTGTGCTCACGGCACCTCCGAAGTTGGTCGGTATCGTGGATACCCCAGACGTAGCATTAGGCGCTGTCGATCCCAGGAAGAGACGAGTGGTCACTGCGACGCGCTTCAGCACAAGACTAGGCGCGAATCGCACTGTAAGTGGTTGAGTTGCGTAAAAATATATTGCGTATGCCTCATTACCTCTCTGGCAGATCTTCATGTCGACGCATCGTGACAAAGATGAAACTAAGCGTGCGACTGATGATGATAATGAAGATGATCAAGTAGATGGCGGGCGCACGCCGTCTCCTGTGGTGGACCTTGACACTGATATCCTGCCACTGACAGGTGCATGGAGCGCGTTAGCAGAAGGAGATGCTATGGGATCTGCAGGCATGAAGGGTCTGCTTGGTCAGCTGCCAGCGAAGTTCCAGGGTTTGGCCACACCGGAAAAGAATCCGATGTCCATGCAATTGAGCCACGAGGAGGTAGTGGTTGGTTGTGCAGATGGCACCATTTAGTGAGTTCCCATCGCTATTCCTGGAGGCCAGTGAGACTGAGTATTGTCTAGTGTGATGAACTTCGTTGGTTACGAGTATCAGAAGAAGAGGGAGACGGTCGTCAGCGACTCGCTGGAAAGCGCGGAGGATGAAGAATACTGAGTCGACATTTTGGATTTGCTCAACGATATGGACGTTAGTCAACAGCCGCTCGTTTCGTCGTTATCATGCTCTGGTTTTTGCACTATGGGATTGTATTCTCTAATTCAACTCTCCTCGTCTTCTAATATATATGCGTCCGATGTCGCTGTATCGCTGGCCCAGTACCAGCTGCAGACGTCCCATTCCTTTCATTTATTGACATTGCCATTAACAAAAGAAAAGCTTGTGGATCAGCACCTAAGAAGCCAAGGATGCCAGTCGCAATTGTCGGAACGTTACACGGGATCCCACATGAGATCGTTTAGCATGACCCCTACGTCTCGTGAAAGCCGTAGTGCGACCTCGTACGAGATCCCACACTTGAAAGTGGGAGCCATATCAAGCTTATCTGGAGGAGACGTGCGCAGAAGCAGGCGCATCGACGCCAACTCCATGATCTGTTTCACATCGTCATTTTGGGGCGCCTTAGCAAGGACTGGAACAGGAGAGACTGACCTCGGCATAGAGCGCAACTCGGGAGATCTCCATATCAGTGTACTCTCCTGGTAGACTGTACTGCGGTGCAGGTGGGCGCATCTCCACGTCGTGTTCCTCTAGCAGTACACCAAGGATTGCCAGCAACCTATCCAACGGGAATGTAGTCGGGCCCAACAGCCTCTGTGGGATCTGCAATCACAATGTCAGAACACTCCACATTTCAGACCACGACAGGGCACACCTTCACACTCCCGCCAGTTGTCCCAGGCTTTACCTTCCTTGGACTGCCACCTTTCCGCCGCCGCCGCTTTGTCCGCTCGTCGGGGCCCCGGCCAAACATCCGTATGTCACTCTTCGGAGGGTTCGTACTAGCCAGGAACGCAGCAACGAGCACGAACTTGGCAAGCCGAGGTAGGTCGCCCAGTCCTTCACCAGTATCCTCGCTCGCAATGCTGAGGACGGGCATGGCAGAGGATGCTTGCCCTGGTGGAAGAGCGAGAATGTTCGCAGGAGCCGCGTGCATGCGCACCCAGGCTGCGGCGCTCGTTAGGCGTGGGTAGAGAGCTTCTAGAGCTGTGGTGAAGGAGGGAGTGAAGAGGCGTATAAGTCGAATGCGCGTGTCCTCCGTCGGCGGACCGAGCTCGGGTTCTTCTAGTGGCGCATCGTCCATGCGTTCGTCCTCGCTGTCTGGAATTTCAACGTCTTCATCGTCCTCGCCGCGATGATTTCCATTCATGCGTGTGGCACGATGCAAACGGAACTCTTGTACCTTGCGCCGGTGTTCATCGAGTACAGGCTTGACGAATCCGGGCCAGAACGCCGCGGCGATGTATGCAAGCTCGTGAGGGTCGTCCGTGAACGGCGAGCAAATACTATAGAGAGTTGCTATAAAGTGGATATAGAGCGGGCGAAGCGAGAGATTATAGGTGTCTGCATCTACTAGACTGGAATCTGGTGGAGTCGGCGAGGAAGGAAATGACGAGGCGAGGATGTCCAAAGTAGCTGGTATGGAAGTGAGACCGAGAATAGAACTCGCTTCGCGGTAAGACGTACCCTGTTTGGATAGCGCTGGTACATCCATGTAGTAGGGCTCGGGTGAAGCACCAAGCGGAGGTCGTAGATCTTCCCATCTGACATGGGACAGAAGGATAGTGACGACATCAACCCGAGCCTGTACAGCAAGATAGGAGTTGTTGAGTACAGAATACGTACGCGTGTAGGATGCAGAACCAGAAGATGGAAGGGGAAAAAGGCACGATGAAAGTACAAGGCAACGGTTACTCCGCGGGTCAGCGTGAGAGTATGACTGGCGTACGGAACAGCAGAACGAACAAAATTGATGATTGTGGAAAGCATGGCACTGATGTGAGGGCATATTGAGCATGGATGGCCCGTAAAGGTCAACGACCCATATTCAGGCCATACTCATATACCCGAGATAGCTATCCGCTGAGGTGATATCACTTACCAGCTCAGCCAAGCGCGTAAGTGGCACCAGGAGGTCTGGAAGGTTTTCCTTGAGTCGTTCTGCCCGCTCGACAAAGAGGACTAGCCTGCACTTCTGTTGAATGCCTAAGGGTGCTTCCTTCGCCTTACCTTTGCCTTTTCGCGTTGATTGTGGCGATGGCCCGCCAGCCTCCGACTCCAACTGCGAGTGGACGGCCATGAGGCCGTGGAGAAAAGTATCTAAATTCTCGTTCCACCGTTGACCTTCACGGTCAGCGCCGGACCAGTTGGCCGAACCGTCTTCCCAGCTGGGCTGCCAGCATGCAACGGCGTTCAGGACGGTATCGTAAAACAGACGGGGCGTAAAGCAGGACACTGCGTTCACAAACGCATACGTCAGCTTTACAGGATGCTTCGATGTAGATGCAGTGTCGGAAAGAGTCGATAGGACAGAGCGTACGGCAGAAGAGGTTATTTTAGGTGCTTCAGGATCATAGATGAATATGAACGGCGGTGGGCAGATATTGAGTAAAGTCGACAACGACAACGCAATATCCTCATGCAAAGAATGTGTAAAACCGTTCATAGTTCTACTGTCAAGATTCCGCGATGTGAGTAATTCACGATTGACCGTGACGTTCGGCCACTCACCTTTCTACCAGTGCTGCTACTCTAAGTTGACGATGTATACCGGCCGAACACAGCTCGTATAGTCTAAGGAATCACACGAAATACAGAGACTTCAGGCCGGTTGTAGTGCCGTTCAGTGGAAGGCGACGAAGTTGCCAACGCGTCCGCGATCCTGCGCGAATGTACATGGTCACGTGCACGTTCCTCAGTCCGTTTCCGAGTCCACTTGCAGTGACACTTCAGATTACTCTTACCCCCGTGTGCATCCCAATCTGTGGTTCACATGCACATGTAATGCTTCTGCAACAAGGAATAGCCCGATAGTGTATGCTTCTTCCTGGAATATGATCAGGATTCGCAAGTTCAATAAATGTTTCAGAAAGCCAAGCTTCAACCTGTGCGTTCTATTATTGACCAACACACTCAATGATTTTTATTTGGAACAGATTGTGCACTTGAGAATAGTTCCTTCTTCGTATACCGTATGCCTGATAGGCGACACTAGACCGATGGTAAAGGGAATTCTTCCGAAGACTGCTTGTACCGTGTTGTACGTACTGCCAGATCCAGAACGTATTGCACGAGAATTGACAGTTTGGTGATTGGGTTTGAGTTCATCTTCCGCAATCGGCAAATTTGACTCTCTGGCTGCCTTATGCGCGTGCATGCAGCGAGGCGATAAAAAGTGCTCCTCTGCCGCGGACGCGCTTTTTATCCTCCTTCCACTCGCATAGCTATGTCACATCCAGTCAACTGGCCTAAGTCTACTTTCTACTACCCAGTCGGAAATACAGCACCTGTCTGTCTCACCCAGTGTCTATCTCCAGAAGAGCCTGCAAATGTTCTGCTGTTAGGCTGTGGTGATCCGCGCAGTATCCTCGACACGCTTCATGGTGGTAGCAAAATTCCAGGTAGTGAGTTGTTGATCTGCTTCGTCGTCACTTCAACCTTTAACCTTCTCTACCGCTGTGAAGCTCCGCGCAAACTAGACTTCACGTGCTGTGATTTCGAACCCGCTGTACTCGGTAAATGATGCTGCTCCAGCAGGATCGCTTTCTGACATTATCCTGGTATAGCGAGGAATGTTCTTCTATTCTCGTTGGTCGTCGACAGTCGTCCCATGGATCTCGTCTGGAATATCTTCTATCATTTCAAGATTGACGATGACTCCTTGGCTTTACTCATGTCACAATGCGAAAAGCTCGTTGATATGTCCACCGACCTTGAAGCTTGGCTCACTTCCTCTTATTCTCGCTTTTTGCGGGTGTGCGATCGCCGTACACTTTCACAGCTTAATCGTCAATGGAAAGTTTATGTTACTGCCAAGGACTTCTCAAGAAGCAAGAACAGCACTTTGTGGTCTACTTACTCACGCCTCTACAACGATCGATTTGGTACGGATGAGACCCCCACTCTCAATTTCAGCGTCGCTCGATCCGTTGGCCCGTTCTGGGCAGATGCGGTGTTCATCCTGGGGAAACATTTCCAACACTTCTGGAAGACTGGAACACTTTATACAGAACCCACCGTCATTGCTTCGGCAAGCAATATCAATCCGACTTTCATCTACTCGATGGCTGGGGAAGGATGCGGTGTTCACTACGGGACCTATCCTCTGCAATGTTTCCATTTGGCACCTGTATTTTGCGCATCGCGGACTGAAGCCGTTGAAGTTAGTGACTTCATCTCCTGCGCCAAGTTACAATTCCAGTGCTGGTGTGATTCCTTCAGGGAAGCCGTTTCACCAAATTCAAGGGATGTCGTTACCATCAGATTCTTCGCAGGAGATGCACTTGCACTGTGCCATACCCTTTCCCATTGTCATCTCACGTCCTCTATTTCCGCTTCCCTGCATGTTTCTGCGTGGGCAGGAGATGAGCTCGTGCTTGACGGTGGAGACTACGATACGAAGTCGGCATTTGCAGCACCTACCACATTCAATGTTGTCGACACGTCCAACATTATTGACCATGTCGGGTTGTTGAATGTTCTAATTGCTGTGGTACCTGTCCTCGCCTATGGACCATCATCCACGCTCTATACTGAGGGTCTTCAGGTCAAGCCTGGAAAAGACGCAGCAACAATGTTTGTCGACCGCCTCTGCGCCGATATTCCGGCGATCGCACTAATTTTTGGCCTCACACCCACTGCTTATGTCTCAAGGTTCAACACTCATTCGAATGCCCATGAACTCATGTTCTCACACGCAGTCGCCAATCCGCATTATCACGAGCGAGTTGCATGGAGGATCCCAAATCTCTGTGATTCAGCGGCACTTAGCAAAGACGTGGTCCATCCTTCATTCGAACACTCTGCCCTTGCGAGACTCCTGTATGACATCTACTACCGCATGTTTCAGCACGAGGACATTGTGCGGAACCTCCAGAACCTGACAATCACCAATTCCGACATACACTACCATAGAAGCACCTTCGCAGCCCTCCTAGGCTTGGTGAAATCGCGAGTTTACACGGACTGGGATGCTGTCATGGTCCATATATTCGATATGCTTCATACGGACCACAGACTGATCTTAGGCTCCAATAACTATCAAGAGCTTTGTTGCCAGCTTCATATTCGGGGGATCTACAGTGTCGACACTATGAGACCCATGCAGACTGTCGTCGACATCGATCGGTCAAGTGGCATCTTCAAAGGGTGGAGCAGCGTACCACCTGTGGTGTGTCTCGTTTTGGTCGTCCCGAGGTCTAAACTCCAGATTTTTGAGAAGAGGACCAGGGAGAAAGTTGGATCTCCCATACTGCAGGTGGAGGTCAGAGGCCAGGCGTACCACAACGTCTTTTCGGCGATACAGGTGACACTCGGCAGTGTTTCTCTTCAGGGCAGTGGGAGCAATGCCCGCGCTGTTCTGACGGAAGACATAGCCGGATGGTCTGGTTTGTCGCCTCTGGTCGTCTCTGTGTGGATGCCGGCATACAACCTCGCCTGCGAACAGTCTTCCCCAAAGATCAGCCTTGGCATTCACTCGACACCCGCTACCACGATGGCGTTCAAGGATGAGCTTGGACTGCGGATGACTCTATTCACCACCGAGCTTACAGACTCGAACTTCGTGCACATCGTTTCTGAACGTCCTAATCGTCCCCGCGAGCTGGCATGCCTACGAGCCTCTGTCGAGTCGCCCGTAAAACCGATCCAGCGAGTTGATGTAGCCCTGGATGAAATCTCGGTTGCCACTTTGTCAGCGAAATGGGACGTTGCGCATCTCCCAAACCTTGACACTCGCGCAGAAGTGAAGCACGAGCAGGTATCTTCTTGTTCGCTGAAGCTGAGATGGGACAACGCCGAGAACAGTTTGGTGTATCCCTTCCCTATTGACGGCTCACAAGCGAAGCTTCGGGTGGCCCGCAAGTCCGGTTGGGTTGAGGTGAGTCATCAACTTGTGCTCGAGCTTGATGTATCGGACATGGTGGCTGAACGAGATGGATGCTGCAGGCGATCGTGCCGGTATCCCGGCCTCTCAAAGGCAGTTTCTGCACGAAGAACTTCTCTCCGATCATAACCCCGAACGGACCACCGATTCTTTGGAACATTCATCGCGTCAACTTGGACCACCTTCCTGTTATTGATGTTGCCCAAGTGCAATTGTCTTCTAGGCTCAATTCTCATTTTGCAATGGCGTTTTCTGACCGCGAGGCTAGCCTTCGGCAACAATTTGCATCACTTTCCACACCTCCGCCAGATCTTCTGTTGCAAGTAAAAGACACTATCCAATGCCTCTTGTCTCGGACCATGAAGAAGAATGCAAGGCACATGTTTGCTCTCGCAGATCCTGCGCGCGGTGGAATATACACTATCATATTCGTTAACGACGTCCGACTCGATCTGCCCTCCCATACCGTCGTAGCAGATGTGTGCATTCTACCCCTCACCACGGGTCGGGTTAATAACCTCGGTCAGATCATGCACTCTCTTGCCGCCAATGGCAAGATGATAAAAATCAACACAACTGGCGATGAGGTGTCAGCCTGGAAACACTTACTCCCTGCATTCGTCGAGCGTTGCCGAACATGGAGTCACAAGCCTACATGCGAGTACCTCCGGGCAGGTACCATTCCTCTGACAGTCGAATTCGACAAGAATCCGATATGCGGGTGTGGAGAAGGCATCTCCTTGGGAGCGCTATCGAAGGTGTCACAATGGAAGAGGCTCGCCCCATATATGACGCGGGCCGCATTCTCGCAGTTTTTTGCGGTCTCGTTCATCGAAAGTGTTGGAAGCGCTTTAAAATCCATACGGCAAATTTTGAAGGCCGACACAGATGTTGCCAAGGTCTGCTCGCAATGTGGAAAATCAGGAGAATTGTTTGACTGTAGTCGTTGCAAGAAGGTGAGGTATTGCGGAGAGTCTTGCCAGAAAGCGGCTTGGAAGCAGCACAAACTGGTGTGCAAGGCGAGAGCGCCCTGAAGTCTGTAATATATGTACGATCAGCATTGCAAACGCAGTTTGTGTGAACTCATCTGCCGCCTGCGTGAGACACATCCAAAAAAAATTTCTCTGCAAAGTAACAACATTTCAGTCCATACCATTGCTGACGAAAAGGATATCATGTACAGGCCATATATATGTACCAAATGGTGTGTCAAGCTGCTCAAGCACCTCGCAAAAACTTGGGAGATCCCGTCGTGATATGTCACGCGTCACGCGAGATCAAATGTCTTGCTAGGTTTGGAAAGCGTAGTATTGCCACCGAGACTCGGTCACAAGCTCAGAGAAGAGACGCGTAGGGTGCTCCCTTCCATCCCACTCAGAGGATCCTGTAGTCCAATACAGTACACTATCTCATAATACATAACTTTGTAATGCATAATACCTCATAGTGCATAGGCCTTGGGCGGTACAAAGCTGCCCTTCACAGCCAAAATCCAGTGTCATGATGCATAAAATCTCACAATGCGTAGGAAAATCCGTGCGCCAATGCTATGTGTTATGTAGTGTTACGTTCAACTCGGTAACTCAAATCACCTCACCTGTCGAGTTAGCCAACCCGCACCGACTCGAGAGTCGACGCCACCGAGTTGATACGAGATGGACCAGTCCTGGCTTCTGATTGGCCCAGAGCCTTAACCCACTCCAACTCACTCCACCGAGTTATGGCGAGTTCGTCCGACTCAACTCAACTCGCGGCAACAATAACGTTATATGAGATAGTGTATTCTTCCGGGATGAGAAATCCAACGTGACGCGTGACGTGTAACGGATGACCCTACTGTGACAGAAGACGTCGTGACTCGTCAGTCACAAAACATCCTTCGTGTCTGTCGACGAGTCATCACAGGCACGCGAGAACTCAACTGGTACGGTGTATGCACCTTGAATTGGTTGACTTTTACACTACGACTCACCAGGTATTCAGGAAGTCCAGTGGGAAATGGAGATCCACTAATATTCGCTCGAGAGACGGCCGAAGAACTGGAGCAAATTGAATACGTGGCATTCTGTAGATGCGACATCCTTCAAAAATTTCCATAAGTCGAAAACAAGAAGAATGTGTAGGTAAGTTGCCCTTCTTATGACCTACAGTGGTGGTTTCTCGCGCTCTGGTGTTACGTTCGAATATGATCGAGCTTCTTGGGTAAGACACCAATCCAGTCCATGAGACAGAAATAGGGGCAGACGGTGTTACACCTACTCTCATCTCTTTCTTCCACCGCTGGCATTCTTCTTATCGTCTCCAGCGTTGTGTTTATTGACCAAGGATGGCAGTTGCTGCAAACCTTTTTACTTCACCCCCAGTCAGCGATCCTACCCGACGTATGTCCCGGCGCTACTCTCTGCAACACACCACGCCCTCTCCCCTGGGGCGTAGAACTACGTTCGGGGAGATCAAGAACAGAGGATCGGACGTCACTGCCGATGCTATCAATGATCACGCTGGTGCCGGCTCTTCCGATGCGAATGCAGATCATGAGAACAGATGTCAGAACACACGTCCCACCGAGGCTGCAGTTCTTTCTCCCTCATGTCGTACACCCACTGCGCCTCTGCGGCCGAGTCTTATTCCCAAGTCACCCAAAGCTGTCTGCCATAAGCCTGCTCCGCAACTCCTTCCAGTTACACAGCTTTCGTCATCGCTCGTCCCGTCTTCTGCAACTGGACGTCGTCGTAGAAGCCGTACTGTTGTCGATGTGGCTCCTCACTCTACGCCGATTGCGTTCGCCTCTGATACGATGAACTATATTCCGCCAGAAAGCTCTCTCTCGCTCTGTATTCCGTCAGAGTTGAGCCATATCCCAGCCTCTTCGATCCTTCTGCCTACTCCGTCCTTCCTAGCTCTCCAGAAGACTACATCGTATAGTCGTCTTTTCCGCACTTCTGCCATGCTTTCTGTTGGGTCTGCTGCGCTTTGGGCTGAATCATCTCTTCTCCTTGCAACGCCATCTTTCTCCGCTCTGGGTGATTCTGAGTCAATTCATGCCGTGCCGCTTCACGAGTGTTCGCCGATCCATATCTACAGTGTGAAGCCCGTGTCCAGAGGAACCATACAGCATCCTGCGCCTAGTCTTGATTCATCTCGCAGCCGCTCTGCAGCTACGCTTGTACATGCTATGGAGTACTCAGCCCCTGGGCCTAGCGATCTCATAAAAAGCTCTTTACCGGTTCTTGATAACATGCCCTGTCTGCCTGCTACGGACGAAGAAGAGGGTACGTGTAATTCGCGGAGGAACAACGGATACCAGAACATGACGAAGGAACATCTGGGCTTCCCGCGAGATTTTCTGGATTTGCTGATCGACTTGGAGCATCTGGCCACCAAGGTGAAGTGTCTTCCGATCCCTCGACCGCCTACTGTGTCCTGGTCCGATATGGATACTGCGCTACTCGTATCACCCGCTGGGGGCAGCTATGTGCATCCATACACCAACTCGAAGGCGGACGTAACCGCGCCGAAGTCCAACTGCCGCTCGACTAAGCCTGAATCCGGACTCAAGGTTCGTGTGTATTCAACGTCATCCGTCGAGTTGCTATAATGTTCAAGCAGGTCCCTTCGTGTCGTCGCGGCTCTCTCACAGTCTCTCCTCTGCCCGACGGTACCTCCTCTCCTACAATTACTTCACCTATTTATCATGACAGCTCTCAATATGCGCACAAGCCATCAAGACGTCTTCCGCATCGCTCTCTCGCTACCACCCAACTTCCGAATCCACTGACACCTCATCGTATTCTAGAAGCCCCCCAAACCTCCAAAACGCATCCGCCAGATCCCAAAACAAATTGCGGTCCTCCTGTTCCCCGTCATTCTCTCGATCATGATGTGCCGATGCCCTCAAAGTTGCCTGCTCCACGCTCGTCTGTGACTCCAAGAGTTTCCGGGATCAAGTCTCTGTTCCGGCCCCGTCACTCTCTTCCTTCTGGGTACTCTGAAACTACCTCTACCAAGCCAGCCCTGCGCTCCCCTGGCAGGCCTCTTCAGTCCTCTCGTCCGGCTGACAGTATCCGATCAAGCAGTGGTAGTGCGCAGGGAAAACATATCACGAGGAAGTTTCTGAAGTCAGAAGGGAAGGAGTCTTTCCTGCAGATGTAGTTCTGTGTGTTGCTGTCTCTATGTTTTTTTACCCTCTTACAAACTTGTTCGCGATTATTCGGATGACATGGCAATACGGAAGTTGATCGTCTGTCTATGACGTTGTATGCCCCTAACCCGAGTCAAGGGGCAGCAATAACTAGTACTGCCTCCGAGTCCGCAGCGGATGTCCCCTATTTTCAGCACAGGAACCTTGGCCATGCGGCGTGACCGTGGTGACATCTTTCTTCCACGGGTATAATACCCACGACATGCGCAACCTGACCTTTGTGCAGTTCTCCTGTTTCCCGTAACCTTGAGCAGTCATCGAAATGACTTGGGACTTGATTAAGCTGAACGACGGTGAGTAGATCGGGTGCACAATGCCGGGGGCTGTGTTAAACACTTGATTCTGACATGTCCTGTTTCGTTTAGGGTACAGCATCCCGAGCATTGCCTATGGCACTTGGACACTCGGACAGGGACAGTCGACTATCGACCATGTCGATGAGGCTCTCTCTGTAGGCTTCGAGCACATCGGTATGTCAAGCTAACATCTCATCCCTCCGCCTCTACTCCGCACGACATAAATCAATGCCTCACGCAGACACTGCCCAGTCATATAGGAACGAAAGGGAGGCAGGCCTTGCATTCGCGGAAAGTGGTCTGGCACGGACAGATGTCTTCATCACTACCAAGTACTCGGGATTGGACGGCTTGGACGTCGAGACGTCTATCCAAAACAGTCTGGAAAATGTGCGTATTGATGTAACTACTCTCATCTACTGCCAGCTGACATTCCGGCGCAGCTCGGTGTGAAGTATGTGGATCTCTACCTCATCCACTCCCCTGGTTTGGCCCGGCCGGACATCCCTACTGCTTGGGCGAAGATGGAGAAGATCAAAACTGATGGTTTAGCGAAGTCAGTTTTTTCCGACGTCGTCGTCTGATTGCAATTTACAACAAGGTGTCCAGGAGCATCGGTGTGAGCAATTTCAACGTGCAGCAGCTCGAAACGCTCCTTGCGTCCTGTAAGGTCAAACCTGTCGCGAACCAGGTGTGAAGCCCTTTAATTCACATTAACTCCGCTTCGCTGATCGCTCGGGTCCTGCTCATAGATTATCTTTCATCCATATGCTCTTGAGCAACAGTGGCCTATCGTCGAATATGGAAACAACCATGGCGTTGTCAGCGAGGCGTATAGTGCCCTTATGTGCGTACTTAGATTTAAGGCATGTTTTTGTGACTCATTGGGCTTACCTAGCCCACTGACCCGCCAACCTGGTGGTCCCGTTGATGCTCCAGTCGAAGCTATCTCAGAGCGCCTCAACGCGAAGCCTGAGCAGGTTCTTCTTGCGTGGGCGAAGGCCAAGGGCACCGTGGTCGTGACGTACGTGCACTGTCGAATCGAGATAAGACCATGAGTTAATCTTTCCTGACCTTAGTTCGAGTACGAAGAAGGAGCGTATGGAGGGTTACATGGCTGCAGGAGAGCTGGGTGCGTGTCAGACTAGTTTGAATACGTCAGATGTCTCACTTGAAAATGCCAATCGTGATAGAACTCACGAAGGAGGATATTGCCGCGATCGACGCCGCTGGCATCATGGGTGCGCGTCGCATCACCGCACGCACCTACCTCCGCCGGGCAGCCATCGCAGCACTTGTCGGTGCCGTCATACTCGGGGCTTGCAGCTGGATGGGTCTGGACGTGCTGTGAGCAATCTTTGTTGTATGTTGGGCGAGGACTCGTCCGCGTATGTGCGACATGGAATTGTACGTTTTGTATGGGTAACTGTCTTCGATGTTGATCATAAAAAATGTGTCGATACGATGTCATGGTCTGCGTTCCATTATTGTTTGGACTTCTGTCGATTGCGTAGGCGATCGTTTTCATGCTCGGGCTCAAATCATTCATTGATCTCCAAATTTGAAGTGTGGCATCTAGCAGAAAGACCCGCAACTCCTCCATGGCGTATATGCTCCAAGTTGGACGGCTTGCATCACGTCGACAAGACGGAGAGGCGCGCTGATTGATTGACCAAGCGCGTAAGAATACCCAGGCTCCGTGACGGTTGTGTCGTTACGGTGTCAATGAGGCGCTGCTGTCGCGGGTGTCAAATGCCTTGACTGGGAGCCAATGCTGTGCCTCTCTTTTCGTCTGGAGTTGCTGGGTCTTGCTGCTACCAAATGAGAGGAATAATCTGTCCCAACTGCCCAACTGCCACCCGAATGGCGAGCTGTGCAAAATGATCGAGTAGCTTGTCATGTGATCCTGACGGCAAGTGCCAGTGCGCGTCGTTCATCTCGAATTTACTCTGCTTACTAGCACACTTTACCAACACTTGCTATGAACATATCTCCAGCATGTTCCGTGAAATGTTTGGGTAGATAGCCTGAGCAAATTGCAGTGGAACGGAAGCGTTGTACGCCAAATCAACAGCCGGCGATGGCAGTGGCACTGCGACTCCATCCGCATCACCGAAAGATCAACCTGAAACACCGCAACAGCTTAGCCCTCCGATGTATATAACCCCAGAGATGCATCATGGAATTTTAGGCTGCGCCTCTCTTTCGACCATCACTTTTGCCCTCTTTTTTTCGTGGTCTCTCTGTATTTTTCCGCTAATCTTTAGCGACGAATCTTCTATCTTCACGGTTAATTTAACGAGCAGTCACGATGGGAGCTGTCCGCACACGCATGTTCTGCTGCTGTCTGCCGGTCAGATTCGGTGCGGCTTGCAGCGCCCTCATCAACTTTCTCGCCGGCGTTGCCTTCTCTGCGGTGGGATGGTATGGAGTGCACCAATACAGTGAGTGCAGGCACCTCTTCATCCTACTGGGGCTTATGAATGTGAACCTTCTGTTGCAGCTACCCACCAGGTTTCCCTCGACAAAGATGAGGAGGTCGCGCTCATTCTTTTCAGCATTACCTACACCCTCCTCGTCGTGACCGCCCTTCTTGGGTACGTTTGTCCGAGAGTGGTTCACCGGCTCGGATTGCTCACATGTTTCCGCAGACTGATCGGCTCCCTTGGTGCCATTCGTTCATTGGTCAAGAGATACGCGGTTTTCCTAGTCTTCAACACCCTCTTGACTATCGGCGTGGGCATCTACTGGATCTGGCGATTGTTCCACCGAGACGCAAACGAGTGTTCATCGCTCGAAGGCGAAGAAAGTGCCGAGCAAGTGGTACACTATGTCTGCAAGAAGGGCTTCGAGACCATCAGAATCGTCATTGTGATCGTGCTGGTCATTGTTTGGCTTTTCCAGATTGGTGAGGCGTGTTTATGTCCAATTCTATATGAAGCATTACTGATTCATTTCTATCCTTCAGCCGGAATTGCCATTGTGTTCGACTACGTCGGGCAACTTAACGAGGAGGCTGGGCTCGGGGATGACGAGAAAGGCACGAGGCCCATCATCACTGCGTACCCGGCACCTGTCGCTGACAACAGCAATGTTATGCGCACCACTTATGACGCCGCTCCTTATGACAACACCTACGCAAACGCTGCACAGCCCTCACCAATTATGAAGAGCGCATATGAGCCCACGCAGTCCGCGTGGGGCGCCGAAGCGCAGAGGAACTACGCATTCACTGGCCCGACTAATTCCTTTGGCCGGCGCTCGAATGTGTAGGCGTTTGTGGAGAAAAGTCTGCTGTTCGTGTTTGGAAGATTTTTGTTGCTCACGACTGTACATTTGTGATGATTCAGAGTAGACCAATGATTAATGACGTGGCGGTTGGAACTATATATACCTGTGCGATTTAAATTCCCTCGAACGTTCGTTACCCGTAACTTATATACTGTACAATCCAGGCTATTTAACTATACATTTTTGAGTGGCACAATGGTTCGCATGTTAATGATCTTGCACCGTCGGCCAGAATAGGAAATGATTTCAGTCATGGGAAGAAGGAAGCTCAGGCCACTGTAAGGACCTTACAGTGGCGCCCAATCATCGTTATCTTGTTCGGAGGCGTGGCAGCTCTTTGTTCAGACTCTGTGCATATAAAGGTCTGCCACTGGGCACTCTACAACCTCCTTCATACCTCCATCATCCCACCACACACAATGCCCAGCTCCGCGAAAATTGACGAGATACTAACCGTCGCCAAGAAAGCGGTCACTATCTTTGCCAACCGTGGTCAGCCATGCTGTCTCTTCGGGAGTACAGCGTGCTGGGTATACGGCAACAGTGCGTTGAGTGGCTCGAACAGAACTCCCAACGTGAGTGGAATGCCTGACGAAGTTGCGCCTTGGCCGCTGACTGTGACGATTCCAAACTGTTGATACAGGACGTAGACCTTCTCGTGATTTCTGATCAGTATAGAACTGCAGCGGACTGCGAGAGGCTCAAGCAGATGCTCATCGAGGGGGACAGCTCTTTCTTCCTCAGAGCTCCATCCAGGAACCAGAATGCCGACTACAGAGTACTGTGGTATAAGCTGTCGTCACGCCCAGAGCAGCGTGAGCGCAAGTGCAAAGTCGACATTCTTGTTCCCGGGTTGATGAGCCTACCTCGTGTCCCTGTGGAACACATCACCGATGTGGTCGTCTCTCCACGCCCGGGGCAGGCGCACCAGGTGGCCCTGCCGGTCATGCCACTGGTGCCTCTGTTGTTGATGAAGCTGAAGGGCTGGAAAGACCATCGCGACTCTGACCAGGCACACATGCAAGTGAAGCAGGGCGACGACGTGAATGACATCGCCCGGCTTCTGCGGATTGTCAAGAACCAGGGTGCCTTTGGCGTCCGGCACTCCAGTCTCAATTGGCTGCCAGATGAATTCGTGGCTGAGGCTCATGGAAGGGTCCATGAATTCGTGAAGAGGTTTCCAGCCTTGGCTGAGAAGTGGGAGCAGCTGGATTTCGAGGTGCGGCATGGAGGAACAACGACTTGGGTGTTCAGGTGATCCTCGAGATGAGGATCGACTTGAATGTCCAGGTGGCCCAGTTCCTGCCGTCTCGAGATCCGCTAGGAGGCTCTGGGTATTCAGGGAGAAAGTGCAGGCACGATCTAAACTATTTATACGAATGTTCGGTGTTCTTTCTCTGAACGGTTTGACATCGTTCACTTAGCATTGCGAAGGGTATATATATGGCATATGTTGTAGTTCCCGACCATTCGATGGCTTAGACTCAGTAGAATTCAATGGCTGAGCGCTGAGTGGCCGCTGATTCCAACGATTCATTCCATTGATCCATGCTATAGCGTACTATCCTCCATCGATATGCGATGACAGACTCATCTTTGGAGTGACCACATTGTCTCCTTGCCCTTTCTCTCATTCGTAAGCCGATCATCAAATGTCTTACAGTGGCTCGGCAACTTTACGCTCATACTGCGCTGCGGAAAATGGCTCCGCAATGACTTTACATCAGCTATGAGTTGGGGAGGGAAATTTGGACGATGTGATAAACTAAGAATTTCCGAGCAGAACTCTTGGAGTCTTGGTACTTGCAGCTTTGCAGGTGCAGGTTGGCGGCGGCGCCCTTGGACGCACTGCGGCACTGGATATCAATGAGATCAGATCGATCGAAGCGCCCATCGTCGTGCAAGTACTACGTACCGCTAGCCCAACTTGCGTCGTCCCTCCTTCTCCCAGTACCTTAGGTAAAAATATCTTGACGTTTCTACTCTCGGAATAACCATATTATTGCAGACCACGCGGAAGTCTAACGAATACTCATTGAAGTACCCGTTACTCCTGCCGTGATGGCAGCGTCCCAGGACCTACCTTCCGTCCTGCAAGCGGCACAAATATTGCTCTCGAGAATCTACGAAGGACGCCATACTGTGAGGTGCGTACGTTAGTGTTCGGCCAAGCAATGGCTCATCGGACTGCCTGTAATGCGCACACAGCACCGACGACGTTAGTGTTTCATGGTCATAGTATGCACTTGTAAACTGAATAACGGTGTTTCTGTGTGACCGTACAGTTGCTGGTTGTTGAAGGTATATTGGCCCTCGCTTTACCCCTAGTCAGACAATCCATCAACGTGGCATCTTCTGTCAATCAGTGCTCACCCGATATCCTCGGTCTTATCTTTCAATACGTTCTGTACCAAGACTCCCGCAAAGACGACGACTATCGTGTACGAAACAATAATGATGACACCTTTCTCTGGCCTTTCTTATCCGTCCAGCCAGTCTCCATAAAAAGGCTCAAGACCATCACCCACGTTTGCCATCGATGGCGACATGTCGCTATCAATACGCCTGAGCTCTGGATCCACTTATACAATCATGATCACGTCCCGTACACCACTGCTATGTTATTACGACGCTCTAAGGCGTTACCTCTCACAGTCGATGTTGATGATGAATATCCAGATGGACTACTGGAACTATTTCTCTTCAGCTTGTCAACCCCACGAATTCGACATCTGAACTTGCGTGCTCATGAACCCGAAGCCCCTTTCTCCCGTCGGATGCGAACCTACACCACATTTTCTGCTCCACAACTTGAGATCTTGTCGCTCCATTCCATCTCACGGCCAGATGATACTCCCCAACCTTTGCTATTCCGTGGAGATACACGGCGCTTATCGGTATTGACATTGCAATCAATGCAGTGGCTGCCAGGGAATCAGTTTCCGAATCTCACACATCTCTGCATATGCTCATTCCAGCCACGAGCAAATGCACCCGTGGACCTGCGGGATGTTGCCGAGTTCTTGTCTGAATGTCCCAGACTCGAGGAGCTTGTGGTCTCGCAGTTGGCCCTCGACATAGCACTCAACGATGAATTCATAGATGCAATTACGTTAAGGTGTCTCCGTAGGCTTGCTCTGGGAGGCTCCCAACAAGCGATGTCGAGGCTCACGTCTTTGCTCATGGGGAATGCTAGCAGGCCCAAGGGTATCGCCGTACGCATCTTCGGCCAACGCTCCTTTCCGCCCCAATCCAACTTTACCTGGTTGGATAAACCCGCTTTTGACGATGCGGATACCCTTGATTTGCGAGCTATTCAGATAGAGGATACGAGTCTGGTGGTGACGACCACAAACGCATTGTCTGGTCTTCGCGTGGAATTTCCTCAGTTCTCGCGCGGCTGGTCGGACCTGTACGACCATGGGCCAATCCAGTGGAGAGACTGGCCCCTGCAACATGTGCGGGAGCTTCGCATCACGGATTCGTACATTGTCCGCAAACACGGCGGCTTTGGTCTGCTGTTGTCGCTGCCGATGTCATTGACGACATTGATACTGCGGATCGGCGATGCCTACAAGCATCCTCTGCTTCCCAGCGTTCTTAAATTTCTGGCAACGCCCCATGATACACCCGTCGGCCTGACGCTCCTCTGTCCTGTCCTTTCTACGGTGCGAATCTGCGGAGAAAGGCACAGCTTTGTGGATCCTGACGTAATTGACGACATTGTCGCCCTCACATCTATCCGTGCGGCATTGGGATACCGCCTCGACACTCTTATTGTTGAGTGCCACGCGGACGATGCCCACGGCTCCGCCCTCACACAGTTGATCAGGATGAAGCTGTGCGTGGACGTAGTTCGGGTCGTTTCGTCAGATGACGCTGTGCGCGCGTCTCGCTTTTCGGCTTGGCCGACTGTGTGCACGGAGTCGACACACAGGTACTGGCCGCCATGGTAGTCTGTAGTGATGAAAGTCACCGAGCAGATTACTTGTCAGAAATTTCGAGCTGACCTTTCTGTGAATGTGTATATCATGCTCTTCTTGCTAGCACTGATCCATCTTTCTTGAGTAGCTGGAGAAAGGCTACGTTTTTTGATTTACTCCTTCATACCTGTAACCCGGACAAATACCTAGCTCAGCCCGAATGTTGGACATTCAATGTAGGATTTCCGTGCGATGCATGTTTCAGTTGATGGTCAGATCCTATTGTGTACGTCGAAGTATCTCGGGCACATGTACAATAACAGTGGGTTTTGTTGGATACTGTTGGATACTGCCTGCGCTACACATTCTGCTACGGTGATTAGAATCTTGAAGAAACTTGGAGATGCGCCAATCATGTTAATGCAGGGAATCCCCTGTCATTTGTCTAACTGTCAAAACACAGTGAAGCAAGAACCGCAGCTCACGAGTCACACTTTGGTCCACGTTCACGCCCTGAGGCCAGTCGACACGCGTTCGTGTCTTGGAAAATAGCTATCGCTTCCGCCGCAGGTCATCCAAAAGCATCGCTACCACTAGGCTCATAAATACAGCCTCTAGTTAGCGGAAGACAATCGTTCCTTTCTAATAGAGGCTGAGATCATGCGCGACTTGCCCTCTGAGGACCGCCCCGTGGGAAAGCGGAGTTTGATCATGCCGACGGCAATTCGACGTACGAATCTTAAGCGCTCGTAAAGTTGCAGCCACAGACGCGTCGTGCCACTGGCGCTCTGCCTTTTCATTCTGGCGTCCCCATGGAGAGCTCTGACACCACGGAAACTCAGCATGAAACATCTAGTGCTCTTTCTACTTGTCTGTCCCATGCTCAAACTGAGGCAAACCGCCTGGATATTGACCCGGAAGCCAACAACCACTCGGCGGGTTTCGAAGACATAAGGACGCGTTCGTTGAGTGAATTGATCCCTGAGTCTAATACAGGGGACACGGACAGTCTCGAGGAACAACTGCAAGATGCAGGGTCAGCAGGTGAGGTCTTGAGGATTTAGGATGCGTGAAAGCGGCGATAGTGTATTGCATAAGTTATGCGACGGTGACCGTACACTGTACAGACGCGTAGACGGAGTGTCTGCCACAGACGCGTTTACAGGAAGCTGACTACGAGGCTAGTCGTGCTGCCGCGACAGCCTGTCAACGGCAATGTCACTTCGATGTTCCCACGGGGCGGTCCTCAGAGGTTAGGCCCAGACTACGCTACCACCTCTACTACTAGTAGGGCCGAGTGTTTCGTCGTTGAATTCACTAGCGCCTCACCGAAACCAAGGCGATCAAGTCAGGCGAAGTTGAGGACGCGTCTTACAAGTGCTGTGTACCCAAGGATTTAGACTGCTTTGATATCATTGAAACTTTCTTTAACATCTATACACGACCACGGTCGCATAGCAGACCTTGAACTCATTGAAATCAACACACGTTACAGGGCAGAACTTGGCAGACTGCGCAACCTTTAGCCATGAATGAAAGTAGCCGTTCAACGCACACAACCGCACAAGAAAAACATCACGGTACTTACTCTTATTCGCTGTACTTCTTTCTGATAGCATTGATGTTGTCCTCGTTGCCATTAAGGCCACCTGAGACTTCAAGCAGAACTCTATTCCACCTCAGCGATACTCGCTATGGGAAAAAAACGAGAATGGCTCACTTCTTCACCGTATCGCCTGTCACTAAAGCAGAAAAATTCCGGAGACCTTTCCGAATCAACGAGGCCAAAAATTCTAGGGCGGCAGTATCCAGACCATCAATCCAGCGAACCAAGCATTTCCTCACATATTCCGCGACGCCATAAGCGACGCCGGCCCCGACGCCGCCGATCAGAGTGTCTTTGATGAAAGCGTATAATGCGACAGTGGTAACCTCCTGTCGCAACTGCGGGTCTTCGAAGTTCTTGCCGATGAGACCTTTCACACTCAACGCAGCGGGAATAATGAATGCTCCTCCAACTGCAGCGCCCACTGGGCCTCCGAAACAGCTCCCGAGTAAAGCTGCCCCGAAAACGATGGTATAGTACGAGCACTGCGCTGTGGCTCGCATAGCAGCGTCCTGGGACAACGCATGAGTGCCAGATAATCAAAAAGTCTGATACCCTCGCACCGTGTCACCAGAAATGTCATCCATACCTGCAATTGTGTATCCTGTTACGAGGAGCGACTCGAGGAATCGCACCAGAGGTCCGTCAGAGTCATACCATGCATCACTAGAGAGAGGTTCTTTAGTTTTGGTAACTAACAGTGCTCCGCCATACCTACTGCGATTCGAACTGTAGATTCCCGTTTCCGTTCCACAGGCATTGCTGAAGATCGTATGCTGCTTCCACCCACTCTTCGTTGTACCGCAATTCAGCACGGACGACTAGCCCGTCAAGACGAACATTCCGCGCAGTGTACGTAAAGTTTCGGCCATCAGGATTGAACTTCCCGTCGTCGTTGGACAAGTGCTCGTTCAGATCGATGGTGGACAGATGGAAATTTCCATCATTTGCAACGCACAACGTGGACAATTTACCAGTGTTTGAGTCAAGTGACCACAAAGTGCAGCCCTCGGCTATTTTGGTCGAGCTACAGAACACTGGTGAGCAAGAAGTGGCTTAAATCACAATGGCACTCACGGTCTCTTGAATCCAAGTTGACCGTTCATGTTTTCAACGCAGAAGTTGAGATTCAGCGCAGCCTTCTTGACAGCGCCATCCCTCCTCGTGAGGCTGGCGCAGAGAAACACGCCATTAAGCTCGACGTCAGACGCTGACAGCGAGAACTGAGCAGAGTCCCAGTTGAACTTCCCGTCATCGTTGCCGATGAAGGCGTCCAAATTCAGCGTGGAATCAACATTATTGCCGTCGAAGTCGCGGCAAGTCGCAGAAAGAACGGCACCTCTGAGGGAGAACTTGGAGCAAGTTGCACTGAAAGACATCGACCAACTACAAAGTACTGCAAGGTGCGGGATGTCGGATGTTGCTTGCTGAGGCGGCAGGCAGCTGCCGCCTAATTATACTGTTAGGAGTGGGGACATCTTATAAGACTCTGCGCCGGAACATCCTATTCGTCCACCACGCAGAGATAGGTCGAAGGAGAGCTGACGACAAGAGCGAAGCGCGCAGGCAAAGGTCCGGGCCAGAAATCACTCTGGAGACGCCCCATACGCACCTATGAGCTCCTGAGCTGCTCATCGTGATGAATTGGTGGTCCACATCTGTGGCATGGGAGACGATGGGTTGAGTTCGCAGCCGATAGGCGCCGTCCAGAACACACGGCACTTGCAATCACCGAATGAACGCAGAAGCCATCGAAATTTTACAGAACAAGTGCGATCTCCAAAGATTTCCCGGTTATTTCATTGTTATGATGATCACCGATAGGACGAGAACCAGACATGAACACACGGCGTTGCAGTGCTTCTGCTCCACTAATTCAACTTACCTAGGACGGCCTTCAGTACTAGAATCTCCAATGGGCCGCTGTTCAACACAGCGTACGGAGGAACTGACCTCCCTGGGTCACAAAATGCTGAATAGGGACCACGTCAATGGCATGGTGGAAATAGCGGGAAGAGACACTTGCACTTGTATTAGACATTGAGGTTTCCTTGTGTGGCAGGTGCCGATCCAATACGGGCGGCTAAGGCTGACAATGTCTGCAGCCCGTGGTTGGCCCACGCAAACGTCCGGACTCAAAACTCCATGCACATCTGCAAAAAATGAGATATACACCCAAGCTGCAGGACAGACTAGCCTTTGAGGGGCAGATGCTGCCGCATCCCACGACAAGATGCAATTTCATCAGGCTGACCGTCGGTTCTGCATGGCCCCTCGTATGCTGCATCCAGCGACGGGTCCACCATTTTTTGTAACATGAGTGCTTTAACCTCCGGTGAGAGCTGTGCAGAAAATCATGATGACCAGCGCAGCCATGCTAGAAACGCTCAACAACGTACTCACATGGTCGTGGTTCATCGTTTGCGCGAGATTTCTTCTCGTCTTCGTCGAAGTGGTCGCCGTTGACGTTCCGTACGGCCAGATAACCGGGCCCAATAAAAATGACAATCATTCTCGTAAACAGAACTTTCCTGAAGTTGCCCCTCAAAACCTCCAACATCTCTTCCGTGTCGGCCTGTTCCGTTGGCCGCCGGAAGCGCCTGGGTCTGGAGCCCTTGTTCTGTGAAAATATTCAATTTAGCATGCATGGATCTGAATTTGAAGATCGGAAAAAGGAGCTGGCAATTCGCAAATCTTTTCGGTGTCGCTGCGACAGAAAAGACTTTGCTGAAGTGACATGAGTAGATGCGCATCGCGTCTGTATGGCGAACTGGCGACTCACCGTATGGAGAATACTATGCGTCTGAAGGTCTCTCACTATTCGGCACGTAATGCATATGAGGGCCGGTCATCAGAGGCTCCAAGAAGAACCACGCATGTTTTCATGGCTATTACTACACATACGGCCAGGCTGCGACTATCATGTCGACAGATTGGAAACCTACTCCTCAGCTAGATGCCGACAAAAAGGTAGAAGGGTAGGTTATACTTAGCATGTGGTCTCTAACATCTCAAACCACTGCACTATCAAGGCGACCAGTGTGACGATAGATTGGGATCACATTCTTCCTAAGAAAGTATATTCAATCAGAGGTGGAGGCGCTGCGAGTGTATGGCCTGTCATCGGTGCAGACCGTCCTGTTGGATGTAGTTAGCTTGGCTTAGTCCGTGTCGCCCACGCAGGACTCACAATATTAGTCCAAGCGCCATAGCACCTCGAACATTTGACGAAGACCTCGAATTCTGAACCCGCGAAACTGTCGGTCCAGGCAGTCCACGGACGCGAGTGGCAGATGAAATTTCATGTATAGAGTACACACGACTACAACACAACGCGGGACACAGACGCACAGCGGCGTAGCAGTGTACTCACAATGCGCGTGCACCTCGCCGCACCTTGCCTCATCCATTCCCGAGTCCCTGCCAGGAATCGTAGAGAAACAGCATGGACACTCTGTTTCCGTATGGTACATACACACAAAATAAGTAGGATGAGCTTCGGTGAATGCAAGCCGGTACTGACCCTGATAGTTCGCCATCCCGTGATGAACTAAGTTACTCCGTAGCGAGGTCCAGCTTAATCTTCGCGATAGCTGCCGCGGGGTTAAGCCCCTTCGGGCATGTGCGCGAGCAGTTAAAGATCGTATGGCAGCGGTACAGGCTTAGCTCGTTCTGCAGCTTCTCCTTGCGCTGAGCACCGTACGAGTCCTGGATCGTGGGTCAGCAAAGCATTTCCATGCGGCAGAAAGGAACATGCCCGAGAGTCTGCCATCCAGCGGTACGCAGCCATGAGCGTTGCCGGGCCGAGATACTCGTCCTGGTTCCACCAGTAGCTCGGGCATGAAGTCGAGCAGCATGCGCACAAGATGCACTCGTACAGGCTAGAAGTGTGTCAGAACATCAATGAACAGACAAACACGAATTAGCGCACCCGTCTAGCTTCTTGCGGTCCTCAATTGACTGCAAGAACTCCCGGTTCGCAGGCGGGTTGTCGTTCTGCAGGTACGGCTCAATCGACTTGTACTGCTTATAGAACAGTGTCAAGTCTGCCACGAGATCCTTCACGATGTACACTGGAAATGCGGTCTATGTCAGACACACCTCACGCAATCGGTCAAACCTATGAGAGTGTCATGCAGGGCCTAGCCCGCCTGAGTCGGAACGGAGAAATTGGAGCACACTCGCATAGCAGTAACCGAACGCGAGTAAGAGGAGTATGAAGAAGAGCGACAGAGACTCACTGTGAGGCAGAGGGTAGACCTTGGTGTCCTTGCCATCGTCGCGCTCGATTCTGCACAGGCACGCGAGGGTGTTCTGACCGTTAATATTCATGGCGCATGAGCCACAGATGCCCTCTCTGCAGGAACGACGGAAGGTGAGAGTGGGATCGATCTCATTCTTGATTTTGATGAGCGCGTCAAGAATCTGTATGAAGGTGCATAAGGATCGAGAAAGGGGGTGCAAGTGCAGTACACGCACCATGGGACCGCATTGGTTCAAATCAATAGTGTATGACTGCAGCATCGGCTTCTTCGCGGGCTCATCTGGGTTCTGTGCGGTTGTCAGCGGACGTCGCGTAAACTGCTGTTGTTTGAGCTCGCTGCACATACCCAACGGTAGATCTTAAACTCCTTGTTCAGCTCCGGTTTCTCAGTCGGCACCGCCTGCCTCCTCGCTACCGATGCCGAGAACGCACGAGCAGACGACAAAAGTTGAGGTCGGAGAACAGACGAGCGAAGGAGAGACATGGCGAGGAGAGGGCAAGAGCTGCAGGGACTTACGGCTGAGCTGGTGTGAGACGCTGCAGGAAATAAGCGCCCAGCGGAGATGTTCGGGCTAATCGGCCGCCAATACTATCGCCTCGATTATAGCACCTCATGTTCTCCAGCGAACTTAATCTCCGAGCTGCCAGTGTACTGCTCAAAAAATCAGAAAAATTCGTGGCCGTCGTATGGATATATTGCAAATATCGTAAGGTTGTCAGGTTCATAATGCATCAGAAACATTGCAGTTGCGGTTATATGATAACGCTTGTTTCTGACTTCGAACAGCGCCACTAACTTATACGCTCAAATTCTTGAAGGCAGTAAAATGCAACGTTGGGTGCACAACTGTGATGCACAAGCATCTGGGCTAGGTCCCAGTGTCTAATGCGGCGGTGGAAAACACTCGTTCCCCAAATAAATCTTGAGTGTATCGAGCGCGAGCAACGCCGGTTGTCGTTAATCCTCGAGAACGCTGGGCCAAGGCAGTTCAGCAGCAAGACTGGTCTGTAAATTTACAGGCCAGAGGGAAAAGGTTGTGGGTGCCGCCGGAACTGACTAGACGTTTAATATCTAGGTTGTACGGTGCGGAACAGACTATGTATGACACAGCATACCACAAGCAGGGATCTTACTAGGATCTCGGAAAAGTCACAAACACAAGAGGGACATTACTTCCTCCGTAAGTATTTGGTCGTCAAATATTTAAAAGACCTACAGGATGTTTTATAGAACAATCGATGAATCGCCGTCAGCGACAATTCATCCTTTCGCAGCTAGTAGTACGGATTTGTATCGAAGCATATATTCGTAACTCATCGCCAGAAAGTGCAATCTCGATGCGTGGATACCACTTTGCATTCCTAGGAATTGTAGGTGCAAGACACAAGACCAACTTGAACGCAGTACTTCCCCTCCCCATTAATTGCATTCACATCTTGTCGCACTTCGCGCAAGTGTCAGCTTGTGCTGCCGCTTGATTTAGGTGGAATTGCCGTGAGCAGAGCTTTGAGAGGGCCGTGAACAGTGTAGAACCGTGGGATTGAGGCCGCATACTTAAGTAGGCATCGACCAGTGGAGGTGGATACTCGACGCACCGCACGACAGTAAGTTTACCAATTTCCTGATCGAATGAGCATACTCAGCTGCTGGTCGATGATTCAACAGTGGCTTCTCCCCAGACACCTACACATTCGTGGTCTCGTAGTAACTGGATTAATGCTAGTTTTTAAAACACAAACGTCGCGCATCGTTCCAGCTGCAGCAGAATGCAAGATTTGCACGTTACGTATATCAAGGAACAAAGCTACTGACATTGCAACGGGGTATATATGCAGCGAAGATCATGATTAGCCGTTCATAGCGGAGGGTGCAGATCGTAATAATATACAATGCACTTCAAAAAGTCCTAGCCAGTGTGCAAGCCAGCTTGCACAAGGATTGTACCGGTACACAAAAGCCGAATTTTGTCTAGCATTTCTGCCACGGCCCACACATCTCATCGAAAGGGATGGGACCATTGAACGCACGGATAGGTTCCTTGCCTCGAGATTTCGAAGGCACAGCATGATCTGACATAGTGTCGCGGCGGGAGTGCCTGTGATGTTTAGAGTGTGAAGCTTTATGAACGAGCAGGGGTCTCTCTTCGTCGTCGACATCGCCGCTGGCATCCGCGGGGAACACGAGGTGACTGGGCACGCCCTCACCCAGCCTACGGGTCACCCGTTTCATCTTCTCGCGGCGCAGATCAGCCTCAGGAACAAAGGTAGAGGCGTTGGGCGAGTCGGGTGGTGTGGATGTGTTATATTCGCTGTTGAACGAGGGTGCAACGCTGCGTCGGGGCTCAAATTGTGACGAAGAAGTGAGATTGAGGGTGGGGGGACGATGGGTGCGAAGCACATGCTCGCTGGGCACCGGAAAAGGGGAACTAGTTGACGAAGGCATCACAGGGCCGTTCGAAGGTGCAACTGCATAAACAACCATGGTAGTGACAGTCAGCTCTATCTATCAAGATGCTAGCAAGAGATCTCGTTGCTCACCAGAGGAATTGCGATTACCTCCAGAATCTGCGGTGGGTCCATCGTTGGTACGAATAATCGAATAGCGAGGATTGTTTACGGATTCACGACGGGTGGGCGGAGAGGGGAACGACGAAAGAGGACGAGACATAATAATAACAGAGGAAGAAAGTCGGCGAATATTGTACAACGCACACGTCCTGGATACCGCAGATTCAAAGGACAGACAACGAGACCACTGGGGCCCCGGACCAGAATGGAGAAAAGAACTTTGCGGACCGACCTATATACCATTCCCGCAGATGACGGATTCCAATGTATCATGAGTGCCGTCAGAAAACAATCTAAGCCAAAACAAAAACAAGGGCGGCCGCCATGGATACACGAGCGGCGTCGGTAACTTCTAATTCGTAATGGCATGATGTGTTCCCAGGGCCTGAATTGACGCTGTTCCACGAAACCTCGGTCTATCCACCGAGCCACTGGTAGGAACAATAATGTAGACTTAAGCCGTAGGGCAGTGGAAGAGATGTCCGAAGGGTCCCCATGTCAAGACCGAGCAATTCTCCGCCCGAGGGATACCTGTACACCATCGTAAGAGTACATAACAATTGTGCGTGGAGGGGAATTGAGTTTCGAACCTTGTCTCGGCCTGCGAACTTCCATCTCGAGAACAATGGACCATTAATCGCGGTCACGTGAATTCTTCTCAGAATGGGATTTCGTTTGTGCAGGATGGAGAAGCGGCCAAACTCTCTCACAACCATCGAGATAACAAACCCGGGGAGGTGTTCGTACCTCATCAACAAGTAATGAACTGCCGAAACCGAACCGAGATTGCGGGATAGGTTCCTCGTGTGACTGTGGCGGACCCACACGACCTTCCCATCCCGGCGAACTCTGAACTTTGAAGGTCGTGATGCATGTGAAGTGGGAGCTTTCGTCTATATTGTCCTCGAAGCCAGCATCGTCGCCAAATATACAAGTAAGGTGTATACCAGATTGTCAGTGGAATAGTGTCGTCGTGACAGGGAGGAGACAATAAAGATCAAAACACTCTGCCAAGATTGCAGAGGATCCGATTACAATTAGCCACATTGAGCGAGTTTGCCAGGTAGTGTTGTTGGCAAAACCTCGCCACCTCGCCGGGCCTGGCGCGGCAAATGGCGAGCGCCAGGTTGGCGCACCGACCCTGGATGGCAATACCTGGCGCAACTACGAGGGTACCTCCCCAAAATAGAAGTACTTTGGCCAATTTCAGGGATAACCGACCCTTGTGGGGTGGCTAAATTTGGTGTTGAGGTCTCCAACCCCTAATATAGGGTCTGAATTAATTTTGCGCACCTCTATCTCGTTTCCCCGCGCAAAAGGGCAAATTTCAGCTGCGCAAGTTGCGAGCCCGCGCTGGCACGACCATGCGAGTGCAGTTTCGCCGCGCCGGCGATTGGCGAGCCCCTCCGGGAGTTTTGCCCACGACACTACTGCCAGGGTCTACGAACCTACACTGGCTTATCTTCTTGACTCTGCTCGCCTGCGAGACGGGCTTAAACGCATCCATGACTCCACCGCTAGCAGGGAATGCATGCGACAGAGAACAGCGAGCACAACCGCGTGCAACGAGATGCACGAGGTGCAAGCTTGCGAGACCCTCCTGGATCGACCTCTCTGTGAGATGTACGCCACAGACAGACACTTCTTACGAGAGGGAGCGCATACACATTTCGCAAGGGTCATCATCGGGAGAACGGAAAGCGTTAAATATAGCGAGGCAGTATCAGGAGTGCCGAACTCTCCGTGCTCGAGTAGGGGGAATAACTGAGCGTGTGTCCACTGGTTGGCCGTGTAATCTACGCGACTATCCAGGTCTGATTCTTTCACCAGTGAGAAGGCCAATGAGTCCGAGGGGCCGCAAAGAGCGCTAGAAAAATAAAACGAAACATCGCGAGATTGTCTGAAAAAAGCATGGTCCAAGATTATATTTTCGGAAGGACCATGATGGTGTAATCCTTCGGCGGCTCGTGTAAAGGTAGAGGCGATGTAGTCTCCCAAAGGCAGACTGACACTCTGCTTCAACCTTCGTTCCTCAGGATATCCGTGTCTGGCGTCTGCTATCATTAAGGTGGTCCTTATCGGTAGGTTGGGTATTTTCATCTCCGCAAATCACGTGCACGCGACGCGTCAAAACGCGTTCTCATCTACCCATGCAAGTCTCGCGTTTCTGCCGCATCCTCATAGCTCTCTGGTGCACAGGACATTCTCCTGTTATGTATGTCTGTAGACTGAATGTATTTTCAGAAAATCCATGCCTCAGAGCCCTCAGAACAGCTAAATCCACTAGTACTGTATTTTAGGTGGGGGATATCAATATGCCGCACAGTTTACAACCATGGTAGTGGTAGCCAGAGTGACTCCCAATTAGTCTTCTGGATTTCTTCAACAGTCTTATGCTAGAAGGAGGAACAAAATTATTGGGATGTGACAGTGTCCAAGTTCAAGCCAGAACTTTCACAACCCATCCTCAGTAGTTGCTTCTCTTGTTTAGATGTGCTTCTTTTGCTTGTCTCCTACAGCTTAAAAGGCATGCCATTTGACTGAGATATCTCGAATGTAACAACGACCGCTTCCCTGGAGTATGTAGTATCTGCGCACTGTGAGCTTGCGGCGAGCGCTTGTTCTCTTATTTCCAGCTCCGACTCATTCTCTTGCAGGCGAGTTGATCGGTCACGCAATTCTTTCCCTGAAAGTCCAAGCTCCGAACGAAATTGGGGACCTACCGATAAGCCCCCCGCGTTAAAAACTAGACTAAGGCGATGATGCTGCTGCAGATTCTGGAGACTACTTGTATGTCGCGGAAATACCGCATACACCAGTCCGAGGGCCTTGGTATATTGGTCTTCAGCTTCAGTATTGATACAGGCGTGCAGAGGGATAACTAGATGTGCCAGGATGAGTGAAATATCGACCGATTCGCTGAGTCATTGCTCAATAGCAAGTAACGTCAGAACGAAAACGATGCGGATCGATGGTAAGTACCAACTTAGACCGTAAGGGAGCTGACGTCTATACTCGATGCGACTTGCAAAACATCCAGCAAGGAATACATGGATGATGCTGGCGAAACTGGAGGATGTGATCTCGAGAAACGTTAGAATTGCACAAGGAGGGCAGGAGACGGGATCGTGCCGGGCTGGCGGCCGCTTGTCCATTCTGGAGTGAGCACCGATACGACATACAAACGTTTCGACAGTGACAACGCTAGGCCTCCAATGGTACAGCACGGTAGCCTCATGTCGGTGTACAGGAGGATGAATGCAACCTGCGAGTTGTCGATTGTGGAAGTCTCGGTAAGATAAGTTAGCAATGAGCCCCGGCATGCAAACAAGGGTAGAACTTCTATCCCCATCCAGTATAATTCATCGTCTGATTAGACACGACGGACATCCCAGCAGTACTTTCCAACGAGCGTCTCCATCTTTGCCTTGAACCCATCACCTGGATTATCTGTCCACAATCCATCGCGTAACGTCAACTCCTCGAGTCGCGTGCCCTGCGCCAAGCGTGCTTCCAAGCAGGCAATTATGATCCTGAAGGAGTGTTCGATGCTGCCGGAACTGACCCTGCATACAAGGATATCTTTTAGGCGCGGTGATGGGATTCCCGTTGAGAAACCGACGGGAGGTAAACGGAGGGCTTCGAATAAAGAGCGGACGTCACCGCCGAGCAAGACATGGATATACTCGAGGTCAGGCCAGCAGGTTAAGGTATCTCGCCACTGTTCCTCAGTAAGGTCATACTCCCCTTCGACATTCAGGCCGACCACTGAAGGGCCAAACATTGCTGCTAATGCAGGGAGTGCAGTAGGCACCAATGGTGACAGGTCGATGTTGTTATAGGTCACATATACCCGTAAACGCATATCTTCCTGGTAGCGGCCACCGGGACCGTCGAAGGCACTGATTGAAAAGTGGTTGTGCTCGCCGGTCAGGTTGACATGGCGAATGCTCTTTAGGTTATCGAGCGCCGACGTGTCCGGGGGAAAAATATCGTGTATCAGGTCAGGAAGGGGGTGACCAAATTCGCGATGTGCCAATATGCGGATTTTGAGGAAGGCGCGAGCGGGTATAGCGAGATGTGCGAGGGTAGACGATATGGTACGTGAAGTGTCCTCCAAATGGATTACTCTGAGTTGCGGAAGGGAAACAATGCGAGTATCCTTCGAAGCCCCAACATTTGGGCCAGCATGCCATAACACCAGTGATTGTAAGTCCGGACTGGCCTGTATCATATCCAGAAAAGTGTTCATGGACAATAGCTTATCACTGGTTCTGTAATACAGCTCCAAGTTTGTCAGGCGGGATAGTAAGGGAGATGACCAAGCGATGCAAGCCGGATTCAAGGCGATGGACCGGAGTGCAGGGAATTGGTCGCGGGGAGGATTGAAAGGGGTCAAGTCATCCCATCCATCGTCCCTGAGTAACTCGAGAGCCTCCATATGAGGCATTGGGATGGTTAGAGCAGCGAAAAGTTCGAGCAAGTGCGACTTATCCATGGTACCAAGCTCCAGAGTGCGAATGCGATGTGCATGGGGTAACACCATCACAATGATGCCAGTGACGTTGTGGGTACTGCACCGGCATCTGACCAGCATATCTCTGGGATAATGGATGTCGATCAGGGTGTTCTGCGACCGTTGCAAATAGAGCCTGCAGAACTCGAGATCCCTGGTCACATCGATGGATGACCAGAGGCTGGGCATTCCGAGAGCGATCCCCCTCCAATACTGACACACGAATGTCACTCTCAGCCAAGCCATTCCAACTGGCGAAATATTGTTGCTGTAGTCCAGACTCCGCAATATCACGAATATTTCCCCCAATATTTCATTAGGAAGCCGATTGACGGGGGGTTCCGACGTAGGAGAAGGACCTACAGTTTTCCTTTATTAACGTCGCATGTCAAGACGAAGTCGCACAATAAAGACCTACTGATCGACGAGATCGGACGCTGAGCCACTGTACGACAAAGAGTGTCCTCCGGCATTGGATCCAACAACGAAACTGACGATCGATACTGCAATCCGAGTTCTTAGTTGCTAGTTCTGTGGGCTCGTATAAGTCTCTGACTGAGAGGGTAGTATCGTCAGAGTGTTGCTGCTAGTTACTAATACGAGTATTCGGAAATTACTTACCTGGACAAAGGTTGGCAAGGCGCGTGTAACGGGAAATATGCGAATGGAGAGATTATGCGGCTTGCAGTTACTTGAAAAGCAAAGTCGTCGAAAGTCTATTCCTTCGCACACACGGTTGTGACGGGCTGACACGAGGCTACTCACCGCCGTTTCCAAATCAAGACCGCGACGACCACCATTAAGCGCCTCGCGGTTTGTCTCCTGCTCTTGTGGTGACAAGCCTGCGTGGACTTGCCGCTGGTACCTGCTTTGTCCCAAACCACCATACTTCAAGTAGTTACTGGTTCACCGGCCACGCACTGCGAGCCACTTGCCACTCGTATTCCCTTCTCAGCATCGGACTAGTCCTGACATCAAGCTTCGAATGGCTCTGGTATGTGCCAACCAACTGCTGAGAATTTGGGCATCCCCAGACCATTTGACTCCATCTACGACGTAGTACCTGCCGGAAGCACGTCTGAAAGTCGCCAAACTTGTTCTTTGGAAGCACGCGGGTTGTCGAGATGTGGTGACATGCGCGTATCCCATGTTCCCAGATCCCACAAGCATTCGGTCTCTATTAGCTAGTCATCAGATGGTTTGAGAATCCAAACTACATCAAGTTAGAAACGCGTAAAGATCATCGTTATCCATCAACCATAAGAAGACTCGGGTATGGGAGCTAGGATTACTAGTAGTAGGTGAATCCCAATTCTCCTCAGGTCCAAAAACGTCCTCCATGAGCTTCCCAAGTTTACCCGGTGGAAATACCTTCTTTAGGTGTGCATCGAACTCCTGCGAGCTCAAGTGATTCAAGTCTCTGAACTCCATCCAGAGTGATCCTGAACTTGTCGAAAAAAGAGAACCACACCAACCCTTCCGCCACCAATCCCTCTAGCCACGCCTTCATCTTTATGTCCTTGTCCTGCTCTATGACTGTCGCGTCGCTAGTCTGCGCTACTCGGCGAAACTCGGTGATCCAAACGATGACAGTTTCCATGCTGGAAGGATCCTCAAGCAACCATCCAACTTGTGCAGCCTTGATATGCAGCATATCGTTGTCGCTTAGCCAGCCGTCGATGGGCCACTCTAGATGATACGGGAAATCGCTAAGGACGATTTCCAACTGCTGAGAGATCTTGCGCACCACAGGTATGGCCATGGCATACCCTCCAAGAAGCATTGGCATATTGCTGCAACAAGGATGAAATGAGAAACTCAGCATGCTCAAAGACAGGCGAATGTCCCTTCACAATGGGGTATGTTTGGTCAAAGGTAACTTGCAGCTCCGGCATGATTAGAGGAGATGCGTTCTATGGACGTGCACAATATTAATACGACAGAACTGCGTCGGAAGAGACAGTACCGTGGATAGCGCGATTGAAGGTCCCTGACGGCTCTGTGGATAGGATATTTATATGAAGTAGCTGCGGGCGGCGTACATGCCCAAATCGAAAGTGAACAAATTAATAGCTACCCTTGCAGTAATCGCAACCGCTTTTCATAGCGCGAAGTTCATCATATACGTAGGAACCAAAAGCTGCAATTAATAAAATATTACATAGTACGGTGCGAGCACAGTATAATCTCCGCAGAGAGCTGCGAGCACAGGCCAACCAGCAGTACTGTCGACTGAAAGTCAGTATCGTGCACGGTGGAGGTGCGGTATGTTGAGGACGCCGGGACAAATATTACTATGAACAAGATGACAGGAAGTGAGACAATCCAGATGCACGTACAAGGAATCCGATCAAGCACAACCTACTAGTCTAACATATACACCAGCCCAAAAGATTAGATAGATGAGGGGGGGGATCCGGTCGGCACCGAGAGGGAACAGATATGTATGTCGCGGTGCGTATCATCCGATATAGATAGTAATATGACATGCTATGTATCAGCTGAGGTGAAGAACCACAGACGAGCGCGTACCATGCCAGTTCTACCGCTTGCGCTTGGGGTGGGACTCTAAGCGCCCGCTGCCGTCGCTTGCATCGAGCGCACTTCCACCACTCCCCTCCTCCTCCTCGTCCATTGGGACCAACCCGCTTGCTGGACCGGGTACAGGGACAGGGACAGGAGACGCCGAACCATCATGCTGGTCCTCCAGCACCACATCCATGTGCAGGGGCGAGCCCTCCGGCAAAGGTGGGAGCGCCATTTCGTCGTCCGCCATCTCCTCGTCCGCGTCCTCAGTCAGGTCTACGACGTCTTGCGGAACAAGATACGTGTTGATGGGCAGCGCCGGATGTCGTCGACCTCGCGCGGATCCCAGCCGCGGCGCCCCCGTGTCTGGCTCCACCTCCGTCTCCGCTCCCGCGTCTCGCTCTCGTTCGCGATCACGCTCTCTGCTGCTTCCATCCCCAGTGCCAGGGCGCTCGACCGCGGAAACAAGTGGAGTGACCCCGACCATCGAGTCTGCGTCCCCTTCCCCGTCCACTTCTACCTCGACCTCGACGTCTTCATCCAGATTCGCGAATGTCCTACACAGAGGGCACGAGAACGCAGGGTGGTGCGTCTCCAGCAGTGGCCGTATGCACTTGAAATGGAATGCATGTGAGCACGGCGCGATGAACAGCGCCTGATGGATCGTCACTGCGAACAGGCCTGCGAAGTACTGTCAGGCGGCACACCAGACTCATCGACACTGATACTCACAGATGCAGCAGTCGGGCAGACTCGACTTGTAGTGGACCACTTTCCTGTCTGCCGCATCGATCTGCGGCTGTAAAGCGATCGCCTTCAACTGCTTCAGTGCGTTTGCGCTGCAAATGCTGTCAGTAACAGATGACCGACACGTTTAAACACCACATACTTGAACGGATTCGAATGCGTCTGCCATTCACGCCCGACCTCAATCTTGATCTTCACACACTTGTAGATGTCCTCGGTGCCGCCCTGATAGTCCACTCCCAGCTGCAGTAGATCCCCATCCCGCAGCTCCGTCGGTCGCGACTCGGTATTCGCCGGCGAGAGCCGGACATGATTGAGAAACGTGCCGCTGCTCGACTTGGTATCTTTTATAAAGAATCGGCCCCCCAACTCGGCCCAAATCTCTGCGTGCGCACGGGACACGACTTTGCTCTTGAACGCGAGCTTGTTCGACCCGAGCGCGTTCGCCGCCGCCGGTCCTAGGCCTGACCTGTCCGTGAAGCGACCGATCCGCAGAGGAGGTTCGCCCTCCTTCACATCGCGAGAGATGGGGTCAAACCGCAGCGACCGCCGGTTGTCGAGATGGGGAACGAGTCGGATCCTGTGAGAGGCCGTTGGCGCTGACGAGGCCACCACGGTGCGTGCGACTGCGACGAGGGGAACTTGGGGTGTGGCGGTGGTAGCGAGCGTGCCCGCTGAGCGTCTGCGTCGCAGCATGTGCGAAAAGCCAGGCGTCGATGGGGACTGAGATAGGGAAGTCTGGAGGTTGGGTGCTGCTGCACGACGTCGGTGTCCAGATGCAGGGTCGTTTGCTGAAGGAACTGGAGGAGGAGAGTCTCTGGAAGGGTCGTGGAGCGGTGGTGGTGGTGGTGAAGGATGCGATTGTGAGGTGCCGCGCGGGCGTGGGCGAAGAAAACTGCCCAGGATCGATTGCCGTGCCGGCGGGGACTCGTTACCAATTGTCAATGGGTCCATCGTTGGCGAGTGTTTGTTTCGCGTCGTCGTCGTTGTTGCTGCTGTTGCTGTTGTTGTCGTCGTCGTCGTCGACAGCTGTGGAAGGGTGAATCGTTCAAATGTTGTTTGACGCCCGTCAGCCGCTTTCGGCACGCCTCGTGCCACTTCTCTTTTTGTCACTCTCCGTTCTCCGCCCAAGGTCCGTCTCTCGTTGGATTTTTGCTCCAGCCCTTTTCTGTCTTCCGTTCAGTATGGCAGCAGTACTCGGTTGAAGTCGACGAGTGGTATAAGGGTTCCCCACGGCCGCATCTTTTTTTGGTCCGCAGATAGTCCGGAACGTGTACGCTCTGATAAGGGCAATATGCAATGTTGGGCGTGTTCGGTCCTTCTTGCTATGAGATACTCTGGTTTCATCGTAATGGGGTCTCGTTGTGTCCCTTGACATCGTATGACTTGTAAGTGTTCCTTCCGCCTAAATATCGGCCTGTTCAAGTTGGCAACAGGATCGTCAATCCTAGGAAGTTACTCAGCACATGAGACGTTCGTGAGTTCTTTGCTTACCGTGGAGTCTGCATTGTGATGATAAGAGAACACCAGTTGTGATGCTCTCATATACCGGAGTTTCAGAATACAGACGAAGTAAGAGTCAAGGTTTTTTGAGCAGTCGAGTCCCTTATATGCATGCTGCTTTTGCTCCTGATAAGTCCTTGAAAGAGGAGAACTGTAGGAGTTCATAGGATAGTTTGCCAGCGGGATTTTGTGTCTCTTACACTTGAAACGTGATGGTTGGCATCCTCTGATATCTTATTTCTTGTGGCAGCTGTATTTGCCCTTTCTATAGCTGCTTCTCATGTTACTCTGTAGTCACTGTCCATAACTGTTGACAATTCAATTCATCCACAACTTTCGCAAAGAAATTGTGTCAGTACAGTAGCAATCATTGAGATCCGAACTCCCGGAATCCACGTCCCAGTAATAACATACCTGTGAATGAGTGCATCCAATGCTTTCGGGGAATATAGGGAGTAGAACCGCTTATAGTGACCATGCACCACTGGCATGCCTTCACATGCCTTCATGCAGAAGACGGAGTTGTCGAACTAGCCTAACTCGCTGAAATTTACTTACGCCTTGCTATCTGCGGACCCGTCAAATGAAATTGGGACAATTGGATGACCTCTACATACCTGCATATCACCAATGATTCTTCTTTCCCATGGTGGGAATGGCAGCTAGTTATATGCGCCCATTTGTATTCAAAAATCGTCACGTCAGCGGGGGTTAGACTCACTATCGTCATCAGTATCCCGTGTTGCACCAGCCGACATTCACGCCGTTGGCGTCTGACCGATTGAACTGCCTATGATGAACTGGAAACGGTGCCTCGGCTTTCCGTAGCTGGTGTCCCGCTAGCGAGCCGTGCCGCAACTTTGTATCGGGTGAAACTCTCGAAGGAGGCACTTATCTGGATCTCCGGCAGCGGTTATTGGATCATCAATGACGCAGCCTCTCAACGAGTATATGCGCTGAGCTTCCTTCATTGATGAAGGCTTGAGCTTACTCAGCTACGGCTGGAAAACTTAGGTGAGCTCGTCGATACAAATAGCCATGGCAAGATGCAGGGATCCGGATGTCAACCCTCATCGACATTACTTACCCACCAAAGAGGGAGACATGCAAATCTCTTTTTGTTCCAACTCTCCCACGACGTAGCGAAAGTTGATAATATGCGCCTTTATATATCCTGAGCCCATATCAGTACCCCCCCGAGTCGTTCGCGACACTCGCTCACATACCGTATTCGCGCCTCCCAGGTGCAAAGCATCGGAATCGAATAGAAACAGTCCAGGGAGTTGCGAGTATGCCAGGTTAGGTGTATAATGAAATCATTTGAAGCTAACGACACAGAATTAGTGGTTTCAGAAGGAAGGTAGAGGTAAGGGAGAAAAAGCGGGACGGAGAATTGTGTTCCTTATATATTGCGCTCCGAGCCAAAAGTCGAGGCGTCAGTCACATGATCACTGGACGAAGTCACCGGATTTAGAAATTTTGTTGCCCCTCTTGGACGTTCCCCTTGAGCAACTCGTTTATTAAATTGGTTTATAGGCAGAGTGTCAAACTTTCTCTCCGGAAGGCCTTGTCTATGTTAATAATTAAGCATCTGGCTGAAAGTCAAGCTCCGGTGGTCTTGTGCCCAGACGGTTATCACACCGCACCCTACCACCGAGGTCTTGCGCAAAGTCGCTCAGATGTCGGGGATATCTCCCCTCGTGCTATAGAATGGCCGATAAGCAACTGGCTGTTTGAGAACAACATGCTGTACGTCAAAGTTGAAGTTGGATGGCCTATATCGCTCTGCGACCCACTGGTAATCTCGTCGCTGAAGGGCAGCGGAGGCAATCTTTATCTTACGGCTGTCTCGGGGGCACTCACTACCGCAATTGGACCGATTGATTTGATAGCAATTCTAGTCTGAGAGTCTGAGGCTCAATAACATAATTATAAGTACACAAAACACAATAAAAATAGGTAAAGTTGTGACGAGGACGAAGTGAAGACAAGAGCGCTCATGGCTCCGCACCCAGGCATTTCATGAACTTCTCATATGTCATTACCTGGTTGCGCTTCCGAATTTGTGCTCGAAGTAAAATGTCACACATAGGGAGTTCTGCTGTCTCTCCAGTTTCCAATATGTGAAACCGCTCGCCTCGCAATTCTCTGATACCCGTATTGGCTCGGGCAACCATAAGTTGAAGCGGGAAAACCCACGCCTGTGCGAGTGCCGCATATTTCGGATGCGCTTTAGCCATTGTCTTCTTGTAGTCCTCTGGCTCGTGCAGGAAATCTCGCTTGACTCTGCCTATGTCAACAAGTGTGTTGGCTTCCCATAACCCAGTTTCCCGGAATTTGTGCTGCTCTGGGTCAAATAAAGCACAGAACCAGGCCAACAGGAAGAAGAATGACTCGAGGTCGTGCCGATACCGATGGTAAGGGGTGCTGCCATAGGTTAAAAGGTCGAGCGCCATGTAAGGACCTGTGCCAGTGCGGTAGCGAGGTTTCCTCTTCGTGTCTTTGTCCCCATCCGTTGTCTGCTCATTTTTCTCCGGCGTTTCGACAGCTTGGTCTTTAGATCCGTCTGTGGCCTTGGCTTCACCGTTAAACACTGTCGAATCTGCAGCCGTCAATCTAGGCTCCTCCGTGGGACCATTGGATTTTTTCTTAGGCATTTCCACGAGCATCTTGAATTCGAGCTGGTCACTGTCTCCATCAGGTTTGTGCAGTGCTAGGTCCCAGTCGCACAGGACACCACACACACTGTCTCCGCTCCGGTGGAACATAATGTTGTCGACACTGATATCACGGTGCAAAACTCGTGCATATTCCCAGACATAATGGTGGGCTATAACATCATCATCAGCCTTCAAGAGCACGTCAGTGAGAAGAAGATCCGCGCACCTCGGACGACATCAGTGAACACCTTCTTGAACTCATCGACACTACACACCGATTGCAGTGGTTCATGCTTTGTCAGCACGAGCAGTCTTAATTCCCGAGTGTCAGGAGATTCCAGGTGCGCGTCTGGCAAGAACGCCCTGGGAAGTCCGACAGCCTCCATCGAACGCGTGACGGAACATTTGAGGTCAACAATGTGCTGCAGCATGTTTGGCTTCTTCCCAAGTGACTGACGGACAAGTCTGATGAGAGAGGCTTCAGATGCACGCTCCTGGGGCTGCCACGACATCTTCGCCACGAGCGCTGCATCACCGAACTGTGCAGAATTTGCGGTTGTCTTGACTGGCACCACTGTTGTCCCTCGGCCAACAATCCCAAAATCGGTGAGAAGACCCCGGCTGGTATCGACCTCAAAATCGAGGGCGCCCATCACACGACCGTTCACATCTATAGCCTGCTGGTCCGGTATCTCAAGATGCGCGTCGTCATAGCTTTGGAAGCCCGACTGCCCGAACGTCAGGAACGGCGAGATGCCCATCGTTGCCAAATCTGCGGAGCCCATTGCTGCGAGGACAAGCAGCAGAATGTGCGGCTCCTCCACGAAGTTGAACGGCTCTGATTTGATCAGGCCCATCCTGTCGGCGTACCACAGATGCACGGTCAAACCATCGACTGTGAGTCCGGAAGAGTACGAGCGCACTCCATGGGACATCATCTCCAACTCGTATTTCACCGCCTGTCTCTCTGTCGCGGTGAGTTGCTTGAATTCCGGCAGCTGTTCCGCGTCACCAATATCGACCTCCGACTCCGACACCTTCGCGTCCTCTGCCCCAGCCTCCTCCGCATGCGATCGAGATCGCTTCATCGGGGGTTCGGGCTGGTCAAAATTCTCAGAGGGTTCCTTGCGCTTTCGCGTCTGTGGCCCCCCAGGAAGGACGGTGTCGTGTGATCGGGCACGTTTGCGTGGCCGCTCGGATACGACAGATAGCTCATCCTCTTCATGTGGAGCATCCTTCCTCTTGTTCTTGCCGCGCACTGGCGGATTTTCAATAAGCTAAGCACTTGAAAAGTTAGAACCATTCCTCGCATGAAACAGATATACGCACTTCTTTCAATCTATTCACATCAATTGGAACGTCGCCTTGAACGTTACAGTCGAACTTTCCTCCATTTCGCTTGACCTCCACGCAAGAGAGCGTCCATTCCCACCTCTGCTTTGTCCGATCAGAGACGACAGAGTAGGAAATGTCCGGCTTATAAGAGCCATAATTTCCTTCGATTGTATGCTCTCGCATGTTGATAAACTTTGCGGGGATGGATCGTTGGTCGTCAATGGCTTGAAGGAGATCTTCGAATATTCCACAGAGCTCATCGTACATCATCTTCTCGTGCATCTGTGCTCTTGCCCAGTACCTACGACAGCGAGCACCCGACAGCGATGGATTTATATTCTGCTCATTGAGGTTATTGAGGACATCCAGCAGCCTCTGTGGGTCATATTTCCAAACATGCTTGACGAAGGCAAGAACGGTGAAGTCGCGCTTCACGTGGGGTATCAGGGTCAAGTCGATATATTTCTTTGTGGCCTGATCTATAGTGCCATGTCCAGTCTTGAGCATTCCCGAGCCCTTGGGGTGGACAGGTGTCGGCTTCGCTGCAAAAAAAAGAGGCAGAATTAGACTCAACATGTGATGCATGTGGGAAGACGACTTACAGCCACCCATCTCGGGCATAGAAAGTGCTTTCCGCTCTGGCGTTCTCGGCGGCGTATGGGATGGTAGCGGGTCTGAGCATGGTTTGGTAAAGTGGGTAGGCAGTGGGTGCAGAACATCTGCAAGTTCATCTTGGTAATCAGAAACGGTGTCGCGGTCGTCAGACATAGTGAAGTATGAAGCGAAGTCAGAGTCGGGGTAGAAGTCGTCGAGGTGGTGGAGACGAGTGTGGTTGATGTTGGTCAAGTCGGGATAAAGATAACAAAGTCGAGGAAGAAGAGCATCGGAGAATGGGGCATCTTTATTTATACTCATGTTTACAATCTGGCCCAAAGTCACGTTGTGAAGGTTGAAGTGGCCACGGACAGAAGTGGCTGCGAACAAAGGGCTACGCGGTCACGTGGTTTGGCGTTGCTGCGACACGCTGTATCATTACATGGCCGGGTAATCGCTGACTCACTGAGTGATCACATAGCTTGCACAACAGAGTTGTGTCGTTGAGATCGTTCTAAGATATGTCGTGCAGTTCTCCGAAGCTCTCGAAATGTCTGGCTAGCACTTTTTTACGAGGTTGACTCGCGTGATTCTCCTGCGACCTGGGAGTTCGAGTTCACCTCACCCACCCACAAAGCCTGTTCCCTCCAGCACTCTATAGATACCTGACTATTTCATCGATCTTTAGGGAGGACCAGAAAATATAACGATTTGGAAGATACTCATGTTGGCTCACTGACCAAATTCGTCTAGATTTGGAGAAGTGCGAGACCAATGAACACTGAATTATACTACCCTGGGACTTTCCTCCATCGTATTCCTCGCCATGCTGCCGAAGTAGCTTATGCAATCAAAGCACTGTTCAGTGGTCACCTCATTACTAGTGCATAGACTTTGCAATCGTTCACTGCGATGGTACTCGATCGTTCTTCACTTTCTTCTACTACTTATATTTATTGACAAGTGATACATCAGGCCCTGGCACCGTGATGCTGCTCTTGAGGACCTGTATTCAAACCTGGGTCTCTACCTTCCGTGCGATATGGATGATACCAGCATGAGAGGCTGCGCAGCACCCCTCCGTATCAAGAACACTACTTATACGTGTCCATGTCGTTCCATCTTCTGAATGCTTATCTACAAAGCCAGATGCTTGTAGACACCCTGACGTCCAGTTTTACGAGATTTTCGACATCTATCTCGCGATCTTAGACTTATTCCTCGATATAGCCTTACCGTGTTCGGGCTACTAGATGGTGCCAGAATTTTTCAGTCTTTGGATATTATTGCAAGTTGCTCTTAGGCATTTTTCGTTGAGATATTTTCCAGGAAACCTTACATCCATACGCCGCGTCGAACTTACTATTACGGCGTTCCACCGCGTCAATATCCGCAGCCAGGAGGATACGTATACCCGTTTGTGCGTGAAAGTGATCCACGCCAACCTCTCATTAGTCTACCTGTCATAACTGGGGCCTCCTACACTCCCTGCATTATCAGCAGTTGTTTGCCATTCGGATGACCGCCTGCATGTTGAAGGGGAGTGTAACCTTACAGTGAAACAACGGTGAGATACCCATAGTTGCTGGCCCGACCTCGATTACATCCATGTTTTGCTCAGCAGTGAAGTCCACTCCAAGTTTGTTCGAAGCACTTCGCTTGCCTTCCGTGACGTCTGTTACCAGGATTCTTTATCTCGACGACAGAAAGTTTGCCCACGTCCTGCAGGAGGCTACTGATGCTTCAAAAATTTAATCATATCGATTAGCACTGCCGGCTGTAAGTATTGCGTACAAGCATATTTACGAGAGAACAAACTGTAAAGGATTATCTGCCAGGTTATGGATGAGTATGGAATGCCCTCAATTTTCTCCTGCGGTTCTTCCAGCCGTTGGACATAGCACACCCATCATGCGCAAAGGTTATGGGCATTGCAATATCCCTAATAAAGTGCACGATATATGGCTCAGATGACTGCAGAATGATCAAGGGCACGATTGCGATCGACGATTTGCTGCCGCACTTCAGTTCGATTCCGAGTGCGTTTCCATGAATGGTATGTCACCTACCTGGAAAGGACTAGTACGTTCGTGACCAAGGCACGACTTCACGAAAGCCCTCTTTCAAGGAAAGAGCCTTTTTCAAAAAACTGACGATGCGTCTATGATATCTTCTATATATTTATCTGAGAATGATTGTAGTATCGGTTACGAGTTCAGCTCAGCAAATCTTCGCACGGACCTAATTCCTAGCCAGAATTTCCAGGGAAATACTTCCGATAAAATAGGCTGCGCTTTCGAGCGCGCATCGTTCCTGCGGAACAAAAGGCAAAAATATATGGTGCTTATGCATGAGCCATATCGGTCCGCTTCGAGTTGAACGCCTCGTCCGTCATCTATAGCTCAAAATGTGGATGATTCAAGTCCAGGTTGACTCGTAAACTGACGCCCTCTTGTTTCTTTCTTGCCCTAGCACCAAAGAATTCGCGGACCTCTATAAAAGATAAAAACCCGAGTCATCGACACGTTTGTCCAGAGTTTACTATCATGCGACGTTCAATTAACGCGAGGCGCCGGAGGTGACGGCTTGTTGTTCATTTTAAGAGAATTCCGGCATAGATGAACTGCACCATGAATTAATCAGATTGGCACGGGAAACGAAGGCAGGCTCACTGTACTGAACACGTCGATGGACGCCGATGCATTTCCTTCCTAGCAGAGGTTAACGGAGACAGCTCATCATCGTCGTATAATCTCTCTACGAACATCGTGTTTCTCACCAAAGTCTAACAGCTTCATTTCCACTGTTACAATTCCCCGATGTTCCTCGATTTCCTCTGCCTGTGATTAGTTCAAAGCATCGCTTCGCTCGCTTCGACTTGCAGTCGATGATAGCCTGCCTGGAAGTAAGACACTTTAAGTGCCCTCTGTAGGAGGTCACAGTGGGAACTCAGAACACATGAGATGCCATTGTTCGAAGCAGGTGATGCGGTAGAAGGGATTGAATTCTCAACGAGGAACACAAACCGCCTGGGCGTCTAAGTATTCGCCCCCCCTTCCTCCTGCTCCTGCTCGGTTGGCGTCCGTTTCAGCTCCCAGCTCACTCTTGCTCAAGAGTGAGCCTTCACTCCCATCAGCGCACTTCAGAACACGTTCTTTTCTTCTTCTCTCGGGTTCTTTAACGCCACCGACCCGGTATCCTGCCTTCAACTGTCTGAACCAGCGGGATCATCGTTTTCACATCTACCTTCCATTCTATCTACCGGATCGCACGTGTAGGACATGTCTGCGTCATCGTCCTCGTCTCCAACTCCCGGCTCAAGCACACAAAGTTCGCGCCCATCCCTCGAGAATGGCAACGAGCCGAACAGGTACACTCGCCCGCTTACGCAGGAATACCGTCGCTGATGCTGTACAGTGTGGTCATTAAAGTCGGAATGTTGGGCGATTCGCAGATCGGAAAGACGAGTCTCATGGTGAAATACGTCGAGGGGCACTTTGATGAGGATTACATTCAAACACTGGGTGCGTGCCTCTCAAGCTGTCTGCCGTTCATAAAACTCACCATACCGTTCGCTATCAGGCGTTAATTTCATGGAGAAGACAATCACAGTGCGTCGCACATCAATCACGTTCTCGCTGTGGGATTTGGGCGGGCAACGGGAGTTCGTGAACATGCTTCCGCTAGTTTGCAACGATGCCGTTGCCATCCTATTCATGTTTGACCTCTCACGGAAGTCGACACTCAACTCTGTCAAGGAGTGGTATCGACAAGCGCGTGGTTTCAATAAGGTGTGTCGTCGGCACCGACCTTCTGACCAGAATCCGCACTGAGCTGTCGTCTCTCAAGACGGCAATTCCATTCCTGATTGGCACCAAATTCGACACCTTCTCAGCATTCCCTCGAGATGAACAAGAAGAAATCACAAAGCAGGCGCGTTGTTTCCTCATACTATTCACGTTATTGCATCTCACTAATCCACACGTGCAGGCGAAGCGCTTCGCGAAGGCGATGCACGCGTCGCTCATCTTCTGCTCAACGTCAGCGTCGATCAACGTGCAGAAGATCTTCAAGATCGTGCTCGCGAAGGCCTTCGACCTGAAATGCGTCATACCCGAGATCGACGGCGTCGGAGAGCCAGTGCTTATGTATGTCGACGTATAGTGGGGTTTTGGAGGCGATGTTTGCGTTATGCGAGGTCGGTGACGGATCGTAGGGGAACTGGAAGGGATGGCGAGGTGTGTGGTATACGTCACGTGACGTGTTTGGTCTGACTGGCGTCACGGTCTCGGTTTATGTTGTACAGGCTGAAGTGCCGTTGTATTATTGGTGCACCCTACAAGATTACCCCGTTCGCTCTGCGCACTTCACACCGAGCGCTTAGACTGTCGACGTGCTATGTGCTCGCAAGACAAAAGAATTTCAAGAATATCCTAATACGGGCTCGAGCGCATGGTCGGACTCCATCTTCCTCTTCCTTCCCCCACATACCCTTCCGTTCAGTCGTCCTCGCATCTCGTATTTGCAACCGCGCGTCCACCAGCTTTATCCACTGCATCTCGTCCCCTTGCTCGTATACGTCCCTGTTGTCGTTTGTTCGTCTACTGCATACTTACTCTATGTCTGCGCTTATCTCGCTCGTCGTCTGCATTTGCCGTTTTTATCTAATGCCAATGTGCTGTTACCTATGTTCACAATCGGGGTGCATCACATCGTGTTTATGTTCATGCGGTGGAAACACGCTGTCGTTGTATCCAGTGGGGCTTGCAGAGGAATGTCTAGGGAAAGTTCCGAGCATCTGCGAAGATGGCATGCTCCTACGCTCCTCTGCGAATTCTTGGCAAATCTGAAGGACAATTGAGCTAGATGATCGGAATCACCGCTACTCTTCGTCGAGCCTTCTCTTGTGACTACTGCGCCATATTACGCGGCAAGGAAAAAAGAGTGCTTGCTTTCTGGTGTATCGCTCTCTCAGAGATCGAATGACAGCACTGTGAAGGTACCACTGCGATGCTGCACGGCCGAGCCGAGCATGACACCCGTATCTCAGCAAGCTCCGGGGAACACAGTGAAACCGAGAAGAGAAATAATTTCAGTAAAAACTATATACATCTATATATTTTTTCTGAAATATTCCCAACGGAGACTACAACTTTCCTCCTGATAAAACGATCCTAGTAAACCAAATCCGGAAGGTGGCATACCCCTTATAGATATCTGTGCTGCGAACGACTGGTGCTCTGGGGTTCCACAAAGTTATGCTTAGTAGGTACGTACAGGCATTCGGAAAAGAACACCTACTATTCCACAAAATGTGGGTAACAGAGGTTGCGGACACAACTGTTTTATGATTCACTCGCTCGGCTCAGATGGGTACAGTGGCTTGTGCGAACAGGTTAATCGCGAAATTAGGTATGGGGAGGGAGTATAAGTCTCACATTACATCGGCGTGGAACTTTGACAAACGCTACCATATGGGTCAACGCACTTGCAAGGTCAGAATCTCAGAGGGCTTACCAAGCACGTGATTGTGGTTGTTCTCACTCTCACTGCGCTTCACTGTATCATTGCCCGCTCCTAAGCCAGGCTCCAGCGATTCGGTACTGAAGTGACATGTTCTGTCATCTACCGGTCTTTGATTGCTCTGCTCGGACGTGGGCCTTTTCTGTGGTTAGTGTGCATGTTCTGGTTCCTATCATAGATAAACATCAAGAGATAACACGGAACAGCACGAGAATAAGGTACGTGCAGTCGCACGACCACGTTGTTCCTCATCTGGGATGACCATCGTTGTCTTCTTTTTTTGCGTGAGTTACTTCCATGCCCAATGAACTATCTCTGATAATGGGTTGTATATCGGTGAATCAGACTTCTCGAGGAACTCACGCATGATTCACACGGGCGAAACTGAAGGCAGCCCTTGGGTATTCTTCTACGCGATATGGACGTAACCCATGTTCGTGCGTCTCTCAACTTTCTCGAATGAACTCATGAAATTACAGATGATGCCGATACAGGTGAAGGATTTACGCTGAAAGACTAGTCCGCAGGGTTCAGGTTTCCCAGCGCTATCGATGCATCTTGCGGGACTGAACAATCTTTTTCAGGATACTCAGGAGCGATGGCGGCGTACCTCAAGTAATAATAACTCAATTGACTTCCCGGATCTGCTCGCCATATGGCTGATCTTGGTGTTCGTGCCACCCTGCCTGTCTCCGCGACCAAGTCCCTGGACGACATCTTGAGTCACTTGCGCTCTCGATATGATTTATGTTATTGGCGCTTGGCGGTTTCCATAAGCTTTCCCAGCAGCACTAGCCTCTCAGACATTTGTGGCTACTTTGGTTTATCGATGGCTACTTCCTCGATGTTTTCTCGGACGTAAGGGACGCCCGTTTATTTATGTCTGCATGCTTGGAGGTCCGGAAACACTTCTCTTTCAGTATGTTCGTCCTGGCATCGCCTACTGTTCGCCTGACTGGCCATATTGTCACGTCGAGATTTGATTATCGGTCTTCGAGCGTCAGCTTCGAGAATCAAGGTTGCGTTTATCAGGATCTCCATATGCCTCAAGCCTGCCCACGATCAGCGCAACGGAGGCAGTCGCATGCTCCGTATCTCTGTAAGGCAGGTTCCCATATTGTCCTTCGGTCGAAATGGTCATACAGTACTGGCGGTCTCACTCCCTTCTGCAGCAGATCAATCCCTACCGGAGTATTTGAATGACAATCGAATGGGAGGTACAAAAGGATCGCTGCCAGGAAAGGTGGGCTTCAGACCTGCACATTGCGCTTTCCCGTCTTCCATTGACCTCGTCTCATCGCGTCTATCTGCTTTTCATGCTGCCCTCTATGACTCTCGGTCGTGCTGTTGTCTCAGCCGTCGTGGCGTTTACATCTCTCGTTGCTGTCAGGGCGACTGAGGTGATGCAGCGGCCTGCGGACTACATGGATCCCGTCCGCATATATCCCACAGGCAATCCATTCCCTCAGGCTATTCACAAGCGTGCAGGGACTGGTTATGTCCAAGCTGCCTACTTCACGAACTGGTATGACCCTCCATACAAGTCGGCATCGATGTTAATTTTTGTCTGTGTGTAGGGGCATCTACGGAGCTAACTTCCGTGAGATAGATTTACTGTCGCATTTTCAGGCTTCGCTGAATTTATCTGCCTCACAGAGCCAACCAACATCACGCCGTCTGATCTCACTCACATTCTCTATGCTTTCGCGGATGTGTCTCCAGACACAGGTATCATCGCACTCACTGATACGTATGCGGACGAACAGGTATGGAGATAAGCACATATGTTTCACTTTGCAAGTGATTAACTGATTGCATCTAGAAACACTTCCCTGGAGACTCATGGAGCCAGCCCGGAAACAATCTGTTCGGCTGTCTGAAACAGGTACGTATCTATTATTTCTTCGACAACAGCATATCTGAGAACCAATCTTCCAGATGTATCTGCTAAAATTGGCAAACAGGTACCTGTTCCTCGTCTCCGCGTTAGTGGTTTGGCCCAATATTGACTAGCTCTGTAGGAACCTGAAAGTTCTGCTGTCAATTGGTGGCTACACCTATTCGCAAGACGGACACTTCGCATTTGTCACTAACTCGAGTCTGCGTTCCGCATTTACTACCAGCGCCGTCAGCTTCGTCGAAAACTTCGGTTTGGATGGAGTTGATCTCGATTTCGAGTATCCGAATACCCCGGCCCTCGCGCAGGGCTTCGCAGACCTCTTGACCGAGCTGAGGACCGCGTTCGATCAGCTCGCGACTTCTAAGGGAGACACTGTCCCTTATCAAATCACTGTCAGTATTCGACCGTATTATGGACAAGGGGGTAGAGTCTAACATGTCCCCTTAAAAGGCCGCTATGCCTGCTGGTTGGCAGAATTACGAGTATCTCCCAGTTCCACAGATGGATACTGCGTTGACCTATTGGAACTTGATGGTATGCCGCATTGTACATCGGTATTGTATCTCTGCTGATGGCAGCATCAGGCGTATGACTATGCCGGCTCCTGGTTGAATTGGGTGAGTTGAATCTAGCTACATAATCATCATATCACTTACTGAAGGACGACTCAAGACCGATAACCAAGGTATGACCTTGCAAATTTGTTTTCGTCAGCATACCAATGCTCTGTCTATAAGCCAACTTGTACGATGGTATTCGCACAAACGTTTCGACTTACAGGGCGTTGTCGTGGTATGTCGAGAACGGTGCTACACCGAGCAAGATGACTATGGGTACGTGACCCTGACTGGATCAACATGTCCAGCTAACAGCATGTACTTGCAGGTGTACCGCTATACGGGCGAGCTTTTGAGGATACAACCGGGATTGGAGCTCCCTACAGTGGTGTAGGTTCCAGCTGGAAATTCGTTTGTTTGTCACTCATACCCTTGTCAGATTGGTCCAGGTACTATACAAGCAGGGATTTACTCTTACAGCGACCTTCCCCTCTCGGGAGCTTCTGTTCGTCGTATAATTCGCTCCAGATTACCTTGACTCATCTTGGCCCGTGATAGGTGTTCGAAAATTACACTGACGTGACAAGCTACTCCTATGATTCGAGTAAGGCCGAGTTGGTATCTTATGATACCCCCAGCATCGCCACTGTCAAAGCCCAGTACGTCATTAACAATGGATTTGCTGGGTCCATGTTCTGGGATGTAGGTGTTCAGACAAAATCTTAACTTTGACGATGAAATTGATGAGTGCTTATGGCGTAGTTGTCGACCGACAAGGTTGGAAGCGAGTCGCTCGTTTACACAACTTCTCAAGTATACGGAACGCTCGATCAAACGCTGGTAAGTTGTTGTGGCAGTTCCTCCCTTACAGGCACTGAAACCAATCTCTCCTAGAACCACATCGAGTGAGTCGCACATCTTACTTCATCTGACCTCGTGACTGAAGTACTTTTTCTTTCTCCAGTTACCCTGACAGCGAGTGGAATAACATCGCGAACAACATGGGCTCGAGCTCAGTATCCTCTGCCCCGACTTCTAGCGCGACGACTGGCACTCCCACGTCCACAACGGCTTCTCCCACCATCACTTCTAATTCCCAGTGCAACGGCATCAGCGCCTGGGCGGCTGCTGTAAGTCGCCTTGTTGAATCTCACCATGTGTATACTGAAGAACGTCATCGCTTAGGCAACCTACACGGGTGGAATGGAAGCGACATACAGTAAGCTAGTCTTCTGAGAAAGCACTGGAAGTTACTAAGTGAATTTGTCCCTCCAGATGGCGATCTCTGGACTGCGAAGTGGTGGACTTCAGGAGATACCCCAGGCGGATCAGGTGAGAATTACTTTCAATAGCATGACGGCTCATTTATCCAAACGCAATTCAGCTGGCGTATGGACTGACGATGGATCATGTTAAACATCGATCCCGTCGTATTCTCACTACTATAAGTTGTATTGGACAATAACCTTCTTTCTTCTATTCTCTTGGGTTTGATGTATCAATTGGTACCGAAATCATTAAGTTTCATACGGCCGTGACACAGGATACCAAATCTACATCAATCAAGCAATCTAAGTTATGTATAGTGAAGAGCAGAAGATGACGGAGTTCGGTCGTTCGAGCATCTCAGAAGCCTTCTCGAATTTTTCTTCCAGCTCGGTGTTCCCGATGACCTTTGCTGCTTGGTTCATCTGGCGTAGCAGTTCTTGCAGCCGCCGGAAAACTCGGATAAGATTTCCCTCAAACTGATCAGTGAGCTAGAGACAAATTTCAATGTGAGCACAGGTGAGAGCAAGAGATCATGTGCACTACCCACCTTGCAGATGTCGGAGAAGGATGCGCCTCGGCACCACTGTACAACGGCATCCATGAGTTCGACCTTGAAGGATTTAACATACTCCTCCTCGTCGATGGCGAGCTTCGACTCCTTAGAGACTTTAGCTATCCGTCTGGCAATCTCTTGCATTACACGTAAAGGTGCCGCCAGTTCCTCCTTCAGCTTAATGACTTGTTCACTCTGGGGTGTTGCGTCGTCAGAATAACGCAGTAAGACTATGTTATAAAATTGTACATACCTTCTCAGCGAATACGAAGCAACTGAGCAGCCCCGCGCACTGCTCGGGTGACAGCGTGTTGAATGCGCCATTGAAGATCAGCTCCGTCAGTAACAGCTCGTCGCCTGTGCTGATCTCACACGCAACACGGCCCTTCATGTCGACGATGTCGGCAGATGTAGTAAATCCAAGTCGCCGCAGGATCCGTTTGCGGCACTTCAGTTCTTCCATCTGTAGCACATCGTTTGTTGCTTGTATTCGCTTCTTGAGCTCCCGGATGCGCGTCTGGCACTCCTGCTTTTGAGCATACAGCGAGTAGAGCTCTGGGAGGCGCGGGTCTGTGTGCAGAGGACTGGAGAACAGCTTACCCTCCATCATATCAATTTTCTGCCAAGAATCATTGATGTAAGCGCGCAGGATGGGAAAGGGGGGGTTCACTCACCTTAACAAGGGCTTGGAATTTATCGTCCTTGACCTCCATGTCCTGAATTGGATCAAGTAATGCGATTCCCTTAGGGAACCGACGCTGCACCTCCTGCACGCTCTTCCAAACAGTCTCCCGTGCCTGCAGTGACCGCAAGTCCTTGGGCATAGAAATTCGTAGGCGACTTATAGCATTGACAGTCGAAAGCAAGACTGGTAACACCATAGGCTCGCCATTCGCGCCCGAAGCACAAGGCTGCACACCACCCGGCGTGGGTGTTGATATGTTCCGGTCCTTTGATAGTGTCGATCCAGAATTGCAATTGAGCAAAACGTCTACAACATACTGCTGGTGCGGTGGAATATCTTCGCTAAGAGGTGGCGCATTCTGCATGGACACCAGTGAGTTGCAAATGACCTGAATTAGTGACACTGCTATCACACCTTTGGTGGTACACGCTTCTGGTAGTTGACGATAGCGCCCCATCCAAAATCCAGCTTCTGGTGCTTCACTTTGACCAGTCGTCCGGATTGCAAGAACGGAAGGCTGTAGTTGGGGTGTGTGATCACGTCTTTGAAATCAGCAGCCATCTGATCGAGCTGCTGTCGGAACTCGTAGTATTCCGCCACTAGCTCCTCATTGGGGATGACAATCGATTTCTTCCTTTCTTCCTCACGCTGTAACTCTGTGAACATGGCATCAAATAGGGAGCAGCAAGATATAAGATGTTTTAGCGCACCATCTTCCATCAGTGGAATCCCAGTACTACTTTGAAATTGGTAGAAGCAACGTTCCAACATGTACTCGGGACTGATTCCTTCGACCTTTATAAGATTGAGGATCATGTTGTATCCTAGGTGGAACGCGGAGTCCAGGCGATCTGCTTCACCCTTGATCATCTGCTTCGCGGAAGTTGGCTCGAGCTTTTCGTCGCACATCATGATCACAATACCACGTTCATCAAGACCCCGCCGACCCGCACGCCCAGACATCTGGATGTATTCACCCGAAGAAAGGTCACGGAAATCGCGTCCGTCAAACTTGCGTGCAGCGGTAAATACCACCGTCTTGGCGGGCATGTTCAGACCAATCGAGAACGTCTCGGTGGCGAAGAGGACCTTGATGAGTCCGTCTTGGAAGAGGATTTCGATAACCTCCTTTAGGATGGGTAGAAGGCCACCATGATGTATACCGATGCCGCGTTTTAGGAGGGGGAGAAGATTTGTGATTTGAGGAAGTTGGCGGTCTTCTGGAGAGAGAATGTCCATGGCATTGACGAAGACTTTCTCCACATTATCCTGCTCGTCAGTAGAGTTGAACTCGAGCTTGGACATTTGCAATGCCAAGGCTTCGCATTCACGCTTGCTGAAAGAGAAGATGATGACAGGGTTGTAGTTTTTCCGCATGATCATCTTGACTATCTTTTGGATATCCGAACTGCCTGCATAGTATGAGTATGTCCGGCCGCGTTGTCTTCGATGTATAAAGCCGCTCACCCTTTTTTTCGCCCCCCTTCTTCGATTTTCCTTTCCTTCCCTTCCCAGCTTTCGGGTCAGCAGGGTCATCGCCCATCTTCTCCTGAAGCATGCCCATTGCCGTGCTGAAGTTGTCTTCCCGGAATTCGCCCTTCTCGTTGACGACCAGATAAATGCCTTCGCCTCCCGCAGGAAACAAATAATGTTGTAGAGGGGTGGGTCGAAAGTCGGTGTAGACGACATGACAAGGTTGATCATGCGATTTGCATATCCACTCGGCGAATTGCATGGCATTGGGTATCGTTGCAGACAGGAAAACGTAGCGTACGGTGTGCGGAAGGAGGATGATGGTCTCTTCCCAAACGACTCCGCGCTCCTTGTCTCGCATGTAGTGGATTTCGTCGAAGATGACCCATGCGACTTCACGCATGATTTCAGAACCGCGGTAAAGCATCGAACGCAGAATCTGCCAAACACGAAGTTCATTATTATACGTGGTATAGATATGGTGGATGACGACCGGCGAACGCGTACTTCAGTTGTCATGACCAGACATGTTGCAGTAGGTCTTATGGTGACATCCCCTGTCATAAGACCGACATCGCCAAACTCTGCCTCCATCTCACGATACTTCTGATTGCTCAGAGCCTATACAACATTGTTCTGTGATTCGCGTTTCAAGGGTAAGAGTCTAACTACTGGCCTTGATGGGACTTGTGTATATTACACGCTGTTTGTTCTGTAAGCACTGAGCGATGGCATACTCGGCTACGACTGTCTTTCCTGCACTTGTATGTGCAGATACAAGCACACTCTCATTCCGTTCAATAGCAGATACAGATACTTGCTGGAAAGGATCGAGAGTAAATTTGTACTCTCGAACAGGTTTCGCAGGCGGAACGTGTTTCGCGATGGGTATGTAATCGTACCCTGGCGGTACCGCAACTTGGTGCCGTACCTAATCCACATCAGACAGGTACACGAATGAAATAACAAACCACGTACGCGATGTCGCAATTCCAATCGAGAACCTGCATCGACGGCACTTTCGAGGCCAGCGCTGGCGGCAACCTCCCGCTTGGCCTCAATTTCGACTTCATCCACCACTAACGGTTGCGATAATGCTACACGTTGCTTTTTTGGTACAGAGGGACCAGCCTCGTCGGCAGCAGGAGAAAGACCAGCGCCGTTCGCAGCTCGGGGAGATCCAGCTTTTCGTTTTCTCGAGGTTTCAGCCTGTGTAACATCTCGCATGACCGCGTCGCCATCGATGTCGCTTATAGTCTCCGCTGGAGCCTCATCCAAAAAAGAGAAGAGATCGTTTGAGCTCATGACTGCCAGAATGTAAAGAAAATAAGCAGTAGACGGGAAGAACAAGTTTGTGCAGGGATTTAGGCTGATAACGTAAATCATGTCGATTAAATAAACAAACTTAATTAATGTGTACTGAGAAGTCACGGTTCGAACTCCGAACGCCGAAGCCTCAACAACCACTACTTATCTGACGACTCCTGCCAATGTTGCTCTCGACCGCCGATATTCTCAGGGATCTCAGGCTGTTGTTGTGGATATAGCGAGTTTAGTGTCGGCGAACGAAGCGATTTAAATAATCTCTGGTGTGTACTTGATCATCGTATGAAAATTGTTGATCTGAAGCAACATCCCATTGCACTTCTTAACAGTGTACGACTGCTCGTTCGATATATAATACCGCACGAATCCTGAATGTTGTTTACAAATCACACAAGCGTTTTCATACACTTGGTCCAGAGACCCTTTCTCAGAGCAGTAAGGATCTCCGAAGACAATCTGTTGCTCACCAGCGCTAGAGTCTGTTTTCCCTGTGCTTGCGGTTCGATGAGGAGTAGGTATATATGAGCATTCTGTCGAGGTGAGCTTCGGTTTGTCGGTCGTCGTCATGAGAATAACTGTGCGAAGAGTCGGTCTATCGCGAGATGTCGAAGTCCGACGTCTATTGTGAGGCAGGAGGCAGTCCTTTCCTCACCTTGATGATGAGGCTAAAAATATTGTAGCTTTTCGAGTTCTTGCACTCAGCGGCTCTGTTGACCCTTCTCTGTGATCGTGCAAATAATACCTTTATTTCCAACGAACGCGTTTAGTGGCATCGCAGGCAATTTGACGTCGTGGGTACGGAACTACGAAGAGAACCATTTATTGCTTTGTTTTCTCCGTTCTCACAATCTTCGGGCCGCTAGATGTTACTTCACATCTGCGTACTTCGCATATTGTTTTCTGCGCGGTATCGCAAACACGTTGCTACAATCTGAACCCCCTCGGCGCACGATTCCAATCAAGAATACCGAGAAGAGGGTAGTCACTCGACGAGTATTTGAGAGACGGTTGACGTAGGTGTTGGTGAGTGGTGTACTGCACGTGTCACTTTCTAGCGCCTCGACATTCGATCACAATGGCAAGTGAATTGTTTCAAGCTTCAGGGGGCTGCTCCGACGTGCTGTCACCAATAGCGAATGATCGATTACCAAGTGACCTGCTAAGCACGACTTTCTGAGAGTTCACAGTTGCGGAACCCGGTGCGTGGTCCACTTTCGTGGGTTCTCCGTTTCACGCATCGCATGACCTTTCGACCCCCTTTCATCAGTAATCGCGACACAGCTGTCGTACGCTTGCGTATTGCTGATAAGATGGCTAGATCCACCCGAGAGTCAGCTGGATTCTCACCGAGATCGAGACACGCAGCTCGTGCATTGAACAGAAGAGTGTTTCCTCTTCTTGCTCCAGTTTCCGTGTCACAATCTTTCTTCGATCGCCCATGCAATGCTTAGCGGACTTCGGGACTTGTGCTGCGACGCGAAACTTACCAGGATGAGAAAATCACTGCCTGATTATGCACGGGGTAACTGCATTGGCTCATATCCAGACCATCATTACTTCGTGTGCAACGGCGCGAGAACGATTACCACAGGACTGGATGAATTTCACTCGCTTGACAAGCGTGCCTTCTTTCTAGGTGAAATCATTGCCATACGTGATAGCAGGCATAGTGGAACCGCAATGTCGGGCTTCCACGAATCGAGGATGGGGAAGACGGAGTCCTTCAAGCAGTTCTCGATCATCTGAACAGATGAATCACCGTCACGTGTAGAACGTCCTAAGTCACGCTCGTTAGTAAATCCGTGGTGCGTTCCACAAGACATCGTTCGTGACCTCGTCGTGATCTGCTGACCGTCGAAAGGTGAAGCAAGAAGCACGGTTCTGCGCCCGAAAGTACGCAGACTACAAATAGCCATCGTATCTCGCTCACACCTCTTCCTCACCTCTTCCTCACTTGCGCAGGATTAGTATCTATCCATCTCGACGCGCGACCATTGCAATGCCTTCCCAGCAGGTTTTTAATTCTCGTGACGGAGCAGTTTATACGACCTCCACTGGTGCGCCAGTGGGTGAACCTTACGCGGCTGAGCGTATTGGCGGGCTCGGCCCCCTGTTGCTGCAGGGTACGCTCGTCGGGATATTCTCCGAGATACAAAAGCTGATCGCATGTCTCGTAGACTTCCACCACATTGACCTGCTCGCCCACTTCGATCGCGAGCGTATTCCCGGTATGTGACTCCTGTCAGACTACCATGTTCTTCAGTTCTTACTATTGTGGGCAGAGCGTGTTGTCCATGCCAAGGGTGCTGGTGCTCACGGTTACTTCGAGGTGACGCACGACATCACCGACCTGACCTGCGCGTCAATCTTCAAGAAGGTTGGTAACAAGGCTAGGGCTACCGTTCGTTTCTCCACCGTAGGTGGTGAATCCGGGTCCGCCGACACTGCGCGTGATCCCCGCGGTAGGCTGTGTTGTCGTTGTAACTGCTTGTCCTGTCTAATGCTCCAATTCAGGCTTTGCCATCAAGATCAAGACGGACGAGGGTAACCTCGACTGGGTGTTCAACAATACTCCCGTCTTCTTCATCAGAGATCCCGCCAAGTTTCCCCACTTCATCCACACGCAAAAGCGTGATCCCCAGACGCACCTGAAGGATGCTGACATGTTTTGGGTAGATCATGTCTACGTTAGTCATCATGATGCATGGCGGCTCACACGGTACTGCAGGACTACCTCAGTCTGAACCCGGAGTCGATCCACCAGGTGATGATCCTGTTCTCGGACCGTGGAACCCCCGACGGCTTCCACCGTATGCACGGCTATTCCGGTCATACCTTCAAGTTCGTGAAGGAGAACGGCGAGTTCGTCTACGTTCAGATCCACCTCATCAAGGACGGCGGCGCCAAGTCTCTCGCAGAGCCCGTCGCGGGGAAGCTCGGTGGTGACAACCCCGACTATGGTATCCAGGGTCTGTTCGAGGACATCGAGGCGGGCAACTTCCCATCCTGGACCGTCTACGTCGTGAGTATCACATAAGGACGTTCTTGTGAATGGAGATGTGCTGACGCTGTGGCAGCAAACTATGACCACCCAACAAGCGGAGAGCTTCCGTTACAACATCCTTGATCTCACTAAAATCTGGTCGCACAAGGACTACCCTCTTCGCCCCGTCGGCAAGCTCGTGCTCAATGATAACCCCCAGAACTACTTCGCGGAGATCGAGCAGGTGCGTTCAAGAGGTATTGAGTGACCACCTGGTGCTGATTATTGGTACTATACAGGCTGCATTCTCTCCGTCCCACCTTGTTCCCGGTATCGAAGCCTCTGCCGACCCCGTTCTTCAGTCCCGTCTCTTCTCCTACCCCGATACCCACAGGTCAATGCACTTTTACTCATTGCCGCCGGAGACACTGACTTTATTTGCAGGCACCGTCTCGGCACCAACTACAACCAGCTGCCCGTGAACGCGCCGATCGCGCCTGTCGCAAATTTCCAGCGTGCTGGTGCGATGGCATTCGTCAGCCAGGGGGCGCGCCCAAACTATCAAAGCAGCCTGGTGCCTCTCACGTATGTGATTCTCCAATGCAGGTCTCGAATGCTCCAGCTCATTCGATTTTTTACGGCAGCTACAAGCCCAAGCCATACGCGACCGTCAAGCATGAGACGTGGCTCGGCGCTGCCAACGCCGACTTGAGCTTCATCACCGAGCGTGAGTGCGGTGTTACTGGTGTTATGTGTTCGTACTGACGAGTCCTCTGGACGTGCAGTCGACTTTGAGCAGCCCCGTGCACTGTGGCAGAAGGTGTTTAACGACACGGATCGGGAGCACTTTGTGCACAACGTCGCGGTCCACCTGGGCAACGCAAAGAGCGCCGCAGTGAAGGCGAGGCAGCGTGCGTGATCTTCTCTTACTTACCCTTCCCACATCCCTGAAACGGTCCCGTTGATCTTTTTTGTGTTATCAGTATCCGTGTTCGCCGCTGTCGACCAGGAGATCGCCGACCGTATCGCGAAGGCTATTGGTGTGCCGACCGTCCCGCCCCTTAAGGTTGCGTCGGCATCGGAGGCTATCCGTTTCAAGGCGTTCGCCTGAGAGCGGTGCGCTGCAGGTACATTCGGGAAATCGGTTGGAATCGTCGCATCATTTCGTGTCACATTCAATTGTATGATCAGCGTGTATGCCATGAGATAGGTAGATCCAATGCATGTGTATGTCTGGTTCGTTCCTCGTTTGGGTGAGAAGCGAGGTAGCATCGCCGAAGATATTGTCCGATGTTCTCTTGCAACATTTAGTGACACAATTACCGCAATACGAGCGACAGACCATGAGACGTATCTACATGCGGGATCGCGTCAACATGCAGCGCAATGACGATATTGTTTCCCTGCTTATGTGGAAAGACTATATTTCGCGATATTGCACAAAATGAAGACGACCTGCATTTTGTATAATATAGCGGAAGTCAGTCTGTGACAGTATCCAGGCAAATAAAGTTCAGTTCTCGTACGGTAGAAACCATGCTCCTGCAATTATAGCACAAGGGAGGGTGAGTCTGCATATTCGGAAACCAGATATTTCGTGAACAATATGGCACCACACCTCACGAAAGAAATGCAGCCTTAACCGATGTGAGGGGCTCGCTTAAGACAGCAGACGTTTGGCAAGCGTTTGCGAGCACTGCGATTCCCGAATTGCATTGAGCAGGATATAGATGACAACCACGGGACGCGAAATTTGACTTACTTGTATTTCTAGAATAAGGCTGCAGACCAGTGGCTGTTTCAGGATCTCCCGAGAGCAACATACTCGCCTCTATGAATCAACATGTTCAATACAACGAAACAACGAAACATCGATATGAAATAAGTCTGAGTTGGTTCATAGATATGTAAGTTCTGCGGTGTGCCTCTTAGCCGGATTTTCCAGATTGTCTCCTGGCGGATACAAATTTTAATAAATCAGCAGAAAACGTGCGTCAAATCCATTGTAACGTGTCACGCTTGGCTGGGGAACTGCATGAAAAGGCTATAGGCTTTTCCCACAGCATGGAGATAGAAAGTTGGTCTCTATCATAATGTGAAGAATACTTGTGTTGACAATATGGTAGACACAGGTTTTTGTGAAAGTTGCTGTGGAACAAGGAGTTAGCCCACAAGTGCGGAGCGCGCAAAACGTAAGCACGTGATAAGTATCTTACGTACCTGAGCTAGTCATATAGCGTAGTTAGCTAATATTACTCGTTTCATCGTTTCATCGAGATACGTCTAAACTTTTCCTAGGAGTTCGGCAATTTCCTCAAAACTGTACAGTTGATTTCGGCTTCTCTCGGCAACAAACTCTGGATACCGGGACAGTCGTGGATTCTAAACATCCGTAAGTTTCAGGACTCCGAACCATCCGTACGTTCTTCAGGACTTCAGCAAAATGTCGAAGCGCGGTGAGTGAAATCATGCTTCATGTTACTCTGCGCATGCTCTGACATGTCCCCCATTTCTCCTAGGTTCGTATTTCTATCCATTCCGGGTTTGCGATGCTGATACTCTCGTGTGGAACAGGCTCAGGTGCCTCTGGCAACAAATTCCGTCTTACTCTTGGTTTGCCCACTGGAGCCGTGCTGAACTGCGCGGACAACAGCGGTGCCAAGTCGCTCTACGTGATCGAGGCATATGGCACGGGCTCGCACCTGAACCGTCTCCCCGATGCGGGCGTCGGTGATATGGTTGTTGCATCAGTGAAGAAAGGAAAGCCAGAGCTAAGGAAGAAGAGTGAGTCTTTTGTTCGTACCTTCTAGCGTTGCGTGTTCTGGGCGGGGGTGTGGACTCGGTGTAGGAGAATCTCGGGTGTTTTGGTGGTAGAGCGCAGGGTGAAGGTTTACTGACAGTATGTGCTTCTGTCCTACAGCCATGCCCGTTGTTGTTGTCCGACAGCGCAAGTCGTGGCGTCGGCGAGAGGGTCTTGTACTCTACTTCGAGGTGCGTATTTTTTTCCCAGTGCGTCCATACTTCAGCTGATTCTGTGCCGCCAGGACAACGCCGGAGTGATTGTAAATCCGAAGGGTGAGATGAAGGGCTCGGCCATCACAGGGCCAGTAGCAAAAGAATGCGTGCGTGCTCCCATTTACCATCTCACCGGGTCCCGGTCACTTATACTTTTTCTTCGCTACATACAGGCCGATTTGTGGCCACGTATCGCGGCGAATGCGGGCACAGTCGTATGAGCATGGATGTTATTACTAGTTTCTGCATATCTTCACCTTCTATATCGCTGCATCTGACTATGAGATAATGCATGTCATGTCATCATGTCTCAATATGTCTGTGCTCGTTCTTTGGTGTGTGTTATCACTAGTCGCCCACGGGAGGCAATTCACTTGGGCGACGAGACGATGGTAACAAGCCTTTTCGTATTCACGATGTTTGACATGACGATCTTTCTTGGGTGCCGATGCGTGATATAGATCGTCGACAAGGCCGAACACGGTGAGCCGCTCAGTTGTTTCTCGTCTCCTAGTCATCAGAGAATCTGCGTCTGATGGAAAGGTATTATGCGGAATTTGATGTCACTGCAATTTATCTCTGTGGCTCGAGTTCAATCTCTTTGTCATATGACCTAGCGCGCGATTGCGCGTCCGCTCTAATTCCGTGAGAAGGCTCGCATATAGCGAGGAACGACTCTTTCATACCTACTAAAGGCTGGTTCACGAGTCTAGCGCAGGCTGGTATACGTCCATATCAATAACCCGCACGATCTATGAGGGAATAGCTGTTGTACGCTCTAGATCTCGCCCCCATACACGTACATAATGAGATGGATATGAATGCATTGGACAGATACATACACAGGTGGTCTCAAGAGCCTCGTGGCGTATGCGTCAGATCTAGATCTATCGGACTTATTGCTCATGACCATGAAGACAAGATATACATGGCTACATAGGTGACGTTGGACAAGAAGAAAATAGGCAAGCGTGAACTGGATCACAACTTAGACAACTTAGACGGGAAGGAGATAGCGGTATAACGAAGTGACGATGTACAGCCAAAAGAAAATCTGAAAAAGCGAACATTCTTGACGCAAGGCACTGCGGTGAGCTAGAATATACGTGCAGGAAATACGCACAACGACCAAGAAGTGGTGGGCAATGGGACGCGTGTAGGACGACAGAGTCGGGTGGAAATCTATCCGGAAGAAGCGTGAGGCCAACACGGTGGTTGGCCGTCAAGCAGGGCCCATCGTTGCTAGCTGCGCCTCTAGCCCATCACCCTCCTGTCGAGAAAGCAAGCGGAGCTGGGGAGTATCTCCATTTCTGTCCGTCACACGGAACCAACGGCAGACGTCATGACGAGGGAGAAGCAACGGCCCATCGAATCCGACGTCTTTCAACGTCGGGAGTACCGCCGCGACCTCCCGCGCAATGCACTGGAGGCGTGAGATGTCGCAGTGCAAGGCAGTGGGCCAGCGATCGCCGTGGCACAACGAAAGCGCGACGAGGGGGAGCTTCTGGACGGCGTGTGCGATGGAGAGCTACGCCATAATGTCAGGATGGTACAGCAATGATGGACTTCGAGCCGACCTACCGAGCGCGATTCGATGCTCGACTTCGCTAAATCCTCTCGAACTAATATTTTGAGGTACTTCAGAGCGGGCAAGACATCCGCGATATGCGGGACAATGTCTCGGTGCACCTGACACGCGAGCACTACAGGCGACGCACGTCGAAGCATGTCCAGTGTGAGGCGATTGATTTCAGAAGATTCCCTGGAGTAGGGGCAACGGAGCACAAGTCGGCGGATGCTTGAGAAGAGCTCTACAGGGATATCTGCCTCAACATAATCCAGGAAGGCCCAATGTGGGCCGTGGTCGGGCAAAAATGGCCGGCTCGCCATGGACTTGAAATGCCGTACATTGGGGAACGCGTATGCGAGGCGAGAGAGCGACGTAGAGTGGTCAATGTAAGCGACATGGAGTGTGCGCACATGCGGCCAGACAACTTCGGCGTTTAGCTTTACGAAACCAGAAGCTCGCCGTATCTCGAGCGTCTCAAGACATTGGGCGAATTTGTCAAGAGCGCCTTCACAGGTGTACCCAGCTTCATTCCAGAACGTGTCGAGTATGACGTGGCGGGGGCGACTGGCCATTTGTGACAACACCGCGAGAGAGATTTCACCTATGCCCCGGAACGAAATCTGCCGCAAAGCAGGCAGAGCGGCTAGCACGTTCCTGAGTGATGGCCCAAATAAGAGGAGGTTTTCCAAGTTTCTGACGCTCAGAGAATCAAGACAAATTGCACGGCGTAGTATATCGGTCAGCGCACAAACACTTGCACAGATGTCTTGTTCGTGAAATATTTGGAGGGCGAGATCAAGCCCGTGTATGCAGATGGGGCGGTGAAAGGGTTCGGCCAGCACGAAAGCACAGAATCCGGCGAGCTGCAGGGTACTCTTAATCGTCACTTCTGAGAGATACTGGGGAATCGCGGCAGAATACGCGTATCTGCATGTCCTTGAGAATGGCAGGACCTCGCTGGGTGGCATGAAGAGAATGATAGCTGCGAGGACGTCGTCGTTCAACGACAACAAGGACATGACTGTGCAGAACTGTGATGATCAGCAGCCCGGCCGAGACGTATGAAAACTGAGCATCGCCCTGATGACAACTCACATCGTGACTTGTCTGGTTCAAATGGTGTTTAAAGGCAAACAACTTCAGGTCGACTGATGACCGGAAGTACCAACAAGGTTAGGACTGTCAATGAAGGTCACAAAGTACACTCTTAAATGCTCACCCCGAGAAAAAATATTGCTGAACGGTATTGATAACGATCACCTGCGTGCCACCACCGTCGATATACAGCGCTGAAAGGCCTGCTCCTCTCCTCGCCTGGCTGAAGCACGACGTCAGCGGTAAGTCCCGGGCGCCCCTCCGTTTGACGTACGAATGCCCACATTCATTCTGTCATTTGATAACCTGTCATTCTGCGAGCGCATCTCATTCACAATAACAAAAAGGAAGCTGACTCGCCGCTGAACGTGACCAATCTAGAGCGTCTCCTCAAAGCTATCGCGGAGATAGCTGTGTTGCTCCGGTACTCATAAGTATCACGTATAATAGATCACGACCACGCACTTCGGGAACAGGAACATCCCCCTTGCCAGAAAGAGAGAAAGGATATTCAGATGCAGTCAGGTAATGTTACTGCTGGAGAGAAGGCAATGACGGGACAGAATTACATGATGCGACCACCGAGTTCCACTCAGACTGCAACACCTAGCGTATAGAGCTCGTGGAAGAAAGAACCAACAGGACGCTGGCAGGATGTGCCCAAACCCGACGTTAAGATTTGAGGATGAGCTCCCAGAGCCAACAAGTGGATTTGAGCACACGGGATCGACGATGGTTCTCGGAGCTAAACTTTTTGTTGCCAGAAAGACATAAAATACAGCAGACTGCTTACACGCTAAGACATCGGACTGAGAGACAGCGGAACGATGACGATCAACCCAGTATGATCACTAAGCAGCGGCGTACGCGTTCATCTGTCGTACGATGTCAACAATTGCACTGGATCGTGGATGAATGAAGCATCGGAACGGAAGAGCACGACTATCTCTAGGTCAGCACTCACGCCAGCAGGAGCAAGGTAAGGAGCAGACCTGGCGAACCCTGCTTGAAAGGCGAGCGGAGGTGTGATATCGTTGCCGTGTACGTCGCGCGCCTTGGTGATTTCCATCGTGGCTATGATGCTTGCGAAGGCGATCCACATTCCCTCTTCGGCAAACAGCCGGCCTGGGCAGATGCTACGAAGAAATTATAGACGATCAATGCTCAGTGACGATGTCCTGACAATGAGTAGGTGCATCGTACCGTCTGCCGAACCCAAACACGAATTGCCGCGGGTCTCTCGACGCGCTCGTCTGTGAGTCCATTTCGGCGAACCGTTCAGGACGGAACTGCTGAGGCTTTGGATAGAATGTCACGTCTTGTGACATGGCCCTGCAGTCTGATATAAGGAAGCAATCATATCTGATGACACCTACACCGACCAAATGTTCGGGATGACCATAGTGTCTCCTGGAATACGATATCCGCGATATTCGTCGTCCTGCATAAGCTGATGCGGAACACCTCAAAGGTAAGGTAAGCAACGTGTATGAGAATGAGAGACTTCAGGAACAGACTCCAACCTGTCTGAGGCTGTAGGAAGCGAAACGTTCCAACTACAATCAGAGACGGGTCGACACACGACAATCAGCCAAGTTTAGTCAAGAGAACATGACATGAGAGTACCGATAAAGCTCCTTCAAGATACACTCAAGGTAGGGTAGGTTCTGGCGGTCTTCAAAATCAGGAAGACCCCCGTGTTCAACTACCCGATCCATTTCTTCTTGAGCCTTCTTGTAGACCTCAGGATGGAGCACCATTGCCAATAAAAACAGAGACATGGTAGCAACAGTCTATGAGAAGAGCAAATCATATAAGAGAACGGGCGCAGTCAGGCAAATGATGGAGGGTGTACCGTCTCGGTTGCCGCTTTTCGATATGTATCAGTTTGGACGCTCATACAAGACGTGGGAAAATTTAGCTCCAAACAAGACGCCAACGGTCCCCTTGATATCGTCCTCTTCTTCCTCTGTCACCCTTCCCTTGCTTGAGGCCTCCTCGAGTAGAGTCATCGTCATAGAGGGCGGAGCAGTACCGGCGGCCTAGAAACGAACGTCTACAAGGGACTTCAACGGACCACTCCAGACACGCACCATCGCATTCTTGACGACTGCATACGGGACATCCAACATGCGCCGCATGTATCCCCGTATCGTCGCTGCTTCTTTCTTGAATTCGCCCCCGGGCATCCACGAGGGCAGGTACTTCACTGATTTGCGTTGGCACTATCGACTAGCATGAGGAGGCGACAGTACTCACACACGGGGAAGAAGTCCACCAGCAGTGCTGCGGGACTCCCCACGTCGGACAATGCGGTGGTCGCGGTCCGCGCGAGTTGTACATATCCTACCTTGGATAATTCCTCACAATCTCAGTACGCCACTTCCGCGATCAGGGTTCCTACGTATCTGCAGCAACGTCAAAAACATCCTCTCTAGTTAGGAGGACAGCTGGAAGGCGCCACGTACCGCTCGATGTGCGAGACGAACTCCTCCGGAGTATCGATCAAGTTCAACAAGAGTTTATACGCTTCGCGGATCCGCACCGGACGGAACTTCGTAACAGCCGCCTGGTTTTGCAGGCCATCATGGATCCATCTGCGATGCTTGCGGAAGCGCTCGCCATACCTCATATGCGAGACCAACGAATCAATCCCCATCCTGCATATGCACACTCAATGAGACGACATAATATCGCGCGATGACTCTCGGAAAAATGATTGTGCCCGTTGCACACTCACACTTCTACATGCAATGTGAACCTTGGCCTGTCAGAGTAAATGGCGCTCTTCTTATCCAGCAACTCCTGTGCTGCCTTCAAGGAACTGAGGACAAGCACACGGGTGTTGAAGAATCGCACGTAGATGACATCACCTGGAGATTGATGAGTGTCCCATATGCTCGGAGAAATTGCAAACGACGTTTCACCGTACTGTGCACCCCAGGCAGCAAAGCCTTTCCATATCTCACTCGCGGGGACCTGATTGATGTTCCCAAACAGAGGGACAGGCCTCGGGCCCGGCGGAAGACGACACTCTTCACGAAGCCAGTATGTGTACACGTAGCGGCCCGATTACGGAGACAAGCAGGAGAGAGAAGAAAACATCCAGGAGGACGAGCATATTTCGACGAGGTTCGCTTCGATCTGAGCGACCTCGCGAATATTCGTCACCACAACCTTATATTGCAGCACAGAAAGACCAGACGCCTAGCTGCCTGTATTGTGCTGGGGACGAGTCATTCTTCAGGGACATGCGTTGCAGGGCCATAGATGGAGACGGAGCTCTGTCGGAGCCAGAAGCTGATACTCGTATGTCGATGAACGCCTGTTAGAAGGTTATTTGACCTCGCTAAGGGTCGATGGATGCATATAGCCAAGAGAAGCGCTGGTGCCACTGCGGGTTTACGTTGCCCTGGAAAGGTTCTTGGCGAGGCATATGTTCCATTAGGAGAAATATCCGATTCAATGAAAGGACATAGGGCAATAGAACGTGCGAAGGGACTTCTAACCGAGCTCTGGCCGAGCGAGCGAAACTGTTTGATATGCTGTCAAGAAAGCCGTCAATTAGTCTCCAGAGATCACAAAGTAGCGTATGTTACGCAGTGAACAATGGCTCGAAGAAGTGAACAAGTCGGAGTGGGCGAACGAACGAATCGATGAGAGAGTTATATCCAGAGTCCATCGTTCTAACTTTTCAGGCGTCCTCAAGCTTGGATTGGAACATCAGCAGTCGCAGCACTAAAAGAAAAAGCCACAGCAGTTCAAAGAAACCGCAGCGTACATCGTCCCATCAAGCAACAGAACTTGTAATCATATCTGCGAGACAGTGTCGACAACTTCCCGTGATCGTGGACTGGGATGGCACATTTGAACGGAGCAGGACGGCCGGATGAGAGCATCACCCATGCGATACTGGACAGTGAAGAAATGCGAACGTAAGTACTTGGCAGAGTTCCCGAGGAATGTTACGGAAGGCGGCGGTAGCGGCGCTCACACACGGGGAGACAGTCAACGGGCAGAGCCGTAGTGCTTCCGACTTCGCCAAACTCTGCTGTCGCGCGTCGCGCGAGGTGCACACACCCTCTTCGTCCGAGTTGGGGGACTGCACGGAGTGCCCGTAGGTTAGCTCGATGGGCACGTTTCCGACATATCTGCAGGCCCGTCAGCAGGTCATATACATGCACCAAGGTAATAATCATAACGTACTGCTCGATATGTAAAATGAACTTCTCCGGGACTCAGTCAACCCTGCGAGAAGCTGGTACGTTTCGCGGAGACGCACGGGCCGGAAGTTCGCGGCCGCGCCCTTGTCCTGCAGGCCTGTGTGGATCCACTGCCGGTGCTTGCGGAAGCGCTCTCCATACCGCATGTGGGGGACCATACTGGATACCCCGATCCTGCGAGGGCGGTGAGGTGCTCCTGTCGCGCGACGCAAATATTGACCGATGCGCGATACACTTTCATATCGACGTGCAGAGTGAAATGCGACCTGTCGGAGTAGATCGCATTTTTCTTCTTGATGAGGTCTTGTGCGGCTTGCAAGGATTTGAGGACGAGGATGGGCTTGCGGAGGAACTGCGCGTAGACCACGTCACCTACGGGATGGTCAGTCGATGTGAAGGTAGGCAGGCCGTCAATACAGCCCACTGTATTGTGCGCCCCATACAGACAGAGTCTTCCAGACTTCGTCTTGGGCGGTTGGTGAATATTGCCGAAAAGAAATGAGGGCTTGGGGCCCGGTGAGGACGAAGACGCCGACCCGCAGAAAGCCCATGCGTACACAAGAAGCGTCTGAGGAAGACGAACAGAACAAAGAGGGCATTTTGGAAGGGGTCCATCGTAGTGCCTCGGTTCCCTGAGAGGGAATGAACAATGTCGAGACTGCTTCATCACACTTTAACCACTGTGTTCAAGCTCGTGATAACACTTCGTCTGTATGTCATATTGCCCATGAGCATCCAGGTGTTCTGGTGTGCAGTAAGTGCCTTGCGATGCAGATGGGATGCCTGAGAAGAGACGCCGCATATGCGTGTAAACATTGACAATTACTAGTGCACGAAGATCGCGAACCAACTGCTTCTGCCATGAATGTGGCTGATGGTACCAGAAGACCAGTTCTTCGATAAAAATGCTGGGAATTGAGAAAGTGAGACAAAAGCAAGTAACGAGTTCGATAGTACGTACAGCCGGAGAGCCACGGCGATGGAAACTGTTAATTGTCTACAAACCACTCCGTTATCCACGTTGTTGTCACGTCAGAGTCGGGAGCGTCTTACAGTCGTTTGCATAAAAAACCGGAAACATCGACGCGAAATCTTTTGTTTGTCTGCGGCAAATACTGCCTTAACAAGCATCACCGAACCCCTCCTGTGACAGTAGTAGTCACACCTGGCTTATCCGCCGCTGAGAGTGGCAGACGGCTCTCTCTTCACGGTTACTGGACAATATTATAAGCACCCTATGGCCCGCGGAACCTCTGGCAAATGCCTATACACTATCCAGCTCCTCACTGCTGTACAGTTGAACACCGGTGAGCTTCTCGACTACAGACTGGTTGTCAACAGCGCACGAGAGATGGTCGCCAACGACAGATCGATGCCGCGATCCTCGGTGAATTTATCCTGAATCTCATCCAAATATATGGCGGCATTCATGTCGATGAGGGCGGATAAATATGCAATGTCATTCTCGTCGAGTGCTCGAGGGCGACCTCGCGGGAGAGCAAGCGGGTTGGTGACTTGACCGTACTCGCGGTAGAGCTGAAGAACATCGTAGATAGCAGATTTTTGATATCCAGAAAGCTGCACTATGTCGACGACGGGGAGCCTGTCATGATAATACCAGTAGGCAATGCGCTCACGCAACTGGTATGGGGGCTCATGGGTGGTACTGTTGAGTGACTGTCACACATACGACTCGATAAGGTAATATTTCGGACAAACAAAAGATTGTGCATCAGCGTTTCCGGTTTTTTATGCAAACGACTGTAGAGAGTGGAAAGGTGAGTAAGCCAGCACTGCACGAGGTCAAGAACATTCTCGCCCACAACATTAGATCTAACTCTAAACGGACATTCGATATTCAACTAACAGCAATCAACTTTCTTCAGGTCGCCAAGCAGCCAGAGGGTCATATCAAGACTCGGAGACCAAGGAGACGTGCAAAGCTAGAGTAATGAATGTTGTTCCGCAGGTCTGAGCGCATGTTTCCATTCCACGAAAACTTATTGACCTAGTAGCTATAGTCGGCCGGGGACGACCAGGCTTGGCTTGGGCTTTGGCGAAGACATCTCTGGTATAGGCGCTGGTGCCAAACAGAGACGGGCCGCCAGGGCCGCCACTGGTGGCCGCGGCTTGGTGACGGACTCGCTCAGGCTGTGCAATACTTATGAGACCGTAACTGATTGTATACGGACTCTACGACTAGGATACAGTGCCCTCTTTCTTATTTGCCAATTACTGGTGCCGGACTAAATAAGTAGAGCCATGGAAGCAAGGGTCGGCGTCGGCGTGTTCGTCCTTAACGATGAAGGCAAGTTCATCATGGGTCGGAGGAAGGGAAGTGTCGGCGCAGGTATGCTGGCTCCAGCCAATTCCAGTGATTTGTACTACAAGTGTCCATGACGCACAACCGACAGGCACATGGGCACTTCCTGGTGGGCATCTTGAATTTGGGGAGTCTTTCGAAGCGTGTGCTGCGCGTGAGTTACTCGAAGAGACTGGCCTTGCCGTCGGGGACGTCCACTTTCTCACCGCCACAAACAACGTGATGGAGGACGTGGGCAAGCACTACGTGACAATTTTCATGCAGTGCAGAATTATTGGAGAGAAGACTCAACCTGAGGTGCGACATTCAATGCGGAGGTCAAGTTCGTGTCGGACTAATGGTTTGTCCCTGTTCGCAGATTATGGAGCCGGATAAGTGTGAAGAATGGGAGTGGGCTTCCTGGGAGGATGTCCGGTCCTGGGAAGCGTCAGGGCAGGACGATGAACGAAAGCTATTCCAGCCGATCCACAATTTATTCGTGCAGCGACCTTTGTTTCGGCCAGCACATAACTAACCTCTTCCGATCGACTTTCTGGAAGTTCAATTACAATCACCTTTTCACAGAAACTGATATTGCCAATGGATTTACGGCTCCGGTCTTAGCTTTCGGGTCCCAGGATGAATCTTCAGTCGGACCTACCAGCCGTTTCTTTTTCCGCCTCCAGTCCGGCCGCATCGTGGCTGTTGGTTCCGTCCGTGGTGTTGGCCTTGCATAAAACCCAGTCAATCCATTTATCTAGGACTCCGCGCAGAGTACGCCCAGTACATTACTTTTTTCATCTGGCCTGACGCACAACAGCATATGTCTCTAGAGCCCTAAACTACAATACCACGGTCGCGTAGCACACAACGATCTCGAGATGGCGACGAGGCCTCCTGCGTATCATTCTAACCCCGTGGCTTATCAGCATACCTCTTGTAATATTTTCTATTTGTCACGAATCTCACGGTAAGTAGAGTCTGAGTAGTTGCGAAGTGATCAAGGACCTGTTCGCAGCAAGACGCGCAGTTTTTGCACGTGACCGCGTTTACATCGACTCACGCTGACTCCTAGCTGTACCTCCATATCACGGGTATACCTTCTCGCTTGGTACGTATCTGCCCTCATTCTATTCGGGCGGAAGCACAAATCTGGTTCCGACTGAGTGAATTTCCCTTTGTGCTTGTCGTCGTCTATGTCTTTATTGCGAGTGTCTTACACCTTTCCACAGACTCACAACATTGATACTCTCCGGGCTATCCATACACATAAAATGCGCAACTCGACACTCTCGGTCGTTCACCGTGTGCTTTCCGGCCGTTCAAGCTCCACCGGCCACCGAAATAGACCCACCTTTGTTCCTTCAGTTGCCCGATATGAGGTGCAGACACATCAGCACGGTATCTACTAATAGGATCCTGTCCTTTGAGAGATAGATGAGTTGGACGGCGAATTTGCGGAATTTCTGAAGGTCTTTGTACCTTGCGATGGATCCGTTCGACGCCTATCATCTAGACGGCGAACTCTCATCGAGGAAGCGTCTCGTCGTATGAATGCAATCATATCTCCAACATGGCAGTCTGCGCTTTACGACCCTTTGGTGAGCACCGCAGGATACGGTGATTTGCCGTCGATGCTCACTTTGTTATTGCAGGTTGAGGGTCTGCAGACTGTCGTCTCAAGCTATTCTGACAGAACACACCTTATATTTGAAGCACATACAAATATGCCGCTGTACTCACCGTCACACCTCCTACGAAGCACGCCCCGCAATACAACTCCCAACCCGGCGTCACAGTGTTCTCAATCTCCATCTCTAAAACAGGTAGAGTCAAAGCCGCTCAGCGTCGAATCTCGCTCATATTCGAGCAGAAGGCGCATGAGGAGGCCGATCCCCTGTCATCATCTGACGGCGAGCACATGGAGACCCGTTCGTGACTCGCACAGGATGCTCAATTGCTTTTGACGGCCTACCCTAATGGGTCGCGATTTGTGGTCGGTGTATGGTGGGATCGCACGAATATTCTACTTTGATGATGCCCCTTCCACCGTGTCTCCGCCGCTGTCGTATCGGAACCAACCTGCGAAATTGCGGGGTTTGTGTCGCTTGGTCCGCCCGATTGGTGATAACACTGTCGTTGGTATTGACGAACAGTGTCGGCGCCTATTACAAGAAGCGGATATACGGATGGAACGGCAATTGGAGCCCAAGCCCTCAGTGATCAGTCCATTGGACATTATCCCAGATCACATCTCTCTACTGCTAAAACCTCCATCTCCTTGAACTCTCAAGCAGTGTTACGCGCGACGCCCCAAGTTCTAGTGTCGCGCCAATAATCTTGCGGCGCAGAGACGCGTTATCATCAATGCCAGAGGGTCCGCTCCGTCGGATGTTGGCTTCCCGCATGCGTCACAAGGTAGAAGAACTTTATATTCATCGCGTTTAGGTTGAAGCCTACGATACGTCCAACAACGTCAGCCACCAAGGTTCGGATTTCCCGATCTACAAAAACAACTATCTATTTCTGACAGGCTAGGATTTGCGCTATGGAACGTGCTTGTGCTTGCTGGGTCCTGGGGCCATGGAAAGACCTGGATAGATCCCTTGCCGCCTCAGTTCCATTCACCGTTGGCCCCTGACGACTAGGTCGCCACGGTATACTCGACCTGGCAAAAGATATTTCGACGTCACCGACGGGTGGATCGTCAATTAACTTTGAACAAAGGGTGCTCCTTTATCTTACAACTAATCTTGAGAACTGCTGAGACAATCGGCTGACACGGCGCACTTGCGATCTTCGGCCTTCACGTTGTTGTCTGCAATGTGCTTGCTTCTGCGCCGCACTTTGGTCAGAGATGCGCGATAACGAATCTTGATTAACCTCCTGGTTCACCGTACCGGTGCGTGACGTGCAGTTTGTCACAATGGGAAAGTCCATAACTAGCATGTCACGCAACAATGTAGAACCCTCAGAGATGGACCCTAAAACTAGCAGGTGGAGGGGGGAGGATACATTGGAGCCCGCATCCACACTCACTTTATTCCTTAACTGCTCTCCAGTTCGACGATGCATAAGACCTTACAGAACGAAGATATCATGCGGGCGATCTTCCAGTCGATTTACTGCTGCCAACAGCGAGGTTGCCCGCTGCGCGATAGAGAGACTGTTGTTCGGGCAGCTCGAGCGTGCAAGGCATTCTGTACGCCCGCGTTGGACACGCTATGGAAAAACATGGACAGTTTGGTTCCTCTTGTGAAGGTTCTGGGTAACTCCGTTGCAAGAGTGCGAGTTGGTAATACGGATGGAGACGAGGACGACGATCGCGACGATGATCGCGATGAGGTATTCGTTTATGTATGTCATCCATTCGCTCTTATTATGTTACAAGTGCTCCGAATCGATCCTGATGCTGTTGTGATCGAATTTTTATATCAGATTCGCAGACGACAGGTTTCTTCCGACCAATGGGCCAGATTGTGCTCCTATGCGCACCGTATACACGCCATTTCCCTGCATGACTATCAAAAGACGGTTGATCCCTCGTTACTGGCACACTTGGTTTTCCTCGCGGGAGGGCAGCCATTGTTTCCAACGTTGTCCATGCTACGATTCAGGCAGTTAAATGCTGCATTCGGCCGCGAGATCATGGCCTTCCTGTCGACCAGTCTTAAACACGTAGAAATATCGGTTGGATCGCTTTCGACGGCACGGCCTAAAGTCAGAGAATCAAACGCCGTTCGCCGATTCCTGTGGGGACTACACTCTACAGCCACCGATCTCAAACATTTCTCTTTCAGCACCGTCGTGAAACCTCCGTTTATAGATAACGCCACGAGCTTCCCCAAAGTGGAGTATTTAGACCTCCTCGGCTGTCACTCGTCTACGCAGATGATCTCGTCCTGCGCGAACCTAGAACAGCTCACAGAACTCTGGGTATGTCTCCGCGAGAGCGACAATTACGGTGTACCCTCTTGCGTCGGATTTCCTGTCCTGGAAGATCTGGTATTTTCAGGTCTACCGGCACAGATCCCAGTGTTCCTCAATCTTATATCATCGCCTAGCTTGGGAGCATTCAAGTACAAGGATAGGATCTTGGACCGTCGCGTGTTGGGGATGCCTGACTATCTCGACGCATTCGACTTGATAGGGTCGAAGTTTGCGACAACCTTGACGTGTCTCGTCATGGACTTCCCAGAATTTGTCGACAACAGCCCGGTTCGGCTGATGAATCACATCCACCCTCTGCTGAACATACGGCAGCTGGAGATCCTCGAGCTCGCTCTGATAGTTCGGGTGGAACTGACGAGCGATGATCTGCATGCGATGGCGACCTCCTGGACGAAGCTCACGCACATCTGCATCGCGGCGTATCCGTTCGTCGAGAGTTTGCCGTCCGTGTGTGCACTAGCGAGCTTCGGCCGCCACTGCCCAGGCTTGGTTCACATGCAGCTGCCTGGTGTAGAGACGCGTACCCCGCCCTCTCTAGATCTCCAGCTTCCCAACTCTCACGGTTTGAACCGTCTGTGCTTTGCAGGCCCTAACTACGGAGTCGAAAACTTTGATGTCCCTGTTTCGAATCCCCTTCCGGTGGCGCAATTCCTCCACGGACTGTTCCCGAAGCTATCCTATTTGTCGCTGGACTCGCTAGGGCATCGTTGGGGAGAGGTCGAGCTCATTTATATGTCTCTCAAGAACGGCATTCCGCTGAGACAGTTAGATTGACCGAATAGCCCATTCGAGATCGTCTCAAGAACTCATTTCGCTAGCAGGTATTTTTTGCTGCGGCGGTAATTTTGCTTTGCTGATTCTTGTTATTATCAGGATGCTAAAGTATCTGGGCGATGTCAGCACATGAACCCAGAGAATACGTGTATATCCCATGTATGTCTTCATGAATTGCATATGAATTATTATGGTCGAGATGTTCTGTCGGAGCTTTGAGCGAAGATCGATGATGCGTGTGACGATACCTGAGATAAGTCGTCAGGCGTTCGGTGGGGGAAATTAAATATCAGAACTCAACGAGTATCTTCCGCCGGAGTAGAGATGGGAGGCGATGTCAGGAAAGCAGTCAAGGTTTCAGGCCGATAAGAGTACTTCCGTCTGTACTGCAGTAACCATGCGATAGAGATCCCGTGTCGTAGAACAGAGAGGGCGGTCGATTGTTCGGATTCGATTGGCGCCCAACGGGCGCCTGGTCACGTCACGTCCAGCCGAAGGGCCCCACACAAGGCGCATTCCACCTTTTTTCCTGGGGAAAAACCTGGGGAAAACGACAAAGTAAGTCTCCGGGAAATATCCAGGAAAAACTGTGAGAAAACAATAGTGTAAATCCTGGGGAAAAACCGTGACCCAGAAAAAGCAACAGATTTCTCGGAGACAAAACCTTTGTTTCCAAATCGGGATTTCTGCGTATCTCTTCATCAGCAAAAGTCAACTCTTGCTTACCCAGATTATTCCCTTGATTAAGGAAATTTTAAGGAGATCCTCATTATTATTATTCCTTATTCACCTTAATTGGCCAAATAGGGAAGCAGACCTCCTTAATCAAGGCAATAAGGGAGCCAAGAGTTGACTTTTCCTGATGTTGCAGAAATCCCGATTTGGAAACAAAGGTTTTTTCTCCGAGAAATCTGTTGCTTTTTCTGGGTCACGGTTTTTCCCCAGGATTTACACTATTGTTTTCTCACAGTTTTTCCCAGATATTTCCCGGAGACTTACTTTGTCGTTTTCCCCAGATTTTTTCCCAGGAAAAAAGGTGGAATGCGCCTTGTGCCACCACTATGGAGGTCGTTTGGTTACAGTTCGTTTAAGGACAGATGCCGTGATGCCGACGCGTGGCCCTCACGTGGATTATCCAGGAGACCTCAGTCACCCCTTACGTGCACTAGTATTTTTTCCTTAGCAATTCTTGCCGCACGTCGTGCTCGCCGTGCGTCGGCTCGAGCTCATCATCGCTGACGACGAGCTCCACTACATAGTATATATGCCAAAATTCTTGCAAATATTTTCATTTCCACTACTACCATTATACATTGCAAGAAGTATTTGTCTCCTGCTCCCCAACCCTCATCATCTGCTCGCGGTCGTACATGCTCATCCCGCGCGCGCCGCGCCCCCACGCCAAAGCCGTTCGGCTCCATGCGGTTTGCCCCCGCCAATATTGTGTCCTCGCGTGAGTCCGTGCCCTTTCCCGCGGTGTCTGCGCATACACAAAGGGCTCGGACGTATTTGTGTTCAGTGCCTCCGTGCCGTTCCCGTTCACCAGCGGCGCACCAGTGTTCAGTGGCACCGGTGATGAACGCCCTTACGCCATTGCGCGGTACCCACCCGGGCTCGGCGCCATCGCACATGGGTGCAGGCTAAGCCCCACATTGCATTCTCCCTCGCGTTCCCGCTCCCTCTCGCGCTCCCGCACCTGCTGCTGTCTTGCCTGCTGGCTCGTCGGCACCAGGGACTGCATGCTGATATGCTTGCATGACCCGCCACGTGAGTCCTGCCCCAGCTTCTGACTGCTGCTCTTCATGTGCGCGGGCGTTGGCGCAAGTACAAGTGGGGAAGAGGGTGACTGCAGCATGTCCTGCAGGCCATCTTGTCGGGCTTCCCAAGTTGCCCGATGGGGATCTTGCTCCACATCTCAGGCATCAGGTTCGCCATCGTGGCGGTATCCTCGATGAGTGCGGGCGCAATAGCACTAGATTTGATTCCGTCCTTGGCATACCACAGGGAGAGCCAGTGGACCAGGCCATGCAGGGCGGCTTTGAATGATGTGTAGTGGGGTTCGATGAGTCCACTGTTACCTGGTAGATGGTGGAAAGATCTGCGGCGTTGGACGAGTGCCCGATGCAAAGAATTACCTGCAGCGATACTGATTATGATAGACATGAATTACCATGGATTTCGGGCAAAGGGGCACGCAGAGCGCACCTCGACGTGAAAATGGCATGTTCATATTTCTGCGCTTCCATGTGTGGCACACAGAGCTGTGCAAGCATGTAGCTCGTGCCGGTGTTCATCCGCCACATCTCTTCGAACACCTCCATGGGCACGTCGTTGATATTGCCCAGCGGGCCAATCTTAGGCCCCGCGATGCCGTGGTTTGCGAAGAGGATGTCCGGATGCCCGATCTGCTGCACAACCTCAGCATGGAGGCGGCGCACCTCATCGTAGTTTGACAGGTCTGTGTGGAAGATGGCGAACCGCGCGTCGGAGCTGGCAATGGCCTTGAGGTCGGAGATGAGCATATCTGCCTTGGCGTGTGAGGATGCCGCCTGGTAGTGCACTGCTACTGAGCAGCCAGAGCGGGCAAAGGTGCATGCAGTCACCTGCCCGATGCCTCTGCTGTGCCAGATGTGGTGAGTGGGCGAGATATGATGTGGTATGTGATGTACTTACGTGCAGCCGGTGATGAGGACGGCAGCTTGCCCTTCAGGTTGGAAAAAAAAATAGGATGCTCCAAAGACAACATCCTATGCAGCCTGTCCAACATGGGCCTGAGTACAGCCGCGAAACAGCCTGAAGTACTTGTCAATGGGCCAGTGCCGAGCTCATGCACTCAGGCTGGATGCAGGATCGGGTGCAGATGTGCGCCAGGACAGAGACTAGCAAATTGCAGAAAAGTTGTTGTAGTTATATGTCGGGGAGCAGCGAGAATTTTGGCATATATTATGTAGCGGAGCTCATCGGCGGCACGAATTGCAGGTGCTAAGGAAAAATACAAGCACACATAGAGGGTGACTGAGGTCTCCTGGGCAATCCACGTGAGAGCCACGCGTCGGCATCACGGCATCTGTCCTTAAACGAACCGTAACCAAACGACCTCCATACACCACCACCACCGTTACTGTTACCGTTACCGCGCCGACACTACAGTCTGTTCACAGTGGCAATCCTGCCGTGACTTGTCCCGCTCACGGTGGGGTTCGACGCAGGGACTGCCGGTGCCAGAAAATATTAAAACCACATCAGCCCCTATTATTCAACATTTTGATGTTCACCATCTGATGCTTTTGCTTTATTCTTTTCTCTTCCTCAGTGCACTGTCAACTCGGTGCCATGTCCTCTGCATCCAGGAGACTCTGTCTCAATAGGGGCTCTGACTGATACACACCATTCTCATGCAATGCCTCTCAGTGCCGTTCTCTCCTCCCCTATCGATTTTTCGTCATTCAACTTTCCATCGACCCCAGTTGCATTGGAAGCAATCACCTTCGCAAGCCCTCTTGCAGTACAACATCATCTGTTGTGCACCTTGATTGGTGACCATCTGATGACTGGCCATCATTGGGAGGACATGGATCATGGATCATGAAGGATTGAAGTTGGAGCCAGTGAGTTTGTGAGGGCTGCATTTGTATTCATGCGATTTGTGCCGTGGATGACTGGGAAGAATGATGGACTTCATGGCTGTGGGACTTCGGAATGCTTACAGGTACTTCAAGGAGAACAGGTGCATAGCGAGCTTCAGCAGAGCTGCAGAAGGACTTTACTATTGCATTACTTTACTTTACTTTACCATACATACTTTAGCTGTAGCTGACGAGGTGCCTTTCTGTACCTGAGCCACGTAGTTGGCGTAGTCAGCTAATTTCATACGTTTCCCAACTTCCGGATCTTTGAAATCCAATTAGTAAACATACTTAGGTTTCATTAGAGACATTTGTTGACATTAGAAACCCTCCTGTAATTCAGCAGTGGGATAAGGCAATTGGCACCCTGTGCCCGACGCCCAACATCCGACTGGCACCGCGGCGCCGTCCTCTTTCGACACTGATGATGGCGCGGAATGTTCAGCGCGTCGAACATCTTAATAGCGACACTCAATTTTGTTTATTTATTGCCAGTTTATTGCGTCACTGGTCCTAAAAAGGACAGGCGGCATGGTACGGCAACAGTCTAAGATAGGAAGGTGAGAGGATGTAGCATGCTTATTCGTAGAAATAAATGAATTTTTTATGCAAATACATTCAGACTTGCAAATGGTCTGTAGGCCGGAAGAGTGAGCGCAGTCCAGTGGTAATGCTACATGGCTTCTCAGAACCAGTGGGACTTCTCCCTGTGTACACCGGAGTCATGAAACCAGCGGTCTGAAGAATGGTGCAAAATGATGTCGAAGAAATCCTCAGACTTCACTTGATCGTACCGCCCCCTGCAACCGTATCTGCCAATTTGCACTTGCCGGATTTTGAGCATGAGTTCAGCAATCGCCAGGGCCATGATCTCTTCCTCGACACTGCAAGCATCTGCCAGGAGGAGTGCAGCAACAGCTTCAAGGTCCAAAGCAGCTGCTGATGAACGCAAATGTGCATGATGGCGCCGAGCCATGTTCAGCAGGGCCACGCTCGCTCTGTGCAAGCGCTAATGTTTAATTTCAACTCCGATCGGAATTAATCTATAAAATGCGGGTAGGGAGGAACATTTCATAACGTCTAAATCTGGACACCATCACATCTCTTTTAGGCAGGAGCGAAATAAATAAACAGCGCAATAAACAAAATTGAGTGTCGCTAATACTAGTACTTGCAGCCTGCACGACATCGCCGTCTGCGTTGAGATTGTCATCGGAGTATGGGCTAGGCCCGACCAACATCCAGGCAACAGCCCAAGACACTGCAATCTACTTACAAGACTTTACTGACTTATTGCAAATGGGGCCGACTACTCCGGCGTGAGTACAACTAAAAACCGAGATGACATGACATGAGCGCCCGCAGGGCGCCAATCGAATCCGAACAATCGACCGTACACTCGAACGATACCCAAATTTCTTCGAAGGGGGACGAATGAACACAAGTGGATGGTGCGATATTTACTTGAGGTTGGAGGACGGGGATGAAAGGCGGATCCAGAAAGAACAACGAAGCTTTTTATGGTGTCCGGGTGGGATTCACGGAAGCGGCTGGTGCTGCTGGAGGTGAGAGAGCAGTGGGACCAACTCTCTGCCGATGAATGATCTGTCAGGTTTCAGACCGGACTGACCAGCGGATCTGGTTGTTGAAGACGGGGGGGGGGATCAGGGCTTAGACGCGGCAATAGGAATTTGGTGGCTTTATATATGGTTTCCGGCTGAGGGTGTCGGAGCGGCTGGCATCAAGAGATGAAGAACGCGGTGGACGCACGACCGATCGCTGCCAGCCGCAGAGTCCGCCGTCGCGTTTGAAACCAGGCCATCCAGAGGAAGTTCATATGGTATTCCGATGTGCTACTGTGCTCGATGGTACGTAAAGAGTTACCAGAATTCGACAGAAGAAGTCTGAGGGCTCGAGACATCTGACCTGCGTTGGAGCAAGGAAGGGGTGGAATGAGAGGCAGACGTACGATGTCTAGTCTCCAGCCGCTGCTGTTGGCTGTGATCCAAATCAAAGACAAGTAGGTGTCCTGCCAGCAGCTCCACCGTTAATCATGGGTCCGTATGCTCTCCGTAAAGAGCATTTGTGAGCCGTTGGTGGTAGTTCAACACCCTACACATGATGAACCGTTTGACTTCTCGAAATGAGTCTGCGCAAAGTACGGTATCTTCTCCTTCGTATCAGCGTCTAAGTCATCCTGGATATGATATGACACTGAGATGGATAATATACAAAACGCAAATTAAAAACGTACTCGACATAATCCGCGAGTCACGCAGCTGTCAGCAGCGAGGTCCGACCGTCACACGTTTATAAGATTATAAGCGTATAGAAATTAGCAGTGATTACTACATGTCAAACTTGCAATTGGTAGAAATCTGACGCATCGGGTTCATTTGATTCGGAAAGACACTGACCACTACGACGCGCTCGAGGCGCGTGACGGTGAGCACATGATCGTGACTCTGTCGCGCCAATCTTGTGTCTGAGCCTGGGCCCGTTCGCGAGCCGCAGCGGCGCATCCTCGCACCTGCCCAGTGCCATAGAAGTTACTCGGCCATGGGCATTTCCACTCTTCCCTCCAACATCCTAACATCACCAAAATGTCGCTTCCAGCAGAGCCGAACACCGTCTCCGCCGTTGCGAGGCTCATCGACCACAGGTGAGTGCACGCTCTATGTGTGGAGAGTTCCATCGGACGAATCGCATACAGTCTGCTGCACCCCACCATGACCGATGCAGAGGTGCAGCATGGTCTTGATATTTCGCGGAAGTACCACGTCGCGACGGCGTGTATCAAGGTGAGTTTGCGGGTGTAGCTGTGTGGGTACAGAGCAGACGCTCAGGCTGACGGGCGAGCAGCCATATTCCATCCCACAAGCGATGGAGACGCTCAAAGGGACAGGGTGCGTAACACAGCTGCATAGCTCTCAAACCTACCCTCTGACGTCTCTGTAGGGTGGGGATCTGCGTCGTCATCGGCTTTCCGCACGGGAACAGCACGACCACCGTCAAGGTCTTCGAGGCGACCGAAGCGATGGACACACTCCAGACATTCGTGCGCGCGGGCGGGGAGGCCGGTGGGCCAGGGCTTGCGGAGATCGACATGGTCGTGAACGTCGGCAAGGTCCTCTCAGGCGAGTGGGGCTACGTTGAGCACGAGATCGCCGCGATCGATGCTGCCGTCGTTGCGCGCGGCGGGGGCGTGAAGGTTATCTTCGAGAACGACTTCCTCCAACACTCACACATCGCACACCTCGCAGAGATCTGTGCGCGCGTCGGCGTCAAGTTCGTCAAGACGAGCACAGGCTTCGGGTTCGTCAAGGACGCAGGCGGAGGGTATCATTATCGCGGCGCGCAGGTCGAGCATATCCAGACCATGCGGGCGGGCGTGGGCGAGAAGGTGCAGATCAAGGCAGCGGGCGGGATCAGGACGCTTGATCAGCTCCTGGCGGCGTATCGTGCAGGCGCGACGAGGATAGGCGCGACTGCGACAGAGGCCATGCTCTCGGAGGCGCGGGCCCGGGGCTGGCCGGAGAATTAGAGCGTGGCTCGTGAGTGGACTCGGCTGCTTTTCTCGCTTGGAACCTGTATATTACTGAAGCCTCACTTGGACTTCCTTGCGATTGTATCGAATGAATGTATTCTCGCATTTTGTCGCCTTGCGGTCCTCGTCTTGCCTGACATCACACCCCTTACCGATCCCTGCTTCTCGAGCCTGGATCGTCCTGCAAGCGCACGCAAGTCGCAAGTCGCAGCTCCTTCAAACACTCATATACTGCGGTTCGACTTTGGCAGGTGTCGGTTTTGTTGGGAAGAATGGTCACCGGCCAAACTTCCAGCAGATGCAGAAGATGTGGAAGACCTTCTGTCTGTTCTGACTGGGAAATAAGGAGTAATAAACCTGGTAAGCTGTTTTTCATTGCTGCGGACCGTATAACTCAAGGCGATGCACGCCAAGCTTAGGTGTCCCTGGAACTGACAGTGAAGGACTTGTGGTGTTGGAGGTGGCCGCTAGGCGGACCACATTCCAGCTAGTTGCAATAACGGCACAATATTGTTCTGTCGTTCTGTCTCTGCACTCAGTCGGCGCGTGCTACCGCGAACCACGAGTCATGTGCTGCTTGCCCCGTGTTTTTGCCCTGGTTGATGCCGTGCTGAACACCACTGAATGATGGACATGCATGAAATTCTATGTGTCACAAGCTCGGGTCCACTCCCGATGGTTTTCACGATATTAGACGCGACATGAAGGTTATATTAAGAGACTGGACACGTCAAAATATCCTCCACTGCCACTGTGTCGCGTCCCAATACCACTTACCCTTCTCTTCAATCCCTAGGTGCTCCTTCAGCTGCTCCTCCGCTTTCTCCATCCTGGTCTGATCGCTCCACGGTTCCCAATTCGTGCATAGTGAGAGCACAAACAGCCGTCTGCCGCGGTCACACACCCACTCTACATCCCCCGGACGATGGATGATATTGCGGCAGATGTGCTGAATGCTCATTGCGGAGTCCACGTCTACCCGTCCCCCGATTCATTTGGATCTGCGACGTACCCAAATTGAGCGGCCGCAGTCTCGCAGAACTGCCCTTCGCTGATGGGGTACCCATAGTGCATAATGTAGGACCGGTCGCTGTTGGCTTCGTGGTGCTGGGAGTTTGTCGAACGATGGTGTACAAGGGCGACGGACTATCAAACGATACGCTGTCAGGCTGTGTACAGCTCCAGGTCTGAACGTCTTCGGGAAAAGGCATGAGCAAGGTTGTTCGTTACGGGACCCCGGTTGACAGGGATATTGTCTCCTGCACGCGGTGCGTTGAACATTGAACAACTAATCTCAATGGACACAGAGACAGAAGCCCAAAATATCCCGGGATCCAATTATGCTCTCCACTGCCATTGACTCCCTTCCAAATACCACTTTCCCTTCTCCTCAGTTCCAAGATACTCCCTCGCCTTCGCATCGACTTCTTCTACCCTCTTACCCAATTCCTGCATAGGGAGAGTACAAATAACAGGCCATCCTCAATACACACGAACCCGACCGTAGTCCGATGGTGGATAATCTCGCGTGATACGTAGCCAGCGGCCCTGCGCACTGCGACGTCCTCGGCCCAGCTGTCCCCGCTTGTCGCTCTGGAGAATCCCAGTTGCGTAGCTGCTATGTTGAAGAAGTGGTCATCGTTAATCACGTGGCCGTAATGCATTATTTGTGGAAGGAGCCCGAACGCGGTGGGCTTGAGCACGAACGGGGACTCATCGAATGCGGGCACTTTGCGTGCGAGGGCGTATGTCTGCCAAATGGTAAACCCAGTCATACCTCAAGAAAGCGCGATAAAGCCAAAGTGCACCGTTCCAGGTCTGAAGCCAGGATGGAATTTTTTCAGTGATGACCGTGAGACGCGTCGGTTCCTCGTCCACCGCCACTGATTTGCACCCAGATACCATTTCCCCTTCTCTGTTATCCTGAGATATTCCCTCAGCTTTTCCTCCGCCTCCGCTAGCCTCTTCTCATCCTCGCATTGTCCCAAATTCGTGCAAAGTGAGAGAATGAAGAAACGATCACCGCTCTCGCACACAGACTTCACCTTGCTTGGATGATTGATAATTTGGTGACTGATATACTTGGCGGCCATTCGCAATGCGCAGTCTATGTCGCCACCGTATTCGTCTGGGTCTGCGGCGTATCCGAATTGAGCGGCTGCTATTTTACAGTATTGCCTGTCGTCGATCTGGTAACCGTACTTGACGTGCGAGGGCGAACGACTATCAAAACGTGCATAGTGAGTGCATAGTGAGCTGCTGAAAGGTGCACTTGGATCAAGACACACCGCCCTTGTCTGAAGCCGTCACGGATCCCGTCAAGGTACCACATGGTGGTTGGTTAACGTTGAGCAAGTGATTCGCGGCCGCGTGGGCCGCATTTGGTCTGTCCTCATGTGACCGCGTTACGTTGCAAATTGAACAATGAACAAGTTCGCGGGCGCAAATCAACAACACCGTTGGCAGTGAATGGGAAGACATCTCAAATAAATCAAGAATGAAAAAACGCGTAAATCATGCTCTCCATTGCCACTGCTTAGCGTCCAAGTACCACTTCCCTTTCTCCTCTATCCCAAGATATTCCCTCACCTTCGGATCCACCTCCTCCAGCCGCTGGCTTGGGTACCAGTTTGTGCATAGCGAGAGAAGGAACGGTCGTTTACGATCTACACACACCCATGCAACCTTTGTTGGATGGTGGATCACTTTCCCAGCTATGTACTGGGCAACCTTGTGCATTGCTATGTCTTCGGACCAGGCGTGATCTTTCAACTCTATGGAAAACCCTAGCTGCATCGCTGCAATAGCGAAGAACTGCTCAAAGGTGATGAGGTAGCCGTAGTGCATGATTGGAGGGATGGGGCCAAACGCGGTCGGCTTTAGTACGGGTGGTAGCTCTTCGTACGCGGGTACTTGGCGTGCGAGGGCGAATGACTGTCAGAACGCTATCAGTGAAGCTTTCGGCGGTATATGGACGCTATCACGCACCACGCCAGGTTGGAACCCAGGATGAATTTCTCTGAGGGACGACATGATAATGTGGTGGTTACTGTCCAACTAACTCGCGGCACGGTTCATATATAGTCACGAGCAAGCAAGGTCAACGCCAGTCACATGTCCTCAGACTTCGTTCGGCCGCCCGATCACAATGGAGAACATCTGACTGTTGCGCAGAGGTAGGCCCCGACCATATTTAGAATCAAAGGAAGAGTCATTTGAGCCTGCCAAGTCTTGGTTGGGCGTATCACACGCGGTGACCCATTGTACGGCGAAACAGCTTCTTTTTCTCCGAGGTCTACCCCGTTGTTCGTCATGGCCAGCCATTGCCACCGTGCCCGGTATATAACTGGTTGGGCTCGTTGAGCAGTTGATCCACACACTGGCCATGTTCCTCGACGCTACCGTGACACTTGCAGACCACATCGCGACTCTTCGCGATATTGCACGCGATATCAGACTACGACGACTTGCTTCAGTAGAGTCCCTGTGGTATGAGTATTGGGATACCGCTTTGAACTTCTGCGCTCTCTCTATGGCTCGTAGCTGCCAAAGATTCACCGTCTCCCCTCAGAGAGCTCTCTCTCGAGACGTGTTACGACCTTCGGTCGAATTACCGTCTGACTGTAAGTCTGCGATGTCATACTCTCATGCAGTTTCATCCTAACGCATCCCGTTCTGTACCTCAGATGTGAATTGGAGCACGGATGTCAATCCAGACGACCTTGTCAATCTTGCAGACAACCCACCCGGAGGTGATGAAGAGACGCGCAGAGAAGCCCTCATGAAAGGTGCAAGTGCGAGGATCGCGCAAGCCAGCAAAGACATTTACACGGAGACACGTTTTCCGGATTTTGTTGTCCTTTTCGTCAAAGGCAGGTCAGCGTCCTCTATCCTGCTGATTGTCGAGGTTAAAGCTCTTAACGTTGCCGAAGAGGACAGCGAGTTGGAATACGAAGCCGCGTACGAAGAAGTCTGGTCTGCTTACAATCAAGTTATCACTCAAGCGAAGTTCGCCTTTGATCTTCATAAGGAACAAGACCGTATGTTTGTGATTCGCGCTCCAGGGGACTACTGGCACCTGATGGAACTTCGGCGAGAGGACCTGATGCCGCTCCCAGTACATCCCTGCGGAATAAAGATTTGACAGACTATGCAGACCTCGATGAATCCGACGATGCGTTCTACAATAGTGGACTGTACCCCCTTCTGAACGAAGAAAGGACGGATTATCATCCATGCTTCAAGGAAGAGATGCGCAGAATCCTTAATCACTTCGAACTGGAGTGATACTGAATTGTGAGCTCATTATTCATACTTAAATTACTTACGAAAACCCTTGCCCGCATTGGAAGACAAGAAACTTACCCCTTGCTGCGATCAACTTATGTTCCAAAGATTTGTTTGTGTATCATCGTCGTTTTCTCTATCTGTCCGTAATGAATATGAAAATGTTGTGATTGTCGCATCTTTTATCAGGCTTTCCTCCATAATTCTGGAAGGTCAACGAATGATAACTTGACATTTACCTCATAAAAGTTTTGGCCATGCAAGACGCGTGCAATCTTCTTTCCCACGTGACCGCGTCTCCCATTAAATATTGACTCTGAGAAATCAAATTACTTCTGCTAATGCTGCTTCTCCTTCTCCTCAATCCTCGAAAAGTCGATAGTTGGTACGCGTCGCAGTGGGGTCAGTCACTCGATTCGTGACGACGAGAAAGATGGGTTCCCCTTCGTAGTCGCATGGGAGAAGGCGATGACCGTTGAGCGCGAGATCTCATTTTATAGTGATTCTACGAGTCTGCGACTGACTCTATCCAAATTCCGCTTCCCCTTCTCGGTGACCCCAAGATTATGTTTCGCGGTAATCACGTCATGAATAGAACGTGTATGTATACAACAGCAAAATAAAAGACATCATTCGAGAGCAGATACCAGAAGTCAAAATATTAATTACGCTCGCCATTTCCTCTGCGTAACATCCAAGTACCACTTCCCCTTCTCTTCTATACCAAGAAACTCCCGCACCTTCGGATCCACCTCCTCCAGTCGTTGGCTCGGATACCAGTTCGTACATAGCGAGAGAAGGAATGGCCGTTTTCGATCTACGCACACCCACGCGACTTTTGCGGGATGGTGGATCACTTCGCTCGCTATGTGATCGGCGACTTGGTGCATTGCTATGTCCTCTGACCACGCGGGGCCATCCACCTCCTTGGAGAACCCAAGCTGCGTCGCTGCAATTGCGAAGAATTGTTCGAAACTAATGACATAGCCATAGTGCATGATTGGAGGAATGGGACCAAACGCGGTTGGCTTAAGCACTGGCGGTAGGTCTTCGTACGCGGGAACTTGGCGTACCAAGGCGAACGGCTGTCAAGCGACAATATTAATTACGGTTTGGATAAATGCTGAGACGAAGACGACACACCGCTCCGGGTGTGAAGCCGGGATGAATATCTTTCAGAGACGACATGATAGGGTGGCAGTGGTGGTTAGTGTTCAACTATGTTACCCTGTCACACGGGCCACATATAGTCCGAGTCGGGTATTATGCAATGCTCAAGCATGCAGACCGTCCTCAAGACCTCGTTCATACGATATTATTCTATCCAATGCACCCTTAACGTCTACGCCTTCTAGCGTTCTGCACAAAAAGTGAGTAGAACATGCACTTTGCATTGAAAAACAGAAGCGTCCATATGTGGGTCATTTCACGTGACCGCGTTGAATGATAGATTGACCCAACGTTAGTCTCCCAAAGGCAGACTACCAAATCATCCCTTTTGAGTGGGGGAGGGACAGGATGATATAACCCAACAATGGCCATGATAAACATGACACTGTTGAAACAAACAGTCGTAGATCAGGTTGACATAACGCTCACTTTCGCCAAAACCACTGCTTATTATCCAAGTACCACTTCCCTCTCTCCTCAATCCCTAGATATTCTCTCACCCTCGCGTCCAACTCCTCCAACTGCTCGCAGGGGTACCAATTTGAAGATAGGGATAGAATGAGGGGTCTCTTTAGCCCTGTGCAGACCCGCACTACCTTTATTGGATAGTCAATGACAGCGCCCGCAATGTCGTTCGCGACCATGTGCAGTGCGACCTCCTCCCAGCCGCCGCCACTTGTCTCGCGGGTGATTCCAAATTTTGCTGTCCCAATAGTGGAGAACTGCGACCTGTCTATAATGTAGCCATAATGCATTATTGGTGGGAGGAGGCCAAAATCAGTGGGCTCCAGTGCGGGAGGGAGCTCCGTAAGCGGAGGTACTTGGCATGCCGCGGCATAGGTCTAGGATTATCAGCTTAGCCTTTGGAATATCTGCTGTACTTTAGACTCACCATGCCAGGCCTGAAGCCGGGATGCAGTGTTTTGAGGGATGACATGATGAGAGAGGTGGTAGTTGTTGTTGAAGCGTGTTCTCGCGTCGTTCATATACAGTCGGGCTCGGGTCACGTGAGCAGCTTCCGTTGTTCTCGGAGTTGCATGGCCATGGGTCTTTGCAATGCCCGCCATATGGCATCACGCAGGCCGCAATCGATCATTATTGTACCGCCTTCTGTGAATAATATTAGGTGGCAGGTGTGGCCCTCCTACAGGTACATTGTAATAAAGTCGCAATATGCAGACCTTGTAGGGGACTCAAATAACAGGACAGAAGAGCTGGGCAATACAGCTAGAGTCCAGAAGTGAGTCACTAAGTAATATTGAGGACAAAGTACTCTACTCACCTAGAGTCCAGAAGTGAGTCACTGAGGACTCAGAGTGGACTCTAGGGGGTTTATATCTACCTAGAGTGTGGCTATACAAACCTGTGAGTAACACAGGATTGTGGCTATGAACATAGGCAGGCATAGCTATGCATAGCTTCTACACAGCAGTGCATAGCGCAGCCTGATCAATAGGTATCTAGGTGTACAGCATCTTGCATTGCTTTGAGTCTAGACACTTAAGAGACTGATGGATTATCTAATCTAACACTCCCCCTTAATCCAATGAGTCTTCCCTCTTCAACAGAATGCAAGAGCTCCACATACCTCCCCCTGAACCCACTCATTCCACTACATCCCAATGTTCCTCGTCGCACGATTTAGACTTGAATGGATGTTCGGCTTCCATCTCGCTCTCACGCAGCATTATAGATGCAAGGTCGTCCAACTCATCGAACTGCTGAGTGGTGAAGTGCAGTGAGTGTCGCTGAATGTGAGCACGAGGTGGCATAGCCGGGTGAACAAGCATGTGATGAGTCGGTTGATTGGATGCCGGAATGGTAATGCATTCCAATTCGATGTTGAGCGGGGGTGGTGCTGGCCAGATACGAGTGATGGCATAATAAAAAGAAAGAAGGAGAATGGCAGGGAAGAGCGCCCCTGCAGTAATAAGAAGGGCAATGGCGAAGGTTTTCATAGTGGTGGAAGGGGCAAAGAGATGATTTGAACCGCAGCAGAGAGAGTGGTATATGTGGCAGACAGATGATCCGAGAAAACACCGATCCGACAATGTCCGAGTTATATGCTCTATCCGACAAGATCCGGGTTTTTGACGATTAGATCCTCAAGCCCATCATCTCGCGGCAGTAGATAATCTTTGTCGCCGACAAGGGCTTTGTCAAAATGTCCGCTATCATCTCTGCAGTAGGAATATATACTGGTGCAATTCGACCTGCCTCCATGGTGTCTCGAAGCCAGAAGAAGCGCAGATCCAAGTGCTTCATTCTGCCATGATGTTCTGGATTTTTAGAGACACTGATTGCAGACTGATTGTCCATGTAAAGTGTAGAGGCTTTGGACACTGTATACCCCAGTTCTGTGAGAAGATTACGCATCCAGAGGATTTCCTTTCCTGCTTTAACTGCAGCAATGTACTCGGCTTCTGTGGTGGATTGGGCAATAAGGGACTGAAGCTTGCTACTCCAGCTAATAGCACCTGTGCCCACTTTTACAAGGTAACCACCAGTGGAGCGACGGTTATCCCTCTCACCACCAAAGTCTGAGTCCGTGTAGGTTAGGAAGAACTCCTTTACATCACTGGGACCATAGTGCAGCCTTAAGTGCCCTTCAGATAGCGGAAGACATGCTTCACAGCAATCCAATGTGCAGGACCAGGATTGGCATTAAAACGCGCAAGACATCCAATGGCAAACATGATGTCTGGACGAGTGGTGATGGCCAAATACATCAGTGCCCCTACAGCACTGAGATAAGGCACTTTGTGCATATATTCTGCCTCTTCCTGTGTCTGAGGTGCAAGGGCCTTTGAAAGCTCTGCTCCAGGATCCATAGGAGTGCTGACAGACTTGCAGTCAGAGAGACCATAACGCTCCAGCATATCCACTATATACTGGCGCTGTGAGAGTGAAATGGTATGCTTTGCATGGTCTCTTTTGATGTCTATGCCCAGCAGAAACTGGGTAGATCCAAGGTCTCGGAGTTTAAAATATGACTTTAACTCCTTGACAGTGTCATCAAGTGCCTTCTTGGACTTTGAAGCAAGTGTCATATCGTCTATAAAGACTGGGACAATAATGTGCACATCTCCCCTAATGTACACATAGATGCTTCTGTCAGACTGAAGACGAGTGAAGCCCATTTTGGTGAGCACCTCATGAAGCTTCTTGTTCCACTGGCGTGCACCTTGCTTCAAGCCATAGAGTGACTTATTTAGCCTGCAGACCATTTCTGGACCACCCTGGTGAAACCCCTCAGGTTGTTGCATGTAGATCTCTTCCTCCAAGTCTCCATTTAGGAAGGCAGATGAGATATCCACAGAGTGAAGTTCTAGATCCTCTGCTGCAGCAAGAGCTAGAATAAGGCGCAATGCAGGTTGACGGAATGTGGGAGCAAAGACTTCTGTGTAGTCAAAGCCAGGGCGTTGACTGTAACCCTTGGCGACTAATCTGCCTTTATAGCGCTCTACAGAACCATCTGCATTGTGCTTCACCTTGAACACCCAGCCTGAGCCTATTGCCCTTTTGCCTGGTGGCAGTGGAACAATGTCCCATGTGTTATTGGCCATTAGAGACACAATCTCTTCATTGGCTGCTTGCTGCCACTTATCAGCATCAGGACTGCCCATAGCCTGTTTATAGGTCCAAGGGTCTGCTCCAGCAGATAGACCAGCAAACTGGACTTCAACAAAGTCAGCATCTGCATCTATCACATCCAACTCATCCTCAGACTCTGCATCCTGCATAGGTGGTGGTAAAGTTCGCATTTTCCAGGTGGGCCTAATGTTGCGAGGTACCCGGTGCTGAGCAATTGGACGATGATCTATAGGTTCAAATGGAGGAGGAGTTGGAACTCTATGATGCTCTGAAGGATCTGGTGGTGGTGGAGTTACTGGATGCTCAGGTGCAGGTGGTGCAGGTGGTACAGGTGGATCAGCTTCTGAAGCAACTGGACCGAGTATAGGATTTGGCACATGTGCACCATCTCCCCCTAAATCCTGTCCAGGTACAGGTGCTACAGGTAGAGGAATAATGTCTGCAGGTGGAAATGACATAGGGGGTGGAGGAGGAATATCAGAAGTGCATTTGAGGCCAGGGAAGTAGCGCTCATCAAAATCAGCACGTTCTGAGATTATAGTCTTTTTGGTGTCAGGATTGTAGAACTTCCACCCCTTGTATCCTGCAGGATAACCAATAAACACACATTTCTGCATGTGTGGTCCCAGACCTGTACGCTGATCCTTCTGCACATGCACATAGGCAGTACAGCCCCAAACACGAAGATGGCTGACATCTGGCTTCCGCTTATACCACAGCTCATAGGGAGTTGCACCCTTCACCACTGCTGTAGGCAGACGGTTCCAGACATGCACCATAGATCCAATGCATTCTCCCCAGAAGGAAGGAGGCAGTTTAGACTCTGCTAGCATAGCAGTGATGTCATTGTCCATTGTGCGATTAGCTTGCTCTGCAACTCCATTCTGCTGTGGTCTATTGCGCGTGGTATGTCTGCGCTCAATCCCTGCCTCCTGAGTAAACTGTATAAAGGCATTGGACATGTACTCCCCACCCTTGTCATCCTGGACAGCCTTGATTTTTGCTTCAAGCAGATTTTCAGCATAAGCTTTATACTGCTTGAAAGCATCAAAGGCTTCACTCTTAGCCTTTAGCAATAGCACAACCCTGAATCGGCTGTAATCATATATGAAGGTGATCCAGTACCGATATCCTGAGTGTGTACACACAGGCAGAGGTCCGTGGACATCTGTGTGAATTAATTCTAGGGGTTTGGAGGCATGACTGTCCGATGTAGGGAAGGGATTGGCATGCATTTTACCGGCCAGACATGGTTCGCAAATGGGGTCAGGCTGCTGCTTTGAATTCAGCATAAGACCAGTCACTAGCTCCTCTCTAATCATCTTTTGGACATCGGCATAGTTGTGATGAGCAAAGCGACGATGCCAGAGATTTAAATCAAGAGGGACTGTGGTTATAGCCTGTGCAGACTCTGGAGCTGGTTGTACAGTTCCATTAAGAAAGGCAGTGTAGTTCTCTGTGATAGAGGCAACAAATAGAGTCTGACGAGAGTGAAGGAAGGTCATGAACTTGGACTCTATGTGAATTCTGAAGCCTTTCTGACGAACTAAATACAGACAAGAGAGGAGATTGTTCCTGAGCCTTGGGACATGCAGCACCCTAGTGAATTCCACAGGCCTGACTGCTTTCCCTGCAATCACTGGATTAAATACAACTGTTCCCACCCCAGCAGACATGACAATGGTGTTATCAGCGAGTTTGATTGGAATGACCAAAGGTTTGTAATTTCTAAGCCAGTGGTGATGAGGTGTCATATGAGAAGTGGCACCTGTGTCTGCATTCCAGTCAAAGTCAGCATCAAGCTGAAGTGGGTCAGAGAGACTTGCTTTGCCAGCAGACTCTGTGACAGTGGTAGGGTCAATCTGAGTGGTATTCTGGGTGGCAGCAGCAGCAGCAGTAGCATTTGCCTTGTTTCCACACTTAGAGCGGCGCTCTTTGCGATTTTCCTTGGCTTTCTTTGAAGCATTCTGGAAAGCATAGCAATTGGACTGTGTGTGTCCTTTGCCCTCACAAAAATCGCAGGTGAGCTGTGAGGAGGAAGCAGTGGTGAGTGCTTGATCTGCTTTGGGAGGGGAAGTGGTGCGATGACGACGATTGATTTCCTCTGTGACAAAAGCCTGGGTGACAACATCTTTGCTCAGGATATCACGCTGAAGTAGCGCAGAGGTAAAAGCGCCATATTCCTCCACAGGAAGAGCACGAATCATAGCCATGGAGGTTAACTCTTCATCCAGCTTTGTCAGATTAAAGTCATTAGGGCGAAGGTCTTTAACACGCTGCATGGCAGCATTGACCTTATTGACAAGCCCTTGAAGTGATTCCTCTGGTTGCTTTCTGATGGAGAAGACATCATCATAAGCATTGAAACGCGCTCCAGGTTTCTTCTGCAGATGAACAGCTGCAAGCTGTTCTCACATTTTGATAGGGTCATCCACCACACCAGCAAAGTGAGTGCGCTGATCTGGTTCCACCATCAAATAGATTTGACCAGCTGCTTTCTCTGCATTGGCCTCCCAAGTGTCTAGCTTGGTTTGCTCAGCTGCTGTAGGTGATCCAGAGAGCTTTGGCTGTGGAAGCTTGCCATTGACAAGTCTCCAAAGGTTTGCAGAGCGCAACCAGGCAGCCATTTCACCGCTCCAAGTAGGGTAATTGGAGTCATTGAGTTTGGCAAAGTTGGGAGTGTGGGTAGAGGTGGAAGACATGATGTGGAAAGGGGTAAAGGGTTGTGTGTGATTATGTCTGGTGCTTGAAAAAGTGCAGGATAGTCCTCAGGAATGTGTGCAGGAAAGGAGGTATAGTAATTGTAACCAGTAAGTATTTACTAAACACCCAGTTGTACAACCACTCAGGTCACTGGGATGATTACCAGGATGTTCCCAAGAAGGTCAAAGGCTGGCCCACTGAAGTGCACAGACCCAACAGTTGGTGTCTTTGTAAATAAAGGATATGCAGCACACTATAAGGACAAGAAAGGCACAGAAAAGTGACCAAGACAAAGCAACAGCAAAGGGGCTAGAGCGCGGGGCTCATAACCTAATAAAGTCGCAATATGCAGACCTTGTAGGGGACTCAAATAACAGGACAGAAGAGCTGGGCAATACAGCTAGAGTCCAGAAGTGAGTCACTAAGTAATATTGAGGACAAAGTACTCTACTCACCTAGAGTCCAGAAGTGAGTCACTGAGGACTCAGAGTGGACTCTAGGGGGTTTATATCTACCTAGAGTGTGGCTATACAAACCTGTGAGTAACACAGGATTGTGGCTATGAACATAGGCAGGCATAGCTATGCATAGCTTCTACACAGCAGTGCATAGCGCAGCCTGATCAATAGGTATCTAGGTGTACAGCATCTTGCATTGCTTTGAGTCTAGACACTTAAGAGACTGATGGATTATCTAATCTAACACATTGTTGTTTTCTGTCTCATGGCCATGCAACTTCACGGCCAGGCCAGCATATATATGAATGGTGCTGCAGAGTGTTGACCGCCACCACTGGGCATCATGTTTCCCAAGGCCACGGTGACCCTCGAAGACCACATTGCAACTCTTCGAGATATTTCTGACGAGATTCGATTGCAGGGACGCACTGCGGTAGAGTCTTTGTGGTACGAATACTGGGATACCGCCCTGAACTTTTTTGGTTTATCCCTGGCTCGCCGATCACAACGCGTTACTATTTCCCCGCAGAGGGGAATTTCTCGAGACGCGTTACGACGTGCGGTGGAACTACCTGCTGACTGTACGTGCACAATGCCACATTATCCACTACCTCGTTAAAGCTTGTTTTGATTTTAGATGCAGAATGGAGCACAGAAGTCCAGCTTGGTGATCTCGAAATTCTGACGGAAGACCTTTCCATCCAGGATGACGAGGAGACACGCAAACCCGCCCTTTTGGAACGTGCAAGGGCCAGGATTGTCCACGCCAGCAAAAAATTTACACGGAGACGCGGTATCCAGACTTTGTTGTCCTCGTCACGAAGGGCCGATCACCTCAATCTATCCTGCTGATCGTCGAGGTGAAAGCATTCGATACGGCGGCCAATATATCGGACCTGGAACTTGCAAAGGACGAAGTGGAGGATGCACGCGAACAAATTATTACCCAAGCAAAGTTTGCGTTCGACGCCTTCCGGGAACAAGATCGTTTGTTTATAATGCGCGCACCGTGTGACTATTGGCAATTGGTAGAGTTTCGGCGCGAAGACCTGGTAACCCTTCCGGTGCATAAGCTACGGGACAAAGACGTAGAAAGCTACGCACAACCCACTATGAAAGACAAGCTCTTCTACAACAGTGGAGTCTATCCTGTGTTGAACGACGACAGGACAGACTACCATCCACAGTGGAAGGCGAAGATGAAACGGATCCTCAATCGGCTTGGAGTGGAATATGACTCCGAGGACTGATACGAACTTGTGAGCTCTTTCGTACTTGCAACTTCTTTCACTGACGAGAAAGCATACTATGTTCAGACGCAATGCAGCAAGACCCAGAAATGCCGATCCGCTGAGGCGGCTCTGCTCCGGGAACGATCAATTTGTTTGTCCAGAGTCTCGCCCCCATGTTTTGAATAATCGATGCCGTTTTGTCTTAGTATGCGCCCGCAATAACAATTGGAATGGTGCTGTGTGGTATTGCGTCGCATGCTGTGTTCTCCGCCCAGTTTCACCCCGCACGGACAGATAATAGTCAGTGTCTCGCAGAGGATAAGCAACCTCGCAGCTCTTCTGACATCGGTTCACCTGTGAAGCATGCGATGAAGTAAGTATTAGGAAAAGGTATCCGACGAGAAGTCATTGTCTTTACGAACTGTGTATCAGACAAGGGGAAGAGACTGCCAGGTGCAGTGTGCACAAACCACCAGCCAAGTAGATCTTTGGGGGAAGTAAATACCTTGAGATTAACCGCATATTCACACAGGAAAGCATAGATCGAGACGCGTACCCAAATCTACATCAGTACGAACAAATTGTAATCCTGTGTTGGCCCGTCTGTTCGTATTCATGTAAAACGTGCTTGAGGGTCACGCTCTCCATTTCCACTGCGTAGTATCCAAATACCATTTGCCCTTCTTTGATCCCAGATACTCCCGTACCTTCAGGTCCACCTCTTCCAGCCGTTGGCTCGGGTACCAGTTCGTACATAGCGAGAGCAGAAACTGCCGTTTTCGATCCACGCACACCCGCGCGACCTTGGTCGGATGGTTAATCACTTATGTCTTCAGACCAGGCGTGGCCCTTCGCCTCCTTGGAGAACCCGGGCTGTGTCGCTGCAACAGCGAAGAACTGCTCGAAGTTGATGATGTAGCCATAGTGCATGATTGGAGGAATGGGACCAAAGCGGTTGGCTTGAGCACTGGTGGTAGCTCTTCGTAAGCAGGTACTTGGCGTACTAGGGTGAACGGCTGTCGAGCGGCAATATTAGTTAGGCTTTGGGATAAATACTGAGGCTAAGATGACACACCGCGCCCGGTGTGAATCCAGGATGAATATCATTCAGAGACGACCTCATGAGGTGGCAATGGTAGGTAGCGTTCAACTACAATTTCGCACGGGTTTTATATAGTCAATTACAATAGCGAAAGCGTGAACAACAGCGAGCAACCAGACGGAATAGGTCACCTTTAGAGTCTCGGCGCCTCGCAGTGACGAGCAAACGAGCGGCAGTATCTGTGTTCCATTAGGCTTGGTAAATAAACATTCTAAACCTCGATTAACACAAAGCGAGCAATGCGCCGGCTTCTAGTCCAACGACAATGCGAACGCGCTGAAATGGATGAAAGTGAGCACACCATTCTGCGACTACCTGCAAAACCTTACCTACTAGCTACAAGTCCGCATACGGATCTGGAACGGTGACAAACTCGACGTGGAGGTCGTCCGAAGCCAACACCTTTCTGATCCTCCTGGCATCGTCACTCTCCTCAAAAGGTTGATAGTTGGTACGCGTCGCAGTGGGGTCAATCACTCGATTCGTGACGACGAGAAAGATGGGTTCCCCTTCGTAGTCGCATGGGAGAAGGCGATGACCACTCATCTGGCTCTTGAGGTAGCGATTGACTGTTATGGCATAACAACCTTCTGGTGGGACGAGCCCATGCCTCCCGCACCACTCTAGAACTTGGTCTGGGGTTAGTTTGTAACCTCCAACAAGATACATCTAGAAGCAAGGAATATTAGCATATCGGAAATGTTGTCGTGACCTCAGACTCTCACTTTTGTGAAGTCAAACTTCGAATTGAACAAGTCTGCCAGGCTTAGCCGGTTTTCACCGCCATTAGTCAAATCAACTCCGCTAGTTCGTTCATCAACCTCCTACCGTCGCATCCAATACTGTACGCCATGCCACCGAGCACTGAGAATGAGTCACTGATGAGTATGCGCGAGGAATGGTCGCGAGGACTAAACTTACGCGTCTTTGTCTACTGCAAAGACGACGAACGCGTCCCAAGAGTCTGACAATAAAATCTGAAGAAATTTCGGCTTACGTCCAACTTAACACACTGAAGGCACTCGTCTTTCACTTTGCACCCAAGACGACAATATATCAACCCAGGCAACAACACCAAGAAAAGCAGATACATTCACATGCAGACCAAGCCACCCAAGACCCAATAAACACGAACAGCCATCTCTTCCCCCGTCAAAATATCTCTCTACCACCGCGCCTACTTCTTCTTCACGATCCGCACCCCCGCAAGATGTTTCCGCTCCGTATGCGCGTGTGTAGTCGGCCCGACAGGCCCCACGCCCGTCTGCCTCGCACTCGCACTGGTACCCGCCCCAGGCGGGCTTATCGGCAGCGCCGGGAGCGCAGCCTTGGTATTCGGCGTTCCTCGCGCCGGCGGGCGAGATGGTGGCGCTGGGCGCGGGGGCAGAGACGGGTGCAGGGGTATCGGCCGATTCGATGATGACGAGGCGGTGGGGACGGCGGGGGTGGCGGACATCTGGCGGAGTTTCGCCTCCATCTTTGCGATCTTCGCGCTCGTCCTGGGTGTACGTGTCAGTGTCAGTAATGTCTATTCGAGAATGAGCGTTGAGAAGGAGGGTGGGGAAGTGCGTGGAAGGTGGGTGGTGGAAGGGATGTGATACGTGACTCCCCTCCGGCATCGTCGTTTCGTCGACAAGGACGAGGACGAGGAACTACCGACGAGACCAGCTGTCGTGATGCCTGTGTATCCGGCTGAGAGATTCCGTCGCGGCAGAAGGTATACCGCATGTCCAACTACTCGCCCCCGCAGCAGCCAAGCGTCTCGAAGTCTGCCAGACGCAGAACGACTTCTGCGCACAGACGCGTGTCACGCAAGTTTCGTCGAAGAGTAGATTAACCCTACCACGCCCAGCGGCAAAAGCCTCATTATATCAGAGGCGTCTCTCCAAAGAGAGGCGCACCAGCGAAGCTCCTCGAAGTCAACCGAACCCAAAACGGCTCCCGCCCCAAACAGCAGTGCAAGAGCGTAGGCTCGTAGGGTAACAAGGGACCGTAGGTATTCCCACTTCCACCGTGTCCAAGGGATAAAAGAAGAGAACAAAGCAGGTAAAATGACGTACGCATCAGCCCTACCCACGCCGACGCTCTTCAGCATACTGAGTGCAGTGGGCTTCGCCGCGTCGTGCGGCCTGCGGGGACGCATGCCTGGGGGGAGCACATCGAGCGGGGCCTGGTGCGCGTGGGTGACGGTGAGGCGGCGGCCGCGCAATAGCCTGTCGTGCGTCGCGGCGAGCGCGCGGTCCGCGTCCTGTCGAGAGCCAAGGCGTCAGTGTCTTGTCAACGCACGGGAATTCGCTTCAGCAGACAGCCCCCGGGTCCACTGTGCGGGGGTTGAGAGCGGCGGAGTTGCGTGGTATAGCGTGTGCATATAGAACCCGGGGTGAGCCTCGGGCGGAAATGAGAATGGGGAGAGGAAGGACGCACATCGGATTCGGCAAACTCAACGAAGGCATACCCGCGCGGCTTACCGCGGAGCGGGCCCGCCTTGTGGAAGAGGAAGTCGAGCTTGGAGACCTTGCCATACTTGGTGAAGAGCTGCAGCAGCGTGTATCTGCGCGGCGCGGTCAGTGGAGGTTTTGGTGGAGGCGGCGGGGCGGAGAGCGGCGCACTCGTCAACGGTAGGGTGAAGATTCCCTACGTATAACCGCTCCTTGAGCAACTGCCGCGGCTGGGCTGGTGTGTGTGTTGGGAGAGTGGGCTCAGCAGCTGGCGTAGGAAATGTGAGGTGACTGATAGCGGTGGAAGTCGACGCAGAGGGGCCTGACTCGGGATCTGGAGAGAGAGGAGAACGTGCAGGTGAAGCCATTGGCGACGAGAAGATATCGTTGCAGGCCGTAGTCGACGACGACGACGACGACGACGAAAGAAACTGAGTGGCTCAGGCTGTGGTTGAGCGGCAGATGCCGGACGGAGCACGTGCCAACATTTTCGAGTTCAACGTCGGCGTCGGGCGAGAGTACCGTATACGACGACAACGACGATGACCGACGCTGTCTGCCATTGCTCCCCGTCTCTTGCTCGACCTGTAGCTTCTCTGCGCCAATCTGTGGATCATGATAGATATTGATCCCAATCAACGCTCCACCGGCCGGACGAGATGTTTTGGAATCCTCAGGAGTCAGGACACTGACAACTTCGGTCACGCTCTCTGCTGGGTGCTGTTGCTTCGCATGGCCCCACACGCACAGGTCGGCACTCGCATGCAGTCCCCAGACCCATCCCTGTTGCCGTGCGCGCTTGCTAGTCGCTTGTAAGCATTTCTCTTTCTATCGCTCTCCCTCATGCAGGCGTTCAAGCTTCCCCAGAATGCGACGCGGCCTGGCCTATCGTCCCCATCTATGCAGCACGGACAACATGGACTTGATCATCTGATGTCTCGCGGGAGGATCTGCTCGAATCCGGCATCGCGCAGGCGCCGGGAATACAGACGCCTGCCAGGAGGGCGTTTGCTTGACGGCCGCCCTTCGCTGGATTCGTGCGTTCGGTCCGTGTCTCTGAATGCGTGCCGGTTTGTGCTCTATGACGCATCAAGCCATCTCTATGGAACGATCCTCATCGCCGGCCTCATTGACCCCCTCGTGTTCTCCCGCCTCGAGGAACCTGTGCAGCGCTCCGCGGCGCAGCAAACAAGCAAGCACTGGGCCCGTTACGACACCCTCTTCGACTTCCATTCCCCGCTAAACCGCAAACGCCTATTGTCCCATCACCCATCACTCTCCGCCACTGGCGCTAGCAGGAGCGCCCGCGCCCCGCGAACAATGGACCCGTAGACGCTGCGTTATCTCTACTCCTCCGCATGCGAGTGCGCAGGCGTGCGGCTCTAGCCGTGCAGCTGTTCTGGAAGGTCCGCGTTTCCCCTCAAGGCAGGAGGGAATACGTACGCATTCCGTCCACACAGCAACCACACCGCACCAACACCGTCCGCACATTACCGGGCACTTCTCGCGTAGGTCCGACGGGTGGGGGTGCATCGATGCATATGGCGTGCATGCTTCTCTCTGTGTGCTGTACGACAACCGCGGGGAGAGCGTCAGCGCGTGTTAGCTGGGAGCGCTCGGAGCGACGGTGGTCGTTCTCGCGGCTGGCAAATATAAGCGCCAGTTCTTCCTCTTCGCCTTTGTCCGGTGTGGGCGTATGTGAATCGCATTGGGAGGACCCTCGAAATGTAGCTGCCTTCGACAACACGCTCTGTCATGCTCCGACGGCTGCGCGAGAGCGCGAGCTCTACTCCGCTCATTGTTGCAGGCGCCCGGTAAGCGACGGCGGGCGTGAAGGAGGCGGTGTGTCATATGTGTTTTGTTGGCACGTCTAGATATAGGTCATTTTCCCGACGTCATTGCGGACTTCCTGGAGAGACGACACGAGGCTACCAACCTGCGGCGTTAGCCGGAGGATGGCGGCGTGCCGAGCTCCCTGCCATGACGTCCGTAGTTCGCCTGTCATTAACCAAGTAATGTCACACTGGCTCCAATACGCTATCCATGTTCACCACTTAGATCGTCCCGACTCGGTGCATCGAAGGTCGGAAGCGGCTGGACTGTAGCGGCGAACCGTTTGGATCGAAATTAAGATCGACGACTTGGTGGTTGTCGCTGTCCACGATCGATTGTGCGGCTGTCTTATGCTCGGATCGGATATTACGTCGATGTTAGCCGTGTCAGCCGCTCTTTCGCGCGCCAACGGGGGACATATAAAGGGTCTCGTCTTGTTGGTGTCACCTTACCCTTCCTCAAGCTCTGTTTCCCCCTTCATCGCGTGCGGCGGCTGTCCTCAATCCTGGTTGTGCCACTATGATTTTGTGTTCATCGAGACGCTTTGTGACGTGGTTGCTAAATTGTGTTCCCTCGAGGCAGGAGTGATGGGCGGTCACTTTTTGCAAGGTGAGCGAGAGCTGTCAGTTTCGCATTGCTGATGCTTGGGTTTCTGTCAGCGGGCCAAACATGTTACATCAAGTGAAGCTTCCCCCCGTTGTGCATCTCACTTGGCAAACAATATGCCACATTATCCCGGGCCGTTTTCTTGTCCATCGGAGAGGTCCACACCCATGACAACGCCCATGAGTTCTTGCAGCGTAAACCGATACCCAGCTAATCGGCCTCCTTCGAATTTATCATCTCAAGTTACGATCAATTCAAGTATTTCTTGTCTAGACGACGTTACACCTTCCTCTATGTTCACAAACCAGCTTGTAGACCGATCCAGTCGAGGGGCTCAACTTTCGGCCTTATAATCCAAGGAATTTATACATTCAAGGCCTTGACGCCGGAGTCTCTCGACTATCCGTGATATATGGTATCCATCCGCCTGAAGACCTCCAGGCTTGCCCAAACATATGAATGCGTTTGGGCCATCATCATCGCCAGGAGGTTACGGTCTCATTCACGTCATATGTCGCACACCCACTGTGTGGAAATTGGTGCACCTAGCTGTGATTTCTTGCCGTACTTGATATGTTTCTGGTATCGACGTAACATTCTTCGTTGACAGTAGCGATCGAGGAATGGAACGGTGGAATCGACATTAGATCGGTATAGCGATTGACTGTATTGATCAATCAAAGCAGCTCTACACTACGTCGCGGATATCTAGATTATAGTACTATGTGAACTCGAGGAAGCTGGATTCGGAAGGACCTACAAGTGGGGACGCTGATCAGCTCGGCAAGACCAAGTAGCAGGTTATTGGAGCGCAATCTCCGCGTCGAGCCGAAGGACGAGACCTACCCGGTGTCAGAGGACGTTCGACTCTGCTTCAACAGTTTTTTAATTTTAATTTTTGCCTCAAATTTATTTGTCCGTGAGGGCGAAGCCCTATGTAGACATCGAGCTAACGTAGCTAACTAATGGGGGGAGCTGGTGAGGGGGTCGAATACTTCGACAGTTGGCGGTGCAGCCGTGGCCGGAAAATGCTGACATCGTGACATCTCTATCTACGAAATGCGTTAGAGATACACGCTCTCAAGGCCGCCGCGAGTGGTAGGAAGTCGCGTCCGAATCGCCAGGGGTGGTATGCGAGTTTTTATAAACATCGAGGGTAAGTGTTTCGAGATGGGCAGCGCCCAGCGAAATTGGCCATTGCATATACGATGCCAGTGCGGCGCCTGTACATCCTTCCAGGACGTTCGCCATCCTGTGCGGTTCCCTGCCAATTGCACGGATTGGAAGCTCGAGTTGCGGCGTCCCGCAAGACAGCCGGATAATCACCAGCAATTGACTCTGTATGGAGGACGCAAATTAGATCGCGATCGTCCGCAGCGTCACAAATTTTGAAACCATCTGTTAAACTTGAACCAACAGACTGCTGTCGTCCACATTATTGACGGCTCCGATGGGTCCCGCGCAATACAAGCACTTGAATGACCACAGGTTCGTCGATGACACCGCGGTGATGCACGTCGAGGTCTGCCCTGGTCTGCCAAATATGACAGCTTCTGCAGTCTTGAGACCCCGCAATTGGCACCGGCTCCGTATGTGAGCGGCTTCGCCGCAGAAATTCGCGCCGGCAAACTTCGGGTCAATCTGCTCTTGGTCACGGTCATCTCAACTGGACAGCTCGAGGATGGGCATGAGGGGCGCTGCAAGCATTAAAATTGTGAGTGTATCATGAAGGGATCAATTACATATCCATACCAGAGCTGGGCCGTACGTTGGAAGCGGTTCCATGGACCTCGCAAGGATTTTCCCCCGAGACAACAAGCTACCCAGTCGGTCCATAACCTGGCTAATGCATAATTGTGAAAGTTCCTGCACACCTGGGCTGCTCGAAAGAGAGTCATCCGGACTAAGTTGTCTGGTTTGCAAATTGAAAGTAAAGACCGCACGAACAACGATGTCATTCTGCAACTTGAATGGTGGTAGTGCTTGAATTTCATCCTCAGCAAGAGCCCGATCATACTTATGGAGGCATGTAGAAAAATACTCCAAAGACAACGTACAAGTTGACAACGGTATACTGTACTATGCAAGTAACGTTAACGAACAGCGAAGCGCTCGATGAACTGGCAGGAGGGTGGTAGACACGTGGTTTCCATTAGCGCACAACGTTGACTCACTTCGGGACTGTTCGTGACGACAACAATAACCCTCGACTCTTGCCTTCTCGAGCTCCGCGGACTTCGATATAATCCGTACCGCCAACCGGTAGGGCGAAACGTTGTCTTTGGGCTGGATAAGGAAGACAATGGATGACTTTCCGTAACGTTTAGAACCAACTTTTCTAGATTTTGCGAGTTCCAACCGGAGCGTAAAAGCGTGACCCGCCCGTGACCAAGTGTGACAATCAACCGTTAGACCGGCCCAAGTGAGCGGGACGGGCGCCAACGCCTCTGATGTACGTCTGGAGAGGGTGTCGACCCCCTCTCCAGATTGGCCTGTCTGGAGAGCATTTGGTGCAATCGACTCAAGATGGGCGGAGATTCGGCTATCCGGGACATTTCCCGGAACTCCGCTCAGTCACGGTTGTGATTCCTTTCTATGGCAGGTGGTTCGGGCGCCTACAGGGCGTTTAGCAGTCTGGAACGCAAAATCTAGAAAAGTCGTATCTAAACTGCGTTACGGAAAGTCACCCAATATGGTAGGCCATTTTCTAGAGGTTCGCTACCATTCGCTACCACATCCATGGCCATGGCTCCTTGAAGTCCTCGTTGGAATATCACGATCGGATGTGCGAGGGGTTGTTTTATTTGCACCCTCAGATCTTCAGTCTTTCTCCCATTGGCCATGGCAACGTCTTTTGTAATTTATTCCTCCCCCCGATGCGTGCGACCCATCTGACTTCATCCTGCCATTGTTCTATCTTAGTACGATCTGATGCCCGTGTGCGGTCGTCATTTCTGCAGACCAACCGCCGCCGTGAGCGCCAGTCATGACTGGTACTGCCGCCGTCTACGGGACTGCTCTAGAATCGTTTTCCCAATCGCGGTGACATTCACTGGTCGCTACCCTCATGTCTCCTCTACGGCGCTTGCACTAGCACAGGCACTCGGCAAGCTGTAGATCCTCCCGTCATATCAGGTGTATCTCCTTAGCTATGCCGGGGCACTCGCACTCGGGGTGGAGCCTGGACTTCCCCATGAGTGGCTCATCACCGTTAGCTTGGATCTCATTTCCCGGAAGGAACGTACTTCTTTTGATGCCTGTGGTGCGGTCGAAGACTTCAATATATCTGGCTCCATACTAATCTTCCGTCAGATGAACACCTGCTTGGGCGCTCCATGGCTATGCCCTGCCATGCTTCCTCCGCATTCCGTGGTTTGAGACCGATGTGCTCTTGTTGCGTCGCGAGCCGCGCTGGACAACCGAATTCGCACTGCACGTTGAACTGCATGCGATGCACGGTAGAACGGTGTCCATCTCTGCTCAGTGTTATTTTTGATTGAGCTGAATATACCCAACACATGCGGTGCACCGGCCATCTCGCGCGTGTCCCACGAGATGCGTTATCTCTGTTTCTCTGTTTCTGCTGTATACGGTTCACTAAGCCGCACGATTTACCCCCGTCTTCTGTTCGGGAAGTCTGAGAGCGGCCGGTTATGCCACGAGGGTGTGCATGCTTCTTCCTGCTCGGTTGCGCCGCTGGTTCGGCATAATTTCCCCTCAACCCTCAGGCCCCAAGCTCACTTTGTGTTAGGAAGAGAGACAACATGTGTATCAAAGAGTGATATTTTTCGGTGAGATCCTGACGATCTCGAGCGCCGAACACGTTTCTCGTTTTACGAGAGTCGGTCACAAGCTACTCGGCGGGTTCCTGCCACCAACACCTCGGTCATACTCAACATGGATTCCCCTCAGATGAACGCACTTCCTCCGGACAGTCAGTGCATTGGGGATGTGCGAGGTTAGGCGCATTCAAATTGGCCGGGACAATTACTGCGGTCTTTGGCAAGTCTTTGGTGTGACGTTCGTGGAAAAGGATGTGGACTGGTGGGGGAAGTTCCCAGTCTCTCTGTCCTTGGGACATACAGCATTGAGACAAATATCAGAGAACAATGGTATTCTATGATAATGTCATCGTTATAGCGCTCTGACAATGCATGCTGTGCGGTGCTTGTGTTTTATGAGACCTGCCATTTCGAGCGACAATTCAGTACTGAGAAAGGCAATTTTTAACTGGATAGATCTTGAGATCTCTCCCTGCCCGCGCTCCCGATGCATTCAACAACGAAGGGTATGCTTCCTCTCTGTGCCAAACCTCCAGAGCAGGAACTGCAAGCGTTGTGATAGGACCGTGCACTCCACTGGAGTCGCTTAAAAGAATTAGCTAGTCCTAACCAAAGTGGCAGGGCTCCTTGCACCAGGCCTGCATTGCAGCTCTGTGAGCAGGGCGTAGAATTATTGAAATTGATGTCTCCTGCTTATATGGTTTCCAGCCGCAGATTGACCACCAAGCCTTTAGCAAGGGCCTTTCACTAAGTCGTGTCATCCATCCAAAACAAATTCTGTACACTGAGATTCATCCAATCCAGTGCAGCTAGAAGTCACAATGTATTTCATGTACTCCTTTTACACAACTGTGGACAAAACAAGATGCTGGAGAGGGAGTACTGGTAGGTGGACAAACTCGAGTATCACACGCTCAGTGAGAGTAACGCGGTCACGTGAGGAACGCGTCCCACGGAATCGTCCCCTCTCTTTTTGCCCATTTCTAGCATCAACTGTTTGCCACCACTTTGAGTCCAGATTTACGAGCTGCCCGGGCTAGAATGAATGTAAAGTAACTAATCCTAACACTATCTCTCCTCGTTTGACTCATTTACTGCAAGAATTTGCTCGGCATCATCCTCCGTCGGCCACGATGTCAGACGATCCGACTGGATACAATTTCTCAGGTGGAGGAGAGGGAGGTCAACCAGAAGTGCGGTACGGCGTCTTGGAAGCCGCATAATCTATTCCTGCTATCTCTGCTGTCCCCTTTACCCCCAACTGTGCAGTGTGCTCCGCGCGACGTCGCGTCTTGCTACTGTTTCCGCCGCCTAGCCCTGCCAGCCTCGTATCACTTTCCCTCGGAAATTCGCATATCCGTGCGTTTCACGCATTTTCTCTATGAAAACGACGGTATTCTGCTGATATGTTATGTCACATCGCAGAAGGATTATGCTGTCCTAGCCTGGAGAGGATCCATAACGCTGGCGATTGGACTCTCGTCATAAGCCATCCCGCAATTGGTTATCGTTCCCCTACTCAACTTCCTTCGTTTACGTGCTATTCACCGGCTTCGTCAGACCTAGGGCTCCCACGTTTCCTCACATGCTTAGCGTAGCCTGAAAGGAGGGAGTCTGAGGCCCCTACCCTTGGGCGTCTAGTCACCAGGTTTCAAGTGTCCACTCATCACTGATGGAAGGTTGACGAGTCACAGGTTCTCGCCTCAGCTGGGAACAATGAGTACCCCATAATGGTGTGAGCGACCGAAGACCATCTCTCCGAGCAATCGTGGGTCGCAGCATTGGCCAAGTCAATTCCGTCTGAACCCGGATAGATGCGGCTGATAAAGGTATTCATTCAGCACAATAGTCAATGCCATCGCGATCATCCATCGATGAAGACAACGTTCAATACATTCCAGTCGCTTGTAACGCAGTATGTATCCGTTTCGTTCTGGTAAACTCCGATCCACAGGCAATTGGTGGCCCATGCATCTGCCGTCCCACCGTGAAGTGCCTGGTATATGGCTGTGACGCAGGGAAGACACGCTCTGAACTCAAAATTCGGGCTTGCACGTCCCTTCGGCAATGGTGCGGACTGACCGACCAAGCTGTGTAGCTCCCCAGATATGTCTGGAGTTCTCATCTGAACTAGAAAAATCAAACAATGCGGCGTCAGAGTTACGATACGTAACCTAGTAGGCTCTTTCCAACTTACTTCCACTTACGGACGCGGCTATCCCTCACGCAGGCAGTGTTACATTCTAGAAGACGGCTTCAGCGCGAGTCTGATGGATTCGGATCTGGGGCTCTCTCCTTGGTCGGCCGGATCTACACACCGCATAGCAGAAGTGGCGTCATATCTAGGGTGTTGCTTGCCATGCGGACTACGACTAGTAGACTTTCAGAAACAATGAAGAATCACCAAGGACATAGATATCGCAGGACGGATTTCAGTAGATGACCGCAGATACAAGTATAATTTCAGAAAATCCAAGAGAGCTAGCAATCTATGGTACATTAGTTGTAGACCGTTGATACAAAGTGGACAAAAAAGTCAAAACGTTCGTCGAGCCCGGTAGCACACTGAGGGGACATGGAAGGCACTGGTACAAAAACAGGGGATCGGGGTATTCAGTCGCACACAGCGAAGAGCAGGGATCCACGCAGTGAAGCCGAAAACTATTGCGATGTCAGAGAACCCACCCATCTGGGACTGGTAGGTCGGACTTCAAGGGTTCGGGCTTGTCGCCCAGCTTGTACAACCCATCCCTAGCGTGGACAGAACTCATATGTCGCATGCATGCGTCTTGGCGAAGGAAGCAGGTCTGCTGAACGTACTTCACGTTGCCGTCCTCGTCGAGTTTTTCAGAAAATTGATAGAAGAAGGTCAAGTTCTCCTGCGTTTTCTTCATCTGCTCCGCTTCCTTCAACTTCGAGTTCATCTCGTCCACCGTGACCTCCCGTGCACAAGGGTACGGACACAGAAAGCCGCACTTATAGGGATACGAACGGCTATCCTTGCAACACGACTGGATATGGCGTTTAGTGTCGGTTGACCGAGTGAACTCGCAATGACAAAGGGCGCAATGAAACGTCCCTGATTTCCCTTTGGCGACCGCCCGTTTTCTGCGGCCACCCCGAGCGGGTCTCTTCACTGGGGCCTCGTGCGACGTCGTGCATTTTCGGCGTTTAGCGGGGGCCTGGCGCGAGGTCTGGCAGTAGTCGTCGTCATCAGCGTCCTCATCCTCTCCTTCGTCGTCGTCATCGTCCTCCGCTTGGTATTCGTCTTCATTGAGGTCCATGTCAACATCCTCCGCCTCATCCTCGTCGAGCTCGTCCCCTTCCTGGCTGCTCTCCTCCTCCTCAGCGTCGCGCTTTGTCTTCTGTCCAACAACCCGCGGCGACTTGCGCGGCTGCGAAGGCGCAGGCGCTCTCGTGTGCGTGTGCGAGCTTGTCGACGAATGGGAGGTAGAGGCGGACGGGCCTGCAAAGGACGTGTTGGCCACCGCCCGAGATGTACGCGCGGCGCGCGCGACACGCGCTTTCGAGGGCGAGGGCGCTTTTGGAGGCGGTGCAGGAGCGCGAGAGGTAGTGGACCTGCTAGCTACCTTGCGCGGCAGCTGCTTGACGAGACGGGTAGTGCTCGACGAAGCCGCCCCCGAAGAGGAAGGAGTAGGCTTCGGCTCCTTCGCTGGCTTCCCTGGCTGGAACGAGGGTATAACAGTGGACGCCGCCTTGCCAGTCTCCGGCGTCGCACACGTTGCGGGTGTTATATCACTCTCAGGCGAGTCGCAAGGGACCTCGTCGACATGTTGGAAAGATAGGTAGAAAGGCGGTGGGCAAATATCTGCAAGAGACACGGTGGCAAAGGGGCACTGACTGGAAGCTGTCGTCGCATCTGCTAGAGAATAATTCGAAGACAACGGCGGCGTTGAAGAAGAAGAAGAAGAGGATGGAATAGACGCGGCAGAGGGAGATGTGGACGGTGTCGAGAGCGGACTGGGAGAACCACTGGATGAGGACGACGCGTATGCAGGGATGCTGAAAGGGAATGGACATGGCTAATGGGATGGAATCAATTAACAAATATGGACCAAAGAGATGATGGACATACAGCATTCGCGAGGAATGGTCCTTCCGGTTCCAATGTACTGCACGCCCCTAGCAACACGGTGTCCAAGGAGGAAAAGCCAGAAGTAAAAGGATTGTCGCATTCCGCATCGGCGACACGTACTCCTATGGCTGAATGAGCGGAGGCATCGCACGTGGCCGTGCCTTTGGGGAGGTCACAGAGGTGGATTTGGTTTCTACCGTTGGAGATGTGTGACAATTTCGAGTGGTTCACGGATATGGAGGCATCAGAAACATCGCACTCTGCTAGGGATGACCAGTGGTTTTGTTCAAAAGGTGGAGGAATAGAGATTCGTGGCCGAGAGGAGTGAAGGGTGTGATACAGGAGATCTTCCGCAACACGATTTACCAGGTAAATTAGACCGAGCAAAGCGCCGGGGCGACAGGACCATGCAACGATGACGCTCTCGTCGCGCTAATCGACCATGATAGTCAATGTCAAGCGGAACATAAACTGCACGAAGGACTTACGACGAAAGCGAGTTCAACCTCTCGTGGGACTTCAGAAAGCTCGAGCAATGACCCAACAAGTGGGATCGCTCTGCTTGTATTGACTGGGTGGCAAACTCTAGGAGGTGCCCTTTGCGTCATGTTCAACATCGGACGACGTGCACCATGAAGAACAACGAATGACTCACGATACAAGAATGGTGTCGATGTTCCAAGGTCGCACCTTCAGGACCGTATGCGAACCCAATGCGCTCGCAGCGCCGATGAGATTGGCCGTTCGACAGTGCTCCGGGTACACAAAATATGAGGGGCCGTTATAGTTACAGACAGTGGTGTGGGCAGGGTCGAACAGGTGCTTGAGAAGGAAGTTGTCCAACATTTGCAGAGCTTCCACGATGAGTGGAGGGACAAAGGGGTATGTGGAGGATGGATGGGTATGTAGGAGATAAGCGGGTATGTAGGGGAACAGAGGGTATGAGAGAGGACCGCAGGTACGAAGGTGGCCACACGAGACAAGGGGGGAAATTCTGAAGTGCTCGCATCGCGGCCCCGATTAAATCACCTTGGTTTGTGGGTCCAACAGCGCTCATGGGGCGCTTGTCGCCTGCCTTGAGGCATTCGTGAAGACAACCTATATTCGTCACTGGACCAAGTTCCCAGCCGGACCGACACTGATAGAGTTCCAATGCGGCAAGATACAGGATTTTGACCTCCGACGGTAACAACCACAAAAAGAAAGTCTCGAAGGAGTCACAATAGCGTGAGGAGTCTGGGCGTTCAACAAGACCACCCAGATTGACAAAAAGTACACCTCGAGGCTCTTTAACTGCACAAAGACAAGTCAACCGCGCTGGTGGAAAACCAGATCAGTATCAGAGATCAACGCCTTTACTGTAGAATGATCTCAGTCTCTTTTATTCTGCAATTGCTTTGTTCGGATCGGCGGTGATAATCGTGAGCTGAGGGCACGGACGCCATTATCCAGACTCTCTGGGCCACATACATGCACAGAGCAGAGTATCTTGATACTGTACTAGGTTCTCCAGGACATGAAAGAAGCGATTTGTTTTGAGTCAAAGAGTCAGACCAACGGCGCAACAGCTGCCAGCAGAGTTCGACTATTATCCCAGAAAAGGACAAGGACAATACTCACGTGACTTATTTGGGCGTCTCGCGGCAATGCGGCGAGCTCGGGAGCAATCGCGGGAAGGATCACCGCCGCGGCGCCGAGGGAATCATTGTCTGCTGTCCACCATGTATATCGGCTGTGAGTGCCTTGAGTGGCACTGCCGTTCCCCACTGGCATAACATGTGGCCTGGTAAACGCAAGCTGCAGCCGAGTGAGTGAATCATCATCAGTCGCCCTTGTTCTCACTTCGATTATGCGAGGGAAGTCATCAGTGACAGCAAAGGTATGGCGCTGTTGCCATCATGTGGACGAATCATCTCTCAGACGCCGGCTTGAAGTGAACCGTAAATCCATGTCCCCTGGAATTACCGAACCCAGGCCGCACGTATCAGACTACGCAACACCGCCCGGCGCCATCCTCATTGAGGCCTTACGCTCTTGGCATGAAGCGCCTTTGAGGTGCGTACAAAGTTCCGTCAGAAAGTGCCTAGCGGGTGCTTGGTAATGGGTGGACCCACAAGGTCCAACAATGCACAAATTCTGCACATCTTTCCAATTCTGTCAACGTGCTCCCATACGTGCAGACTTATATCTTTCTCATGCGATTTGTTGAGCACCCATTCCATTACAGTTGGCAGACCGGAATGTGCAGCTTCTTTCTCACCCACATTTCCTCTCGTCCAATATAATAATCTGAACATCGAACTTCCTTTAATTGGTGTCCCCGAGGATCGCGAGGTTCATGAAGTTCAGCCGGATTGATTTTATCATAGATGCTAAATTTTGCAGTACTTCGTCTTTCGTCCCGTGTAAACTCCTGGAAGGTCCGTCCGTATCAGCGAGTATACATTCAGTGACACTTGTGCTGCACGGCGCTAACGAGGGTGCGCTGTCCGGGGCTATGGCTATCTGCGGAGTGCAGATCAGCATCTTTCCCACCATCGATTACGAGGATATGAACACTTCCCTCCTCCGCATCCTCCTGATATGTAACACGCAGTAGTTCCCGTGTTGTAACAACCGCCGTTGTGCCCCTCCCGCTGCTCGTATGCAATTCGTCTCTGCGTCCACCCACGCCTTTACTCTATACTTGATTGATGTCGCGCAACGTTGGCATTATTAGCGCTAATTCATTCTTCAGCTTATTCTTTGCTGTGTTGGCCATTCCCCGGGACCAACGAGCATACACAGCGATTTGGTCAACAACCGGGATTGCTTCGGTAACCTTAGGAACGTCACGCCGGATATGATCGCACTTCCTCTTTCCCTCCCTTATTGTGAATGCAGCAACTTGAAAGACAGACACGCGCCACCTTAGCTGGAGTCTATTGTAATTTCAGGCTTCTGTGGGTCATGATATCGGTGTGTGTTCCGCCATCAGTAACTGTATCTGGTTGACCTCCTTAGGCCCGTGGTCCGCATTGTCAACAGGAATACACCTGGTCCTTCGCTCAACTACAGTCTGCCAATAGTCAGAGACTTGCGGTGGAGGTGGGCTCCTCTGGAAACTAGTGTAAAGGGGCTTTCGACGTCGCATACTAGATATCGACGATCCTCGTTATTTTCTCTTGAGCTGTCATTCGGGCGCATCTCGACGGCTTCTTTCGCCTTGTTCAATTGCATATTCTGCCACCGTACAGTATGCACAATCATCTAGCCTCATTTCCACCTAGAGCTTCTACACAGCTATCACGTCCCAAACGGTTTGGATGCCGCTTTGAGGATTTCCTAATTGGATTGGTGTGCCCTTGGGTGATACACACTGCAATTACGGCTCCCCTTCGTTCTCGGAGCAACTGCGGCTCGTGTTCCGCTCCCGGAAAATATCATGTGGAGTCTCTTTCCCCTTCTCACCGCCTTGAGGACAGGAATTAGACAGAGGGTGGGCTCTTCCCGCATGTGCACAGCAGCCGCTTTTCGACCAGAAACTCCGCACATATTCTATCTCCTGTTCACCACTGATCTGCGGCTGTATTCTTCAGAATTCAGTGGCTTCTTCCCGGGCGCCCTGATGATAGATGGCCATTGCGTATGGGCAGTGTTTGTTCGGCAGTTCTTCCCTTGTTGCTTATGGTTTTTCCATTTTCCGTTCCATTGCTGTGGCTCTGGCCACGGCGGGCATCGGAAGACATGTGGACACCAGTTTTGAGTTCCGCAGCGCTGAACATAGGTAAGTGGTGGGTTGGAGTTGTGACGTCTGAAGCCATGTGTCCCTAGTGGCCGACAAATTATGTGCTTCAAGTTGAGAGTCGCTGTCCCTCTATCGTTGTTCGACGCTGCGACTAACTGACAAGAGTCCGCCTTCCTCAGTCATGCTGCTTATGCACCGCGTCCTGATTCTAACTTCCGCACAATAAAAGTAGTCGATTTGGAGGGATGGCCATAATGTTCGGGAACCTTGGCCGACATTTCGCATTCACCTTCTGCACAGCCGGGTGATGTAGGTAGGTAGGTAGCTGGTAATAGCGGACTTGGTGCAATGTCATTTGGCGATTTGACTTCGACTCGATGAGACCAACTCGGAATTGTGGTGCTACCCGGGCAGCGTCTGACAACACCCGGACCGAGAATTGCGCCGACGATTCGGCCACTTCCGTCAAACTACTTCCTGAGAAGTCGTTCTATACATCCTTGTCCGCCATTGACCACTCGAGGACCTGCTAAATATGAAACAAGTGCTTGCCTTTGATACGTACGGGACGTTGCTAGACACAGGCAGTATCGCAACTGCAATTCAGAGTCATGCACATATCTCCGCGGAGGAAGCGAATCAGGTATCGTTGTTGTGGAGAAGGTACCAACTTGAGTGTGTTCTTAATTTACACAATAGGAGCTTACCCTCGGCATGCTGATATCATGAGTTCTTCAGGTATACTTTCCGACTCAATTCCATGGGTAAACGACCCCAGTCAGCAACAACTTGAATCATCTAACTATTGTCTTGCTCTGCAGAGCTTTATGAACCATTTGATGTGGTCACCAAGCATAGTCTCCAGCAAGCTGCTGCAGAATTCCACCTGTCACTCACCGATAATGATGTTGCAAATTTAATGGCTACCTACAACCGCCTTCTTCCGTGAGTTGTATCAATTACATCGTATGCGACGAGGGCGTTCTGCTGCGCTCCTATCTGAGGATTGGACTAATGGCGACGAGGCGGGCGCTGATGGCTATGCTGGATGGATACTGGGAGAACCGCAGCCAGTTACACAGCCATGGTGCTGCGGTACTATATGCGCTGCATCATCTTCTACCGTCGCTGCTTCAACTTCAAATGAGATGGATGGGGTGGCGGGGGGGGGGGGGGGGGGGCAATTTCAAGGCGGTCGATCTGACTGTAGACGACTCCAATTGCTGCTTCTGCCGTAGTCGACTTTCTTACTGCGACTCGTATTGCAGATGGGAGAGTTGTCGGAGTCGTTGGACCACTCGGATCTCGGGCTTCTCATTTTACTTCCTAGCCATAACACCAGTGCAGACTGGGCAGCCTGCACGGCTCATACTCTTGAGACGAGACGAGCCACTAGGTTTTATGGCTCTATGTCGCCTTTTTGAGTCCTCCTAGTGGTTCATGACGGTGGTTGGGCACTGCTCTGACCCACTGCCAGGCGTCAGGTGGCTGCAATCGAGGGAATTCAATGATGCTCAATGAATTGCAGTGAAACTGAGAGCGCAGGCTAATCACATTTTCTGCAGGTTCGAGGATACGGTGCCTGCGCTGGAGGCACTAAAACAACTTCCGAACGTTGAACTTGTTGTTTTCAGCAATGGTACGCACCGCTTGTCTCATGCAACATACTGATTGTGGACGCAAAGTCTCATCCCTCTCGGTATCATTTAGGGACCGCTGCAGTATGTCCACCATCCTTTTCGGAAGGTTTGAGATTTGACTCAGCCGCTGCGCAGATGGTAGACACAGCCTTGAAGGCGTCTCTCCCGGAGTCCGTCCTTCCACTCCCACTCTATCTCGCAGACTTCGTGCGCGGCTACAAGCCCAAGCCAGAAATATATCACGGCCTTCTGGCTCACCTGAGCGAGCTGGGGATTCGAGACGCTCAGACAGGTAACAACGATCCAAAGACGAAGAACTCACCAGACGTCTGGCTCGTCAGTGGGTGAGTTGAGCTATTTCTGCGCTACGTAGCGGTGCTAATTCGAGGCCCATCTTCCAAACACTGCTGATGCTTCATACAACCGCCTAGGAACCCGTTCGATATTACGGGCGCACGCTCTGCCGGACTCGGTGCGATCTGGGTGGATCGTGCAGGGAAGGGCTGGACTGATTGTTTACCGCTGGATGAAAAGAAGTTGGGGCCGCTGAAGATCGTCCGTAGCTTGCGTGACATTGCAACGGTCGTCCAGGACATCAACCGTGACTGAAGGGCGATGGATAGCGGGCTCTGTGTTCTTTTGTGTTCGTGCTTTTAGTGTAAGTGGTTAGAGATGAAAGTAACAAGCATCATAGTTGCAAGTATTGGTATACCTGAGTACAAACAGTACACGAAGAGACGATAACGGAGTCTCGACAACATGTAGGACACTCTAAAACAAACAATTAGTACACAAGCCAAAAGCCACAAACACTCCCACAATCTTGACCACCGCCCACACTAAGCCTACGCCACCAGTCCTTGAGGGTCGCCTCAGACAGATACCACGATGGCGGCGGCATATTTATCTCTCGCTGATATTGATATGTTCACAAGAGTCGAATGTCACAGGAAGAGCAACTCAGCGGTCGCCAATTGACAGCCGCCGTTCCAACGCTACAGATTCGACGGAAGAGGTCTCCAACTCGGACCAGCTCGACATGCTGCCAGCCGATGAAGGCCGTTCGAAATCGAGCTCAGGACTGTCATCGCCCGGAATAGACACTTCTGAAGCGAAGTCTGATTCAGAGGATGCGCTCGCCAACTCCCAATCGGACTCGTTCACCGACTCAAACTTGCGCGGCCGGTCGATGGAAAGATGCAGGCTGTCTGATGGAGCAGGGGGCGGAAGGCGAGGTGTAGGATCTGCGTACTCGAGCTGAGGAGACCCCGAGCTCGCGCATACTTCAGGAAGTCCGGGGCTGGGCGAAGACATACGTGAGGAGGCTGCGCTGCAGTAAGAAAAGGGGCAACGCTCTCCGTCATCGTCCTCCATCTCCACCTCCTCACGCTCGACAGGGACGGCAAGAGATACATCGACGACTGCGCATTTTATGGTCTCCATGCTCGCTGTACTCTTCAAGTTCCCCTTGCCTCTGTCCTGCTGGATCTTTTCTTCCCACTCCAACAGCTGCTCGAGCTCCAGCTGATGCCTTGCCAGCAGGACGTCCCACCGACTCTGCGCTTCGCGCCTTTGCACGCCTACGCACCACTCCGTGTCTAGCATGGCGACACACTCAACGTCCTTCCAGCCATTTTCACACAACAAGGCCCGGCGCAGAGTGCCCTCGTGGGTGAATCCGAGCTGCGCAAATAAGCGCGAAGTGTCGTTGGCGTGAGGACCGTCCATGATGAGCACCTGGACCCGATGGCACCGCAGTTCATCGAAGGCCCACCGAAGGGCGATAGTGGCCGCCTGCCTCGCGTACCCGTAACCCCGGAATGGGGGAAGTATTGTCAGCCCAAGGCTCAATTCCTGAGCCATGCGGCCGGCGCACATATACAGAATTCCGATCGTTTGCTGTGGAAAGGTACCGCTCGTTTCGCGGGAGGGAGAATGGCCTGTGGAGGATACTGGCAAGTTCTCCTCGCTCCAGATATCCGACAAATTGGGTTTGTCCTCGAAAAGCTCTGTAACACCTGCATCGCGAAGTCTGCTCCGGCGCGCGCTATTGCCAATAGTTAAGGCCGATGAGGACGAGTCCGGGATCGCGAAGTCGGAACTTTTGGCTTCAAGACCTGTGTTCCTCGAATCCTCTGTATCCTCGCCCACTGCCTTTGGGATCCACCGCTGTATCGCAGCAAAGTATAGACAATGGTTTCCGGCGAAGTCGAGGAGATCAGGATGGCGGGCGCCAGCCACCTCGACTGAGACACCACGCAGCTGGGCCCATGCGTCGAGTATCGCCGCCCCGTCCACGGTGTACACTTCCATGTCCGGCTGGAGGAGTACATCTTCGGTTGCGAACCACATAGCGGTAGGTAGGACAGAATGGAGCACGTTCACCGGTTGACCTTATAGATAGGCAGGCGCGTGAGCGTGCGCAGTGATGGGGCGCTCAACGCCATCCTGAGTCTAGACCAGCGGTACATTTGGCAGTGTGTCAATGTGACGCACCAGCGAAGCTCCCGACGGGACAATGAGTGGTCCGTGGAGTGGTGCCGCAGGACGTGGAGCCGGTGATGGTGAATCTCAACTTGAGCGGCGAAGGTGACGTGGCGTTCCCAGGGCTCGTATATGCTACAACTGCTATTCGATTGCAGGAAGTAGAGGAGCACTACAATTCCGTAGGACGCACGTAGTACGTGCGAGCCATTTGTGTCGAACAATGAACAGGTCTCTGGCAGACATCTTTCATTCAGTCAATCAAAGCGCCTTCACGGTCGGGTCCATGTGCCAGTCTGTCGAGTACTTCGATGACCCTTCAACGCGCCAATCTTCATCCAATAGGTACATGCAGTGGTCGTGCTGAGCTTTGCGCAACGAGAGGAAGTGGCAAAGCAGGTTATAGGCAGGAAACGTGGAGGCTCGGGTTGTATCCGAGTCCGCAAAATGACACCATCGACTCGGAGCTGACAGCCTCGCGAACTGTTCAAGACAACAATGATGGAGGCTAGGACTCATCAAGCGGGCATCGACATAGAGGTAGTAGTCTGAGACGATGTCTTCGGCGAAATACCAGTGGAGATCGCTGCCGGATTGCCATTACTACGCTGTACGTACATATACTACACGTACTGTATACATAGTGGCTCTTCGAATTCCAAGATTACATTGTCTCAAACGACTCAGGTGCACAATAATATTACTCCGCTCGCCTCGATCTTGTAAGTACAGTAATACAGAAAATGTGTAAAGCCCCCGACTGATGAGTGCAACCATTCGGAACCTAGACTGGAGTTGAACAAGCTGCCAGTGCACAGCCGCCGCTATACCAATCGATCGTTGAACAACACCTCCTCAGCTTCTCCGTGGACCTTTAAGAAGCCTGATCGGTCTTGGTTTTCACATAGGGCACCCATTGTTCCTTCTCAGGACCATCGCCATATAACTCATCGAGTCCTTCCTTTGTCAAAAACCCGTGATCCTGCCAGGCAAAGCCAGGGAAGACAACCTCTGTGATGAGGCACCCCACCCTTTCTGGATCAGGAGCAGAAATATCGGCAGGAAGAAGTCGAGACATCTTCCAGACTCCAGAGGGAACGAGGAGCTGAAGCACTTCGCCTGCCAAGATGTTAAAACCCATGATCTGGCGAAGGTTGTCAAACGTAATTCCGCAGATGCTACGCCGCAGGCCATACCTGTTTTTCAACACGAGGAGGACTTCCAGGTGTGATGAGGGTGTACTCAGCACGACCCTGGTGAAGTACGTGCATGGTCTGTTGTGCGCATCATTAGTATTGAGTCATTCTCAAACTGATAGCAGCAGACTGCGTACAACAGATTTGTTCATGTGGAAGACGCCGTTCGGCTGGTGGGGTGTAAGGAGATAATATATAGTAGTAGCCAATGAGCGGGACGCCCCATCTGTAGAGTGAAGTCAGAATCATCGGAGGCTACTCAGAATTTGGTTCTCACTTGCAAAGGGGGAGGGTATTTCGTCCACTTGGCGGTCTGTCTCCGCGAAATAACCTAGAAATCGTCGTAATTGTCGTCGGCGATGTTAATCTCTTGGTGTCCGAGAAGGTGCGCGCCGGTACTAACCTCCTTCGGGATGCTTAAGGAGCTTAAGTTCCTTTATCAACGTAGAATTGGGGATTGCGTGGGAAGTCTCTGTAGTGGGTCTCTGCGCCATGACGGTGAGTTGTAAGAGCTGGACAAGCGAGGGCGCTCAACACCCCGTTTTATGAAACTGCCCACGCTCGTTACAGTTGATGCGCCATCACGTACATCTTCGGTTTTAGTTAATGAGTGTTCGATTTCTTCCTAGCATATAAGCCGAGATTAGCCATAGCTTGACGGGCCCTCTTGCTGCGTTTTGGCATGTGGTATCGAACTTCGATGAGCAGAAGGAACCGTCGTCATCCGTCCGCGTCACCTGAATGAAATTGATCGGACAGAAACTGTCAGTGCGCTCTCCTGGCGGTAACCAAGGATAGAAGGTAAGCAGGATCGCAAGTTCAAGGTACGTAGCGCTTAGACTGCTTGCGGGGCACCTCAGCGACTTCACGGTGGCATGCAGATCTCGATGTATACAAAGTTTGCTATTTGTATGTACCGTACATAGTTTTTACCACGCGTCCTCACATCCGTTCAAAAGTTCACACTTCTCAGTCTGTGGCAGAGTGCGAAAGAGCTTCTCGAGTTTCCTTATTGTACTCCAAATTGTGGTCCTCCTCGTCGGCCAGACTATGGAGTCAATTACATTGGAATAGTACTGACTCACATTGACTTGTGCTTAATGCAATTCACCATGATCCCCGAAGAGCCAACGTTGTTACGACAGTTGGTGCGTTGAGGATAAGACTGTCGACAGCCAAATGAGATCACCTGACACGTATGACAGTGGGAGTCAGGACGCAGATCGCATTCCCATACGTCGCGCGCTCATCATGCATTCAATTTAAAGTATGCTTGGAACTGGCATAGAGTATCTAGAGGTCTAGGCACCAGTGACTGAACTCTTATAAGAAGCACAGCTGCTCACCATTGATCTGACCTCGGGACAACGATATCGATGTCTGACCCCCAGCATATCACGCTCGACTCTCCACGCTCTATCGCTAATATATACCTCCATGAACGTAAGGACTTCGATGTCGTCCTTGGTCAGATCGAGGAGCGCGTTGAGCTGATGAGAGCATGGGACATCCAACCGGGAGAGAACGTTCTGGAGATCGGCTGTGGACAAGGCGATTGCACTGTGACGCTTGCAGCAGCAGTAGGCGAGAAGGGAACGGTGACGGCTATCGATCCTGCGCGGCTTGATTATGGTGAGCGACATGTTGCCGATGCGAATGCCTGTCCTCACTGGTCGAGCCGGTTGACCAACGCAGGAAGCCCGTACAACCTTGGCCAGGCCCAAGCACATCTCCTCGCCTCGCCGTTGGGCGGCCGCATGAAGTTTGTGAAAGCAGACCCACTCGCATTCCTGAAGGACACGTCCGAGATGTACGACACCGCCGTGCTCGCACACTGCATATACTACTTCGCGTCTCCTTCCGTCTTCTCCGCGATTCTCTGGGCGTTGGCGCCGCGCGTGAAACGCATCTGCCTCGCAGAGTACGCGCTCACCGCAAGCGACCCAAGGGCGGTGCCGCACGTTCTGGCTGCGCTTACCCACGCATCGCTCCAGTGCCGCATACCGCATTCCGAGAGTAACGTCCGCACTGTTCTGTCGCCCAGGGCAATGCGCGCCGCAGCAAAGGGAGTGGGATTGCATCTGGTTAAAGAGTCCACAATCGTTCCGCCCGAGAAGATGTATGACGGCCGATGGGAGGTAAGCACTGTGGTGGGGCAAGCGTACGGGAGCAAAATTGAGGTGGTTGTGAAGGACGCGAGAGAACGAGCTGCGGTGGTCGCTCTCAGAGATAGTGTGAGAGCAGCAGTGGATGCACTGAAGATGAAGGGGGAGAAGGTGCACACCATGGATGTCTGGATCGCCACGTATCTTCCACCGAGTGGAATTTAGGTACCGAAAAACAACATCATGAAAATAGTTTACTCGCCAGGACCTGTCCCGAAAGCATTGCTGCCCTTCAATCCAATCCACAGTTTGATGTTTATGTGCAACGCATTATCCTCGCAGGCGCCGACTGTGGTCACGATGGAGTCAGGTCTGAAGCAAAGTAAGTTTCTATGCAGTAACTGTCGTATACAAAGACCAGTGCGGGTTCGTATTCCAGAAGGACTACCCAAATTTCTTCATGCACAAAACTTCAGCAGGACTGTTATCGATTGACAGGTTAAACGACAAACCTCATACGCAACTGGTCGTCACCTCCACCAATGCCAATCTGTGGGACATCCAGGGCTCAAATGTGAACCACCTCCGACACCGACGTAACGGGTCTGAGGATGGGTCCGCTCTGTAAGCGTCAAGTAACATCAGAGATGACGTACGATATTCTGACACCCAAGATGCATTGAATATATATTGAATCGGAAGAAACCTACAAGTTAAAAGCTTGAGAGCCATATGCCGAATACTGAGGATACTTACCTCGGCTGAGGTCGACAGACACGATATGATGCAAGATCGAGCATACCGCAGATACAGTATCTAGATGTGAGGGCCCAATAGTGGGAAATATTTTGGTGAGGAGTCCATTATGGTGTTCTCGTGGCGCAAGGTCCTAGCAACCACAAGCACTTTCCACAAAGCAAAGCCGTCGAGGTAATGATTAAAGCAGAGATGTGAGGACGACTTTGCCTTAGAAGTCGGCCTCGGCAGAGTCAGTATCGGGCGTATGCGTTGTGGCGCAATGGGCACGAAGTCGGCTCCTGTATTTCACCGGCGTTAAACCATCAATGATAGAATGGCTAACGCATGGATTGGATCAAGTATGATGAACGATATGTTCCCAAGAGAGCGTCCTGTGGTTTTGTAGTCTCGAGAAGCTCCCGGGCCCAACACTGCGCATGCGTCAATGACGAACTCGACTGAAACCGCGCTGCGGCTTACCAGCCCGTTCATGCTAAGTCCTGATGAATCTTGGGATAAAAGCGCACAGACAGAGCGAGGATACGTAGTCGTCCGGGCGACGTCCACTTATTCAACACAGAGGATGAAGGCTCCGTGAAAGTCCTGTTACATATCCGCAGTCATTACGTGGTTCAACAACATCGCGAACAGGTAGAAGCGTACCGGAGCGAGGTCGCGAGTGCTGGCATGATATAGACTACAACGACCGCGCCCTTTGCCGTCGCCCGCCGGTGAGATTGATCAATGAACTGTGGAGGTAGGAAATCTGAGTAGAAGCAAACCAAAACATATTTAGAAGGTAGATATGACGGGACGCATCGCTCTTGCTACCGAAGCGACACGAAGTACAGGCCAGACACCATCGCCAGAGTCGGTCGCAAGTTCCGAGCCCGACAGATCGTATTTCGGTAAGACGAAGACCTCCCACAGAGTTCTGCCCCTACAACGTGTCGTGGGACAGTGCGGAGGAACCGCTTGAGTCTAGAGTCTGATGCAGAACAGTTCACACCGCGTGGTACTCCACCACGAGAAGACGTAGTACTTACAAAACCCCCAGTTGGTTTGAATCGTAATCGATGCAAACGCCACTCCGGACTACTCCACATCAACAAGCCAATTAAAATGCGAGCTCAAGTCGTACGAAGCACGAGACATGGTCCGAGTTGCACGTTCAGTACTTCGTATATCCAGGCCACGGGATCGAGCCCTCGTGTCTGTAACTTCACAGGGAATGCACTTGCACCGATAGATTTGAAGGACCGCAAGATGTTACGGCACTTTCTCTTATTGGTATGGTTGAATTTCGAAGCGATTGAATGACGAAGATGAGATGCTGAATTGCAAGCATCGCAGAAAATGAACGAGGAATTCTGACTACCATGGAAAAGAGATTGCGAGTCTCTGTCAGTCAACTTCTGCGAGTGAAGGCTATAGCTTACGAGAAACACGCATCCCAGGCTTCGTTGACATGAACACGGAGAGGCCCTACCCTCGGCTTTAACGAGGGTTCGAATTGCAGCGCACCGAAAACATGCCACAGTAAGTTTGGGGAGTCAGGAAATCCGAATGCCTGCGGTGACGAGTCTTCCAAAGTGGCGACAAACTGTCCTGTATTGGCTCACCGTAAGTGGATGCATTTGGCGCTTGCTGGTCATGTTGTGTAGCCATTGGGGTCATGCGACCACAGGCTTGGAAGTGTCATAGTATACATGGAACAGACCTCTCATCAGTGAACCTCGAGATGACATTCCGCACACCTGCGTCACATTATAGTAGTCGTAATGCTAGAGTGAGCAATGAGATGGTCTGCGTGGGAAGGAAATAGGCTCGGGCGCACCCAATACACACTATGACCGGTAACAATAAGTCACGATGGACACGAAGCCCGCAACGATGGTAGTCAATTTTCGTTACAGAGTGCTTCCTTCTCTTGAGGCGTGCGAGGCTGCGCGCACATATCGCTCGAGAGATCACGTGAGCTTGCCAAACATGAAAATCGAATTGCCGCACGGGTAATCTCAAAAAGGCAGCTGTTGTAAGTCAGCCGTTCACCTGAACTCTCGCTAACCCAGAGATCAAGCATTGCACTCTGTCATCAACTGGAGTCAAGGAAGTATTTCCATGGGTGGCGTATGCGTTTTCGGCCTGTCCATCCGCAATTTTTACTTCATTGATAGACCGTTCACCACCATTCCGGCAAGTTTATGACATTCGACTCGGAGGCATCGTGCCCGCGGATCCTAGCTCGGTGCTATAGTGTGGATCACCGGACGTAAGTTCTTCTGCGGGCCACAGGTGAGTTCCACTTGCATTCAATCTACGTAAAGCGCGAATCGGACTGAGATGCCAACGCATAATGAGCAATGCCAACTCTACGCCAGGCGATCGAGCTCTATATAAACAGAGGTTCTCGTAGGGTCCTCCTCAGTGCCATTTCCAACGATGGATAATCTCCACGACGATGCATTTTCAGGCCAGCTCACCGCCGAGAACCTCCAGCGTTACCTCCAGTATGACCGCTCCATCATCGATGAGCCTGGTGGGTTCGCGAACCTCACTCCGCTTGCTGCTGCGTCCTTTCACGGTCACCTCGACGTCGTCAAGTTGCTCCTCGATCACGTTGCTAATCCTGACGCTCTCTCCCCCGGCAACCGTACAGCTCTATTCTACGTAACCTCTCGCAAGGTGCGGTGCAACCAGCTTGCCATCGTACGCGCCCTCCTCGATGCCGGTGCAAAGATCGACAAGTGCTACGACGACGACGGGCGGAACACTCCTCTTATGAACGCCATCCAGCAGCTGGGCGACAAGGAGATCGTGCACGAGCTCGTGAACCGTGGTGCATCGTTGACCTTGACGAATCTAGAGGGCGAGACCACCAAGATGATCGCGAAGGTGCGGGGTATGGAGCATGATGTGCGCTTGAGGGCGGACAGGGAGCTGCCCCGGGCGGAGTTGGCCAACTTCGTCGCTGCGGCGGTGATGCTCGCCGTCGCTGTTGGTAACGGCGGACCCATGGAAGACGTCCTGAGAGACGCCATCACGAAACTGTGTTGTGCGTCCGGAGAGAAATTCGATGGTCTCATGGACGAGAAGGTATCTACTTATTCAAATTCTTGTTGTATTTCGGTGCTGACATAGTCTTTGATCAAGTCTACGAGTCGTCGCACTGCAGACTACGGTACAAGATACACTTCGCCGGCTACGGCCGTGGAGCACTCAGGGAACCACTTGCCAGAGGTTGTTGCAGAGGCTTCTGCAGAGGATCCCTCAGGGCTCTCTAGAGCGCACTCGGAGACTACGACTGCGGTTGCCGGTCACGCTGTAGAGGCTAAGGCTGTGGAAACTACTGCTCTGCTAGATGATGTCGCGCATGTCCCTGCAGCAGTCCCTGGAAAGGCCGCCGCTCGAGAGGCGACTGTCACAATGACTCAGACAGTGGAGGCCACCGGAGAGACGGCTATCACACTGACTCAGACAGTGAATATCGCCTCACCGATCCATAACGAGCGAGCGGTGTCTTCGAAGTCAGAGAACGCTGTCCAGGATCGGGCAGTGGGCTCTGGAGACGTAGCGACGAAGGCCGCGCGGCATTCTCCGGTCTCTTTAGGAGTCACTTCAGACGCCGCTGGAGAGGCCGCCATCATAGAGGTTGAAACGGGAAAGGTTCCCCGGGACGAGCAATCTTCAGTAGAGATCACCAGCGCTGACTGTGCTCAGGCGCAGGACACCGAGGATAAGACCGCCAATCCCTCTGTAGCGATCTCTGACTGTGATCGTGTAAATCCTCAGCAGTACGATAGGTCCACACAGGCTCCCGACGCGGGCGTCCGAGAGGACATAGAACAGTTCGGACTTCAGAAGCCTCCACAAAGGCATCGGGGGCTATCACGGTGGTTGCGGCAGAGTCTAAGAATGCAGAGGATACCAGCGGCCGAATCTGCGCTGTCCACAGGGATTCGCGCGCCCGCGGTGGAATATCGAGCCACAGAGTGGTGTTCGTCCCCTGGTGCTCGAATTACTCCAGGTGGTATTGCGAAGGGCACCACAAAGAGCACGGTAGAGAACATCACGCAGCCTACAACCGTAGAGAACCCGCAGAATTTGACGGCAGGCAACGAGTCGAACGAAGACGAGTTATCTAAAGCTGACGACGAGTCGTTCAAAGCTGACGATGAGTCGTTGAAAGCTGACGACGAGCTTGTCGAGCACGTCAGTATAAACGCGGCTTCTCTTCTGAATAATCCCAATGGCTGCTACACTGATCCCGAAAACGTCGAGCGTATCAAAACCCTCTCCCTATACCAGCTCGTCATCTACTGCGACGACAGCGGATCTATGGGCTACGACCGCCTCTACGAGCACCAGTGCGAGCTCGTCAGAAGAATTGTGACTATTGCTACCAAACTCGTCCCGGACGACTACGGCGTCGACCTCCACTTCATCAATGCTCCCTCTGCCTACAATCTCTCCGACCACGGAATTGAAGCTCGCATGAAACAGGTGAAGCCTAGCGGTGGCACTTCGATCGGTTACAACCTCCGCAGGAAAATCCTGGAGCCGCTCGTTTACAAGCGCATGGCCAGCGGAGAGCGCTTTGAGCGCCCAATCTTGATATGGACGATCACCGACGGAGAGCCCGATAGAACGGACCAGCCGAGCTTCAAGGACGCGATTATGGAGTGCAGGAAGAACTTGGTTATGCACGGGTACCGCCCGACTGCCGTCAGGTTCTGCGTTAGCCAGATTGGGAACAGCTGGGATGCAGTGAATTTTTTGAACGGGCTAAGGGACGACTCGGAGATCAGTGATGTGGTGCACTGCACTACAGACCGGCTGGACGATAAATTCAAGGAGCTTAAGAACGCAGAGGGCAAGTTAGAGGAGTGGTTGCTGAAGACGTTGACAGAGCACATCATGACCAAGAAATGAAGGAAATTCAGACCTGCGGTGACGATGACAGTTTGCTTACCTGTAACTTTGTCTCTCGAACTCTCCCCCTCTAGATCCTCGTCAATTTCTAAGCATTTGTCGAACCAGCTTTTGTTCCGTGACCACGCTCTGTACCAGCTTGTAATATTAGACTTGTGGGTGCCAGTGATCCAATATTTGATCCAATATTTTTGTCTCAGATTGCTGGTGATGACATCGATGAACCCCGACATGCGACAAAACCTGCTGTTGCGGTGTTCATCATGCTTTGGAATCCGTATTGAATCGGCTACACACTGTCAACTGTTTGCAATCACACCTCGCTCGCGTACCATGTCCTTCCGTGCAGACGTTCATCCTGGTTTCGAACCTGGGGTTGTACGCCAATGTCTACACTCCATCACCCTTTCCAGACCTGACAACGCGTCCTATAATAGTCGTCCGCCCTGGCATGCCATGGGCTATGCGATGAGCATAGCTGCTCAGTAAATCCACCATCATATCATTCACCATCCGGGCGAAGTAGAGTGATTGTGTGACCGAGGTTGACGGCTGTTCGTGCTCTTCTGTGCACGAATTGGGAACCGCGCGGCGATCAGAACATGATAGAGAAGCTGAGAAATTATTTTGGAAATAAGCAGAGGTAAGTGGTATTTGGGCGCGAACCAGTGGCGTGGAAGAGCCTCTGATATGTAGAATCTCTGAATATGAACTTCGGTTGCGCCTCCAACATCAACACACGATATCATCCATCATCCGCTGAATAGTGGTATTTGGATACCGTTGATTGGGAATGGACGCTAGTTTGTGATCGTCCATCATTCCCTGGTCCGCTCAGTGTTCACTACAGCACAGAACACTACCACATAAGGGCGATAAAGCGGCTACGCACGAATTATGGCTTGCGGCAATTGCGAAGGGCTCAGCGACAGAACAACTGTTTATTGTTGTGCACCACTGTAACCAGCGGGAAGGTGATCCACCGAAGAACCTTGAAGCCGAGTGAAACGTCGAGGATGCCACTTGTCCCGCTCCGTCATTCCCAGGGCTACCTGAACATGGCATGCGTCAATGCAAGTTGTACGCAATAAAACAACTCACAGGCGCCTATCCATTCGAGAATTCAATCCGAACTGAGAGAATCCTCCGCATATTGCCTCAACTTCAGGTGGTGATTGGTCTGCTCAGCCAAGCGAGCGCGACGGCGGCGGTATCGATCGCTGCTATCTCGTGCTCGACGTAGCCCCATTCGCCCGCGAGGACCTTGCCGATGTTCACAACCATGTCGGTCTCCACGAGCCCCGGCCCACCGATCTCACCGCCCGCACGCACGAACGCCTGCAGTGCGTCCATCGCTTCGGTCGCTTCGAAGACCTTGACGGTGGTCGTGCTGTTCCTGTGCGGAAAGCCGATGACGACGCAGATACCCATGCTACAGAGACGTCAGAGGGTAGGTTTGAGAGCTATGCTACTTTGTTACGCACCCTGTCCCGGTGAGCGTCTGCTCTGTACCCACACAGCTACACCCGCAGACACACCTTGATATACGCCGTCGCGACGTGGTACTTCCACGAAATATCAGGGCCGCACTGCACCTCCGCATCGGTCATGGGGGTTGCAGTAGACTGTATGCGATCAGTGCGATGGAACTCTCTACGCAGTGTCCACTCACCTGTGGTCGATGAGCCTCGCGACGGCAGAGACGGTGTTCGGCTCTGTTGGGAGCGACATTTTGGTGATGTTGGGATGTTGGAGGGAAGAGTGGGATGCCCATGAGTAACTTCTATGGCGCTGGGCAGATGAGAGGATGGGCCTTGGATGGGCCCAGACTGTGGCACGAGATTGGCACGATAAGTCACTATCACGTGCTTATTGTCACGCATTCGTTGAACCGTACTCCGAGGTACTGTCAGTGAATATTCGACACAAATCCACCCGATGGTGTCAGTTCTCTACAAAATTGCAAGTTTGACATCTATTACTCACTGAAAATATCTGTATACTTATAATCTTATCACTTTAAGGCTGTGACGATCGAACCTCGCTGCTGAAGTTTTTTAATTTGGGTTTCGTACTATCTTATCTGTCTCAGTATCGTATCATATCCAGAATGGCTTACACGCCACTGATAAAGATACAATACGCCCCACAGATTCATTTGGGAGTGAAGCTCATGTATGGAGGGTACCAAACTGCCACCAACGGCTCACTGTGAAGCTGTTCACGGAGAGCGGGCGGACTCATGACTGAGGGTGAAGCTGACACCCCCGGTCCGCCTGATTTGTATCACAGCCAACCACTGCGGCTGCCAGCTGCCTGTAGTACGTCTACCTCTCATTCTGCTCCTTCATCCCTGCCACCCAGGTCATACGTCTCGAGCCCTCAGACTTCCTTCGGTCGAATTGTGGTAACTCCTTACTTATCATGGAGCAAAGTAGCCCATCGGCCTACAGTATGAACTTCCACTGGCCAGCCTGGTTTCAAAACCGACGGCGTACTCTGCGGCTGGCAGCCATCGGTCGTGTGTCCGCAGCGTTCTCCATCTCTGGATGGGCCAGCCGCAGCCGCTGCGACAATCTAATGCCGGAGACCGTATATAAAGCTGCCAAATTGCTTCTGCCGCGTCTACTCCTTGACTTTCTTCCCGTCTTCGATAACCAGATCCACTGGCCAGGCTGGTCTGAGACGTGACACATTATCCGACGGCAGAGAATTGGTCCCGCTGCTCCCTCACCTCCAGCCGCACCCGGACACTATAAAAGGCTTCGTTATCCTTTCCGGATTCGCCTTTCATCCCCGTCCTCGAGCCTCAAGTAAATGTCGCATCCATTTATATTCGCTCGTCCCCTTCGTTGTCTGCAGCGGTAAGCAATTCGACTTCGTTGACCGGAAGGACTCTGGAAATAGCTAACGCTGCAAGTAAAAGGACGTTTGATGAATTTTGAGTATCGTGATCGTCCGTACGTCGCATGTTCACTGCGGCACAGGGGGAATTACTTTGGCCTGATGTCTTGGCGGCTTTCCTGAAATCGTCCCGCAACTCTGCCCCGGTCGAACAGGACACTCGCTCTATTCTGAGGTTTAATTTCGTCACCGAACGCCTCACGACTCTTCTCAGGTATCGTGGCATGCACGATCAATCCTCGCTGAAAGCTCCGACAGAACATCTCGACCACAATAATTCATATGCAGCTCACGAAGATATACACGGGATATACGCCTATTCTCCGGGATCATGTGTTGACATCGCCCACGACGTTGGAGAAAATATGACAGAAAAAAAGGTAACTTCAGCATCCTGATGGTGACAAGAATCAGCAAAGCAAAATTACCGCCACGGCGAAGAAAAATACCTGTTCGCGAAACGAGTATTGGGACGATCTCGGCAGGGCTATTTGGTCAATCCAACGCTTTCAGCAGAATGCCGTCCTTGAGAGACATATAAACGAGCTCGACCTCTCCCCAACGATGCCCTAGCGAGTCCAGCGACAAATAGGATATCTTCGGGGACAGTCTGTGGAGGAATTGCGCCACTGGAAACGGATTCGGAACGGGGACATCGAAGACTTCGACTCCGTAGTTAGGGCCAGCAAAGCACAGACGGTTCAGACCGTGAGAGTTGGGAAGCTGGAGATCTGGAGAGGACGGGGTACGCGTCTCCAAACCAGGCAACTACATGTGAACCAAGCCTGGGCAGTGATGGCCGAAGCTCGCTAGCGCGCACACTCGGGCGGAAAGCTCTCGACGAACGGATAAGCCGCGACGCAGATGGACATGAGCTTGTTGACATTGCGAGACATGTCCACGGCGACGATACGGTGGAGAAGCGGGGAGCGACCAAAGCGAACGAGTTCAATTCACAGGAATATGACCGGGTCGTGTGACGTGGAGATTGAACGTATGACAGCCAGAGTTAATGGTAGTCCAAGGGCAGAAGGGAGTGGCCTGTCGATTGCGCGGACTAGCAGCCATCTCATGGCTCCACCGCCGCAGTCCGTATTTCACAATGCTTAGTAAGAAATATAGATCAGACCCCGAGAAGAGAATCTACGGATTGCGAGCATACACACTAGCATAGAAAATCCTCCGAAAAAGATTTGGAGGTCACCCACTGCGGGAGAGGTAGAGAGACACCCATCGTTTCTATCTCATATCAAGGTCCTTATGGATGCGTAGAGGATACGTAGCGTTTCTTCCATTCACGATAAGGGTCGGGCAGTATTGACAGCGCTATTAGGAGGACTAAACGAGACGCGTGATCTGAAAACCCGACCCTCTGCATAAACTCATGAACCGCGGAGGCAAAGGTCGAACATAGGATAAATAACGCAGGTGAGCGGACCCGTATGAATGACTTCTCATGACTTGAAGGCGCTTTGTTAAATAGGGCGCTGTACGACTTGGAGTACGTGGCGTATGGTGCTGAGTGACGAAGATAATGCACACTTCGTATTCTCCACAGCAGAACATGAATTCGTTTTCGCGCTCTCCTTGACACCGAGAATTAGCTCACGTGTTTCTGCTACCTGTGCATGCATTTCATTCCTGCTCACCGTTGTCATTAGACTCTCTGGGAGGACGACTGATGACTCTCGGCTGACATCGTGCTCGCGCAAGCTGATAATGTCTTCTGCAGCCCATGCGTGAATCAGCGAAATCAGAAACGAGAGAACCCACATCTATGTAAGTCGCTTTCCGTAGAGTAACTGAGACCATTATTTACTGGCGAGACACCGAGACAACGTCATCCGATGCACCACTTGTAGAGATGATGTTCGCTCCGGATAAGAGACGTAGTGCACCGCGCGCTCAATTCCAATTTGTTGGATGAAATAGTCTGCGGGTGGACGGTCCGTATCCACCGTAGCACAGGCGCGCGCCTGATTACAGTAAGATACATGATCGATGTCCAGGAGGAATCGCTCGATTTCTGCTTCCTCCTTCTCGTTCTGTGCCCCTACATTTGCTGACCACCGTTGTCTTCTCCAGGTCTGTACTGACTCGGACCTCTTCACTGCACTTTACATGCGATTTAGCTCACTGAACTCCAGACCACGTTTGAATCGCAGATTCATTGCGGGCGACGCCGACTCCGAGGTATGCATACACGTCTCTGACTTGAAGTACTTCGGAGGCTGAAGCCTACTGTGGGAGAAATGGGGTCGTGAAACGTTCGCGTGAGACACCGCTGTGTTATCTAATATGTGTCTATTGACTAGCCAGCACTCCGCAGATAAGCATGATTGACTGCCAGTGCCAGTCAATGCGGTGATCTCATTTGCTATGGGTAAATAACTCGTATGAGCACCAGTTATATACTCATAGCAAATTGAAGTCACTCATGAAGGTCTGAGTTAGTTCAACATTGACTGAAGTCAATCCAGGTTTGGATGTGGCTGCTGTCATGATAGTGTCATGCATGCAATGCTGCTGAGGGCATTGCTTCTCATGTTCATGTATGCTTTCTGATTATGATTGCATCTCTTTCTTAGCCTGAATATATACCTGTCTCTTAATGACCATTCAAATAATTTTGTAACACATTGTATGATCAAAACAGGGTGAATAGTCACATTCATCTATAGAACAGACTTCAACAACATTACATGAGAGACATTCAAGCAGAAGGTGACAACTATACATGAGAGTTTGCCTGGCAATATCTGTTACCAGTGACAGACTCTGTTATGGGTAAATAACTCATATGGGGACTATCCAAGGAATCTGATATGGTGCTGATGTCCTTGATGTGCTCCGAGAGGCCCATCAATCCTAGACCAATCAGAGGAGCATCCTCATTCCCCTCATACAATGGACCTAGACATAATATACATCAAACACAATCAACATATAGTTGAAAGAAACATACCATACACCGTGTCAAAAGAAAACTCCGACAATTGAATCAAGTCAAGACGTGCTGGATGCGAGACAACGAAGCGTCAGAACAGAGCTAACAATGATAAAGGTTCACCTACGTGTACAAGGGCAGGGAGAGGTCATTACAGGGTCCGGCGATGACCCATTGCTAATGACAACTGGAGAGTTCACTGCGAAATACAGACATAATGATGAGCTGGCCTAAGTCACATCGCAGAGTTCCAATTACGTACCCTGCTCGCTCTCGTGGATCCCTTCGGCTGCCAGGCCTGGATGTTCCGCAACCTCACCGGTCGCGTCACGCGGAGGGTCCTCTATCAGCGCATCCTGCCCGATTTCTGTGACGACCGCCAATGTATTCTTCTGAGGTTCTGCGACCTCTGTATTGCCCTTGTCATCAAACGGTAGTGTAGCGATTGGTTTTGCACCGAAGATGCAGGAAAAAATATAGAGTTTTAAGGACGTCAGTACTGAGTGGGAATTGGTCTTTCAGTCATCCGAGCACCAGAAAACAATGAAATCTGACATTTGTAAGATGACATTCTTCACGCGCAATGGAGGATATTGTGGCAGGTACAAAGGTTCGTGGTTGAAAGACAACAGCGGCGCGATCACCTTCCCGTCTTTAAATGCCAAATGCTTCTCCGAAACAGACTCCGAACGTGCTGTTCACACGAGTACACAGTCAGAAGATCAGTCCTGCCATGCGATTCGAGCCGCAACGCACTGCATCAAACACGGGTTTCCCGCACGGAGGACCCCGCCATACGAGCGTAAGATGTTCTTACAGCCTGTTTCTGTACTTAGAATGAGTAAGACAGCCCTTAGCTTGGTGAACAGGTAGCGACGAGTGAATCCACCCGCCTTTCCGCGCATGTGGGTATCGGCTTCCGCGAAGAGCAGCTCATCTGGGCATCGGCTTCGCCTAGTCCTTGTGCCGTACATAGTATTAGCATGATGCGTCGGTCGCAATCGCAGAACAAGGAATTGAACAAAACGGGATTAGCTGGAAGGCCTCGTGGCGCTAAACTCAGAGTGCACGAAATGATTTGAATAAAATCGCATGTGGAACTGGCGAAGAGATTCTTCGAAACGTCAAGGGATCTCACCTCAGCATTAGGGCACACCGCCGTGACAGCGACAGGCCGAAAGAGTGGAGGATCGTACTGTTAGTGGTCCTTATTGATTTGAGGGAGAAGGGCAGAATCGGACAGCTACCGACGGAGAGGCTGACATTAAGGCAGCAGTCAAGAATAATATTCCGTTATAAAACCAAAATAACAACCACACTTTTACCAGACAAACGTTTTGGAAGACGAAACCCGCGCTGATGAGCCTGAGGGAAGCCTTGGGAAACAGAGCTGGCCAGGCTTAGAAGCGACTACTGCTCAACGGGTAGGCACAACAATACAAAAGTTTTTCATACTTCTCCACATACATTCGGGAGATGGTCGATGGCCAGCAATGATTCTCGTCGACTTCTGAAGCTCCAGTAGAAAGATCAGGAGTGCAGCGAACTTGAAGTGGCGGGGAGTCATCGGGCCCATGTGGTTAGGGTTCCAGCGCATCCTAGGCTGTGGCGGTCGCCGCTGTAAGCTCGAAGACTGATCTTCACCCTGTCGTATTCAGTACAACTCAAAATGTATCAAGGTTAGTGGGCATTTATGATAAATCCATATTTTGAATCTGCATATTTCTTACAGGCTATATTAGCGACCGTCCTTTGCTGAATCTAAAACCTCAGAATTCAAGCAAACCACAATGGTGAAACGACCAGCTGTCGAGCCTGCATCTACCCCTGGGTAAGTTCTCCACTGTTACCGGTCAGAACGAATTTTGTCATATGCAGGCAAGTCTGGGAAGCTTTGCGGTACCGAAACATACGGTGAATCTGGTGATGGACAAAGCTGTGGCAATACAAATCGATCGTCAACATCATTTCTTCACTCCTTTAATTCTGTGCGACGTCACGTCGATTTCATTCCTCGGTAACCTTTGAGTTTGCGATGTTGTGGCGGTGTTTTGGACTCAAAGTGATTCGAGGACTGCGTCAACGATAGGCATCCCATGCTTGTTTCGTTGTCATCGAGCCCATGTTCGAATCTGGTTTTCAAGCAATTGCTATCTCTATTGTTCTGGTTGCACAGCATCGGATACTCTCAAGTATATAGGCGCGTCTTTCTTGGTTCTTCTGTTTGCTTCTTCCCCATCAGACGGCAGTCGTCGTCCTCATCTCCGTCTACCATGCCGACCCTTCAGAACTTCGTCTCGCATGTTCATCACGGTGAATCTAAAGAACTACAACTCTCCCCGACCCGATGGCAAGATGCATGCAGATTGACGAACTCGTACGGCCCATCACCTACATGATTTACGAAGCAAGTGGGAAATGCGAGTTGGCACGGATAGCCAGGACCTGCAGGGCGATCTGCGAGCCATCGTTAGACATCATCTGGGAGGACATGGACGAGTTGTGCCCCCTGTTTAAGTTGCTTCCTCCTTATTCATGTAATCTAGTGGACGTTGACAAAGGCAAGTCTCTACTTCAACCACGTCGCCCTGTTATCATCAACTCTTTGTTTGAATACTGCAGTACTCGACAGGTTTGAGCAAACTTTCACGGCGTGCGATGAATTCGAGGTGGCACCACAAGGCAGCATCGGAGAAGCCTCCTGCATCGACTCAGAGCTTCGTAAGTAAATAACTTCAATAAAGCGAGATCCGGTTATTAATCATAAGGCATTTCAGCGGTGGCTAAGCTTCCCCTCCAACGTCGAATGGTCTCGCGCGAAATTGACTTGAAACCCTTCCAGGACTACGCCTCACGCATCAAAACATTTACGTGGAACTTCGAGACACAAGATAACCCGACGGTTTCCACAATACAGTCAGTCTTTGGTGAACTTGGATCGTCAGCGGGCCTTCTCCCAAACTTGCGCGTGTTATACTGGAAGATGCCGCAAGGCGACCTTTTACCCCTCGTGACACGCCTACCGGGAGAAAACTTGGAGAAATTGGTGTTGTATCACAACGCCATTCCTGTCGTAGTGAAGACTCTGGAGCAGCTGCGGCTCAGTTCACGCCTGCGTAACCTCAAGGCCTTGGAGTTCAGCGTGCCTTTGTCGGAGGAACTGGGCGATGAAGAGGCGCAGAATAAATTGGGCGATGAAGTGGCGCGGATCCTGGAAAACACAGCGAGTCTCCATCGACTGTCCTATATGTTCAGTTTTCTCCCACGTCTCACAGTTCAGGCTCTAGCGAAAAGACAAACCTCAACGCACGTTCAGATCGACGTGCGGGAGAGGGACCTCTTGGCGTTGCAAGCGCTCGCCGTAGGAAACGTGTTTCCCAACTTGATAAGTCTCGTTCTGCATCTGGATACGCTTGCGAAAGGGACCCTTGCGCTGTTCGGTAGCATCTGCTTACCGCGCCCGAAGGTATGTACTTTCCGAAGTAGATGACTGTCCTACAGCCAGCACCGTCCGACGACACCTGGAACGCCTCGCCAAGACGCCCTTTATTCGCGAATTAGTCGAGCTGAAATAGATCATGCAACGGTTCGCGTGCGAGCACGACCAGATGGAACCTGGGGAGGCCTTGATCAACCCATGGGCTCTGGAACTGCTGCTTCACATGGGCAGGCTCATGATCAAGCACCTAGTCGTCAAAGGTCAACCTCCAAGGCCGTCCCAGATATCAATGAGCTTCACAAGCACTTTTCGTCGTATGCCAAGCGCGACAAAACCGCCTGCACCTTCTTTAAGCTAATATCCGACGTGCAGTTCCTCCGCGACCGTTGCCACCATCTCCGTCTGGTCGGACTCAATCTGGTCGAGTCCGTGTAAGAAACTAATATTACACCCTGAGAGCATATCGTCCTCGTCCTGCGAGAGGATTGTGGGTCTTCCTTTGTACCATAAATATATTTTCGAGACACAATAAGTATACTTTGAACCTTATGAGGGAGAGGAACTCGTTATGCAATGGTATATCGCCTAGTCGAGGTAACTTACTGCGAGGAGGAGACGCTGGCGGACTGCCATCTTCGCACGCCGATCCGCATGTATTGGGGCCGTCGCGCTGCGCACGAGCTAGGTCGGCGTGGCATTGCAGTTCGAATTGAAACGGGGTTCGACTCCCCGCCGCCAGCCGCCCTCCCGAGTCCCGACAGCCTCCGACAGGTCGACCCGAATGCATATACAAGGGCCCCAGGTCTGCACCGTCGACTTACCCCCCAACATCCCGCCTCTCGCGAAGGTTACTTACCTTCATGTCTCCTCGACTTGGACGCCCGGGGTTTTCGGTGCTGTTAGCGTGTGCTTGAGTTGGACATTGTGTGCGACCGCGATGCCAGACGTCGCTATTCTCTTATGCGAGGATAACTCTGGAGAGCAAAGACATCTGCGGTGGATGGTGGTCGGGTGAGTGACACGCATGGGTTTGCGCTTACTGAAGATGGTCAGTATACTGTAGGTCTCTTGCAATCGACAGTACTACTCCATACGTGACGGACACGGCAGCAGTGATTCTAGGCCGAGTTTCGCTCTTCGGTTCTCATTAATGCTGTTCGGAACTCTGGCTCGCTCTCCCACCGATCTGGCCGGTGTTACTTGTGCAGCTAGAGTCTAGGCTTCGCAAGTCGCTCGTGTGGTCTCAAAAACCTCACCCTGGTTCATCGATCCTTGCATTCAATAACAGTGTTATCATAGCATGATCAAGGTGGAAAATTCTACTCTCGACGCTTTGGCAACACCCATATTGGAGATCTGGTGACAGTGGACTTTGTCCGGTGCGCCGTGACCTTCATGTTCGTCTCGTTCTGCGGCAGTTTATTCGCGCGACGTTGACGTGGATGAAGCCTTCATGTGGACACATCCATTGGGAAGATATTTCGTCCTCTCCCGGACAGTATTGGACATTATCGCTGATGGCTATCTCAGCTAAAGCTACCAGAAGACGCTGCGTCCCTAGTGCGCGATCGATACGAAAATAGGGGACTCTCTCACTTTGCTTCCTGGATCCAAATGTACCAACCCTTCGAGTGAAGGCGTAATCTCCCTTATCCGACAGTCATATTCATTGGGTACGATTCTCAGACCAGAATCCGTCCTTCACGCTGCAATAGACTCGACTCACGCATGCCAGGGACATATCTTTAGACATGAGCGCCGTCAGGATTTTTCAACAGACATGCGCACCAGGATGCTTTCAAAATCGAAACATCCGTCACATAGACCAGCCGGCCTCTATTGCGTGCGATTTGTTTCTCTTCAGAGTGAGCTGACGAGTGTGATCCAGTATTTTGTCGGCACCATGAAACAGTAAACGGGCATGAGTTATCGTAGATGGTATGATACACTTGTGCTGTTAAGACGTCCGATATGAATGATATCTCAGGTCAGAAAGTCATCCCTGGTCGTATATCGGCTAGTACACGCGCCTGTCATCCGGCTTGTTTCGGTCGCGCGAGAGCGGGGTTCGACTCCCCGCCAGGGAGTGCCACAAGATGTTCAGGGCTTTTCTTTTTCCTAGGTTTTGGCTTTGTATTTGTTTTCATCACTCAAAAAGAATAACACAGCCTTGGTAAGTATTGTAGCTCATACCATGCATCAGATAGCATTTTGTTCTCATCAACAGTCACCTTATTAACATTGCAGCATGTAAAGTCAAGTGAGTGGTAACCTGATGGAAGCAAGGTTGATAATTCCGGTCATGAACAATCACCCTTGCTGGCCTTTGGTTTACAGGAAATGATATACAACACGTTCTTGAGATTACATTCACTAGGTTAAACGAGTGTTCGTGAGTGGAAGGTCTATACCAGTGCATTTTGTAAGGTATTAGAGAGCTCAGGGAAGCGATCAGACCATGTAGGTTTTATTTCCGAGAGCAGGAATGTCCTCTTACTGGCGGTATTTGCGAGAGATGCCAAAGAAAATGGATGTGCGGTAGAGCAGGATACGTCAATGAGATAGACCTGGAGGGCCCAAATGTTCGAGCCAAAATCCTGAGATTTCGGTGCCAAATCGGGCCTGATGGCTAAAATTCAGGAGGTCTGCAAAATTCCCTATATATTTAGAGCGCCGAAATGCGGTGAGCCTCGCTCAAACGCTGTCACCACCAACAGCCTGAGGCCCAATAATGGATCTTGTCTTCAGAGCATGAAACAGTTACTCTCACGATCAAGTATTTGGACCTTCGATGAAAGGGAGCGCTCCCGCGTGGGTGGGTATGTTAGTCCTTCGTCTCGCGAGGTCTCGGAACATTGACGTGCGTGTCTTCAGTGTGTTTCGATTGTATTTCGCGCCTGACATCGTATGGAAGGCGCTCATATCAGTTATTGCATTGAGTTAAGGGCATGTCTAGCAGACGCCGATCACAGACTATAAGAATCATGCGTTTGTTGCTCTGATCTTTCGCCTTCCATCTTGGCTTGACGTACACATAATGTCCATCCCCGATGAGATGAAGCATCCAGAGCGAAGGGGCCTTGTGATAGAAGTTGATCATCGGGGAGGTCTCAAGCATGCGGATATCAATAATGCACAGAACTGGGCCGTCGTACTCCAATTCCTGAGCGACGGCAAACTTTCGTACGGCAGCGGGTTCTTTCTCAATTTTCCTGAAGTCTCCGACCTGTTGATTCTCACTGCCGCACATAACCTCATCAGCCCCACTAACCAGGACTCGGAGCAGCTGCGGGTCTATCTTGCAGATGGCACTTCTCTGGATATCCTCGGTTCTTGGGTGTGCCCGAGGTACAGAGGTCCGCGAGAGGATGTCGATGACTACGGCGCCATTCTCGTACAGCGCGATCCGAAAGTCCCTGCCAAAAGTGGGTTCGGATTTAACATGAAACTGGGGCAGCTGGAGAGACTCCCGGGGAATATATTCGTTACTGGGTACCGTGCGCAAGGTCAGACTCAGCGTACCCCCACTACATCTACTGGCCCCTTCGTGGCCTGCCACGATGGGTTGCAGATCGAGTATCGTGTTAAAACGGAGCAGGGAATCAGCGGCTCTGCTGTATGGCTCGACTATGACGGCTTCCCGACAGTTGTCGCTATTCAGTGTGTTCCTCTCTCCATGATGCAACCCTTCGTTCGCTGACATCAATGTGCAGTAACCACGGCCCTGCTTACGTTGGCGGCGGCAGCCGTGGGTCGCTTCTGTCCCCAACCCTTTTCCGCGAGATTTTTAGATGGCTCGATGTCGGCCAATACGGGAAGAAGCTCTGTGTGCAAGATTCTCGCTCGAATCCCCAGCCGGGAACGGAGCCCCCCAAGGCGGGGCTCTATCTATATTTCCCGGATGACTGGCCCTTTGCTCGGGTACGGCTAGGTTTCGGAACCGCGTTTGACGTGCTACCAGTACAGGTGGCGGCAGGGTCAGATAAAGTGCGATATGCGCTGGCGGTAGGCGAGAAGTGGGTGTTGTTCAACCTGACGACGAAGCTGGCGGTGTTATCGGACAAGTTGATGGACCCGTGTTTATTCACGAAGGACGAGAAAAAGAAGAAAAAAGAGATGAGGATAGTTCTGGAGCATCCGACCACGAAGAAGGCATTCCAGCTGAGATTAGAGGGGGATATGATTAGCGAGTTCGACGGAGACGATGCGGAGAGTTCCGAGGTGTCGATGGTGCCGCATCCTCAGGACAACTTGGATCGGGTGAGTGGGTTCAGTCATTCAGACTTAGATTATGTCCTCACAAGCTGCAGTTCACCACCTTCGCGTTTGTATGAATACGTGTCCTATGCGAATTACGGCTTGGCATGGCGTGGAAAGGATCGAGCATTTGTTAGAACTGCGTGGATGCCTCCTGAATATTTCCTTCTCGAAATGTGCTATGGATGTTAATGGACAGCTTACCCACTGCCGTGTGGTTCGCAGCCTTAGATGCTGTCCCGCAGTTCCGAGCGTTAAACTGTCAGCGATATTGTCAATAATCTCCACGCCGATACACGGGTCAAGGCGTGGCCTCCGCATTGTAACAGCTGTACAGTGGCCGTCGACGGCGTCCGTGTCACTGGGGCTGCTTCCTCTCGGGCTCTTTCCTTCATACGCTCTTCCCTGCTGCTGTCATATTGGTCGGCGCCTCTTGTGGCTTGATCCACGTTGCTGTTGTGATCGAAGATTGTGATTCTTGATCGAACCGGGCTTCTGCATCTCATCCCTCTCCGGCAGACCGGCAGGATTGCAGTACGCACGATAGCTTCCATGCAAGAGTCTTGTCAGTTTGAAAACTGCCGACCTCCCGCTGCAGGGTGCGCATTCCCTGGCCGGTCATTCGACTGAAGTCTCACACGAAGATATAGCCGTCGGACAGGATATCTACAATGCCTCCGGGTGTATTGGTACCGGACATTCCCAGGTAAGTTCGCGGATCGGCCAATATGGCGAAATGACTGTGCGACCATGTCAGACGTTTGGGTTCGGCCTGGTGACCAATTCGCGCCTCTACATCTTGTGGTACTTCTCGGATACGTCCACGATGGATTTTGTTGTGGTCGCTACCGCAACAATGCTGGGCGAACCTTCACGTGACTGGAGTGCACGCCCGGGGGGAGAGAACCCACAGCCTTTGGCGATAACGAGTACAGCTATCAATGCGACGAACATGTTGTATTTGGCAGCTCGATTGGTAAGGTAAGCGTGTCCTCATATCAGCCTACCAGATGATTCGGCGAAGTACGCTGCGCAGGTTATGGCGATGTCAAGCGTCAAGATACTGTCATGCAGAGCATCCTACAAATAGACGAACGAAGCATATTTCCGGATATTCAATGATCTGAATAGACGAACGTCTATCGGACCACAGTACACGCTCGAACAGAACCATCGCCGTAATTGCATACAGTTCCGTTCAATCATCTTAAGTCCGTCCTTGACATCTGCAGTACTTTAGTAAGACAGACAACGCAGCCCACCTTGTCAGCGGCCCGATTTATCCTGGATAATCAGCGCGGACTTCAAGGTAGAAGTCTAACACTTTCTCCTACTATCTTAGAATGTAAGTTCAGCGTGCCCCCCCTGTAGCGTTTAACCGCTTGTTAGCGAGTCTTTAATTATCAACGGAGGAACTGAAAGGTCGTGCCACTTGAGCAAAGAGCAGCGACTGGAGTGCTTCTCCTGTGTCATTAATGTCCCTGACGCGAGTAGTTCAAACATATCGCGAACAGTAGAAGGTCAGCGGTCAACAGTTACTTGGCAGTGCATCCTGGATCTATACGGAAGGGTACAATGACCGTTGGAACAGGAGGGCGCCCATAAGTTTTCCGCTAAGGAGTACAACGTCCTACAAAACAGACTCGGAACTGGTGCACGAAGTAGGTAAATGGTAGAGGTGTTTTCGAGCACAGCGCGGGCGAAAAGCAGTATCAAGCAGGGTAAGACGAGCTTGAAGAAGAGCAGAGCAAAATTCTGAGATGAAAAATTACGAGAGGGAGGATGCAGACCTCCAGGCCAGCATACATGGCCTTGTTCCCGCGCACGAGCAGCTCATTCCCGATTCATGATAGGCTCCGTCAGCATCTTCAGCAACCACTCCTCCAACCTATTCTCCGCCTGCTTGAATTCCTTAAACCTATCGTCCAGCCGATCCGAGGTGCAGTAGAGCACGTCACTGATCTCCGGATCTCCCCTCAGCTGCTCTAGGAACGCTGTCGCGCTCCTGTCGTTTCCAATCTGGCTGACACAGAACCTGACGGCATTAGGCTTGTACCCGTTCCTCACCAACATCTTCCGGCACTCCACGATGGCATCCTTGAAGGAAGGTCTGTCCCCTCTGCTAGGATCTCCGTCGGTGATGGTGCATATGAGGAAGGGGCGGTCTAGCTTCTTGCCGCTAGCAATGACTCCGTAAACGAGCGGCTCCAAGATCTTGCTTCGTAGGCTCGTGCCAAGCATGGTGCCGCCGTCGGGCTCCACACGCCTCATGGCAGCATCAATCTCGGCAGCAGAGAGGTTGGAGGCGGAATCCGCATTGATAAAGCGGAGCTCGACGCCGTAGGTCTCAGGCACGATCCTGGTGGCAATGCGCGCGATACGACTGACGAGCTCGCGCTGATTTTCGTAGCGATTATCCGAGTCCATGGAGCCGCTATCGTCGCAGTAAATGACGGGCTGGTAGAGAGAAAGGGTGGTGAGACGCTTGACGTTGTCGGGTTTCGAGTAGAGGCTATTGGGGTCGTCGGGAAGAGACGCAGCTTTCTTCGCAAGGTCCTGGAGGAATGTGTCACCCGGTTTGAAGAACTGGTCGAGGCCTGTGTCTGAGACGTAGCTGGTCAAGTTATTCTGGAGATCTTCGGTGGTCTTCATCTCCTTGGTCTGAAGAGTCGCGATACCCTACACGGAGACGATGTCAGCACCATGAAGTGTAGAAGGTGAGAAGCAGATACATGCCTTAGCGACCGTATCATCCGCGGGACCTTTGTTCTTCTCTCCGGTAATATTGTACAGTTTGGCAATGACGCCCTTGGAGGCATCTTCGATGGAGCCGCCGTTCACGACGGCGATGACGAACATTACGACCGCGACAAGGAGATCGATGACCTCTGCCCAGGACGTTTTCCTATTTGCGTAGGGTCGTACGTCCTGCAACATATCATATTCCTTCGCAAGGTCCTCCGCCGTCTTGCCCTTCGAATTCCGCAATGTCAACGACGCGCCTCTATCCACAAGCTCGTGAACGATGTCCTTGTCACGCAGCTGCTGAATGGCGTTCATGAGCGGAGTGTTCCGCCCGTCGTTATCGTAGCATTCATCGACTTTGGCATTGCCATGAAGCAGGGCGCGCACGATAGCGAGTTGGTCACGCGGAACCTTGCGAGAGGTCACGTAAAAGAGAGGGGTGCGATTGTTGGCAGAGACTGCATTGGGGTTGGCGAAATTGTCGAGGAGGAGTTCGACGATGTCTAGGTGACCATGCAGAGATGCAGCGGCGAGCGGCGTAAGGTTCCTGGTACCACCGTATTTGTTGATGATGGAACGGTCAGGCTGGAGGTAGCGCTGGAGGCTCTCGGCAGTGAGCTTGCCTGAGAGGGCATCGTCACAGAGGGCATCCATGGTGGGCAGTCTAGCTGAGGAGAATGCCACAAGATGGTGTTTATAAAGGATTTCGTCCCCAGTATAGAGTATTCCTGCTGTTTGTTTAGGATCTTGCATTTCATTGGATTGACTCAACACCGGTAAGTGTCATATCCATTCCGTAACAGACATTCAACCTGGACGTATCACACAATCGCCGCCCTTCGAAGCTCAGTCATTGCCGAATGACATATGCATCGGTGGCGTTCATCGATCACGCAAATACAATATTGTGCACAGACATGCTGGGAACGCGAATGATGAACCACATACATCGTGTCAAAGATAGACGCACCAATTGACGACGAACCACGTATACGTTGTTGAATCCAGCGCCAATGATAGTTCAGATAAACGGGCGCTGTCAACGGGGAATCACGATATCCTCTTTGGGACTACAGTGCGGCGATTTGATCTCCGTTTCACAGGATTTGTATGGGTCACTTTCAATTCATTACGGTAATTTTAAGTTGGCGCCGCGGCGGGAGCGCGCATCTGCGCCAACTTTGAATTACCCTAACAATTAGCGCATCCCGTCTCGTGGCTACTCTCTTTCTTGGAATGTTTCGCACAGCTGAAGCGCGACCCCGTACAGTCTGTGTACGCGAGCAGACACCGCATTATAACACAAGACCCCCATCTTTACTCGGGCAGCTCCGAGAATGTCAGAAATGAAAGCTATAAGAGTCATACTGAGCGCAGTCGCCAGTCTTCAGCTCGTCGCAAACTGGTACTCATGGCCCAGCTCCAGGATCTTTCTCGCTCTCTCCTCGCCGCCGGTGGTGCGATGCACCCCGAGGGCAAGGGTACTTACTTGCTCTACACTGACGACGACTCCCTCATTTATAAGCTCTGGACCGGCACAGAGTTCGATGAGTCCGATCTTATTGCCACCTCTATCCGTACCGGCTCCCCCGCATCATACCTCCTCACAGACGATATCCGCCTTGTCGTCTGCATTACCTCCGACAATACCGTCCGCGTCCTGCGCTACGATAAAGACGAAGAGGAATGGACCGACGACGACACTATCCCACGCTATGAGGTTCACTCTGCCGGGCAGCTCGCTGCGTGCCTGGGAGTAGATGGGCGTCTCAATACGTTCTTCCAGGACACGTCCGGTCGTCTCATCTTCCTTGACGAGTCCTGGAACCCCACCGTTCTCCCTACCGATGTGCAGATCGGTAGTCCTATCGCCCTCACGATCGTCGAGAAGAAGGAGGACGCGCACCTGTACGTGTTCTACATGTCCAAGGACAACCGCGTGCATTTCGTCGCGCAAGACGACACGGGTAGCTGGAGCGATAGCACGATGGTGAACTGCCAGGTGGAGGAGAAGGTCGTGCGCTTCCGTGTGGCGCTGAATGAGCAGATGGATGCGTTCGAGGCGTACGCGCTCACAGATGGGAGGACTGTGCTGCAGATCACGGGGAAGGGAGATGGCCAGAAGAACGAGCTGGGGAAGATAGATCAGGACGGGGTGTTTGTCCCGGGTACGAGTGCCGAGTGTGCCGCCTATGTGTGGGTGAAGGTGAAAGTGGTTTACAAGTATGTGAGGGTGCGCTATTGCTGCTGGTAGTTCACGACAAGGCAATCCTTCTATAGATAAGATTAGATTGTGTTTTGGTCACGGAAATTATTGCCGCGTCACAGTTAGTAGACTCTTCCACTGACTCGCTCAGGCTCAGGCTATTACTGTATGTGTACACATTCACGGAAACACTCTCAGCGTTTTGGGCTGATTGCTTACCTGTTATTCTGACGGCGTCTGGACTCCCGTTCTAGCGATGGCGAAATCCGCGTAGCAGTCGCTATTGACATGATGAAACGTAGAATTGTTGCAGACCTCAATATTCAATCAAGATTATTCTCGTGAAGGTCGCAGTGCCGCCAAGTGTCCACAGCCTCAGCATCCAACATACGAAGTGGGTGTTGCAATGTAGTTGCCGTCAACGCAGAGCCTGGAGTCCCGGACAAAGTCATTTTTTAAGTTCGTGGGGTTGACCGCTCCCGTCTAGCTTTTGGCGACGTACACCTATGCAGTCTGGTCATGCATTCGTAGCTGATGCATGTGCAAAGTACTAGTCTTCGTGATCAACGCTGCGCACCGTGAGGACATTCCCTCTCCTGTTGTTCTTGCCTTTCCGGGTCTTGGTATCTCTGATCTCCGTTTCCTAGTCATCTCAGGCCAAGTCCGACCACGCAAAGTCCGGCGATATAAAGAGCCTTCGACATCCATTCATGAGATTGAAATCGTGGCCGTCGAATATGCCGTCGCCGCCAGTACGAGTTTCCCCGATACGACACTTTGATCAGTCATATGTTTGTCCAGCGCTAGGATACTTATTTCATTTGTCGCGGAGCGCCACAATTGTTTCTCCATCTTTCGTTTTCTTGTGGAAAATTCCGAACCGGCGCCAGGTCCTACATTCTACAACCGCAGTTGATGAATCACGCACCGGCTATGTAGGCCAGCACGTCTTCTCCATCCTGTGCATCACTGTCTACATTGACACCGGGTATTCTCTCACACAGTCCTGGAATGCTCACTGCTTCCTGTTCTACACACAGTCCGAGTGGTTCCCTTGAACTGCCTACCCTGTGGTGGTGGTGGTTCTACCCATATCTTGCCAGCTCGGCATCTCTGCTCTGAGTTAATTGGCATTCATGCACTCTTTTGCTGGGCTGCTCTGTGATCAGTATCGTGGTTGTTTACAGGCTCTGTCATACATCTCTGGCCACGACGGTACTTGGCTCTAGTCTCACTTGTTCCCTATATCTTGCTGCTTGTCGTGAGCCTTGCATAGTAAGTCATGCACGTTACACACTGATGTTGACTGACAAGATTTCCATTTTCTCAGCTACGACATGATACCGCAGACGATGTCTTCGAAAGTTTCAGTGCCTCTGTATCGACTTGATAATGGGCGACATGCACGAACTTGCACGTCAAAATTCCTGTCGAAAGTGGTCCGCACTGCTAGACGCGACTAATTTCTGCTGAAGATCTTCTTTACATTCCTATGCCGACCGTCATCCCCTCGCGAGCTGGACGTATCGCTATTTACTTCCTGACTGTCTCGTCGACCCTCTCCGTGAGGTCGATTTTTCGTGCTATATCGCGTTCATGGTGAGTGCGATCTATGTCACACATCGAGCTGGAGATTGATATGGTCTACTCTATCCTCAAAAAATCCAGATTGTATTGAATATCTTGTGAAAAAAGTTCTACTTGTCGGTCCACCTGTTCGGATACGTCTCTTAACGTACTTGGTTTGATTGCTGAAGGGTCTGTGATCTTCAATCTCATGTCCTCCTCGGATACTAGATGCAGTAGTATTTCCTCCGGTTGTTCATCGATGCAGTCCAGGCTGCATTCTCAAATGGATCGCTGTTGTGAAAGATGTGAAACTGTAGGTGTGATTTTCCGGGAGAGAACTACTTACACTGTTCTCATGGGCGGTACTGTGCGTAAGATCACGGTACGATTGACCTCTTTTACACTTTTATCTACTAACTTTCATGTCTAGACTCCAATATGATTGCTTTCCCGAAGGTGACGTTTGTGCCCAATGACCACTGAGTACTGAGTATCTATCTCAAGAGCCACAATCGTGCAGACATTGCATAACAACCTCAGTATAACCCCCACCCATGCGAGCACTGTAAACTACCAATCAAAAATCTCTTGAACATCATCTAGCTCCATCCTGGAATCTGGTGTCTATGTCCACTTCTGGTGGATCCAGCTACTGTCGTCCATGTTCACAAGGCTCTGTGTTATTTTGACATTTGCGGACGAGCTTGTGCACTACAGATTCTCTGGAGGTGCAATTTGAAGCTGCGCTCGTGTTTCGTTGACATCCATCGCTGATGTCAGCCTAACCAGACAAACAGCATGATGACACCAATGATGGCCCCACCTTGGCGAAGCGGAAGGTTCAGCACTGTTTGTGAGCATGGACGAGACGAAGTTGGAAGTTGTGCCGATCGTTACACTAGTGACTGTGGAAGAGGGAGCTGAGAGTACTTCTTAGTTTCTTGTATGACATTTTGGGGACATCCGTAATATCACTACTCAAGTTCGAGCATGTCCATGATTTGGAGTCGCTCCTGCATATTAGAACACTCCCAGGAGTGGCGAATCTTTTGATACGTGCCCTTAATGTGCATGTGACCTTCTCGGATTCGCACCAAGCCAGAACGATATGCAGTTTATCATGGCGGCCCGTTCTGGACAAAAATCAAGGAGACAGGTTTTCGCTCTTGTATTCACGCGCATTTACGCAGATGCACAGGACGCAAAACTCCTTTTTTCCCGAGGAAATAACTTGGAAAAATGTGTGGAAATCAACAAAGTCATACTGCGGGAAAAACATGAGGAAAAAACGTGTAAAAGAACAAAGCATTTCCGCAGTTTTTCCACTGGAAATAAGTTGGTCGCCAAATATGGTAGTTTTGTCCGGGTTTTGGCATGTCCTGGCATGTCCAGTTGCCTGATATGGTAGGCAACTTATTTCCAAGGGAAAAACCGTGAGAATGTTTTGTTCTTTTCTCACTTTTTTCTCGAGGTTTTTCCTCTGAAAATATATTATTGATTTCCATGCTTTTTGCCAGGTTATTTCCAATGGATAAAAGTGGTAATGCTTCCTGTGATGCATCCCCCGATACACAGAATGTCACGGTTGCCGCTAGTCTCCATTGCAGACTATATATGGCTATGGATGACAGTCGATCCATATCTAGTATATAGTCTGCATCAGGTCACGTCGACTTGTAGGCCTTCCGCCTTACGCCCAAAAAGGAAGCTGCTTTCACCTCAAGCACTGCTCGGCATTTGCCATATGTAGAGTAAAACTGTGTGTAAAATACAAATAAAAATCTGTTGCTGCCTCTATGGACCGTGAACACATGCAAAACACTCCCATACACTTCACAGAAGAAGTGCAAGGTACTTTTGTTATAATCATCTCAACCATAAATCAATGAGACTTACAACTCACAGGGAGAAAACAAGCAGCACCGGCACCAAATACGCCCACTCTGAGCAAGCGACAACGAAGGCGGTCACCTTGCGAGAAGCTCAGCGAAGTTCTCCAATTGATCTCGGACCTGAACTGGACACTCCCGGATTTTCTATATGAATTGTTTAGGGTCAATGACGATAGCGGAGAGAAGATCGAACGAACTGAGTCACACCATGGAATGATATGCATGTTTCTCGGGGGACAGACCAAGCGAACTGTAGCCCATGTCATCAATGAAATTCTTAATGATCCAAGTGGCAAAGCATCACGGGGATCAGAGCAATGGGATGATATGTACTCACAATCCAAGTCATTCCTCGGCATCAAGCTTGCTTCTCCTGCACTGACCACCATGGCAGTAGAGCTTGTGCACTGTCAGCTGGTGAAAGAGATGAAGCAGACAGTCAAGGGAGCAAGTGGACTTCACGGGTCCATGCCACCAGCAAGACATGAGGGACGGTGGGCACTATGCTGGAAGGATATCCCCGCCACGACAATTAGGAATGTCCAAGACATTATGGAGAACAAAAACACACTCATTTTTCATCTAATACTCCCACTTGCAACACCCAAATCTAAGGTTGTGGATAGCGTCGCTCAAAAGCCACGCAAGAGCCGTCCACCTGTCCTTGTGAGTGTGAGCCTTGAGACAACATAACAATAGTCACTGACCTTCACTTCAGGCCACAACAGAGATCTTGAGTAGCATTGCTTACTGTCGGACACCTTACGCTCGCCTATTACCCATCACTCGAGCCATACTCTACTTTGCTTGTGGGGCACAGGAAATGTTGTTTCGTTACAGCAGCCGAGTTGGGCACACACCAAGTTGGAACACTACAGTTGCGACTCTGAAAAGGCTTGCAGAGCTCGATGCCACGTTTCTCCAGACAATTGGCAAGGACGTGTCCAGCAGGTTCTTCCTATGAATGGACAACGTGCAAAAATATGTCAGACGACGGGATGCACGTATTGGACATGGGAATTACATGAAAATTGGGCTCACAGCCACAGTTGCAGAAGCCGTTGACTTTGATCCTGCTGTTGGGGACATTGATGACAAGCGGGCACGAATCGCGCAGAACCTACGGGCTGAACTGACTGTGGAGAAGTTGCTTGGTATGATCGACATCGCACATTTTCGAAAAGTTGGCACACTCCAGTGGCTGCATACACTTGTCACCTACATCCCTCAACTGGCGAAGTATCAGAGTGCGGTAGCGAAGCTTTATAAGACAGATGGAGCAAAGCTGTGCTTACCAAGCAAACAGAAAACCATTATGCATCCCTTGGCGACAGTGGCCAAGAATGAGAATATTATGACCGAACTTCGAGATGCACTGGTGGATTTCCTGGGTCAGCTGGGGCAGAAAGACGGAGACTTCATGCGCTGAATGATTTATATCGGCGGGGATGGTCTAACGTTCAAGCGGCTGCTTCAAATCAAACATTATCAGCACTTTCAAGGTGACGAGTTCCGCAGCTTCGAGATCATTCAGCCGTTCCTCGAGCTATGGCATACCGAATGGACTCACCTGAGTCTCACGTATGAAGCACACTGGGGAAGTTTACTTACACCGGATCCTTCAAAATTGGGACACAGCGCCTCGAAGATCAATCAGAAGGCACCAGCAAATCTTAAGAAAGTCAATTATTACCCTGCGGCTTACACATCTTATCTTGTTCTTGATGTCCGCATGCTCGATTGCTGGAGGTACGAACTATTGTCACTGTCATGAGTAGGGAGATACTGACTTGTACTTCAGGATCCTTCTGGAAACGGACGATATTTTGGAGCACTTTGCGGCTCTAGACAGGGATGGTCAGCTACCCTTGCTGGACGAGCTTCAAGCAAAAGTGGAAATACTATATTAGCGCTATTTCACACGAAAAGCATATGCACTTGCACTTGGCGGTGATGATGCACGCACAAGCTGCGATTCCACCATGACCTTCCCGATAGGCAAGACATGGGTGGCCCCGAAGTTGAATGACAGTAGTACACAAGTATGCCAGGCAGCGAAATCAACTGCCCTACCCAATCAGAAGGCTAACCAGTCCAAGAAAAACAACACGAAACATACCACAGAGCCATTCACAGGGGACCGGACACTGGCACAGTCAATCATGTTCATGCACGACACTCTTCTCTCTCAAAAAGTTGCTCGAGCAGTGGCAGAAGGTGATATTGGTCGTGTATATGAGGGCATAAAGGTATGTACAACTGCAAGAACATCTGTCTGAAACTCATTAAACTACAAAGATGATGCTGTTCAGTTTTGCAGGCTCGTCACATTTGAAATATGTGTCATACCTTCTGGAGACCATATGCGATCTTGAGCTAGAATCTAGCGAAGCTGCGAAAGATGTCTTCCTGAAAAATTGGCTAGTCAATCCATCAGGGAAAGCGCAGAAGTATCAAGAGGGTGATTTTACGCAGGAGCGCTACAATCGAGAACTCGAGACATTTGTGGATCGCAAAGACACCCAATGGAATGCAGATTACATATGCAAAGTCATCTCGCCAAATGTTCACCACTTCATGAAGATGAAGAACACTTATGGGGATGGCGTAGGACTTGCCAAGCATCGTGGCGAGCATCGTGAACCACACAGCAAATCAGAAGTCAGAACACTATTGGAGACCTATAGGAGTGAAGAATTACATCGATTCCGCTCGGGCCATTCATATGACTCAACTGCAGACACCACAGTCGACACATTTGGAGAAGGTGTGGAGCAATTGTATAATGGGAAACTGCAGAAGTGGATCACAGATAGCACATCGACTCGGGCAACGAGGAGCAATTCACAGGCTGAAGAACTATCTACGATGGATGATGCTGATGGTATAGATGATCCATACGACTATGACAATGATGATGAAGAAGACCACAAGCAACCAACCTATACATCAGGGAACATGGTCCTCGTCGATGGGGAACTACAAGTTAAACTGGAGGATATATCGGTGCAATCAGCAGCTAGCTACATGGACGAGGATGTGGACGAGGAAGTCAATTATGCAGAAGACAGTGAGGACACTCACAGTGACACGGAGTTGGGAGAAATGTAGTGAGAACAACTAGCCACGTATTCTTTTGTTCTCCTTGTCCTGTAGCAGCATAAATCCATCAACGAACTGCGCAAGCAAACAAAGCACAAAAGGTACTCACGCCATGGCGCTGTGATACAGCTCTGGAACTTGTACTGCCAACTCAAGTCCTCTTGCGACCGCGTGAAGTAGATCCTTCCAGTGCAAAAGAACCAAAGAAGCACTGACCACTAGCCTCCGTGGCATACCTAGAAGACATCCCGTATGTGAGTGGAGATTGCTGCCATGAGTGGGACCATGATGGTACTTAGGCAAGCAGTTATTTGCCATTGACTTGCAACATTCATATGGTTGAACAGCCCTGGAATCCTGCAACGTCTGAGCCTGAAGCGGTACTGGATTTTCTGGAATGGAAGTGCCTCCATTGAGTGCATGGGTAACAAGACCAACATTCAGCCTGCGCCGCTCAGTCGTGAGTGAAGGAGCATGATAATATGCATGACAACTGACCGGTTTGCAACTTGATCACTGAGTGGAGCGTCCTCAGATGCACAATTGAGTGTGCTTTCTTCTGGCCTGTGAGCAGAATGTGAGAATCAATCATAGTGCCCCTCGTCGAGCACATACCTGGAGTCAACCTCATGCTCCTCGCCCCTCGACTCCTCAGAGCTCTCGCTCTCCCATCCAGGACCTCCATCCACAGCAGTATCGCCCCAGGCCTTTGACTCTGCACGTTTGTGCACTTCTTCGGCACGGATCGCTGGGAAACTCCTCTGTAGCTCACAAACAACATCTCAGAGCTCACGGCGATGCGGCTGCAGATACGTTCACCCTGCGATCAGAGCATCAAGGTCCTTGATGCTCTGGAGCAATGCGAAGCGATCCAAGATGGCCTTGATGACAGGATCTGGAAGATAGATGAATTCAGGAATAATGTCTGTGTCGACGCTATCAGCGGCTACATAGATCGACTTGCGCAGTTGGAGCAGTCGATCCTTGCCTCTGTCTCGCATTCCTCTGCTGAGATGGTCCTTGTGCTTGACCGGATTCATCGCCTTCTTCATAGGGAAGAGCCGATCAGGGAGATCCTCGGGCACACAGCCACTGCAGTCGCAAGTTGATCGAATGGGCCGTAGGTTGACCTGGCAGCTGGAGCAGGTACAGGGAGGATCAGTGGTGAGATTGTCGTATAGATGGTTCTGCTCAGCAATTTTGCAGTCAGCTAGGAGCATGTGAGCCATGCTCAGATCAAATTCATCCCCGGCGTTTTTCCCACCACCTGTCTTCTTCTTCTGATGCCCCTTGTCAATAATTGTGCGTGCCTTCTTCATCGTGTTTTTTGGAATGTACATGATACCGCGTGCGTCGTTCACAAGGCGCCTGTCACATCCAGACCAACCATCAGGGTGTCCATTGCAACCACAATCTGTGCGTCGGGATCCTCGCGGAATACACGCAGAGTGTCACCATTGAAGTCTTCCCAGTGGAGGGCATTATAAAGACGGATACACTTCTGCGGGTCTGGTGAGCCCGGCACAATGCTGCGAAGGTATGTTGCAAGACGATCCCCGTGCTGTATTCTAGGGCAGAATATGATTGTCTTGCAGTTTTCCTTCAGAACCCATCTAAAATCCCGAAACCTGGGACCTGAGAGCCCTCGTGTTAGGGTGTGGAATAAGAGCTGCACATCAGGATGAATGTTGGAATGACGAATGAAGTGAAAGGCACCCTCACATAGACCAAAAAAGGTGCAGACATTTTCGGTAGCCTCTCCGGCAGCCAGAGTCGCTGTAGTAAGGAGAAGTATGATTCTCTTGGGTAAATGCATGCGCGCAAATCCAATTTGTGTGAAGGCGGGCCGGAAATGAAGACCCCATGAATTGCAGAGGTGGAACTCATCCACCCCGAGTAAGCACGCTCTCTTCGTGAACGTACGATCTTCTACAAGTGAACTGTAGCCATCTGTCTGAAGCATCTCGGGCGAGATCAAAATCATTGAGATGCCTGCACGAGCTGTCTCCCACAGATTCTCCCCTCATTTTCGTGCAAGCCCGGCTGTCCTATTATTGATTACAAGGGTGCTGAGTCCCAGAGATTTAAAATGGTGCTCCTATTGGTATATTAGCATCATGCACGAGCATAAAACTGTCGCACTCACCATTTCTTCTTCTAAGCTTAGAGTAGGATATATTATAAGCATGCCCGGATCCAAAGGAATGTCTTTGACAGGTTTTAAAGGAGGAGGCTGTTGACTAAGTGAACGTAATGCTAACATGTACATGGCATAGAATCCTGTCTTGCCGGCGCCCGTGGGTAGAACAACTACCACATCTTCATCATCGAGTAGCTTGCAGACACCCTCGAGTTGATAGTCATGGGGCGCGTACGGAAGATGTGGTTGAAGGAGGTCTCGAATGAACTGGTAGCCATCCGGTGAGCTGAATGTGAATGTACGGGAATGCTCATCACCAGCTTCGAGCGCAAACTCTGTCATCAAAAGGCGTACGAACGACTAGACGCGTCGTTCAACGCGTTCAACGCGCTGTTTGCGCAAGCTTGTTAAAGCACGTGACTCCGCAAAAATCCGTAAGGCGGAAGGCCCACTAAGCCGCGCCAGCTGATGTAGACTAAGTCTGCATCAAGTCGCGTCGATTTACAGGCCTCCCCTCTTACGCCCAAAAAGGAAACAACAACTGCAGCTAAGCACGTGAATTTAAAAGCTGGAAGGACAACGACAGCCCGGGTGGCTGATATTCAACCTAAGAAGTCAATATACATCCTTCAGAATCCTTGCCTGTTATTTCAGTGTTAGAAATCGCGCCTTAGTTCCCAAATAGGAAGGTAGTGATGGCGGGTCAAGATGCGTCGGGGCGCGTGATTGCGCGTCCTAAAATAGATTTCTGTATATATACAGTTCTAGACGCTCCACTTTATATAAGCAAATTTCCTTCTTTGTCTTTCTTTGTAATCATGCCCTCGGCTTGTCTGCCCTTGGGCGCTCCCCAATTTCTGGAGCTCCAGAAATTTGGGCGCTACTTTCCAACACTCCCCCTCAAGCCGATGAGCATTCCGAGCTTCTTTGTGAGCTTCTCGTGCCTCGGCTTAGGGAGTGACTTTGTTAGGATATCCGCTATCATGTCCTCCGTGGGACAGTAGTGGATATCAATATATTTATCCCTCAATTTTTCGCGCACATAATGATGCTTTACATCAAAATGTTTTGATTTCGCGTGAAATTGGGGATCACGTGCGATTGAGATCGCCGCTGTATTATCCTCGAATAAAATTGTAGGATCTTGTTGCTCGAAACCTATTTCTTTGAATAGTGTTCGGAGCCATACGGCTTCTTTTGCCGCTTCAGCGGATGCCATGTATTCGGCTTCCGTGGTGGATGACGCGACCGTGGTTTGCTTCTTTGAGCTCCACGTGATCGTGCCATTTCCTAATTTAAATAAATATCCCGAGATTGATTTGCGATCTCGGATATCGTTCGCATAGTCTGCATCTGAGTAGCCCACAAATATGGATTGATCTTCGGGCTTGACATCTGCAATTGGCCCGTAGATTATTCCAAGTTCTCGCGTTCCGGATAGATAGCGGAGGACGCGTTTAGCAGCAGTCCAATGAGCCATTCCGGGATTGGCAGTAAATGAGCTAAGCCGTTGCACGGCGTGAGCAATGTCTGGTCTCGTGGCAATTGCCGTGTACATCAGTGATCCGATGAGCGATGCATATCCGTTGTCTCAGTCGCATTCATCATCAGTTTCGGGTTCTTCTTTTTCAAGCACTGTATTTGGATCAAGAGGCATCCCGACCGTGTTGGCGTTCATAAGCCCATTCTTGTGTAGGATAGACTCAATATATTTTGTCTGAGAGATTTTGATTGTCCGCTTTGAACGGTCTCTCTCAATTTCTATCCCCACAATTTTTCGGGGTTCGCCAAGGTCGGTAACTTCGAACATATTTCGGAGTTCCCTCTTCAATTGGTCCATCAGTGCGCAATCATTGGTGAATATTAATAGGTCGTCCACCCAAACGGTGACGATTTCTATCTTATCATCTTTGATCCGAATGTACGCACATGGATCCGAGAATAGGCGCTTGAATCCCGCATCTAATAACTTGCGGTTCAGTATGATATTCCATTCTCAGCCAGACAGCTTTAGCCCGTAGAGGGTTTTCTTTAATTTACATACGCGGTATGTTCCATCGCTGTATCCTTCGGGTTGCCGCATATACACTTCTTCTTTGAGAGTTCCATTAAGATAGGCGCCTTTCACGTCCATCTGTCCGATCTCCCAATCTAAGATTGCGGCTAGCCCGAGGATAGCTCGAATGGTTTCGAGGCGGACTACGGGCGCGAACGTCTCGGTATAGTCCATGCCTGGGATTTGAGAATATCCCTTCACAACCAGGCGGGCTTTGTATTTGATTATTTCACCCTCTTTGTTTGTTTTCTTAACTAGAACCCATTTATTTCCTACGGGTTTTCGATCTTCGGGAGGTTCCACTAACTCCCAAGTCTCCATACCCTGTAGTTGATTGAGTTCCGTCTGGACTGCCTGTTCCCATTTGGGCCACTCGAGTGATCTCTTGGCATCACTGAGCGTCTTTGGCTCGTCCGCATCCGCATTTCCGTGGGTGCTTATCGCAATATAGACTAATTCGGCATTTGATTTATCTGGATCATTATCCAGATCTTCGTCTGCCTCTGGGTCGTGCATTAGATGGTAATCATGCCGAACTGTCTTTCTTCTGGTTCGTCTGGGCTGGCTTGGTGCGTCCGTCCCGCTTTCCTCGCGTTGATCAGGATCATGATCCTGTCTGCGCTTTCGCGGATTTTTGGCAGGTGACTGTGGCGCGGAAGTTCCTAACTCCCCCTCGCGCCGCACGTCTGCGGTCGTTGTGAGGTTTGGGACTTCGGGTCTCCTTTCCGCATGCGGCACGTCTGACGCATTGCTAGGTAAAGTGCCCGGAAATATATTTTGCTCCCCCTCACGCTGTGCTGTGAGGATAGGTACGTCGGATCCTATTTGCTCTTGTGGCACGTGAGGCGCGTTGCCGGGCAAATGGTCCGGGGAATTCGAAGAAAATTGGAAATTACGCGAGATTTTAATCTGGCGCGTGTGCGCATCATAATATTTGATGGCTTTGGGTCCGTCCATGTATCCAACAAAAATATACTTGTTGGCACGGGGCGCTAGCTTTGATAGTGTTGCGTCTTCCATGAGGACCCATACGGGGGAACCGAATTCTTGTAGGTACGAGATATTTGGTTTCGTCCCATTCCATTTTTCTTCGGGAGTTGCCCCATTTAACGCCTGGGTAGGCGATCTATTTTTAATATAGACTGCGTGAGCAATCACTTCAGCCCAAAGATAACGAGGTAGATCTCTCGCATAGATCATCGCGCGCGCTAGTCCAAGCAGTGTGCGATTCAATCTCTCAGAGACTCCGTTCTGGGATGGTGAGTACGGTGCAGTCAGACCCATCTCGATCCCTTTCATTTGACACCAGTTAATTAATTCGGTGTTTATATATTCTCGACCGTTGTCGAGCCTGAGTCGCAAGGGTTTATTTCCAAACTTGCGCTCGATATAGGTAATATAATTCTTTACCTTTTCAGTTACTTCATCTTTATGCCTCATAAATAGTACTGTACTTCGACGACTGTAATCATCGGTAAATGTAATAAAATATTTCCACCCTTGTAGAGCGGCTGTCTGCGCAGGTCCCCACACATCCGTGTGTGTTAATTCTCCGGGTACCTTGCTGCATTCGTCCGTCTCTTTGGGAAATGGCTTCCGCGTCGCCTTTGCTTGGATGCATGCCTCGCAATTAATTTCATCTGGGCTTGGCGAGATTTCTAGGCCATCAACAAGCCCTTCGCGATATAATCGCGTAAGCGCTGGTTTCCCGATATGGCCATAGATCTTGTGCCACTCTTCCCAGGTATGCGGGCCGTATTCCTTAGCAGTATAGGTTCGCGCAGGTTGCGGAACTATTGGACGCAATTTCAATGAATATAGTCGTCCATTTTTCTTGCCTATAGCAAGAGTGTGTTTATTTTTATCTATTAGTATTGCGCGACTATTACCCATAAGTACTCTTCCTCCCGCGTCGTCCAAACGCGTGATGGAGAGGAGGCTATTGGGTGCTGTCGGCGCATACAGTACACCGTGGAGACGGAATTTCACTTTCCGGTCTCCTACTTCACTTTCGACATCGACCGTACCGCGGCCCAATGCCTGCGTTGGTTGCGGTCCGATGCCCGTGATCGCGTGATCTTCGAGCGCCTGATAGGTCGCGAAGACTTCACGACGATTTGTAATGTGCGAAGTTGTCCCGGAGTCGGCAAACCACTCATAGAAAGAAGCGATTTCGCCATCAGATCCGAGAGATACAGTGTCGCTATCATTATTGTAGGCTATTTTTGCCTCATCCTCTTTCGATTCGACCTCGCGTGCTTCATAAGCACGTTCCGTCTTTTGCCGTTTCATCAGCGGGCCCTGTCTGGCTTTGCCGCCACCTTTAGCCCAACAATCCGTGGCCTTATGCCCGAATTTTCCGCAATTCATACATTTGACCTTGTCGCGGTGCCGACACTCGTTACCAAGATGTCCCGGCTTTCCGCAGATCGAACATTTTTTGTATTCCCCAAAGGGGCGCTTCTTTCCTTTGGCAACCATGGCTTGGTCCGAGGATTGACCGCGCTCGCCACGCTCGTGCCTTCGCCTATTTTCATCAAGAATGATGGCAATCAATTCTTGTGATGTAAGCTAAGGGCGCACGTTGTCAGCACCTTCGGCGCCAACATTGCCGCCCACGGCGCCAAAGTAAGAGCTGAGGAAAGAGTCCCAGCTCTCCGGTAATGAGGTAGCCAGAATGAGCCGGAAATCTTCGTCAGAAACAACCTTCCCCATTAGGTGGAGTTGTTCCTGGATCTGTCGTAGCTGTGTAATGTGACTGGAGATATTATCTTCTTCCTTGGCTTGCATCCGGTAAAAACGCCGGCACAGCGCGAGAATTCCATGCTGTCCACGCTGTTCCTTGACTGTGCGAAGCTGCTCCCACATGGCCCATGCTGTCTCAGCTCCAGCGATGTGCACCATCTGGGAATCTCCCAGCGATAGCACAATTACGTTCTGGGCCTTGAGGTCCTTCTCTCCCCAGGCGCTAATCTCCGCCTCTCTCGCTGCCCTATTGGCCGGGTCATTACTCGGCTGCGGCTTCGGTGTCTTTCCGGTCACATACTCCTGGAGACCCTTATCATTAAGGATGGCCTCGACGCGGCGCTTCCACGAGAGCCAATTGTCTTCCTTCAGGAGCGGGATCCGGTAAGCATTGCTATTGCTCGTATTATCAGCGCTGGTCGACATTATTTGTTCTCGTACTAGTAAGGGGGTAACAATTTTTGTAGCCACAATAGGGGCTGTTGTTATCCAAGTATTTATTGGCTAGAGCCGGGGCTCATAACCTGTTAGAAATCGCGCCTTAGTTCCCAAATAGGAAGGTAGTGATGGCGGGTCAAGATGCGTCGGGGCGCGTGATTGCGCGTCCTAAAATAGATTTCTGTATATATACAGTTCTAGACGCTCCACTTTATATAAGCAAATTTCCTTCTTTGTCTTTCTTTGTAATCATGCCCTCGGCTTGTCTGCCCTTGGGCGCTCCCCAATTTCTGGAGCTCCAGAAATTTGGGCGCTACTTTCCAACATTCAGGAATGTTCTTTGGAGGCACTGATAAGGAGAAGAGGTGCAGATGTCCATTTCACTACAAGACTGTGCAGCATGGCCTGTTTCCGGCCTTCCTTGCTACGAACTATACTAGAAATATTTTTTGAAGTAACTCAGGTCCTAAAAACACGGTATCATTAGCCTAGCTACCCGTTCTTCCCTGCAGGAAGAGGAGAATGCATTGGACAACGCGACGCGTATACACAGAATCACGGTTGCACGTGATGCGGAAACTTCCGTAAGGTGGGAGCCTGCCAAAAATGCGCTAGTTGACCAAGACTAGGTTGCCGCCAGGAATTGACAAGACTGATGCATTTTTGTCCAGAACGGGCCGCCATAATCATGACGTGTCGACTGGCGGCGGGCGTGGTCAAGCGTCTGATGGTCGTGCGCGCCAAAAGTTGAACTGAAATGCTCACGGCTCCACTCAGACACGTCGCTGTTGATGTTAACAGTTCTCTCCACTCATTCCGTAGACCAGCAGTAGACCAGCAGTGGACTGCCCATCGCGCGACAACGCAACGCAGGAATTCAACACGGTCTGAGGATATCTGTGAGAGAAACAAATTCAGAAGTGCCGAGAAGCTTGTTAGAGAAAACGGTGGATTCCTTATTCTTCAAGTACGCGCGTACGTCCGTTTTATTTACTGTAATTTTTTCTGTTGACATTCTGGGTGCTACTGCATCACAATCTCTCAGTACTGGTTCACACCGATGGCTCTCCCACTCGTCTGGCTTGGAAATTACACCTTCTTTCCTATAGGCACCACCTCGGCTGTGTGCCTGACAAGAGATCTCTCCCCTGAAGAACGTGCTGATGTCCTTCTGCTTGGATGCGGTGATCTTAGGAGCGTCTTGTACACCATCTTCTGCGAAGCCGAGAAAAGTAAGTGCGACATCTAATGCACACAATTCGTTCCTAACGAGGGCTGGTTTTCCTCACAGGGCGCCGGCTTGACTTCACTTGTTGCGACCTCGATCCAGGCGTGCTGGGTGAGTGTTTTCGTGTAGTAAATATTAGAGTAGTTTTACTAACTCGTGCAGCCCGCAATGTGCTACTGTTGACCATGATCGCCGACAATACATACCCTGTCACCACTATCGTATGGAATATGTTCTACCATATTAGTTTGGACGAAGAGTCCCATACGGCCTTGATCACCCAATGCAAAAAGCTGATCAATTTCTCCGACAATCTTCAATGTTGGAACTCGTCTCCCTATGGCGCGTTCACAAGAATGTGCACAGAGTACACGCTGGCGCAGCTTCGACGATACTGGGTGTTATATGTCGGCATGCAGAATATGCCGACTGAGCGTAAACAGTCTCTTCGCGAAACTCTCTTAAAGGAATATCAAGTTGCCCCTGCTGCCCTTTTCTGGATGGCCTCACGTTCGGCTGGCCCCTTCAGACTATCGGCATTCGAGTCCAACGTGAAGTTTGGGCAATACTGGGATGCGGGCGTGACATTTTCAGATCCCGCACAGATTGCGGCTGCGACATATCTCAATCCGACTTTTGTCTACTCCTTCGGCGGAGAAGGCTGTATTGTCTACCCCTTCACGCACCCGACTGTCGATTTCCATCTCGCATCAGTGGTCGGTAATAGCTATGGTTCAGCAGACGTATTTGATCTGGTCAAGGCCGCCCAGATGCAATTCTACGATTGGTGCTCAGCCTTCCGAGCTTCCATCTGCTCTACCAGACACCCTACTCCCGTCATTCGTATTCTACTGGCGGAAGCAACTGCAGCATGCTATGCGTTCCAGTCCTTCCGCACCGCAAAAACTGCTTCTGCGAGTGTACTCGTTGGCCCTTGGACCACACAAACCATCCAACTCAGCAAGGAGGATTATCCATCTCGGAGTGCCCCTATACGCTTCAACGTGATTGATGCGTCCGACCTGGAAGACAATGTCGGACTCTTGAATATCCTGACTGCGGTGGTTCCACTATTATCACATCCTTCCAGATGCAGCGTTCTGTATACTGAATCTCAACATTACCAAACCACGGGTGACCAGAGCCTCGTCTACGAGGATGGGACGGGCAAGCCTCTCCCACATGACGATGGTGCCAGAGATTTCACACAACGGGTGTACGCGGACATGACAACCATCGCCCTCGTGGTAGGTGTGTGCCCCGTCGACTATCTGTCGTGCTTCAGTTCGCATTGCAATACGGATGAGCTGATTGTCCGCACGTTATTTCGACAAACCGGCGATTCGGCGTTGTTTCACCAGAACTTGACTTGGAGGGTACCGGCTTCCGGAGATACCACAGCCAGACCGGACAAATGTTCGTACCGAGCTATCCCAGGAGCTCTCGTGTTCACACCACGACAGCTTGGAACACTGCTCTTCAACATGTATTGCCGAATGTTCAACCACGAAGAGGAGAGGCTTTTTTTTGGGCAGGATGGTCCGTTGTCAACGGTCGAAGCAGTTTCCCTCCAGTGCAACATTGTCCATAACACAAGCGAAAGCTTCATTCTGTTCCTTAAATTTGTCAAGCAAACGCATCAACTCACGGATGATGGATGGGCTGAAGTGATGGACCAACTCATCGGTTTGCGCGAGACCCGGGACCAGGCCTTTACGCAGCAAAGGAGCGATTACCAGGAGTTGCTCGCGCAACTGTATCGACATGGACTCTACATGCATGCCCCAATGCTAGCAGCGGCGCCGAAATGCAGTCTTTTGTCGACATGGGAGTCCGTGCCTCTTCTTCTTCGCATTGTCTTCACCGTTCCACGGCAAAGCTTGACTGTCCTTGATCGAGCAGAAGTAGAGTATGTGGCCCGCAGGAGCTCTGTCATGCTGCAGGGTGAAGTCAGTGCTGCAATGGATACATGTCGGTTCATGCTGCTTTTGGGAATGCAATCAAAACGGGTACGGATGCTTGTCCTTCGGTGATGATCAAGGAGGATCCCGAAGGATGGAATGGTTCCTCTCCTCTTGTGGTATCCTTCACTGTTCCAACTGCCGTCCTGTCTGCAGAAAACGAAGACGCGGTAGTGTCTCTTTCCCTTCGACGGACTCCCGCTGCTGCGGCCTGGTTCTCAGAAGAGCTAGGGCCCGCCCTCCGCCTCTTCTCAGCAAAAATTACGGATGAATCTCACGTTCTCGTCGTCCCAGAGTACCCTCTCCCCCCGTCAAAGGCGTATACCTCATCCTCACACACTCCGCTCCGTAGAATCTTTACCCAGATCGGTACTCTGAGTCCCGTAAGGATTGTGCTCGATGATTGGTGTGAACTTGTGACCTCTATGAGACGTACAGTGACCGTGGAGGATGCGCGAATCATGCGGGCCCTCGCAACTCGTCGAGAACCGCTACAACTTCTGCACGTGTCGCCATGTACAGTGCGGCTTTCCTCCGGAGACATACGCCAAGATATAGTGTTTCCCTTCCCGCTTATTGGAACTCGAATGAAAATGGAAGACGCGCTCTTGGAGGGTGTACTCCGCTTCGAGGTATGACACCCTATTTCTCCCCTCGCTGCAGGATTTGAAGCGATAACCTCTTCAGGTCACTGTACTACCATCTGGTCCATTCGATCCTGAGGGTATGAAAGTTACTCAATTTCCAGTCGTACACAACAACGATGACTTCTTACCCTGGAATATCCATCGCCTCGACCTGGCGCTCATGCCTGTGCTCGATCTCACAGACTTGCCATTTGTCAACAGATGGCTCACCACGAATGTCGGCTCGATGTTCTCCACCCGCGATCATGCTCTCTCAAAGAAGATTAACAAAGGCTCTGTGGATTGCATTGAATTAGATGGCTTAACAGAGGTCAAGGGTGTCATACGTCGGATGTTCTTTTGCTCTGCGGGCATCCAAAGCCCCTCGACACGAGTGTTCGCCCTGGAAGACGGGTTCAAACGAACGTTTCATACAGTATTCTTCGTCAACGATATTCGCTTCGATTTGGCTTCTCACACTATGGTCTGCGTCGCATACGTAATGACCATCTCTCCGGCGCTCGCCGGCCTGCCGGGAATGAAGAGACTCTGCGACAAGATCAGACATGACAAGAGTGTAGACAGCACCCCATCATCGGACACTGCTGTGTGGGCTTGGAAGCGCCTCCTCCCAGCACTCGCTGAGAGGTGCCGTTTGTGGCGACACGGAGTGAACTGCGAGTACAAGCGCAAGGGCAGGACCCCACTATCGGAAGAGGCGTTCACAGATCCGCTGTGTTCCTGCGGCAGAGGAAGGGACGTCCAGGGCATGGAACAATTTCCCGAGTGGAAGAGGTTCGCTCCGTACGTCACCAGGATCGCCGTGTCGCCACTGTTCACGGTGTCGTATCTGGAGACTGTCGGTCCCGACATTACTTCCCATAGATGCTGGTTGTGTGGTAAACGAGGGCAACCGAAGCTGAAGGCATGCGGGAGATGCAAGAAAGTCCGGTACTGCTCGGAGATATGTCAGAAGAAGGACTGGAAAATTTCCCACAAATTCCAGTGCCAGGAGGTCTAGGGAAGCGGAAATATGGATATTACGATCCACCTTTCGCTGATCCACATGTTTTCCCACTACTAACCTGTATGTTTAGTTTGTTCAGGTCTGGATATTGAACCACACCACAATGCTGAACAATGTTACTCGCTTGTTGTGGTGCACAAGGTTACCGGTGCGCGTGGTCGAACGTGCTGGGTTGAGCGACTTACAAGTGCGATTGAACCATGCGATACAGGGAGTTTTTCGGTGATCTTCTGAAGAGTAGGATGTGGCCGAAGACAGTTGGACAGAATGACAGGGCGACTAGCTGGGCGCTCAAATCCCGGCATGCATCTAATCGAGCAAGTCTCCGATTTCTATCCTAGCTTTTCTTTCTTGGTTATTGTCGAGTCGCGTCTCTCTTTGGACGGCCTTCTCGATGAGTCGGCGCTGGACGCAAGCATATCTCCCAGGCTGCAGCACCGATTCCTGATCACATTGCACTTCCACAACGTACAGAGTGCCTAGAGCTCTTTGGTATGTCACTGATGAAGCTTGCGATAACTCGGACCATGGACCTGAAATGGTACGTCGGATGTCTTGCTCTGAATGCAGTGGGATTGGTGACCTTATGGAGCCCGCTTTTGAATTTGAAGGAGCCGATGCGGAGAGTGACCTACGGACGGTCCTGGTCAATATTCGTGCGTTTCATCCATTACTAAGTGCGGCTCAGATCGTGAACGTGGCGAACATTATGGCTTACTTACTATGGGTGGGTGTTTCGGCGTATGCCGGCGGCCCTCCAGATGAGCATGCATCACCACCGTTAACTCCGTATGTTACCTCAGTCCAGGTAATTTACTTGGACTATTATGTCTATCGACGAGTTGATTATTCTGCGCATCACGGAGTCGACCAAGGCGGGCTATGGCAGGCTATGGCTCTCGGGGAGTTCTGGCGTTCTCAGTTCGTTCCTGTCACAACCCTGAACGGATAAGCATCACAAAGCTGCCGGAAGCCAAGAAATGGCCCACCGAAGTAGCCGCGCATACTGTTGTTTGACCTGCACGGGAACAGAGTGTACCTCGCTGGCCGCTATATCAACCGTGCGACGTAGAGTCGTAGACGAGACGTCAGAAGAAGCACGGGATCTTGGACGGGCACGAGTTCCAGGTCAGGATGGTTGTATAGGCGAAGATTGCACTAACTTGTTAGTTCAATGAACCACGGTAAGATGGTGCATCATGGATATGGCGCAGGTACCACAATGATTGAATCGAACCGTCCTTCCGCCTTGAGGGGAAAGGTATCTCCTGACGCAGTGAACGCTACCATCTTTGCCCTGACGTGACGCTCGTTCAGCTGACCATGGTATAGGTCAGATATAGCCGAGGGAGTGACTAGCAGTCCCGCAGTAGTCCGGATAGCATGGGAAGATCGCAGACACAAAGAGAGTCAACGTAAGCAGGGATGAGCAGGAGTTATCTCTACTCGCGTGGTACAATCTCTGCGACGTCAGTGCGCTATGGTGTGCTAGTAATGAACTAACGACACTCACCACTGCAGAAGCGTTCGCTGCGTCAATTACCACACTCATCACGGGCAGTCTGAGTAGGGAATGCGTTCCTGCTAGCCATGCATTCATGCCCAAGCGCTGCGTCGAATGCATGTCGTTAGATATGTCTAAGATCGGGAAGATCGGATATAAGAGCATGGCCAGTAGTATTATGTTCATATCAACGATATCGTGATGTCAGCACTGTGTTTGTCCTTTTCGTGATCGTCGTCTCATACGCCACGGCTTGCAGCGGTTGAACAAGGACAGAACCCTGAAAAAACATGACATTGAGCGTTGAACCCTCAGATCGACGTTCGGAAATGCGAAAGTCAACGATAGGGATTTGAAAGGTGCCTGCTTACGCTCTCCACATCCTGGCCTGTCTCGATGTCTACTTACAATACTGTGCTGAGACTGCACAGATCTAATATTAGACTATGACTCTATTTTCTTACTTACCACGGGATCGTCAACATAGTACTGTTACATTACGATCACATGCGTGTGACGATTCGTGTTCCGTGTCCGGCCGTCTAGACCACGTCCCGCACTAACGAACTCCAGAACCGCACCCATCCGCCTTCCCGAAGCCTCGGCATGGCGAGGTCATCGGATGCCCCTGTTGTCGATCGTAGATGTCACACCACATGCTAGCGGCCAGGCATCAATGCCGGCGCGCATTATAAGAACAGCTGACGCTCCTGAACATCAACATTCACCCCGCAGCACCGTCTCTGCACTCGACAACGATGTGAGTTTACGACCCCCGTCGATTCGCCGACATATGTGACCGTTTTGTATGATAGATTGTACACTCGACTAACCGGGTTTGTCATTTGTTAGGTTCAACCTCTCCAGGACCGTTCTTAAATCCTCGTCTTTTACACGCAGAACTTCCACTCAATTCCTGGTGGGTACAACACGCTCATTCCGTGGTAACTGCAGCATTTGACCCTTGCCTACAGTATCTCAACGCCCGCAACATGGCTACCATGAAGGCTCTCGTGTATCGCAACAAGGGGGATTTCGGTTTGGAGCAGAAACCCAAGCCCAAAACCATCGCCTCGGACGACGCCGTCGTTAAACTCGTCAAGACGACCATCTGCGGCATGTCCTTAATTGCTTCCACTCACCTGCTTGCTCACCCGGTTCCGCCACTAGGTACCGACCTGCACATTCTCAAGGGCGATGTCCCCACCGTGCAGCCGGGCCGTATTCTCGGACACGAAGGGCTTGGTGTAGTCGAGTCTGTCGGCTCTGGCGTGACGGCGTACAAGCCCGGCGACCGCGTCATCATATCGTGTGTTACAGCGTGCGGGACGTGCCGCAATTGCCGGCGGGCTATGCCTTCGCACTGCAGCACGGGCGGCTGGATCCTCGGCAACACGATCGACGGCACCCAGGCCGAGTTCGTACGGATTCCGCATGCGAACTCGAGTCTCCATCCTGTGCCCAAGGGCGTCGACGAGGACGCGCTCGTCATGATCAGCGACATCCTCCCCACCGCGCTGGAGTGCGGCACTCTTAACGGCAAGGTCGCCCCCGGTAGTATTGTCGCGATTGTCGGCGCAGGGCCCATTGGTCTTTCCGCGCTTATCACTGCGCAGCTGTACTCACCCTCTAAGGTCATCATGATCGACCTCGACCAGAATCGCCTCGACGTCGCGCTCAAGCTTGGCGCAACGCACGCGGTTGTGTCGGGCCCGGACGCGGTGAAGAATGTGATGGAGATCACGAACGGTGAAGGTGTCGACTCTGCGATTGAGGCTGTCGGTGTTGCGCCGACGTTCGAGCTGTGCCAGGAGATCATAGGTGTTGGAGGCACCATCGCCAATATCGGCGTGCACGGCGGCAAGGCGGATCTCCACTTGGAGAAGCTGTGGGACCGCAACATCGGTCCGTGGTCGTCTGCGCTCTTTGTGAATCGCACTGATCCATTTACTCGTTATGTAGCTATCACCACGCGTCTGGTCGACACCGTGACCTCGCCCATGCTGATCAAGCTCCTCGAATCCGGGAAGCTGGACGGGAAGGTGCTGACCACGCACACGTTCAAGTTTGGCAACATCGACTCGGCTTACTCGTCGTTCGCCGCTGCCGCCACCAACAAAGCGCTGAAAGTCATCATCAACTTTGACTAAACTGTACCGAGGCAAGATCGCCCGCCGCATCCAGTTCGAAAAGCGCTGTACCTTGATATACGCTCCCGGATTGTGTACTTTGTGGTATTTATCTTCACTGTACGATTAGCCAAAATTCCTGGAGGGAACGTTATGAATATCGATGTTGCAGTGTATACCGTGGCGTGTGCTTTTTGACTGGCTGGCAGACGATCGTGGGATGATCCTATTAGAGGTCCAGTCAAGGTTGAGTTTGAAAATGTCAGCTGCTCGATCCCGAGAATTCTAAGTGGTTGTCAGCATCCTGAGATGGAAGGATCCATCCCAGTGCTGGCGCTGTTTCCTTTAATAGTAAGGTGAATGGGCATTCCGTACGCTCTTTGACCATCTCTGACAATACAGTCGTTTGCAGATCCATACATCACTCCCGAACTTGGACCTACATACGCGGTGAGTTAGACGGTGGCTCAAACTTGGCAGGGGCGCCACAGCGGAGAAGGTCGGGGCAACCGTCGGACCTCATTCTTTTGAGCACCCAGCCTGGAAGCTGTACATGCAGATGCTTTCATAGCCCAGCATCGTCAACACCACCCACAGTTTCGATGTGCCAAACTAGGATGTTCACTGCCAACCAGTGCTACGGAAGACGTCTAGTCGTCCCTTCATTTGGTGCCAAACTGCCGCCGCCGATGTTGCTCCCGCCCGACAAGGGGAGGCAAGAAAAGCTTTTCTTTACACAAAGATACCTTCTGATCTTTCATGTGATCCCAGCAGTTGACTGAAGACCACGTCGAAGGTCCATAGTGGTGATGCACAAGCTGTAATCCCTCAGGCCTACAGCATTCTCAGGACTGCTCTGACGTCCCCTTCATGATGGTGATGGTTGCGCTTCTAATTAGTCTGTGTTGGCCTGGGCTACAGTGCACTTGATTCATTTGGACTATCGCCATACTATCGCCTCCAAGGAAGATGTTGAATTCAAGATGGCAGCTATATTCCGCTAGTCACAGGGACTACAGAATACAATATCCTCTTTGACCACATTGGGTTATTGGTTTCTATTTAGGCCGACTTCGCCCCACAAAGCGTGCGATTCCCCCGCGGACGAACGCGTTACATGGATAGAAGTGCGTCACTTGTTATACATATAGAGAGACCCGGGTCTATATATTGGTTTTCCAGCATCTATCGACAGCCTCAACTCGAGCTCGAACAGAGACGACAGGTGCATTATCGAACATGCCTAATTCTACCGGTCTGTCGCCTGTTTTCTATGTCTTGTTCAGGCTATATATCTTAGAAACCAGGACTTGACTTCGTGCCCACGACACACCATGATACGTATCCCGCTATCGACCCTAATAAAGCCGACCTCTCAGGCAAGGTCGTTCTCGTCACAGGTGCATCGAGAGGGATCGGCAGGGCGACTGCGATTGCGTTCACCCAGGCGGGTGCCTCTGGACTAGTGCTCCTCGCCCGTAGCAACATGAGCGCGGTAGAGACGGAGTGTCTGGCCGTGCGGCGTCCCGGACGCCAGATCAAGCTGCTTCTACTCTCAGTCGACATCAGGGACCCAGCACAGGTCATCGAGGCTGCCAGACAGGTGGAGGAGACATTCGGGCGACTGGATGCCATAGTCAACAATGCCGGCTACATGGAGACATCCAAGCCGATGGCGGAGAGTGACCCTTACGACTGGTGGAAAGTCTGGGAGGTCAATATACGTGGGGTGTACAATATGTCACACGCCTTCATCCCCTTGCTCATTGAATGTGGAGGCGACAAGCTCATCGTGAATATGTCAAGCGGAATGGCTCACTTGATATGGGCGGGTAGCTCCGCTTACCAGGTATTGTCCCATCTTCTCTTCCTTTCCATGCATCTAACCCGCACTGGCAAGACAACCAAGTTTGCCCTGCTCCGCATTACCGAGTCGATTATGGCAGACTACGGCACCCAAGGCGTCCTGGCATTTGCATTACATCCTTGCATTACGCCGACCGAGCTGAATGCTAAATGGGCGCCAGAAGTCCGGAAGATGTGCATTGACACTCCCGAGCTCGGCGCTCATACTGTCGTTTGGCTCATGCGCGGGCGGAGAGACTGGTTGGGTGGTCGCTATATTAGTGCCAATTGGGATGTGGACGAGCTGTTGGCAAAGAGGCAGGAGATCGTTGACGGGGATAAGCTGAAGATGAGGATGGTTCTGTGAGCTTTTCGAGTGAGAATATCGGCTGTACGACTTACAGTTATGATAAGCTGCATTTATCCTGATGATTGCGCGAAGTTCCCTGGCAGCCTTCGATATTCTCAGGATTCGTCTGCGATCAGCTTCTGAAGATTGTATATCCGCTTATTTTCCTCTGACTTTTCCCTCAGTCTACTCGATACAGTTTTCTATCCACCCCCAGCATGGAAATATTCAGCTTCGAATGGCCTTCGTCACCTTGGGAAGAGTTTTCGTTACTACCCAGCTTCCTTGCAAGGCCGTGTATAGACAGTCAAAGCTGCTTTCTCTTGTTCTTGATGCGGGCGATAACTCGGTGGATAACGTGGGTTGGTAAGCCTTCTGCATGCGTCACTTCGTTATCGAAGGGGAAACTGCACTCATATATGTCAGGTTCTGTGGACAGACCTGAACCACGACGTCAACTTGAAGAGAACCCTAGACCTGAGTCACGTCGACTCAGACAATGCCAGAATACAGCGGTCAGCCACCTTCACGTCATTGATTATTCTCACTGTATATCTCTGAGAACTATGAATAGTCCCGGACTTGGTCACCACATTACACCATGACACATATCCTGCTATCGATCCTACCACAGCTGACCTCTCAGGCAAGGTCGTCCTTGTCACGGGCGCCTCGAAAGGGATTGGCAAAGCGATTGCAATTGCATTCGCTCAGGCGGGGGTCTCTGGTCTCGTGCTTCTCGCTCGCAGTAGCACAAAGGCTGTTGAGGCTGAGTGTCTGGCGGCGCAGCACCCGGGGGAAATTCTCAAGCTGCTGTCGCTCTCTGTCGACGTTACAGACACAGCGCAGGTGATCGATGCGACAAAGCACGTCAAGGAAACATTTGGGCGATTTAACGTCGAGGTCAACAACGCCGGCTACTTAACACCGCCCAAGCCGATGGCGGAGAGCGACCCGTACGACTTGTGGAAAGTGTGAGAGATCAATATCCGTGGGGTGTATAACGTCACCCATGCGTTCATCCCTTTGCTTATCGAGTGTGGCGGCGACAAGCTCATCGTTAATGTAGCGAGCGATTTGGCTCATGTCATGTGGAGGGGCTTCTCGGCCTATCAGGTATGTATCGTCACTTCTGTGCGGCGCATTATATTGATGGTATAGTGATATGGTATTGGTCAGACGACCAAGTTCGCCCAACTCCGGCTCACAGAAGCGATCATGGCGAATTACGGTGCAGAGGGTGTTTTGGCCTTTGTTTTGCACCCTTGTGCGATGCTGACCGACTTGAACTCCATCCTCCCTGCCGATGTTCAGGAATTCCTGACCGACACCCCCGAACTAGCCGCCCACTTCATTGTGTGGCTCGTACGCAAGCGAAGAGATTGGTTGGGTGGTCGCTATGTCAGCGCCCTCTGGGATGTCGATAAACTGGAAGGAAAAAGGCAGGAGATCATCGAGGGAAACAAGCTTAAGACGAAGCTGGTTCTGTAAGCGGTTTATGCAGTTATAGATGTTCCGATGTAAGATATACGAAGATGCTTTGTTGTAGTGGATAACGATCACACCAAGTAAAATGATTTTTCTGTCCCTTGTGACCGCTCGATTCTCAAGCGGTATATATACTGAGCAACTTGGTGCAATGGCGAGCTCGGAACTGTACCGACACGTGATCGCGATTGCACTGACGCTAAGCGGTCTTGCCATTCTTTATGTTTCGCCATTCGAAGTTGGATTTACACGCTTCGTCTCCCTAGAACTACCGAACATTTGTTTCGTAAGTCGCAAGTGGCATTTCATCTTAGTCACTCCTCTGAATCACCACCGTAACTGGCAGCCACCGTTAATTTCAGTAGTACAGAGTTCTCACCGTCCATGCATGTACTGTCGAAACCACTTCCCCCGGAGCTTATCGACCACACTTTTGCACACATCCGGGACGATGTGGCACCTTTAGCCCGCGTGCTCCCTGGTCTGCAAGTCCTGGCTCTTCTCAGCCCCTCGTACGTGTTCTCGCTCGTATTTCTGGACAGAGTCTACCAATTTCAATCATGCGCAGTGCTCCTAGATGCGTCTCCCGCTATTGGGTACTCCTTACGCTCCCTGATCCTTATCGGACGTGCGCGGTTCTCCACGATTGCGAGGAAGATTACCCCGGCTCTCCACACTATACATCTCTTAGGCACAGAGTGTTCGCCTTTTACACCAATCTGGCTCACTTTAGCTCGATCAAGGAACTCGTCTTTTATGGATGTTCATTTTCCGGGATCCCAGAACTACTCGCTGTGTTGTGTACATTCTCACAACTCACCCGCCTGACTCTGCACAGTGTAACGTGCCCGAGGTTGCTCGGTCAGGTGCGAGAGAAGAAAGAGCGATCGATCGGATTCTGCGAGGATAGGCGTGCAGCGGTCCACCTCAGCTATCTTTGTATCGAGAATATCACTACAGCATTACTGTCTCACATCTGCGAATGGTTACTCCAGACACCGTTGGCCGCATCGCTGTGATCCATAGTATTCGGAAATGGCTGCGAGCAACGTAGCCATATTCTTAACCGCCGAGACGTTCTTGGATAGTCTTTCCGATTCTCTGGAGCATGCGGTGATCGAACTTGGCGCGACAGAAGGTACGATTTCCGAATTATATGCATACCATTTATCGCCAGTCCTCGAATTTCTGAGTTGAGCTGCTTGAAACCAGCCTCGGCTATATACGAATATCGAACCTTTTGGGCATCGTCATCTGTTCGTCTGAAAACCGCTATTATTGATATCGTATGCTCCAGGCACCTCGCCGGCGGCCGTGACTCGATAGTGCGTCCATCAATCTTAAGTCTCAGTGAAGTGCGTCTTTGTTGCGCAAAAATTTGATGGAGAGACGACGCAATAACTATCGCTAATATGCAGTAAGTTTCAAAATTGATGTGGTGCGATGATGATTATTCACTTTCTAGTTTTTATCTGAACCTTCGGTCCCCAGTCTTGATTGTTTAATTCTGATTACGGCGAATTATTCTGACATGAATGTCTGCGAACTCTATGAGTGTATTTCTTGAGTATAATTACAGAGGTTAGCTGTTATGTTGTACTATCGAATTGTGACCTAAGAGGAAAGCTTTACTACCAGATTCCACCCTGATTGATTGGATACACGCGCTCGTCACATAGGCCCATCAAGACACCTTCCCTGCCGTAGATGAGCACTTTCGAAATTTCAGCGTCTATCTCAGCGCCTTCGTTTGTATTTGTACGTCGCGCTTCTTTTCCGACTGCATTACCGGGCACTGCCGACGTACACCTCGTTGAAACTGTCAAGGCAGCCTGCATCTTGTCCACGCAACTCTTCATAAAAGATGGCTCATCTACTTGTCTGGCCCGGAAAATACTACTTATACGCTATCGGCAACACTCCAGCCGTCTGCCTGACCAGAGACCTTGCATCAGAGGAGGACGCGGACATCCTCTTACTCGGTTGTGGCGATCCGAGAAATGTTTTGTATACCATCTTCTGCGAACCTCAAAACAGTGCGTATTTTCTCCTCATCTTTTCCTCCAGAAGCTAATTCTTATGTTATGATCAAAATTGTGACGGCATCAGGTGAACGAAAGCTGGATTTCACGTGTTGTGATTTTGAACCGGCCATTCTAGGTGAGTGTGTGCTTCTCTCTGTGTGCAAGGTTGACGTTTTCAACGTTTCTCAGCGCGCAATGTCATCCTCTTGACCATGCTTGTCGATAAACTTCCAGTCACAACGGTGGTCTGGAATATCTTCTATCACATGTACCTTGACAAGCAGTCGATGACGGTATTAACTGAGCATTGCAAGAAGCTCATCAGCATCTCCGACACCCTTCAGCACTGGAATGACTCTCGGTATGGCACCTTTATCAAAATGTGTACCGAATACACGTTGGCAGAGATCCGACGCCACTGGTCGCTTTTTGCAGATATGCAGAACCTCCCAGGTGCACGTCTGCAAGCCATCCGTGATGCTTTCTCAGAGTTATCCAAATCGGTCTCGCAAAAGAAAGGTACAACACTGACCTCGGCGCGGTCTGCGGGACCTCTTCTAGTGCAGGCTATCCGCACCACTGCGGAGCAGTTCAGACTGTATTGGAGAAACGGTGTAACATTCTCCGATTCTAAGCAGATCACGGCCGCCAAACTCGTGAATCCCACTTTTGTGTATTCCCTTGCAGGCGAAGGGTGTCCCATCCACTACGCAACCGACCCGCTCGTCCCATTTCACATTGGTTCTGTATTTGGAAACGCAAAGGGTTCAGTCACAGTTTCCGATGTCGTGAAAGCCGCGAGATTCGAGTTCAATGACTGGTGTTTGGCATTCCTTAGCGCGATCTCGACCATCGGTACGCATACTGCAATCATTCGCTTCTTTGTGGGTGAGGCTACTGCAGTATGTCGTGTATTGCGGGGCTTCTCTACTACGGGAATACTCAATTCTACAGTGCCTGTTGCCCAATGGAAAACACAGCTGATACAGCTCAACAGGGAGGATTATATGACGGGTGGCGCACCCGCTAGTTTCAACGTCATCGAGACGTCTAACCTAGATGATCATATCGGGCTGTTGAACGTTCTCATTGCTGCAGTTCCCCTATTATCGACATCTACCTATTCGAACGTGATCTACACGGAGTCCCTGTTGTCCCATGAGCAGGACTCAACCAAAGAGTTCTCGGAGCGTTTGTACGCCGATATCGGGACCATGGGCTTTCTCCTTGGTTTATGCCCTGTGGATTATCTCGCAGGATATACTACAAGATCCAACACGCACGAGTTGATGATGTACCAGTTCCTTGGCAAGAAGGATGTCACGCAGTTTCATCAAGTAACCACGTGGAAATCACCCTACTCTGGAGATTCCCTTGCTTTACAGAATGGTGTAGCTTCACGACCTCCCGACTTTGATTCACGACAGCTTGGGACTCTCTTCTACGACATTTACTTTCAGCTTTTTCAGTTGGAAGATGCTTCTCGTCATTTCAACCGCCATAATGGTCCGAACATGATGAAGGCGTTTCGCTCTTCGAATATCCTTCACTACATGCGGGAGAGTTTCGTTCTACTTCTGAAGCTTGTTCGCGACAGATTGCGCATATCCCACGAGCAATGGCTGGAAGTCATGGATCGATTCATCGAGGTCAGAGAAGCAGATACGTCCTTGTCGATGGATTCAGTCAATTTCCAGGATCTCTGTGCACATTTATATCGGCACGGAGTGTATACCATCTTTTTCATTCCAGTCATGCCCCCGGGGCCTCGCATCGGTATCTTCTCAGAGTGGGACACTGTCCCGACCCTCGTTCGCATCATCCTCATTGTCCCGCGAGAGAAGCTGGACGTCTTGGATGAATCAAATGAGCAGGTTGGGACTCCCATTTTGCAATGCGACCTTCGAGGAACTTGGTCGCACAATGTCTACTCCGCAGTCCACGTCGCTTTTGGGAGGGCCACCAAGATGGGTACGAAGGCTCGTCCATGGGTTTCCTTCGAAGAGGATCCAGATGGGAAGAGGGGAACCTCTCCTCTCGTCGCTTCCTTCACTGTGGCTGTGAGGGCTTTGACAGAAATCGAGCCTATGCAGCAGCTCAGTATTGGTCTTTCCGTTAGAAGCACACTCGGCACAGTGATGCTGACAAAGAAATTGGGGCTGACACTGAGTCTCTTCAGTGCACCATTAATGGACGAGTCCCATGTTCTTGTTCTTCCTGAACCGTCGCTGCCGTCTAGAGCGGTACAAGCACCCCTGCCAAGTCCCAGTCAAAGTACTGGCCCCTTGATTGGAGGAGTAGGCGATGTGAGCGTCGAATTAGACGAGCAATGTGAATTGGTTTCTTCCATGACTTGCAAGGTGTCTGTCGAGGACGAGGAAGTGAAGACTCTTTTCGGATCTCAAGGAGCAACACCGGAGATCTCACAGGTGTCACCCTGCGTTATGAGACTCACAGTCGGTCGTCATGTTCAGAATGTGGTTTATCCATTCCCTGTTATAGGCAGCCAGAACAGACTCCGTCTTGCGAGAAAGTCTCTGTATATCGAAGTGAGTTAAGTTCCTTCTATTGTCAACCGGATTCCTGACGTTGTGTATCTGTATAGGTCATTGTCTCCCCGTTTGGGCCGTTCAAGTCTGATGGGATGAAGTTGAACCCATTCCCCGTGGTTCGCTCGGAGAAGACTTTAGCACTATGGAGTATTCATCACGTCAATTTGTCCAGAATGCCTGTCCTGGACATCAAGGCCAGCCAAGTCGCCGAGTGGCTCAACCCGCATATTGGATCTATGATGTCCAAGCGCGAACGCTCCCTTCGTCGGAAGCACAAGGATGATGATGTCTTGACACTCGTCAAGGACACAGTGCACACCATCTTCGTTCATTCTACAGGCCTCCAAGCTGGGCCTGCACGACGTCTTTTTGCGCTCCAAGACGACGCTACTCGGAATTGTGATACGATATTCTTCATCAGCGATATCCGATTCGATTTGCACTCTCATACCGTCGTCTGCGATGGTTACGTTCTGCCACTGACCAAGGAGCTCATAATGAGGACTGAGCGCTCATTTACCAAGCTCATCGCCGAGGGGAACTTGGTAAATGTGGCAGCATTCAAAGGAGAGATGCAGGCGTGGAAACAATTGTTACCCGCCCTCGTCGAGCGGTGCCGGTCTTCTTGGCAACATGGCGATAACTGCGAGTACAAGTCGCAAGGACGGATCCCGCTTACAACCGAGATGGAGGCAGATCCTCTGTGCAGTTGCGGAAGAGGAAAGGACACAGACGGCATGTCGAAGGTTGCCCTATGGAAGAACTTTGCACCGTATGTGACCCGAATAGCGCTGTCGCCGCTGTTTGCGGTGTCATATCTGGAGACCGTTGGTCGTGATCCCGCAGCGCACAAATGTTCTGTGTGCAGAGGGAGGGGTAAACCAAAATTGAGAGCGTGCGGAGGGTGCAAGAAGGTACGATACTGCTCAGAAGCTTGCCAGAAAAAGGATTGGAAGGCCCACAAATTGCGCTGTAAGGCTTAACCAGGCCTTCGTTTGACTCGTACCATCAACCCGAGCCTCCTGTAACACTTACTCGAACTGTACACGGTAGATAGGTCTGAGAGTTTCCATGAATGTTGTCTTTCCTCAAAATTGAAGGAGCATTATATAATGAATGCTCCTTTCACGTTCCTTGTTGCAAGTGAATGTTGACTTGGACATTACAAAGCAAAAGAAGACGCTAATAACCTCAGATGCATCAACAGTCCACATTAACACGTAGTCCAGCCGGTTTGCCAGATGGGCCGAAGGCCAAGAGACATGGAATCCCCTGTCCTCCAGCAGTGAATGATCTCAGTTTCAGACAACAACGAAGACTAGCATAACACCCACACTCAAGTATAACTTCCTGTCTATATCGTGAAGTTCATGCCAATCGACTTGTACAGCAAATGGATAGACAACATTCTCCTTGTAAGCTTCAAAACCAACGCTGATAACAGAGGGAGAGACCAGTGAATACAGCCCCACAGCTCCACAGAAGGCGACGCCGTTGTTCTCGGAAGCACCCAATACGTGGTGCATCCGAAAGAAAAGGCACAGCACTCAACATTCTATGAAGGCACGGGACCGCGATAGTCGACAGGATATGAAGGTTGGACTGAGGGTGATAGTTGCGCGTCACAGCTGAGTACTGAGTACTGAGTGTCGGAGTTCTCCCCACTCAGAGTCCCCAGCAATAGGACGCGACGCTTCGTTACCACAATTTGCGAAATCGTCACCGTCACGGTGTACGACGCTCTACTACGCCCCCAACAGATCATAGCAGACTGAGTATCCACCGGCACACTTTAAATATTCAAACTACGGGGTGTATACGTTCTCATGAACCTATGTTGTCCCACCATATCCTCCGCTCGCTTCTCCTTTTCTTTTAGTCCCATGCGGCACATCAAGTTCGATGTCTTCTCGGGTATGTCAAGGTCGGACACTGCCGAGTAGCTACAGCTCGTGCATACGGCTCGCGTCCTTTCTCTTCTCTAGCAGCAATGGCGCTCCCACTCAGCTGGATTACAGAATACAACTTCTCTCCCATATCCTCCACGTCAGCGGTGTGCCTCACGAGAGATCTTGCACCAGAAGAGCCGGCGGATATCTTACTGCTCGGATGCGGTGATTCTAGCAGCATCTTGTACACCATCTTCTATGAACCGGACAGTGGTGCGCAGAGTCCTTGCTGGTCTGTCGATCCATCTTTACATTGAAATTGCAAGGATGCCGTCGCTTGGACTTCACATGCTGCGACCTGGAACCAGCGATTCTGGGTGCGTACGAGTTTGCTCTCGCGGTAGATCGCCTTAATTAATCTCGTATAGCTCGCAACGTACTCCTCTTCACGATGATCGCTGACGGGGAATACGATACCAGCATCATCTGGAATGTATTCTTCCACGTCTACCTGGACGAGGATGCATTTGTGGCGTTGATCGTGCAATGCGAGAAGTTGTACGACTTCTCCGAGAGCCTGCAGCATTGGAACGCTTCGCCCTACGGCCTGTTTCTCATCATGTGCACGGAGCATACGTTGGAACGCCTTCGTTACCACTGGTACTTGTACATGCATATGCACGAGCTCTCGTCTGAGCGTTTGGACACCCTCCGCGATGCCTTCGCGGAGACATCCGACCTACCGCTGGAAGAAACCCTCCAACTTCGGTGGAACTGTATGCGTTCCGCAGGTCCGTTGAAGTTCCCGGCAAACCTTCTGAACCTGATCTTCGAGTTATACCGCAAGATCGGCATGCCATCCTTCGACCCAGACCAGTATGAACGCTCCACGGCGCTGAACCCAACATTCGTTTACTCTTTGCAGGGCCTAGAATTCAATATCGATATGGTCACTCACCCTCTGAACCCTTTCCATCTCGCTGTTATCATAGCCAACGGTTCAAAGTCCATGTCTCTCGACGAGCTTGTGGAGGGTGCTCAGACACAATTTAGCGAGTGGTCTGCGGCCTATTCTGCTGCTATCCATTCCACTGCTACCCCCATTCCAGTTGTTCGCCTGTTCTTATCCGAAGCTACTGCCGCATGTCGTGCATTGCGAGCTGCCGGGACAACCGGGGCACTTGACTCAGAGCCTGTAGGGCATTGGACGACACAGCATATCCGTCTTAACAAGGACCAGTATCGACCTGGGGGTGCTCCAGTGAGATTCAATGTCATCCACACATCTAATCTAGAAGACCACATCGGACTTTTGAACCTGATGATCTCTGCAATCCCGGTCATGTCTTCTGCGCTCTCTAGTGTGCTCTACACGGAGTCGCTGAAGTCTCGTGCAAAGGGCGACGGCCAGCCTATGGTATATGAAGATGGAGAGGAGAAGCACCTGCCATTAGAGGACGGAGCAGAAGACTTCACGAAGCGCTTATACGCAGAGATGTCAACAATGAGTCTCCTGCTCGGTGTATGCCCTGTGGACTATCTCTCCCGCTTCACCACGAGATCAAACACGCACGAGGTCATGCTTCATACCGAGCACAGACAGCGCGGGACCAAGTCTTCCTTCCTCCAGGTGATGACATGGAAGTATGCTGCCTCGGGTGATACATCTGCAGCGCGGAACGTAGACACAGGCTACCCTGTACTGGCGGGAGTTCTCAAGTTTGATCCATGCCAGCTAGGGACGCTTCTTTCCCACATTTATCGCCGAATATTCCTGACACATCAGCAGGACAACATTGCAGAATTTTCCGGCGAGCTAGACGAACAACAAAGAAAGAACGCGCTTACCAGCGAGTCTAATATTGTTTTTCACACACGGGAAAGCTTCATTCTGTTCCTGAAGTTCGTGAAGGACCGGCACTGCATATCAGATGAACAATGGGAGCAGGTCATGGACGTATTCATTGACATCCACCGACACGGTGACTTTCTTACTTCGGACGATCAGTTCCAGCACGAATTATATTCTCAATTGCACCTCCACCGGCTGTATAGGATGTCTACCGTCCAAGACGACGTATCCAATATCAGTTTTTTGTCTGAGTGGCAGTCGGTGGCACCCATTGTCCGCATTTTCCTTATCATTCCGCGCGAACGTCTGACATTTTTCGCGGAAATCGTGGAAGGCTCGGGTGTCAATGTCGTCAATTTGCAATGCAACGTCGTGGGGAAACACATTCACAGTACTTTCTCGTCCGTCAGAGCTGCATTTGGCAGTGCGATCAGGACAGGTGCGAATGCGCATCCGTCGGTGCTTGTCGAGGAGGACCCGAGCGGTTGGGATGGAACGTCCCCGCTCGTGGCATCATTTGCCGTACCTACGAGGCTACTGGCTGTAGAGGATGTGGAGGATATTCTCATCTCCTTCTCAGCCCGCGTCGCCCCCGGCACTGTTGTCTTGCTTGCGCAGGAACTGGGATCACACCTCAATCTTTTCACCGCGAGGTTAACAGATGAAGCCCATGTGATCATCTCTCCAGAAGAGCCTCCGTTGTTGGAGAAAACTTCGGACACTTCCCCACGCTCTTCACCTCGAGGCCTCTTGTTGCAGATGGGGCTACCAGGGGGTGTAAGCGTCGCGCTAGATGAGCAGTGCGAACGTATTTCGTCCTTGACCTGCAGTGTGGCCGTTGAGGACGAAGAAGTTAAGCATCTGCTCCGGTCATGTCAAGAGACCCCGTGGGCTAAGCAGATCTCACCTTGCACTGTACGAGTCAATATGGTCAGGTACAGCCAGGATATGGTGTATCCCTTCCCTGTAATGGGATACGAGCCCAAGGTGCATTGCACCGACATGAGAGATGCATTTCGTGTGGAGGTACGTAACTATCCTACTCATACTGAGAAATGAGCTGTTGAGTATGTCAACCGTTCTAGGTGACTGTTCCGCCATCTGGCCCCGACAAACTCGACGGTATTAGGTTGACTCCATTTCCGATAGTTCACACCGGTGATGGCCCGAGAATCCGCCTCTGGAATGTTCACTACGTGAATCTGGATCGTTCGCCTGTTCTTGATCTTACGGACCTGGAGCACACTCGATTGTGGCTCCACCACCACGTCCGGTTTACGAATTCCACCCGAGACCACAAGATTTTAGTGAAGCATTGTCGCGATGAGACTGCTAGCACTCCGGCTGATAATCTGACATTACTCAAGAAGACAATAAACTGGATGTTCCTGCATGCATCGGGCCTCATGACATTCGGAAGGATATTTCCACTATATGATAAGTCTACGCCGAATATAGTGGTCCACACAATCTTCTTCATCAGCGAACTGAGGTTCGATCTGCATTCTCACACCGTGATCTGCGACGGATATGTGCTCTCAATGACCGCGCAGATCCTGGCCATCCCTCGGATGCTAGAGCTCTTCAAAAAGCTCATTCTGGGGACCCACCGCTTAGTAGTTGACAAACGCGAGACGCAGGCATGGAAACACTTACTTCCTGCACTGGTCGAGCGCTGCAGAATCTCATGGCAACATGGCGACAACTGCGAATATAAGGCCCAGGACAGGATACCACTTACCATTCATTCGTATGCGGATCCGGTCTGTAGCTGCGGGAGAGGAAACCACGTCGAAGGGATGTCTGCGTTCGGCGAGTGGTGTGAGTTTGCGCCGTATGTGTCCCGGATCGCGCTGTCGCCATTATTTGCTGTCACATGGCTGGAGACTCTCGGTCAAATCCTGGAAACGCACAAGTGCTTCGCCTGCGGACAACCGGGCCGTCCGAGGTTGATGACATGTATGAGATGCAAGAGTGTGCGGTACTGCTCTAGAGAATGCCAGAAGAAGGATTGGAAAGCTGACCACAAATCCCGATGCAGGCCTCAGGGTGTTCTGTCGTATTAAAGTCGGATGTGCGTATGGATTGAATCATGTATCTTTCCAACCACGAATGTCACTCGGCTTACTTACTCTCCTACGACATTTACTGGCCGCTAGACAAGGCACAAAAATAGGTAAATGTATTCATATAAAACACAATCTTTTACAGACGTACGAGAGACGAAGTCACAACTGCAGGAACAGGGACAATGGCCGACGAGTCTGTCACGATAGGCCTCTTTGCGATCGACCCGATCAGAGCAGCTTTCGATCTCGACTTCTCGTTTCGACAACCATCATTCATTCTCTCGTTCCCTTCATCTCCAAGCTACCCCTCGACAGTGTTTAGGGCTGCTACTCGACAGTCTAGACCCCAAAGCGGTGGTCTTGGAATACAAGTCGCTGGATAAGTGAGAGAAGAAGCACAGGCGCAATCTGCAAGCCATGCACTCGCAGATGGCACCTGAGCACCTCCACCCGTATCCGCCAAGCATCTCGCCGCATAGTGGCCTTGCTGCTCAGCCTTTTTCAAGGATTCATGCTATATACTCCACCTACGTCTCCGGGTTATCGCCGTCTGCTCCTCAATTTCCGCTCTAACTCCTCACGCTGCGCTGCGAACCAGTGTCCAACTGTGCATGTGTGTCTTTCAGATTCATTCTCCGGGATTCCCTCGAGCTAAATAAAGAATTACAGCTCAGAATTGCACTGCCTCCCTCTCTCTTTCGCTCCCCGTGCATCACCTGCGGGTGGCCGTTCGTATCCAGGCTGGGAGAGCCAAAGACTGGCTTTCAATTTGTAATGGAACCAGAACCAGAGCACGGCGGACGGGCTCCTGTGTGCACCAGAAGTAGAAGTACATATGTTGTAATTTTTTGGGGCAGGTACAAGTTCAAGTGCGTTGCTTATTCTCAGACGGCCCGGAGGAGAGATGATCTCGTGGTGCGCGTGTCCCGTTGAAGTCGACATCTCGTGCAGGTGGCTTATCCAGTATTTCTTTTATCTCACGTCACACCTTAGATAACTGCGGCAAGGCCGACCTTTCCTCAATTTCTCACTGTGGGCAAATGCATCTGTCTTTTTCTTCCGATTTCTACGTGCAAACATTCTTCTGTTGGGCAATTTCATCGTGGCATTGGCATCCATATTGTCAAATCACGTTGGAGCTTGAACTTTACAACCGCTCTGAAACGGAGAAGCTATCAATTATGTACGGCGGCGGTTACTGAGTCGGAAGTTTCCGAAAGATGCGGTAAGATCTGGATCTCGGCGGTAATTCGAATCCTTCAACTTCCAACCACTGTCCCATCCGACGCTCCAAATGTAGCCTCTGTCTCATCATACGACTTAGTGCGGTGTCCGTTTCTAATGGGCTACAGCTGCGGAACCATGAGAGGAAGCGCGACACACTGTGCGAGCCCGCATCCGATTCCGCCTGGGAGATGACCTCGTTGTTCCCACCCAAGCTGCTGCAGAATCTTCTCTTGGAGATGGTTATCAGAGACAATTTTGGAGCATCCGGATCAACACGACTCCCTTTATCTGAATACCGAGAGTACTCGTCTGTAGCAGCTCTCCGAATATCGACAGAAGCAACTTCTCTCGACTCTGCCTTCGCATCTGTATCAACGGCTTTGTCACGTTTCTTCGTCAGAGCGGAACTGCGAGTTGCACGGACTGTTGCAGGGAGTGCTTCCACAGCTGCAGAATCTGATGTAATCAAGGAAGTCTTCCAGTTGATCATGCGTATTTTTTGGCTACGATCTGCAGTACTGCCCTCTGATGTCTCAAAACTCGGAACGAGCTGAAGACTTGCTGGAATATTTCTCCTACCGCTGTTCGAACCATGAAGAATCCTGCGTATCTACACGCCCCGTTGAGGTCAACTGCAGGTGATGCTATTCATGTACATTCTCAGAATGCGCACTTACTATGCACAGTGTTAATGAAGGACAAAGTTCTCTCCATTAAGGACTCCACTGCATTTTCAAGGCTGACATATCTGATGGCATCTCAATTCGGTGCTGGCCTCAGATAGCTTTCCTTGCTTGAAGAATATGAAAATAGGTTTGAATGCTGAGAATGGGGAGTTAGAGATGGTCAGGTTTGTCACCCTTCACCTGCGCAACGTCGACCTCCAATGTACATTCGGCATCCGTTCAACTTCATTTCGTGCGTGTTTTGACTTTCTCTTCCCTGAGCGAAACTGAACCCGATCAGCTGTCGCCACGGCCAACCGAAGTGCAACCTGACTACTGCGAAGCCATCCCGAATGCAACACCACCAACGTCGGTCATACTCATGCCGTACGACTTAGAATCTGTCCCGAGCGTCGGGACACTCACACTATTAAAGATAAACATCCATTAAATCGTGCTGGAGACGGTGTAAAGCAGAGCCGATCGGCCAGGTGCTTGTTTCTCCTATTCGCTTCATACCCTTGTTGGCTGACTCCATAAGATTACGTTTCACATCTGCAACCGCTATGATGAGGACTTGCTATACCTTGAATCCGGATTTTACGTCTTGTGTGCTCAGTGCCTAGTGCAGCTACAATATGGATGGCACGCCTCGCGGGACAAATGTTTTGAGCACTTACTAGTTCTCGGAATCTTCAAAATCTGATGTATCATAAGATATCTTTTTTAGTTGTCGAATAGTGATACTCAATCCTCAGCGTACGTACCACACTTCAGTACTGCGGCGTTTGGTCGATGTCCAGAGCTTGCAAAAGTCAACTTTTTCAGTACGTGAGCAACAGCTGAAATAGTTTTAATTCTGACTGGGGCATGTTAACAGTTGCAAGTAATCCGTCCTGTTTGCTGGTTCATCCCATGAGGCCGTGCTTACGCCTCACCGCTGAGTCCGAAGCATTGTCTTTTTAGCTTATTTCCCGCTCCATCGGTAAGCCCACGCATCACTCCTTCTATGGATATTGTGTTGACATTTCTCCTTCGCGCCGAACAACCGCTGTCTCCGTCAACCGGAGTATATAATTATTAGCCGAAGCCACACTCAAAATGTTCAAGACACTGCTGCTCTCTGCCGGCTAATATTCTGCTCATTCCCTTCACCTGGACGTGCACATCGAGCCTCTTAATTCTCACCATGTCTCATGAAATCAACGTGACCGCGAAGTCTCAACCTTATACCGAGCCACCGAGTACGGCACCGGACGAAGATACGAAGGCCACCATATGCCTATGGAACGACGACCTGGTTCGGGAGATCATACGACACCTATACGATGTAGGGCAGAAGCGTAGCATCGTCAACCTCGCGTGCACCTGCAAAGATACCTCCGAGCCGGCACTAGACATCCTTTGGAAAGATATGAAGTCACTGTTACCCTTGTTCAAGATACTTCCATGCGAGGAGTGGCGGATCGACCGGATAGAAGCGCGTCGTGGGAGGCAAGTGCGATATATATTCGTGAGTAACTCATTTCATCGCGCTGTGTTCTCGTACATGACTGAGCTATCATTGTAGAAATTGATAGGTTCTCTCGATATCGATCGCCAATCTGAAGAACGCTTCTTACGCTATGCTTGGCGCATCAGAACGCTTGAAGTGGAATACAGTAACTTCATCCCGGTTTTTCTCACCGATGAAGTGATGTCACGCATCTTCAGCAAGTGGTCGTTACCCTATGGCCTACTTCCGCAACTTCGTGCTCTGGAATGGCACCAACTAGACAAGCAGTCTTTCGCTTCAGTTACGAAACTACCTGGCCGTCTCCTGAAGAAGCTGAAGCTAAGCGGCAACACGCAGAATTTGACAGAGGTACTCACGAATATCCTCCCGCGTTTACCCGAGCTTGAGCAGCTCCACATTACGGCCAACATAGATGGAGCAAGATTCGTCGCTTCGTCGCTTACAGAGCATATGGCGAAGCTTCGAGTCTTGTCTCTGAGAAGACAAAGCCTCCTTCCCAGTGATGCCCTTATCCTTGCAATGTTGCCTTCGTTGAACCAATTATCCCTCTATGTGGATCCTGATGGCCTCCGTACACCGCTAGCCCGAATGGACAACGGATTCCCGGCGCTGCAACACCTCCGGATAATGTCGAAGCAGGTTGGCGAGCATATCGATGCGTTCATCAGTGCCATCACGTCTCCGCTGATTGAGATCGCTCTCCACGTCGATGTATGTCCCCTGGAGGAGGATCTCCACAAATACTTCCAATTTCTCGCTGGCACTCCGTTCACTCTGGTGAACGTTGAATTCCAAACCATTGGATCTATAACGAGCTATCATGAACATATAGCTGGTTCCGAACTGCAGTCCTACAAGATCACTTCAGCTACGTTAGAACCGGCTCTATCCATAACGAGTCTCACGTCCCTCAAGATTCGCACTCGACATCTCGAAATCAACGTGGGCTTCCTGATCAATGTTTCGTCTGTGCTTCCGCACATCAAAGAACTGTGCTTGATGCACGGAAGCGATACTGAATCCTGCAGTTTTGTTCCACTGTCGGGCCTAATTCCTTTGGCGCGGCACTGCCCCGATCTCGAGATGATCGCACTGGACATCACTGCGAACGATGAGGAGATCGGCCCTCTGCCGGATCCTGAGTTGTTTCAATCCCGTTGGCTGGATTTACACGTTGGTCCGGGGTACAACGAGAACCCCCAGTTTGTCCTGGATTATTTGCTGCGTATATTCCCTGGACTGAGGAGACTGAGCATCGAGGGTGAGGACGCACTGGCGACTGAAGCACAGGGAAGCGAGAGTTGGCGAATCAACTGGCAGGAAGTACGCACCTCTTTGATAAGTTGAATTGTCGTGTGCACCGATTCGCGCCTATTAATCTTATAGTAGCTAGCAGTCGCTGTTTTCCCTTTTGACTTGAAACTTACGATGCCAATCCAATTATGTTTCTTTGGTGATCAGTCTGAGGAGAGCTTGCATATAAAGCTTCTAATGTCCACGGTTACAGGTTCGTGCACGACATGAGATGCTCAACACGATAGCATGGCATGACAGAGAGAGAGCTCAGAGAGAGACGAGGGGCGGCCAGATGTGTGAGAGTCAACGTGTCGGAATGCGACCGAGAAAGCTAATGAATTTCTAGGAAACTAGCGCATCGATTATGCCTGAAATGGGTAATTCCCTACGCCATCCCGTGGTAAATCATTAGCACACTAGGGTAGACATCGAACATTGGATTATTAAGACTTACTTCGAACAGTCCGGCACAAGCCCCCAGGACCACGGACAACCCAGTTGCTCTGACAGAAATTTTTCTTTGTCGGCACTCCCAGACAAAGGCAGAGACAAGAGTTTTGACAAGTAGACGCAGAGCCCGACGCTCAATCTGATAACTGCGCAACCAGTTCAAAAGCTTCTCAATGTGAGAAGTAGATTTTTTGAAGATTTGCGCTTCGCTAGCGTGAGTGGCGGCCACGCTGCCAAAGCCTGTCATCGATACAAGCCGAGGTTGAGAGACGAGGAATAATCCAGTAAGGGTGACAGCAGAGAATATTCAAGCTTGCTTGGACGACCGATATGTATGAGGGATTCATCGATTGTGATGGCTGTCGCCAGCGAAGACGAGACTACCGTCATAGGTAACGGCCCGGGCAAGCTCTTTACGCGCCCACGTGATGTCAACGCGTGAATGCCCTGGAGTCGTGGCATCAAGTACTGGCATGTACACTATGCACCGACGCGCTGAGCTGCATCAAACAATTGATCGTCTGACTTCAATGTCCAGAACTCGGTGCACTTCACATACGCTCGCCGTGTCTGCTTTTTTCTTTAGTGTTTGTGCTGGCATACCACCCAAGACAAATTTCTCTTTTTAATCACATCGAGACAGGCCAACATTGTCTACTCGGACATTATGCAGTTCAGAAAGTACACCGCCAGACAAAATAAAGAACACAAAATCATCGAGTTTCGGAAAGAGCATGCAGGACGTTCTGAAATATGGTCGCCAGAACAGTTCTAGCGACGAAATTGCCGGACGTTCTGCATACTCGAACCTTTGGACGATATGATTATCTGACCTTGGGCCTGCAAGCAATGTCACACAGGAGAACTAATAAACAGGAAACACGGACTTGCATAGGACTTGCACTGTCTTCTGGCCTGCTGGTTGGAGATTGAGCCCTGGGTTCTAGGTGGAGTAAGCAGCAAGCATTGAGGGTGTCTCAGCATCGACACAGGTCACAGCGCAACTCATGGCGTGAGTCTGTAGCATCGAGGATAAGAATAAAATGGGGAGAAACACATTGTACAGAGGAGGGGCCCACTATCCGACATTGCGCATCGGGAACATCTGCGGGTCATCCAACAGGCCTTATGCAAAACACAAGCTGCTGGGAATAGAGTTACTGGCCACACTGACTGTAATGACGCATTAGTACTTGCATACGGACCGGCGCTCGGAAGAATGAGTCAGACACTTGCACCTGACGGGCTGCTCACCAGATGGCAGGGCGTTCACACCCGAAAGATCACATAGGTATCACCGTACGTCCATTTCACGCAGATCCACATGATGATGAGGTGCATGTAAATCTACGTCCTCGCCATCTGGAAAAATTGAATGGTCATGCTCAACTACCTGCAAAGAAGACAGAGAAAGTCAGGAAGCGCACAAGAGAGGACCGTTGTAAGAGGAACAACTCACGAGGAGCCATGGAATTGCAGGGAGGATCTGCTCAGTATATCACCATGTGTCTTGGCATCGCCCGCTAGAGGATACAAATGTATCCTGACCCAATGTGAAGCTGTACGAGTGGAGAAAGAGACAGAACGACGGATAGGTTCCCACCATACCGACAACTCCGGCGGCGCGCGAGAGGGCTCGACAGAAGAGAAGAGCTACATTCGCAGTCGCAGTGGATCACCATGCCAATGAGGAGGGGAGAGAAGCGAGACAACGAAAGCAACTTACGAGTGACTCGTGTGCAGCGTTCGCACGTCGACTGACAAAGTAGACGACAATCGTGCTCATGTGCTTGGACTCGTGAATGCTCTTGATTGTGCAGACTGTAAGAAGGGCAAAGGAAGTCTAATGGGCTGGCTCGGTAGAGACGAAGAGCGAATGGTGCCTTATGAGCAACAGACACCGCGCTTTTATACCATTCAGACCATGGAATCACAGAGAATAAAACGAACAAAGGAATCATTCAATGGAAGGACTCTGCCACTCCGGCACACAAAGGAGACAGTGGCGGAAATCCTCGGAAAACAATAGAAGCCCGTGCCGGACAACAACACAGAAGCAGACCATATAGTCCCGCTAAAGAGCGGCAACTTTGACAAAAAGGTGTCCGAGTAAGGACGGAATAAGTGGCGACAGTGGCACATCAAAGACGAGAGGCAGACAATGTCCATCGATACATCCCTTTTGAGAGTGAAATTGCTAGGTGAAAACGAGGGGTACTGCACAAGAGACTCGAAACCAACCAAATCAGCACGTATCCGCAATAAGAAAGACAGAGAAAATAGATTCCACGGCACAGGAAAACTTCTCATTGCCAGTGCTCAATAGGGGCCGAGTGAGTAATCGAAGTGACATAATCACACGCTTTAGACAAGTTGTTATTCCAATTTTTCCTCTGGAAAACAAAGATTCAGATCATAGCAAAACAGCAGGAGTATGCAAACGAACTTAAAGAGCATTCTCGCAATCCGTAAGACAGTAGCTGAACGACTGCGAAGGAATCTGCCTGTTTCGCGAATGGTTTGTATGTCCCACGCGTCCTACGATCCGAGCGGGACGCTGCATGCATGTGCTAGCCTGTACCAGAACTGCAACAGTGGTCTGCAAACTCACCATTTGCTCGTTCGGATTGACATCCGTGCGGGTAGGCACCTGCGATCGTAAACGTGAGGAAGAATGTGATAGGATTGACCAGCTGTGGATTTTCTAGGACGCGTGCGCGAAAAGCAGACAATTGGGATTCACAGAGGTGGGACGTCCGGAGGTTGATAAGGTGGAGATCGTCCAGCATAACACAGCAAGGAAGGGACGGTACGATACATCCGCACTCGAAGTTAGCGTAAGTGTCAACGGGCGCCGGAACACGTCGAGGCCGGGAGGACACGACTCATCCAGGGATAAACCTGCGATAAAAGTTTTCTACTAAGGGAGTCGACGAGTGCCGCAGTTCTTAGGAGCAATAAAGCTTGCGCGACGCGGTGACCACAACGTCACTGCGAACAGCAGTCAGGGTTCATCAGCCGAAGATGAGCGCGGATCGGGGAAGTGGGTGGCTTACGAGGTACTCAGTCCAGGTTTACGATAGATCTGTAGCTCCGTAGAAAAGACGGACCGAGCTGTATCACAAGATCAAGCATGTTATTGCTTTATTCCGTTCTTCATAGGGCCAGACGGGGACACGGACAGAGTGACGGGCGACAGACAGTAGAAGAGACAGGACGCGCTGTGCTGAGTTTTCTGAAGACAAAACCTTCTCAGACAGTGCACTGCGCTCAGAAGTAGGGAACCCAAAGTACGAGCCACGTCACGGTGGAGGCAAATATTGGCGGGGATTGATACATGCACAAAGACTTGCACAGGTACCCATGATCCGTGCTGAGGAAATTCAAAGAAAGACTGATTATACATTTAGCGTTCGTAGTCGACAATTCGAACAAGGTCGACTAGGGTCGACTGCGGCTACAGTCACCTCCGACCGCGCACACGTGATGTCAACACGACGCGACGCGGTATCATGATCCTGTCACCATTCAATAATATGTATCATCCCTCTTGACTCTGTACTCAATCGCGCATGTAGACCTCCACAATCGGTAACTTTACTCTGGATCTAATGCGTGGCAGGCGTCGCTTGAGGTTGAACACCAACAACAAAGTGGAGTTCACCAGTTTGTTTAAGTGTATCAGATACTACAGTAATGTATACTACGTAGCACACAGAAAAATCTGATGTACTCATATTGTACGTTACAGCGATATGAAGAGAAAGATATTCAACAGGCCCTAAACAAAAAGAATGAGAATAGCCCGAGAAAAGATCAACATCGACGGTTTCGCAAGAACTGTAGAGAGCATTGGATGGCGGACGGCGGGGAAGTACTGTCATTGATTGGTGTAGACGAGGTCGAAGTTTCCGAAGCACTGCAATGACGGAAGAAGACCACGAATAGAGTGAACAAGATGAGTTCGGCCATTGCGGGAGCATTAGAAATTGGATTGGGAAGTGTCGCACTGGTGTAGACAGGATGGTTTTGTGCGCTGCGACTATCAGCTTCAATTCTTTCTCGAACTGGTCTACTGCAGTCGCCATGATGATAAGCCACTCCCGGTGAACTCGAACCCTGGGTAATGAAGGCTAGTCGTCCCGCTATCGGGTCGTTGTGCGGGCGGAAAGCAGTGTCAACAGGGAGCACTGCAGCTTCGTGTCAGCGAATCTAGATCTTCAATGAACATAAGGTCTCACCTATCCTGTGCATAGGACTAACGTGTGCGGTTCGCGATGCGCGAAGCGTTGGAGGATGTATCCTATGAGGGCGTACGGCCCCGTGTGGAGTTGGGAGTGAATCATACGTGTGTTTAAGGGTGTAGGAGGAGTGGGTGGTCTGAGGACAGAGGAAAGAGAGAGCAGGGTCTTATATACCTGACTGGCCGTACCGGTGGCCACAAGGATAAGCAACGGCCTTGGCTTCCGATCATTAGCACAAGCATCGCCACTGGACCAAAACCTTATTGAACAATAGATCGAAGCATGGGCCGTGCGCAGCTAAAGCGCCCCGTAAGCAGAGCACAAAGCCATTCCTTCGAATGGACCCCGATGGCTCGGCTCGACAAGGTATGTTGCTGAATGGCATAATGAACCGTAGTCAACATCAAAGCACGGCCGGATTGTCAACAGTTTGAGACCTCACCCAAGACAGAAAGAGATGCTCCAGATACTTAACATGCTTTCTTTCTAGGAGCTTCTGTAAGCTGACTACTGCAGTGTCACTGTTGCATCACTGCACACGCACCCATTTCCATGCTTCAACGTTAGATATTGAAAATCAAAAATCAAAAATCGAACGTCGGGCGCTCGACCAAAGTGGCCATCCAACTTGCTCCCGATGCAGTGGCAGGTGTTCCAACAGCGTGCGCGAGGAGTACCGCTGCCCCGTTTACAAGTATTAGCAGCTCAGAGATTGTGATTCCAATGTCTAGGTCTTACCCAAGACGTGATAGAACCATAGAGTAATGGCACAATGTATGCAGCTTCGGGTAGACCCCCACAAGGAATCACTCGAGTAGACTGACATAAGGGGCTCACACAGAAGAAACAGGACACTCTCGGATGTCAAAAGCGCTCAGTTCTACATCGGACAACGAGAATGAGGTGCATAAAATGAAGCGCTGGGTGTGATGCAATCAGAGGAAGTATTTTTGCGACGTGAATGTCACGTTCCTGATGCTGCTCTTCTACTTTCGCCACGTTCAATATAGATCATGCTAGTATCAAACATCTGAGAAAAGAGATATCGTCTAGAAAGCTCGAAGACGTCAAGACCCTAGAGCACGCACAATCCGCGGAGATCTATGTCCCGCACTACTCCGCAGTCAAGCAGACGACACTCAAACCCTAAGAGCGTCTGACCCATCTGCTAGACAAGAGCTCCGCGCCGAACGCGGGTCCATCCTGAACTTGCAGGCAATCGGATCGCACAACGCTAAGAGCTCCAGCTGAACAGGATCTCCGCACCCGAACCGAAACTCATAACATGTTAAACGAAACAGCGCTGTGCGAGCCAGTGTCGACACTCATATCTTGTCATGCTGAACAGGAGATACACGAACCATCGCATGGCAAGAAACGACGATGACGAGCAGGCATGGAAAATAGATGCCCCTTGTCCAAAGACATGCAATAGATCTCCAGGGAACACGCTGATGAGTTTCCGTTGCAATTTACACTTCACGTTCTGCGACGTGTCAGCGCATCCGCTCGGCATCTTCCTCTTCACCCTCTGAACCAGATGCCATGTAAACGAAAGGCGGGTCATCGAGAACCGCGAACGAGACATCAGGAAAACACGCACAACGAGACACACCATCAATGAAAGCGCCACCACGGAAACAACCTCGATGTAATATTGAGAGGGATAACTGACGAGGACTTCCTTTTCATCGTCGCCTTGTCCGATCTTTCCTCTGCCACTAGACCTATCCCTTCTATCTATCCTAAGTTCTCGGTACAATAGACAACCTGATCACGATCCTTGTGTGTCGTGTATCGGCAACAGGTGCGAGTGCAATGTCACGGCGAAGGAAGCTGGTGTCGACAAGACGAAGAGGGTTGGTGCCAGGACAGGACTCTTCCGGTCTTCGCTTCATGGACATTCACGTATGTTTGAACGACTAGACGTAAGCCGAAGCGCAAGCGTATTGACAGGGCAGATATAACTTATGAAGAGCTGGACGATGGAGTATCGACAGCGAGCTGACCGGCCACAACCGGAATCTCAGATCCAGGTGACGCGCCCACGTGATATCAAGATGCCCGCACATCCAGTCGACAAACGCAGTTTATTCTTACGGAACCGGACGTATATACGTAGCTATACAATTGTGGTGCTCAGTTAACTGCACTTCTCATCGCTACACCAAAATAAAGTTACCACAGGTATTTGGATGATGCAGCCATAAGAGGTATTCTTCTCCTCTTTCTTCTTTTTCCCTCCGAGTCAGTACCCTCGCAAGGTGCTAGGTCATACCAGGGTACCTCTGGGGTCCCTCAATGTCGAGAGTATCTTGGAGCTGATAGCTTACTAGTTGGTGCGTTCTTATGTTCTTCTCCGACTCTGTCATTCCTTCGATTATTCGCCCAAAACTAAAGCGCCGGACGTCCGCAAGTTAGTATATACTGACATCGCTGGGATAGCGAGGATCGGACATTGGTGGACTCTATCCTACCCTGTCGCAGGCTTTCTGTTAACACCGTCCTTGGCGTGGACTTCAACTTCGAATTCCGGTTATATGACATAGCTTCAATTAGCTGGCCGACGATCTTCGGCCCTCCAACTTCACTGTGTAATACAAACATGCTTCCTTACAGCATTTCTATCGAGCCTCATATGTCATTCTCACATATTTGAGTACGGCACAATATATATACATTCTCTCCCGTGAACGATTCGTGCAAATTGGGAAGCTCACAGCGTTATCAGTGTAAGATTAATCCTCACCCAAATTCGCGGTTTGCATGATCAGCTTCTTCGCCATCTCCGAGCGAGGTCGAAACACACATTCAAACGGTTTTGGACGGCTGCGAAAGTGACCATACCATATCAGTGAATCGCCATGTCGCCTCCGAGTTCCTGGGATGCATACCTTGCCAGCCCCTCCGTCGTGAATGCCACGTCCGGCTCAATGGCCCTCCCATCCTTGGCGACAGCCTTACAAATATCGAAGGTCGCGAGAACAGTCGCGACGACGATCCACGCGCCATTGTCTGCGAAGTACCTTCCAGGGCAAATTCTGTAAGGACGGCGTAAGTAAAGCGACCTATCTGTAGTACTTTCAGGAGATGTGGATACATACCGCCGACCGAACCCAAAGACGGCGCCAAGATACGGCTCGCCGGGACCTGCAGGTGCGGGGAGAAAGCGCTCGGGATAGAAGGCCTCTGCATCCTTGTACATCGTCTCGTCACGACTCATGGCCCTGGAGCACAGACAAACAATGCTCAGGCCCGGAAAAACATTTCACACCAGCGACGGTTGCACTTACATGACATTGGGGATTACGATCGAACCCTTCGGGATGAACATCCCATTGTATATATCATCGTCAACAGACATGTGCGCGATGCCCAGATGTGGAAGATAAGCAAACTGTCGATCAACTCGACCCCACGACAATGGCACTAACCATGAGGGGTCGCAGGATGCCATCTGAGACACATGACGGGTCACTGGGTGCTCTCGCACGGATGCGAGTAGCAACGTACCTCATAGTCTCTTGTAAGATGCACTCTACGAAAGGCAGCGCATCGCGGTCGCTGAAATCCGGTAGTCTATCGGGACCTATCACTTGGTCAATTTCCGCCTGCGCTTTGCGCTGCACCTCTGGGAACAGGAGCATGCAGAAGTAGAAGGTTTGGATGAGGGACCATGTCTGAAGTGGGTTCAGTAAAGAGAAATATCAGTGAATGAACGAGATTCCCACCGGCACCAGCTGACTCGAGGGTCAGATAATGTATGACCGCGCAACATGATCGGAGGACTCACCAGTGAGGATGGTGCCAGCCGCGCCTTTGAGGTCATCCAAATCGTAATCTTTCGCACCTTCCGTCTTGTATCTCTCCAGATATGAAGATAGAAACGATGGACGAGCGATGTCCGCATCCTGCGGGCTAGAGTATTTGAAGTTCAGACGAGCATATATAGTGATGAGTACCATCTGTTTCAACACGTCGTTGAATGGGTAGTCGTGCATTTCCCGTGTAACAGGGCCCCAACGACGTGCCGCGGCAGTGAGAAACGAACATCCGGGTAGCCAATGGGGGAGATGGACCACTAGGGTCACGATCAGTCCTGTCATACTACATGGAATGGGCGGACGCAAGACGCACGGAAGGGGAAAAAGTCGACCAGCGAGACACCAAGTTTCGCCTCGTCAATACCATGCAGCGCACCTGCTGTGAGTTTGACGTAGATGTCGTCATCAGAATGCACCTGATGGCCGTACGCTATCATCAGGGAATCGGGATTCCTCCGGATGGAGGATAGATCTCCTCGGCTCCATCCGGAGCTGGATGGAGATTGTACCTCCGCATGGAGATGCCAGCTACAGACAGAGAGAGCTAAAGGCCCCAAGCAAGCAGATGTATCTAGACAGCATTGATATCTCTTCCTACATGCTCTATGAGTATTTTCTGAGAATATCCAACAACTCGAGCCTGTCCCTGGTGCTCACGAGTATGTCCCACGAGCCACGTGCTGTCTCCATCCAGCTCCATGCAGAGATGTGATCTCCATCCGGCACGGCACGGAGACGGCCTGCTCCGTATGATGGGGGGGATTTCCATCACTCCGGGGCTCCGTCCGCTACCATATGGAGCCTATGGAGCTATCCCAAGTTCCTGATGATCTCCAAGACACCCTGCATCACTTCAGGGTACCCCTGGACAGAAGCTCTTAGCTTGAACTGTTACCATTATAGGTTTAAGCTAAGAGCCTTTTCAGGAATGGTCTGGCCAGGACTACTATACATGGTCCAGGCATTCAAGTGGGACATTGACTGGCCTGGCTGTCCCAAAGCAAGGGATACTTGGGACAGACCTGTGGGACGATAAAGGTAGTCCATGCTGTGCCATCTATTATGGGTGTCCCATGCCATCCCTATTATTTATTGCATATCACTAGGTGACTGGGTCATTATGGACCATCCAGGGCTGGGAAATCCAGGCTAATAGCCTTGATTGAAGCCCTCTTTCTGGTGATTATTTATACTGCTCTTTCTGAAGCTATATGAGCCTTTTGCTAAAGGCATAGAGTATAGAACACAGATTCTTTAACATACTGTCAAAGCTCAGACTCCAGGTGAGAATTTGGCTGGTAGACAGGTAGAAGGCTCCTTTTATTAGTAAATCCTGATGGTTGGTACAATAGCTAAGGGCTCTCAGCACTGACAATGTCACATCAACTATCCATCACCCTCTTTGTCATTTTGGTTAAAAACTCATTTACTCTCAGTTTATGTACAAGCTATAGACACATTACACAACTTAGTTACTACTGTCCTTACCATAAAGCAACCTGTTTTATTCTGTTTTATACTGAGAGCAAGCAGTCTTTCATGAGTCATTATGGTCACTTTCTTTGCTTACATTAATCTGTAGAAGAAATCATATTGCTGCCATGGTCAGCAATAGCATCCTAAATGCCCATGCTTGTAGGCTACATGAATGAGATATAGACTGGCCAGCAATATTTGTAAATGCATGAGGAGAAATTAAGATATTGGCTGGTTCATGCACCACTACAGGCCACATTTATATTTCTTCCAAACTTGCCTGCAGGGTCCTTAGAATGTTCTACAATCCTCTCACATTGGATCTGAACTGTTCCATACTTATCCTCATTAGACATTCCTGACCTATCTGTATATCTATTCAGATCTCTGCACATCTTTGTCAGTTATGAAAGATAATCTTTTCTATCAATAAGTAGCAAATTTTCATAAAAATTGCTACTTTTAAGTAGATTTATTTGTAGGTGCATAGATTAACTCAGGATACTCGTAATATAATCTTTCAGATAATCTTTCAGATAATCTTCTGGATAATCTGAGAATAATCTGAAGATTAGCAATAAAATACAATTTTAACTTTGACACCAGCCAGCATTGAACCCTGGACCTTAGGTTGATTTTATAGAATATAATTCCAAGTAACACTTTAGACCACTTGACCATTAGGCCACACATCACAACTATCTTATATTAAATTAGACATCTTTTTCTTGAAAAAGACTTAGCCAAATTCTGTCTATTAAAAAAGAGTAAGTAAAAGACACTTGACTTTTATCATAGATAGACAAGACTTATAGACAAACAGTACTCTGCATCTTATTATAGTCTTGTTCTACAGCTTACAGTTTTTGTAAACTATCATGCAGTACTATAGAGTATCTTAATATAGTCATCTATAATATATAACAAGTTATTGAGAGACAGTATTTTATTTGTTCATTTTAGGCTTATACTTTAGAGTCTATTATATTATAGACTGAGCACTTATATATCCAAGATCCTTATAGCTATCTTCTAATTGTATAGCAAAGTTCTGTTTTGCTGAAGTAACTGTAGAAACATATATTCTATTAATTACATATTGTACTACATTATATGAAGGCTGCAAGCATTAGAAAAGACTATAAGACTCAGAGTAATGTTTGTTTATAAGTCTTGTCTATCTATGATAAAAGTCAAGTGTCTTTTACTTACTCTTTTCTAATAGACAGAATTTGGCTAAGTCTTTTTCAAGAAAAAGATGTCTAATTTAATATAAGATAGTTGTGATGTGTGGCCTAATGGTCAAGTGGTCTAAAGTGTTACTTGGAATTATATTCTATAAAATCAACCTAAGGTCCAGGGTTCAATCCTGGCTAGTGTCAAAGTTAAAATTGTATTTTATTGCTAATCTTCAGATTATTCTCAGATTATCCAGAAGATTATCCTCAGATTATCTGGAAGATTATATTAAGATTATCCTGAGTTAATCTATGCACCTACAGATAAGTCTACTTAAAAGTAGCAATTCTCATGAAAATTTGCTACTTATTGATAGAAAAGATTATCTTTCATAACTGACATCACTGCTCTGCAGCTCACTTGATTGAACCTGAACTGACCTATATCTCTCCATAAGTCATTCATGACTTGCCTAAACATCGTCAGAATATCTACAGCCCTCTGATAGCTGACCTGGACTGGCCCATACACCTCTACGGGCCATCCTTAATTATCCATAACTTGTCTGAAGGATGTCAGGATGTCCTACAGCACTCTGGCAGTAGACCTGGACTGGCCCGTACACCTCTACGGGCCATCCATGACCAGTCAGTGGGCATGTTGGGATGTCCTACAGTCCTCTGGCAGTAGACCTGGACTGGCCCGTACACCTCTATGGGCCATCCATGACCAGCCAGCAGACATGTCGGGATGTCCTACAGTCCTCTGGCAGTAGACCTGGACTGACCTGTACACCTCTATGGGCCATCCATGACCAGCCTGTGGGTGTGTCGGGATGTCCTACGGTCCTCTGGCAGTAGACCTAGACTGGCCCGTATGCCTCTACGGGCCATCCATAACTTGTCTGAAGGATGTCGGGATGTCCTACAGTCCTCTGACAGTAGACCTGGACTGGCCTGTACACCTCTATGGGCCACTCATGGCCAGCCTGCGGGCATGTCGGGACATTCTACAGTTCTCTGGCAGTAGACCTGGACTGGTCGTATACCTCTATAGGCCACCCATGACCAACCTGCAGACGTGTCAGGATGTCCTACAGTCCACTTGCAGCAGCCATTAGCAAAAGATAACTTTTTCTTTTTGAACTTACCCAAACTTGTCTTCTCAAAATTCTTAATAATGGTGAATACTTTTCAATAAAAAAGATTTTGAGACCTTGAAAGAATATAGCTTAGAGGTCTTATGCCCTCATCGTCTTATTTAAGACCCAAAAGTTGGCTAAGTTACCAGTAGACCTGGGCTGGCCTGAATGCCTCTTGGGCTGGCCCGTACACCTCTACGCGCCATCCATGACCAGCCAGTGGGCATGTCGGGATGTCCTACAGTCCTCTGGCAGTAGACCTGGACTGGCCCGTACACCTCTACGGGCCATCCATGACCAGCCAGCGGGCGTGTCGGGATGTCCTACAGCCCTCTGGCAGTAGACCTGGACTGGCCCGTACACCTCTACGGGCCATCCATAACTTGTCTGAAGGATGTTGGGATGTTCCACAGTGGTCTGGCAGTAGACCTGGACTGGCCCGTAGGCCTCTACGGGGCCATCCACAATTGGCCTGAAGAACACAGTGGATGCACCACAAATGAGACCAAATACATGTCAATAACTCTGACAGAATATATGACTTGCCTTACCCAAGTATTAGATATCTCCAAGAAATGATTCAATCATTGCTAACAATGTATGCTAACAAAGTACACTAATACTGGCGATCGTAGTAAGCATCCTCGTCATATTGACCATCTACGCCATCGTCGTAATCGTCATATTTGTCACACTCACCCATGTCGAAGTCACCATAGTCGGTGTTGAAATTGCGGCGTGGCACGTCCATGTAACAGCTTGGACCCGCGACAGCATTATCGACCTGTCTCACCACATGCATCCCATATGACCGCAATGTCTGCGCGACGTTGCCTTGACCACGTCCAGTTGAGCACATCGGGGGAGCAGGGCGGGGCTGCATGGGGTTTGACAGCTGACGGCTGCCCGGAGCAGGATGCATGGTGAGAGGACGAGATGCAGGAAGAGCATGAGATGGAGGGGGAAGACGAGAGGGTGCAGGCGGGGCACCATGAGGACCAGCGGGCCCGATGAGCACACCGGCTTGCATGCGATGAGGAGGCATGGGCTGCTCACGCGACAGCGGGCGCCGTGTGGGCAGTGCGTTGTGCGATGACAGACGAGATGACTGGGGAACAGGTGCAGTTGGGCCAGCGTGATGAGAGACGTCAGCGTCATAGTTCAGCGGGTGCTCGGGCCATGCATCATCACGGTCGTCATCGCGATGTACTTGACGTGAAGAGTGGGGTTCACGAGCATTCTTACGAAGGGGAGGAGCACGAGAGCTGTCGATCGGGTGAGAAGATGTGTCTCATGAGACAGCGCGCTGTTCGGCGACGTGCCGAGGTGCAGGACGATGGGAGACATCTTCATCTGCAGACAATCCGTCCTCGAGGTGCTCATCCAAGTTGCTCAGATCGACCGGCTCAAATGCACGCTTCGAGGGCCTGCGATGTTTGATGGCAGGTGCAAGAGCCTTGAGATAGTCCGGAGAGTCGCGTAGGACCCGCAGCTTCCTGCCCTTCATGCTCTGCACCAGAGCAACACTCGCCTTATCCCGGTGGCCATCTGGCAATGCAATGGAATCTAAGCACAGGGATGTCAGTCCGAAATGCACACACCATCGAGGCTTGTACTGACTATCACTCCAAGGTATGATATCAACAACCATGTCAGTGCTGTCCGGATCTTTCACCCTTCTGATATATGGATCAACGATTGCGGCGAGGTCCGCGGCTTGGAGGCTCTTGTATGTGAAGTCGGGCCCCGGTGACGTAATCCCATCCGGCCAGTTGACGATGCACAGTTGGAGGCGATATCCCATATTCAACCATTGTGCCCACTGGATTCGCTTGGGTGGCATGTCATCATATTTATCTGCACAGCATCAGCAAGTGCACAATCAGAGTGACACTCAGTAAAAACCGGAAGTCAAAATGTAGTCAGCCAGCTTCAAAATTTTGGCAAATTTGACTATTAATGACTACTTGTGACTACTCTAATGGTTTTCTTATAGTGCATGACCTCATATAGTTTAGACCATGTCTGTACAGTTATGTTCCAACCCCTCAGTGCAAAAAAGCAACATATAAGCTCCAGAATGCCGTGTATTCTGAGAGAATTAACTGCAGTGTCTGACTTTTACAGACTAGAATTTGATGGCATTTGATCACATAATTTCTTGGCATGATGAGTTTGGTGACTGTAAACAGACTTCTATGGACTTTACCTGACCATGGTGCCAAAATTTTGAATCCCATTGACTTCAACCCGACAACACCAGACTTTAACTGACTTCCGGTTTTTACTGAGAGTGACATGATACACTTACTCAGCGCTTTCGCCATCATCATTGTGAATACACGGCGGTTGCGATCGCGTATCAGCTCTCCCGGGTTGGGATCGACACCACTGCCCTTCTGCAGGAACTTGGACCTGTGTGCAGCAAACTTGAAACCCTTCTTTTCCAATCGCATGGCCCTGGGCATAACATGAGTTTGGGAATAACTGAAGCCAGAGAAGATCGCACTTTATCGCGGTCGTGAGATCATCTATTATCTCGCGAACGTCTACCTCGTTCGCATCAATGAGATCCTTCACAGCCTTGGAACCTCCGAACAAGGTCGAGACCTGACGAGCTGCAAGGTCCAACCCTAGGTACAAGATGGCACCAATAACCTCCATATCCTCGAGGTTGCGGTATGCAGCAGCCTACATCAACGTCATGAGCACAAGCTCAGTCAAGAAGAGGACAATGACTTACCAAAGTTGTAAACTGATCCTTGGCATTCTGCATGTGCACCATTGTCGACTTCATACTCCTCGATCCACCGATGTCACCCTTCTGCGACGATTCATACCACTGAAGTATCGGCTTCAATAATAGCGTGCGGCTCTCCTCGTCATCGTCAGTGACGCCTTCGAACAGTTGCCGATAGGCCACATCACCCTGCTTGTTGTACTCCGACTTGCTCACTAATGACTCGTCAGCACAGCAGAATGTTCATCAGCTAAACGGTACACACTGCCAGCCAGTTTAGGATGATGATGTGAGTACCAGGAGTGAAACATGTTTGCCCGATTGACTGCACGAGATGCCTTGAAGCCAAGGCCCGCATGGACGAGGACATCGCGCGGACTTTTGCCATACCTTTGCGCGATGTTCTCTGCCGCCTCTATTACACGTGCACCGAGCTCAACCGCCTCTTTCTTCACCTTCCTCGGGAAAGGACTGCTTGTTTTAGGCCAGTCGCCATTGAGACGTTCACCAAATTCATCACTCTCATTCCCGGACGTGTCATCATCACCAGTCGGCCGTTGCCCACGTATGACACGCTTGGGGGGTGCGGATGGTATACCCATGTCTGAGGACACGTCGTCCTGTAATTCTTCATCAATCTCAAGATCCTCCTCCTCTGTGTCCAAGGCTTTCTTCATTCCTCTCTGCCTCTGCTGGCATTGCAAAGCCTTCATCTCACTGTAACTGCTTCCGGATGCTGGCGACAATGACACATCTGCATGACAGTAAGTGGCAAGATTGTGAGAGAAAAAAAAGAGAACGGACATAAGGCTTTGCCCTTGTCATCAGCGATGGGCATTGGCATGCCAGCATCGACTTTGCTGTCTTCAAGGTCGGATGCTTCGTCCTTGTCAAATAGATGTGATAAATCCTCCTCGTCGGCGCGATCTGCCTTGACACCAGCAATCATGGCTTGAGTGTGTTCAATTCCCTCCATATCATCATCACCCTCTCCGTCGTCACCTTCTCTGCTGCCGCCCTCTCCATCGTCGCCTTCTCCATCGCTAGCCACCTGCAAATCGTCGGCATCTTCATCCGCGTCATGATCGCGTGTGGCAGGACAAAGTCTACTGTCTGACGGTTGCCCCTGGTTGCGTGCGCCCGCCACATGTGAGGTTGGCTTCGATATGGTGTGGGCAAGTCGAGCGTCCACATTGCCTTCGACGTCATCCCCATCCGCTTCATAGCCATGCTCGGGGTCTTCCGCCGCTTCCTGCTCTGCATGGGTGCCAGTTGCTACCTTTGGAGCAATCGTCGCAATTCTCTTGCCCTTGTCCTACAAGGTCGTGTTAGGTGATGTGAAGACACTTCATGAAAGGCCTCACCTTCTTCTCGACCGAGGGTTGGGGTTTTGCAGGGGTGTTTGACGAACCCTGTGCCCGCCTCGCTTTCGTGCGCTACACATTCAAAGTTGACACAAAAATACAGAACAGAGCTATGCAGAAGAATGACGAACCTTGGCAGGCTGCGGGGTAATCTCCTTGCCGTCAATAACGGTCTCGCCATCAGCACCAGCATCATGTTCTCCAGCATCAGTCAAATCGTCTGCCAGCACCACTTTCTTATGCTGTGCAGAAGATGTCAGCATCATGCCATGGTGGAAAACATGATGTACCAACCTTGCTGGGCAGGACGCGGCTGTCCTGTCCAATATTCTGACTCTCAGCATCCGCTCCACTTTCCGTCACCTCAGTAACCGCTGGAGGTCGCGCCTTGGTGGGCCCTGCGCGCTGCAGCGAGACGTGAGTAGTTGAATACAGGTGGTGAGAGAGGGACGAACCTTTGCTTTCACCGGTGTAGGACCATCGCCGACTGCTGTGTTGGGATTGCCACGGAGGCGCGCCACACCTCTAGTGTTCTTCCGCGCAGGTAGCTCTTCATGAGCAGCTGAGGTCGAATCATTGTGAGATGTCTTGGTGCTAGAGCGAGTGCGGCAAGGCGTGTCGATGTCAGGATCAGGCTCAGGAGGGGCCTTCTTCTTTGGAGGCATGATGGTGCATCCCACCAAGTCAGTCGAGCAGCGACAATTTGTAGGGCTCAAGCGTGAGGTTTCCACGTGGAATGGCAGCAGCGCCGGACTTCCATTCCTCGCGTGAGAAATTGCGAGGAATGCGGTGATTGTAGCGATGAGGTACACCCATGACAGCGATACACCACAACGAGTTAGGATCCTGTCGATTCAGGTCAGCTTGTGGCGTCGAATCTCATGCATACTCACCTATCATCACGATCAGACTCCCCTGTAGCCATGAGAGGCAAGCGTGGCAGTGGTACATCCCAAAGGGACCGGATCCTGATGAGGGCAAACTATTCAGCTCAGTTTGCGGCGTCGAATCCCACACGCACTCACCAATCGTCACAATCGGAGCCCCTCCATTGGGACTTCTCCACGAAGGGACGTAGCGCAGAAAAACAATGTCTGTAACTCGGAACACTGGGTCAGAGTCAGTCACGTTCGGAGGAGATCGAGCATGCTCTTACTTTCGGTGACAGGTCACCCCAGGTAGGCTGCCCGCGTTGCGATTGTGATTGCGCGTCCTCTTTGAATTTAGATATACCTGTCTTAGGGTGAATCTACCGCTGGAATATGGTTGGAGATACTCACCATATGATATGCACTAGATGGTCCAGACAGTCCCTTTCAGAGAGACTGCCCTATCCCGAGCGGAATCATGTGTTCGTGTGCGGAGCCTCATTGCGGCTATGGCATGACTTTGTCGAGCTTCTGAACAGTGGGTTTCTCCTGCATGAGTCAAGGGCATTAGCACGAACCATACAATTGCGTGTAACACGTCGGATGCAGAGCGATAGACAACGTCGACATGTACATACATGAGAATCGATACAAGTACATATACGAACTGGGTTTCTGATGCATGAGTCAATGGCATTAGGGTGTGCCATCCAACTGCGTGTAACACGTTGGATGTGGGGCGATAGAGAACATCGACATGTGCATACAGCAGAACCGATACATGTACATACACGAACTACATTGCAGGTTGCCAGTGCGACTCACCAAGTAGAGGCTGCGAGATCCCTTGGTGCACAAATGGCCAGATTCATCAGAAGACTCAGGTTGAGGGAGACTCTAGATAGATGGTCAAGTTCGGCCGGCTTTGCGAAGGGGCATAGAGCCTTAAGACTCCGTAAGGTATGTTGCCAGCTGGGACGTCCCATGTGACCTCTTTGGCCAAATCTCACTAAGTCATTTGCGCTCTGTGCCATTGCCTCAAAGATCTGAATCCTTGTGCTCTCTGTGCTCTTTGGAACCTGCGGAGCTGTGTTATTATTTTCTCTCCGTCTAGCCATGCGTTGTTGCCTTCACCCCTCGTATCTAACGGACTCGACTTCCGATGCTCTGACTGCTGGCTCTGGCCATCGCAAATCAACGCCGCCCATCTTTGTTCTCGGTTTGGTGCTCCAGGACTTCTGAAGGTGCGGTAACTGTTTTTCTGCAATCTATTCGATGATCCTCGATCGTCCTCTACATCGTACAGTGTGTACGACACGGAGTATTTCGCGTACACCTGGGGACACTGCGGCACGGTTGAAGCATGGGATGACACTTCCTGTGCAATTGTAAGGAAGAACCTGGACTGCCCTCTATGACCTGCACTGTGTATGATGCGGATAATCTTGCATGTGCACCGTGGAACATTGTACAGCGCCGCTGCGATTAAAATCTTTGAGGCAAGGTCTTTCGCAATTAGGATCTTTGAGGCAAAGTCTTTCATTTTCTTAGAGCCATGCTGCATCCGAAGATGAACTGTCATGTCTGACGAACTCCATTTCTGTCTTAGATTGCATCGGAGCCGATGGAAGTGTCCCGATCCCCTCGCAATGGGCGCTGGATCAGTACACGCTGTCCGATGGCATCAGTCCATTCCTGCCCTCCTGGAATTCGTTGCTGGTGAGCCCAGATGCGCTGACACCCTGCACTTCTTCTGAACATTGCTAGGACCTTCAGCCCTATTTTCTTCACACCCATGTCTTTCCGCCAACCCAAAAATCATTATCGCAGAGCAAAAATGAACTCTGCTGACACTGTCAGCGCGACGGCCTCCATTGCAGCGACTCCTTCTGCTGAAGAGACATCTCCCAAATCTTATGTCCATCTCCTGCGACCCTTAGATGTTCCGCGAAGATGACGACTGCAGTGTTCTTGAGGCCTGTACATTCCGGGTCCCGAGCCCTTACTCACCCTTCCCGGATGCCTGACTTTCATGCACGGCCATGCCTCGCGGAAAAATCTTGCCACGACGGGCGATGTGGTGCATCGAGGACCCCATGCTCCAGACCAATTTATTCTGGACGATCCATTCAGCCTCCTCGCAGAGCTCCCGCACGAGGGGATCACGAGCAGCATCCTCACCTCATATGAACTAGAACCGCTGCATCTCAGGCAAGCACGTTAGCAACAGAAGAGGAAGCGCCAATGGCAGAGATGGGCCACGGAGACTATACCGGCGCTGCTGCGCCAACACCTTCAACTTCTCCACGATTCCGCATCTCTTCGCAATCCCGCGCGTCTGCAGAGTGCTCAGTGCTGGTGCGGTGGTGTATCCGTGAGGTCGCTCAAGGTAGTTTGTGTCTTTTTCGAATGTGCGTAGTGACTTCCCCTGATGCCTTAGGTGAATTTGCTGATCTTCTGCATTCAGGACTAGAAACCATATCACTCGATATTTGCCTCTGTTCCCCCGCTGCCTTGCAGTTGCTCTCTCGCGGACTGTTTTCTTGCATGCCTCAAGCACCCATGCTCGCTGTCGACCTCAATCTTCTGCAATTTGTGCAGCAACTCTTTGTCTGCCTCCCTCCCAACACCACATCATTCTGTGCAACATTGGAGGCATTTCTCGGAGACTGCAACTACAAGCTGCAGATGCGTGTATGTCAACGCGTCTGACCTTCTGTTCTTTTTGCTCAGGTGCTTCCTGCAGGACACCTTGCGAAGGCGGTTTGGCAATGCCCTACTCTGGTACTCAAGCCTCGTGAATTCCACTCGACGTTTCATCCAAGATAAGATCGAGAATGCACGTGCCTCGACTCTTCATGCATCCACACCGCGGCATGAGTTCAGGCAGGAATTGCCCACCCCACAATATTTTCCAGGTGACGTAGAGGGGTGCAACAGTGCTGAGGAGTCTGACGCTGTTGAGGAGTCTGAAAGCTATGTCGGGCACAGTACGGAGGCTCATCCACATGTACACATGCCTCCTTTGCCTGGCCTGGATTCACCGGACCACCGCCCTGCACGCGGTTCACCATCGCCGTCATTGGTCTCCGATGCAGCTGCTGCGGCTGACGACATTGATTGTCTCCATGGAGAATCACTTCCTCATGCAAGCTCGCCTGTCATGCGGAGTCGGCCAAGTCAGTATCTGTGGGACCGCTGCCCGCTCTGTTTCGGAGGCAGTTTCTCCGAACAGACCGAGGACATGTATGTAGTTTTTTTTTTCATTCATTCTTACCGTCACTGAGTCCATTGTCACAACAGGCCAGACGTCATTGTGTGCCTCGATGCCTGCTTTACTCAGAAGTGCAGGAGGGGCAGAGGCGATGAGCGGGACCGGCCGCGTGCACATCCAGATACGGTCTTTGTACCCGAGGATGACGTCAAGGCAATGGAAAATTATGTGGAAGGCCTGCATGGACCGCGGGACCATACGCATCGCGCGTCGAAGAAGAAGTCGACCGACGAGGAGGATGGGTTCGAGGGCGGCATGAAAATACTGACGTCCGTGCTCGATGGCTGCAACGAGTCATTTCTGGCTGCTGACGAGAAGCACCAGAAGGCGAGCACTCAGTTTTTTGCAGATACGGGTCTCATGGCACTTCTGTGCCACCATGACTGAGTTCTTTGGCTGGTCAACATGCGCTCTGCGGGCGAGAAGCAACATTATGCCCTTACTCTTCTGCGTCGCCTTTTCGACCATCTTCCTTCGACTACCACTGTTGGGATTCTGTATGATATTGGATGCCAACTTCACCACAGCTGCATGAAATGGGGATTCCTCTCCGATGTCATCGATCACATCATATTCAGCATATCCATCTTCCACGCCTATGGCCACCAGTGGTCGTGCCAGCTGATCTACCATCCACAGAAGTGTGTTGGGTTCAGCTTGACCAACGGCGAAGGCTGCGAGAGGTTCTGGAGTGCAATCAGGAAACTTATCCCCTCGTTGCAGGTATCAGGGGTAAGTTTTCATTTCATGTAATGGCCCGATGTTGTTGCTGATTGTTCATCAGTACCACCAGTGGCTGTTCACACTCGATACTCAAGTCTGGCACCTTGATGACGTGTCACTGCATGCGCTCGGTCACTGGATTGTGAAGAAGTGGGACCAATGTCAGTCGAAGAAGCATACCACGCTCGAGGAGTTAGCACAGTGTGGTGTACCAACTGAGATACTGCGCGCTCAGTGGAATGCACAGATTGTGGAGCAGACTAAGCCAGCACCATGTGAGATTTATTTTTGTACATTTGTGTCGCATTCTAACTCCTCTTGCTCTCGTAGGTCGTTCTCGGAACAAGGGCAAGCATGCTGTTGAGGCCATTCTGGCTTTGCAGAAGGCTCGCAATTTGTACAAGGAGACCCTCTGTGAGCTTGAGATCAAGCTGCTTGCTGATTCAGATGTACCCTTCAGCATTGACAAGCTCAACCTTCAGATCGCGGAGGCTCGTAGTAAGTGTCAGAACATTGAGCAAGCTATCACACACAAGAAGGCCACTCTGGGCATAGGTGAAAGGGCCCGTTTGGCTCGGCTAGCGAACAATGCATTCTTGCGGATTGGCATGAACGCTCGAGCCATCAAGCAACACATTCGTGATCGTCTCTGCCAGCGGAAGTTCGAGCTCGAATGACTTGAACATTCGTATCGCCAGACCGTCAACAGTATGTATCTGATTTCTCTCTCGCTGCTTGCGCTAATGACATGTTGCAGATAACAAGTTGACTACGCATACAGAGTCTTCAATCAAACGCTGCGAGCCAGGCATCCTCAGACTGGTGAAGACATACAACGACCTTTGCAAGCAGCTCAATACAATGATACGGCAGCGCAAAGCCCCTTGACATGCAATTTCACTGCTTCCTATTCAGGGAACAGGACTTTTTAAGCTCGATGTCGATGATGATATATGGGAGGATGTTGGGCTTGAGGATGATGACATGGACACTGTCCCTGTTCCTCCTTGGCTTGGTGATGAGAAGGTTTGAAATGGTATTAAGACTGTGCTTCTGCTGAATCGGTGTTTGGAGGAGGAGTTACGCCTTCGCAAGGAGCGTTGTGCGATGCAAGAGTGGGTTGTGGAAGAGTGGGTGGTGCTGAAGAAAGCACATGTAAATGCTGGTGAGTGATAGTATCAGTTGTTTAAATGTTATACTGATATGTTGATCAGTACAAAAGACATAATGCAGCAAACTAATATACAAGTATCCTACGCTTTCTTGGTGAAGCACTCACTGCTCTAGTTGGCGAAGATGGGAGAAGTTCAACATCATCAGTAACAAAGTCATCAAGAACAGCAATGTCAAGATGAAGATCTTCCGCAGTAGGATGATATGCATCAGTAAATGCAACATGCTCAGCAGCCTCAAGTAAATCACCATCATCCTCATCAGAAACATCACTACCCTCATCTTCATCATCACTGGCCAGATGCTCACCTGGCTGCTCCACCACGTCAGCATCAACCCACTGTGCAGTCACTTCAAACACAGCTGCATCGCATAGGTCGGCCTCACTCGGGCCCCATGACGCATCTATTAGCCACTCACAGGGGATATTGCGAGCCTTCGCTTGCCATGTGATGCAAAGTTGACATAGCTTCTTCTTGCGGAGGTCAAGTTGGTACAAAAGGTCTTCATCATTGGCAATGCATCGTAGGTATACCTTACAGGTGCCAGTGCTGGTCCACATATGGATGTTCCAAGAAAACTGTGAGACATTCCAACGGGCCTGCAGGCTGGTCATGGATAGCCCATAGCGGTGTGTGGGCCATTCCTGGTCTACTGCTATAGCACTGTAGGACATTCCAACAGACCTGCAAGCTGATCATGGGTGGCCCATAGAGGTGTGTGGACCAGTCCAGGTCTACTGTCAGGGGACTGTAGGACATCCCGACATGCCCACTGGCTGGTCATGGATGACCCATAGAGGTGTATGGGCCAGTCCAGGTCTACTGCCAGAGTGCTGTAGGACATCCCGACATCCTTTAGACAAGTTATGGATGGCCCGTAGAGGTGTATGGGCCAGTCCAGGTCTGCTGTCACAAAACTCTAAGATGTTCTGAATGTTCTTCATGCTAGCTAAGAGTGCTCTGTGGAGATGTATGGGTCCATTCAGATTTAATCAAGACTGGCATCAGACCTCCCAGTAGGCCTACAGGTAAGTCATGGATGGCCCATTTAGCTGTGTGGTCTGGTCCAGGTTTGAATATGAGAGTGCTGTAGAACCTCTCAGCAGGTATACTGATAAGTCGCAAGTAGCCTGTTCAGATGTATGGGCCTGTCCAGATTTAATGGGGAGGACCTCTGAATACAGCTTGTATATAAGCTAAGAGTGAAAGTGTCTTTGATTGAAATGACAAAGGAGGTGATGGAGAGCTCAAGGGACATCCTCAGTAGTAATCACTATTGTTGCTTCATCTCTGCCACTAATGCTTTAGTTTACTGATGCAATTTAAATATTAACATATAGTACTATACTAATCATCAAAGTGAATGATAGCTGCAAGTAGCTGATAGTGACTTGCTAAGTAATTGAGCTAACATTAACTACTGTCATGTCCTCACCTGACTGATTTACTAATAAAAGAACCCTTCTACCCATCTGCCAGCAGAAGTGCAAATCTAAATTCAAAGATACTTTCTTCCCATCTCAGGCCTGAGCTTTTGACAATATGTTAAACAATCTGTTTTCTATATGCTACACCTCTAGCAGAAGGCTCATACAGCTTTGGATGGAGTAGTATACATAATCACTACAAAGGGGATAGAAATTAAGGCTATTGACCAGGATTTCCCATCCCTGGATGGCTTTATCAGAAGGCTCATATAGCTTCAGAAAGAGCAGTATAAATAATCACCAGAAAGAGGGCTTCAATCAAGGCTATTAGCCTGGATTTCCCAGCCCTGGATAGTCCATAATGACCCCAGTCACCTAGTGATATGCAATAAATAATAGGGATGGCATGGGACACCCATAATAGATGGCACAGCATGGACTACCTTTATCGTCCCACAGGTCTGTCCCAAGTATCCCTTGCTTTGGGACAGCCAGGCCAGTCAATGTCCCACTTGAATGCCTGGACCATGTATAGTAGTCCTGGCCAGACCATTCCTGAAAAGGCTCTTAGCTTAAACCTATAATGGTAACAGTTCAAGCTAAGAGCTTCTGTCCAGGGGTACCCTGAAGTGCCTGCATGGCAAACCTGCAGTGATTCAGTTGATCCGTGGCACTTGAAGAGTCAGCGAGGGAAGAGGACTGTACCATTGTGTCAAGGTAGTGAATTTGTGGGGCGAGATCATCAAATCCTTCAAAAGTACGTGTGCTCCTTGAGTCTTCTGCGCACGATACGTAAGACTCTCGTTCTCATTGAAGTATCCTCGGAAAATCTTGCGGTGTTTCTTCCACCGCAGGCCGTATTCCATGAATGCAACATTCGCATCATAGCCCATCCTAAATGTTCTGTAAGGCAACGCAATGACAAGAATGCTAGCGGTGTACTTACATCTCTAAGGTGGTGCATGAAGGTCTGTCGCTGTATTTGCCACTCCGTTTATCCATAAGGTCAGTAGCTACTTGCAAAGAATTCAGAACCACGATGTTGCGGCCTAAGATATGCAAATGGATGATATCTCCTATCATGAGATATCTTAGAATCAAAAAAAGAAAGTTCAATACAGCGCCAATCCTCACCGTAATTAGTCGCCCATTCGGGGAAGAGTTCATGCTGATGAGCAAAAGAGAACTTTCGAAGGTGTCCAATTATCAGATCTGCAGGAGGGCCAGGAGGTAGAGGTAAAGCAGACTTCCGCCTCTGCCCAATTAATATGAGCACCAATATGACCGCACATGCGCACAAGTATGCAGCTACAGAATACATGGAGGATCTGATGTTGGCCATGGTCCTCCCGTTGAGCCATTTATGCAGGAAATCCAGGTACACATCCTGCTACTTGATGCACAGTATGAAGTCTCTGATCTCAACACCTGGATCGGATGCGTGACAGGTGCGAGAAACAGTTGACGGAGATGGCAGATGTTTTGGCCATAGTTCTACCATGACGAGCCTTCTATTTGCGAGCGCAATTGTATGAGGACACATGGAGCACCCGGGGAGCCCGAGTTCTATACCTAGTAGATGTTACCCATCACGTCATAAAGACTCTGCCGTCGGAAATTCCAGCATCTGGCCTTGACAGAACGTTAACACTATTCAGCAAAGAGCTTCGCCCAGAAGGTCGAGTTTGAAAGGCAACATCGCCCGCAAAAAGCAACGAGTTAGCCATACCTTTACGTGAATGATCCATGATGAGAAGGTGTTGAATACCAATGGATCTTGATTATGCCAACTGGCGAAGTCACCGGCATGCACAAACCAAGCAGTCGCGAGGCATTAACCTTGCCATTGGGCTCCGATGCATGGCGCAATGCACAGACTAACCCAGAGCATGTCACTCGCAAAACCCTGCGACTATTGATTAGAAGCATCCACTGACAACAACAGACACATCATGGACAGGTACTCCACATACGGCATCACGCATCCTCGCTGGGCATAGCGGCCCGCGGCGAAGCCCGCAGAAGAAACTAATCTCCACTGCTGGCTTGATACCGTCGATGTCGTGAGCAGCGCGCAGCGCTGAGTCTAGTTTGGTGAACCTCGCTGAGACTCTGCGGCCTGGAGGGGGGGGGAGGAGACACCTGACGATCGACTCCAATGTCCTGACAAGGTTAGAGTGCAAATTGAACATTGAACGTTGAACGTTGAACGTTGACGTTGAAGGTCAGCACTTGAGCACAATGGACGCACAGCGGAAATTGCGCCGTCAAATCCAAGGCGCCCATCGACGTGTGGCATGGGCGCCTCTCAAGGGTTATGATCAGAGCATACGATGCCGTCGGACAACGTGAAAACTCACCAGCACCTCTATAAATGTACCTTATAAGTATTAGTGTACGTGGAGACTGATTAAGACTGACCGCCGATGCTGAATCGCATCCGTTCTGACCGCGAGTGCAGACGTAGCGTACCGCAGAACCATCAGGCATGCAGCGACGGACCTTATGTGAAGAGCGACCAGCAATGAGCTGCAGCTCCACAGTTCTGAATTCCAAATTGTGATTATCCCCACACATGGGCGGTCTGTGGGTCGCCAAACCAGCGATTCCCCTTAATCTCATTCCCGGAGATTACTGCATTGATAGAGGTCTTCTCGTCCGCCGTGAACAAGCTGTCACCCGCGGCCAGATTCTCGAGCCGCATTTCTTGTTCCTGCATGTTCGTACGGGTGTGAAGGACCAGCGCCGCTAGCACACTTGAATACAGTCAGTACAGGATGTGCACGAAGAGCAGGGGGAAAGAACGAACGAATGGGCGACGGTGGCGCCGAGTTCTATCTTCCTACTAAGAGTGCAGTGTATGCGAGCACTGATGTAAGTTAGGAAGATGGACATTCGCGTGATGCTGTGGCGTGACCAGACACGTCACCAGTGACTCGACGTGACTGGCCAGTTGAACTTCATTGTAAATTCGCACTAAATCCGCCTGGCTACATGGTCTCACTCAGATTCACTCTCGAGACCTGTGGAGTATGTTGACAAGCAATTAATATATATACCACACCTTTCAGTCAT